CAGTCCTAGTAGTTTTCCGATTCGTCAGAGGACGAGGATGACTGCTCCGGGGAGGTAGGAGGATCCTGGTCAAGGTCTAGCATCATCTTGGCCATAGTCTTCCTCTCGGGGCAGTCACGGGCGAAGTGACCTTCCTTACGGCAGATGAAACACGTATCGTCTTTCCCTCCATCCTTCTTAGCCTCGGGAACTTTGGTTGTAGCTGGCCGGGAAGTCGGCTTCTCAAACCGGGACTCCCTAACATAGGTCCGTTCGCTGTGAGTGGTTGGCAAACGTGTCCGGCGATCCCTCTTCTCTTGTTTGCGCTCTTGGTTCTCCTCCCAAGCGCGCTGGTGGGCTAGAGCAGCATCCGCGACGCTACCAGCAAAAGCCTCATAGGAGATTGTCGGGTTCTTTGAGTCTCCCAAGAGTCGGGGGTCAAGCCGAGCGGGAATACGCTCATAGAGTAGGGTCTTGCGCTCCGACTTAGCAACATTAGCCTTATCCGCCAAGCTATTGACTAATCCAATGTATGAATGGATAGTCACGTCCTTATTCGCCGGATCATACTTGAGCTTGGCTAGCTCGGCCCTGGCTTTCGTGGCTTGGTTGTCATCATGGTAGACAGTCGACAACGTAGCTACCATCTCGGCGACGTTGCGGAAGGGCATCTCCTGAGAGCTGTACCGACTCTCCAGCAGGTCGTTCGGGGATCCCTCCGTAAGAGAGTTCAGAACCGCCATGCGGCTACGTTCTGTCTTGAAAGTGGCATCGTCTTCTACAAACTTGTCGGCCACCTTGATGATCCACTTATCGAAGGTTCCGTCAACACCCTTGAAAACTCCAGGGTCGACACCGGCCTTGCGAGCCTTCCGGTCGAAGGTTTGGTTGGCGGCGTGCTGGTCCTGACCGTAGGGCTTGAAAGCGGGAAGGGCGGCGAAGCCAATGGGTGTGAAGCTGTCCCCACTGAAAGCGCTCTCAGCGGGGGTGACAGTTCGGGCCCGGCGATTGACGCCGTCGGCGGTGCGGGCGGCTGCCTCCGCCCTGAGTTCTGCCACTTGGGCAAGCAGAACTCGGTAATCCTCGGCGCTCGGGGCGCCATCGTCACCCGATACTCTACGGGTTTCGTTTCCCGTCATATTGTCTATCGGGGTGTCGACTTCTATACTGGTGACTGGCTCGTTTGGCTCTGTGTCGCGTTGCTGTGGAGCGGGCTTAGCAAGCTCTATGCTCGAGGGGGTTGCTATGACTTCTTCGTCAGACTCTTCGGTCTTCAAGTTCGCTTCCTCCTGGGTCCGTTCGCTTAGCTCTTTCGGCTGGGGGAGGCGTTCGGATTGGCGTATCGGTGGTCCGTAATCTTTCTTCTTGGGCATCGACGCTGTGGTGTTTGGGGGTTTCTGTGACCTGGTTTATCGTCGTGCACAGCCGACGTAGTGGGTTGCTTGTGGGGTTTTGACGTATTTATTGATCGCTGGCCAGCGATGAGAATTGAGAGTTTAGAATTGTGTCACGGCCGGCTTGGAATGAGGGCGGAACTCCTCTATGGGGCGCTATGGACGAAGATTCTAAACTACAGAGAAAAGGGAAAAGAAGCAAAAGCCTCCCCTCGCGAGATTCTTCCAGGACGCGTCTCAAGGTGGGGCTCTGGCCGAGCTTCCATTGGTCAGTCGGGTGGATCCACCCGACTGGCGTCTGATTAGTCAGAGCGTCTGGGAGGTCTGGAGGACCAGGCCCTCACACCCCCCATCCACACCACCCCGGAAGACCCGGGCAACCCGGAACGACCTCTTCAATACACCTCAAGGTAGTCACGACGTCCGCAGGCAACAGGGCTTAGCCAAGACGGCCACTAGTCCCCGAGATAGGGTCGTCAGGACTATGTTGACGAAGGTAGGGAGGGCACTTGATCAGAAGAATACGGAAATCGCTGCTTTGAAGGCAAAAAACGACTTCTTAGCCAACGAGTTGGAATCCAAAAAACCCTATTCACGTAAAAGGGTCAAAATAGACGCCAACGACAGATTTGCTACTATTGACGAAATTGACGAGGCTCAAAAAGCTAGTCAAAAGCCTCCCAAGAAGAGATCCAAGAAGACCAAGTCCAGGCCTGCACACTTGGTCCAGGAAGCTGAAGAAATTATCGCCCGTGGGCTTGAGCAATATAGGGCGATTGACGAGGACTAGAATGTACTTTTTTCTATAGAATTTGGCCTACAATTGAGTATTTTGACGATTCTTGTGGTGGGCGGTGATGGTGGTGGGCGATTGCAAAGGGGGGCGATTGCATAAGTGGGTCGCCCTGTCTAATAGAATTACCTGCTACCTGCCACGATTACGGCAATCCGCGTAATTAAGGATGATCCGTCGAGGGCCTCGGAACGACCGGAATTGGTCGATATCCTTCTCAACGCCGCAGGTATGGCAAACTTTGCGGGCAGCCGCCTCCGCCGCGTCCGCTATAGATACCGAATAACCTGGCCATAATAGGCAAAACGGTACTATAGAGGAAAGGAGGTTAGCTACGAAGAGCGGGTAGATTGTACGGTTCGTCGAAGGTACTACGGTACGAATAATTATTGGAAAAAGAAAAGCAATTGTGGGGTGGGCGAGGAAATTCGATGCGGGGTTGAAGGGCAATTCGCGTAGTCACGTGCGCAAGCCCACCTTTGCGCACACGCCAGAAAGCATTTAAACGCTTATATCTCAGCCAATTTCCCTTATACTATGAATCGGGCTTTAGATTCAAAATTTCCGTAGAGTTATGCACATAATGATACCGGTTGCATCAATTTTGGAAAGTGTGCTGACCGAATGGCAGATAGGCACGTGATAGGGGCTGCCCCTGCCCATATTGATGTGACTGAGATATCGGGTCCGCTTTTCCACATAGGTTAGCCAATCCGGAAAGGCGATAAGGCGTTTATCAATTTCACATAGTAATTTTTTCAGAGTTTCGCAGTAATATTTTCCTCCGGACAGGATTATTTATTTATCTTATATGCGTGAGTTGTGGATGGGCTTGAGTTGTGGGTGGGTAATAGTAACTTGATTAGGTGTATCCGATTAATAGTGGGTCTAGACTCTGGTAAAAAAAAGTCGCTGGCTCTGATAACTAAGATCGTGATTAGTGGCTTATCTATGGGAGAGCGGACGGGATCCCGAGTTTTCCACTATCCATGGCCGTATGTGCTGGTACGTACGGTAATTCATGCATATACAGGGAGGGGGCAGACGCTGTAAAATTCGCAATGCCATTACCGCAACCTCCATGCTTCATCATCGCCGACAACAGCCACGAGCTCAATCCTGGTATAGTATTTGTTGCCTAGCACGGTAGAGCGGCCTCCTTCTCTTGCCTTTAGCCATATCTCAAGACGGGCCCAATTTCTGCCCCCTTCGACTTCGCTGAGGCTGAGCCGGTCCTTACAGGTGGTTGCCCATTCGGCAGCTCACCCAGGCACTTAATTCGGGTTTGGCTTTGTATCTTTGTTGCTGCATACGCGCTTCGTCGGCGTGGCGGCTCTCTTCCTTCAATTGCAATTCCTGTCCTTCCACTCCTCCTTCTCCATCGTATCAATCACCGCCAGCATGATGCATTACCATCCCATGCCGGCAGCGCCTCGTACCAGTCGCAGGAGGGCACGAGGCCGGCCATGACTCCCTCGGGCGCGGTCGTGTCCTGGGGTGTTAATAGGGTGTAGGTCAGGCAGGCCCTTTGTCGAAAGAGTACGCAGGTAGTTTCTGACAGCAGCGCCAGCATGCGGATCTCGTGTGTACCTGTTTCTAGGGGTGCTGTTGGCTAGGGCGTTGAGATCTAGTGTAGAACGGGCAGTGAGACGTCAGTGGTCCCTTGACCATTAACGTCTTCTTCCTCACTAGGTAGTAGGTACGAAGTGCCGCTATGTGTCAGACGCAACAGCACTTTTAGGATTGTGTGCACCAGAGTGAATTGCTTGTATTCTCCTCGTCCAGTCTTTCCACAAAAGACTCTCTCTTATACTTCCTTATGTGGCAATTACATGACGAATCCCAGTGGCGAAGATTACGCATCGTAGGTTCCAGCACCTTCTAGGCCATTCCATCTGACACTATGTTTATCTTTTCGTCAAGTGCATAGACGGCAATGGAAGCCTAATTCTGATGTCTAGCAACGGCCCGGTACCGAATCATGAACTGCCCGACGCCATGGTTGTAGGATAGACTGCTGGTGCTGTTGCTAGAAAGGCCGGAGTACTTGTCGGTTTCTAGGAGGTGGTGGTGGCGGCGGCGGCGTGGGTAAGGTTAGGTTTTTTTTGCGGCACAAATGCGGGCATTGATGGGATGAACTCTAGACTGCCCGAAGCCCTAACTGGTTACCCCAGATACCTGCCCGTATTAGTGTAATGCTGGACGGGTTGGTAGGTACTAGGCGGTAATAAATAAGGTACGGATACCTAGGTACGGATACCTAGGTAAGTATTACGGATACATGTTGGTGCTAAGCCTCAGCGCACCTCCCACCCCCACACCTCCTTTTTTCCCCGCAGGAAAAGAGGAGACGAAAACAAAGTGGGAAAAGGAACGCCTTTGTTTACCAGACGTTACAGTACAAACTAGTCTACGTGTCTTTTGACTTCCTTCTGTTCATTCTTCTTTTCTTTTTCGTTTTTGCGGCCGACTAGGCTACCTGGCTAATTTAGTTTACGAAGGTCAAAGAAAAGGGAAGCATACATTTAAATCACTGTCAATTTTCGGAGGAAAGTGATTAAATTGACTCTCGGAAACAAGCACATGCCGGGGAGTCCTTTTACAACATACCCAAGGGGGGGGTAATAAAAAAGAGCGTCTATTCTAGGATTCTAGTAGGGTAGCTTGAGACCTGCCGTATGCTTGTTGGGGGACCTGAAAAATTTGTTTATGGGGGTTTGTTTCCTGGTTGGAGGGAGGTGGTGTTGAAGGGAAGAAAAAGGGAAGAAAGAAAAAAAAAGGAGGGGGGGGGGGCATTCAACTCTTTATCTCTCACAGTGGTCCAGCCTCTACGACTACCGTGAAAATGGCCCTCCCGGAAACTGAAGTTGACTGGCGATATCAGCCCGGTGCACCTCGCGTGCCTTTTCGGCCAAAGCCTCAGCCATGACAGCAAAATTGCCATTGCATCGGACAGAAGTCCAAAATGCGTCTCTACCAAGGCCGTGGGGGCCCAGGAAGTAGGCTTGTGAGAAATCAATGTAAAAGACTCTGCCGTCGGAGTTCCTGATGATGACATTTTGCGGCTGGCAGTCTCCCAAAAGCACGCCGTAGTTGTTGATGGCGGCCGCGCCGTCAATCGCGTTCTGGGCGATGCGAGCCAAGTCAGCGACGGCATACTCCCTCGCGTTATTGAGTAGACGTTCGCCAGAAAGGCCATTGATGAGTTCGATTAGGATACCCTGGGCCTGGAATTCTGGTCTCGCCGAGGCACTGGGTCCCAGTAAAGAAGAGATCTGATGAGAGATGGAGGCATACAGGCGGGGGACGGTCGCACCTTGAAGGGACGCGAGCTGTTGGTAAGCCTGGACTTCGGTTCTGAAGTAGCGTTGGGCCTGGTCGTGGACAGCGGCCTCGAATACGCAGTGCGGCGGGCAATTGGGATTCCCATCATTGACGGCGTCTTCGTACAAGTCGCCGGCGCTAGGGGGGAAGTTGCCGGTGGTTCGCTGGCGATCAATATCTTGCAGGACATGCTGTGAATGGCTCGAGGCGACAAAACTCGCCCAGCGGGCTTCGTCCTGTGTGGTGTGGGGAATTGGCCGGTTGCCGCGGCACCGGGACTGGGGTCCAAAGCGGCGGTCGAACATCTTGAGGACCGCGTGCCCACCTGACGGGAGCTGGACGATCATTGTCGGAGACATGGTGATGGGGAAGGCCCTCAATATCCTCACCGTCAGCTGGGCAGAGACTAGCCCTTGCCAAGGCGGGTACGTGGCCGTGACGAATAGCGACAGTGTGTGGCCATCGCGGTAAGGGTTGCTGGTGGCCACGGGGGGGGCCGACCTTATCGCGCGAAGTAGGTCAGACACCAGACACCGAGGAACGGTAAGCGATGGGGAAGTGCCGTCGCGGCGACTTACATGGCGTCTGTTGGCACGGTAGGTGGATCCTGGAGAGGCGGAGATGACGGTGTTGAACCTAAACTCGCCATTTTTAGAGCGGGATTGTGTCATGCATCCACAGCTATCTGTATGCATGTGCATGCATGCACATGCACATGCATGCCCGTATGGTAGTGCGTGCGCGGGTGCATCAATGGGAGGAAAGGACGTTTGGAAGGAAGAAACGGATGCGTATCCGAAGGTGGGGAGGGATCGGGACCGTACTTGAGTTTGCAAGATGCAGAGAAGTGGGGGAGGGGAGGGGAGGGGAGGGTTTGGTCGAATCGATTGGGGGATCGATCGTCCAAGATTACAGAAAATGTGCTCCGTACATACCTTACAGTAGTGTAATGTACTACTAGTACTCCGTACTTGTACAGTACGAACACCTACGTTGTGTAAGGCGCTTGAATCAGCAGAACGGAGTAGAAGCCAACAAACCGCTGCTCAATACGGAGGAGGCTAGAAGACGCACAAAAAAAAGAACACAATGAGAAGAAAAGAAGAAAGAAGGGAAACAAAGGCAAAACCTACGGGCTGTTATATGCACTTTGTCTCGGCGGCGTCGAGGAAAGCCTTACATTGCATTTTAAGTTGTCGTTTGCGGCTTTAATTTATTACCGATATTACTTTCTCTCACTCTCAGGTACCGAGCACGTTAGGTCTCTTTGCCGAGGCCCTTTGCCAAGCTTGCCAGGTACCTAATGTAAGGTACTGCTCCGTATGTACCTTAGTTTGTAGCTAAGATAGATGCGTTGCTGCGGTATCCGTATTTGGAAACTATTCCTCTCCCGTGGGGATCCGTATTGGGAAATTATTCCTCTCCCATGTCTAGTGTACGCATTAGTGTAGCCTGGAAGTGGTGCCGGCCGATTGATTACTTATCGTGAAATGGTATTCCGTATACTTGGTATGAACACGTAATAGCGCGCCCCCCCTTCCCCCTTCCCCCTTGGTCGGCCGCCCTTACTTGGCGGAGGGGAGCGTAAGCTCATCCGCCTCTCGTGAGACTCTCACCTGCTCGAGAGTTGCGATTGGCATCTGAGCCTATCTCTGGTGCAAAGGCCCACACCGGGCCCCCTGAGCCTCTCTCGTGGGTCCGGGTACCTGGCAGGCCGTTGACGATCAGTAATCATTCAAGAAATAGACTTTCGGGGAATAGACCAATACCGGCATCCAAGGAACCCGTTTCGGCCTTTGTTAGCCTATAAATAACTGGGTGGGGGGACGTTCAGGCTTTGTGTACCTGGCTAGGGGGCGGTGGCGCAACTCGTCAGGGGAAACACAAAATACACCAGAAAGAAAAGGACCCTCATACGAATGGTGTGACTCGGTTTTACGGTTGGCCGTACGTACCCTGGTAAAGGGAGGTGGACCATGACAACGGAATTTGACCAAGATATTTACTGTAGGTACTAAGTTAGGTGGGGGGGTAAGCGAACACTACTGATTTAGAACATTCTGTATAAGCAGGAGTCCCAACTAACCATCCAACAAAAGAAAGGGTGATCTTTTTATTTACAAAACTTCAATACAATCTTTGATATCCTCTGAATCATCCGCTTCTTCCGCATCTTCTAAAACCTCTGCTGCACGCCCTACAGCTCTCTGGGCCTCACGAATAGTCTGAATATTCGCAAAGGTGGTATTTGGATCTTCTTCAACCTTCTTCTTCTTTCTGGCTCTTATTGATTCGAGAGTGTGTTCTAGACCTTCAATCTTTCGCTTCCTAATAGCCAGTTCAAAGGCCTGTTCATCCAAAGCCTTACCAATCTTTCTGAGGAAGAGCTTATCCGCTGGCATTGCTTTGATGATGCGTGCGAACTTCTTTGCCTGCTCAACGTAATCACGTGCCTTTCTAGGAGTCCTCCACTGCACCCGATCGTCTCCATAATCCTCCAGGATTGGCATACGGAGTGTGCGAACCTCTGGGGTAACTATAGTAGTTCTTAAGGGGCGTGAAGTATTAGAATTCTTGAGGAGGAGTGGGCTTCTTAGCGGTTTGTTGACATTCAAGGGCCAAAGGCCTGATGCCTTCCATCCTGACTTAGCATTACTCTTAGTAATTGCCTCTGTGCGTGAAATCTGGTAGCATTCCAGAAACGCACGTTTTCCGGCTACAGAAGAGTCGTCAAAGGCGTTAGCAAGAAGGTCCTCAAGCCGTCTGCGATAAAGTCGTTTTAGGGGGCCAAATATGGCCAAATCTAGGGGTTGGAGGACATGGGAAGTATGGGGAGGCAGATAAATAATGTGAATATTGTTTGTGAATGCCTCCCACATATAATCGGCAGTTGTGTGGCTGCCATGGCCATCAATAATAAGGAGTCGTTTCTCAGAGGAGTTTGCTGGCTTGGTGAGAGGAATGAACACATTTTTTAACCATTTGAGGCTTGTCTCATCGGTAGTCCATCCTTTCTCAGTTGCTGTAAAGAACCAATCCTGAAATGGCTTCATATCCAAAGGAAACCATTGTTGTTGAACGCTTTTCCCCTTAAAAATGACCAAAGGAGGAAGGCAACGGCCAGCTGCTGAGATGCATTCGACAAAAGTGGTCCAAGTGCGGGTTCCAGGCTGTTTTTTTTGAAGCGCCTTAAAGGCACGGCTTCCAATGACAAGGCCGTTGGTTCCTCTGCCTTCCATAATACCAGATTCGTCCTTGTTCCAGCGATTCTCTGGCTTAATCGCCTTGATAGCTAGTGTTTAGAAATGGTTGAACCAAGGTCGAATTGTTGACTCTGTAGCGCAGTTGACGCGGACCGAATCGACTCTCTTGGCCCTCTGAGTCTTCAAAATTCGATTGCGGTTAAGAAAGGCACGGCACCACCCCTTTCCAAGTGGTAAGGAGTCCCCCCTTTCAGCTAGAATACGGCGTGCAAGCTCCCTGATCTGTGCATGTGTAGGGGGCAATCCTAAATCTTGTTGAAGAAGAATCCATTCGACTAAACGATCCTCTTGGGTCTGTGTAAGCCTTTGCTCATCTTGATGAGCAAAATTTCGAGGTAGGGAGCCATGTAGACGGCCATAAAGGGTGGAGGGTGGAACGTTCCATTTTCGCGCGACTTTGCGTAATCGATGTGTTCTGACGGCTTCCTCGCAAGCCTTGCGGAGGTCTTCTTCTGTATATGAAACCATTGTCAAGAGAAGAATAAAACGAATTGAAGATGAAGAGAATTGGAAAAGAATTGGTTGAGTTATGGGCTTTTTATATAAGAGGGTTGGTTGTGTTCCTCGCTTATCTAGAATGTTCTGGATCAGTGGCGTTCGCTTACTCCCCCACCTAACTTATGGTGGGGGTTGGTTATACGCAGTAGTTGCTGTTACCCAGAGTACCAGGCAACAGGTATCTGTTTTGGCCTGCTCGCGTAACGGCGCACAGTTACAGGTACCGATGCCAAAAAGGTCCCTCCCTCTCATGTCATGGCATGGATCCCGGTTCTCTTCCGGGGTGGAGCTAATACCGTGAAACAAAACAAACCTGGTGAGGCTCATGAGCCGCATTAGTGAGCTCTTTCGTAGCCACGAGCCCGGCTCCTCTCCTCTCTGCGACGAAGCCAACACAGTGAGGCCCGTATTCTTGAGCTGCCTGAGCCCCTCCACGGCCACGCGTCTGACTCTCTTCTTCGACGAACCTAGCACGGTGAGACTCGAGAGCGGCGTGTCTTTCTCTGGCCCCCGGGCCCCCGAGAATCCGGCTCCACTCCTGCGATGAAGCCAACAAGATGAGACTCGTAAGCCACATGAGCTGCTCCGTGGCCTTGAGTCTGACTCCCCTCTCCTCCGTGACAAAACCAACAGGGTGATGAGACTCGGGAGCCGCATGTGCCTTTCTCTGCCCCCCCGAGCTGGCTTACTCCTGTAGCAAGATGGGACTCGTGAACACATGAGCTCCTCCATTAGGACGGATATTACTCTCTTCCGGGGGCCATGAACGACTCATCTTGACTGTTCATCTCTATAAGAGGAGTGGTTTCCAACGCCAGACCATGCATCGAAATTTACTCTTTACCCTTCACTCTTCATCCAGTACGCCTACCTACCTTTACCTAGTTGTTCAATAACCGGCCCATCATGTCATACACCATAGATATCACCAGACGTCAGCGAGATGCGATGCTGGTCTACCTTGAACATGCGAACCCGAGAACCATAACTGGTACCTTCTCAGCAGGCTGGACTTCATGCCATGGCGAAACGCGCTCTAGATCAAACTTGACCTTCCACATCGGCCTCAATTACAACAGTGGGACCCGTCTTTACCAGACTTGTATCCAGGCCACCGAGCGAAACGGCAGTCGACCCGCCGTAAATGGCACACTTATTGATTGGGAGACTCAGCCCCACCCGTCGTACGTACTAAGAAGATATCAGGACCTCTACCTGCCCGGCCGGTCCTTAGATCCCGCAGCTGGCGGCAACGGCGGCGGTGGCGGCGGCGGCAACGGCGGCAACGGCGGCGGCAACGGCGGCGGCAACGGCGGCGGCAACGGCGGCGGCAACGGCGGTAACAATAACAACCCGAATCGGGCGTTCTACCCCCACAGGTCCGGCTACTGGTATTATTTTGATGAGGAAACCGGGGAAAGGAAGTGGGTCGATGCCAATAGGCGTCCGGTCAACTACGAAGCCGCCGACCTCCCGTTGCCTCTTGTGATCGTTTTCGAGAAGGAGGACAAGACCAGTAGCTACTACATCCGCTCCAGCACGACCAAGGACGGTATCGTCACGTCTGAGCATGTTGCTGTCAAGGTTGAGACGGCCGCCGACGACGCCAAAGCGAAGTACCATTACAGCTGGAACTTTGCCATGATTGGCGGGGTGAAAACGGTTGTTGCCTATGGCCCCAACCTGAAGGAAAGGAAGAGTGCGGCTGCTTCTGCTGCTCCTGCTGCTGCTGCTGCTGCTGCTGCTGCTGAACATGACAAGAAGAGCGACCCGAAAGCCACGGGCAAGGCTGCTCCTGCGGCAGCCCCGCCCGCCGCGAGAGCCCCCCTCGGCGTCGTGGACCGCAATGCTGTCAGCAATCCTAAACCGCCCGCGGCGAAGACCGCTTCGGCAGCTGTCTCTACTCCCTTGCCGCCAGCCCACAATGTTAATACGGCCAGCCACTAACACCCCACCACCTTTTCCTCTCGGGGTGCCTGGTGCCGTGCTCCCTATTACAACGAGCAGGTGCCGGTCACCTCCGTTGCTTCGTTGTGTTACATGAGCTAGGTATAGAGAGCTGGGAGATTAGCAGATCGCAGGTCGATTGGGGAGTGGTGGCACACCTTGGCAGGTACCTGGATAGATGGCGGGCAAATCTGTGTAGGAGAGAGAGGACACTTTTTGTGGGGCAGGTCCCCGACGATGGTCTTGATGCGAGCATCAGGACGCGGAGTTTTGCTTGCGGGGAGAATATGCTAGATGGTGGTTTAGTCCGGCACCAGCGCCATCTACTAGTATGTCTGTTTGTCTGTCAAGCCGGCGGGTCCGGAATAGACACTACGCCTTGGGAGAGATTCTAAAAAGAAAAGGCAGAAATAAAATTAGTTTCTGTCTCTGCGTGTGTTCTTTTTAAGTTACTTCTTGTGTGTTTGGAATGCCTAGAAATCTATCTCTAGGGTGTTAAGGTCGGCTATGAACAGCTGGTTGACATGTCGAGGAGGCTGCGGTATGTTACGGCAGGGCCAAAACCCGCTGGTTGGGCGCATCGGTTTTAGGCTTTGTGGCTCGTGCACTCTTGCAGGAGCTCCACTCCCCACCAATGCCCTAGCACATGACCTTACACGTGATCCCTAGCGCCCACGACTATTTCCCTACGGCCGCTCTCGATTCCTTCCTTCTTTCTTTCCTTAACTTTAGATTCTACGAATACAACCCGGTAAATGCAGCCTTGTCTCATTCGATCGACTGTGCGGTGATACGGTAGGCTTTATTTACTTAAGCCCTGAGTGGTCGTCATTGTCACGGCAGGTGCCAGACAGGTGGTAAGAGCTGGCAAGCCCCGACCAGACATCCTGGTTTAGGATGTGGTCAGTGCATAACCTCACCAACTCAACCTATTTCTCTGCGCCCCGCGCAGCCTTTGGAACTTTCTTTCCTTTTTCTTTCCTTAGCTTTAGATTCTACGAATACAGCGACCATATTGCAGCCCTGTCTCAAATTAGTTGACTGTGCGGTGACAGCTTACAAACTAACGACGACCGTTCATGAGACTACCAAAAAAGGGGCATGAAACGGACGAAAATCTCATGTCATCTCTTCCCCTCTCCCCCAATTCCAATCTCAATTCCCCTCTTCCCTCACTTTACTTTCAATTCCCTACAACCCAAGAGTTTCGTCGCTCTATAAAACTCATTAGATATATTTATCTTCTCTGGGCCTCACGATGGTAAAAAACCGAGTCAGGCGTCCAGGCCAAAGGCCCACAAGCGGGCTACCATCACAGCCAACACGTCGTTTCGCGAATGACCTCGAGTCGCAGAGAGAGCTGGATAAAGAGAACGAAGAGTCAATCCGACAACAACCGTTGAGCGATAGAAGCTCTATTTCTAAGAAAACGGAATTAAGCCGATATAATTCTTAGATTGAATAGACGGAGTAAGGGGTGCTCGGATTGTGTTTTTACTCCTCTATCTTTCTAATTACTAATAATATATAGGTACTTCGAGCGTATCGCACAACTCGATCCGAAGGAGGTCATTCTTGATCTTTGTAGAGACCCCGCTAGTAAAGAAAGAGCCGTAGTTCAGGTTAAAAAGTTTCTCCAGTACTACGTTCAGAAATCTGAAGCAGAACGCTCCTCCCTTGGACCAACCGAGACGGAATTTTCTCTAACAATCACAAGCGCCTGCACCGTATTCGAGAAGCTGAAGAGTATAACTAGGTACGCGGACAGTCATATTTTGCATGATATGAGGCGAAATGATCCTGCCCATGCGATGTAATGGACCTTGGCCACATTCTATTTCAACCTCAAGAACCCGGCTCGAATGAGTGGCCCGATATATGATATATACTTGGTATGTTTCATAATCTTTAGCTCGCTAATTAGGATGCTAATCGGTATCGTGATAATTATAGTGGACGGTGCAATACTTGGTACCCGAGTTTAATCTTGCCCGTGAACAACTATTCGATAAGCTCGAGGCAACTAGCGGTGATGTACGACACATTCTGGCGACGGCCTGGACGGATGCCGTTCAAGCCGAACCTAATACTCGACTCAATTTCTACATGACTCTTATATTATGCGGTATTACCGGTTTCAGACCTGGATGCCTTGTTAAGATATTTTACAAGCAGACAGAGCTGTGGGCTATACGGGATCCAGAGAATCCACACAACACCAAAATTATTACCCGTAATTATTACCCTATCTCACAATAAAAAAAAGACCGGTTTACTGCAAAAGCAGCAGGATGATACGTAAGCAAACTTACCGGCCCTCTCCAGAAGACTTTCCAATAACCTTTCTAATATCGAGTTCTGCGTAGCCTTTGTGTTGGAATAGCGATACTGGTGACCGCACACTAGCAGGGAGGAAGCAGAGATCGCGCGAGTACGCACGTGCAAGTAGGCACGTGCGGCGCGCGGACCTCTCACACACACACACAAAAACCCCGGTCGCACGCAGAACCTACCTTAGTTCCGCAGAGAGAGAGAGGGAGGATAGACACAACATTACCCCCGGTAGATCTACCAACCCTTCGACCTGTAGGATCCCTACGTAGTTTGAGTACCACGAACACTTTGTGCCAGACCAATCCATTTATTTATTAAGTTATATTATGGCGCGGGCATTGAGTAAGAATGCATTTGAAGTAGATTATAAATCTGCGGCTGAGCTATTTGTTACGATCCTGGTTCAAAGGTGCAGTGGGCGTTGCCCGCTTGCGACAGATTAGCTGGAGTGGCATTTAGGGCGGGGCTCTCGGCGAAGTGGATGCAGCCAATCAGGGAACGCTCAGTATGATCAGTACGCCCAGTCGGCTCAGTTGGCCTGGGAGCGTACTGAGCATACGGAGCGCACTGAGCAAGACGGCTGCAGCCAATCAGGGAGCGCTCAGTATGGTCAGTACGCTCGATCGGCTCAGTTGGCCTGGGAGCGCACTGAGCATACGGAGCGCACTGAGCACATAGGATAAGGATTCTAATTGGTTGTCATAGTTCTAATAGGAGCTGGCAGAACGCTCCCCCTGGGAGAACGGTTCTGCAGCTATCAATGCATCTGGTTAAGCATACATTGGTTGTGTGTTGAAAGCCTTTCTTTCGCAATCTGTGCACGATACTCCTTGTCTCCTGTCATCTCCTACCTGCCGTCCAGACCCCCACAATCCCAGGCCGGGCCTAGCTCCGTGGACCTGTTGTCCAGATTGTAACATTATGAATAGTGGCAAGATTGAGTGGTAACGTAGGTGGCGGGAGCTAACCAATCAGGTTGTGGTAGCTTCTAGGTTCTTCCTTTATTATTAATCCATATTTTGTGATACTGTGAAATACTGCTTTGCTGTGTCGTGGTTGTGTCAGGAAGGAGCGCCGCAGGCTCAGCGCTGCAGGCTAAGAGCGCTGCAGGCACTGGGGGTCTTACGGGGCTTGCCTGCTAGAAATCTAACAATTAGACCATGAACATCGAAATATAGAATTATCACGAGAATTTGTTTTAGTGGTAGGATAGCTATCAATCCGTTGTGGGTGGTCCGTACGGTACCTTCAACTTTCTAGCCATCTCCCCCGCTAAAATAGGCCACTTTCCTCTTCAACCTCGTAATATAACCAACTTCAGTCAATCGCACGTACGATTTATCGCTTTCTAGCTATAAATAGATACGCCGAATACTTTACGATTATTACCCTATTAATCTCTACTAATATATACTAAGAACGCCTGTTTCTCGAGCCGCCGCGATGGCTACGGTGGGGTCTCTCAACCGCAGCCCCCACGGCCCGATGCGCCAAATCCAGGCGGCCGTGGCCAGCCTCCCGACGGCCCGATCCTACCTAAAGAGACCCCGAACGACCGGATTCCTCCTGATAACCAGCACTTTATGAGGGCTCCTAAAATGCCTCAGCCACCCATTCCTTCGAGCGAAGCGAGGGCAGGCCGCCGTAGGCGCCGCCGCAAGCTCCGTTCAGCTGACCCCTTCCTGATTAGTCAGGTAACCTATTTTACCTCAACAAACCACTCCCTGCCATTGCCGTTCTCGTAATACACGTCACTCTAGATTGCCCCTGTCGCCCAGTTAGTCTTGTCGTCGAAAAGGAGCCCACTTTGAAGAAGTTGCCTAGGCCGAGAAACGAAGGCGTGATCTTGATGATGGGGACATCGTTTGATTAACCACGGTGACTACCTATCAGTAACCACATCCTTGTCGCTACGCGCAGCGCTGCGCCGAACAGCGCTTTTGGAATCGTGAACTTACGTCGCTAACAAGCTGAGAGTAATAGAAGGCGTTGATTGGTGTGGAGATGAGGTTCGTTCCGGGCGGGAAGTAGATGAGTGTGCCTTTGACGGAGGACGATGGACAGTTCGCGCCGCAGTTGCCACCGTATGCGATGGCTGCATTGATGGCCGCTGTGTCATCCTTCACACTGTCACCTTTGGCGCCGCCTGCAAACAAGGGGTTGGTCACATCACGAAAAACCTACCGATGGTTAGTATTGGAGGTTGGTCATGACGAAGCCTGAATGGTCATCGACAAGATAAGAAGGGTCATAGCCTACTGGGGCGAGGCTATATCTAGATATGGAGGACACCTAGTACGACGAGCCCGTACGTACGTGGACCGAGTAAGTAGAATGAATAGTCTTATTACCGAAGATAATGGCCGCGGCAGTGTTATAAATTGGTTGAAGCTCTTGTGTAGAGTCCTATTGGAAAGCTATTACGCCGCCGCATACTCGGCGAAGACTATCGAATAGCAAAACCCAGGGTGGACGACGAATAACAATATTCGTGTATTTGTCAGCGGATGTACCGTATTTCGAATATCGTAAATATTGACGATATTCGTTGCTTAGTCAGCTAGCTGGTAGTCAAGGCTCCCAATAGGTGTACGGGATCCCGTGCATTTAATTTTGTACGGGATCCCGTGCAATTACGTAAGCCTTCCTTTTTGGGATGCCCGCGCCGTTATCTATTCTCGCGAACGCGAACGCGTCCGCGTCGCGATGCACTCTCGCGATGCACTCAGTTCTTATCCTGTATAGTTGTAATGGCTAGTCTCTCTTCGTTTCCCGATGACTGTCTCCCACCTGAGGGTGATTACGAGTCACGAGAGGCCCTATTCCAGTCTATTAATAATTGGGCAGCAACACGGGGATATGCCTTTATTGTGGGGCGATCCACTAAGGAGAAATCAGGCAAATTGACGATTACCTACATGTGTGATCGAGCTTGCCGACCCCCAACTACATCGAAAGAACGGCAACGGAAAACAACTACCCGGCGAACCGACTGTAAGTTCTCAGTTACAGCAAAGCAATCCTTGGATCAGAGCACTTGGACCTTGAAGCATCGACCTGATCAGCAGCATTCCTTCCACAACCACGAGCCAAGTCAACACCCATCTGCACATCCAGCCCACCGGAAGCTTTCTAAAGAAGACCAATCAGTAATCGACAATCTAACGAATGCGGGGGTTACACCAAAAGATATCAGAACATACCTACATCAGTATCACACCACCTCAGCTACTCAACAAGATATTTACAACCGGATTGCAATAGCTAAGCGAGAGGCTCGTCAAGGCCAAAGTTCTATCCATGCACTAGCCAACCAACTTGACGAAGACGGCTTTTGGAGCCGGATACAGTTTGCACCAGATGGCCATGTTATAGCTGTTCTTTTTGCCCACCCAGACTCAATCATATACCTTCAAACTTACCCAGATATCTTACTTCCGGATTGCACCTATAAGACCAACAAGTACGGCATGCCACTTCTTGATATCATTGGAGTTGATGCCTGCCAGCGATCTTTTTGTATTGCTTTTGCATTCCTCAACGGCGAATCAGAACAGGATTACCTCTGGGCCCTTAACCAATTACAATCCCTTTACGAGACGCATAATATACGGCTTCCCTCGGTCATTCTTACAGATCGCTGTATTGCATGTATGAATGCTGTAGCAACCTGTTTTCCAGCTGCTGCCTCACTTCTCTGTTTATGGCACGCAAATAAAGCAGTTCTCCGACGCTGTCAGCCAGCCTTCACAACCCGTCAGCCAGGCCAGCAGCCCGGGCTTGAAGCTTGGAATCAGTTCTTTGCATTCTGGCACTCAATTATGAGCTCACTAGATGAAGCAATACTTCATCAGCAAGTACAGGAGCTTGAAAAGTAGTATCTTCCAAATCATATTGAAGAAGTTGGATATATTAAAACCACTTGGCTCGATTTATACAAGGAAAAGCTAGTCAAGGCTTGGGTTGATCAGCACCTACATTTTAGAAATGTGGTTACCTCACGGGTAGAAGGCATCCATGCGCTATTGAAGGGGTATCTCAAAAAGTATACCCTTGATCTCTTTGAGGCATGGCGAGCAATTAAGCATGCCTTAGTCAACCAGCTTGCAGAATTACGATCCAACCAAGCTAAACAGCAGATCCGGATACCAATTGAGCTCTCTGGGTCACTCTATAGCTCAGTACATGGTTGGATATCACACGAAGCACTTCGGAAAGTTGAAGAGCAACGTAAGCTGCTCATCAAAATACCACTACCAACCTGTACGGGCTCTTTTTCTCGGTCTTACGGATTGCCTTGTGTACACACGCTTAAAACTCTACTTGATCAGGATCATGCTCTTCAATTAGATCACTTTCGCCTCCATTGGCACTTACACCGTAATGGCACCCCCCAGCTACTCCTAGAGCCTCGCCAACGGATCGACCCAATTACTACGAATTCAACAATACCACGATCTAGTACTCAACGAGAGCCAAGTGGATTTGAGATAGTTGAAGCAGCTACACAATTTAAGGCATTACCTACGTGTAGTGCATGCCACGCAGTGGGGCATCGCATGAGCTCAAAGGCATGCCCCTTACGGTATGCAGGGCTAGCTGGCCCTGCTGCCGGCCCTGCTGCCGGCCTTGCTGCCGGCCCTGCTGCTGGCTTTACTGCCAGCCCTGCTGCTGGCCTTGCTGCCGGCCCTGCTGCCAGCCCTGCTGCTCCCCCTGCTTTAAGGGTTGATGACCCACGGGCTATCTACCAGCGATATACCAAAGCAAGAGAAAACTAGTATAATAACCAGCCCCGCAGCAGCATTAAGACCAATCAGCAATACCGTAAGGCAATGGGCTTACCCTTACGATATAATAAGGCAAGTTACCGGTGGTGCCTAGATTACAAGCAGATGACAAAGCATTGTTATGCTACAACAGGTGTAAGGGATTGGACGAAGGAGGAGATGATGGCTTACCTGAATTGGAGTAAATCAGAGGATGAAAGGTTTGATGCTTTAGTCGCGTAGGAAATGGAAGACCAACTATTTGATACTGGAAGATGAGGGGTGGATGAAATTTGGAGAAGGGTAGAAAGGGATATCGAAGAACCAGAGGCTTTATTTTCAGGTCAAGGGTCAGAAGATTGTATCGTTGTCAAATAGTTAGAATAAATCAACGGCGCGGGCATCCGAAAAAGGAAGCCTTACGTAATTGTACGGGGCCCCGTACAAAATTAAATGCACGGGATCCCGTACACCTATTGGGAGCCCGAATATCGCAGATTTGTCAGCAAATATTGACGAATATGCGATAATTGATTCGTCAGCAAACAATATATTGTCGCCCACCCTAGCAAAACCCATTCCGGAGTCTCGTTCTCCTACTCGATACTATATACGATAATCCTGTACGGTACTCGCCTACGTTACCTCTTGGCGTTACCCGGCGGCGCCCAGCCGTTGGGAAGTTTATTATAGGTTCCTCCCACCCCGTTTGCCCCTTTATTAGATAATCGTTCTACGGCTCAATGGATAGCGATATGAGCTTTTCGAGGCTTTCGTAGAGAGATGTATAGGCAGGGCTGAGCTCGTTAATACACGGCGTTAGTCGTACGTTAGTACCCATCGAGTTTATAGACTCAACCCCGCTCGGTAGCTACTAGTATTTGTAGGACAAGAGGTACACGCTGAGGTTTCCGATATCCTCATCTGTAAAAATATATCGCCAGGGCTGAGGTATCTCGGTATCCATACGCTCTTGCACCGTATCTGAACGGGTTCTTTTGTCGCCGTACCGTAGTGCCGTCTCTACTGTATAATCCGGACTGCTCGCGATATCGCCTTGGCGTGTGACCTGGCCCCCGTGAGCCAGAATCCGGCTTTTCCCCCAAACCAGCGGATATAGTAGCGAGTTGGCATATGTAGCGACACCGTCGCTTCCGACTTCTTTACGCTGCGCAAGCACGGACTGCACTCCTAACTGAAAGTTGGTATAGAGCTCAGGGCTCGCCAGTGCATCCGACTTGTAAACGCACGAGCCAGTGTCCGGCACGCGAAAGTGACGCTTCTCGTTGAAGTAAGCTGCCTTGTCGCGCAGCTCGCTCATAAGGGGTGTCGAGGAAAGAAATTCATTGCGCCAGCGATCCACCACATCCTGGCTGAAGATGTCAACATGCCAACCCGGCTTGTCGGTCACCTTGTTCATCACAGCGACCATAGCGAACTCGCGCTGGGTGATTGCGGGCACTTGCTTCCACTCCTTGAAGCCGTGCGCAAAGCGGTGTGAGATGGGGAGCTCCTTATCCAGAGGAAGGTCTGTGAAGCCAGGCACACGCAGCGGGCCGGCGCTTTTGTTGTCCATTCTTGGCGTTGTCATGTCGGCATTGGCATTCAGCTGCGCCGCTGGGAACAGCAATGCATGTTGCCGTTTGGATACAAGGAGGAGCGCAGAGAGAAGAAACGTTAGTTCTATATCACTGAGTTGGACATGGCTGAGCTGGACATGGCTGAGCTGTCCAAAACTATGACTCCTCACCTGACCAGAACCCCTCAGTTTCTTCACACACCTTCCTTCTTAACCTGGACACCAGAGCAACGTGAGATGCTGCCTTATACGAGTTCGTTTACGACTAATAGCAACCCCTAACCCTATGACCACGTTGGAATCAGATAGAGAGCCAAATAAAAAGGGAGCAGACAAACGTCGCTATTGCAGCACAATCAGCAGACTGGGAGAATGCCATTTAGTTTCAAGCTTTGATCCTTTGTCAAAGGGAATGTCTACTCGGGTCTTAGGCAACACCTTTTCGGACCCGCGCCCTGGCGCTAAGCCACTAAAAACCCACATTTGCCACCAAAAAAGAGGTTAGGTCTTGAGATGAAGCCAGCGCACCCAAATTTAGATTTACACTTCGGTTACAACATACTTCTAAATGCGGCAATTGACGCGTAGGGTCGTAGGATTCGCTCAAACTGTTCATTTCTGCAATGAAATCCTTGTTATTATGGCTCAATTGACGGTATTGTAGTCGAAGGTTGAAGGTTGGTGGATTTGGCGATAGCCTCAACCACAGGTAAAATTTTGGCTAGGTTTGGCTAGGTATGGCTCGGGCGCCCGGGCGCCCGGGCGCAGTTGAACTTAAATTGCACTGACCATCTAAAGATAAGTAGACCAGCCATTAATCTATTGTTTTTAGTGGGGAAAATAGGGTTTTCTCTGGGCTAGTTAGTAGCTTGGCACTGTACTTTTTGCTAATTCCGGTCCGAAAAGACGGTTTCTATGGTCCGAACAGACATTTCCTTGCCGAATGGGGTGCGCAATTTGTCCCTCCAAAATACCAAGCAATGTATTTGCGCCAAAATTCAACGTTGGCTCTTCCTTAACGTCGAGCAAAACACCAGCCGATGGTAGAGCCGAAAAACAACAACGGCTACTATCACCTAGCCTACGGGCTACTCGACTACAGAGCGCCAACGGAATCACAGACTACGCGCTTCTAACGCCCAGCTCAGCAGCCTCAAAGTGCCGCTGGAACCAGCTGACGGCCTGGTCCTCGCTTTGGTCGCCCCTCTCCCTCTGCTGCGGGTCATCGCGGTCGCCGCGCACCGCGAACCCGTGCTTTGCGCCCGGGTAGATGACGACCTCGTGAACGTCGCGAGCGGCCTGGGCGTTCTTGGCCTCGAGCAGCGCAACGACCTGCTGCATCTTGGCGCGGCCCATCCACTCGTCGTCGTCGCCGTTGGCCACGCTGAGCGGCTGCGCGACGCCCGCAATGTGCGCCGGTAGGCTTAGTAGGCTCGGGTGTGCCGTGAACGCGCAGTTGACGAGCGGGTGCTCGCGCCCGCCGGCGGCCGTGACGCGGTTCTCGGCCACGTCGTGCGTCAGCATCGTGGCATAAAGCCCGCCCCAGCAGAATCCGGCGACGCCGAGTTTCTGCAGACCCGGCGCGCCGTCAGCCCCAGCGCGCACGCCGCTCAAGAATGGCAGCATCCGGGGCTTGACCAGCGATGCGCGGCAGTTGTACGCGAACGACACCATGCTAGGGGCCACCTGCAGGATCGACCAAGCTCGCTTCAGCCGCCGCACGATCCAGCTGTCGGCGGCCGCGGGCTTGGATTCGAGCAGGACCATGGTGGACTCGGGCGGCGCGTGGCCTGTCTTGGTTAGCAGCGCACGATAGCGGTGGCGAACCAAGCGTCTCACCGTCCATGAAATCCGGCACGTACACGGTCGCGGGGATGCGCCGAGCGTACGCGTCGGCCAGGGCGCGCGTGTTGCGCAGTTTCCAGCCAAAGGCGTCGGGGATGATGACGACAGCGCCGAGCGGCTCCACACCCGGCCCCGGCACTGCGACGTACGTCGGCAGGCCGTGCAGCACTTCCTCCCCACCCGTCGGGGCGGCGTCGCCACGGAGCGTGCCCGAGAAGCAGTCTCTGCAGATAGGCATAGCAGCCATGTCGCAGACATCCAAGGTGCAGAGTGTTTGTTGGCGCGGAAAGCGGAACTTGACACGTGTAGCGGGTGCTGGCGCGGAAAATATACCTATTCCGCTTGCGGTGGAGGGGCGGAGGCGTCAGCCCCGATAACACCGAGTGCCGCACCTGGCATGTGGGCTAATAACGCTAATAACAGCTGGCATAGCCATGTTCAGGGCACTCCTGGGATGAAACCCCCCCTTTTGTGCCACGCTTCTGGCTCCCTTTTTCGACAAACTCGGTACGAGCACGACCATCGGCTGTAAAGGGGCATCTCGCAGCTCGCACTACGTGGAAGGCCGAACCTGGCGTGCAACAATGGTTGCGCAATACTGGGATGCAGCTACACTTGACCATAACTAATAAGCCTGCCAAATAGCGGCGGCTTGAATTTCGGTTCGTATACGCATGGGGGCCCCATGTACATGGCCCTATGATATGGCCTATGATATGAGAATATCGCGAAGAGGATGACCTTCCTCGGCGGCGCGCGCCATGTCCACGCCCTCAAATGCTTCGCCGTCCATCAGGCCATAAACATACGACTCCCCGAGGAGCGTAAACTCGTTTGCGGCAGCTTCTCTCAGCACAAACGGGACGCGTGCGCCGAGGAAGCAGCAGACGACATCGCCGACGTCAGCCTCGGTCGGCACCACCCCCACGTAGCCCTTCTCGGTTATGACGAGCTGCCGCCCGACGGTGAGGAAGCTCATGTAGTCACACATATCGTTGTCCGAATGGGCGGACGGTGTTTTGACCGGGAGGCCGTACGTGTAAGCCGCCCAGTTGGGCGGATGGATGCGCCTCTCGGATGTTTTTGGCTCCCAGTAGCGAGCTTTCGGGAGCCGCGCTGCCCCGGCCGCTGTCGCGTCCAGCTGCCGTCGATAGTCACGACACGCGGCGAGAAAGGCGTCCAGCTCGGCGCCTTCGGTGGAGCGGATGTTGATGCTCTTGCTGGCCATACGGATGCTGTCAACCACCACGCCTCGGACACTGAGTTGGCTGTCTTTCCCGTCCGCCGGGGCGACAATCTCGGCCACGGGCTCCGACTCTGTGCCGGCGCGGAGGGGGTAGTAGACGTCACTGAGCCCAATCAACCAACACTCGAGGTATCGCTCGGTCCAGTCGGGGACCCACGACGGCAGGCTCTCGATCCGCTGACTCCCTCGCGTGACGCACGACAAGAAGGCGAGGCCAACCCTCGGGAGAAGCCACGCGGCAGCTTCGACGTAGACCTGTGCAGCCGACTTCCCGTAGTCGGCCACGATCCTGTCCTTGTCGTCCGGGCCAAAGTCGAACATGGAGAGCAGCGCAAAGACCTTGTCGCGTGGATCCGTGGACAGGCAGCTGCGTACCTTGCAGAGCAGCGCCAAAAAGTCCTGGCCGCCGCTATGCTGGCGCCCGTGGCGGTTGCCGATGACGAGGGATTGCGGGACCAGTGTCGGGAGGGCTACGTGCCAGTGCTCCGTCTCCCAGGCCGGCCGGGAGTCGACCCAGATCTTGAACGGGCGGAACACGGCCCAGTCGACGAGACGGTCGCCGCACAGCAGCTGGGCCGTCTCTCGGCGCGCCATGAACACCTCCTGCAGTACCCAGACGCGCGTGAACCACGGGCGGCGATAGAAGTCGCCGATGGCGCTGCGGATGCCGAGCCCGCCCGTCATGTTGAACAAGATGGTTCCGGTGCCGGGGTCGCGGCTGTAGCGCGCAATGAAGTCGATGGCGGCGTCGCTCGAGTCGGACGTCTCGCCGACGTCGACAACGACCCGCGTTGCGTCGCGGTAGATGCCGCCCATCAGCGCCACCTGCGCGTTGCGCTCGGAGATGTCGTCCTGGTTGATGCACACGGCGTCGACCCAGAGGGCGCGCTGCGAGTCTGGGAGCCGCAGCCGGCGAAGGGCCGAGTGGCAGTTTTTGGTGACAGGCAGGACACGGCGCGCGGTTGATCCGTCGAGGGCGACGATATCGTGCATGTCATCGACATCACCCCATGCGTAGGAGAGGGCGTCATATGTGGGTGCTTCACTGAGCCGGTGCTCGGAGATGGTGATGGTGATGGGCGCTGTTCGGTCATCCGAGGGGTCGAGGTGGAGGAGGCGGATGCGGTCCTTTGACGGGAGAGGCTGGTAAGAGTATCGGATTAGCGGTTCTCGAACATCAAAAGGGCCTTGAGCTTGAGGAGGCGACGGATCGCCTTCTGCAGTTGAGGCGTCATCGGTTGGGGTAGTTGAGGCGTCTCCGGTTGGGGGTGAAGGATGATTGGTTGGCAGAGTCGAGGTAGGCTGGACCGACTGTGCAGCTACATGGGCGCGTTTCGAAGCGCGTTTGGCGAATATATTCCTGAGCGCCAAAAACATGGCGGCGGATTTGCTGTGCTGCGGCGGTTCCTTCAAATGTCGACAACCGCCACCATCCAGTTTCCAACTATCTGTGATATTTCCTCTGTTGCATTCCGATTGAGCAAGGCCCTCGAGGCTCCGACACGAAACGCTGGGCAGTTAGGCAGCTAGGCAGCTACCCCGCCACAGCACTGCCTCGCCCGAGGCAACTGGTGGGGAAGCCCAACTCGGCTGGTTCAATCGTGCCACCAGACCTCGTCATCAAGCTCACTGCAAGGCAATTTAGTAGGCGGGTTTACACAATTGCATCATCATCATCCAATAGTGCAAAAGGATCGGACCATTTTGACTGCACATCACACAGTTTTCACGCTACAACTTCATCGGCCGTCTACCACGGGTGAGTTGAAACGGGGTCTCTCGCAGGGAGGTTAGCAGACATGACACCATGAGTCGTGATGAAAAAAAAAATAAAAAAATAGCGGCTAGCAATAATGAGTTGGGATGTCTGGGAAATTGCAATTCGCGCCTTGACTCGGGGATGTCAAGGGAGAAGCAGACCCCGAGTCAAGGGATAAGCAGACGCTAATGAGGTATTGTTTCTAACCTGCTGCTGTTGTTTTGTTGTTGTTTTGTTGTTGTTTAACTACCGTCTTCCCCTCCTCACAGTTACAAGCTTAATTAATCTCAACCCATCCTGGCGGTACTGCTTGGCCCAGGTCGGATGTTCACGGAACACGCAAGACATTCGGATCCCGCAGCCGCCGACGGGCAGAACGTCTGCGGCAATCCGGAGGAGAGACCTCAGAGTCCGATCGTCCAGCTAGTTCTCCGCTCTTGGCTCTCGCCACACCTTGGCCTTCAAGCGGCTGTCATGCTCCAAATATGCTCCAAATTCAACCGCCTTGTCCTACTCTAAATCAATTTGCCGCTGGCAGGTCGTTGTCGTGTCTTGTGCCCTTGGCAGTCGAGATTTTCCGCCAAGACAACCGTCGACAAAGGCCATGTTGTTGCCCGAATCCGCGTTTCGCATGAGGTGGTGGAAGAACTCGGAAACAGCAACAGGCCATCTCGCGTCTTACAGGACGAACGACAGACCAAACGAGCCTTGGCAGAGAATATAGGCCGCTCTAATTCGCCTCTGCGGTGTTACAGAGTCCGGGATACTGGATTTCGGTCACCTTATCTGCCTCAGCCCTCGGGACCCAGCGCACGTCAACCGCCAGGCCTGGCGGAGGTCCCGTGAGTACGGTAAGACATGCTGCAGAGCTGACAGCGACACGGCAATGATCGGCGCGCCAAGCTGCAACAGAGGCGGCAGGAATGAGGAAAATGGCGGTCAGAGAACAGGGAAGTTGGGAACACAGGCCCAAGGCAGCCAATCTCCCCAGTGGGGAGCAATTTGCGTCCTCTCAGGCAATGGCCCGGCCTGATGACTTGGCCGTGTGTTCCCGAATCCCGACAGCGGCACGCAATTCGGGACAGGGCGCGGAAGGATGCGCAATGAGGGCGACAGCAGGTCGTGAGGCCCGGCCAAGCGTTCGAAGCATGGTCCTTATCTGCCTAAAATCTCCGCTGCTCGCCGTGGACCGCCTTCCGTCGGATCCCCCCCGCACTTTGTCTCTGCATGCTGCGCTGCCACGACTCTATTCGCCTGGGGGAGCCAATCCATCATCCGGGGCTCCTCCCGAGCACCGCCGCCAAGTAGCCCGGCCCTCTTGGCACACGCTGGGCACGCGCTTGGCAGCTTCCCGACGTCTTGGTACCCTGACGATTGGTCGTCGACCGAATGCTGGCACGAATTTCGACCGGGAGGGAGCAGGCACTCCATTTACCTACCTCTCTTCTCGCGGCTTTCCTCAAACGGCCCGCGTCCCTCAGTTCCAGCCGCCGCTCGCCACTCCCTCACAGCCCCGACGACAAAGCGAGAGCGCTGAAATGCACAAATAAAGCCCTCGACCCGCTGCTTGGATTTGGCACATCGTGGCCAGGTCTGTCGCAGTCTGATAGGATTGATCGTTGGGCACCATCAACCTCTGCTCCGCCGTCGCCCAAGCCGCCCAACCGCCTCTTATCGCTGCAGCCTTCAATGCGGCAACCACAACGTCCTTTTCGTCATCGCCAGCACCCCTGACGCCCACCGGCCGGCTTCTGCACCCACGCACCATGACGACAGCGGCAAACGCGGCCGTGAGGGAGAGCCGTCGGCGGTCGACGCCGCTCGACATTGAGCAGGTCAACGTCATGAAGGCCCTCACGGCCGCCGAGTACTCGCGGAGGCAGTTTGTCCTCAATTTTGCCGCTAGCAAGGACACGCGCCTCCTGATCCCCGGCCAAAAGGCCGACGCCATCAAGGCGGCCGAGGAGTCGGTCGTCGTGTGGATGAGCCACAATGGCTTCGGCACCGTCACCAACGAATACTTCAAGTACACGGTCGACATGCGGCTGTGGACGACACTGGGTATGTGCCTCGACTCTGCGCCCGTGGTTGTTACATGACGCTGACGTGCTGTGCAGTCGGCCAAGAGATCGAGTTCCCGTTTGCATTCATGGCCGGGTCCAGCCGCGAGAGCGACGTCGCCGGACGCCCCAAGAGCGAGGCCTTTCCTGTCAGCTACGACGAGGTGTCCCCGCTCGATCTGGTTCCAGTCGAGCGAGCCCCCACGCTGCCGCCCAAGCCGGACCTTCCCGAGGCCCAGAGGCCCCGTCGGCTTTCCCAGCAGCAGCCGGCAGCGCAGCAGTCGCAACAGCCGGAAGCCGCTGTCCAGTCGCCACAGCTGCAGCGGTCGGCCAAGGGAAAGCGTGCAGCTAGTGGCCCCGAGAAGAGAAGCCTGTCGCCGAGCAGCGTCGACGACCTCAAGATGGCCAAGAAGCTAAACCAGGACAAGTTTCCATTTCTGGTGCGTCTAGGCCGGTCGTGGTCCCGGCGCATGTCCTGATCTGGCACCACCTCATTATCGAAACGATGATTTCGTCTCATTTGAACTCGAATGGCAGCATGGGTGTGGACAGGCCGGGGTCATCTGGTTTTACTGGCTGAGGCCAGGCGGTGATAGGCCGTCGTTGAACCGGCTTCGGACCTGACATGGCCTTGGGCCCGGAGAGGGGTTGATGCGGGAGCGAGAGGTGGCGGGAAGCGCGCTTCCTCACGATCCGCGGCCAAGGCAGTGGGCTCCGGTCAGACCGCTGCTGCCGTGTGCGGCCACGTCACGCACCCACCAGACACGGCACGACCCTCTCAAGGGTGTGACGGGAAGCAATATGTTTCGGCTTGGCTTTCTCTTGGCATTGAACACTACTTGGCTGGGCTTGGGGCTTGGGGCTTGGGGCTTGGGGCTTGGGGCTTGGGCTGGGGCAACAACGGCCGCGTTTTGAACGAGTTGACAGTTCATCCACATCGCTGAGACAAAAAAATAGGTTAGCGAGTGTCTCATAGCAACAGCAATGAATCGAATTCAGGCTCTCTCGTCGGCACTTAACGTGGGTGCTTGACACAGAAACATGGTCTTGTCTTGTCTGTCGCTGGATGGTGCTTGCGTGTCGCCGGGCGTTCACCGAATGCCCCGGCGGGGCGTGGCCATGGTCCGAAGTGCACGTCGTCGAAAATGGCTTCCTCGTCTGACTATAAAGGGCGGCTTGCGTTAACGCTGCTGCACTTCCAGCCCTCATCGACATCAATCTCACAACAGCACATCACGTCTATTACCAGCAGCCACTCAATTCAAAAAACACACCACCACCAGTCATTGACATTAAACAGCAACAAAATGAAGACTGCCACTATCGCCTCCCTCTTTGCATTCGGCTTCGTCACGGCCGTCGGTGCTGATGGTAGCAACTGCTTTGGCGGTGGCCAAGAATTCCCCAGCGATATATCGCCGGTGAACTCTGAGATTGATGGTTTTTGTAAGGCAATTGATAGGGAGGCATGACGAATTGATAGGGAGGCATGACTCTTAGGGAGGCATGAAAATCCCGGTCGTTGATTGGCCCAATTTTTATTGTTAGTGCAAGTGAATTCTGCCACCAACCTTCCGAAGTCCTGTCTCAACTGACCCACAGAAGCTGCCCAGAGCTCCCTTCAGCTTGACGCGTTAAATCCAATGCACGTAACGAAGCGAAGCCATCACAAGCCCTCTTGACGAAGAATCCCTTGCTTTGCCAATATGGAAACCCGTTCGAGTCGCCATTCGAAGCGACAAGTAGGGAGCGATGATCTTGACGATCAATCGCATTCTCGGAAGCGCCAACGAACCAACAACAATACCCCACGATCCGACCCTTCGCCCTCGCGATCGGCCGTAAGCCAAAGCTCCAGTATCGGGCAATGGTACGGCATTGGGGATGAAGATGTATTGAGCAACCTCTTTGCTTCTCACCCGGAAACGTTTACTACTGTCCCACGCCCCCACGGATCACGCGGGCTCCATGCGCCCACGTGGCAGTTGCGATCCGACTATAAGCTTTACTTTTCGAACGATCTCCCTAGACCGGGGGGGCGATCGATGCAAGTCACGATACCGATACCCGGGCCAGAGCCTGATTTGCTGGCCAGTTCCTCTCCCGAACCAAGCCAGCAATCCAACGGACCTCTCTCTCCTCGGACGCAGTTCCGATCTGCCCTGCGATTGGTCCGAGAGGTCATCGGCGAGGAGCGTCGGCTCACTCAGGAATGTATCCGGTCTTTCGAAAGAGTATGCGCCTGGCGTGAGAAATGGGGTTGGTCGCCGGCTGATTCCGATACACTCGACAGCCCTCCGCCGTATTCGCCACCTCGCTCGCCACCTCGCTCGCCTGGAGCCGATCCAGCCAGCAGTACATCTCCGAACCCAAGCTCAACTTCTGCCCTCTCTGCCTCGCCGGCTCCGCCTTCGATCCCCAACCCACCTATCCCAGGTAACCCTGCACCTTCAGCGGAGGTTCTCTTTGGCTTGGTCAATATATTTGCCAAAGCTAATGGCTTTGGCATTGTTCGGCGACAAGGATATTCATATATGGGTCGGAGGATCCGATACTCGTTCCAATGCGATCGGTTTGGAGAGCCAAAACCCTCTCGCGGTGCAGGACTACGGGAGCGAAAGAGCAGGAAGTGTGGCTGTCAGTAGATAGTCATCGCCGAGGCTCTTCAAGAGGGGGAATGGCTTTTACGCCAGCATACAGATACCAAGCACAACCAGCATAACCATGGGCCAAGTCTTAATGCATCTGCACATCCGGTACACCGACGGCTCGGTGATTCCGTCAAGGCAACCATTGAATCGTCAAGTCGTCGAGTCGGTATTCGGTCTCGGGATATTCGAGCTATCGTTCAGGAACAGCATCCTGATTCGGTTTTTACTCGCCGAGATATTTAAAATGCTCGGTCTCTTATCATCCGAGAGAAACTGGGAGGTCACACTCCTACCGCAGCCCTCATCAAGCTGTTCGATTAGAAGGAGATCCCATACTTGGTCAAATGGGCCGACGAGGACCCAGACCGACCCGTCGGGCTTGTCTGGACCTTTCCATACTGTATCCAAACGTGGCAGCGATTCCCTGAAGTAATCAGCTTCGATAATACCTACAATACCAATTGCTTTAAGCTTCCCCTTTTCCAGGCGACCGGTCAAACCTGCCTCGGCACGGTCTTCAATGCCGCATTTGGCCTAATTGATAACGAGAGGCGCGAAGCATTCCAGTTCCTTGCAGAGAGTATGCGACAATTGATGGAGCAGCATTCCATCCGGCAGCCCGACGTCATCATTACTGATTTTGACGATGCGATGAAGGCTGCATTGGATCACCAATTCCCCGAAGTACAGCAACAGATCTGCATCTACCATATCAATTCCAATGTCCTTCTTCGGGCCAAACAGCGATAGGTTAAGGATCAGCTTTCGTTTAGCAGCAGTAGTAGTAGCAGCAGCAATCCTTTCCCTTCTTCCGATTCTGCCGACGACACTCCTGCCCCCTCTCAACCACCCCGGCTCAACAACCGGGACAGGCAATTAGTCCACGCATCAGCTCCTGATACCATCCCACATACTTACCAAGGGGTTTTGGCGATGTGGAAGTTGGTTGTATTCGCTGAAAGTGAGGAAGGGTTTGAAAAGGCCTGGGCGAATCTTTGCAAGGAATTTGACGACCAACGAGTCATCTTGCGGTACCTCTACGGGACTTACATGCCCGTTAGAGCGCAATGGGCACGCTGTTTTATTCGCAAGTATCGCAACTTCGGCATTCGCGTTACGTCGGGTACGGAAGCAAGTAATAATAACGTCAAGAGTTACCTTTTGAATGGCATGAGTCACCTATATCGCCTTTTCGAGGCGATGCAGGACATGATTGTCGACCAGGAATGGGATTTTTTTGATGCCTGTGCAGCGGATGAGGTGCTCACGGCACGTAGCAACCGAGGCCCAGGCGCTGAGTATTTAGGCAGTTTGTCGGGGGTGATATCGTCGAAAGCGCTGGGGTTAATTACTGAACAGTATCGGCTGGCGTGGAAGGCAATGCCGACGGGGAGGGTTCCTCGCCCAGCCCCGCTAGGTGATTGTACGGATGATTGCTCGGTCTCGACGGAACTTGGGATCCCTTGCCCGCACACGATCTACGCCAAGCTTACAGACGCCGGCGCATTCACCGAGTGGGAGGTTCACCCACGATGGCACTTGCGACAGTCCACATCTCGCAATCCTTACCGGCGAATCCTCGACCCAAGGATTGCAACCAACCTCCGTGGCAGGCCTAAGAATACCAAGGAGCCAATTCCGTTGCAGCTTACAGTCCGGGCGCCAGATCAATCGAGGTCCCAGCCCGCTAGCCAGGCCAGTCAAGGTCGACGGGGTCGGCCGCGAGGGAGCCGGAATAAGTCGACGCTGGCTCGGCTGGCGCTGGAGGAGGGCCAGGAAGAGAGTAGCCAGGCGAGCATGCCATCCCCGCGCAGGACACGAAGCCAGTCGGCCTTACTAGGGGCTGGGAACACGACAGGCGCCCGCGCCAGCGGTCGTAGGTTACAACCCAGCATTCGCAGGCGACGGAGCCAGTGGGAGATGTTGAGTGATGATGTAAAGAGGTGACGGCTGTAAATTATAACTTCGGGTCGCTCTTTCCTTAGTATTATAACTTATATACGTAACCGAAAAACCTACTAATTTACTTCACGGGCTCGAGCTGGAGTTTTAGTCTTTAAAGTTGCCTCCCTCGATGCCGACCGTTTTTGAAGTCTGTAAGTCGGGCTCGAGCCCGACCTGCGTACCTAAAACTGCTTTAGGCATGTTAACCGAACTGGCTTCAACGCTTTTGGTGGGGGAGTCCTGCACTAATAATAAAAATTGGGCCAATCAACGACCGGGATTTTCATGCCTCCCTAAGAGTCATGCCTCCCTATCAATTCGTCATGCCTCCCTATCAATTGCCTTTTGTAATACCGATATTGACTTATCACAGTCGAACACTGACGGGAGCTTTAAGTCCACATGCATTCCGATCAACAACGTCGACACGGCCCGATCGATACAAGTCACCACCTCCAACCGCAAAGACTTTAAAAAGACCCTGGTTGCTGCTGATTGCAAAAGTGGATTGAAAAATATAGTTACCGATTGCAAACACGGCGGCAACTTTGAGGACAATGCAAATGGGTTTCACTTCAAGTGAGTACCTCGCCTACTGCAACAGTTTCGAGTCTGCTCAAAACGTTTTGCCATCTCTGCCAGGAGCGCACCGCTCTTCCCCGACCCTCTTGTATCGTGCTAACTTGTCGTTTTTGTAACAGGGCCGACCCCAACATTAATGCATGCTAAGTCTATCATATGGCTGGCAGATATTTCAATCCGTGTCATGGTGTGCAGCTGGTCTTGCTTCCGAACGACATCCCCGTTGTGCGTTCCCTAGGGTGCAGATTCTCAGTTGGCCAAGAACTCGGGATGGTAACACATTCTTTTGGTAATACTCGCATTGGTGGTCGTCCTGGTCTTCGTATTTCGCTTTGCGCAGCTTCCAGACTCTCCGAAGGTCCGGTGCAACACATTCGTTTGGCATAACGTTAATTAGATCTGAATTTAACACTCGGGGATAATGTAAACAGTTGTTCCAGATTTTAATAAATTGCAATCTTGAGTCATCTTTCACCTGCCTGATGTGCACTGCAACTTCGCTGCTCCCCCAGATGTTCGGATGGGGCGTGATCACTGCAACTTTATCGAGGAAGGAAATAGCAGTTGACTCGCTTTGCCTTTACGCTTCCCATCAGCGATGACTCGAGGTTGCATTGCCCAGCCCCGCAAATCCCAACTGTTTCACTGCCCCACCTCACACTTCACTGCCCCGCTTGACCCGTGCGGCTGCGTGTTGGGTTGCCGTTGGCGGGAGTCACCACCGAAAACAACCAACAGTCCAGCTGTCCAAGACTCTCACCTTCGTCGCCATCACATCTGCACCGGAATTAATCTGCAAAAATTGACCTGCACTCAAGCTACACTTTACCTGCCTCACCATCCTCGAGCAATCGCCGCACCATCCTCACAATGAAGAACAACTCTTACCTGAATCAGTGCCTGGAGCAGGCCGCGCACTCGCCCCTGCGCCAGCGCCACGGCTGCGTCGTCGTCAAGGGCGGCAAGATCATCGGCCGAGGCTTCAACGACTATCGCCCGGGCTATGACGGGCGTGCGCTCAACACTAGCCCCAATGTTGCCAGGAAGCCCAATGCCAAGACATCTGACCCCTGCGGCTCAGATTGTCCTGGAATTTCTGACGGTGGCATCCAGCAGGCCAGCACCTGCCTCAGCATGCATGCCGAGATGATGGCAATCGACGCCGCCCTCGCATCGAGCAGTGCCGGTGCCGCCAGGTCAACATCGCGCATTAAACAGGGCCTCAAATTATCGGGTCGCCACACCAAACCCCAGGGATTGCCCCGCAGTGTCCAGGCCTACGTCGAGCGCGTGTGCCTCGAGGCGCTCGAGTCGGGCGTTCAACCGGACTCCGGCGCGCCTCAGGCCGACGGGTGGCGTTTTGAAGCCGCTCCACCTCGATGTGACGCTGGGGTCTCCGACACCGAGTCCGAATCAGAACCGGAATCAGAACAAGAGCAAGAGAACCAAGACCAAGGGCTCTAACACGCCCCCGGAGTCTACGAATGCATTCTTGTCGAATTTGCCATCTTCAGGCCCAAAGACAACACCCATTTCTCCCACGAGAACAACAAATGCCACGATTTCCGCAGTTCAGGTCAGCCACTCATCCCCTCTAGATTATAACGTGGACATGTCGGCCAACATCGAGCAGCCGCAGGACGCGCTCCGGTCACGCAAGCACATTCTCGTGCCTACTGGCCATGCAAAGCGCGCGTCGCACACAGTCCTCGACCGCATGAAGCACCCCAAGCTCGTCGGCGCCGATATCTACGTTGCCCGCCTCGCCCACACCAAGCTACAGACACCGGACCTATCCTTATCCCCGCCCGACGCATCGCCGTCGGCCGATTGCTGCCCGTCGCCAGCTCGGTCTGTCGCTTCAACATCAACAGCTGGCTCGCTGCACGACGAGCTGACCTTCCCAACGGCGCGTGCGCCATTGTCTGGTTCGCCAGGAGACCGCCACCCGCCATACCCTTCTGCTGTCGACTCTCGCCCGTGCTACCGCTGCGTCTCGTACATGCACTGCGCGGGCATCAAGCGCGTGTTCTGGACCAACGGCGAGGGCGGCTGGGAGTGTGCCAAGGTGCGCGATCTCGTCGACATGCTGGACGGGTCCGCCAGCGAGGGAATGGCCGGGCTTGGTGTGTTCGTGACGAAGCACGAGGTATTGAATCTGAGGCGGATGCTGGGGAGCTGAAGGCAAGTATCCTGTGTATTTTAGGCGTCCGCACCGAAGCTAATTTGCCCTGTCTACTCGTCAGACGCGCCTCGAACTAATTATCGTCATATTGAATCCTGCATGTGCATCTACTAGCCGTTGTTGATCTTTTGGCCGTTGGGCTCCCTTGACCAACGGCGTGCAATCAAATGCATTCACCTACCACGCATCGCTTGACCTTCCGAGGATACACTGGTGCTGCATGCAATCATGAATTGCCATGTCGCCCAACAAACATGGCTAGCTTCCATTTAACTTGACTGCAACGCGCTGGAGGGTGGACGAGTTTGGGTGTGCATAGCCTGTTCGACTTCCATGTCAAACAACCTATTCGGGATAAAGTCTCTGCAGCCAAGATAGCGTGCGCACGATGAATCGGCACAACGGTTATCCGAATTTGGCCCCGCGTAGGGCATGTTTGGGTGCGCTTGCCTCGCACTACTGCAGCCTCTGTTGGAGACGCCATCGGATCGTGACTTCCAATGTTCGCCAGCGCCCGAAACGGAAGGACCCAAAAGAGTATAACCCCCCCCCCCCCCCTCGCTTTCAATTTTCCCCTCATTTCCTTTCGCGTCAACCGAACTCTTCAATCTCAAGTTGTCGGACAGAGAGCAAACCGAAGACAAACACTGCGCTCCTCAGTCGCCGACTACCATCTTATCTCAATCTTCCACCAGCCTGTAAAAGCGAGGCCTGACGTCGCCGTCCGTCGCATTGATGCAGGTTTGGATGGCAGCTAGCCATGCGCAAGTGTAGAGATGCAGAGCAGTGGTGCACTAGGAATCGACCCAATGAATGTCCCGCGCCGAACGAATGGTTGTCAATTCAGCATGCAGTTTGTCATCCTGGATCGACTGTTGGCGCTCCTGCGAGTCGTAGGGCAGCAGCGCCGTTGTTCGGGCTGAAACCCGGGGATCGGAGCGGGAAAACGGCAGACGAACCCTGGCGTCCGATTAAGCTCGCTCCAAAAATAGGAACCCCAACAGTCTCACATACATGGCGCGCATCAGAGACGATCCCGTCGTCTTGGCCCCAAGTTCCAACTGCCGTGGCTTGTGGCTCTCACCTCAGCTCTGCAGGAGCTGACTGAGCTGTGCCGCGGAACAAACCGCCAGGAGAAGCGCCGATTGACAGGACCTCGGCCCACCTCATCCGACGAAACTTCGCTGCCGGCAAGACACAGTCTCGACCCGTAACGCGCGCCATGGCCTCCCGGCTCACTTTTGCGGCTCCGATTGGGGCCGGTTGCGACCTGCGAGCGAACACCGCGCTTGCCCCGTGACGCGCCCACAGGATCGCAACGGCAGCAGCTGCCACTTTGACAGTCTTGACTGGGATTCGGCCCGCGTAGGTACGTGGACAGGGGCAAGTGGCGGTGTTGCAGTTGGCGCCTTGCTGGCGCTCCTTGGGGGCAACAGCAGTGGACGCACACCGTGTGCACACGGTCCACGTCGGCGGGTTCCCCTCACCTGCCCCTGTTCGCTGCAGGTACCAACGGCGCTCTCACAAATCAGCGGCCAACTGTCCCTGGAAAGCGGGCCTGACCGCGCTTGGCCGCCCGTGCCCCGAACAGTGCGACCTCCCCGCCACCCCCTCGCCTCTGGTAGGAAGTCAGCCCGAAAAAGAACAGGGAAAAAAAATTCAGATTTAAGGCTGCTGGGCCGCACCAGCACCACCCGGGATTTTTCTGTCCGCACCCACGTTCCTTACACAGCCGGCCCGGCCTGTATATCCATTCTTTTCCCCGGAATCGCATCTCTCTCTCTGCCGTGACTGTGTCAGGCCACTCTTTTGAGCATTGTCCCTCATTTCAGCAGTCTCTAGACAGACGCACATTCATTCAGCATTGAGCCCATCCAGCGGCCGATCCCATTCCTTGGACAGCTAGTTCTGGTTCCCTCATTTGTTCCCTTTCTCAAGACAGTCTTTCACGTCTCTCAGACCTCTCAAGGCCAGCCGTCCAACTCGTTTCGTTCCTCCAACTGACCGACAGACATGCAAAGATGCACGCCTCAAGCGCCCTCGTTTTCCCCGTCCTCGCTTTCGCGACTGCCGCCGCGGCCACCGGTGCCTGGGTCACTCCGCACGATAGCTACTCGTCCTCGGTCGGCGTGCTCGGCTGCAAGATCAACACGGATCGCGTAGCCTACTGGCCCGGCTCTGTCGACTGCAACAACATCTGCGTCAAGCTGACGTACGGCAGCCGTTCAGTCCACCTGCTGCGCATCGACCAGTCGGGTGGCGCCTACGACATCAGCTACGATGCCTGGAACTACCTGCAGACGGGCAGCTCCGCCACGGCCGACCCCATCGCGGGCGGGACCGTCGCCATGGATTACCAGGAGGTGGACGCGTCCGAGTGCGCCGACCTCATCTACACCCCAGGCTCCAAGCTGCCGCTCAGCGCCGCCAACAGCATGAACTTTGTCGCGAGCTGCCTCTCGCAGCCAAACAGCTGGGTTGCCAAGAACTACGTCCTGTACAACATCTGCGACGCCATCTGCACGCTGGGCTTCGACGAGACGTGTTCGCTCGACCTGGCGACCAGCAACCAGCCCAGCTGCCCCCACACGCTGGGGCTGACCAACACGCTGACCTCGGCGCCAGTCTACAACATCCAGTACATGACTGGCAAGACTGTGGTGGCAGGCACGGGCCAGGTTGTGGGCTCCCATGCCAAGGAGGGCGATGCCTCTCCCCCGGCGCAGTCCACTCCAACTCAGGCTCCCGCGGCCCCGGTCCAGGCCGCTCCCGTCCAGGCCCAAGCTGCTCCCCCGGTCCCGCAGGCGCAGGTTCCCGCTGCCCCTGCGAGCGAGTCCGAGAAGAGTGCCCCAGGCACGACTTCCACCAGTTCCAGCACCTCAACAACCCCGACGCCCGCAATCTTCAAGGAGGTCTCCAGCACCAAGCCTCCTGCCCCAAGCACAACCGTGCCCAGCGCTGCCCAGGCGGATACCGTGAGCTCTACCACCTCTCAGCTCTCCACGGCGGCACCGGTTGCCCCGACCACGAGCCAGGCCCCCACGAGCTATACCCCCACGAGCCAAGCCCCCGCTAACCAGACCACTTCCCAGGCCGCCTCCCTCCAGGCTGCTGCCAACCCAAGCGCCGTCGAGTACACAACGACCTCGACGACAGTGGACCTCCTCCCGGCCTCGACCACCTTTGCGGTCGTGACCGTCGCGGGCAGCCGCAACAACACACTCGGCACGTCGAAACCGACCCTCGTGCCCGTGAATGCTGCGCATCGGGGGGCGGGTGGTGCGGCACCGGCGCTGGCGCTCGTCGCAACAACACTCTTTTGCGCGCTTCTCGGCGCAGCATTGTAAGACAGCGAAGGAACTCGCCGCAACACATATCATTCAAATGTACATATTATCTTTTTGCATTGTACTCGATGTAAGGAAAAGGCCTTTTAGACGGGAAAATACATACCACGGCCCCAGTGCCGGCGATCTAGACCCTCTCGACTGCTGACTGACTACGCCAAGACCCGAGTGACATCGTGCCCATGAACTCCCTGCCCTGCGAAGCAATCGTTGCCGAGCTTGGTAATACGGTGGTGCGCAATAATCATCGACACAGCGTCCAGGTGTCTGCCGCTTCTGCCATTGGCGTCGCTGTCGGCACAGACAACTCGGCTGACGTCAAGACACTCTTGGCTGTCGAGCTACTCGAGGTAGGTAGGCTGCTTGCGCTGCCCTTGTCGACCCCACAGCTCGTAGGCGAGCAGGTGGGACAGCGCCGCCAGCTGAGGCGGATGAAGCCAAACTCGCGAATGATTGTGCCGAACTGGCCGGGTGGCTTGGTAGACTGGGTGCTGGCGGTGCTGGTAGTGCTCGTGGTGCTGGTATTGGCGTAGAGGACCGTGGTGGTGGTGGTGTTGGAGTAGCTGACAGTGGTGGTGTTGGCGGATCTGACGCTAGTGGCGATGGTGCTGGCCTCCTGCGTTGGTGTAGCTTCAGAGACTGGCGTGGCTTCAGACACTGTGGAGGCTTCAGACAATGTGAAGGCTTCAGACAATGTGGAGGCTTCAAACACTGTCGATGTTTCAGACAATGTGGAGGCTTCAAACACTGTCGATGCTTCAGACACTGTCGAGGCTTCGGACACTGTTGGGGCCGACACATCTTCTGCTAGACATGTCGAGGCGTCTTCGGCAAGACATGCTGGGGCAAGCGAGAGAATGGCAGCGAGCAGGAGTCTGTTGATCGAGTGGCTGAACTTCATGATGGCAGGGTGAATTGGTACAAAGAAAACAAAAAGAAAAATAAAAATAAACTGCTCCAGGATGGCCCTTTTATCACCAGTCGTTCTGCAGTCCGTCATGCCCTCCAGTTCTGGCCGAGGTGCCTTGGTCCATAAATAGCATGCCAATGCGGCTATAGCGGCCGGGTAGATTAACTTATATCGACGACCCGGCGGTCGCCCAATCGCCTCGCAGCGCGGCAGTAGTTAGTCGCCTTGCCCCGGAGCCATCAAGGCGAGATGCAACGATTGCCGTCCCAGCCAGCGGCACCCTATGCAGCGGACTGCGGAGACAGCCTCCCGGGCTCCAAGGGCGTACTGATGCAGCCAACAAAACCCGGAATAGGAATTGTGTCTGTTGCCACCGGGTAAATTGCGCGAACCGGCTGAAGCCTGTCTCTGGGTCTGGCTCCGTCATTTTCAATTCTTGACCAGCGGCCATTTCTCGAGTGGCAAACCCTCTTCTGCTGCCTTCCTCCGACTCTGGCTGCTGCTCGCGCGCGTTGCCCGTTCCACTGACCGAGATGGCGAGCTATTCCCTCACACCACCACGACTATGGAGCGCCACGCACGACACCGCTGCATCGAGAGCCAGTAAGACGCCGGTCTCCGACACGTGCGCCAGCTAGCCGTCTAAACTCCATACGATATCCCACGTGCCGGGCGCAGCATGCTGAGCATAGTCTCAATTATTACTGTGAACAGCATCTGTCTTCAAAAGCTGATTTCGATTGAATGTGAGCTTCCAGTGTCTACATAATCAGTCGGACCCAGGAGGCATCTGACGGTGAGGTTCCGGCTTCATCTCAAACAGATCACCCAGTTCTGTCGTCTGTCGGCTGTATAACCTGTTGGTCATCTTCCGCTCGAAACCATCCCGTTGCTCGGCATCGGCCCGGATTCTACGTCATGCTCTTCTCCCTCCGTCTCGCCGCCCTCGTGGCCGTGGCCGCCTCGGTGCAGGCGAACCCCAACATGGTCCCCGACTACGAGGTCAAGCTGTTGCTGAACCCGACAGCGGTCCTCGGATCTGACAACAAGCTCACGAGCGCCGTGCGGTCGGCGTTTGGCATGCCGACGTCGGTCACCAAGATGAACGTGCAGTTCCTCGACAAGAGCTCCAAGGAGATCTACAACGCCGGCTGGAGCCCGCGCATCCGCAAGATAGAGGGCGCCAGCGACTTTGAGCTGACGTACAAGAAGCGCTACAACATTACGGGCGGCGACATCGACGCCGCCCTCACGACGGCCAACGCCGAGGGCTTCGATGTCGGCGACACGGGCTACGACGCCCAGGTTGAGTGGGGCTACACCAAGCAGACGCTTTCCATCAGCCGCCAGAAGACGGGCTCCGGCTCCGGCTACAGCGGCATGGACCTGCCCGGGACTAGCAATTCGCGCGACATGTTGATCGACGAGGCGCCCGACAAGTTCGACGACTGGCTGTTTAACAACTGGGGCACTGGGGCGCTCGCTGTGGCGCGCACCTTCGGCCCCGTGCTCGCCAAGCGGTCCGTCGGGTCCTGGAGCGGTCTTGAGCTGTATATCGAGGTCTGGCCCATCCGCGACGCTGCCGGTACGGGGATAGAGTACGTTGTCGAGGCCTCGTTCAAGACGGGCAGCCGCACCACGGCTTCGGCCAAGCACGACAGCCTTATCGCCTACCTGCAGGGCCAGGGCTGGTTCTTGGCGCAGGACTCGCTGAAGACGCAGCTAATCATGGACCGCTACTGACTGTTTGCTCTGGGAACGAAAAACTGTATATATCTTCGGGCCCATATTTCAGCCTCAGGTACAGCCATGATGCCTTGAATGGCAATATTCTTTACAAGCTGCAGCAATCTCTTCAAAAAGGCAGATCCATGAGCGCCAGCTCAGGCCAGTGCTGTGACAGATTGAGCTTCTTGTTCACGGGGGCAGGCGCTTCCGCGACGGCCTTCATCATACTGATCGGGAACAGCCAGAAACCAAACGCAGGCCGCACCGCTCTGTCGAGGTCCTCGGGCGGCACCCTGTCGGCGGGCGGCGGGTCGTGGAGCCGCTCCTTCAGGAGATCGCCAAACGGCGATCCCGCCGAGATTTTGGGCGGATACCTCCACTCGCTCATCGGCCTCCGCCACACGTCGTCTTCCTTCTCGAGAAACCTCTCGGCCCTGACGCGGCTCGTGACGTCGCCGTCGCTGCCGAGCGTCGGGTCAAAGGCCATCAGGCAGCGGTACTCGATCTGCGGCGCCGAGATGGCCCACCGCGCCAGCAGCTCGCGCCACAGGCGCACTGCGTCGAGGCCGATGAACAGGCGCACGTACATCTTCGTCCCGAGGTCGTCCAGAACCTCGCGCGGGTCGCGGCGCAGGCGCTCAAACGCCGCCGTTGCCGCCATGACGGGCAGCGAGCGGTTGAAGTGGCGCTCGCCCGTGAAGCCGCTCTGCCAGCCGTCGACGATGCGGCCGGCGCGGATTTCGGACACGAAAAACACCTCGTCGAGCTGTGCGAGGGTGTCCCGGAACGCTTCTCGCGCGTCGGGCTCGAGGTCCGGGGGGTGGACCTGGTAGAGGTCGTTGGCGTTGAGGCTGTTGACGTCGACGGCGAGGTTCAAGAGGCCGACGCGGCGTGGGTCGTAGCTAGTCTTGAGGCGGACGAGAAACTCGATCAGAGTGTTCTTGACCGCCCACTGCGACGAAATCATGAGGAAGTCGTGCTCGGGGTTGAAGTACAGGGTGGACAGTCGGCGAGGTTGGCACGGCGTGCTGCCGGTGCCCGGGAGGACGAGCTCGCAGGGGATGCGGACGCGGTAGTGGGCCAGCGCCTCGGCCCTCGCCTCGCAGCTGACGCGCATCAGCTTGCTGACTGTCTGGTGTCCGGCGACGAGGGCCACGAACGGCGCGTCCTCGGCCGCGGTGGGCGCGTCCGTGTCGAGGTATTCCTTCCACTCCCTGAGCAGCACGCGGATGATGCGCTGGCGCTGCAGAGCGCACCGCCAGATCTTGAGGCGCAACTCGGGCGGAAGCGACGGAAATTGCGGGAAGGCCGGCGATGCGACATCCGCGACCGGGAGGGTGGGCGGCTGCCCGAAGATTTGTAGGTGCGGTTTAGGCGCCATGTCTAGATACGACTTGGTCAAGAGGGAAGAACTCGAAAGAAACGGGAAGAGGGAGTTTCATTGAATTTCGGGGGGAGACCGGGTGAGCTGTCTTGGGATATAATTAAGGTGATTACGTGGCGACACGAATTGATTATCAGGAAAGGTGGCGCAGTCCTCGGTTTCAGCAAATGAGATGCCCGCCAAAGGATCGAATGCGCCAAAGGATCGAATGCGCGAAAGGATCGGATACGCAGCAACGGTGGGCCAGCGACACATCCGAGCCTCGGGCTCCACCGGTTTGTAATTGCCTGTGACGATTGGCAGACTGAGCCTGAGGCTTTCCAGTTTCAGGCTGTGTCGCTCAGCAGCGACCGCCGTGCCTTGCGTGAGAATGATAATAGCACACCCTGGGCTCGACGTGGCTGCTCTGCAACCGAGTTCCCATCGACGAGCAATCCGAATGTTTGATAAATTCTCCGTCCCTGTTCAGACATCATCACGGTGCTGGTTCTAGATGTCGAGAGTTTGGCCATTCTCATATATAAAGCCACCAAGGTGCTGAAATTGGAAGGTCTTTACTTTAGTTAGTCAAACCATTTCCACCTTCTCTGCTCATCCGATTTCCCGCCGAGGTGCGGAAGTCCATCGCCACAGCAGCAGGGCTTACACAAATAATTATTGAACAACAAGGATAAGAAATCGACGTTTTCGGCTCTGTCCGGCTCAGACGAGAAGATTTGCAATGGTGAGCCCAGGCAATCCTCCTTCAGATACTTCCAAGACTGCTGACCGATGGTTGCGACCTCACCACCAGGCAAACCCACCACCCCATCGCTCTAGACAGCTACAGGCAGGCCCATCCGGACTTGCTCCTGGGTCTTCCCGTGCACAGCAACAGCGCCGCGAACCACCCAGAGGTTCCCTAAAGTCGTTGCCTTTGATCTAGAGTGAGTGGCTAGAGTTATTCCGTGTTCCTTCACGTCCATGCTAACAAATGGTTCGTCATAGCAACGTTGTATGGGCGGGCGTCCTTGACCGCACCAAATTTGGGAGAAATGGGTTTATCGATCCAGACCGACCATGGGAGAATGCCGCGGTAATTAATCCGCATGGCCCCGCGGGGGCAAATCCCGATCTTGAAGAATTGGGAGGCGTTGGATGACTTCCAGAAATCACCGAGCGGTACATCAAGATGCACAGGAACACACGTGCCCAGTGGAGGAAGCACAATGAACCGGTGTCCAAATAATCTGAGTGATGAGAGATGGGGGACCTGGCTGTCGCCCACGAGATTGGTCTAAGAATTGGGCCGGGCCAGCTCGCAATTGAAGCCTCGGGGCTGGTGCCTGTGGCGGAGAGTCTCGACAGGGGCGGGAACGAGGATCAGAAAGCTCCATGCCGGTGCTCGCTGGACGAATGTATTGTGTTGCATGTGTTGCATGCGATCGAAGTGGACAGCGCATTGAATTACCTGGCTAAATAGGTCTAAGAGTACAGAAAAGAACGCTTCCTTATACTCGTTGAGAGAGAGAAAGGGAAGTGTTGCAATCAGCCCGAAATGAGGGCATTCCGAATGAAATGAGGGCATTCCGAGGCCAAGAATGAAAGAAAAATAAAGGATGAAGGAAGTACAGAGGCATGCTAACCAGGGCCTGAAAAATGTGGTTCAATTCCTTGAAAAGTGGGTCGATTCCGGGCGAAATTTTGGCAGGCACAATCGCCGGGAGACATTGGGGCTGGCCCCTAATTATTTCTCGATGAGCCTTTCGTTGGCGAGCCCAGCGGCCAGAACAAAAGAGCATAATCGCAGGGCAGGGACTTCTGCAAAATGAACTCGGTAGGGAAGTGGGATGGTTTATAATAGAATCCACTGGGGCGCTGGCCTAGACCATTTTCACCTATTTTAGCCAAACACGGGACAACAGGCCCTTTCACGTCTTGCAGTCCCACCGGCCCAGCCAGCAATCATTCGGGAATTGTGACTCTAGACATAATTACACTACATGGCCTGCCCGAGCCTGGAACTAGTTGCTGGCGGTGCGAGTTGTCACCGAATTTCCGGCCTGGCTATTGGCTCAAGTAATGGGAATGTGGGTCCGGATGGAAACTTTCGCAGGAACCCTAACGACAAGGGGCGACTCTGTATTCCGTAGCGGTTGGCGTAGATGCAGGGTTTTGGCGGCCCGCTTTTTGGTTTTGGCTGCATCCCTGACGGATTGGCCATTTGACGAACCAACGACGGCTCACGACGCGACATTCATCACTGGCCGCCAACCAAGCTGCGCCAACTCTGCCCAACAAGGCAATGACCGGCCTTAATGTCGCCTTCTACCTGTACCCATGCGGGCTGTTTGCGACTCTGGCGGCATCCGAGTCAATTGACTACTTCCGCACGCGCGCCCGGCGCCAAAAGAGCGCTGGCCCCGGCCCTGCCGAAGCCGCGAGTGCCAACGACAAAGCCGCCGACGCAACCCGCCGCCTGTACGCTCGCCTAATCTGGCTGTGCCAGGGGGTGTTGGCCATCTTGCTCCTCCCTTCCATCGTCCTCGTCATTCGCGATGCTGTCGCCGGGCCGCAGGTCGGCGGTTTCCCCTACAGCGCCTACCTGGCTGCCCACGTCGCCGTGATGCTCTACTTCCTCGCCGGCCTGCTCCCCAACCCCGACGGCCCGTGGTCGCCCACTGCTTCCCACTGCTATTCTTGGCTGGTCGGCGCACTGCTCGAGGCGGTCATCGCAGCCCTCTTCGGCATCCAGCGAAGCCGTATCGACGCGCCGCCAGAGCTCCTCGACGCCTTGGCCGCTCTGGGCCTGGCCCGAATCGCCGCCTTGGTTGTCATGATCGCCCTCCTGGTGCGCCGCCAGTACGCCCTGCGATCTTCCCTCGCTTCTTCGACTCCCGGCGAGCGCCAGGGGCTTCTTGAAAACGGCCACGCGCCGGCCCGACCGAAGCCGCGAGACGCCCAGGACTCGGGGTGGCTCGACTACATCGCCGGATTCCGCGTCCTTTTTCCCTATCTGTGGCCCAATGATTCCCGCCTGTATCAAGCCGTTGTCCTGGTATGCTTGGTGCTGCTGATCTGCCAGCGTGTCGTGAACCTGATGGTGCCGCTGCAGCTGGGCGTGCTGGTCAAGTCCCTCGGGTACGGCCGCATTCCGTATCGAGACATGGTTCTTTACGTCGTCTACCGGGCCCTGCAGGGCAACCAGGGCGCCATCGGAGCCGCCCGCTCCGTCCTTTGGATTCCTGTCTCGCAATCTCTCTTCCGCCGCCTGTCGTGCGCCGCCTTCGAGCACGTGCTGGGCCTCTCCCTTGACTTCCACCTCAGCAAGAAGATCGGCGAGGTCACCAGCGCCCTCAGCCGCGGCGCTGCCATGAACAGCTTCCTCGAGAACTTTGTCTTCCAGGTCTTCCCCATGATCTTTGACATCTTTGTTGCTGGCGTCCTGTTCTTTGTCAAGTACGACGCCTTCTACACCATCATCGTCTTCTCCATCATGTGGTCGTACATATTCCTTACCATCTACATGGCCAAGTACCGTGGACGCGCCCGGAGGGACATGGCTCTCAAATCGCGCGAAATGGACGCCGTCAAGACGGACGCCATCATGGCCTACGAGACTGTTCAGCACAACTGTGCCGTCGGCCCCGAGACGGAGCGTTTCAACGGCCACGTCGTCATCTACCAGAGGGCCGAGCGGCTGGTCCTGTGGTCGCTGAACGGGCTGAACCTCACGCAGAGCTCCATATTCTCCGTCGGCACCGCCATGCTCGTTGCCGTATCGGCCTACAAGATTTCGAAGGGCCAGCAGACCGTGCCCGAGTTCGTGACCCTCATCGCCTACTTCACGCAGCTCCAGGCCCCCCTGAACTTCTTCGGCACCTACTACACCATGCTGCAGAACAACCTGATCGAGGCGGAGCGCATGCTAGACCTGTTCAAGGAGACGTCGGGCGTCGTCGAAAAGCCCGACGCCACCGAGCTCGTCAATCCTAGGGGCGAGGTCGAGTTCCGCGACGTGAAATTCGCCTACCAAGACAAGACCAAGCCCGCCCTCGACGGCATCAGCTTCAAGGTGGCCCCCGGTACCAAGACGGCCATCGTCGGGGAGTCGGGCAGCGGCAAGTCGACCTGCCTCAAACTCCTCTTCCGCTTCTACGACGTCGACGGCGGTTGCATCGCCGTCGACGGCCACGACATCCGCGACCTGCAGCTCGACAGCCTGCGGAGGGCCATTGGCGTCGTGCCCCAGGACACGGTGCTGTTCAACGCGACCATCATGTACAACCTGTTGTACGCCAGCCCGACGGCGACCGAGGCCGACGTGCACGAGGCCTGCAAGGCGGCCAACATCCACGAGCGGATCATGGAGTTTCCGGACCAATACGAGACCAAAGTAGGAGAGCGCGGCCTGAAGCTGTCGGGCGGTGAGCGGCAGCGCGTGGCCATCGCGCGCGCCATCCTCAAGGACGCGCGCATCCTGCTGCTCGACGAGGCCACGGCGTCGCTCGACTCGCACACGGAGCGCCAGATCCAGGACGCCCTGGAGCGCGTCACGCTCGGCCGCACCACCGTGACTATTGCCCACCGCCTCTCGACCATCACCACATCGGACCAGATCGTCGTCCTGCACAAGGGCAGCATCGTCGAGCGCGGCACCCACGAGGAGCTGCTCGCTCGGGGCGGGCGGTACCACGCCATGTGGGAGAAGCAGACGACGGCCGAGAAGCAGAAGACAGAGAAGGCAAGCGACGTGTGATGGCCCGAGGCCTCACAACTGGGAATGTCTGTGAACGGGAGCAAGCTGTGTATTGTAGAGAGACAGAATTAACGACTCTCTGTCGAAACGCGTCCGATGTGTTCAATTGTGGGTGCAATGCGTGCCAACCAGGGACTAGGCTACGCTGCCCGACTGACACCATTAGGCTGGGGAGTCTCCAAACGGGTCAGATGGATGGCAGAGGAGGGTTTCGATCTGGTCACAGAAAAACCAAGTTTTGTTTTTGGGGCGTTTTTCGAGCCGCATCACCGAGCTTGCCATGTGTGTTCTGCTGCATGGGGGAGAGGGGAGAGACCACTCCACCTAACATACCAACGATCAGTTCCCACCCATCAAGGCCAAGAGACTCACACCCCAAATAGCCCCAAGCTCTGAAACAACCGAAACCAAACTGATGGCGCACCTCATTCAATCTAACTCGAGCGCACTATGGGGTAGCACTGGTGGTGGCGTGGGAGAGGACAAGGCAGTTCCGCAGCTGAACAAATGCGAGTTGAACCGTGTCGCCCAGATTTGAGCCACTTTGAGCCACTTTGAGCCACTCTTCAAGCCACAGTCAGCTTATTTTGTCATCTTACGTTTGACCTTTGTTTAAAGATGTGTGTTGGCTGAATTGGCTGAACCAACAAGACAGTAAGCGTCGGAGGCGGCGGTAGGAAGCACAGGGCTACAGGGTCTATATAAGGAAGCCCACGGCTTCGTCCTTTGAACCTTTCTTCTAGCCTAGACAGACAATTCAATGCGCTGTCGACTTCGATCATGTGCAACAAACTGAGTCGGGGCTCGCCTGGCCTGGTGCGCAACGAAGGTAGCCGCAACGTATAATTAGCAGCATATTTAGCAGCATATTTAGCAACAAATAATACACCCAGCTAATCAGACGGCGTGTATTTGGGGCTCAAATTCTGGAGTGGAGAGAGCGTTGCTTCGGCACGAGTTCCAAGCGTGGCCTGCCCTCCCGCAGCAAGCTAGCGCTGCCGACAACTGGGGCCCAGTGCTGGGACTGGGCTGGGACCCGGTGGATGATGCTTGAATGACATGAAACCACTGCCGCCCGCGGCTGGGGCGATATATTTACGCAATTGTTGGTGGTCCGGAGTCCGGGCGGTGAGTACCAAGGTGCCTTGGTTCGGAGCCAAGCACAGGACCAGCAATATCCCGCTTCTACTCGGTCGTTGTCGAATTGAACTAGCCGGGGTACTTTGATCCTCGGTCCACATTTTCTCTTTTACCCTTCTATGAGCCTTATTTTCTCGGGAATCGTGATCGATCGGTTCTCTTTTGTTATCTCTTGTTAAGAGATCTTATTAAGCGAGAATATCATCCAGACCACTTAAAACAAAAGAGCAGTAGAGGAATGTGGGTCGAGGATTAGGTGCCCCTGCTAGTTTCAATTCGCAAACGACCGAGTAGAAGCGGTAATTGCCGTGCCGAGTCAGCGGGCGCGGCGATACAGCCAACGATGGGCTCGGACCCTGGCCGGAAACAAATGTCCGTCTTGAAACAGCCATATTCGGCAGGCATAGATGGCCGAATGGCGGGTGATGCCGAGGTTTTGAATCTATCTCAACAACTTGTGTTCCCGCAATCTGGAGCCACCGACCGCGCGGGCCGGAATGCCTGCCAACCCAACCGCCGACTCGAGCTGAAACGCAATTGCAAGTTCCGGAGGGGTTGCGCGGCGAGTTGGCCAGGTGCGGCGACTTCCTTCGCTGGTTCCGGGTACTGAAAGTGGGGTTAGGGTTGGTGGGGGGCAAAAGCCTGGCCCAGCTTTACCATCAATACCGTACAAGCGCTTCGCGAAAACACAAAAAGGATCCAGTGTTAAGCCACCCAACTAGGACGTAGGGATCTCAGCGCTAGAACACAGCTGTAAGCCCTTAAATCTAGAGCGATAATTACCTAATATAGTTCTTTCACAGGGCGGGCGTTTTTGTAGCCCTGACAAGCACTCTCGGCACCCATGTCGCTATTAGCTAGCGCCAACCTGCGCCGCGCGATGGCAGCCTAGGCCCTGTTAGCAACTATTAGCGAGAGTTGGCCTGTTGCCGCTAGCCCACTTTGCGCATGGCGGCAGGGGACGGAGTTATGGACTGACCAACTGGCCCTCGGCGAGGCGCGGTTCACGGCAAAGCTGGCCTCCAACACTGAGCCACCGTCCGTTGGACTTGGCCGCCACCGCATCGGCATGTTGGTCCCCACAGCTGAATGGTCGCAGTGTTGTCGTCTGCATTTACTTCCATTCTTTTTCATTCCGATATTTATTCTTGTTTCTGGCTGCGTGTGGGTTGGGTTGGTTATTACAATTTTATCATATCCACTGATCGTTTCGTAAGCAAAAGATGCCTTCACCTTGCCTTCACCTTGCCTTCACCTTCGACTTTGTAACACGGCAACTGCCGTCAGCTCAGAGCGGGCCTGTTTTGCTAATCACTGCCATCTCATCCTGCCCTGCAATCGGTGGGGCAGGCAGTCTCGAAACTGGTTGGGTCGGGAAGCCTCGCCTCCTTGTTTCAGCCATGGGACAGGCTCTATTCTTGGGCTCCACGCTGGTCTGGCCTCCCCTTCGCCGCGAATTCCGACATGTTTGGACGGATTGAACACGGCCTGGGTAGACAAGGGTTGTCCGGGCAAGACTTGTTATTTAAGACCCGAATCGAACGCACATTGTTAGTCCGGCCAGATAGGAACTCCCCTTGGCTGTCTAGCTCTAATTACTTTGAGAGAGTTGTCACCTCCGTTATCTACCTCTGCCATTGGCATCTCCATTTTTCTGGGAATAGTAATTTGCATCGCCAATTTCTGGTCACAAATTGATTACTACGCTATATCACGATCATGTCTCTCTCAGAGAGCACCCCTGCGCCAGCGTCGTCGTCATCTTCCCAACCTGAAAAACGCGGCCCCGGGCAGGATCTAACAATCAGGTCTAGACCCGAGCCAAGTATTGGAAATGCTAAAGCCCCGCCCGTGCCATCTAAACCCCTCAAAAATCTCATTGTACTGCAGCATATTGGCGGATGGAACCACCGAGAACTAACCCCGGAAACTACAGAATTCAAACTCGTTGCATTAATAGTGTGTCGAGCACTTCAGAAGTTAGAAACCGGTTCCGGTCTGAAAGCACTTGTTGGTTTGGCGCATAAAATAAACGAAGAAATGAAGAACGCCGACCAACCTCGAGCCTATAAGTATACTGGTCCTGGCGAAGCAGAGGCGTTAAAGATATTGATTCAAAACTTCATAGCCAAACTATACGCCGATTTTCCCATCATCCGCCTAACAACCGAGTCTCCCTCGGCATATGGGACCACAACAAGAGAACCATGGGGTTTAGATATTGAAAATTATCAGCCCAAGGATGCTGCTAGCATGGCCCTGAGAAGTGACGTGAGTGGAGCTATATTCAATATATTCATTTTCGTCGCCATCGTCCGACGGCTAATCAAGAAACTATTCGTTGCGTATTACAGTCAGTTAATGAACTACTTGCCCTATCAACCGATTATCGACATTGGTGGTTTCATCCTCAAAATGAACGTGGCAGTGCATTTATGCAAGAGTGGAAGGCGGCTATTGAAGCCTCCGCCTTTAGGCTCGTCAGTACTGTTATCCACGAAATTGGTCATATCCTTTTCGGCTTTCTTGCCGGCTGGAGTTCTCCTGAAGGTCTCCCGACAACCAAACGACCTTCAACTCCAGCCCCTGTTTGCTTCCCACTCTACCTCAAGCATAAAAAGGGAGAATCTGGTGAACACTTAGAGTACCTTATTTGGTCCGGAAAGTTGTTGCACGCCCAGGTAAATGTCCCCCAAAGCAAAACAGGACATTTCAGTCGCTATCCAAACATAGCACTAGCTATTTCCTTTATAAAATCGCTTCCTTCAAAAAAAGATCAGGAGGAAAAAGGACTGGTTGACCCAAACTGGATTCGCCAGTTCCTTGAAGGAAATGACATAGAAGGTGCGGAGCCTATCTTCGAGTTTCCTCTATTTCACTCACCTTAATCAGACTAACAACCCATAACACATAGAAGTTTTGGAACTCTCCAAAAAGGACGTGGAGGAAGCTGGATTTCCGCTAAACTACGCCGACTTTGGATGCCCAGAAATACAAATGAAAGCGTTTCCAAACCTTCCTCGTCATTTGGTCCTCCTACATGGCAAGAAAGGACACAACTATATCCCGCAGCAAACCATATTAAACTTCTTGCTACTCGACAAGACCACACTACCTTTCTTCGATTCATTGAAGTGGACTGCTGTCGGCAACTTGGGAGTTTTTACAGATAAAAAAGCATCAAACAACAGCTCTGGAAGCACACACCCATTCGTGAGCCTAGGAGATAGTAGCGTAGAATGCCAGGCGATTCGCCCTATAATCGACACTGCGCTAAGGCTCTTGGAAAGCACATGGGGCAAAACTTCCGTGCTTAAGTTTGCTAAGAAGCTTATCCCAGAGCTTAAATCGTTAGGGGGCTCGCCCTTCACTGAAACCGAGCTCGCCGAAGTGAAGATCGGAGGTATGCTCCAAAACATACGGTTCAACTTCCCCCTCGTCTATATCACACCGAAAATCACGACAGCTTGCGAGTTTCTTTACTCTAGAAATTATGCATTTGGCGGAAACCCGGCAGGGTCCGATAAGAGCCCTAAAGTTATGGTTCTAATAGTAAATAAAAAGGTAAGGAGCTAATTGACGCCTAATTGCGAGGTTATCAGCCAGTCTGAACCCGTTTAAATATTTACCCACATTTGGCTACATTGGTATGATGACATGGGCTAATGATACTTCAAAACAGGTTGTGGATAAGTTATTGGGATTTGGGATTCAGTATCGAAACAATCAACAAGACCCTGGCCTGATTAATGCGTGTATCGCCGACTGGGGATTCTTTCTCGCTACCGCCGTTGCACACCAATTGGGCTCCGCTCTGGCCGAGATGATAAAGTTCTCGGCCAACTTGCCGGCAAGTTCAAGAGACCAATTTGACAAGGATGGCTACTACAAAAATGCTGCCAAAGCACTAGAGACCATACTCTGGGATCCTAATAACTCTGGTGGTAATATACACGACGATTCTCTCCTCTTAAAGAGCTATCATGAAGGGTTGCTGGATAGCCTTCTATTCCAACTTGGGCGCGACCCCAGCAAGCGATTAAACCCAGAGTATGTTTTCGGGTTCATAACCCAGCAGGCTCTTGAATGTAAGTGTATCATGTATCTTTCTCAGCTTTTTAGGCTTCCTAACCAATTCCTCCACGGCTTTAGGGCCCATTAAATGGGCAAAGATCCCAGAAGGGATACGCACAGGGGAAGAGGTAAAAGTCGCATTGCTGAGGAAACCGGATATCGATATAGAAGCCATTTTCACTCATGGTGTCAACGTATCTACAAAGTCGCTAAAAATGGTACATGGTGGGAATATTATGTCGGCAATTAGGAGCCCGTCGCTTGTTGTTTGATCCAAGCTCTATGTCTATCTCAACTATGCAGGACTGTGGCGCGGGCGCCTCTGGACTAATACTATTGTATGACAGTTTAGCTCCGATGAAGAGAGATAGGTACTTTAGTAAGCATTAAGCTCCTGGTGAGCAACAATATGCAGAACCCCGAGCGGCCCGGCGCCGCTCTATTGCTATATCTATATTCTCCGGACACAGCGTTGAATTCTAATTATCGTCTGCGGCACCTGCTAGTTGGTCTCTTGAGAGTAGGTGGTAGGGAACCTGAGTCTGAGCTACATCTTCTCGTGATAGACGTGTAATATGCCTGCCTTTGCATTGCACTGGCATGACGTGCTTGGTGTTCAGCCAAACGGAATTGCCTGCATATGTTGACTTTCGGAGCTGTATCTGCCTACCTAACTGGGTCTTCTCTTCTCACCGGCAGCGCGGCGATTCGCGGCTGGTAAGTGAAGTCGTGACTATCCCCGAGGCCCTCACGACGACATTTAATGAACTCTAGTTGTGGTGGCGCCGGCGCCGAGGATTGCTGAGTTCTGGTCCCACATTATACCCATGGTTATGATTTGAAGATCATACCCATGGTTATAATGTGTGAGTGTGTGCACATGTTACTGCGGGCCCTGGTCAAGGAGGTGAGGCACCCTGTTGACCTTAGGTGAGCCTAGCAGTGTGGCACGAGGCAACCCCAAAATATCAGAGAAATAGTCTGAACGAAACGTCCCGCGACGTGTATTATAACTATGGATATAATTAATTAGATATGGCATCGTGGCCATGGTTATAATCTTACTTCTCTGTCCTTGGCCTTCCTACCGACCGTTTACGTGGCTAAGGAGCATCGAGAGTCTCAGGGATCTCCTTCCTTAGCGCGGCTACACGTAGTAGACTGACCAATCAAAGCAACTGAGCCCTCTTCCCTGGACCTAACTCACAACTCGTTATCTCCCAGTCCCGGCGGACTAGGGGTTAGTAGAGAGGGATCCTACGTAGTCCCAAGCGGTTGGTTCTACATCTCCCCATGTCTGGCTGATGACCGAGAGCCCTTGATAGGGGAGAAGGAGCGGATCTTTCTGCCAACCGACCGCAGCCAATCTCGACCCTTCCGTCGAATGTCCGAAGAGTGGATAACCTCGTCGAGGAAGTGTTGCCTCTGGCTCTCGATATAATCGCAGTATGCTTGTGCTATGCGGCGCGCTTCCTCCTCTGTGTCTGGCGTTTGGTATGTTTCAGTGAAGGGTGATCGTCACCTAGATCACGGAATGCGGTAGGCTATTCGTGAAAAGGTAGGTAAATTGATGATCGAGGGAGGAAGCTCGGGAGCACTGCCCTGCCGAGGACCTTAATGTGGTCCTTTGGTGGGGCAGACGCGGTCTAACCGCGTCAGGGTAAGCCCCGCTTCCCTATGTACCTATGTACTTAAATTACACGTGCCGGTCATATGACCTTGTCTTGGCGCTCCCTCGCTCAATCAGGCATCATTCAGCAATAGTATATGATACGTATATGGAAGGGCGTGGGAAAGGGGGTCCTTGGTGTGCTGCTAGGCTAATGCCTACGCCACCGTTTGCCATCATCCGCCATACCAATAAGTGTCGATTGTTATATTCCCGGTTCTCACCCCCCTCACCAAGCGGCCGGAAGTCGTGTATATGGCACCGTACGCAGCTCTCTCCGTTCGGGCGCTCTAGCTTGTAGGTCTGGACAAATTTATCAGCTAGTAAGCAGACGTTCTGGCGAAATTCGATGATGGCGGCTATCTTGGCGACGGACGGCGCGCGTGGGTCGCCCCTGAGGAAGAACAAAATCGCGGACGCTATATAGTTGCCATAGCCCCTGTTCCAATCGCCCGGGCAGAGTTGCTGAAACTGCTGTGCTATGCTGTAGACCCGCGCATGCTCCTGGTCTTTGAACTGAACCCCGCCGGGTAGAGAGACAGATTCCATGGAACCAGCAGCAGCGTCCGGGAATATCTGGCGGGGGTACGTAGGTAGGTTATCCCAACGTTCCTTGAAGCGGGCCAAAGGAATCGCGGTTCTCCTAGACCACAAAAAAGTCCACTGGTCGTCCTGGGCGCTGAAGCAAAAATCCTTGGTTAGGGCGTTAGAGATGCCCCGCGCTTTTAATACTGTCGTGACGGAGCGGCAGAACTCGTTATACGCTTCTGTCTGTATTCCGGTTGGCTCGTCCGGCTGGAGGCTCTCCTAGTCATTGCTGTTTAGCCCCCCCTTCAAAACCTCTTCCTGTGCGAGTAATGGCGAAGACACGCCAGAAAGCGTGTCAATGACCGCTCCAGCGAAGATGGATCCGCAAACTCGTCTCAGGCTTGCCGATAGCAGAAACGATATGAATATCTTCTCTTCGGTAGCGGCGGCTAGTATTATTCTATTAAAGTCGGGCGCAATCACCCATCTACCCGAGTAATATGCTATTACGAGTAAGGTGGCTCGGGTATTTCCTGATACGCTCTTTAGCCGTTTAAGGCTAAACCCCTTCCCGGAGTTACTATAGTCGAGGAGGAGTCTGTGGTCGTCTGACCCGTAATAGAATACCGTCAAAAGGATCGGGTGCTTGTCCTTGGCGCGAGCAGTGGCTTTAGAGACCTCGTCGAGAAATCTATCAACCATATTGGCGGGTGGAACGACCGTCATAGGAGTGATCTCAGACTCGAGAAGCTTAGGGCTGAGGACGACCTTGGGACACTCAGAAGCGGTACCGTGGTGATAGGGGCCGTGCTTATTCAATAACTTGCTGGGCTCGGCAGCGGTAAGCCAAACTTGGTCGGCAACTAAACCTTTCAGGAAGTAGTTAAAAGCGTAAAAGTCGGAGAGGAACTACCCATCGTCAAACTAGGAGCCGGTGGAGACTATCGGGTGGGTTGCTGCGACGATGATGGTATTGTCAAAGATACAGGGGAACGTATGAGTGATAAAAATCCCGCGCTCGTCGTCGGGGTACGGGGTAGACATTCCCTTATACGCGCCGCCCGTGGTAAGCTTACTTAGCTCTCCCATCTGACTGTCAAAAGAAGGGTTAGCCTAGGACGTCGTCGACGGAGTAATATACTTACATGACCTGAGATTCGGCGCTGTGGTTGATGTGCCGGCGTGGTTACAAGTCGATTGGGATCGGTTGTGCCATCGTAATTGCGGCAGCTAGTCCACTGAGGAGTATGTTGTTAGGTGAAAAACTAGCGGGGCCCGACCTTTTTATTGGCGATTTAGCTAAGAAAACTACAGCCAATCGAGCGACAGAGCCCAGCTAGCGCGGCAAACACAGCGAGAGAAGCAAAGACCGTATCAGGCGAACCTGTCATCAGAGCGAAAGCAGCAACAGAACGAAGCTAGAAGGAATCGGTATACACTACTAACGGAGGAAGGGAAGGAGGCCCACAGGATTAAGAAGAGAGCGCGCTACCACGCACATAAACTACAGCAGAAGGATTAACGTTATCACGATCAGGGAAAAGGAAAATCCGGAAGGATTTTCCCAGGAACTAGTGCCACACCGCCTCTAGCAGAATCGATACGCCACGTGAGTCGCGGAGCCGCGCTATCACAAACGCCACAAGCGGGAGACATGGGGCATCTTAGGACGATAAAGCAATAGTGGACAAATGGGACACCAGATATGAGCATTTGGGGACATAATTAGGCACACTGCACATCTTGGACCAGGAGAGCAAAGGTAGACAAATGAACACCGGATTGTAATGTTGGGCATCTACTTAAATAATAACGCAGCCCCTAGCGTGCCCTTAAGTTCTCGCGCCATACTCAAGTCCTTCGCTGTATGCCACCCCCGAAATGTCTTTAAGCTTTCGTACGGCGGCCCTTCTGCGCAGCCTTTTCGCCGGCAGCCTTAGCAGTCGACTTCGGCTTCGTCTTCGTAGTGGTCTCAGCGACAGCTTTACGCTTCGGCTCTACAGGTGAATATTAGCAAGAAATTATAAGGTGAACTCATATAATACATATTCTTACTCTTGGACAGGGTTGAAGAGTCGGAGAAAAAGGTCAAGGCCTTGCGCTTTGAGCTTCCAGCACCCGGGGTCGTAATCGCCTCGACCTCTTCCTCGTCGTTACTATCAGCTCCGGAACCGGACTCCTTATCGTCCTCGTTATCAATATACGAGGTATCGATATTCTTACCCTTAGCCTTCTTATCTGAAAAGACATCGTTGTCCTGATCGCTATCGAAGACTGAAGAAATTAGGATTTTGGAAAGACTAGCACGTGTTTTCTTTTCAGGTTTAAGCGAGTAGCGCGCGCGTCCTATTATTTAATTCACCTGAATAGACAGTATGCTCTTCCTATTATTCAATCCGTCTAAATAGAATCCTGGGTCTGCAGCCTAAACCCTACTACCCGGTTTTCTAGACTACTCACCGACCGGCTTCGCCTACTCGAGTTCTTTTCCTTATCATCCTCTACGCAGCATAAACAAAAAGGCTTTCTTCTTTCTTTACGCTTCTAGCCATTATACGGACATTTCGATCGCTCCAAAATTCCTTCTAACATCCAGTCTCAGTGAGCGTCATGTCGTCCGCTACATTTGCCGGCTCCGACCCGGCCGACCCTAACAATAACGCCGTCAACATTGAAGCCTCGGGGCCATACGAGCCTGTCCTGGCCGCAGTTTGTCCCTCCCACCTCTCACAGCTGTCTTTCACAAGGCTAACATTTAACTTGCGCAGTTCACTCAGCAGTTCAACCAAGTTTGGCAGAACGAGGCGCTTTGGGAGAATGCTAACCAGGATAAGGTATTGACCACGATGGCAAACGCAATTCTAGGACTGCGCATCAGCAACGGTCAGATGGCTGGCGGTGTCGACAGTGAGGAAAGCAGCGCTGAAGACGATGGCAGTAGCGACGAGGATGACAGAGACGATAAAGATGATGGCATGGTTGACGCGAACGACCTATTGCCGAATTGAAGTTTGGTGCGGTGGGATGAGTACCATCCAGAGCTTAAAGTACCACCTCGCCCTTGTGGGCTTTAACACCAATTGGGAGTACACCAAAGACAGCATCACCCAGGGCAATAAGGAAGGCCGGGAGATCCTCCGCTATATCCAGCCTCCTAGCCGAGGCGTGCGGAAGGTCAGCCACGCAGGAGCAGTTTTATGCAAGAAGCTCAGCATCACGTCGCAGAAGTTCGACAGTCTCTACAAGTCTAGTCATATTGCAACTGCGATGGTGGCCACGTTTGGCAAAGGTTCCGTCATGTTCTTGCCTAACGGTACAAGCGGGTGAGTCTGGTTCTTATTCGATTCTCCTTAGGTGCTAGCTAATAAATATTCTCCCAAGAAATCGCGGCAAAACCCCTTACCTCTCTGCGGTATCGCAAATTTTCATGACCGTCCGCGGAACTGATGAGTCTAAAGTTCTCCGACGGATCGCTCGGAAGCTAGACAGCACCACCCTCCGACACATCCGGAATAAGAGAGTTCTCCCATGGGACACAGATCTGAAACAAATCCCCCAATCAACAACCCCTTAAGACAGTCCTCGAGGGCTTAATGCCTTAAAGCACAAGCCAGATAGTTAGTTAGCGTAGACAGATGCTAGGACAAGAGGATATGGGTAAGAGATTCGAGAGTTTGTTCCGGGAAAGGGGTTTGTGAGTACGAGACGCAAATACAACAGGGACGCAGGGTGTAGAGGCTGTAGCAGTTCTGAGTACATTCACGAAGTTAGCGAAGATCGAAACTAGCTGGAAGCTGGAGAGCACGAACCGTAGCGCGTGGAGATTTTGATAGCATACGCATTGGGGTCTGAACGATGCAATTCGCAGCGCTGAGAGCCTCTAGTCGGGGCCGAGCCGTTGGCTGGGGCTTGGCGAAAAAGAGAAGGTGGGGCAGATGAGTGACATTTGAAGGAACTTGAAGGTACTGTTGGAAAGCTGGCCCCAAAGTAGGCCCAAAATTGGTTCAATGTAACAGTTTTATTGTGTGTAAAGTCTTGCGGTAAGTCCTGGGGACCCCCCAGCTGGGGACCCCATTTTACCCTGAAAAAGAGGGGTTTTCCTGGGCTAGGCCCAGAAGGTTACCCTGCATGCTCCTCCAGGTCAGACTGCTGGCCATTTCCGGGCTTAGTCAGGACCTCGAAAATCCAACAGGTACACTGGGCGGCAGGCCCTTCTCTTTATGGGCTGAGAGAGCAGCGGGGTACAGCGAGAACATAAGTCAACTGTCCCAGTCCCCTGCACCTCACCTGTCCCACCCCACTCTTTTGCTTTGAGCATTTTAATTGGCTAGCGCGAGTAGCACAAAATTTTGAGGCGTACATGGCCCAACTAGGCTAGTCTATTTAACGCGCCTTCCCTTCCCGTTTTCTTTCCCTTCACAATACCTTCCCTATGGCCCCCCCGCCCCGCCACCATCCCAAGTCCCCACCTGGTTTACAATTGGTTCCAAATCCGTTCCCTCAATTGGTTTTCTGGTCAGACAACACAACAAGTCCGCAATCACTTCCAAATTGAAGCTACCAAAGGCTAGGTGGGGATATCCTATTGATATTCTAAATACAAAGGTGGGAAAATGCCCCCTTATTATACTAGCTTGCATTGACTCAGTTGAACGGAACTCGGCTCTGTTCAACAGTTTGTTACGATCCTGGCTCAAGTCTGCAGGAGGCGCTGGAAGCCGACTGCTGATTGGGCAGCACTGGCGGGCAGGACGGGCCCCACATGAGCTCGGTGCGGCCAATCAGGCGGCGCTCAGTGCGTTCGGGTGCCAAGACTGGGAAGACCCACTGAGCAGAAAGAACAGCCAATCAGGAAAGTGCTCAGTTACCATTGAGAGCTCAGTCGTCCTTGAAGACTGAGCGCCCCGGAGGCCCTGAGCACTGTAAGGGAGAACCCTGATTGGTCCGCCTTAGATAGATATATACGACGACCGTAGCCACGGTCCTAGATAGTTCTTGCTTGGTTCTTCAAGCAAGCAATACACATTCACTGCACTCATACACTTTGAGTGGCATTCCGATTTGACTGTATTACCCGTGCGATAGGAGCTTGCCCTTTGTTCTATCTTCATAATTACCAAACCCCAGCATTCTGTGGAGCCCGTGCTCCCTTACAGACAGACGACCCTAACAGTCGAGTGGTTTGTAATACAGTTCGGCTGACAGTTGTTGGCGTATTTGAAGGCCCGGTTGGCCTGTAAGCTGTTGCCTGTGCTGTGCCGGCTCGGTTGGTCGTAGTTGACGGCTTGACCCGGCCTGCGGTCAGGTGGGCCCGAACTGCGACCAGGTGGTTGCGAGGCAGTTAGATCGATTCCAACAACTGTATATGTAGGGCATTGTGTGGTTGTGGATTTTATTCCACCCTGCATTACGTTGTGTAACTGTATAATTAATCCAAGTGTCACGGATTCCCTCAATACTGGTTGCGCTGCACTGGAGTGGGGCGCCCAGGGAGAATAGTGGGGTTGAGGGGAGGCCCGAAAAGAAGGGGGTTCTGGCTCGGGCCAGGCTCGAACACGAGTGGGTCCTGGTTCAGGCCCAGGGCCGAACGCTGTGAGCTTTCTGTTCGGGCCCGCCTTGATTGGCTGCCTTAGATGGATATATACGACGACCGTAGCCACGGTCTTAGATAGTTCTTGCTTGGCTCGTCAAGCAAGCAATATACACATTCACTACACTCATACACTTTGAGTAGCATTCCGATTTGACTGTATTACCCGTGCGATCGGAGCTTGCCCTTTGTTCTATCTTCATAATTACCAACCCCAGCATTCTGTGGAGTCCGTGCTCCCTTGCAAGCAGACGACCCTGACAGTCGAGTGGTTTGTAATAATTCACCAATAGTATACTGATTTCCCAGCCTTCACCCTCCCTCCATATCAGTCACCAGCCCAAGACAACTTTTTGTTGGCTCACATGTATTACACGAATCACAATCAAACCAAAGCGTAGAGTTGTCCAAAATTTGCCAAAGCACATTGAATCAGGCACCTGCTTGAAAACCACAAGGACTCTAGCAGTGATAATGACTAAACAAGAGGCTTTGCAGAGACATCACCATTGTCCATGTACCAGCACCAATGGCCGCCTAGACGTGGGCCGCCGTTAGCTCCTTATCCGCCGCCACGGCCTGCACCACGGCCTGCACCACGGTGGTGGCCTCCTGTGGCGTCCACAAAGCGCTGTCGCCCAACCGGTCCGCCGTCAGGCCAGCCCTCCCGGGATTTTTCATGCCCGCCTCGACCTGTCGCTGGTATGAGACGTTGCGCAGCCTCTCGTGCTCAGCCGGCGTCAAGTGCAGCTATTCGATTTCACACGCCATCGTGTCAGCTGCGACCCCTACACCCCATTCAACACATAACAAAGCACTCACATAAATCTCAACCGCAATCGCATGCAGCGTCAACGCTAGCCACCCACACGCTGCAAACAAGAGCTGAGTCGCCGCGGCCGACTCCAAGGGATTGCCCTTTGTATTAGCGCAGACCAGCACCTGCAGCTCGTCATCGGCCCCATCATACCACGGCTGGCAGCCGGGATACCACTGCAGCACGAGCCCCTGGTTGTTCCGTAGCGTGTCGTGAATCACCTTGCATGTGCGCGCCATGCAGTATGGGTCTGTCCGGGACAGGATGGGTGCGCCAAGCAGGCCGATGAGGCGGAGGGAGATGATGGAGGCGGCCTGTTATGCACAGGTGTTAAAAGAAATCAGAGTCGTCAACAGTTGAGTCCGTCTTCGCAACAGGAGAAATTGGTCAGGAAGCGGACAAGAGAAGAGAACAAGAGAAGAGGACAAGAGAAAAATCTAAAAGGAAACTTTTTTTTTTTTTTCAAAAAAAAAAAAAAAAAAAAAAAAAAAAAAGAAAGCGGAAAAGAGAAGAATACAATATTGAAAAGTAAAATCAGAAAAAGAGCAAGGAAAAGAAAACTCACATAAACCCACGCCCTCAACATCCACTTCCTATGCAACTCAATCTGCAACCTCTTCACATTCCACCACGCCAGCGCCAACGCAATAAGAAACACCGCCCCCAGCACGCCAATATACATCTGCGACGCCGGATGCCCGTCCATCGAGTCCCGCGCAATCATAAGTGCCCCCGCCGTCGACACCAGCGACAACAAAATCACCACGTACCCATTCACCCTGTGCACGAGCAGCCAGCGGTGCCGCACGACCGGCACGAACTGGACACAGACCAGCAGCCCCGCCGGGAGGATGGTAGCGATGTGCATTAGCAGCCCCACGCGCGTGTAGCTGCGCAGGCCGAAGCGGGCGAGGCGAGAGAGGACGAAGCCTAGGAGGGCTGAGTTGGTCATGAACCAAAGGATGAAGTTGTAGCCTTTAGTGAAGCCGATGGGGCGGTAGATTTTGGCGGCGTAGGTGTCGAGGCGGGCGGCTAGGCTGCGAGGGGGGTGAGGTTCGGGTTTGGGGGTGTCCATCTTTCTTTTCTGTCTGCCAGTCTATGGGTGTTTGTGGGGGGGGGGGGGGGGGGTTGTTGTTTGAGACAGAATTGGGTATTTATAGGAGCAATGGAGAGGGGAGGACGCCTCAACGATCGATGGAGGATAGAAGCAGGATCTAGTTGAATAGGTCTAAAGCATGTTCGATATACTCCGTGTTGTAAACAGCCTTGCAACCCACAGCTTGGAGAATCAGCAGCGGGTCTCGCAACGTCGAACTTGGCAGCAGATTTATAGTAACTAACAGATGCATGAAGTGGCTTTAACGGAGATGTCTGTTTATAGTATGGCCGTAGCCATCCCCCACGTAGGGCTAGCTCTCACGCCTTCCGCGCAGACAAACGGGAAGACCCGACAATACCTAACTAACCCAAGCCACAATACCACGTATTGTATAGCCGATTCGCTGACGAAGGCTGGCGGGGGTGGTGATGGCTGGTAAGCGGCCTATTTGACTGCCCGTCTTACTGGGTGTTAAGCGAGTGAAGTCCGTCGGGTTTCAGCCCCTAATCTTGGTGAACTCGAAAGCGAGGTAATGATCTGGGTTGGTCCCTAGGATAGGGTGTCGGGTCTGGGTAAACATTTGCTACCCCCCCTTGGCCCATATCGGCGTTCCCAACCAATGTATCTGCCCTCGCCCCTAAAGGAGCATTCGAAACTCCACGTGACTATAAGCATCGACCCGTGGAACATACTCAAAAGAATCAGGCACTAATCAGGCAGTATTACTTTTGTAACTGCAGTCGACTATTGTCTCGTTCCGTCGGTACACCAATCGGCGAGGCGGTGCGCAGGGTCTTACTGCAACATCGGCCTGCATTGGGCGCGACTGCAACATCGGCCTGCATTGGGCGCAACTGCAACATCGGCCTGCATTCGGCGTGACTGCATTCGGCGCGACTGCAACATCGGCCCGGCGGCGTATCGAGGCATGACTGCGAGCAGCGTGGGCGGCGATATCTTATCGATCGATATCGATAATCCTGATCAATATCAACCGATAAGCTGATATCGCAGATATCGTCGATATCGATTGATTAGTAATCAAATTGATCATTTCCCCGCTCCGAACTACTCCAAACCAATCAACTCCATCAAATTGATCAATTATCCTCAATATGGCCTCCTTGGGTGACCCTGAAGGGTCAATACTATCCCGGGAATCTATTTCTACTTCATTTACCCTTGAAGATCATACTCGCAAGCCACAGCCATCGGAGCCCACTCATAAGGGTAAAAATCGGCTCTTCTATTGTGCACATTGCTCATGGTCCGGTCAAAGTACTACGAATATACGACAACATCTTCTTCGCAAGCACAATATTGCTCTTGAAGCCGCAGTTCATACTACAAAGATTGCTATTAGTCAGACCACTAAACTAGATTCACAAATCTTGAAGAAGGTCCTTAATAAAGATATAATCAATATAGCTTTATTATCTCTCATTATCCTTCACAATCTCCCTTTCCGATTAGTCGAAAGCCCAGAATTCCATAACTTTTGCAAAACACTCAATCCCGAAGCCCAGAACCTCATCTCATCGCATTCAATACTCGGGTCCAAGATTGCAAAGTCATGGGCACTTCATAAAGATGTTGTACGGAAGAAGCTTCAATCTGCACTTTCAACAATCTATCTAAGTCTTGATATTTGGGCGTCCCTAAATCAGAAGCTATTTCTCTGGATTTGTGCCCAATTTGTGGACTATGAGACTGAACGACTGGTCAAAGTATTGGTTGCTCTTTCTTCTATTCCTTCACATTATGCCGAAATCCAATTCGAGGCTCTCTTCAAGACCCTACAAGACTATGGCATCCAGCGGAAAATCAGGGCTATTATTACGGATAATGCTACCTCCGATAATAAACTTTCTCGGCTTCTTGGATTGAGATTTCAAGAGGAGGATATCCAGTGGGAAATATACGATAACTGAATCCGATGTAATAGGTACATCATCAATCTAGCAGTCCAAGCTTTCCTTTTTCAAGAAGAATGAAAAGAAAAAGAAGAGGGAAAACCAATACCAGCATCTTCTCGCAATATCAGCCCACTTGGAAAGCTTCACGATATTATTGTTCATATCCGTGGATCACCTTCTCGCATATATCAATTTAAGGATCTTGCTGGCCGAAATATTCCTCTTGATAACAGCACAAGGTGGAATAGCTGGTACGAAATGCTAAGGGTTGTACTTAAAAAGGAATCAGCCATTGATTCTTATTCAAAAGCGTAGTTTGAAGAACTCAAATCCGATTTCCTTTTACCACAAGATTGGGAGATTCTTCGATCGATTCAATCCTTCCTCAATCTATTCTTTAGAGTAACGAAAGATACTGAGGGGGACCATGCAATAATTAATTGGATCCTTCTTACAATGGACGTTTTGTGTTGGAATAGCGATACTGGTGACCGCACACTAGCAGGGAGGAAGCAGAGATCGCGCGAGTACGCACGTGCAATTAGGCACGTGCGGCGCGCGGATCTCTCTCACACACACAAAAACCCCGGTCGCAAGCAGAACCTACCTTTAGTTCCAGAGAGAGAATGAATCAGAACAACTTTACACCCCCCCCCCCGGTAGTACTACCACTTTTTGACCCGTTGGAACACCTACGTGGTTGGAATACCACGAACATTTTGGTTCAATATTATAAAAGGAGCCACCAAGTTTTCAAATCGAAATCTTTCCTTTTAACTCGGATCCAATAAAGCTGGAAGACTTTCGACAAATATCATCTCAAGACGGAAGATTCCCCATACTGTATTACTACGATATTTCTTCATCCATCAAGGAAGAGTGAATATCTCAAATATAATTGGGAGAAGAAGTGGATTAAGCCAGTAAGCCAAGCAGTTAAAAAGCTCTGGATTTCTTTCAAAGAACAGTATGACATTCGTGAGCTACCAACACCCCTTATCGAGAAGCAAGATCAAGATAATAGCGATGACTATAACGTCCTTCTTCGGAATCTTCAGAACTTCCTACGGCCACTAAGCAAAGATGAATTCGAAGAGTACCTATCAGAACCACCACTTCTGATCAAAGGTTCAGCTCTATCTTGGTGGCTTGAATGGCAATAGCGGATCCGTTGGCCAAAACTATCCCAATTGGCTATTAATATCCTTTAAATTCCAGCAATAAGTGCTGAACCGGAGAGGGTCTTTTCTGGGGCTCGTCGTACGATATCGTGGGAAAGAATGTAGCTAGAAGAGACCACCATCGAGATGCTTGAATGTTTGAAACATTGGGTTAGGTCAGGCCTTACAACGGGGGCGGGATTTGTTGAAAATATTGACGAGGAGGTAAATATCGTGGATGACTAAGCAGTATCTTGATGAGTCAGCAGTATTGAATCAATATTGATCGATAATTGATCGATAAGCGATATAGATTGATCCTTGTATTGAAAATATTTCGCCCACCCGCCGCATGAGCTTAGTAGCGAAGGGCTCATTCCGATTGGCGTCAAATCGTAGGGCTCCGCCGCCTCATGGCTCGGCTCCCCGCAAAATAGCGACGAACCCCCGGCTAATCCATGTTTGGGCTCCGAGAATGCCATTATGGCCGTCGTCGTCCAAACTGCTTCTGCTGCTGTTGCTGCGCCAAAGCATCTCTCCGGCGAAATTCCTTCGAGGAAGCTGACGCGGGAGGAGCTTCTCAAGACGCACAAGACGTATCTGAAAAGGAACGATGTGAACCCAGATGCGCCGAGGCCCGTCAAGCAACCGGAGCTGACTGAAGCCCAAGCCGATACACGATGTGTAGATTGTAGGTTTCTTTACTTGCGTGCCTGAACACATCTCATGGAGGTTGACGACTACTATGCCAAAAAAAGGAGATACCCTTGAGCGACTTGTGTGTCGAGACGCACTATCGCGGGCGCGGGATCATCGTTAAGATCATCAGCCCGCCATACATGGGCGCAGGCGCCGTGAGCGTGGCTGAAGACGCGTTCGGAAATGTCGACAAGCTGGCCATCTACAACTAGCCCGATTCGTCTATCCTGTCGGTCGTACCCGAGGGCTGCATCGTCGCCGTCAAGGAGTCGTACTACAAGCACAACGGCGCCGCGCTCGACTACATGATCTGCGTCGATCACCCATCTGATGTGGTCCTGCTGCGCGAGGAAGAACATGATGAATACGACTTCGCAACGATGCTGGCGTCACTCAACCTGCAGAGCGTCCACCTCGACTGCGGCTCGTTTTTGCGGAAGACGCGCATTGCCGAGTCGCAGCACCACGGTCGAGGCTTGTTCGCCACTGAAGCCATCAGAGCCGGCGAGCTGGTCTTTGTCGAGAAGGCGACACTCATGCTCAACCAGTACGAGCCGATGCGGGCGTCGGCTGCGCTATACGCCATGACTGTACGCCAGCCACATGAACCACAGCTACGTTCCTAACACGATGCAGTCGTTCTTGGGCGACATGCTAATCAGCCGGGCGACGCGCGACATTATAGCGAGCGAAGAACTCTTTCAGCAGTACGTCCCCGTCAAGTCACTCCTCGACGTACGCAATACCGAGTACAAAGCCAGCTAGGGCTTTGAATGCACGTGCACGCTATACACGGGAGAGCGCAAGTCCACGCCAGCCATACTCAACCGTCGTCGCGACGCCGTTGCAGCCGTCGAGAAGGCTTGCAACAAACGCCAGCCCGGCCGCGACGGTGTCATAGTTATGTCTAATACTATCATACGCAACACTAACCGTCTCGCGTACCAGCTCGAGGACCTACATGAACCCGAGGTTTATAATAGGTTGCCGCAGCTCCCGTTGATTTATTCTTCGAACTAGTGCGTAGCTTATCATCTCATTGCCTATTCATTGATATTTCCCCGTTACCAGTCCGGCTGCTCAACTAACATACAGAGGCAGGCTCATCGGCGCCCATCGTGGCCGCAAGAATCACGCCAAGGTAATCAAGTACGGCCTCAAGGTGCTGCGGAACTTTGGCTTCCTCAGCGTCCTAGCGGTGGCCGACGAGGAGATAGTAGCGGCTGATTGGGAGCCTATGAACATTTACACGCGTTCAGGCGACGCCTCGCTCATAACTGTTTACGTTATAGCTACACTACGGAGACTGACCGAGGCGTACAAAGCCCCAGGCCGCTCTGAAATGGCTAGGTAGTGCGCCGAAGCCGTCGAGTTTGGGTACCTCATTGTCACGGGATTCAAGAACGATTCAAGCGTAATCGAGGCACCAGAGTAGGGGGTGTGACGGCCCGCCTTACGAAAGTAGGGAAGTCAAAGGTTGAAGGCAGTAACGAATGTAGATTCAAAGCTAAGGAAGAGAAAGGAATCTATCACAGGGTCGGCGTAGGGCGCGGAGAAATAGGTGGTGGTGCTGAGCAAGTGAGGCAGTGCGCACAGACCACACTCTAACCATAATGCAGCCAATAGAATCAATCCTATCACATGAGCTCTGTGGCGACTGTGACAGGGGGGAACTAATATCGGTTGAAGTTAACGTATTTTATAAGCGAACGGATAATATAAGCGAACGGATAATTTTGCACCACCCCACTACAACTACCCTCAATTACACAACCACAACACTAGGAAATAACAATAACTGAATTAGAAATAGATGAATCAGATGATTCTGCAGCCTCCTTGCACGTGCGTGCATTATGGCCAGGCTTGCCGCACACGCCACAGCACCGAATCTTCGTTCGAGACCCCCTACATCACCACTACTTTATCGTATTTCCTGGGTTAACTGCTCACCCACAGCCTTCTGATCTAGTAGATCCTGTGCCTCTTGTACCGTAAGTGACCCTCCAAGCCGTATACGTGTTTTTTTAGCTCTCCGTCTCTTACTAAGCCCCTCATTGGCCTTACGTAGTGCCGAGACCTCAGTACGTAGAAGAGCTACCTCGTGCATCACAGCCATTGTACCTTTGGCTAATCGATCCACAGCAGTTAGCATTGGGGTTGGAGAGCTGCCCTGATGGTTGGAAATTCGAGTTTTAATAAACGCTGACTGTGAGGTGGTTTCTCGAGGGTTGTGTGGCGTTTGGGAGACCCAAGGTAGTGTAGTGGTTAGGCTTGAGGCTGGGGGTGTTGGGGTTCGAATGCGCACATCCAGCTTAGATATCACCCTTTCTGGGTCGTACGGCACAAGGCCAGCTCCGGCGAAGGCTCCTTGGATGTTCTTGTCGATAAAAGCCGTAAAAAATGCCTCTTTAAACGCACAAAGGAAATCCAACTTAGTGATATGTGTAATGTACATGCGCATCAACTCCTCGATTTGATCACCATAAGCCTTCTTCAACGGCCCAAAACAACCAACATCTAATGACTGGACTAGATGCGAGGAATGAGGAGGTATACAGAGTGTAATAATGTTATGCTTCTTGCAATAGTTCTCGAAATCGTCGGAATGGTGGCTTTCGTGGCCGTCAAGGACTAAGAGCCGGTATTTTCCCTTCGTACGAGATGCTGAATGAAGATCAAAGTGCTTGATGAAATCGAGGCCTTTCTCATTGGTAGTCCAGCCGTTATCGGTCGTCCCGATATACCAGGTAGCTGGAAGACCGCAATCTCGGTACTAACCCTCCTGGTGGTATTTCCCTTTTAAGAGGATGAATGGTGGGATAGCTCAGCCTTGAGCATTTACCCCCTAGATAACTATAGCCCATTCACGATTACCAGGTTGGACCTTTTTAGCTTTCCCATAGCCATCAGAAGTAGTAACAACCATCCCAGTAGTAATCATACCCATCGCAAACCCAGTCTCATCAAAGTTGTACGTATCTTCGTCAAGGATACCGTACTTGGCTTTAGTATTATACACAAGGGCAAACCACTCGCGAATAATCTTTGGATCTTCGCATTTAGCCCTCTGGTAGTCATATTTACGCGAAAAACGCGTCCGGAGTTCTGGTTGGCGTTTGACGAAGTTGTGAGCCCAGAGCTTGCCGACAGGGGGCGCGTCGCGTTCGCGTAACAGTCGGTTGGCCATATCTTCCACAAAACGAAGCCGAGGAGGAAATGCGCGTGCACATAGCTCAGATATACACTGAATAATTGTATGCTCCTCTAGATCTGTGAGTTTTCGTGAATTGGCTGGAATATCGCGTCGTGAAGGCCGACCGACGCGTCGGTTGTAGAGAGTAGTGTAAGGAACAGAATAGATCTTTGCTGCAGCTGAAAGACGGAGTTTTAGGTCTTTTCCAAGAGCTTCAAGGGCTAAGTTTAATTATGCTTCCTTTGAAGGTAGTGCCATATTGTGTGGTGAAGGAAAACGTTGCGAAAGGTCGAGAGGGTGGGGTGGTGTAAAATTATCCGTTCGCTTATATTATCCGTTCGCTTATAAAATACGTTAGTACTCTTATCATACTTTCTGTATATATTTTGTAAAGGGGTTCTAATTTACGGTGCGGCATTAACGCCGAATCTCTTGATCTAGGGATATAGCCGTTAGTATCCGATTCTTTCCGATTACCAGTGCTCTTTCCTCGCTCTTATTTCTAAGTTACTCAAGCTCTCCCGAGAAAGAACGAGTAGGAGTACCATCCCCCAACCCCCACCCGATCACCCCCCCCACCCGATCACCCCTTTTACACCAAAACACTACATCTTTGAACAACGACTACGTAGTCAATTATGAAGCTATTCACAAGCCAATGACGGATTTGGTTAGCTGCATGCATATATTTTAAGCTTAATATGGATTTGTCAGCCCATGGGCCCTACAAATCTCTTTGGCGCCTCGCAAATGAAGCGTAATTTAAGTTCCTTGTGTTCTCTTGTCCCTACCTATGAGTGTGTATTATATTGTACTGCCACAATGCCTACCTACACCGAAGACGACATGGCGAATGCCTACCTAGATGTAACGGATAACAAGCTTTCTATTCGTCAGGCTGCTCAAAAGCACGGCGTACCGTACACAACACTGAACAACCGGCTCAACGGCATCCCGGCCAAAGAAGAGAGCGTTCAAACACCCCCTAGGCTTACAGAGCCTCAAGAAAAGCGGCTCGTGGAGTGGATCATCAAGCAAGAGAGCCTCGGCTATGCGCCTTCCTATTCACAGGTTTCTAGCATGGCTGAAAGGCTCTGCAAATCAGTAGGCGATTTAGAGCCTATTGGAAAGAACTGGATTACTGGCTTTAAAGCCCGGAATCCCGCTATTCAAAGCAAAGTAGGCAAAAGAATGGAAGCAGCTCGCTTCAACGGCTTTACTCCTAAGGCTGTCAACTGGTATTTTGACATCAGGGAGAAAGAATACGGCTGGATCAGTCCTCGGCTTACCTTCAATGTCGATAAGGCCGGTATTATGGCGGGCTTTGGTAAGAAAACAACGCCTATTGTCTCTTCCTATGTTAATGCTATATAGGGCTTGATTCATTGGTCCTAGGGACCTCAGAGACAAAGAAAACCTTCCTAAAAAGCGACCAAGGCCGCGGCTGGTCCACTATGATTGAATGCATCGGTGCTACGGGTACTCTACTTAATCCGGGCATTATTTTTAAAGGAAAAGACCTTCAGACCTCTTGGTTTGAGCAGGAGATGGAGAAAATTGCGCCCTGGCGCTTCGTTACCACTGAAAAGGGGTGGTCTGACAACCAAATAGCGATAGGTGGCTTGAGGACATATTTCTTCCACAAACTGACGCCCTACTGGAATACCCCTTTGAAGCCCGGCTTATTATTCTCGATGGTCACGGTAGCCACACAACTGTAAGAGACAAGTCCCGTACCCTCTTTGGCCCAGTTATCTCATAGTATATATATAGGATGAGTTTATGACGATGTGCTTCCTGAACAACGTATATCTATGCTTTCTTCCGGCCCACAGCTCTCACGGCATACAGCCGCTTGACAACGGACCGTTCAATGCGGCCAAGGCTTACTATAGACGTGAGCTGGCTAAATTGGCGAGTCTAACTGACTCAGCACCAGTGGACAAGATCAACTTTATTCGCTGCTATAAAGTTGCTAGGGAGGAAGCATTCACGGAAAAGACCATCAAATCATCATTCCGAACGACTGGTAACTGGCCTATTAGTAGGCAGAAAGCCCTGAGGCACCCAGAAATACAGCAAGACAAAGAAAAGACCCCCGATCCCCCGGTACTTACCGGGACCCCTAACACCCCGACTACAGGGCGTCAGGTCAAGGATTTGGGCAAAGGAAGCGGTCCAGGTACAAGATGGAAATTTGAGAAAGCGGCTCGGGCCGTTGAAAAGCTTCAAATGGAGCTTATTATCAAGCTGTAGGAATCACCAGGGTACCGGTACTGGAAACAGCATGGCGCGCTGCGCGCCGTAAGGTGGTGGTTCAAGTGATGGATTCGTTTGTGTCTGTCTTTTTATCTATCTGAACAGGTGGGCGTAGGCCAATATATATGCATCTGTCAGGCCCGCTCCTCCACAGACGTTGCTGTGGCCAGGAATGCGGAGCCGCATTCCTTGGATCAGCGCGTCATTCCAGTATGTTATTCCAACACAAGCAGACTCGCATAGAGGTGCTTGAGGCTGAGCTGGAAAGGCTGAAGCCGAAAAAACGACGCAAAATTCCCAATCCAAATAAGCGATTTATGGATTTGGGTACTATTTTACAAGGCGGTGAGCTTCCCGCAGAGCCCCAAATTGAGGCTGAAGCAGAGCCGCAACCCGAAGAGATTGAAGATGAAGAGGATGACGAAGATGAAGAAGATGAAGAGGTTTTGCCGGTAAGAGTGACCCGATCTGGCCGTGTAACGCAAATCCCGGCTTGCCATTATGATTGAGCATGTAATTAGCTACATTTTGATATATCTGGTATACGAATAGCTTCAGAATTGACTGCGTAGTCGTTTTTCAAAGATATAGTGTTTTGGTGTAAAAGGGGTGATCGGGTGGGGGGGTGATCGGGTGGGGGGTGGGGGATGGTACCCCTCCCGAAGATCCTCATAACAGTGTGGCCTCTGATATCATCTTGGTTAGTGTGGACAGGCTTACCAAGTCGTATAAATCTGTATTCACGATGGAGGCCACCGCGGAACAATTGTCACATGTTGGCACGTGGTTGCAAACTACGGATGGCCTGAAGAAATTGTGACAAAGGCCCGACATTCGCGTCAAAGAGACTCGGGGTGAAACCCAGACAGCTTCACGCTCGGACAGACGGCCAGGCGGAACGAATGAACCAGGTGGTCGTAACCACCTGAGGACCTTTGTCAACAAGAAACAGGACGGCTGGTAGAGCTGTCGCCACTGGCACAATTCTCTCACAATACATCCAGGTCAGAAACCTCTAAAGTCTCTCAGTTCTTTGTGAATTGCGGATACGACCAAAGCTTCCGTCTTGGAGAGGAAGGGAGGCGATACAAGTAGTTAAAGGCAGACAGGGTTACCTGGTACGTACTTATACATCAAGGGTTATGACCGATTGTCATTTCTCCCAATATCTCGGCTTCCTTTCGTCTCCTGCGTGAACGGCTTGTATGCCCCTCGCGAACCTACGCTAGCTCTTTCCTCCCGCCCCTACGATCACACATTATGACGGAATTTTTGGAGCCTACGCATTGATTAATTTTTCAAAAGCCGGAAGAGTCGCAAGCTGTTCGCCCACGAAACCCTAACCCGTCCTGGCCAGTTTCCTCCTGCTTGTTCTTAGGCCGCCCTTCCTAATCTCGAAATCGTCGCACACAGACCCGGTTTTTCACCCTTCTCGTTTTTTTTGCAAAACATCGCTCCAGCTACGGTCGAGCATCATAATTATTCTCCCCAGCACACATATATACACACTACACAATAGCAACGCAAAAATTCGCGACGCCATGACCCCCGATGAAAGAATGGCCATTCTCAATGCCGTAGCTAACCGGCGCCATGCTGTTCTCGCCCAAGTCGCCAAAGCCCGCCCCGAGATGGTGAAGCCGGACGTCTCCAAAGGCACAGTCGACAAGTACGAGGATCGGTTCCACTACAAGTTATTCGAGGACGGAGTTAGACAGCAAGTCAGTACCGATCACATCGGCTGGCACGTTGACCGGAAAATCTGGGCGGCCTATCTTGGCAGCAAGCCCTTCTCCTACATGAAAGAGCCCGAGAAGTTTGCAGGCCCCCACAGCCTCCCTTGGGCCAAGTTTCTCCAGAACCAGATTGTCAGCGAGCCCGGCGTCAACACTGCCCAGACTACCACCCCTTTTCCAACGGCGCCCGGCGTCAACACTGCCAGACTGCCACCCCTTTTCAGACGGCGCCCGCTTCATCGAGACGACACCGTGCCCCGAGCACTACCTACACAAGCACGGTTAGACATGGCAGCAGCCCGTCCGTCTCCTTCAACGCTTCCCCGGTAGGCCACAGAGTCGAACGCGCCAAGCGTCCCCGCATCGAGTAAGCCCGAGTATAATCATGCTTGTAGCGAGTTCCGTCGAGAGCTAACCTTGCCTGAGTAGATCCAAGAAGAGCTTCACGGTCGAGGTAGGCAACGAGGCCCCGACCGAGGTAGCCGGCGGCGGGAAGTACATCTGCCGCAAAAAGATCATTGAGACGTACTACGAGAAGCAGGCCGACGGCAGCGTCTGTAAGGTTTTGGAGAAGGTGTCTACGGAGACCTTCCCAACCGATAATGCCCTATTCGATGACGATAGTGGAGACGAGGAGGCGTAGGGGGGTAAATTTGTACGCCATTGAGGGATAGACAGGATTGGGGTGTACGGTCATATCGTTAGGCGACGGCTCAGCGGATTCTTGGAGGTTATTTAGTACCCCAGAATCTTGAACGGTGCCAGCTTCTTGAAGTCGAACTTGCCGCTTAGTCGGTTTGTCCGACTTTTTTTGCGCAACAAATAAACTTTATCCCTCTCCTTAAAGATCGGACCCTTCGATCTTCGCTGATTGTAGTACTTTGCTCATTCTTCCGCAAATGATGACAAGTTGTTGGTGAAACATCATGTAAATCGCGCGCATCCAGTGTACAACCCCGGGCGCCTGGAACATTTCTGTTCCTATATCTTCCTATCCAAACTCCAACCCCAAACCAACCAAGACGGTCTAGGAGACCTCAAAACCCCTACTCTGTTACGCAGAGCATAATACTATCTGTAACACGAATACGAAGGCTGAGACCAAAGAGAGGAGCTGGTTGCTTCGAGACGGTGAGTCGCTCCGGGTCGCGCACTGGCCACATCATCCTTTGTCCTTGCGTTCAGGTATAATTAAAGTATTGGCGTATTGTTCCCGTAAACAGCCCTTTCTTTTGCAAACAGGTTTTCTGTTTTTTACTCTGGCATCTCTCTGCGCTTCAGTTTTGAAACTCCAACGTAAAGTCTCCATAAATGAAATCGCTAATAAATCCATGCTCATATTCTATTCTAGGTTAGATTATTGAACACGTAGAAGATGAGCTGAAAAATGGGAGAAAATACGAGGAATTGAACGGTGCGGCGCACTAAAATCGAAATAACTATTCCTATCAAGATGGAAAGACGGTGTGGATAGATTCCTTTTCCCCCTCCTTAGTCAAGGTACCGTAGATGGCGATTCGCGAATCGGAAATAAAAGTGCCGAGGTGAAAATAACAAAGCTAGGAGCACTGTGACCGCCAGAATGATTGAATTTGCCTTTTCTGTTTCCTTCTTCATCCTTGGATTTTTTCTTCTTATCCCTGCCTTCCTTAGCGTCCTTCTTCACTTTGAGTGGTAGTCTGGGGGTGAGCGACTTTCGTTCCATTTGGAGTCATTCGACGGCGCGTTACCTTAGCTCTGCACCGAGCCTTGGTCTGCAGCACCTTGCTCTTGGGCGCCTCCTTGGCCTGTAGCACCTTGCTCTTGGGCACCCCCCTGGCCCCTAGGCGCTTCGCGTGGGTCTTCGTTCGCAGGTGCATCCGGGGCGCGCCGGAGGTAATACTCTGGCGCCCTTCTTCGATCCGCCCAGAAGCGATTCTGAAGCCACTAATTAAAAAAAGATACAAGTCAGCGATACTGCCGCTGTCTGCTCGGCTCTGTTTTGGCCGGGACGGCGAGAGTCGGATGGTGCGTCTTCTCTGAACAATAAACCTACAGCTCTGAGCATCAAGTCCGGGGCCCGAATCGGCTCAGGTGGGTCGCCATAGAATTTGTCCACGAATCTGCGGAGCCCTGTCTTCTCCTGATCATCGGTTGCGCTGAGCGCCTCCTGAATCCTTTCGTGGATGTAGCCCACCTCGGGCCGGCGCGCTGGATCCTCAATCATGCACTCGGCTACAAGACGCCGAAGGTTGTCATCGACCAAGCTGAGCCGCAGGTTCCTCGTCAGCCAGCTCCCATATGTCCTTATGTACGGTTGTTGGTCTTCGTCGTCTAACGCCCACGCAAGCGGCCGGGGGGGGTTCTATCTGAGAGTGATCAGGTTCTACATGATCTGCATGGATGGAAGAAGCGTGAAAGCTGTCGTTAGTGAAATTGGTCATTTTGCTGGCTGTTACGGTTTGGGGAGAGGTGGGCCGTTGAGACCTGGTCTGAACTCACCATGCCAACCTGAAAGAGGTTAGTCTTCCAAGTATAGTTGCCCGCAATTCTGGCTCCGGCGGGTTGAAGGCCAGCCGGTAGCGTCTCGACATGATCCCACTCGGAGGTGAATTGTTCAGGCGTGTAATAAAGCTCCTTGCCTCGCATTCGTGTGTTCCAAATCCGGATTCTGTTTTTATTTTGTTTTTATTTTGGGGAAGATATTAGCAAAACAATTCATATTCAATCAGAGCCCTAATCTCGTCGGCTGGATATAATCAAAGTCTGGAATGAAGAGAAACTTGAACAAAAGTTAAACATACAGGTCTTGTCGGATCCGGTCATTGATATCCATGGAAAGACCGAAATCTGATATCTGTTCGTAGTTTCCATCCCCATGGTTTGTGGTGAGTCTAATGCTCTAATTCCCGATTTCGCAGTGTTTCTTGCATACGTGTTCACGGGTGGCTAGGAGCTTACCACTAGCGGCGGTACAATGGGGTGGCGGGGGTTTTGTTCTCCTGGTTGATCTGGGTCGCCGACTAAGACTGCGGTTGCGAACCAGATCAGCATGCTACAAACGGAATACATTTTGTTGATTGGGACAGAAACAAAGACAGTACGCACCGTTGTCCAGGGAAAGATCAAAGTGTATATAGTTGGTTGTTGGTTCGGAGAGCAGAGAGTATTCTTCGATGAGACCGCGTGCTCCGTCGGCGTAGTACTTCCTATCGATGGGCGGGTAGGCCATACCGACCACACCTTTAAAGACTGAGCGCGAGACAGGTTGGTTAGCTGGTTCTATGCCACCGCAATGGCGAAAGGGATGCGGCAGACAGAAACGAAAACTCACGACAGTCAAACATGTGCCACAGAAGCCGGTTCGGGAGCAACGGACGCCCCACAGGCTCTCTACCTTCCTTGCGGCGTGTTTCATGCGCATCGACAAACTTTTGTACGGCTTTCTGCAGGTCCCCGCGCCTGTAGTAATCCGAGATTATGTAGAGCCCTAGGTCGGCGGCATCCGTTCCATCGCGTTCATTGATCAATTCTTGGAGACCTTCAGGCCAGCTGTGGGCTTGAATAATGTGTTTGGCGCCCTCAAAATTCTGCCAGTCGACCCAACAGATCAGCTCGATAAATCTTTGCAGACAGCGGTGGGGCATGTGATGGGGGGGTGTGTGGCCTCGTACAGCTAGCATCTGACGCTCCTGGCCGACACTGTCTTTAACTTTTGCGTCGATTTCTTTCTCCAAAGGTGCCTGATTGTTTTTCATTTTTGGTTTCAAGTCAATTAAAGAGGCCCCTACAATACGTAGCCGGGGACCCGAAAAACGAACATACCTTGATAACAACAAACCTGCGTTTGCCCTCAATGGGAGTCATTTCATAGAGAATGGTGATGCCAAAGCCACCGTGTCCCAGAATCTTCACGTACCTGTAGTCGAGCGCCTCGATTTGTTTCGAGGCAAACCTGGCCGTCTTGACCACATTTACATAATCTTCCGGGGTCGCCGAACGTCGCCTCTTTCGCGACCCCGATTCCAGGGTCGCCGAACGCGGCCTATCTTGCAGCACCAGTTCCGGGGACATGATCCGTGGCCCCCTTCTCGGAAATCGGCCATCACTACGCTGCTTGAACCGTGGGTCACTCCTATTCCGACTGCGGCTAGTGCCGGGGGACGTGGCGAATATGGGAGTGCCAGAACGCCACGGACCCGACTTCTGCCCCGTCGAGAATTCTCTGCGGAAGTCTTTGAAATAGGTCGTCGCCGCCCTTTTAAGCGCTTTAAAGCGGGCTTCTTCAAGGGGCGCCAACATACTGGGCGTGTTGTCTGCAAACCTTGTCTGGCGTAAGCACTGTCTCTGAGTATTGATAATGGGCCCAGAGGCAGTGCTCATGCGAAAATTGGGCTTGGCATTACAAGGCCTCCAAGCGGGAATGTAGGCGTGGTTGTATCCTAGTTGAGCCGTGCAGTGGATAGCGTGTCAATGCCCGAGATTTTGTGTTACTTGGTGGTTATCCTCAATATTCTATACTTGTGCGACGAGGACGAGGACGAGGAGGACGAGGAGACAACGCAATCTAATTATTGACCGACTCCCTAGTCTCCAATTACGGGTCAGGATAGAAGCCTCGGGAAGACGCTTTCGGCGCGCACAAAGGCGGCTCGAGGTCCAACATTCCAGCCCCCGTCTCCCCGATTTCTTTGTCGGGCCGAAGGGCGTGATTAAATAACTGCCTAATCAGGATCGAGGCAAACATTCTTGTTGACTCCTTTTACTGTCCCTGGCATTATCCGAGTCCGGCTGCTTTACCAATCCACAAAGTAGTCAATGCCGTCCACAACGGCACTCGCAGCCACGCTGCTATGGTCTTGCCCCATATACTCTTTGAGAACCACGTCTCTGGCCCTGCGGCTCCCTTGTAGGCGGTCAAACAGCTCGTGGCAGTAGTCGGTCATGCGGCTGAAAGACAGGATGATGGCCTTTCGCGCCTGGAATTCAGCCTCGGTCTCGGTCCGCCTGCGCACGGGGAACTGCTCCAAGCTGCCGTAGCTAATGACAACTGCCGGCCGAGACAGGGCGGTCCCTTTCCGACTGTGACCGCAGCTCCCATACACCAGCAGGCCGCCGCCCGTGCCCAGGCGTTGGCTTACCATGTTGAGCATCGAGCCGTTGGCCCAATCGAGCGCCGGGCTCGCCGATAGGAACGTGTCGAACATGTCGGGCCGGGCGATGAGTGCGAATACGACAAAGAGGCCGCCAAACGAATGGCCGTACAGGGCGTCACGGGTGAAGCGCACGCCGGGGAACAGGGTCGAGCGGATCCACGGGCGCAGCGACGCGTCGATGAAGTCGATGAATTCGTCGGCGCCCGAGGGCGGCGTCTGGGGCGTTGGCAGCGGCGGCCGGAAGTCGACGGCCCGCCGGGTGAAGCTGTAGACGTCGTCGCTGAGTGGGTAGCCAATGCTGACAACGACGCTGTCAGGCTGCGACGGCTCCACTGCCAACCGCCGCTTGAACCCTTCGGACGCGGTCATGCCAAGGGCATTGCCGTCGACGACATACCTAATATTGTGCACCCAAATTTCAGCGTAAGCTGTTGTTATGTGAGTCGTGCAGGATAGTTGGTAGGCGGTAATTAGGTGGTAAGCTTGCATCGCGAGGGCCGATTTGTTTCCCACATCGCGCGACTCCCAGCCAAAGGGCCACGAGACTTCGATCTGATATGTCAGGTTCTTGGCGGCGCTCGTCACATTCTAAAGAGCAATGCTGGGGAAAACGGTTGTGGGAAACGCTGACACTAGCGGCGTGAAGGACCAGGCTGCCGGGGACGCTATCGCCGTTGGCTAGCCAATACCCAAACAATTAGGTAAAATAGGGGCAGGGTTGTGTGAGACGCGTGTAAGTAAGGTAGTAGATGAAATAGTAAATGAAATCTTATGAGCGAAGAGCACCGGTATTAATATGTCTATATGATCTCTCACGTCATGTATGGCCATCCGTCTGGAGGGCGGGGCGTGGTCGACACCTCGCCCAGGTCGCAGTGCATGCAACGATGCTACCGCGGGCACGGCAGCATAGTACCTTGCAGCTGCTCGGTACCCGAGCGAATCGTCCGGCCAATGTGCTTTAGCCCCATTGATGCTGATCTCTACCTGCGCACTTGGGTGTCTATTGGGTATGGGAAGCTGAGCGGGCAAAATTTAATCCACTATCGCAAACAGAGCGTGCATGGTGGTGCATGGTGGTAGGCACTAGACCTATTCGTACTTCGTAATGCGAGGCGCTCGGATTCTGTGTCACGGCAAGTCGGGACGACGATAATTGGAGTTTCGACCACACTCAGTAGGCCAGTTCCATGGCAAATTCGTCAAAGGCACTAGTAGTCAATCGTCCAATTATTCGTCTGCCTGCCTGCCTGTCTGCTGCAGGCCATTACGATCCATACGGATCTGTCCGCCCGCCCCCATCAGCCCCCTTCACTACATGACAGCCATCATCCCGTCTCACCATATCTGTTAGTATGTCCATTTCCAACGCATCTTTGTACTAGCAGCCCCACAGCTCGTGGCGCTTCCGCTTTCTATATACATCGCAATGTTGTATGTATGTGGGTGGGTATCTGTACCAAAGGTTTATATAGATGACAAAAGAACGTAAGAAGAATAGTATGCAGCTAGTCCAGTCCGTTGGCCCTGTAAGAATAGAATCGTGTTAATTCAAGACGCCGGCCCAATGTGCCACACTGTGTGGCAAGACACGCCTGGGTTTTAGTTGCCGAGCAGTGCCCCAAATTCCAATGACGTTCACACCGCCAGTCAGCCAACCATGTAGCCAAGGCCGCTGCGAAATACAGAAAAGAGAAAGAAACTAGACAAAAACCCTAGACAAATCACGGCTTGGTGACCTGTTCCTTCCTAAAGAATTTGAAGAAGCCAAAGGGAATGATCAGCTGCATGATGAGACAGATCCAGAACCATTTGCTGGCTATGCCTGGGAGGATCCCTTCGCTGAAATCGGGGAACGTGGTGGTCGCCTGCACCGCGTTCGGGCTCGTGGCCCTAGCAATCATGGTGGCGGCGCCGCCGATGACCTGCGAACCGATGAGCACGCCCATAACGTGCTGGCGCGTGAGCGTGGCGAGGAGCGTCATCCCGAGACCGACAATCTGGATCGTGTCGAGCAGGCCCAGCCAGAGCCAGACGCACCGGGAGAGGATGGCAGATGCCACCGGGCCGCCGACCCAGGGGAGATATCTTCCAATCCCCGAGGTGCCCCAGAGCTCTTGCGCCCAGCGCGGAGCGCCGAGCCCCAGGCCCGTGGCGAAGATAGGAAGAAGCCAAGGGTGGCTGTTAGAAAAGACGGTGAATATTAGAATTAGGGCGCACCAGAGGATGACGAAGAAGAGCACGGCGAGCAAGAAGATAGCCCAGCCGGGCACGTGTCTGGACGAGAATAGGAACTCCCAGCTTCGACCGTATGGAGCCGACAGCCAGTAGTTTTGCAGCACGACCATGACGAAGAACCACAGCACCGTCTTGCGGCGGAAGAGCGACACGTAGTAGCCCGGGATCGTCTCGGGCGACTGTCGGTAGTAGTCGGGCAAGCCCCAGAACAAGACCAGGCCGATGGTCCAGAACAGCACCGCGATGGGGATGGCGATCACGATGCCCTTGGGGATATTGGACGTTCCGACGCTGCCGGACGCGGAGCCGGTCGGGTGGAAGGGGTCCGACATGAGCGAACCCCAGTACCAGAGGGCGGCCGAGTAGAGCTGCGCAAAGGCGGTGATGACCAGCGCCCGGACGGCCCACAGATTTGTCGAGGCACCGCTCTCGTCGCCAAAGTTGAGCGAGAAGTCGAGGGCGCCCGAGCTCGCAGCCGCGGCGTAGAATGCAGTGGCAACATCTTGCACGTTGCCACGTTGCATGTAGCCAGGAACGAAAGAGGCAATGCCGAGGAGCATGAAGGCTATGCCGTAGAGCAGCCAGGGCAGCGAGAGCGCGTAGACTGACTTGAAGCGGCGCACCATGAACCACCAGATGAGGGACGTGGCAATGTACGTGCCCGCCACCGTGTACAGTTTGCGAGAAGACTGGCCCGTCTCGCCTGTGAGCAGCACGATTTGGTACGAGTTGGCCGAGATGACCTGGCCGGCGGCTAGGAGGACCGAGTAGACTGGCCAGTCGCGGAAGACGCGGATGGACAGGATCTTCCTTAAACCTGTCGGCGGTTTGTATTCGTTGCCCAACAGGAACTCGTCATCCGTGACCGCCACCATACCCGTCCTCCTCTTCTCGTTCGGCATGCCCACCTGTACCTCGCCGCTGGACGCCTCGGCCACGGAATCCGAGTGCGTGTCGGGCGTCGACGTAAAGGTCATGCCGCTCTGGGCCCTCGGCATGCCCAGCTTGGCGTCTCGGTACCTGCTGAACCACTCCTTCTCGGACTTCTTCAGAAACCCGGCAATGCAGAGGTTTCCCTGCGAGTTCTCAACGGTCAGGTCGTCGAGCATGCTCTCGTAGCGGGCGTAGAATTCGCCCGTCGTGTCTGCGAAGAAGGGGTCCACCTTCTGGAGTTTCAAGTCGCTGCGATCTCCCACCACGTCTTGCAGCGAGATTGTGCTGCCAGAGCTGTTGCGGTTGGGCGAGTATGATGACTGCGCAAAGGGAAGCACCGGAGCGACGATCTCGTCATCGTGAGCTCCAGCCCCGGCGAGCGAGAGCGACTCCATGCTCTGTGTGCCGTCCTCCAGCGCGCTTATCCCGGGAATGTGGGGTATCATGAACGGAGTCGAGGTTCGCGACGGCGGCACCGACGGAACAATCGACTCTGGTCGCGGGCTCCCTCGTATCGAGCCAGACTCATTGTCCTTCATGGTGGGCAGGGCGTGATTCGACGACGAAAAGAAGAAGGTCGACCTGCTCAGGGGGCTGGCCAGGCTCATGGGCCGCTTGGCCTTGCGCTCAGTCTCGTGGTGGTGGATGCGGATCGCCTCGCTGTGGAGCTCGTTGACGCGCTGAACCCACTGCACCACGGGGAAACGCTGCTTGGCACCCCAGGCGCGCATGGTGGCGCGCTTCTCCGGGGTCGATTCGAGGGCCGAATAGATTGCCTTGCGGAACTGGGCGATTAGGTGCTGCGGGCTGGTGGACTCGATCGTGTACCAAAAACCCGGCATCTGGCCGAGCCCTCCGACGCGGGCGCCTACTCCCAAGGCGCCTCGCCGGCCAGACTCGACGGCCACCAGGCCAAAGGGCTCGTCTCGTGAGGGTATCAGGGCGAAATCAGCCCCGTTAAACACGGCAGCCGGTAAAGACGTGAACTCAGCCCGGTAGAAGACTCTCCCAGGGAACATGTCCGCAACCTTGCCGAGCTTCAAGGCGGCGAATTTGCCATGCAAATCTGCTTCTGTCAGCACTGTCTCGAGACACGCGGGGAGGAGGGGAGGAGGCAGGGCAATACTCACCAATAACAGGCCCAACGCATATAAGCTGGGTCTGGGGGAACTTCTCAAGGATGCCAGGAAAGACGTCCGCGATCAGGTCGACGCCCTTCTGGTGCGACCATCGCCCCGCAAAGATAAAAAGCTCCGCGTCCGCGTTGACTTCGAGGCCAGCCCACTCCTGGGCCTGCTGCTTGGCAGCCGCCCGGTGTCCGCGGTTCTCGTTTACGTCTCCTTGTATTTCGAGGTCTTCCTTCTGCTTCTCTGCCAACGCCTTGCTGCCCCCGGCGTGATGGGCGGGCTCCGGGGCTGTCCACTCGGCCGTGTCGGTCGGGTCCGGATTTGGGAGATGGCCGATTGTCTTTAGCGACCAGAAAATCGGGTACCTAGCCAGCGACCGATCGCCGTACTTCTTGGACACGCCTACAGCTCCGAAGCCGTGCTGGTGGATACGGAGATAGGACGCCCCCGCGTGCAAGAGGTTAAACGCGCTACCATACTGCACATAGCTCTTGACGATGTCCTGGCTGAGGCCAAAAACGTCGCACACTTCCCGCGTCTCTTCTGGCGTACGCATGCTCCACATGCCCTGAAATTCGGCATTGTGTAGCGATAGGCAGCACGGTATTGTCCTTTCCTCGGGGAGCAGATAGAGCGGCGCCGCGGCGCCATGGTAGTCGTTCATGTGGTAGAGGTCGATCTGCGGGAAGCGACGCATCGTCTCTGCAATACACGCGTTCCAGGTGGCGTAGAGAATGGCGCTTTCGATGTCGTCCATCCGCGCGTGGTATGGGTCGGCCTTGGTTTGCTGGCGGAAGATGGGCGCGTCCAGGAGCACGTAGGTAATGTTGTTTCCAGGCGGAGACTTGGGCTTGTGGTACTGCACATAGACCTCGTACTGTTGACCAAGCACGGTCACGAACATGGACTCGGCGGGCGTGTCGAGGGGATAATCGACATCGCCCACGCAGGGCACGACCCAGATTATGTCGAGGTGGCTCAAAGCGGTGCTCATCAACTTGGCCATCACACCCAGCCCGCCAATCCGGATGACGATATTCCAGTCGTCGATGTTGTATTCCATCGTCGCCAGCAAAACGGTTCGTCTCTGACCGCCCGCCCCTGTCATCAGCGCGCCGCCAGCAACCGGCGAGGTCGGCGAGAGTGCAGTGGCTCCAATGGTCGACGGGCTAACTATAGTTCCATCCACGGGCTCCGCTGGGGCGTCCTTGGCCTTGGCCAAATGTAATTTCGCTCCTGGGAGACCCGCCCAAGGCCAGATCCACGCTCTGATGCCGCTGGGTCTCTTGAAGCCCCTCTTGTTGACCGTGACGCGGTAGAAGCTTCGGAAAAAGGCCCAGGTCGCCAGAAATCCCAAAATCAGCGGCAAGAGAGGCAGCAGGAAGAAGAGCAGGACCTGGATCCAAATGTGGCCCTGGGGCAAGACGTCCACCTGGAATGTTGCGTCGTTCAAAACCAGGCGATACGACAGCGCGGGCAGGGGCGGCGGGCCCGTGATGTTGAACGTGTTGTCTGGCAACCGGGGCGGCGGCAGGCGATTGGCGATTCCGTTGGCGATCAGATCTCCAAAAACCCACGTCTGATCCGGCTGGTCGTCGGGATTGATGCCCCACACGTTGAACTGGAACGTGCTGGGCCACTCGTCCATGTAGTGCAACTCCCAGGTGCTGTTTCCGGTAAGCGCCAGCTGGTTGGGAATGCCGTTGTCGTATCCCCACTTGTTGAAGGGGCCCTGCAGGGTTAGATGGGGGAACCGCCTGATCATTGGGAACGTGTCGGCGTGCTGCATGAACGAGGCAGAGCCGAGCGGTTGGCTCCAGTACTGTATCATGACGTGGTTGCCCTCCCATGCCTGGTTCGAAGTACCCGACCAGGGCTGGGGGTTTATCAGGACCTTTTGGCCGCCGCCCCTGTATGGGGCCCAGTCGCTCCAGCTAGAGCCCCAGGTGGTACTGAAGCGCCACTTGGAAGCACCAGGAGCCCGGTGGTTGACATACAGCTTCCCGTCGTCGCCCTGGCTGAGCAACGTGCTCGAGTAGTTGGCCCTAAATGGGAATACAACCGGGTTGTCAGATTGCCCAATGCGGATGAGGAATTTGTCCGTCGTCCCTGTCGACCCCGTCAACGATGTGGCGTTGGTTACGGTGATGGCGTGGACACCATCTGCTGCCCCGACCAGGTTTGCGGTCCACGAATATCCAGATGTGATGACCCCCGTGAATGGCAGGGCGTCCGCCTTATCCAGTTTCTCGCACTTGACCGAGCCCGAGTCGATCTTGGCCGTCTCGTTGCTTCCCTCGACCGTCGATGTAATCGCAATGGCGGCTGTGATGGCATCGCAACTCGACATTTCCTCGGAAAAGTGCAAGCCAATCTGTACGGTCCCCTTTGCCTGATCCGACTCGATAGGCGTGTCATGGCCTGGGATAAACTTGGTGATCATGGGCTTTGGGGGTGCCCACTTCGCAGACGGCACATAGGCGCGGTACTCGTAGGGTGCCATGGTGATGTTGCCAATGCAGCCGCTCAGGTTGGAGCTAAATCCCGATGACTTTTTGTCCGCCTTGCCGAGCGTAATCACATCGTAGGGGGAAAACAGGTTAGTGACGATCTCACCGGCATCGAACGGGGCAATGAAAGCATCGTTGCCGCTGCAGTCAAATGTGTAGGTGGTCTCCTCCCCGTGATTGTGAAACACCAGCCAGACAGGCGTCTCGGTCGTATTCTGCACACCAAAGTACATTGACCGGGCAATGCTCCAGACGCCAAATTCGGTCGCCGTCGTGCTGCCTTCGAGCAGGACCTTGCTTGTCTGCTTCGCCAGTGTGTTGAGAGAAAACCCGTCCTGGATCGACTGGAGCTCGGGCCGCGTCCGGAGCTCGAACATGTGCTTAAAGATGTTGCGAACCGGGTGCGAGGGGTCGCGGTGGTCATATGCGACGGTATCGTCCATGCAGCCGGTAGCGGCCTTGTCGAGCGGCCAGTCGACGTAGATGGCGGTGCCGGCCGTGTAGCAGCCATGTAACTTCCAGGCCAACGCGGCCGACATGGCCTGACGTCCGTAGACGTAATTCTCGGCCGTGCTGTCCAGCACGTAGAGTGCCTGCTCTTCGCCATAGTACATCAAAGGGACCCCGGGGAGCATCAGCGTCGTAATGAAGTAGGCGAGAAGCATGCGCTCGGTGCCTTGCGAAATTCCCGGCCACCTGAACACATCCTGGTTCGTTACGCCGAACATGTGCCTGGGGTCAAATTTTCCATTGTTGACATTGTAGAGGTCGTTGGTGAGCAATATCTGGTTCCTGTTCCGAGTCAGTGTCTTGTTTCTCTCGATGCGAAAAGCCTCCCAGCCTCGCGCGCCGATATCATCGCTACTATTGACGTGAAGTCACGGGACGGCTGGGCCTGCGAATCGGCCGGCGAATCGGAAACAAGCGGCTCGAATGGCCCGCAGGATTGAGCCGGCTGGACACGGAGATGATGGCCACTCGTGTCGGGCGCAACACTTTAACCACAGGCCAATTTTTGCCCGGCTCGCCCTGGCTGACCCGCCCAACGAACCGCTAATAACAACGCGAGGATCGACGGCCCGTGGCAAGATCACGGACGCGTGGAAGACACGAAGCGCAGAAGACCTAGACGCGTCGAATTCCCGCCCCATGTACTGACACAAGGAAATCGGAAGGGTTACTCACCATGCCTCCACCCAATCTGATGGCAGATCAAAGCCTGCTTCTAGATTTCCAGACATGCCGAGAAATCGGGTCATGAACCGGTAAATCGAGTAGTGGAAGGCACCGGCGTCAAGGGCACTCTCGCCTTGGTCGCGAATAAAGTTGTTAGAACTTGACGAGTCGTTGTACACGAGCTGCAGGGCGGCAAGCGGCGAAGTAGGCTTCTGGTCCGGACGGCGGCCACGGCCAAGGTAGATGGACCCGAGCGTGTTGCCGGATGTAATCTCGCCGGGGATGAAGAAATTATCCTTGTTGTACTTGAGGGCGCATTTGCGAATCGCGCTGCTGATATCGGCTTGCGCGTCGACAGTCACCTGGGCCGTGTCAGCATTCAAGCAACTGTGCGACGCACTTGGCAACTTACCTGCACGCCCTTGTCAACGCGGAAACCATCAATGTCGAGATTCGCAATAACCATGCACGTAAAGCGCTCAATCCGAGCCCGAACGGGGGGGTGCCATTCACGCAATCTGTCCTGCACCGAGGCGAACTTGGCCAGCTGTCTCTGCCAGTCCGGATGGAGGCCAAAGGCCTCGATGTCGCCATACTGGTCAAAATCGCTGTTGTAACAGCCCCGGAGCTGCGATTTCACATCGGTGCCGACGGGGTAGCCTGTCTCGAGCCAAAACTGGGGGTAATTGCACGTCGCGTTGTATTCGTTGCCAAAGGAGAAGTCCATGTACTGGCGCCCAGACTTCCAGACGGCCTTGTACTCGGCGGTACTGAAGGGCGTTGACGAGTTGAGATAGTCTTCGAACCCGATAAGGTCTCCCAGTGTGCCCATGGTGTGATCCAGGATGACATGCATGCCACGCTTGTGGATCTCGTCGACGGCCGTCCGCCATTCATCCAAGGTGCCAAAATGGAAATCCAGGAGCGTCAGGTCTAGAGGCGAGTACGAGTCGGCCCCCCATGGCTGGTTGATGAAGATGGATCCTGCTATGTATATGACCTGTTGGAGCGTAAGTGCGTGTCGCGCGGGGCGGGCGCTGGGGGGCTCACCTTGATACCGATGCCGTGGATGTAGTCGAGCGAGTCGACCAGGCCCTGAAGGTCGCCGCCATGGCGGAGCTGGTTGCTGTAGACGTCCTGCTCGAAGACGGTGCCATTAAGATTATCGTTGGTGGGGTCGCCATTGGCGAATCGGTCGAGGAATATCGTGTACGTAGGGACTCGCCATGACGGAGGAGAGGCGGTCCAGTCGTGGTCGGTTCGCTCTCCCCAATAGTCGAGGGGATTTACGGCTGTGGTGTTTTGGTTCAGGTTGTACTTGGCAAGCGAGGCGTCGAACCGAAGGCCACAAACGAGCGAAACCGAGCTGAGATAAACGAAAGTTGCAAGCAGCCAGGCAGTGGGAAGCATCGTGCACTGCTTCATGGCTGCTGCTCAGAAACGAAAGACCATGTGCGCCGCGATAGAAACGAAAGGCATCGCAAGCACACTGGAAGCACGAGAGCGAGAGGATGCAGGAGCCAAGATGTGCTCGAGAGGCCAAAACCTGGCTTGGGCTGGCTGGGGACAGCAACCCCGGACCACAGACTAGGGCAAATTTGTTATCAGCCTGTGTGGTCAGGGGGGGGAGACGGCTTCCCCATGGGCGGCCAGGTCTGACGGGACGCCATCACAGCACGACAGGGGGTGCAGATGGCGGCGCACGGGGGCGATCACGACACCAGTCGCTTGGTCATTTTCCTTGCCATTGATAAGCCCGTACTCTGTATGGTACTAGTCTAACAGCTGCTCAGCACCTCAACCCCGACGAGAGGGCAGACTGTGCAGCCCGGAAAGAAGGTGGAATGGACCCAAGAAGACCGAGACACGCCCCCAAGACCCTGCATTGGCGCGTCTAGCCTCCACGTTGCTGCTGGCAGCCGCCAGGAAGAGACACACAGCAAGTACAAACAGCTAACGATGCGGGAAACACCTCAGCCAGCGTCCAGGTGCTGGCCAGCGTCGCAAAGCGGCACCGCGCCTGCGTTGGCTTAAGCTTGCAGCAAGCTGGCAGATTGGGCCATGTGCTGTGAGGGCGGCACCAAGGGGCGCCAATGCGGGCAGTCGTGTGTGACCGTGACCGGCGTCAATCCTTTTGCCGAAGATGGGACTGCCACTGAACAGACTGGCAATTGGGACGGCGAAGAGAGGCAGACAAGACGCTGCACACGAGACCAGGACATCCTGGTGCGGGCGCCACCAGCAAGATGTGAAGCAGGGCCGAAAAGGTCAGGTTGTATCCGGGAACAACCAGTTGCAATTTCTCGTAATTTGTGCCGAGATGGACGGCAATCGTGGAGGAAAGCGGAAGGAGCAATTCTGGCCAATGAATGGGTACTGAGCAGCCTTGATTTGCGGGCTCGCCAGGGGCGGCCAAGCAAAAACACATCATCGTGCCTCAATGACCCAGTCAGCCAGGTACCATCCCCACCTCCCACTGCACTGCTTCCGAAACCCAGAGCAGGAGGAAGCGACCAGAAACCAGATGTGGTGGGGAATCCTCCAGGCAAGTGGCAGGCGTGGAGCGTCCGCTCCCCGCTCCAGCATCAATCCAAACCTTGTTTGGCCGTTGGCTCCACAACAGGCTTGGTCGCGGGACCGTGCGTCTGCCGGGGTCAGAAGCAAGAAAAGCGGCCCAAAGCGACCCCGACATGGGTAATGATCTGATCCGCTTCTTATCAATACGAGAGAGGCCCTACATTTCGTTCACTCTATCGTACCGTGACTGACGGCGGGGCACGGCGGGGCCAATCCAGAGCCAGCTACCAATTTGCCATCATGTGGGTTGTCTGCCATTTCATCAATCAGCGCCCAGAAGAGCCCGCAACCAGGAAACACCCCCCGATTTTCCTCTGTCGCTGTGTTCGACAAATCCGTGAAGTTCCCCGTGTCTTGCTGTTGCCGATTATTCCCTCCTACTTTCGTGTCTTTGGTTCGTAGATAGCGACACGCAGGACCGGTCCGACAAGCGCTGCACCTCCAGGCAGTGTGCACCTCCTAGCAGGTCGGGACACCGGATAAGCCGGCTGACAGCTTGCGACACGAAGAGTCAAAAGACGAAAGCTCGCCGCCTCGCTGCGGCGTCCTCTCGCTGCAATGTTCTCGCTCGCCTTGTCGGGGCCCGTCGTGCTTGGTTCTGCTCGGTTGCCCCTTACTTAAATTCTCGCGAGGCCTTGAAATCGGTGCGCCAAGACTTTTGGCGAGCACCGGACCCGACCCCTTGGCGGCCGATTCGATTTCCGGCGGGCCACACACAACGGAGGACAGAGCACGCCAAGACGGCAGCCATAACGATCACCTAGCATGCGACTTTCCATTGCTCCGTAGCACAGCAATTCGTGCGCCGTTCTCGACGTCGGATTTTGGAGATGGCCAGGCGTTCAACCTCGGGCAACCTTGCGGTCTGCGCCGTCCTGCTAGCCCTAGCGAGCGTCTGTCTGGGGGCCACCGCAAGCCAGTGGCAGTCGCGCTCCATCTACCAGGTCATGGTCGACCGCTTTGCTCGGACGGACCTGTCAACGTCTGCGGAGTGCACGCTATGGGAGTTTTGCAACGGCACCTGGTCTGGCCTTATTAATGAGCTCGACTACATCCAGGACATGGGCTTCACGGCCATCCAGATCAGCCCCGTGGTCAGGAACATTGAGCAAGACACCTCAGTGGGCACCGCATATCACGGCTACTGGATGGTCGACATGTATGCCATCAACGAGCACTTTGGCACGGCTGCCGACCTGCTGCGCCTGAGCGACGAGGTTCACAAGCGTGGCATGTACCTCATGGTCGATGTTGTCGTTAACAACTTTGCGGCTGCTTTCAACAATACCGTGCCTCCGCCGGTCGACTTTTCCGTCTTTAACCCGTTTGATGATGCAAAGTAGTACGTCTTCCTCTGTCGACGGTGGAGACGAGATATGGAATGCGAACGAGCCTGGACTTTGCATGAGAAGCAAACATCCTGCTGACGTCGACCGCAGCTTCCACGAATACTGCAACGTCACCATATGGACAGACCCGCAAAATTACCAGAATTGCTGGCTATATCCGTATGGCGTCGCGCTGGCAGATCTGGACACCGATGCCCCGGCCGTTGTCGACATGATGCGCACCTGGGTTAAGGGGTTAGTGGCTAACTACAGCATCGACGGCATCCGCATAGATGCTGCCAAGCACGTCGACGATGCATTTTTGCCCGCCTTTGTCGACGCCGCCGGTGTTTTTGCGCTGGGCGAGGTGCTCACGGGCGTCACCGAAGACATGTGTCGCTACCAGACGCTTGGCCTGCTCACCGGAATGCCCAACTATCTCGAGTACTACCCGCTCAACGCCGTCTTCAACGGGCATAGCATGGAGGACCTGAACACGGCACGAGTCGGCGCACAGACAGGATGCAACGACACTCTGGTGTTGGGCACCTTTGTCGAGAACCACGACGTCCCTCGCTTCGCCGCCTCGGTAAGCGACATGGCGTTGGCAAAAAACGCCATGACGTACGTGATGTTGAACGACGGGATCCCAACTGTTTATCAGGGACAGGAGCAGCACTTTAACGGCAACGGAACTCCCTTCAACCGCGAGCCGCTGTGGAAGTCGGGCTACAACAAGTCGGCGCCGCTGTACAACCTGACATCTACGTTAAATAAGCTGCGCAACACGGTCATCGCGTTAAACTCGTCGTACGCTAACTCCTTGAGCGACACGCTGTTTGTTGATGTCAACCACTTGTGCCTGCGGAAGGGGCCCGACGGGAGCCAGATCGTCTTCTGTATCAACAACCAGAGCAGCGGTGGACCGACATACAATCTAAGTGTCGGCGGGTTCACCCAGGGCGATTCCGTAGTCGAGGTCCTGACTTGCATGGTCTCTGAAGCTGACTTCAACGGAAACGTAACGGCATACATGGGGCAGGGCGAGCCAAAGGTATTTGTTCTGCGCGACGCGCTGAACAAGACCGGCTTATGTCAGACAGTGACGCCGGCCGCTCCCTCCAACCCGGCCACCTCCCCAAACCCGAATGCGGCCGCAGGAAATCTGGCAGCCATCTGGGCGAGCACTGCGCTGCTCGCCACCGTGCTAAGCTGGGCCGTGTGGCTATTTGTGTGACGGAATCTCCGGTTGAGTACAAGGTTTGCTGATTTCCCTTTGGCATCGTCAACTCGCATGTATTACCACTACATATACTTGGTTATGGCCGGCCTCATCAATATTAGATCCGCAGCATTAATTCTAGATCTACCCAACTTCAGTTATGTTTCTCGTCCCCTACATTTGCCGTTCCATTCCTTCCTGGCCGCGCTGCCTGTAGCCCAATGCTGATCTTACAGCTGTAGATATATATATCACTGTCGTCGATAACGTGTGGTAGCAAGCTTGGTTGTTACAGCTGTTGCCCCTACAGGAAGTTGGAGGCGGACAGAAGCTTTTGACCCTGGTTATCTCTAGATGTGGCAACCGAAAAGATACAGCTTGCTGTCTCTGGGCGTTTCTTGGACAGAAGCAAGCTTTCTCACCGGGAGAAGTACTCCATTTCGAGGCGATCCCGATGCAACAGCGAATACTGCGAGACGATCCAACTCCCCATGTTGCCCTTGCGCGGCGGCTAGTTGCGCAGGCCCGGTGCAGCCCTGGACAGAGAATTTATTGGCCCCAGCATCGAAACTGGCCGAGTCCAGGCAGCAATCCTCGGAGCTACAGCAGCAAACTAATGCGAGGCGCCGTATCACAAGGACCCGGTCACGATCGTCGCCCCCGATATTGGGATGTGGAAGCCCAGCAATCCACAGCACGTCGCCGTTACCGACTCTCGCTGGGGCAGCGACCATCGCGGCTGTGATCACACCCAGTTTGGCGCGGGGCGGCGGTGGCGGCGCCGATGTAGGAGTCAGGGGGAGACATGGCCGGTTTGGTGCGCTAGCTTCAGCACCAAGACAGGACCGAAACGTTCTGGTTCCCCGCCACGCGGGTGCCCTCATGACATGGTGCTAAGGTTTCTTCATTAACGGTTTGTTCCGTGTGTTTCTCTCTAGTAATACAGCGTTTCTGTGGGATGAGAGACTAGGCACGAACCAGTTGACTGTCTGTCGCGCCCACGTCGTTCATTCTCGACAGGCACACCCTTTGCACGTGGAAAAATGAAGCGGCGACGGTGGGATAGGGTCCTCAATAGTTGCACTGTGGCTGTGCGACGATATGCATGGATGCGCATGGCCAAGCCCGCGCTTTGCATTCGCAGTTCATCTGGTTATTTGCGGAATCGGCGATTTAACTGACGGCTGTCGAGAAAGATTTTAGGCCGGGTGCTGGCACAAGGCCGCAGACGAGCTGCGTTGAACATGCGGATTTGTGTTTGCGAGGGGCGTAAAATGGCCGTGGCTTCAGTAATTGATGCAGCTGTGGTAAATAGCAATGGCACAATGCGCTACCATCTAACTGCATAAACAAGTCCCCTTCTGTTGCCGAGGTATTTAATGGTAGCCTATGGAAATTTCCAGATAGCAAATACAAATAAGTAAAAAATCCGAATACTGATGGTTGAAACGGAGCCAGATGCGGGCTTGAACTGAGCACCTCTCCAACTCTAGTTGGTATCAACATCCCGTCAGTTCCGTAACTACCACTTCGCCACAGCGCCAAAGAGCTCGTAACACCAGAAGGGCATTTTAGATCCGCTCACTAGCATCCCAGCATTCACAGGATAGAGCTGAGAGCCGAGAGCCAAAAAGAATCGGATGAAAGTCGACAGTTACAGAAGCAAAATTTTAAAATGGAAGAAAAATGGAGGATGAAAGCGAAGGTGTGATGGATAATCAGTATACCATTGATTTCAGCTACTTCGCTGATAGTATGGAGAAGTATGGTGGTATCTAAAGGCTGCTGCAGTCAGCAGTAGCCGTTCTGCTTACGTATCCGCCTTCTGCGCTGAAAGCGCGGCCGGCTCGCAGACTCAGCCACAACGACGTGTGCACGACAACAGTCACCTCAGCACCTTAATTCCACCACGGGCAGAGACGAGAGTGGACGAGAGTGTTACAATAAGTGGCTTGTCCCGCAAGGCTACCATGGGCCATGGTCAATGTGCAGCCTGAGGCGCAAGTTCGGTGCACACCTGCCGAATTACTTCCCAGCTCTCACCTCGGCCCCGCCAACGCTTCCCTAACCGCTCGGTGGAACACGCATCAACGGCGACAAGTCGCCGAACAAGGCAGCAAACCACCCCCGTGGCCGCGTACGTGTCTCTCGTAGATACACGTGTTTTAATTGGCAGCCTTGGCCGTGACGGCATGGATCGGCTCGGACTCGGGGCTCGTCGGCCGAAGCGTATTCGCCAACGCGGATAGATCATCCATCCCATCCCATCGCATCCCATGCCATCGCATCCCATCCCATCCCATCCCATCCCATCCCATCCCATCCCATCCCATCCGCCCCGCACCAGATCGGTGGCCCTGTGCGTGAGATCGTATGCCCCGGGTGAGAACCCCAAGCCGACAACGCGCGCGCCAACCTTATTGCATCTTGACTCTTGAAATGCTGCCGAGTATCTGTCAGCCACGCGGGTGCCGTAATTGGCTTTAGCTTAAACCCACGTGCTGGCTGGGCTGACGCGCATTGCCCATGTGATTATAGTTTGCGGCGACTAGAGACGGTGTGCGTTTTGCTAGGGCTGTCGGATCTAGGCTTCCTGTCGCCTATTGCGGATTTCCTCGTGCTGTGGGTGTTGAGTCGGTTGATTCAAGGTGCTGTGGGTGTTGCGTTGGTTGATTCAAGATGCTGTGGGTGTTGAGTCGGTTGATTCGAGATCCTTGGAGGCGTTGTGCTGTGAGGTTTCGGCTCCCTCCTGTCGCGGTTCAGTCAGAGACAGCTCCGAGTCATTGTAAGCATTACGAAGTTAAATTTGGACCCTGCACTTTGTTTTCATAGAGTCTGGGTAACTGAAGCTACAGGTATGTGCAAGTCTTGACTCGACTATAAGCTTGTTAAGTGACTTCACTCTCATTAGAGCACTTAGCCAACTCCATAGTGTATTGCCTGATGATTGCACCGGGCCGGTTAAAGGGGCAGACACATCTTTATCCGCGCGGGACCTGACGTCCCTTGGGCCCGTCAAATGCATATTCAATCCGCTGTTATGGCAGGGGGGCATCGCAGCTGGCTGAACGGAAGATATCGCACACAGAGGCGTTCCTTATGAAATACAAGTTGTGGGTAGTTTTGACTTCAGCTCTGAATGAAAATCGCGGCATGCCGTGACACACGAAGACCTGATTCGCCATGCTGCCTCAACTTTCACGCCTTCTTCTGTCTGCAGCCGTTTATTCTCTTACCATTCTCACAACAGCCCAGGCCAGCAACAATGCAACGCCTATCCCGCTCCCGTCCTTCGGGAGCCCGCCCGCACCCTCGCGGCCCAAGTTCCGCTACTGGCTGCCCGACGCCAGCGTTGCAGCGTCGGCGGTGCAGTCCGATATCGCGGCCGTCGCCGATGTTTCCGGGGGTGGCGTCGAGTTCCTCGGCTTCTACAACTACGGCTTCGGGCCCCTGTCGACCGACTGGTCCGTCTACGGCTTCGGGACCCCGGCCTTCAAAGCCATTCTGAAGGCCGCGCTCAACACCAGCGCCGAGCGCGGCCTGGTGTTGGACATCGCCGTGGGCCCGGCCACCGGGTCCGGCGTGCCGGCCGTCCCCCAGACAGAAGGGCTCGCCATGGAGCTCGTCTACGGCGCCAAGACGGTGCGACCGTCGGAAAAGGTCGGGACGCTCCCTGCGCCCGCGCTGCAGTTCAACCACCAGCCCCTGAACGGCTGGGTGCACGAGCCGGAGAACTGGGGACCCAGTCAGCTCGTGGCTGCCGTGGCGGCACAGGTGGTGAGGAGGACCCGCGGGAGAGGGTCGGCGGAGCAGGTCGTGCTTAGCGAAGGGAGCGTGGTCGACATTACCAATCTGACGACTCCGAGCGGCGTGGTTAACTGGTCGCCTCCTGCTTCTCCCGCGGGCCAGCAGTGGGTGGTGCTGGCGTTTTACCAGCGGTTTTCCAACGAGAGGAGCTGCACAACGACTGCGGGCGCGTCGACGTGGATTGGGAACGGGTCGTGGGTTGTCGACCACTTCAGCGCGGCCGGCGCCAAGAAGGCCACCGACTTTTGGGACCAACATCTTCTCGACGACCCTGAGATTGATGGCCTGCTGGGCAACGTGGGCATGTACTGTGTGTGCCACTTCTCTTCAATATTTTCCGTGTCTTTCTGCTTCTTGCTAACAGCCCTCGGAACGCAGCTTGGGAAGACTCCATGGAGATGATGGCGCCGCTGTGGTGGACCAGCGACTTTCTCGCCCGGTTCGAAAAGGGGCGAGGGTACAGCGCCGTCAAGTCTCTGCCAGTCTTCTTCCAGGCCAAAAACCTGTGGAACAGCTACGGCGAGCCGTACGACACGTCGTACTCGTTTGACGGCCAGCCATCCGACGGCGGCAAGTACGCGGAAGACTATCGCACGACTTTGAACGAAGGCTACCAGGACTTTCTAAGACAGTATCAGAAGTGGGCATCGGCTCGGGGGATGGAACATTCGGCCCAGCCCGCCTACAACATGCCGCTGGACATGGTGAGTCCGACCACTTTGTCGAGCCTTTTAGACGTCTGATAGTTGCTGCTTGAGGCTGGTGCTGATGAAGCAGTCGTCTACCGTCCCCCTCGTTGGTGCCCCTGAGCTCGAGTCGCTCGGCTTTGGCGAATCCATCGAGTCCTACCGCCAGTTCACGGGCCCTGCACACCTGTTCGGGAGGACACCGATCTCGACCGAGATTGGCGCAGAGCGGGGTGGTGCCTACGCGCAGACGGTGCCCGGGCTCCTCAACCTCTTCCGTGACTCTTTTGCGGCGGGGGTGAACACGCTTGTGGTTCACGGTTTTGCGTATGGAGGTCCCTACCCGGGCACGACGTGGCCCGGCTACACGCCATTCCAGTACGAGTTCTGCGAGATGTGGGGGCCCCGCCAGCCAGCCTGGCGCCACCTCAATGATTCTTTGCTGTATGCGGCAAGAAACAGCGAAGTCCTCAAGACGGGCGTCCCAAAGGTTGACCTGGTGTTTTACCAGTGGAAACACCCCTGGACGTCGAGGCCAATATACCCGAAGTCGGACTTGAACGAAGCTGGTGTGTTTTCTCGCTGTCTTTGTCGTCGTCTCGCCAACTGTCAGTCTGACCGGTGACAACTAGGTTATACGTACGAGTATCTCGGCCCAGAAAATCTCGCCTCCACCGACGCGCCAGTAAAGAAGGGGATATTCGCTCCTGACGGCCCTGGCTACAAGGCCATCGTCTTGTACGGGCAAACCAAGATCACCCCTTCAGCGTCAGCTGCACTGTTGAGGTTCGCTCAGGCAGGGCTGCCCATCTTCGTCGTCGGCCCGGCGCCAAATACAACAATTGGGGTAAGCGGCCAAGAGATGGTCACGCAGAACATGGCCAAGCTTGTCGGCGGCAGCTTTCCTTCCGTCAAGGTTGTCTCGGTGCAGGCGTTTGGCTCGGGAGTTCTGCAGGACGCTGGGGTCCTGCCTCGGGTCACAGCCGAGGCGCTCGACGGCGCCAACAATGCCACTCAGATCTACACGCACTGGCGCTCCAGAACCGACGGCAATGGCCGACTCGAGCTCGCATACCTTCTCAACCGCGGTCCCGCCACCACGTTCAGTCTTGCCTTCGCCGTCTCAGAGAAAGCGGTACCCTTTGTTCTGGACGCGTGGACGGGAGAACAGACTCGACTGTTGACATACCTACGGACGAGCGACAGCATAACGGCGAGGCTCAGCTTGGCCCAGCAGCAGTCAGCCATCCTGGCCTTTGTGACGCCCAGCGGTGGTGGAGTCGATGGCGACGGCGTGCCGCTGTACGTCGTCTCTCGTTCGCCAAACGTAGAGCGTCTCTCGACGGACAAGGACGGCCACATCGAAGGCCTGATCAGCGACGGCGGCGAGGCGAGTGTGTTGCTTTCGGACAACAGGGAGATCGACATCCCTGCTCTCGCCGGGGCCGACTCGCCATCCCTTCCCGCCACAACACTCGGCCCGTGGAACCTCACAGTCGAGTCATTCGCGGCCACGGCGTCATTGAGCACCAGCTCGGTGTCGGCCAACAAGACAGCGATCAAAGTCGCCTCAGCGCTGGCAACGCTCGTCCCGTGGACGCGGATCGCCGGGCTCGAGAGGGCAAGCGGAGTCGGACGATACCGCACTACCTTCACCCTGCCACCACGACCAAGCAACGGCACCGAGCTGGCTTACACGCTCCATTTCACAGGGCGGGTGCTCAACACGATCCGCGTGCGCGTCAATGGGGTCTTGGTGCCGGCCATCGATGTCGCTGCACCGGGCCATGGCAGGGACATTACGGGCTTGTTGCTGTTGGACGACGATGGAGGGCAAGCGGCGAGGTCCAACGAAGCAAAAATGGGGACGAGTTTGGACGATGGGATGCGGAGGAGGCCCAGCGATGGGGCCGAAGTCGGGGCCGGAGGAAGAACCAACGAAGTGGAGGTCGAGGTGGCCAGCACCTTGTTCAACGCCGTCAAGGCGCGCATGGGGGACCTGAGGAGCATCGGCCTGCCCGTCCACGTGCCGCACGACTACGACCAGGTGCCGTATAGCCAGTTCGGTCTGTTGGGCGAGGTTGTCATCCGGACGTGGAGGAAGGTGGCACTTTCATGAGGGGCGCGATTGCGGCCTGGCCCCTGAACCCCTGAACCCCTTGTATGCATGCCCCCTTGTATGCATGCCTCCCTTGTATGCTTGCCTCCCTTGTATGCTTGCCTCCCTTGTATGCTTGCCTCCCTTGTAACCGACACTCATCTCTCCGGGTTAAAGAATTCGTCTGGCGATCCAGCTCGGGCATGATACCGGTGACAGTAGTGCCGTCGTGTGAGCAGGAAGACAAGGAACGTAAAACTTCGCGCCTCTCCAGCAAACGCAACGTTTTCGGCACTTTACACAGTAGATACAATACAACTATGCACCTGCGCCTCGGAGGTGATTCATCTACCTACATCTGTGCCAACGGGTATCAAGTTACAATTACATCACAGTCGTTAATAAATCTTCCGCCCGCTATTACCCTTCCCACCCTCTTTTTCTTGCCCCTTTCACCACTTCCACCCCACCCCGTCAGGCATGACTATCCAGAGAAGTCCCCGAGTGACCTAGATTCCAGCACCCCAAGAGCCACCAACTGCGCCGCCGCCGGTCTCCATCTCAAAGCGGCCCAGGTTCTCCTGCCAGGCCTGCCAGTCAAACCCTTCGTCCATGTTCAGGTCTACTTCCTCCGGGTTAACGCTCGGGAAGCGAAACACATCTGGCGCCGAGGTCTCGGGCCACAACCACGCAGGTAGCTCCTCCGTTGGAATTGGCTGCTGCTGCTGCTGCTGCTGCTGCTGTCGTTGTCGTTGTTGTTGCTGCTGTTGCTGTTGCTGTTGCTGTTGTTGCTCTTGTTGCTGTTGTTGTTGTTGTTGTTGTTGTTGTTGTTGTTGTTGTTGTTGTTGTTGTTGCTGAGTGGGGTTATTGTCATTCGTCGCCATCGTGGTCCCTGCTTGGGTCATTAATGGCCCACCACTAAAGTTTCCGGCTTGCGACAGGTTGGCCGCCACAAACCCAGACACGATGGAGCTATCCACGCCAATGTCGGATCCTCTGTTCCACATACTTGCGAAATCCTGGGGGTTAAACGAAGCAGGGCTGGACATGGCCGCGTTCACGTATTCCATGAATGCTGGCAGGGCTGTGCTGCTGGTCTCTGCCCCCAGGCCCATCCCCACCGTGTTTCCCTGCCGTATGAGGGGCGAACCTTTATCCTCAGACTGCACTGGAGCCTGCATGGCTCCTTTCGGCCGCGGTGGAGCGTTGACTAGCTTGCGCCAGCGCTCGTTTGCGGCTACGCACTTAAGAGACCCTGGAAGCGCATTGAGGCTTTGCGGCGTCATCCTCCACTGATCTTCGCAATCAAGCTTTTCCACCGCCTGAGGATCCGCCCGCAGCCGGGCAATTTCCGCCTCGCGGTGCCTCTTGGCCTTAATGTAAAGCTTTCGGAGAGGACTCCAGATGGTCATGTGGTCTGCAAGCTTCTCGATTTCCGACGGCTTGGGGGCTGCGCACACCAGGTTGAGCGCCTCCCAGGCGCGCTCGACAGAGGCGCTCCACGGCCGATGCCCCGCCTCTATCAGGGCATAGGCCACGGCCTGCCACTGTGTATACGTCTGGAACAGCCAGCGCCACGGTTTGCACCGAAGGTCGGTATTAAGGATATGGCTGCATTCAAAGACTTCGATGGCAGAAATCAACAGGCGTGCGCGTATATCGGCGGAGAGGTGTTCGTTTCCCGGGCCTGGAAACAAGACGGGTTGGTATATCACAAGCGTCATCTTGGCAACGATGACTCTGATGATGATGGCGGCTACCCAATACATGGGTTCGTCAGAGTGTCCTTGGAGATAGTCTCTGTGTAACCGCTGATAAAGATCGTTCAGCAGCGCTTCTCGCTCTTCCAGCGAACACGCCGCATCACGAGGACAGAGAGACGCCATGGAGGATGACGCCATATGCAGGCGTCGCACGAGAGCGCAGATCTCGAAGCGAATTAGCGAGAAGGTCAGATCTGTGTGGCCGCGCCTTGGTTTCGGCGGTTCCTTGCTGTCCGGCGAGATGTCGCTGTCGTTAATGTTGAGTGGGAACTTGGTGTCAAAGGCACGTTCGACGAGTGTAAGATCGGTTCCTTGGTCTTCGGCCGACCGAAGATCGAGCATGCATACACCCCAGAAGAGGCGCCGCCGCATCTCAATCTCGAAGGGCGTAAGATTCGGAAAGTGCGTCCCGTCGCGGTGAAGCCCCAATGCCTGACTCATTCGGATGAGGAGGCTAGTCAACGTCCAGGTAAAGCGCGTGTCATCGTGCCGGCGCACCAGGACGAGGAATAAGAGGAAGGCCTGGGCAACTGTGATATCAGGCGTGGTCAAAAAGCTCGCCTTGGCCAGGGCCTGCTCAAGCGCGAAGCGGTACTGTTGGGCCAAGACAGACTTCTCCGCTCCAAAGTTTAGGCGCACCTAGCCCAGTATTAGCAAAGCGAACCGCAAAAGAGCGCGAGAACGGCCTACTTCGTCTTCCTCTAATGCCGTGATCGAGGCATAGTAAATGGAGAACATCAATGCCTCGGTAGGGGGCGTCAGGCTGTCCATGTTGTTGCGGAGGTCTCGCATGAGCTTCGTCACCGTTGGGACGTGGAGGATCTTGAGGATGGGATCAATGTTCTCCTGGTAAACCTGCCACATGAAGGGTATCTGGGAGGGTAGGGGGTGGAGGGGTCGTAGGTCCACGTCGGCGGAGCGGTATCCCATGACGAAGGACTGGTGGTCTGTCGTGTTCTTCTCCGGATACGTCGAATCTGGGGTGCCCTCTTCGTCCGACTCGTCAAAATCATCATCAGTAAGGTGGTCAGCCTGTCGCCGTATCTCTTCCAACTGTACGCAAGATTAGCCTCTAGTATGTGGTGCGTCAGCCCAGCAAATGGAACGCGGCTTCGTACCTCGTCATTAACGTTGGACCAGAACCCGCTGCTGACGTATCGTGCGCCTCCTTTTTCGTTCAGCAGCAGCCGTCCGAAATGGGTATGAACATCGGATGATGTTTTCCTCTGGGGTTCGGAGCCTGGGGTGTTGCTAGACACCGCACTGCCTGGCGTCTTTGATAGCCTTGCCGCTGCCACCGCACTCATGGTCGGCGAGTCTTGGCTGTAGTTGCTGCCGTTCAGGCTCACAGCACTGTCCCCGGCGCCGTGGCGCACTCCTCCCATGTGCGTGTCCTCGTGCGACCCCGCCACATGGTCGGGCGAATTTCCCGAACTCGAAGGATGTCGCACCGCCTCAAGCTCGATCTGGCCGCTCAGTTCTTCTACGATGCCTTCTAGCTTCCGCAAGCGTTTCACCAGCTCCAGTTCTCGCTCGCTCGACGGTTTTGCGGTCGCGTTCGGCTGCTTCGGACGCGGGCGGCGCGGGGCCCTTCCTGGCGCAGGAAAGATGCACGGGATCTGGGCTCTCCGGCAATTGGAGCACGGCATTTGCTTATCGCAGCGCACCTTCGTTCAGTAGTTAGCAGGCACGCCCAAACGCGACCAGGAACAAGTGGCTAGTGGCTAGCCATGTCGTTGGAAAGCGAGAGCCGAAAAGGGGGGATGGTACTGACCTTCCTCCTGCGACATGTTACGCAACTACGAGGGTTAAGAATGCCCAGGGGAGGGGCGGAGGGGGAATAGACAGAAGCACCTGGGGGTGGGCGGCGGGCGAGGGCTTGGATCTGCTGAGCATCGTAGCCGGCATCCGGGGGACTCTGCGCGGCGGCCCCGTCGGCAACTGGGCTCCCATGGGCGCTGCCGCCTCCCGCATTCGAACTCTCGTCTCCCGTCATGGTGGATTGGCGCCGCAGACTTCGGCGTTCGACGAACAATATTCCCAGGTCTTATGTCCGTGCCTAAAGCAGCGGGGTCGATGGTCGAGTGTTCGATGGTGTGGAAGATGAGGGACAAACCGACGTCGATGGCGCGCATGCAAAAACCGCAGATGAATCAGCGCAGCATGTGCGCAGCCCGTCTGTCTCAGCAGCTTGTTCCTTCTCCTTTTTCCGGGGTTTGCGGGAGCGTGCCAGCGACTTATCGTGGAATTTTAAGCGATAAGGCAGCTTGTCTTTCAGCGGTTCTCGAACTAGGTAGATCTTTACGTTTAAGAACTTGAGAAAAGACTGGCGCCTTGGCGATGCAGAGCGCTAGAGGGGTAGGTACGAAGTAACAAGGGCGGGGCGTGGTGATGATGTTTGGGCACTGGGCAGTAGGCGCTTGGCACTGGAGACTGGGACACGAGCGGCGGTCAATGCAGGTTGCCGGGCTGGTGACTGGGCACTGGACAGCTCGGAATTAAGCCAATGCTACCAATACGCAGCCGAATACCTGAACTGTTCTCTACTTCCGCCGACATCGTCCGAAGCCCCGAGCGAGGATGCCTTTGACATACCGTATTTGGCGAGTGCTGAAGCCGAGTTCTCGAATGCACATTTGCACAGAAACGCCCTTCTCGCACTGTTCTCGGGCTCGATGACGCATCTGCTTTGGCCAGTCCCCAATAATTCCCCGCAGTTCTTGTACAACATTGGCCAATTATGAGACTGAGAACTTTTTGGAATAAGATGCTAAAATGCGGTATTACGGAATACAGAATGCTCTCGTGATGAGGCGCCTGGTACATACACGGTTCAGAGCAAACCGGGAAGCCCACCGGGAAGCCCACCGTATTATCCCTTAAGAAAGTGCGCATCCATTACAGGTTAAGCATCCTCCTCCGTCCACTAAGCGTAGAACGTACGCCAAGCCCACCCCGCTCAAGACATTCCCACTTGGAATTTGTCAGCCAACAATCTAACTCGAAGTATTACAACGGTCCTGCGTATCATAGTTTCGCCGGATTGTCAGGGCTTTGACCACTATCACCAATAACAACCTCCTTGCCGTTGGTTTTGTTGTTCAGCTTCCTAAGCACAGTCTTTCGGTCACAGATTTATCAACCCGAAGATAGCAATACGCGTATTAGTTATCAACTGGGGAGGCGGGAAATCAAAGATAATATAGGTACTTCTGACAATACGTAGATGCAGCGATTCGAAAAGGCGAAAGATTGCCAATCACAATCATTCCTTAAATAGGCTCTCGATATTAGCATGCTCGCCGAGGAGGTTTATGATAGGCAGAAAGAATCGTTCTTTGCCTTCCTCGCTGCTCGTAAGCTCCTTGATTTCCGACCAAGTTGTCCAATACCATCCCTCGCACTTTTCAGGCTCCATCGTCTGCAAAGAGAAACAAATCACGACGCCCCGTCAGCGTTCATGACTACAGTCTCAGTGGCAGCCTAGCACTGCCGGGATGAAAAAGGAGAGGTTCTTGAGAAGGAACTGAACATGATAGGCTTCACATTAAACAAGACGGAAAGGCTCCACCGACTCACCTCTGGCTCTTGTGTCTCATCTAGCCGCCGGCAGGCCACAAACAAGGTAATGTAATGCTTCGCCGCGGGATCAAAAACGTCGTTTGTCACGGCAACGAGCTTCTCGGCGCGAACCCGCAGGCCCGTCTCCTCGAGCGTCTCGCGCTCTGCGCACTCGAAGAAGCTTTCGCCTACTTCGAGGTGGCCGCCTGGGAACTGCCGCTTGCCTATAATTCCATGAACGTGTCAGTGACTAGTGATTTGGGTAGTTCTAAGAATAAATAAAGAACTGTTTGATGAGGATATCAGATACATGCTCAGGAACCAGGTCCTGATAAGTCACATGAGTTTAAACAGTTTCCGTCAAACTCGACACTAAAAGAAATATATCAAATACCCGCGCTGGAGCCTTTTCTGACCCCCATGACCAATTTCCCATCTGCGCTCCTCACGACGGCGGCGACGCCGACTCGGACGACTGGAACTTGCGAGTTCATGATTGGCCGATATCAGACCGGCGTTGTTGTTTGTTTCTAGAAATGAGAAAGATTCTTGAAAGATATGTTGATTACAGGAAGGATATGTGTTGGAGACACGGTGGGTTAATATGTTGGCTAGCCGTGCTAAGCTTTTTGGCCGAACGGTTTGAGAGGGCGGGAGTGAGTAAGTGAGTCACTTTCCAGATTTCCAAAACTTGGCAAGCCGGGAAGCTAACTTACAGAGGTAGGAAGCCGCCTGCTGGAGAGCTTGACAGGCTTGGCAGTACTAGCGGTTGGCTCTGGGAAATATTTCGCCTTACTCCGCAGATCCCACGGATGGATACCCGACCTATGGAATACTCCATATAGAATTTAGTGCTCCATACCGTATACATGTTGTAGATGTAAATATGTATGTACTGTACAACCTTTACGTCCGTACGGATCTTAGTAGCGCAGCCCGGAAGCTCCGGGCTCGCATCGGCAATTGCTGCCGTCGATTTCTGCTGCGGCTCCACCGTCTTAAGCCGAGCCAAGCTAGTGTGAAAAGACCAAAAAGGGGGGTTGAGATGCAGCGTTGCACACATGACACAGGCCTGAGAAAACCATCTGCAACCAATCCCGCAGCGGTGGGAAAGGAAACAAAGTTCTAGAACCCACATGCGGATGGATACTTTAGGTGCCACAAAACTCGGCCCTGTCTCTCAGCTTATCCATACTTTGACTCCTTTACTGCAGCTCTGCTCAACAAGAACAAAAACCAACCCGGCTGGCGCAATGGTAGCGCGCAAGACTTCTACAAACACGAGAAATTGTGGATTCTCTTAGAATCAGTTACTACATCTTGAGGCTGTGGGTTCGAGTCCCACGTTGGGTGCGTTTTCTTTGCGTTTTCTTTTTTGCTTTTCTTGTTTTTTTTAAGTCTCCAGTAGGTTGGTTCGTCCGTTCTTCTGCTTGTTTGTCTTGGACCATTTAAACGCGGCTCGTGAAGATGTCTTCGGAGTGCATTCATTGCCAGGCGATAAACGACGACGCAGCATCCCAAAACCAATGTGAAATAAAATATTTACTTAATGTTGAATCTTCAATGTAATCTGCAAACCTGTAACATCCAAAACCATTTCAAAAAAAGGGTATCAATCCCTGTCCCAGCCGACCAGTAAATATCCAACAGTGTCCGCCTCGTCACTCCTTTCTCTACCATCTAATTAGACCCCATGCCTGTCTATGTTTGTTACGTACATTATGCACAGCCCAACCAATGCCAGCCTAGTCCCTGATACAATATCGTCTGGTCGTTAGGCACGTATGTGTCGGTCATCATATCAGTCGTCATTTCCAACATCCCCCTCTAGAACATGCAGCGGAACCAAGGCTCTCTCGCCTGTAATTATCTCAGCCCGCCAACCCCTTTCTCGACAACAAATCTCACTGCCTTCCGCGCCTTACGGCTGCTGGCACCTTTGGGCGGGATTACCGGCCGCATAACCGGCCCGGGGCCGAGAACTTTGGCGTGTCCGGAGCCTCGTTGAACGGCAACGCTGATACCGCCACCCACGCCACCAGGCCCCATCTTCCCACCCTGAGGAGGAGGGATCCTAGCGCTCGCAATCTTCCAGCCGTCGTCTTTTAGTCCCTGGCCGCGTTCGTCGAATCCCCACCGCGAAACACCACCACCGTGCAGCCAACCGGCTAGATTCTTGCACTGGCTGACATCGATCCATTCAAGTCGTCCGCATCCTTCTAGCACATTCTCGACTCCGTTGCCAGTGACTCTAACACAGCCTCGGACGCTCAAGCCTCGCAGTTCGTTTAGATGGAGCGCAACACAACCCAGGCTAGCATCGCTGACGGCGCTGCCGCAGAATGCGAGCCTCAGCTCTCGCAGCATCGGCAGGCCCAAAGCAACCACTTCGGTTGCCGTGTCAGATAGTGCACAGCAAAAACTGAGGTCTAGGTGCGTGAGGTTCTTGGCCGCACTGACAAGGGCAACTATGCTGTTATCCGACAGGTAGGTGCAATCAGCAAGACACAGATGGGTCAACTCGGTGAAGCGGTACGGAGCCCATGACTGAAACCCTGCGTCGGTGATAGCTGTGCAACGCGTTAGCGACAGGGATTGGAGCCGGTTGCAGGCGTGGGCAGCCAGGTGCACCATGGAGCGGTCGGTAATGTGCTTGCAGTAGGAAAGATTGAGGCGTTTAAGTCTTGGGCATCCGATGACAGTGCCCGGTGGAGGAGGAAGCAGAGCTGTTGGTGGGCCTCCGTTCGGTTTCTCTGGTCTCTGATTCTGTGACCCCCTCCTCCCCCTGGCCGAAGAACTTGAGATGACGACGTTCTTGTTTTCACGAGGCGGTAATGTTTCCGGGACAACCCACCCCACCACTCTAGCAAGAAGATTGTCGCCAACTTTGCGGCAGTTGCTCCAGTCCACCTCTTCGAGTCCTTTTGCATTCTCGCTCATGTCAAGAATCTGGCCTGCAGACACGTCCCACACACTCCTCATCCTCCATATCTTGATGTTCTTGCCACACATTTTCCAGAGTGCTTGGAAGCCTTCGTCGGTGATGTGAAAGCAGTTGCTGATGTCAATCTCAGTCGGTCGCGTGCCAATAAATGGGGCTAGGATGTTGGCCAATGACCAATCCGTCACTTTCCGGTTGATCGGGCTGAGATCGACATATGTGCAGAGCTTCGGACACTCGGTGAGCAGTCGTCTCCAGTTTTTAGAGACGATTCTCAGCCGAATCATCTCAACAAGATCTAGGTGGTCGAAAATGGCAACCAGGACACCATCGGGAAGCAAAGGCCTCTCCCATTTGTCTAGCATGTGCGAACTTTGAAGTATTTTTGCGCGCTTGGATGGCATGGGGGAGTCATCGAACGGCAGCGCAGTAAAAGGCGCAAAAATCCTGGTGCCCTCGATCCCGTTGGGCTTGACACCGCTTACGATGGGCGACGAGTCCGTCTGGGGGGTTGGAGGGGCGAGGGAGTTGCGTCGGCGGTTGCGGAGGTTTTCCATATCTACGCTTAAGAAAGGGTCGGGATCCGATGGCTGCCTTGTCTCAGCTTCGTCCTTTGTTGGCGAGCCAGGTTTGGAAGGCGTAGTAAACGTGACCTGCGGAACCGTGACAGACTGCTTCGACGGCGTTGGCGGCTCACGGCCTGGAAGACCATTGCTCACGGCATCGGCCATCTCGACGTCTTCATCAGACGAGCGATATCGCTTCCTTGCGGTCTCTTCAACCTGAGATTTAATCTCGGGCGGACAACGCCTCCAGAGCTCATCCAAAGCTTCCCCACCAATGATGAGGCACTCCACAGCGGTGATCGACCGTACCGTCGCCGTCCTGCCCTCGGAAAGCCCTAGACTGGCCACCTCTCCGAAGTACTGCCCTTGCTTTAACCGTGGCCGAGAATAGGATGACCGGGTTACGCGCTTCTGACTGGGCGGGCTCGACAGCTCGTGAATCACTTCGGCCTCACCACGGACAATGAAGAATATCTCATTGCCGGGGCTGCCTTGGCGGATGATGTCGGTGAAGGGAGAGTAGGATTTTGGCTGTGCGTTGAGACCAAGAACGTGTAATGCGTCGGGAGGTAGTGTTGAGAATAGAGGCAGTTCTTTGAGTGTCTTGCGAACGTTGACGTAGCCGCTTCCCAGCGCGCTGCCACCGACGGCAGGGTCTTCGATCGCACCGGGGCTTGGCGACTTACGCTTCTTGGTGTTCACTGCAACCCCCTCTTTGATGATGCCTACCTCCCCCGTGTTGACTTTGCCTGACGCCGCCTCGTGCGACAGTTTAGAGGCAGTGCTATCGGGTAGCTTGGTGGCCTGTCCATTTTCCTGGCGCTTCTTCTTGAGGATGGTCAATCTCTCTTGGGCCTCCTGTCGAATTGCCTTCTCCATTTCGGGGTACTTTGGTAGCTCAGCCTGGAGGTCCTCTTTCTTGAGAACCACAAGCAGGCATTTTGTTCTCGCAATGATGGTGGCAGTTCTTGGAATGTCCATGAGCACGCCGATCTCTCCAAAGAAGGCGCCCGGCTTGAGTTCGGCATAGACGGCCTCGCCATCCCGGGAGGTGACGGCAACGACGCCACGGACTAGCCAATACATTGCTTTTGCTTCGTCTCCCTCGCTGAGGATATGGTCGTGGGCCGAGTTGATTTGGGGTCTGAGATGTGCGCCTATGGCAACCAGAAAGTCTTCCGGGGCAGACATGAAGAGGGGAAAGGATCGGATGCGGTCGACTAGGTCAAGCGGCATGTCTCGAATGGTCGAAGCCGTTAGCGGCGAGGGGCGCATGGGCCGCGTCGGGTTCGTCGCCACATTGAATGACCTGATGAGTGAGGACACAGAATCCTGAACCTGCTGCTGTCCCGTCTGGGCACTCGCGGTATGGTGGGTATGGTGGTGCGCCAGCGCCCGGTAGGGCGAGGCCGGAGGAGTCGGAGCACGGTTCCGTCGCATGATGTCTCGGGCAGGGGCGGGAGAAGCCCCCCCAAAAGCCGAAGGTCGACTGCGCGGTGTTTGGAAGGTTCCGAAATTCCCAATCCGCAATCGAAAAAGATATTAAGGTCAGGAAATGACGTCTCCCGTCCCGCTGTCCCGTAAATTGTGGAGGGGTCGGCTAGATCGAAATTAGGCGGGCAGCTTTCATGCTATAACCAACCCAACAACGACTTCCCCACACAGAAACGTGAACCACGGCAACGTCTGGGGAAGCGGCTTGTGCTCTCTTTCGTCTTGTCTACCTATCCGTGGCGCGTGAGGGGAAGACAAGACGCTCGGTTTCGCCGAGAGAGTTGGAAAATTCCCGGTTTGGCTGTCGCGGAAGAAGTCACAGGGCCTGGAGATTCGGGTGCCGAAATTCTCGACCTGATTCCTGCCTGGGTCCTAGAGGTTTGCCCTCGGTTTGCGTTTGATGTTTCCTTCGAAGCGTCAAGCACGGCGCTGGCGCATTGTAGCACTGGGGGGGGGGGGACGTGGCTTGATTTGATCGCAGGCTTCTGTAAGTTCGAGGTAGATGGGGATCTAGAGGAGAACTTGGTCAGCGTCAATGCCTCTGTCGGTCGTGTGTTTCCTCTCTCCGGCATCGCTTACATGGTGTGGACGAGTTGAAACGCAAAGAACAACGCCGCAACGAGGGATGGAAGGACGGATTTGGAGATTCCAAGATGTGGGGTAATAGCAGCTCGGGATGAATAGATCGGGCAAGATCAGCCAGCGAGTCGGGTTGCGTTTTGGCTGAAGACAGGCGCGCACGTCTGGGATGTGAGAGAGACGGGAACAGGCGGGGGGAGAGTCTGTCGGTGGGTTCTGGACGCTGAGCTGGCGGGACCAAGATGTCTCGATGCCTCTCGTCTGGGGAGCGCGGGGCACGTCCCGGCATCCGCCTCGATGGGAATTTAGATGCCTCAGCGCTCAGTGCGACGAAACATCCACCGACACCGCGGGCGGCGACAAGTCCGACAAACAGGGGCTAAAATCGCGGCAGGGCGTTGACATGGCGATATCTCATGGGGAGGTGTGGGATTTTGGAGCGGACGGCGTCGGCTGCCGGCTTGAAGTGCTTCCAGAAGTTTGCAGTGCAAGTTGGCGCCAGACCTGTCAGCACAGCACGGGAGGATGCTGCAGCTCAGCCCAGCTCTTTGATGCCCCGGGTCCGCCTACAAAGTCCGTCTGGCGGTCCGAATGGCACCTCTTTGAAGCCCAAGTTAAGTTTGATGTGTGTTTTGACGTGCTCGTGCCTAGGGGCCAGAATGGGGGGAGTGTGCAGACCGGGAGCGTTGTAGCAGAAGGCAGCTCAGTTGGTCGTCGCTGCCACCCTTGAGCCACCGACGTGCGTTCTACGTACTGTCTGTCCCTCCTTAGCTCAGCTTTGCCTCAGCACTCCCAGGGTTTGGGTCTAAATTAGCTTGACCGCGGGGCACGGAGCGCAGGGGGGTCTCGTTGATGCCCACGGGGGCTCCACGCAATCTAATGAGGCGACGACCCGGCGCCATTGACTGCAGGCGCCCTCTCAATTGCCGCTAGCGAGCGGCGTGGATGGACAGTAGAAGCAGCTTCGTGTCTGGTTGCCTCGTTGGGGATTGCGGCGAGGACGACAAGCGGGCCGTCGAGTGGATGGAAGGTCAAGGCCTCTGCGGGTTTAGTGTGCAATTTATCTACGCAACTGAGCAACTTAACCACACTGGCGCAAGTGTCCTGCATCAATGCATCGAGGCATCGGATAACCCAGGTACGGCAGCTAGGCAATGGTATTTGACGGCTAGCTGGCGGCTAGGATCCGACTACCTTACATGACAGTGAAGCCTCCTGCATGGAGATACTCTGCAGCACGCACGTAATGAAGCCAACGGAGAAGTGTCAGCACTCAGTGCGGTGAGCAACACGCGCAGAACCGCGAATGCAAAGAATTTGGGAGAGCTGCAAGCAGCCTGTCAACCCCACCCCACCTCAGGGCTCTGAGAGCATGGACCCGTTGCTACGGTCGGCAAGAGAACCCCGCGAACCGGGGCCTCACAGCGGACCCAGACCACTCTGGCACTCACCACCACCTCACAGCAGCACACTGGCTCCCCCAATGGCGTGCGACGGCACGACATGTGCGGGCATTCCATCCCATTGCGCCCGTTTCCACCGAAATCCCGAATCCATCATAAACTTTATCAGGGCCCAAAGGTAGGGCGCAAGTGAGTGGAGAGCGCTGAACGCCCACTAGTTTCGCACCTCCGCTGGCTCGCGGCGGTACAGCAGAAACAAATCGTGCAGCTGAAAGCCATCATTTTCTGCACGATGACGAGCCCTATGGCTCTCCAACTCGGTGGGTTCCTCTTCCCCTGATTCTAGAAAAATTCTTCACTAGCTTACCCCCTGTCTAGGCACCGTTGGTAATTGGTCCCGACGCCGGCCTTTTTGCCCGTGGGCTGGCAATCTCTGTTGCCATGTGGCTTCCGTGCTACAAATATCTATATTTCTTCTCGCGTCACTGCAGCCTTTGGGCATCAGCATAAGGGCATTTTCTTTCCGGAGGATTCGCGGAAAATCGAAATAATGGGCTATCATGGTTCTGTATCACGTCCATGGCCCGAGTGGCCGCTGCCTGTTTCATCTCTCTCCCTGCCCTGCCCAAGCTCCCAAGTCCAAGCTACCCCTCGGCAACCCCGGATGGCAGCTAAATCCCTTGTCGCGATGACAACCCCAGGAAGCTCGGCTTGATCCGCCGCCCCAACCCTGCAGGAATTTCTTCGAGAATACTTCTAGCGCTGGCCTGTGCGTCCCTCTCCGGGGACTTCTGTGGTGTCTGTCCTCTGGTTTCCCCTGGGCCCGGGCGCCCGCATGGCATCCTGGCGGAGGTAGCAGCCCCGATCCTGCTCAATTTTTTCCCCCGTCCCCTTCCACGGTCTCTTGTTTAATCGGTCTGTGGCCTGCTGCTGCTTTGCTGCTGCTTACTAGACACCCACCATTTAGCTTCAGGTGCATGTGCAATAGGGGCTATCCGCAACGCAAGAGAAGAACCGGTTAGAGCGTTTCAGGCCGGGAAAGGATCTTATTTCCCAAAACTAAACCGCCTGCATCTGGCTGTTCGCCGCCGAGGCACAGCAGAGTTGGCGTGATTAACCCGCTGAAGATGGGATGCCCACTGGATGGAAGGCCACAATCGAGCGCAAATGTCTTTTCTGCTGAGCTGAGGCGTGAGGCATCTCATTCTGCCTCACGAATGGCGTGCACGTGGTAACGTGCTCTTGTTCTAGAAAGTCGAGATGAACCATTTTCATGCATAGGGCCCGGGGCCGGGAGATCGCATTCAGCATTGCTTTCCCGTGCCCTCCCATTCCACCCCATCCTACTCCATCCCATGAGACTTGGCTCCCATGAGGGCGGCTGATGACTTCCTTCCAGCTGTCATGTCAATACGGATACGGCCTACCGAATCGCTACATGTTGTAGGCCTCGGTTGCCACGCGCCTGGATACGGAAATTTCGCGCAAATCTACTGTGTATGGCCAGCCAAGACTCGGGCCTATCACCAGCACTCAGGCAACGCAGACCCGGCGCTGTTCGCGCAACTGGCTGCAAGGATGCAGCGGCGAAGGAAAAGTATTCACCTGGTTGCAAATTTAAGTCTCGCATCATCTTTCCATGCCAGATCCGGACCAGTGCTCGGGCTACATACATGCCAGGCCTCTGGCGAAGAACGATAAGACCTGCTGGTTCAGGTCTCGTGGCCAATGTGGTGGCCAGCAGCCATGGACCGGCTAAAGTGGGCTCTCGGTGTCTGAAATGCACACGCGTGCCCTCTTGCGCGCGCGGCTTGGGAGCCAGCATGGACGCAGGCGCTAGCCCCGATGTCGAGAAAGGCAGGAGGTCGCGATTTACGAACCATTGAGTTCTGAGGCATGGCACCATCCATTTCGGCGCGCGCAATGTATCATTATTTATTATTGGTATCGTACTCGCACCTCCCCTCTCCCCTTCCCCTCTTAGCAGTGCGATGTCCGCCCGCGATGATATTACGTATACGTAAATGCATACAGAGACCTGGAAAGCTTGGAGGGCTTATCACAGTCGTGCTCCGGGTAAAGCCCCCTCCACGTCCTCTTCCACCTGCCCGTCTCGTGCAAGCCCTAAAAAGACCAATATCATCCCCTTTCCTGAAAAGGAGTCTCAGTCCCCCGAAGGCATGAGCTCCTGCTGATAAGGGGTATCCGGACCTTGTCCGATCAGGACTCGCCTTGACGTCTTTTTCCCGGCATGTCGATATGCTACTGATAATGGCTCATGGCCCTTGATCGCGGCGCCGACATTGTAACTCTCTCACCGGAGGCTAGTCCGGGCAGGTATGGGGCGATCTGTGGGGCAGCCGGTTTCGGGCCGGCAAGCTTCGGGAGGAGCCGGGGCCCACCCACCGCTGGGGCGATGCCAAGCGAACCTTCAGAGTTTGACGGCGGCAGATTTAGATTCGCCCAGCCGAAAAGCGAAGGATTGAGTTCATCCTCCTTCAGCGATTATTTGTTTTGATGCCGGTTTGTTACTGTGTTTTCGCGTTGAGGTGTCGACTGTGGCTACTTCAAATGCCACACACGCCGTAATCGCAATTGAGCTCCATGTTCGGGCCCCCATGGCAGCAGACTGAGCCGCCGACACAAAAACAGCCGAGCGCGCCCGAATTGCTCCCCTTTGTCGACCAGTGGTTCCGGAACAGATTCCCGAGCCATGTTGACGAGTCTTTATTCTCAGCTTGCGTTGACGCGGCCGTCGCGGCCGTCGTTGGCTCGGTCGGCGTCTGCGTGACTATCTTGGTGACAGTGACCATCCCTGACGGAGTCGGTATAGCCGCCGCTGTCTTCGTTACTGTCACTGTCTTTGGCGCTGTCTCGTCAGGAGAACCCGGCCTTCTCACGTCTCCGCCGAGAACGGCTTGTTTTGGGACCGAGAAAGCCGCTGCTGACACTGCGAGCAGCAGAATGCCGAATGTGCTGTTGATCTTCATCGCGATTTGCTAGGCGGAAGCCTTGTACAGTTTTCGAGTCTGTTGTTTTTATTCCAAGGAATGGAGCTTTTGTAGTTGATCCGGGCGTCAACCCGAGAGTTCGGCAGGGCACAGCGCTTCTCTCGAGCTGTACTTATTCGTCCGGCAAAGCAATCGAAGCTTAATGTCCGCGGATTGCTGAGAATTGCTGAACCCAACAGAGGTCGCACCAACGTCTTCGAGCGTACAAGGCCGTGTGCTGAGACTTGTGGTACGTCGAAACCCTGCCGTCTGGGCCACACAGGGGCGGTTGGATCGTCTCAACCCAGGTTTCGGAGGCGGCCGTGCAGAGGCGCGTGAGTGGATGGGAAAGGAAACAAGCAGCCGCAAGGCAAAGTTGAATAATTGCCGTTCGTCTCAATTTCTTAAAAATAGAAAAACTCCAGGCAGGCCACACTCGTTGAAGCTACGGCGGCCAAGTTGGTCGACAACGTGGGATGGGATGGAAGCGGCCGCTGTCCGGCAACACATGGTAACTTTGTATCCGTATGGATACTGCAATCGCATAAATACAATAAGCTTGCCCGCCTTCCACGGGCGCCCCACGCACAACACATGCCAGGCACGTTGGTGGGTAGTTGGAGTGTGTGCGATACTGTGCCGGCTATAACCAGGCCGTGTTTAAATTACAGCAGCTATCTTTCTTGGTTGAAGGGTTGGTGGTCCCGAGATGTCGAGCGTGCCTGAATCGAGCGCGGACGAGTCGGTTGGCTAAATACTTGGCAGCGCGCATTGGCTCCCATCACTTCGGCGGCCCGCTTCAGCACGCGCGTCGGCAAAATGGTGAAAACAAGAACCAGCGATATTACCACTCCATTACCTTGGTTTCTGAGCCGGGTTAGTTGTTGCGCGCGGCATTGCTGGGCCACGGTAATCGGGAGCCGTCTTTTCCGGGGCCGATCTTGTCGTGGATGGCGCCGGACTTGCAGGTGTTGGTGGGCACTAAATTCGGATTGCGGATATACCAATGGTATACAAGGGGCCGCACGGGACGGAATACAAGTGACTTTAACCACGGACTGAATGTGAGCACGCAACGAGCGAATCGCCATCCATCTACACAGACACTTTAATAGACTTCGGCCTACAACACCAACATCTTCTCTGAATGTGATTACAGATACGCTTGCATGCGCGGATGAAGAGAGCTCCCAGTCCCTCGGTTCCGGCCTGCGGGAACGATGTCACAAATACGCGTGTTTTCCCGGTTGGGTGTCTTTAGTGCCACAACGCCGCCGCCCACGCCTGCCTCATGCGTGCCCAGCTTGACTTTAGTATTGTGCCATTCTCCTTGCCAAGTTGCTTGTGCCCTCCCTTCACGTAAAAATCCTCTTTGGCAGGGAGGCTATGGCAGCCACAGTGGCTATGACATAATAGCTGCCTACTGTCCCACTCCAAGCTCACAACACACAGCCCACCAGCACTGAACAGAATCAAATATCACTTCCGGGGCTGACAGTGGTAGAAAGGTAGTGATGTGAGGTGCCGGCTCTGTCCAACATAACATTACAGTCCACGTAAACAAGGGCTTGGTTCAAGTAGACTTTCTCAACAAAGCAATGACAATCATCCCCCCTTTGACATGAACAAGGGAGACGTAATGTCATTCTTTCAAAGGGTGAGAATCCAGAACCAACAACAACAGCCAGCTCGAGCTTTGTTGAAGTCACAAAGAAAGTTGGAACAGGGACATTGTTCCTTACTCAGTCTCCTGATGCTTACAGTTCGAGAAATTGTCGGGGTCAAAGAATCTAGTTCACAAACTGCGATTTGAGAAAAGTTCCCAATTATATATATACCGTCATGTTCCAGTTCAGATCATCTGGTCTCTGGACAGGCAGTTCTCTGGATTCATCACCGTATCAGACTTGCAATCTCAGAACCAGCATTGGGCATTCAGGTACGTACTTGCTTACTTACACAAAGCCAACTTCAACGACCAAACCACAGTCAAAATGACAGGCACACACACCACCTACACCGTTACGTGCCCCAGTGCTCGTAAGACCAGGACAGCTGAGACTTGGCAGTGCTGTTTCTGCTATCAAAACAACACGACTGGCACTCACTCTTCGTGCACTGGCCTCTCCTGTGGGCATATAAAGTGCTCGGACTGCAACACCACCACAACCATCTACGTGCCCTAATAAGCTGAGCTCTGGCTGTGGTGGAAGCTGAGAGGTGAAACTTGAATCTATACGACTGAAGCTGCAAACTTCAAGTCGTTGTCTTTTTCTCTTCTGATTAGGTAAGATGTAGTAACAATCTCTCATCCTTGATCATTCAGTAGGACTCCATTTCTTTCTATCTAATAATATTCTTAAGTAAAAAAACCTCTTCTATGATAATTTTTTCTAACTTCCGTTTGAGCGACAGAGCTTCTGTCTAATTGGCGTATGAATCTCACTACGCCGATTGAATGAGTACTAGGTGAGGTGGTGATGACCCATTGGACACCAAATGCAATTTAAACAACAACAAATGACTTTATTTTATTTATATGTTTCATCGGAAGCCGGTGATTCCTGTCGGAGCCCTTTAGCTATGATGCACGACTCCAGAATGTGGCCTAAATACCTAGTCATCTGAGAGCTCGTTCTCGCGCTGGAGTTTGATGCCCCATCGAATCCTCGAAACGACTTACTATTCTAGGGTTAGGGTCTTCTTACTTCCGTTCTTTCCGCTTAAATCCGGCAGAGCTCACAAACAACGGGCGCGGGGCTACTCAAAGCTTCCTCGAGAGCTTGGACCAATCCCTCCTCCACGTTAGCTAAGCAGCCCAACACCGCAGTGCTGGTGGTCAAGACGTCACCAAACTTGCCGCCTCCAACCTTCCATCGACGGCTCTCAAAAGCCACTTCACATCGCCCCGCCAATCTCTCATCATTTTTTTCCGTCCTGTTCGACATCGAGAATCCGAAGCAACACCGCCATGTCGTTCACTCTAACGCTCCGCGCAGGCCCCGCCCGCCTAGCGTCGCGGCTGCCGCAGATCGTGAAAACCTCCACCACCAGCCCTTCGACCGCAATCCGCGCCTTCCACAACGCAACGCCTAAGAATGCCTTCTTCACGGCGCGCACAGCGTCGCTCGCCGCTCGCACAAACACAAAGACATCAAGCAGTAGCAACGTGCTGGCGCGCGTGAAAGGCGCCGCGCGCAGCTACCAACAGCAGGCGTACGCAGACCCGGCGGCGCGGCGCGGCGAGCTGATCCGCAAGCTGGTTGTCGGCGGCGCCATCTTCGGCGGCACGCTGGTGGCGGTTAACGTCATGTTCAACCGTGAGACGCGCGAAGACGGCGGCATGCCGCTGTTCGAGCGCCAGTACCTCAACAACACGTTCCTGCACACGGGCCTCGGCGTCGGCATCATCGGCGTGTCGGCCTACCGCATGGTCACGTCGGGCTTCGTCTACCGCCTGATGGCCACTAACCCCTGGGCCATTGGCATTGGCGGCATTGCCCTCAGCATTGGCAGCATGATTGCCACGCGGTCCATTGACCCCGACAAGTAGGTGCTTCTTTTTTGTTCCTCTTTGGCGCAGCTCGGGATGGCGGGGTTTGCTTCCCGATTTGTATCCCTGATAATATGTCTTGCTAACATTTCCCTCTTTCAGCTATGTTCCCAAGTATGCCTTCTGGACGGCCTTCAACGTGACCCAAGCCGCCATTGTCGCCCCCCTCATGGCGATGGCTGCTCCCGCTCTTCTCGCTCGCGCCGGCCTGTACACGGTCGCCATGATGGGCGCTATCTCATTCGTTGGTGCCACCGCCAAGCAGGAGAAGTACCTTTACATTGGTGGTCCTCTGCTCGCTGGTGCCGCAATCGTTGCCGTGTCTGGCTTCGCGCCTCTGATTATCCCGGCCACGGCCATCCGCACCCTGGCCCTTACCGAGAACCTCTGGTTGTATGGTGGTCTCGCCGTGTTTGGCGGCTTCACGCTCTACGACGTGCAGAAGGTATTGCACCATGCTCGCCTCGCGGAGCGCGGACTGATCAAGAGGGATCCCGTGAACGAGAGCATCAGCCTTGAGCTGGACTTTCTGAACATCTGGGTTCGCATGGTGCAGATCTTGATGATGCAGCAAAGGAGGAAGTAGAGATAAAGATGGTGAGGGGCGAGATACAGGGTAGGAATATTGCACAACAAGATTAGGAATTTGGGGGGGCAAGTAGCCCGGTGCGAGCAGCAGCAGATGACTTGGTACAAGGACCTCTCTACTCAATGGTTTCGGCGCACATATGACCCACTAACCGGCGTTTGTAGAGTCAAAGCGAAGTGTGGGGATATGTGCAATGGGTTTTCCTTGTAATAAATAAAAAAAACTGGGTGCCCTGTGTTGAAAGATCTAAAAATACAAAAAAAAAACTCCTATAACACCAATACAGCGGTCATTTTTCATCCCATCATCAAAGTTCGACTGTCTCTTGACGCCATTAGAGCTCTCGTCCCACCCGTACCTCCCCATAGATATGTGTTGGACAAATGTACAATGCGCGGAGCGGAGCTTTACTTCAGCTCCGGGAACGGTCGAGTAAAATGGCTCGGGCACTCGTAGCCCATGGGGTTTCTATCCAGGTACAGCTGGTGGTATTCTTCGGCATCCCACCTACATTAAAGAATATCAGCGCGCCACTCAATACATAGTTCTGAATCAATTCCAGGCTGCGTGGGATCAACAAAATCACTTACCATTCCTTTGCCGGCAGTATCTCGGTCACGACGCGGCCGCTCCACCACTGCTCGTCGACGCTCTTGGTAATGTCCCGCGCGATCGTCTCTTGCTCAGGCGAGTGGAAGAAGATGCCGCTGCGGTACTGCGGGCCCCGGTCTGGCCCCTGCTGGTCTACCGTCGTCGGGTCGTGCATGCGGTAGAAGAACTCGAGCAGCTGTGAGTAGCTGAGCTGCGTCGGGTCGTAGATGAGCTGCGTGGCTTCAGCGTCTGGTCGGCACACAAAAGTCAGCATTTTGTTTCCTTTTTACAGGGGGGTTGTTTTCTTGGGGGAGGGAATGGGCGCAAGCACGACACGTACGGCCAGTGTTGCCTCCGCACACGGCGCGATACGACGGGTTCGCCACGTCGCCGCCAATATAGCCGACGCGTGCGTCGTACAGGCCGCTGTCGGCGAACTTCTTGCGGAAAGCGTGCTCGACGCCCCAGAAGCAGCCGGCCGCGACCGTCGCTTTCTCGGCGCCCTCGGGGATGGGGGTGGCCGTGGGCGAGCCGCCCGAAGAGGAAGACACGCCGGACATGGTCGCTGAGAACGTAAATGGTCGAATGAGGCGGGTGAGGAAGGACGAGAGGTTCTTTGCAGAGGCCATGCGCAAAATGTTGGTATTTAGAACCTCTCGAGCTTTTTGCGCTGATATGGTATTTTATGACGAGCGCTGCTGCGGAGTGGGGTCGCTGTGGGTTTTGTAGTCGTTTTCGCGATCACGACATGCAGGGGCGATGGCGGAGGAAGGGGCAGGGTGGACTGGATGAAGGTTGAGATGCTCCTTCTGATGTATTGGGAACAGTGGATAGTGGCAATGAAATAGATTGAGCTTTGCCCCTGAGACGGGGGTTATATAGATATATGCGTAGCCGGCGCACTGGATGTTACAGGCGGACTGAGCTTCGTGCCGATTCCAAAGCACAGAGGCGAAGCTCTGTTGATCGGTCCTCCATTTTGGCGGCTTTGACAAATCCCTGGCCAATGGCACGCCCCCTCCCTCAGCCCTGAGCTACAGGGCCGGCCGATGATTCCAAATGCCACCAGCATGGACTAAGCCCCACTAGCGGCTGCGGTGCGGGGTGTTAGTAGTCTAGGCAATTTCAAGCTCCAGGAGCCGAACCTTACCATCAACTCAACCTGCAAGTCTCCTTTCTGCGAGTTCTTTTTCCCAAAACAGTTATGTGATTACAGTCCCTACTAAAATGGACCGAGGCTGTCGTTTTATGTGAGAGCAGTCTCATGATTACATATCTGACTGGCAACGTTTTCTAGCGGAAGGCTCCATTGTTTGCTCCCCTCCGACAGTCCCCGATGGTTTCCAACGACGTCATAACCAGCACCACATTTTGGAAACGATGTTTTCAGGCAAATAAATGGCAAGGATTGCCTCGCGATTTTTTTTTTGTCGTCTACGTCAGCAAAATCCTCGCGTTTGTGCACTTGTCAAATCCGCTATGAGCAGCGCCGCCCTAATCCCGAGATTACACGCCCGCCCGGCATCCCACCACCGCGGCACACGCAAGGGCCCTAAGCTAAGGCTCCGCTGGAGCCGGCTGCCGACGGGAGGCGTCCTAGGGTCTAATCGCATCCTCCCACGGCCTCTGCTGCTACACCTGCTCCCGTGTTCTCAATCTTGAATTACCGACATTCACGTTCAGCGCCGCTAACTACCTGCGCATATCGGAACGAGAAATGAAGGCCCACAGGCCGAACGCCGGGTCTCTACCTCCACGATTGCGCCATAGCGGGGAGTCGTACGTTGAACGCTAAGGGTGTTGCTTGGTTCAGGGGCAGGATCATAACAGAAAGGTAAAGCAATAGTTTCTATCTAGGCAAGTAGGCATGCCCTAACTATCGAGCCAAGTCCATAAAGAAAATCGATATAGCTCATGTATGTTCGTTGCGCCGGAGAAACTCGCTGAGGCCTATTCCGGCCCACCTTCAGCTACCGCAAAAGAAAAGCGCCGTGTCAGTGAAACATGCAGAGATTGCCCCTATAGCCCCGGAAAGAGAACAATACAAGGAGATGAAAAGGCTAGCGTTGAGAGTCATTATTGGAGAGAAGAACCCGAAAATTACAGAAACATGTTCCTGCTGTCGGCGTCCTTCTTGGTCTCGCCCGGCGCCGTGTAGTCGATGCCGCTCAGGCTGGTCAGGTCCTTCTCGAACGTGGCCTGGATCTTGGTGATGTGCAGCAGCTGCTCAAGATCCAGCTTGGCGCCGTCAAAGGCAGCCAGGCTCTCCGCGGCCTTGATGGCGTTCTTAATTTGGCGGCCGTTGAGGTCGTGGTTAGCCAGGATGGCGAGGCCCTTCTCGTTGATGTCGACTCCGCCGGGGACCATCTTGCAGAAGTTGCGCCAGATCTGCATCCGCGACTCGACGCTGAGGTCCGTGTAGCGGATGGGGATGTGGATCCGCGACTTGAAGGCGTCGTCAAAGGTCGTCACGCGGTTGGTCGTCAGGAACAGGATGCCGCCGTAGTACTCGAGAACCCGCAGGAAAACGCTGACCATGGCGTTGCGGTGCAGGTCGTGCAGCGACCGCCGCTCCAGAAACACGTCGGCCTCGTCAATCAAGAGCACAGCCCGCCACGTCGCCGTCATATCCATAATGCGCGTCAACTGGTGGTCCAGGTCCGTGGAGGAGGTGCCAACTGAACAAGATACCGGTTAGCGCCAAGCAGAGAGCATGCGGTTTGTCAGGGGGGATAGACTTACGGTCTCCAGACGACACCATGTACAGCGGCCGCTTCACATATTCAGCCACACACTCGGCCGTCAGGGTCTTGCCCACGCCAGGCGGGCCGTGCAGCACGCAGACTAGCCCCTGGCCTTTACCCTTCACGATGTCGTCGAAAGTGTCGCGCTTCTGCGCGTGGGTGGAGACCAGCGCGCGAACCGTCTTCTTGACCGCCGGGTCGAGGACCAGATCATCAAAGCAAGTCGTGTTCCACTCGATGGGGAACAGTTCGTCGACGAAGAACTCGAGGAAGCGCTTCACGGTGAAGGAGTAGCCGCGGACCGTGGCGTTGGTCAGCATTGCATCTTCGTCCGACAGCTTGTCGTAGGTGCGCTCCTCGCCCGCGAAGCTGAGGCCGTTGTTGCTGCTGTGGTGCCGCCGGCGAGACCTCTCCCACCTTGTGGTCTCGTCCTTGCTCATCTCCTTAACGGTAAAAGAGTCGTTGGGGTCCAGCCGGTGGTACGTCTTGCAGTCAATCATGACGCGGCCCGACACATTATACCGTGCGTAGCCGTTGGGGGTGGCCTTTAGGGCGATGCCGTTGTATGACAGGTAATGCTGACCGAGGTACGTTTCGAACTTCCTCCCGCGCGCCAGGAGCTCCTCGCGGACTTCGGCGGCATCTTCGTGTAGATCCAGCGGCATGGTGCTGAGCTGGCTCAGCTCCCGGGTGCCCTGGTACTTCGGGATGAACATCTCCAGCCGGCGAGTGCCCAGCCTCTCGCCGTCAAAATCGACGTACTTTGTCCTCATACCAAAGCCTGGAAGATCACTCTCATCGTACCACGAGTCGGTGACGCGAAGGGCGCGGCTCTGGTTGAGCACCTTGCAGTGCACAATGGTCTTGGGAGGGAAGAGGGTCCAGATCTTGTCGTAGGAGATGGCCTTGAGCTCGTTGGCGATGCATTTTTGGTAGGCAGCAATGTCTTGTTCGAAGTGCGACTTGATCCAGCTAATGAGCAGCTTGAGCTGAGCGAGCGACTCTTCGTCTGACTCGAAGCGTTTGAGGCCTTCGGTCTCGATCTCCTGCCGGAAGTAGAAGAGGGGGTGATAGGGCGCTTCGATCTGGACATCGTCCACGTCGATAGGATCGCCAGGGTAGTTCCCAATGAGGTCCTTGAGCAGCTGCCTGAGGGGTTGCGGGTTGACGTAAAGGCGAGTCGTCTCGAGTTCTTTGTCTGAATTAAAGTGCCTGACCATGCAGAAGGCATACAGCCGCCACCAGTCCTTTTGCTTGGGTTTCTCGACATCGTCTTTGCGTTCCTCGAAGTACTTTTCGTCTTTGGCGTCGAACCTCCTGTCGAGATGCTTAATCTCACACTTCATGGTGGTGGTGTCCTGAGGCTCAGCCTCTTCTCCGGCACCCTCGGTCTTGGTTTCGGGAGACGACTTCTCGCTATCTGACGGCGTCTCTTGTTCCGACGCATCCGCCTTCTTGACGTCGTCGCCATTCACGACCTTCTTCCCCACCGCATCTTCCTCGTCTGTGGCGTGGCCGTTGGTGACGGTCACCACCATCTCCTTCGACACCACGCGATCCCCACTGGGGATCTCATCCGAGATAAGCCCAGGTGCCATGGCGAAGAACTATAGAGGCGGAAAATGAAAGAGTTACGGTGAAGGGAACGAGGATAAAGGCGAGGGAAATTGAGCCCAAATGGTAGGGGATGGGTTGTAGCTCGCAGAGGGTTAAAACGGGAAAGGCTATGTGTTAAATACCTTGTTGAGTTTGGAAGCCTTGTCTCCCATGCTAGGTTTGCACGAGATAAGCCGATCCCGAAACGTTCCATGACAAAGTCACACACAGCCTAGTCACAAGTAGAGCAGAGCAGAGCAAAGCTGCAGGCGGACTGTTCATCGTGTAAACGGGGCTATCATTGCCACTGCCCCCTCGTCATTGCCTGCCCATGGCAAAAATGGCCAATCGGGAGTTAGACGTCGAGACAAGCGGACGCGAGCCGCCGCCATGTCCTAGTCGAAACTCCAGGCAGCAAAGCGACCGACCCACAGCGAAAGTGCTACTGCAGCGCACTCGCTCGCGCCTTTCGCATTATTGGTAGATTACGTGTCTGGAAACGCCAGCGAATTGGAAACGTGCGGATCGTCGTCGAGAACCCGGCCGGCACCCTGTGACTCGTTGCCAGAGACTGTACACGTGTAGGCCTCTGGGCCGCAGCCTGGGATCGAGCCTGCTGTCGATCCACCTGAGGCTGAAGTTGTGGTCGGCCAGAGCCAGCCCGCCCACGCAGCAGAGAAAGGCAGAAGCTCCGCCCTGGCAGGGTTGCCCAAAAATCAGCCTTACAGCGCCTGGGCGTCGCTTTTAGCGGCCCCACACGAACGTTGAGGGGTGCTGCCGCCTAAGGTAGGGAGCCCAAACTTTACGGTAGGCGACAAAGATCATGGAATATGAATGGTACCTACCTATCTTTCACTCCGACCATGGGATCTAGAAGCTCTGTATCAGCGCTGTTATCGTGACACTTCTCCTGTTTCGGATGTAGAAAAAGGCGTCCCTTTTGACTTGGGAGGCCCGATATTTCCACATGCTACTACGTTGGTAATTAACCGCGTCAAGTAATTATCCGCTTGGCGACCAGGTGTCTGGTACAACCGCAGTCAGTTCTCAGCCTGCTCAGTAAGAGAAATCACACTCAAGCAGAAAGAAGTGGGACCGATAGCAACTAACACTCGAGTCAAGTTTCCCACTGCCGCCTGGTCCAGTGAATTTGGTGAAGAGAGGGTACCCATGTAAAGGAAACAAATCGTCAAGTTCAATTTGCCGTGTTGATCTGGAACGCCACCCACTGGTCCATGTGTAAACCTCAAACCTTTTCTGGGCCCAAGTCAACTAGGCCAAAAGCGGAACACCCCGGCTGCGGAATATGCAGATTGAGGCTGGGGCTACTCGGGAAGCCCTAGAAAAAAGCTCCGATGAAGGCCCTGTCGACGAGACATAGTCTTGTGTTGTTTGCGAATAAACGGTAATAATTTGAATGTCGAGTGTCTCTGGTTTACACGGGCGAAAAAAGCGCTTTCGGCATGTTCCGTAGCTAGGATGTTCCGCTTTTAGCCTGGTTGACTTGGTCGTTGCCTAAAGTTTAACAAATAAAATATATCTCAAATTTAAGAATACACTCCTTTGATCGAAATTTGCGATTTAATTAGTGGTTTAATTAGTATTTACTCATTGTAAGAGACACCAAGAAGAAATACTCCCGCTTTCAAAACACTCTTGCATGTTAGCATCATGTTGGAAGCCATGAAGTAAGTATCCAACATTTTCAAGCATTCTGTTAGCAACCTACAGAGTTTGATTTCATGTTTTCGGCACAACGATTTCCGTCGACTATTACATGAAGTTTATGACCCCGGAACCGGCCAATCGAGACGTCTGCCCTGGTTAAGTCGTCATAATCATAGGGAACTCTTCGCTTCTAGCAAGACTTCGTCTCGCCACTTGACCTCAATGTCCCGAGGCTCCTTGTTTTTCCAATTCACCAGCAGCACTCTGTCGTAATCTCCGCCCTTTCCAGACTCCTGCAGCTCTGGCCCAGGGTCATCAAGCCCGAGCAACCTGCTCCCGAGGCGGGCCTTTACCAGCGGCTGTGGGCAAATCACCTTTTCAGCCCACGGGATATGCGCCGTCGGATGCACGTGGAGCGGCGAGGGCCGATCAGGCGGCGTTGTCGGCGTTTGTCGAAGGAAGGTCACCAGTGCGCTTCTCTGCCTCTCGAGATGGGCGGTCACATCGGCGGCGCTGGCGCCCGCAGGTGCCAGGCTTTTGTCATTTAGAAACTGGGATAGTAAGTGGAGCAGGTAAAACTGCGGTGGGTACAGCAAGACGTTGCCCGCCTTGGCCTTGGCGAGCCACACGTCAGGGCGGTCGAACGTAGCCGTCGTGTGCTCAATTCCGCCATCGTGGGTTGGCGTCTGGATCACAGACTCGTGCTCTGGAGCGCCCAAGATGCTGGAGTTGGCCGATAGTGGTAGCATGTACAAGTACATTTGGGTGGAGAACCTTTTGACCATGGAACCTGGCGTGACCCATCGCGTGAATGGGATTAGGTTGTCTGTGTTTCGTGTTAGCTGAACACAGAAGACAGACATGAAAGTGACTAGCACATACCTAGATCTGGCGCACCTCCTTGACTTTCTAGCCACTCGATGAATTTAATCTTGTTGTCGTGGGTTTCTCGCCTTCCCTCTTCTCTGGCCGCGTCAGGAAGATGGAGGAGAGCCTGATTGTTGAGGCTGCCGCTACGGCTTTGGTCTGCTGCCAGAGGGCGCGCGAGTAGAATTCCAGACTCCTCGAACGTCTCGCGGACCGCGGCCAGCCGATACGCCGTGCCGTCCTGGAATTCTTTGGTGCTTTCGTCCACTGCTCCAAGGAGCGTACCCTCGTGGAACGTCGACAGGTTACCACCGGGAAACACGTGAGCCGAGGCAAACGAGCTAGACGTTTCGACACGTTTCAAAAGCAAGACTTGGTTGGTGGGTGAGACGAGAATGACGCTGATAAACACGTCCTTGGTCAGTCACTAAGCGGTCCAAGTCAAGCGACTGAAAAGAAAAGACAGTCGTTTTGTGGTTCGAGAGTGAAGGCTGCGGGGTAAGTGGATTCTCACCTTGCCGCCAACCTGAGCCGCTTTGGGGTCTTCTTCACCGAGGAAGGCCGCTGTTCCAAGTCTTTGATCATCTCGGAGCTGTTCTGGCCGCCGTATGAATAGCTTCGCGAAACTGAAAATCGGCGGGCGCCCGTACGGACGGTTCGCAACGGAAATGGACGTAGGATTTTAATTGTAACGGTCTGCCTTGTAAACGGCAGGAGGGAAGGCCACGGCATTGGTTGACTAAGAATTGTCTCTGATAAGCTATCCTGAGCAATGGGCCGTCGCGCACTTCTTAGCTGCCAAACAACGCGTCAAGAAACACCAGGTTCTGAGCCGAGGATCATGCTTCGTGCACGTGCAAGTCAGAGTGGGTTACGGGTGATCGGCAACAGCAGTTCGCATGGAACGTCGGCTAGCGATGTGGGTCGCGCCAATCAATGGACGCTAAGAGGATCCATAGAATCACTGCCAGCACCGCGTTGGCGGGAATGTCTCAGCGCTTACATAGACCGTAGACCCACATCATCGATTCGGATTCACTGGAAGAGAAGGTGAGTATGATTGTACAGTATCCATATACAAAGAAAACACACGCCAAATGTAGTAATGCAACACTCTAAACTCACTGTCACTGCTAGTCCCAGAACTAACCTAACGCTAACAAGATTTAAATCTTCGGGACTCCAAAGTTCCACCATAGCTTAAAAAGAATGATCAAAAACGCTTCCTTTCCTGGCCATGGAGATTGACTCTCCAGAGACAGCAAATACTTTTGCTCTCGCACCACCGCTTGACGTCGCCTGGCGCCACCTCGCCGTCGAACCCGACGCGGTCCAACTGGCCCAAGTTGAGCCACGCCGTGAGATCCTCTAGAATGACGGGGTCGTACATGAGCATCTTCTCATGCCATGACGGGTTTTCCGGGTCTGTGGCTCGCGGCGCCGTCGTCACTGCCTTGCTGATGTAGCGGAACAGCAACTTTTGTTGCCCAGTCGGGGTGTCTACGAGAAGTGACATATCCGCTTCCTCGTCAATCGAGACATCCACGTCTGGCGGAGATGAGAACATTCGTGGCTCATCAGGCAAAGACATGGGCGACGATGCGAAGGGATCATCTTCCCCCTCCTTTTTCGATTCAGAATCCGCAATCTCCAGACCTAGAGGCGGGCCAACCACTTTATGACGTTTTGGGGTCGATAAAACTGGCGCCGCTGACGGTGGCGCTGTTGGAATAAGTTCGGCGGCCGCAGTTGCCTTTGGCTTGCTGGCCTCAACTGACGATACTGTTGCGTCTTTTCTAGGCCTCCCGCGACGCTTCGCTTCCGCTACAGGTAGCCCAGTTGCAGGCACAGCGGCTACGCTAGAATCCTTCCTCGGCCGTCCTCTAGGTCGAGTTGGCGAAAGCCCTGGTTCTGCGGGCTCACTCACCAGGCTAGTCTTGTTCTTACTCGACCAACACCGATCTAGAAGCTCAATCATTGCCGCCCGCTTCTTTATTGCCTTGAAGCCATACGATGCGACTTCCTTTGCGAGTTTGGCATCCGTGAATAACTCAAACTTTGGGCGCGTGGGCCCGTCAGGTTGATCTTTCGAGGAACTCTTCGGCTGAGAGTGTTCGAGAAGTTGATTGTGTTCCTGATTGCTTGGCGGTGGATCAAAGTCAAGATCGACAATGGAAATTGGTTCAATTCCACCAAAAGGCTTCTCGGGGAGTGGTTCACTGGCTATATTCCACAGATCCCTGGAGCTGTCTTGCGTGTAGAAAAAGTGTGACATTGGGGGCGGGGACACGGTGAGATCTACTGCAGCCGAGCCAGAGGATGGACGACGGGCGTGAGGCTTAGGGGATTGCTTCTTTTGCGTCCTCTGCGCCTTCTGCGTCGTCCCAGCCCGGCTGCTAGGTGATTTTCTAGGAGACTTCGGAGACTTGGCTTCAAACGTGCGGCCTCTGGGAAGCGCTGGGGAGTCGGTCAGGTCAAAGAACTCCATATCGACGAGGCTTCCGTCCTCGCCCCGAGCTCCCGCTTCCCAGAGCTTGTTCCTCGCTTTCTTGGGGGCCGCGACGTTACTGCGCACAGGACTCAGGCTACGTGCAAACGGATCGCCGTCGGGTTGGTTTGATGCCTTCATGGCCTCGTGCAGGGCGCGGAGCAGTTCGGGGTCCTCCTCCGTCGTCAGCTGACTCGCAGTTCCAAAGACAAAGTCTTGTTTAGCAACCTGGCTGAGGGCGCTTTTCGGCGAAAGCAGAACTTGCGTCACTAGCCCGGCCTTTTTCTTCGACACCTTGGGGTTTGCTGGCTTCTTTGACAACTTCGTGTTTTTGCCTGGCTGCCTATTTGCGACAGCCGTCTTCGCACTGCCGGCGCCAATATTCCCAAGAAGCGAACTTGACTTCGATTTTTCTGCAGATGGGGGCCTGTCGCTCTCCTCAACCACTCTGTAGGCAGCAGTCGCCAGGTCTGTAATTGTGCGCGGCTTCTTCTTGGGCGCCTTTGGTCTTGTCGGCAATGGCTGCAGCGTCCTGGACTTATCTGTTGTGGAGGATACCATCTCGACCAACTTCCTTTTCCCCAGAACGTCGTTGGTCACCGGGGCGCCCGCCGTCTCGCCAAGCTGCCGCTCTTCCTTGCGGCCATACGTGTCATGAAGATTCTTGAAGTTGCCTAACTGGGAAGTTTTGTCGGCGTGAATGCCTGGCGCGGCCGGGGAATAAAGCTCGTTGGTCGGCGAAGAGGGAATATACGTAGGTGTTGCGCTAGGTGGAGGTGTCCAGTCCGTTCGTCTTCTCATAGCCGGCTCCAGGGCCAAAGGTTCGTCCTCAATGCCAGACTTCGGGGTAGACTTTGTTGGAGGAGGCTGAGGGTTGAAATGCTTGCTGACTCTCTCACTCCTCTTTCTCGGCGCCTTCTCGCTCGCTGCGGGCTTCGTGACTTTGCCTTTTGGTAGCACAGTCTGTCCACTAGCGATTGTCTTGCTTGGTCTTGATTTCTTCCCAGGTGCCTTCCCGGGCACAACAGATGCGTTTGTAGGCGCGCTTCCAAAGACGAGAGCAGGCCTTTTAGTCTCCAAGCTGGATTCGTCCTTCCTTTTCCCTCTTGTCGTTACTTCCTGCCGCCTTTTCGGGTTCGCCCCACTCGGTGTTGTTGCGGTCGCAACCGTCGGAGACAGCTCAATCACAACCTTGGCAGTTGGCCGGACTGAACTCGTAGAGCGACGATTCACCGTGTTATGGACATCGGGGAGACTCTCTCCCTCCACCCGCGAAAATCGGAAGAGCTCGGCAGCAGTGAAGGTCCGTATTGCGTCCACAGGGATTGGCGCGGCATTGCTTCCACTGCGCAGCGCGCTCTTTTCAGCCGGTTTTGCGAGAAGATCGTAAATCGAGGGAAACTCAGGCGAGGATGAAATGACCACGATCGACTCATCGCGCGCCGTTCGAACGTGAGCGGGCGACGAAAGCGGGAGACTGCCGGACGCCATTTTTGACCTGGTCGGGGGAGAGCGACGCAGGCCGTAAAACCATGGCACTCCCGGGCGCAAAATTGTGGTACGCAACAGTTTAGTGGTGGGAGGCGAGCAGGTATTTGGAACGTTTAGGCGTGTTAACCATTGAGGGGCAACGCGCATCGAACAGGTCAACAAACTAAAGAGAAAGGGACAAAACAACAAGACTCACGATTGGCGCAAGAGCGGGCTGAGTTTGGGGCTAGTTGCATCGCGAACGGCTCGCGGCATCAGCTGACAGGGCACATGCCTTAGCACTGCCCCACCGACAACTTTGCCGAATGAGGAGATGGTCTGTGCGCAGAGCCCACAGTTGGGGCTCCCACCAAATCCGCCAAAATCGTCGAAATTCAGAATTGCCTGAATTTTGCAAAGTGACCGCCCTCCGACACCGACAACCGAACCTAAACCAGTCACTTAGCAGCACTCATTACCAGCCGCAAAGATGGAGAACGACCGTGGTGACATCGTGGACCTGTAGGCAGAAATCTCCCCCGATTTGGGAAATTTGCAAGGCGAGGAAACGGCGTGCTAATCTGTGGATGCCCCTCCAGTTACGTCCCCCGCAAGTGCTCTGCCACGAACCGCATCATCAAGTCCAAGGACCACGGCTCTTGCCAGATCACAATCGCCAAGGTCGACGAGAACGGCCGTGCCATCCAGGGCGAGAACATTATCTATGCTCTATCCGGCTTCGTGCGGGCTATGGGCGAGAGCGACGATGCTCTGAACAGACTGGCACAGCGGGACGGGCTCCTCAAGAGCGTCTGGAACCCCCAGAGATAAATTGGGCTGTCGAGGGTGTTCACGGAGGTGGTGGTACGTTTACGATGCCTACTGTCACGTCACGCCAATGTTCGCTTGCTGATTGAGAGGCAGATATGCATTATTCTAGCTCGCCGTCTCGAGACGAGACTGAGACGAGCGACTGGCGAACGGCGGAATGACGGCAGGGCAACGGATCATGAGCTTCTTCTTTTTCTCGGAGATTCGTCTTTGTCGATAGCTCAATGGCGTCAAATGGGCATTTGTCTCTCGGTAAAGAAAAACAATTGGCGCCCCGCCATCCTACAACTACTACACTTCTTAACCCCTCCGATTTCCATACATGTTCCCATTGCCCCGACCATTGTGCGTACGTGACCGCCGCCGGCTAGAAAAGGCTTCCCTTATCTATATCCTCGATATGGGAAGTCTGGGGCTACGTCGATAGTTCCCATGCCGTAGATCAATGTTGTCCTTGAAAGGCTGTAAGGGGAAAGTGTCTCCCTTGTGGTACAGATACGGGACTTACATTCTCACGCTCTCCTATCTTCTTTGCTCCTGCCTGCCCGCACCGAATTTGCATGGCTACCCACATTCTCGGATTTGCTTCAATCAGACAATCTGCGAGACAGGCTTTTCCACAGTTGGCCGGGGCCTGCTTTCTGAGATATACGTCTATGCTCTGCTAATCGACCTATTACTGTCTCGAGATACTTTTTTCTTTCGCGCTCTTGTGGTTTTGCTGAGCTGTATCCGTAGATCCGTCTCACTTCAAGTTTTCACCCTGACACAAGCACTAGTTATTGCATGGTGGCGCTGAACACCCCTGGAACGGACTGCGGAACGGGGGCTCGATTGTTGAAATCCATGACGCGCATGCAGATCGCTCGATCAGCTGCTAAAACGCGTTGGCTGGCAATCGCAAGGGACAATTCTGCACCAGCCAATGGAACAAACAGCAATCACCAGACCTTTAATAGTTGTAATCTTTTCTGTTTCACTTCTTCCGTCAATGTTCCGTGTTGTCCTTGCCGTGAGGAAACGCCCATCCGTCTCGCTGTTAACTGTGCCATCCAATCCTCTTTTTCTCCATCCTTTCTGTACACAGCACATGTCAACAATGGCGCCCGACAAGCTGGCCAAGCGCAAGGCGCAGGCCAACGGTGAGGATGCCGCATCTGGAAAGAAACACAAGACCGCATTAGGCTCCTCATCGACAGATCCCGACCTCTCGACCAACCCTCTCCGGACGCCGCACCCATCGTACCATGATTCCGAGGAACACGGCATCGTACTTCGAAAGTTCTACCCATCCGAAATGTCCAATGCACGCGCTCGCGCATACAACTCAAATGAACTACCAAGGCCCATCGAGCTCCTCAACTCGGCTCTCGCCACATCGGCTGTCGCGCGCGAGAAGGTCAAAGTCGGGAATGCCGTTGTGCACTGGTTCAAAATGGACCTTCGCACCAGAGATAATCGCGCGCTCTACATGGCGAGCGAGAAGGCCCGGGAAGCCGGTGTCCCGTTGATTGGACTGTACATCATCAGCCCACAGGACTTCGAGGCACACCTGACAGCGCCAGTACGAGTCGACTTCATGTTACGGACACTGGAGATCCTGCGGAGGGATCTGGCACAACTGGACATACCCCTATGGGTAGAGACGGTGGATAATCGAAGCCACGTCGTAAATAGAGTCATGGACTTGATGGGCGAATGGGGCGCAAGTCATCTGTTCGCTAACATCGAATACGAAGTAGACGAGTTGCGGCGCGAGGCGAAGCTCGTCCGGCTCTTCGCACAAAAGGGTTTGGTCATTGAGGTTGCCCATGACGCGTGTATAGTACCTCCTGGACTGTTGAAGAGTGGCAGCGGGGGTCAATATGCCGTTTACAGCCCCTGGTTTCGAAGCTGGGTCCGTTATCTCCATGACCACCTCGAGTTGCTAGAGTTGTTAGACCCGCCAGGACGGAACCCGGAATCGGCAAGAACGACTTTCGCAAAACTGTTCGACTGCGATATCCCGCCAGCTCCAGAGAACAAGAAGCTCGGAGAGGAAGAGGCACAGAGATTGGAGGCGCTTTGGCCGGCAGGAGAACACGAGGCAATGAGGAGGTTGACCAAATTCTGCGAAGAAGATATTGGAACCTATAAGGAGAACCGCAACATGCCGTTTATTTCCGGGACGTCAAATCTTTCTGTCCATTTTGCGAGCGGGACTCTCAGCGCAAGGACGGCCGTTCGCGCAGCACGGGACTCCAACAACACTAAGAAGCTGGACGGCGGCAATCCGGGGATTCAGACCTGGATCAGCGAGGTCGCGTGGAGGGACTTTTATAAACACGTCTTGGTGCACTGGCCATATGTTTGGTAGTACCCCTGACTCCGAACCCCTGAATCCCCATGCTGACTTCAGCCCCCAGCATGAACAAGCCCTTCAAGCCCGAATATTCCAACATCGAGTGGTCGTATAACGGCGAACATTTCGACGCATGGAAAGAGGGCCGCACCGGCTTTCCAATTGTCGATGCCGCAATGCGGCAACTTCGCAGCATTGGGTGGATGCACAACCGGTGCAGAATGATTGTTGCCTCATTCTTGTCCAAGGACCTGCTGCTCGACTGGCGCATGGGCGAGCGCTACTTTATGGAGCATCTGATAGATGGCGACTTCGCAAGCAATAATGGTGGATGGGGCTTTGCAGCCTCCGTTGGCGTGGATCCGCAGCCGTACTTTCGCATCTTCAACCCACTGCTGCAAAGCGAGAAGTTCGATCCCGACGGAGAGTACATTCGCAAGTGGGTGCCAGAACTAAAGGGTGTCAAGGGCAAAGCGATTCACGATCCGTACGATCGAGGTGCAGGCAACCAGGCGGGAAAGGCCGGTTATCCGAAACATATCGTCGAGCATAAGGGGGCGAGGGAGCGGGCTCTGGCGGCATACAAGAGTGGCGTCGAGAGAGACAAGTAAGGCGCGTGACTACCAACCTAGAAAGGGACAGCTGAAGAAGCCTCGCAAGGTTTCTCGGTGAAGACTCGGTACTTAGGCAAGCGCGTCAGTTATTTTTGAGTGACTCCTTCTGGTTCGGTGCTCCGAAGAGCCAAAGATCAGAGTCGCACCTTCCTACTAGACTTATATTCTTTCGCGCTATCAGCACTTACCTCCCTTACGTACTTGGCCCGCCTTTTTTGATGCCTTCTACGCACTAATTTCTTTTGGTTCTTCTTTCTGTCGTTTGGGAAAATTCGCCTTCAATCTTGGCCGCTGCAATACTCGGTGCGATCGACCGCCCGCGCGCCCACGATCTCGTCCCTCCTTCCAACTACGACACTGTGGCACGAACGTTTTTCTCCATCACGCCGCCCAGAACCGTCCACCGTCTTCATTGTGTTTTATCTAGATTATCTCCTCCCAGCGTTTCTCGCGCCGCACGCCAATAACTAGTCACGGAAAATGGGTTCTGAACACACCCCGGCCCTGTATTTCAAGCAGGAGTCATCTGTTACTACAGACAATGCCTCTCAAATTTCAGCCCTCTCTCGAACGACAGATAGAGTCCCCGATTCTCAAAGCTCAGGTTTCCCCTCTCAAAAGGCAGACCTCTACTCTCCGCTGCCGCTGAGAGAGCTCGATTCTCGTTGGACAAAATTCATTTCTCAAGCGTTCAATTCTCAGAGCAAGCCCCGAATATGACTCTAGAACAGGCTCGTCTGTTGAAAGAGCAAGATGCTCTCGAAAAGGTGGATGATGCTGTCATGGGCGAGTATCGTGCTCGCACGCAACAAGGCGCCCATACCAACGTGAAGGTGGATGGTCAACTCACCACCCAATCAATTACGGATACATCAGCGTCTATCCCCGCCATCCATCGCATCAAGACGGAATTTATTGGGCAGCCCAATTTAATATCGATACCTTTGGCACCTGCACCCATCTCAATGTCAATTCCATCGGCCTCCATCCCCTCAATCCGTTACACCGAGGGGGTTGACGGGCTACCCAGTTTGATGTCAATACCAGCGGCACCTGCGCCCGCGCATTCCACTAACCAAAATGAACACAAGAGAACGGTGCGCATCATTCCCGGCTAGCTATCACCCATTCGCCGTTCACACTCTGGTTATTTGCACCCCTCTGGCTTGGATGGCTGACCTTCATCGTTCCAGAACTTGTCTTCAAATGCGCCGAACCAACCACGTCAAAAGTCTGGTCGTGCTCGGCGTGGCCGAGAACCCGAGACAGTCAAATACGAAAGCAAGCGTGCTCTAGTCAAGGCACATTTCAATGAAGTGGAAAATGTGGTGGACTTCACCATCTCTATTTATCCCAAGCGTATTCGCAGCTGGTCGTCTGACAGCGCCGAAAACCATGTCTTCCGCCGTCTATCAACGATAGGATTTTGCGTCAAACCCGAGGAACGCCGCGGATTCCTGCACAGGTTCTTGCAGAGAGGCCAATTCCAAAACTATTCATTGGATGACGATGGTTTTACAACGAATTACTCAGTACGAGTGACCTGGGATTGGGAGGCGGACATGTATTAGTTGACCAGAGAATTGCTCATGTCCGACGAATTGGGACGGTTTTTGTTGGCAACGAGACTCAGAGTAAGAATGTATTAATATTGCTATTGATATGATGCCCTCGCCGAATCAAAGAGCGGCGTGCCACTCCCAGAACAGTACAGGACCTTTTTGTGATTTGGATGCGCAATAGCTTCTCAGGCCCGTTGAATCCTCACTTCCGAACCACCCTACGTTCCAGCGTTGTGTCTTTACGGAAGCGCAACATGAAATATTAACAAGGATTTAATGCAATCTGCTGTTGGTTGATGGGGTTACATTACATGTGCGCTGGAATGAGGCCATTGTGTGGTTTGCTTCCGACCCGCCACGGAGCTTAACCCCATGGGCCACGGACTCAAATCCATTCTGCCAATCCGGCTCAGTTCCAGGCTCCAGCCAGCCGCGCCGTCTTCCAGCTTCGTGTCTGCACTCACAGTCTCATGGTTGCTGGGGCTTGCCTGTAGCGATCTGTAGTAAAAGCTCAAACTACGGTAATTGTCATTTACCATTCTTGGGATTTGATCTTTGTCAACGTGAGCTGGGCAATGGTTCATTGTAGGAAAGAAACCTTCATATCGTGGCCCCTTTGGCACTTCTGAAGATAGACTGCATGGAATAAGAGTAGATGCTCCAAGTTGAGGACAAATACCCGTCTCGGCTATCCTTAATCATGTAAGATTTCCACTTCTCCGCAGCCCCCGTGTAGCTGCCCTTTGCATACCTTACCTTAACAGAGTCTTTTAACCTAGCCATAAGTATTTGCTAGGACATTTGCGATGTCTAATTTCTTGGCGGCCCTTTCGTGGTACTTGACTCCAGTTTTACTGGTGAGAGAACTCTCCGATTGGATAATACCGCAATGGCCCGCATTAAATACCCATGTCTATACGAGAGGACACATAACGTTAAGATAACTTCCGAGTGCGTTCGGAGGTTGCTGGGTAAATATGGGCACGTTTTATACGGGGTTCAAGGTTGTAACCCCTTGATAAGCCAATGAAACGGCTTAGAGTTCCCGAATATAGTGGGATCACAACCAAAAGTATGACAGGGGGGTTGTTTGGATGGCATGGTCAAGATAATACTAGCAACATCTTGCACTGGGAGCGGGAAGTGTCATTCGACTGAAATGGCCCCCACAACGCAGCTTTTTAGATGGCGTTTTCTGATTTGTCAAAGCACTTTGGCTCCAGTTTCCTGCGACTGCTTGGAATCTGATGAGACTGAGAGGATTATGCACGCTACGGGATTTGCTAGCTCGAATACTAAAAGCGTCTAGATTGGCTCTTAGAGGATGCTAACCTCTCGTAGAAGATACCCCGATGCTTCCCCAATTCATGAATGTAGTATAAGAGGTGGCCCAGCTGACTCTAGTGAGAACCCAAACTCAACTTCTCCATCCAATACCCCTTACTCCAAGACCTGCAGATATCTTATTGATAAACTGTACGATGGCGAATACCACTGGCTCCAAGAAGAGTCTCCGCATTGGCATAATGCTTGAGGCTGTTCAACTATCTGACATTGTCGGCGTGGACATCTTTGGTAACCTGTCTAGAGGGTACATGGACGAGGTGAAAGTGCTCGACCCGAGCATTGCTGCGTTCGAGGAGCACGCGGTCGACATGGAATTCTTCTACATTGCGACGACGCTCGAGCCCACAATGATGGTCCCGGGCCTGAACTTCACGTTCCAGCCGAACGTGACGTACGACGACTGCCCACGCGATCTAGACCTGGTCCTCATTGGCGGGCCGACGCCCGCCCACCGGCCCGCACAGGCCGACAAGTTCATCAAAGAAGCGTGGCTCAAGACGCGCGTCTGGATCACGACGTGCATCGGCAGCGCCTGGCTTGCGAGCGCCGGTGTGCTTGAGGGCAGAAAATGCACCACCAACAAGGGTTTCTTGGGCACGGTCCAGCAGATGTACCCTGACACCGAGTGGCTGCACCAGCGCTGGGTCGTCGACGACAAACCATATGATGGCCCTGATGGCAAGGGCGAACTGTGGACGTCGGGTGGTGCCGGAGCCGGTGTGTTTTTTTTTTCTCCTTTTCCTGTTTCCATTGCTAGAGCGGGGAGCCGATTGCTAACACTTTGCAAGGCATTGAAATGATTGCTGAGTACTGTCTCAAAAACTTCAGCAGGGATTTTGTTACTGCCTTGGCTTTGGAGGCCCTGGAGTTCAACCCAGCGGGCAGCAGGGGGCAGTTCTACTCATCCTGACCAGCCACAGGCTCGAGGGTCGTGAATTGACGTTGAACGAACTGTTTTACCTACCTAGATAAGATTCTGGTGCTCCTTGAGCGCGAAATGAATTTTGCGATCAGTTTTGGGCAGAATTTGAATTGCCAAGCCCAGCAGAAGGGTGACAAAGCCGTGTAGGTACTTATTTCCTGCTCAGTATCGTAGTTGCCCAAGCAATACGCTTGTGCCTGCCTTAGCAGCACACCCCTTAGCAGCACACCGAGCGAACACAGTCCTTCAACCAAATGAACACAGTGCACCGTAGCTTACCAAAGTGTTGAATGCGATCGAAGTTGACAGCGCATTGACTTGTCTGCTGAAATCAGGTCTAGTGGTACAGGAAAAGAGCGCTTTCTTATACTGAAGAAAAGAGGGTAAAAGAAGCACGATAATCAGCCGTTCGGAATGAAATGAGGGCATTCCGAGGGCCAAGAATGAAGGAAAATGAAGAATGAAGGGAGTTGGCGTGGCATGCTAACCAGGGCCTGAAAATGTGGTTCAATTCCTTGAAAAGTGTGTCAATTCCAGGCGACACAAAGCGTGCACCGAGAGAAGGCCAGGAAGGCGCAGTTAGTGCCTCTAGTAATTTAACTTTTCTATGTTTTCTAACCAATCCGACTCATCGGTCGCCTGCTGTCTTCTCGTGGGTTCAGGTCTCCGGATGCGATATACAGATTAAAGTTGGTCACGAAAACAAAGCCAATACCCGGCGGAAGCACGAAGCTCAAGTCCAACACGAAAGGTTCTCGGATCTGGCTGACTGCCTCCAACTGGCGCATCACATGCCGGCCGCTCCGCTCCACACACTTTCAACGGCCCGGAGCCGTCAAGGTTCGGCATAGCTATAAATTTACCGATAATATGTACACCGAGAAGACTTACGCCGTGCGGTAGTGTCAAACTCAATCAGCTGGCACAAGTACAAATAGAACAAGAATGCTGCAACTGGCGAATCAGGTCTTCGGATAGACATAGGCCCTGAAGTGTTGTGTGGTATCATTCTGACTGCCATTTTAGAAACAAACGGGGACTTCGTACATACCTGAGTCGCCGACCGGGGTTCACCAGATGAGCTGGCAACTCGGAAAAAGAAACGAAACTAATTTCCGGGTCTCACGCACGCTCTCGATGGGCATGAGCCGCACCACCGCCAAAAAAATCTCATTCTCGCGGATTCTGGCACGCGTATCATTCACCGCAGCTTCCTAGCCAATCATGGCGATCTTCAAGAGAATCAAGGGCCTGGAGGTGACGATCAAGGTTAATGGAGCAACAGCCAGAGAGTATGACAATCCTGATGCCGTGCAGCAAGTGCCTAAAGACTTAAAAGATTTTGACATCGCGAACCCGGTAATTGGCCGCACGAAGGCGCCCTACGTCTTGAAATATATTGACGCCAAACTAGGCGCACTATTCAGTTTGGGGGTCTACAAGTCGGCAAACTGCAAACCACGTATTCACCATATTGTGGACACAGATGATTTGAATCTCGGACTTCGTCACGACATCAACAGGGGGACGACCTAGACATCTATCCCCTCTTTCTTAGCCAATGTGGCCCCAAACGGCCGGGATAAAGAACATCGCTTTTGCTTCGCCAAACTTGATGTCGGTAAGTGAGACTAGACGCGATTGACATTTTGTTCCTGTGACTAACGATTCACAGCCGATACAGACCAATTCACTCTCGAAGCCTTAAGGGAGCAGCTTGAGAAAGCAAAGAAAATGGGCAGTCTCAAAATATCTCTTCATCATATGAAAGACGGGAGAATGTTACGTACGCGGCCATCGAAATCCATGCTAAAAGTTGCAACGCCAACGCTGGCGGAAAAAGCACTCAAGGGCAAAGCCCTGGATTGCTTTGCCAGGTAAGTGTTGAGGTTGCATGATGCAATTTTGCAAAAACCAGGGCTATGACTGACATGCACCTAGTACTCACGATCCAGTGCCTGTCAATAGTCATGTATATGAAAAGCCCGAGAACGTTTATAATGGCCACTTGGGACGCCCATTCGCCGTGTTTGAGTTTCGCTATCAGCCCACGGGTGAGTCGCATTGTTGATCGGTATCGCCATGGGGGTTGAGGTCTAATATCTTGATAGAAGGTTTGATACAGGGGATTGTTCATCGTCCAAGCATTACCGAGGAAGTTTAAAGTATGTCCGCAGAGCAACTCCGACGGCGCGTCCTCGAATTGATGGCGAAACAAGAGGTGAGAAGATCTACGTTGATTTGCCGTACACCGGTTTCATTACTGACCTTGTTCTTATTAGGCCCTTAATGTCAAACTCGAGCGGGTGGCTGGCATCAAACGAGAGGCGCCCGAGATGAGCGAGGCAGAGTTTCAGTCACTTTATAAGAGCTGAAAGCTCGCCAACGGTCCTGTAGAGGTTGATCTTACCGATGATTTGTCGGTATGCTAGTCTCAAGTGGTATTCCATGGGTTAGTTTGAGCTTTGATATTTGGTTTGCTGGGCCCAGCAGGCCAATGTGGATGGGATAATGGTCGTGTGGGGTATTCTTTCTGTAACGGCTTGCTTGTGATTTTGTCGACAATATTATAGCATGTATGAGTTGTGATGGCAAGGGCCAGAGGTTCTGTGTATTGCATTTGTTCGTGGTACTCAAACTACGTAGGGATCCTACAGGTCGAAGGGTTGGTAGATGCGGGGGTAATCTTGTGTCTCTCCTCCCTCCCTCTCTGCGGAACTAAGGTAGGTTCTGCGTGCGACCGGGGTTTTTGTGTGTGTGTGTGTGTGAGGTCCCGCGCCGCACGTGCCTACTTGCACGTGCGTACTCGCGCGATCTCTGCTTCCTCCCTGCTAGTGTGCGGTCACCAGTATCGCTATTCTAACAGCATTAAAGGTAACTGGTGGACGGTCTTTACGTATTGGTTTTCACACTTCACAGGCAATTTAGCTGAACATCACTTGCGTCATATGCCGTGCCTCTGCGACTGGCAAAGAGATGTGAAAACTGTCACCAGATCCGTGAGTGTCCTCCAAGAGACGTGCTTATAATTGTGTCCCAGTTTGACATGGTAAATGGTCTAAGAGTCGCCGAGATGAGCGTTCTGGCAGTCCCTCCGACTAATTGCACCCCAATGGGGTGTTCTGATTGGGGTGCTGCCTGGGCACGTGCATCCATCCATCTAATCATGTTGCAGTCCCAACCAGAGCCCCGGCCTCAAAAACAAAGTGGAACTCGAACCAGATTCAACAGACGACAGCACCGCCACGGAATAAAAAAAAACCCTCGACATTGCGAAACAGCCTTGGATGTAGCGAGTACTTATTGTAGAACGGTAACACGCAGACACGGCATCACATAATCCTTGGCGTGAGTTTCCGGGGCGTGCAATCTTGGCCGACGCGACGAGGCGTGACAACGAGCCTAACACTCAGCGCACCTCTCGCGCTTTTTTGCGTCCCACTCCCCACTTCCCTACGGGCATCCTCCTCAAGTGGCACGACAGTACCACAACGCCAGGCCACGAGAGCACGGTTTCCCGGGGAAATGAGCGCCGGTAGAGCACATGGCGCCGTGATCCTCGTACCAGCCTAGGCAGGAGACGAGCACTGCCTGTTCAGAAACTTTGATCTTTGGAGCAACACCCTCGCGCTTCCCCGCCTTTTACCCTGCTTCAAGTTGGGGTGCATCGAGCCATCAACGCACGGCGGCGCCTCTCAGTGCACAACTTCTCTGCGCCTGCAGCCTGTTTTAGGAAGCAACAGTCGCACTCTGCCATCCTGAGTACCTGCTCAGGAAGAAGGCGAAGATTGAAGGACGTGTCTGCACACCGCGCATCGCGCACTGCCTCGGCCCCTCGATCGACAGGCGGCGCCCATCGTTGCACAACAGCCCAGACGACCCGTCTCATCAAGCCCCGCCCCATCCCCCACCGGCGAGCACGTCTCACGTTTCTCAGATAGATCGCCGAGGTCGCACAACTCCTGCTCAGGCCTTTTGCTTGACGCAAAGTCTGGCCGCCTGTGACTGGAGGATACTCTATTTCGCATAGCAACTTTCTTAGTCTCTTGCTCGTCCTTTTTCCTCGCCTGTCCTTGACAATTTGCCCGAAATGCCAGACCATCCATCATGGCGCCTCCTTCCGGCCGCCGCCCATGGTATCCCGAGCCTCCTTGTCTCCACAGTCTTCACAGCCGAGTCGTACAATATACACCTCACCGATCTCGCCAACGTCTGGGTTGAGTGCATGGATAGAAAGCCCATCGTCAAGAGAGGACTTGTGGAGGACACGAGCATCGATCCTACTGACGGGCCTGACCAAATCCGAAAGATGCTAGAGCTCCTCCGGGCCGCCTTTGACGTGAGCGACCCCGATCATGCAAGCACATCCTTGAGCTTGAGCCTGGCAAAGGACGGCGACGATAGTTCCCTTGTCATCCACATCACCTGCATTCTACCAAAGCCTCTAAAGCCGTTTCGATGGCCAATGCACCTGAAAAAATGTCCTCAGTCGACTCTGGCCACAGAGCTAATGCTGCCCCTGGTAGAAGTGCACCTAACTCGGATGCGACAGATAGAAGACCTTGTTTCTGTCCTTCGGGAGAAAGATAGCATCATCACTAGGCTGATCGACAAGCTCGAGGCAACCGGGACAGGACTTGAACATGTCTTCAACTCGCTCTCGGGCAAGCGCAAGGTCACCAGAGCAGCAGCCGAAGGGAAGATCAAGGGCCTTGCCCCATTTGTTGAAGCCGATCTTAGGAACGGACCTGCGATACAGAGTGCGCTGGCTGGGCTATCCGATGTGACTACGCTCCTCAAAAGCGTCTTTGGTGCCGCAGGCTTGGAGTACAGGCAAGACATGGAACTGGAAGCCTCGCCCATGCTTGACGACTGGTGGACGAAACTGGGAAAAGGCCAACAGCTTGTTCTCGCTGAGCGCTCGAAGGAGGAGGATCGTGAAACGCCGCCGTCATTGCAGCCAACTAAGACCAATGATAACCGCGAAGGGGACGATTTCCAGGTCCAGGCCACCCCGCCTGGCTTGGCCGCTCGGAAACGCCCTGCCAACACACGACCCGAGCCGCTTGCCGGCGACGAGACGTCAGACGGTGACGAGACATCAGAAGGCGATGGAACTGTCGAGATCCCGAAAAGCCTGCCTTCACACAATGATAGAATGGCTGGTAAGCCTTCCGCCCCTCGAATCGGCGCTCTTGGCAGGTATCGAAAGCCATCTCCATCTCCCCCTCGTGCCGCGACGCCGTCAAGAGCAAAGGCTCCAAGGGGGGCTTCTATAAACAGCGACTCAGAGACAGCCTCAGACGAAGATGAAGATAACACAATGAGATCTACCACGGCTTCGTCTCCCAGGCATGCTCCGCGGCGGGGCGGACTTGGACGTATTGGCGGAAAGATTAATGACACATTGCCTGCGCCTGAACCCCACCGATCAAAAACCCCCACACCCCCAAAAGAACGGCCGAGCCCACTGCCGGGGAGACACAAGCTTGGTGTTATAGGCAAAAAGGCCCCAAGCGCTGAGCCAGTCACACATATGGACGGTACAAGTGACGATGACAGGGGCAGAAAGAAGAGCGCTGCGGCTCCACGAAATAAGCCCGAGACACTCCGCGAAACCTCGCAAGAGCGAGCGGACCGGAAGCGAGCGGAACTGCAAAAAGATTTGGAAAAGAGGGCGGCGGCTGGCCCTGCAAAGAAGAAGCGAAAGTTCTAGCGCTGCCAGCTCTCTGTTAACTTCGCCCGGGCTCTTTCATGGTGTCTTTCTCTTTCCTCGCACAGCCACCGGGACCACTCTGCCAGGAACAACGCTTGAACCGACGAATTTAGTACCACTAGTGAGAGATACATCATCATCCGCTTTGTGTATTCACAATTTGAGCCCATATTCAGTTAAACCCCTTATAGTTGTTCGTGCAATCGGCATCGAGGTTCGTTTCTTGTTGGTTCAAGCAATATGCCTGGCGTGTACCGCCTGGGCTGACGACATTAATGTCGGTCGCATGGATATTACTACACACCTTGGCACTGCTACATGCGAATGCCGCGATAAGCGGTCTGTACTTCGCGCTCGTCCTGCCTTTGAATCGTCGAAAGACTATGTTCTCAATCGTCAGCGAGCTGGGATACTGCTGGCAGAGGGCTAGGTTGCGCTGGCCATAACACTGAGTGATCTCAATGGCATAGTCCACGTTGTCGATGAGCATATCCTCGTACGTGATATTGCGAACGCTGCCTGAACCCCCGCCGCCCTGGAGGTCGCTCGACATTGCCGATGCCGTATTGGGCCACACCTTGATGCGGGCACCATCAGAAGCGTTATGCATACTGACATTGCTGACCATGATCGACTCAACGATGTCGAACTCGCCCACATATTGACCGAGACTGCCGACGCTGATCCCGTGCGAGCCGGCGCAAAAGAGCGACTGGACCAGAATATCTGTGCTGTTGGGCTTGAACGATATGCAGTCTGGGTCGCAACTGGTCAGCCCAACTGATCAGCCGCCTTGTGGCAAGCGATTGACGGATGCGATCGCCCAGAAACAATAACCACTTGCGCGAGCAGCCACCCGACATTGCCCTCGACGAGGATCCAGTCAGGAACCACAATCCTTGCCAGGTGTTTGGAGTTTCCCCGTCACACTCGGGTTGGGTATGCACTCCCTTGACGTCCGTTGACTCACCGTCGGCATTGTTGACAACGGAGTTCATGATGGTTACGTCTCGGCTTCGATACGTGTCCCAACCGTCGGTATTTTTAGCAGTGTTCTTACTCGTACTGTCGCCGGCGATACTGATGTTGTTGAACACAATATTGCTCGCATTTGCAACGAAGTGGTAATACTGCGGGCTGTGCCGGAGCACCAGGTCTGACAGAACGCTGTCCTTCAGCCCGTCAATGCCAACCAGTACTGGCCGCAAGGTATAAGCGTTGGCGGCGTATGTATCGTACCAAACCTGCCCGTTACCGTCCAGTGTTCCACCTACAATGACACAGTCAGTCCTCAAGTACCGTGCGTTTCTCTGGAGGCCTAGCACCTCTGACTATGGCAGCCTAACTTGGCTGGACGCTAGGATTGAGGACAGTGAGAAATGGATAGTTGAGGGAGCACGTCGTGTGCCTTTCGGCCGGGCAACTGTGGTTCCGGCGAACAAGGTTCACGGTGACTGGGAATAGAACGGAACAGTGCATCTTCCAGCGCCTTTGTCCTCCACTCCCAGCCCGGCGAGCAACGAGAGGCCCGAGTCGGACTACCTTACGGCCGGCACAGCAGAGCGACAGCGGGTGTTACTCTCGGCCTGGAGACGTACCGCCATAGATCCACACATCTTCGCCGCCAAGCTTGAAGAAAGACGTGACGTTCTGGAAGATGAAACGAAACGAATGGGCCTGCCAGTAGGCCGTGTCGTTGGTGAAGCGGATGCGTCCTTGGATATCTGTTGCACACAGGTTAGCCAGTTCCCTCCGTTGAGCCTCCAATGTGTTGCGCTAGTTCCATTTATCACCGACCACAGCACGTCTGATGCAGATACTGTCATACCTATGTCGATGTGCTTCAGAAAGGTCCAGTCCATGGCAGTACCAATTACGTACACCTTTCCTCTGGGGAAGAGCACATGACCCCCATTGTTACACCCGTGGAAGGCGGAAAGGATGTTATCTGAGTCGTCGGTAATCCCATCGCCATACGTCTTGACGACACAAAGCCTTGATCGACGCTGTGGTGGGTTAGGGAAAGGCAGTCTTGGATTATATGGCATCGGCGAAAGCATAGGCCTCTGCGACATGCTTTGGGAGGCCACAATGGCCGCTGCTTGCAACAATATCGAGAGAATCCCGGAGAGCTTCATGGTCGCACGCCCGCCAGTGGGGTTTCTTGAAGTACGAGCCGAGCAACTACTCTTCAAAGGCCACAAATATATCTTCTCTACGACCATACAAGGTCCGACAACAAGGGACGGGATCTGAGATAATTCCACCGTTCGCTATGGTATTAATCGAGACTCGATAGTCCTGTCGACCCCTCCCGTGTTCCAATATATGACAATTTATGCCATCTTGGCGCTCTCCATTTTGCCGGATTTACGCGTCATACAACCATGGGGATGTACCCGGGTTCCCTCCCTTTGAGAAAGCCAAGAACAACAAATCAGCATCATGCAAGTTGTTCCTGGGAGCTGTCAGCGCTGGGATATGTCTCGAGGCAATGGTAGGCGCAAAAGACAACCAGGTGGAAGATTCGGCGAAGAACCCCCTGAAACGTCGAACGTCCCGGAACTTTGCCCTATTCTACGGGGATGCCTCCCTATGGGCCTCGGGTTTGATGCTTGTCATAGTTTAGCACATGTCTGCACACCTCTGGATTGCCATGCATGGAGGCTAAGACATTACGACGACCTTAGTTTTGTTTGGTTCGTTTCGTACAGCCTCATCCGTTTGTTATTCTGTTGGGTCTCTGCTTCTCGCTTCTCGTCTTGGAGAGGGTTGCTGCTGACATCACACCATCTTGGGGCTCGCGATCCGAACGGCGAGAAAGGGAAAGAAAACAATACTAATTGTTACCCATGTGAGAAAAAAGCAGACCCAATCACGGATTATGGTTCCCCTCCACAAAGAGTCAATCATTCCGAGTGCTTTCGTTGCCCGGTCTCATTCAAGGCGGGAGAGCGACATTTTTGCGTTGTTTTCCTGCGGGGATCCTTCTGGTCGAATCAGGAACTGACAGGTCACCCCGTGAGTTTTGATGCGCCCGTTGTTGGTATCGAGGGCGTGGGAGTAAGACAGGCAGTGAGGTACTGGTAGCGATAGACATGGACCTGAGGCCTTGCTGCCCTTCCTCCACGCCGGCTTCAACATGATATCGTGTTACAACCACCTCACGAAAACCCGACGGCCACGGAACGGGACGGGTGCATGGGACTACTGCACCGGGTCCCAGCTTTGCATTCGCGGGCATCCAGTCAGCTCCATCTCGCCAAAAAGTGCACCTGCGCCACTTTCCCGGCGCTGCCTGCCGAGACTCACGAAGCGGAGGTCTTTCAATCTGTGAGGTTGGGATTGAGGTGTGCCAATGCATTGCTCGCCAAGGCAGGGGTCTTGATGATTCATCCAAGTTGCAACTTTGGCTCCCAATCAATCACTGTCAGTCGTTCCCCAGCCTGGTGCGGCATCCGTTTGAGGAGTTGCCGGAGTGGGTGGATAGCTTTCTCTGTCTACTCTCTGCCATGCAGAGTCCCATCTTCGGTCCGAAGAAAAACTCTCCTTGGCTCAACTTGCGGCGCTTTTGGCATACCCTTGACTGATCCTCGCTTCTCTTCTGCTATTGCGTTGCCATTTCGAGAGAGTGGCAGCTTGAACCGGCAGCGTCAGGAATATCAGCGAGCACAATGCTCCTGTGGCACAAATCCCGCGTACCGGGTTTGGTCAGCCGATGCAATCTCGATCGAGCGGGAGACGCCGAGAGATCGACGGCTCAGCTTACGAGGGCATGAGGGCAGTTACCAGAAACCCGGTCGGATCAATGAGAAGACCGCATAGTACCTGTCGTTTGCTCACTTGCTGTGGGTGATTGTGAGCCAGGTGTCTCGTTTTGGGGACCACACGCAGCATTATCGCCATTGTCGGCGGCGGCGCGACGCCGGGTTCTCCACCAATCCTTTCAAAGTATTGAACTCGACAACTAACAACCGATTCTAGGGGTAACTAATTTCGGTTCCCGCCGGTCTTTTGCTTGATGGCTGCATGTAGTCCTGTCTGGTCACAAGCGGCTGTTGCACCGGGTCGATTTGTGACGGCAGCCGACGAGGCTGGTCCCTAGACCTGCTCCCACATGGCAGAAAGAACACACCCACCCACGCTGTAATTAAGACGACCTGTGGTTATGTGATAGGGTTGGCCAGTCTTGAGAGATGCACTGCCCGGCGAAGAAGCCATACTTCCCTTCTCCTGACACCTGTTAAGAGCCTAAGTGCAGCTGTCAGAATGTAGGCCGACACAGAGCACAACGCTGCCAAAAAAGCGGTTAATGTCGATCGGTACTCCGTACAGATGTCTCTTCTGGGTTTAATTACGGAGCACGGGTACCTCCCACGGGCCACTTCAGCTACTACTATCTCTCGGCCCTGGCCCCGCTTTCTTTTTGCACGGCCAGACGCTACATACTCCCGAACCCTGAGGAGCGCCAGGGTCGATGAGCAGACGCTCACTGAAAGCCTCCACTGCACACGCCGCAAAGACGCCGCCAATACGAGCAAGTGTGAACGCGAACATATCCGTAGTCAAAGTTCCCATTATCTTGGCTCGCATGCATTGCCGGCTTTGAGTTTGAGTCTTCCTCGTCCATCACAAGGTACCTAGCCGAACCCGTCTATGTCTTCGATACTTTCTGTGCGGCGAGGCAGTGACGGCTCCTGTGATTAGCCAATTCTAGCCGAGTTGCTTCAAAGACAGTGCATGGCGCATGCAGAGGCAGAGGATAATATTGCACTCGCCGGCTTCAAAAGGCATCCCTCCCTGTGATACATCTCCGGTTCAGCGCATTGGATGGCCGCCCACCAACAGTAAGTGACAGGTCACAGCAAAGTGGCACTTTTGCCTATCGGTTTCCCTACCTGCCTGTTCCCTCTCTATCCCTGGAGGGATCATACCCGTTCTCGCATCCGCTTGGAAATCTACGAGAAACACATGATGGATTAGGCTGGGCACCGACTGCGGAGCCGTTCTACTACTATGTAGTAGTTGGCCTGAACTGCCATCTGCTGGTGAGATTTGTTGACGGTACACAACGCCTGCCTGGCTTGTCATCAACAGACTCGTACTCTCCACAAAGCTCACCACCCCGCCTCGCAGCCTTAATGCGTTTGTCATGCAGCTCTCCAGTTGCCATCAAGGGTTAGGTCGTGCGCAACAGCAGGAGCAAAAAGGGAGACTATTGATACCCCCACTTGTGATGGCCGTCCCGAGATGAGCTTCATCCGAGGGCGGGCACCAGAGCCGGTGGGAACTAGAATAACCGTATATACCAGCCAATGCTTCGAATTAGAGCGTCGCAAGATCTGCCGGAACGCATTCTAGCGTGCATGGAGGTTAAAATGCTCGAGACCTGTTGATTGATCTCGTATGTCAACGCTTCGGCATGAGCACAGTGCGTTCGCTCATTGCCTGCCGCGTTAGACGGCAGCTGTCGGGTGCCTGTCCACACCCCACGGTTTCCAGGGGTGGGGGGCCTCAGGTTCTGTTGTTGACCCCGCCTGTAACTGTCGTCGCCCACCACTATCCCTACGGATCGGATACAGCGCAGGTGTTCCGTATATGGTACCTATTTGTACCAACCCTCAGCCCCCCCGGTATTACCTAGATACGAATACATGTGCCTAGGAATATGAGTTATGCGAATGGTATTGTACAGTTTCGGTAGATAATCAAGAATTACAGCGTAATACACAGAAACACCTCACTGCTGTATTGCGTATGTACTATTCAATACTCGTACCTTGTAGTCAAGGGGTTTGGAGTACCTTACGTAAGGGGCTCGCGCGAACCCCGCCAAAAGCAAATCTAGTTCAGCCGTTCAGCAGGCCACTGGATAAATCACAAGCACAATCCGCCCTGCGCTCCACTTCAACTAAAACCTAAGTCCCCGTCCGACCGCGCGCCTAATACTTGGGTATCAGGCCATCGACAAGCATTCCATTACATTCCCGCCGCAAAGGACAAATATCGACGACCTCCATTCTTAATATACGAAGCCTGCTTCCATTGCTGCGCGCGCACCTGCACGCGCCAGTCTGCAGACAATAAGGCGTCGTGCGAAGATGGACATCGCTGCCACCACTTGCGTTTACCGACGAGGTATTGCTGTCTCTGTACATGTAGTGTACGTACATACATACCTTACATGCTTTGGCTGTGCTGTACTTTTGACAGGTGACCACTGCAGCCCTGCAGGGTCGCTTCGGCTTGTTTCAGAGGTCCGTCGGGTACTTACGACTATTCCTTCCTATCTCACGAACTCATTCAGTTGTGTCCCTTGATCACCTCAGGGCATGGAACGTCGAAGTGCAGAGAGCGAACCCGCGTCGAAAGGCACCCTTGCTGATGAGCTGGCGAGCCTGTGCCGCGAGCTTCTAGCTCAAGCACACCCACCACGAGCTAGCGAGCTCTGGAGTCACAGTCGGCAGTTGTAGGCGCACCGCCTTTCATGCCAACCAAACGCCCATGCCTTCAAGGGCCGACCCGATGGAACGGAAGCCAATCATGGCGCATGCATCCCCAGAAGCTGACAGGGATTCACATTGACGCACGCCATTCACATCCAATCGCCGCACACCAACCAACGCGCTAACAAGTCCGTCGATCCTCCAACACCTTAATCTTTCGGCGTTTTATTGTCGAGAGTCAGAAAGGGAACCTGGGATACCGAAGCTATATTGGCAGACTTGCAGTTACGGATATCCCCAGCCAGCGTGGAAGCAACCTGCGCAGCGGACATGAACCGATGGTGGAGGGGTGCAACGCGCGGCCGTCCAGCCGCAAATGCGTAAGGGTCTTGTGGCTTGGCAGGCGATACCGTGATCTAACAGACATGCGCTGGAGGAAGGATTGCATCTAGCACCGTACCGGCATGGCCATGGGTGTGCAATTCCGGCTCTAGCTTATACTAGCCATCACGCTACAATGCGGAGTATTCTCTCGAACCGCCTTGCCGAGAGTTGTTCTGCACGGCGCGATCGCCTACCTCCATGTCGCATGGCACCCCGCTCGGCGCCGAGCCTCTTCCCCTACACCGTACTGTACATGTACACCAACCTCATTTCCACTCAGTACCTACGTGCGTTGATCATATGGAAGCGTTTCACAAAGATTACACAAGCTCGATGCAGCTCCATGGTTCACAGACGCGTGCATCTCTTGATCAAGACAATTTCAGGGGCCGCGGCTTTTTTCGAAGGCTAGACAGGAATCGTCCAGGGGCCTACCCGCTTTTGTCTCGGATGTATGCTTTTTGACTTCTAGAATCATGGCGCAAAGCATATCGCTAACGCCAACGAACGTCGGTAGCACAACATTTATAAGCAGGGCAGAAAACCACATGGCTCAAGCATCTCACAATCTCGGTGAGATTCCTTTGCCCCCGCAGGCTTCCACGTAAGCCCACGGGTGGCTTGGCAGTGAGATTTGTGGCTTGCATCCAATCCGTCCATCGAAAATAGCAACTGCGCCCAAAGACCAACACAAGCTGGCCATTAAGCGATTATCTAGGCTGCCATGCAATGGAACCTTTGAAGTGCAATCCCAGGGACCAGCCAAGGGCAGCTCATCTCCTCACCCCTTGACTGGTCATCCCTTGACGCGCCAGAGCCCCCGATACGCTCCGTTAGGACGAACTAGATGGAAAGATACACGAATTTCGTTTCCCGGCCTAGCTGAGGCTTCGGACTTCATCGCAAGGCCGAAGAACTACCAGCTTCCATCTAGCTAAGGTGTGTTACACATGTTAGTTTGGTCGTGGCCGAATATGTGTTGAGCAAACAGGCATAAACGAGGCCTCCCTCTCCAGTTCGTCGAGGCCCCCCCTCTCGAGCTGCTCGAATCTGCAGACCGCGACAAGACCATGGCCATATGGTAGAAGGGACCCTGCATCAAATTGGCAGCGGAATGAACCGTCAATGATAAAAAAAACCACGCTTCGTAATCCGAAAGTATAGTGGCGCAATTTAGGCTTTCCAGGCAAGCTCAATCTGCCCCGACCTTCCGAATCTTGGTTTCCCCTTTCCAGCCCCCACCTTCCACACCCTCTTTGGCCAACTGCCCCACATCTGATCACCATCTCCAATTCCAGTATCTATGGTTCAAGAGACATCAATGGCCCTAGCCATGGTCTTGGGTGCGTTTGATACCATCTGAGCGTGCTCTTCTCACTCTATATCCTAGCCGGCAAGGAATGGTGACATGTTATGCGATGAACGACGCCTTGCATTGTCCTCAAGGCAGAACCGAGCTTCGTCTTGCCTTGCCCCACATGTGCAAGGGACAGGTGAAGAAACAAGGACAGGGCGTGGGAGAGTAGGCAGGGGCCGGGGGACGAGGTAAAGGCACACCACCGTTCGGACGACGCTTACTGGTTTGGAAAACGCGCGCATATTCTCGGAAACTCTTGCCTTTGATCTGGATATCGGGTATCTCGAATTTTAGAGTCCGGCTCTAGAGTCGAAGACTGACTTTCTCCCCCCCCCGGCGGTGACTGCCTGCTGTTGGTCCTCTCGCAGCGGTCTGGGAACACCTCAATACTAATTAACAGCGTGTGCGGGCTCGTGGGGCAATGACTTAGCCACGGACCCTGATCAATTTGCCATCCCGCAAGTGATATCCCTTACTTACGACTGCGTGGGCAGGTTAGATTCCCCGTTGAAAGATCATTCCACTTCGTCTGGATATCAATAGAAGCATGTGGCTTCCTCCATTCTTGCCGCAATGGTTTCATTTAGGTCGATTGGAGTCGAGTTCCGGATCTAGACGACGAGTCCAGTAGTTCTAGACCCCCGGGTTTCTCTTGCATTGCAGCCAGCATTGCGATTGCCATAGCCAAGTAGTCCGGTTCCGAACACAGTAAGCACGTCCAGTACACGTGGACCGGGGATAGAGAAGGGCCAGGCGCGATGCATAGCAGCCACCGAAAACATACCACCTTCCGCTCTCGTTGTCGCTACCGGGCCAATAGTACATACCGGTTTCTCTACGTGTGCGGCTCTTATCGCCCTCTTCCATGGTCCTAGTCGAGAAGGTTAGTTTCTCGCAACCCGTTGCTGCCACCACGCGCAGCGGGGACCTCGCTTGGCCGCCCTGTGTCCTGTAACTGGACAGCGGGGAAAGCACGCCCGTCATCGCCATCTCGCCCGGTTGACACAGCTGTGTTGTTGCGGTCGACATTTTGCGTTTGTGCTACCCTTAGCGTCTCTAACTTCGTGGAGATCAGCCCAAATTGCAGCCAGGGGCGTCCGCCACTGGGCGTCAAACCTTGGCTTTGGGATGTTAAGAGTAACGGGAACATGGGTTGGGCGTTTTTGTGGAGGGTGTTGAGGTGGGAGAGTTTGATTGGCTTATTTTTTTTGTCTGCGTTGGAATAAGCAATCCAACAAAGCAAGGGGAGAGAGATCGAGGACTAGAGCTGAACCTAAACCAGAACTAGCAGGCCTGCCTTACCTCGCCCTGGCCAGTCTCCCATCGGCCGACTCCAGCTGCGATTTTTTTTGGTAGCTGGGGAGGAGGGGCTCGGTTTTGCGTGTACGATTCTGGGGCCCCGCACTGTTCGTGCCGATCGAGGGATCTCATTGACCGATTTGGCCTTCCGGTTTCCTCCGCCCTCCCTCGTTCGAATTGGAGACGCCCGGTCTCCAAAACAAAACGACCTTTGGGACAACCACCAAACCAGCTCCCGTGCAGCTGATCACCCTGTCAAATGGGGAGGAAAAAAGAAAGGGAAGGGGTCTTGCCACTACTCTTTTCATCTACACACACAAACTCGCTCTTATGCCCGCCAAACAAGAGTTTGAAGGGTGAGGCGTATGTTACTGGACCTCAAACGCAGACTGTTGACGCTAGTCCGCTCGCTGCCTGCCCCACTTCCCCCTGTCTACCTAAACCAAAACGCCCCCTTTTTTTGACCCCTCTCTCGAACTGACCAAAACGGGCGTTTTTATCAGTCACGCCCTTGTTTTCTCCCTCAGAAACTGGGATGGATGGAAATTGCTTGCGAGCGCTCGAGTGGAATCTTCATTTCGATAACGCTGGAGCAGAAAGGTGTTAACAAGGGTAAAGATATGGCTCTTTCTAATTTCCACTTCTTTTTTATTATGCCTGGTCCCTTGTCTAGTGAAGAATGTTGTGGCGGCTTGCCTTTTTCGAACTCCCGCATCATTACCGAAAAGCAAATAAGCAACTATGAACAGAACATTTTATGTCGGTACGTCACCTTTCCTTCCAACCGGGCTCGTCGTTCCATTCCATGAGGCCTCCATGAAATAATACCCTAGAAGCTCCGTGACCGGTATTCTCCTGTATGTACGCACACCACACACCACGCACACACCACGCACGCCCTCTGTCCCACATTCGACACAGACAATCCCCTTGTGGGGGAGAGCGTCTGTCCGTCTGAACTCTCCGTTTGGCTAGGTACCTAAGTGCCTTCTCTTTCCGGAATCCAGCACACTCCACACTTCCTTTTCGTCGAGTATTCTTATCACTCGCTGTGCCGTGTCGGGGCGTGACCTGACGTGCTGTGCTGTGCCATGCCGCCTAATGTCGTTGTATGCCAAGTTGCAAAGAAAACACCAAAGCCCATGCAGATGCCCCATGTAATGCCCCCCAACGAGACCTAGTATTCCGCAGCTGAGGGCAGATGGACAGGAACAGGATGATGTGTATGTGTGGAAAGACATGAGAATGATAATGCAAAGGCTTGCCTCATGTTTTCCTGCCCCCCTTTTTGCTTTCGCTATGCCAGAACCGGATTGCCTCCCTCACTCGTCGCTATGCTCCTCGCCGCCCAAAAAGGGAAAAAGAGAAAAAAAGAAAAATATCCGGTAAACCTAAAAGTCCCTGTGTTTTTTCCATTTTCCGCCTCTTACCCCTTTCTGGCCCGAGCCCCCCCGTGTCTGTTGTCGCATGTAGCCTGTCGTGTCCATGTTCTCGCACGCGATGTTATTTTCCGTCTGGAAAAGAAAATGAGGAAATAATAAACCGCAAGAGGAGAAACAAATTCCGGGGCGGCGTCCCACATCTGGACACTAGCTAGCCCCGGACCCGCATCTGTGCTATCTGGATGGGTTTTGTGTCTGTAGGAATGTAGTTTCGTTGTGATCAAATTTCCATGGTATCCCATTCAAAAAGGATGACACCAAATTAGCCTCGTAAAGAAAAACGGCAAAACCCAGCAAAGACTCTCCCGAAACAAGAGAAATTAACAGAAAAACAATAACGCCGCCGTGATTGGTTCGGCTTTCCCCCCTTCCCATCTCCCTCCCATTCCAGGGTTTTGAAGTTGTACGGTTTGTTAAAGGTAGAATGCGAGAAATTGTTCGACTAGGGTTAAGTAAGGGGGTAAGGTGGGGTGGGGGGGAGGAGAAAAAGAACCTCCAAATTAAAACAACGAGAAAGATAAAAATAAAAAACCGCCAGCCGCTGTCAAGAGGAGGGGAGGAAAAAGGACAAGATCGTATCCGTAAAAAAAAGCGCAAAAAGGGAAGGGTATGCGCAACAAACAGAGAGAACAGACCACAGACAGACAACCCCGCGGTTACACAGAGGGTTTGGGGGCTGAGGGCAGCACCGAGCTTGCTTGCTTGTTGCTTGCTTGCCAGCCTGCTTGCTGCGTCGCCGAGAGGTGAACGCCAAGATAAGACCAAAACGGAAAAAGGAAGCAAAAAAAAAAAAAAAAAAGAAGCAAAGCGCCCCTCTCTTAGTACATCCTCGAAGCTCTGACGTTGACAGCAAAGAGCAGGGGTGTGTAGTGTGTGTGCGCAGGCACTTCTCATTGGCCAGCCCGCAACCACCACGACAGCCCTCGTTCCGTTTCGGGGAGTAGCGAAGGGGGTGGAGGGGGGTCCCACGCAACAACATGGATTACCCCATGAGTTTGGTATCTGTAGAGCAGGATGCCGGGACTGGGCTGGCTGGCCAGGCATCTTTTTCGTTGTGGTGCTAGTAAGGGTGCTGATGGTAGGCCGAGTCGTCCAGGCCTATGCCAATGCCGATGCCGATGACCGCACCGCCGCCGCTACTGCTACCGTTGCTGCCGCCGTTGCTGACGCCGACGCCGACGCCGCCCGCGCTGCTGCTGCTGCTGCCGCCGTTGCCCCAGCTGTAGTTCGTGACCATGTCCTCGTCATAGACGCCCACGATGGGTTGCAGCGGGTAGACCAAGGCCGGGTCTTCGCTGGAAAAGTAGGGTAGGCCGTCGGTGGACAGGCTACTGCTACTGCTGCTGGGGCCTGCCGTGGTCCGCAGGTCGGGCAGCAGCATGACTGGGGCCGCGTCTTCGGCGAACGACGTTTCGGGTGTGATAGGCTCGTCGATGACGGACTCGCTCGGTGTGCGGTTGTGGTGGTAGTGGTGGGGATGGCTGTGACTATGACCTTGATTGAGCTGGGGATGAGGCGGGGGGTGGTGCTGTTCAAGCGGCGATGGCTGGAAGAGCTGTGGTGCCGGGTAATCGCTATTGGCGCTGCTGCTGTTGTACTCGAAATCGACGCTGATCCTGCTGCCGCCGCCGCCGCCTTGGTTCAAGCTAACAAGCTGGCTGGACATACCCCCTCCTCCGACCAAGAAGGCGCCATACGGTGCATCCTCCCCGCTAGCCGGCCCCGCGCCATGCATCAAGCTGTGTTGGAGGCGCTGGCGGTGCTGCGGCATATGCTGGGGATAGTACTGCATTTGGATTGCAGCCGCCGCCGCCGCCGCCGTACCGCTGTGGCGTGACGACGGATGCCTTGCCCTCACCCGACCAGAGAGAATGCCTCCTTTCCTCCCCGGGAGCCGGGCTCCGCTGTAGTCGTGCCCCCTGCTTCCCATGCCTGCTGCTCTCCTTGACGGGTTGCCCTTGCGATATCTTGTCGTGCTTTGTACGCCGTCTTCGATCGCCCAAGGCTCGAGGAACCACTCGGTCGATTTCTTGTTGTCGGCTACGGTACCTGTCGACAGAAAAATATCGGGGACCGAGGAGGCTGCCGCGTCGTCGCTGCCTCCACTTGATGAAGTGCGCTCTCGTTTGGTGAAGGCCTTATCCACGAAGAACGAGGTCAGCAACTACCACCACGGGCACAAATATCAGTAGTTAGACTAGGGGGGGTGGGAACGTACCAAATTCATGCTGAGGTTATGTCGGATACTGTTCTGCCAGCCCTTGCCGTCCTTTTTGCCCTTGTCGGTGTTATCACGGAACCACTGGTATATTTCCTGGAGCGTCAGAGCGTGGCGGGGCGTGCTCATGAAGGCGCGGTAGATGAGTTTCGCGTACGGCTCTTCGTTCTTGTTGCCTGCCATGTTGCCTAGGGTACCGTCGCTGCCGGTTGGGCTAGGAATACTGCTGCTGCGCCGGCTGTGCCTCTGGAGCCCGGGCTCGGATGGGTAGTGGCTGCCGAGCAACTCCTCGCCCGACTCCAGGGCAGTGCCGGGGCTGAACATGTCGTCCTCCATCTTGATGCCCAGCGTCGAGCTGCATGGAGACAGCGGGCCATTATTGTCCTGGACCAAGGTACCTCCTCCGTCGCCAGGCGGTAGCGGATAATGCGACTGGAATGGGTCTTGGTGGCCCTGGATGCGGAAGCCGCTTTCATTTCCATTAAAATTCGCCGTCTGAAGATACGGCCCAGCCACGTGGAAGGAGGTAGCGGGTATGCTGAGCGAGTTTTGGACATAGTGGTGCATGGTCTCCCTCGATAGGGTGGTGACCTCCTCTAGTTGGAACGCCGCTACCTGTTGACTTTGCCTCGGGTACGGGTTTGCAAGATGTTCCGGGACCGACTCCCACGACACTGAGCGGAAATGATCTGGCGACGTCCAGCTGCGAGGTGAAGACTGCCTGGAGGCCGTGGGCTGGAGAAACCCAGCCGTGGAGGAACTGTGAAGAGCATAATTCTCAAACTCGTCACCAGCATCGTGCGCTCGCACCGGAGCGCTCCACAGCGAATCCCGCTGGGTTTGTCCTGGGAGCATGTATGGCTGTTGCTGGCCTTGGGCGGTGTGGTGCCGCAGCGCGCCGCTCACCTGAATACCTGTATCGAACTGTACTTGCCGTGCAGGATCGACTGAAGACTGGTTTGCTGCTGCCGGGGGGCTAGCCGCCTGAGTTATCGGCTGGGGAGACAGGGTGTAGGCTGCTTCGAGGCCCGTGAGCTCTGCGTGCTCTAGCATTTTAGGGGATGATTGCGTGGTGCGAGACTGTCTCGGGTCGACGGCGGGGGAAGTAGTTGGATCCAAGTCTTTGGAATTCTCTAGGTCCATGACGAAAAAGTCTTGGGATCCCTAGAGGGGGAGGGGGGGGGGGGAGTGTTTGAGATCCGGGGCAGAAGGAAGGGGATAGAGCTCTCTCTCTCTCTCAGGCAGTGTCCTAGGCAGGGTAGAGTGCGGGGGGCGGAGACAATAAGCGTATCTGATATCGGAGACGGTCCGCCAAATGGGATGAAAAGTCGGGAACAAAAAGAAAAAGAAAACCGACTCAGTCAAGAGCCAGGGACACTTTCTCGTCAACGAAGGGCTCGATCGGGTGTTATTGGCGGCTGATGTACTCTGGGAACTGTAGCTGGTAGGCCAGCATGGGGGAAGATCGATGACAGGGGGTTTTCATGCAGATTGGTGATGGAACGTGTAGCGCGGTACCTCCAGGAGACAGCATCCCGGACCCTGGAGGAGATCGTGGAGACCAGGACCAGGTGGTGATGGATGTCTAAGTCTATTCCCCGAAGATATGGACTGGCAGGGCAGGGCATGGAAGGGGTGTGGGGGGGGGGAAGAGAGAAGTCACACTTGACGGAGCGGGTGCAATGTGAGTATGCGGCAGCGCATTGTTTGGTGGACTGGGAACCAGACGTCTACCTCCGCCTCGGCTGGCTGGCAGCCTGCGCTGCGTGTACCAAGCAAGTGTGCGCTACATTCCATGTATTGTACCTGGGGAAGAAGTGAAGGCGTGTGGTGGCCCGCCGTGTGCTATGTGCAATGTACAGTACCGTGTACGCAAGCTTTTCGTGGCTGCTTGTGTGTCTGTGTGTGGATGTGAGGTCAGGTAGGCATGTATGTGTGTAGTATGTCTATGTATGTATGTATGTATATATGTGTGTGTGTGTGTGTGTGTGTGTGTGTGTGTGTCTGTGTGTGTGTGCCTACATAGTATGTGTGTGCCTCTGCAGGTGTGCGCAGGTGTAAAGCCAACATGTAGGGGGTAGGTGCAAACAGGAAGGGGGCTTGAATGGCTGGCCTGGCATGGGCACTGCGTGCCATGTACGAAGTACACATGGGATCTACGACGTGCTGTGTATGTACCTGTGTACATCCATCCAGCTCCCGTCTAGACCGGTTCCAGCGATCCCGGGAAAGTCAGAGGAGGCGTGCGTGGTCCATGGGTCCGGCCAGTATCAAGGCGGTTGCAGAAGCGGCTCATAACATGCCCCAGCTGGGGCATGGCTGCAACAGCTTGGCCGCCGCCACAGCTTAACAACATCGAAGCCGTAAGGAAGCGAAATCTGATAGAATCGATCCCATTCCACAGGGCCCCCAAGCCCAACCCCACCGACACTTCAGCACCGGACAAAGCTGCCGTTAGCTGGCCAAGTAGGAACCCATATGGGAGCCGTGGCGGTCTGGGCAGCCGGCCTTCAACAAAATCCTTGTCCGCTATAGCTTGTTCCTTTCGACTTCCGCATACCCGGATTCCCTGTCTACACGCATGGCATTTACGGTCGAAACCCAGGACCCATTGTATTTGTCTGCAATGAATGGGGCGCGCTTCCTCGTCAGTCTCCGGCAGTGCAGCCCAGCAGGTCCGACCGACAGCGCAGAAGTGGCGGGAGGAGAAGGCCGACCTCTCAGCTCTGCGCGGCAAGGTGCAGCCCAGGCCATTCGCCTGCCGGGCCAATCATTTACAGCAGCAAAAAGACTTGGCGCACCAGTTGGCCAAAGGGGCCAATGATGGTGCACCCTTCGGCTCTTATCGAGGCATACTGTACCGTGCAATCGCCTTGAAATAGACCTCTGTACGGATATGCACAACATGTTTCATTCTAGAAGCTCTGGCGAAGAAATGCAGCTTCATTTGCGCTACAATCTCGATGCTTGTCCAGGGAGCCGATGGGAGGACAACGCCGACCGGACCGACCGCTTTGCAAAGTGGGAGAAGTAGGAATCCCCTCTCGGCTCCTGCGGCGTCCTTCGTCCAGTCAGCCAGATACCACAGTTGTCGTCCTTCCCTCTGCCACGGCTACGAGTGGCGTTGTTTCTCGGGTTCGACAAAGTCCGAAAATGAATTCGTAACGATTCCGAATAGGAGAACGCAGGTCGATTTGTTGAGCCAATGTGCAGCGCAGGCGACGGCGACTAATTGCCGAAGCCGGTATAGATTCCAAAGTAGTGCACTCCGGAAGATGAGCGGTATTTGTCGGCGCAACGAAGCACTGAGGCAAATCTCTGCCGACGTGTTGATCACGGATCTGAGCCTGGAAAGTGAAGCGTGCCGGCAGCTCGCACGCAGATGAAGGGGAAAAAAGAAGCCTGGAAAGTGGCCTCTTGTTATTAAGCTTCCCGTGGCCAGTGGGCAGCGGCCTCTTCCGCTGCAGATGGGGCAGACATCAGACACACGTCGCTTCCCTGATCACCATGGCCGTGGGCTTGCAGGACGGGCCGCTGCCGCTCACGTCGGCCCACAATCTGCCAGACAGAGCTTCCTCGCTAATTTTCTGCGCTCGTCTGCTGCCGAGGGATTCCACGGATACCCGGTGATTCACCAGCGAATGATTTACTTTCTGTAGTAGATCTGCCGACAAAGATTAGTAAAAAGGCGCGGGCGCAAAGACACGAGAGGCCAAATCAGGGGCCTACCTTTTTGAACTGGAAGTGCAGTTGGAGAATTCCCTGTCGAAAAGAGTCAGCAACCACAGTCACACTTGCGTGGGGTGAAAAAAGATTTATCATCCGATAAGCACTCGCGAAACAAACAAGCTGCAGGAGTAAGGAGCATGACCAAAGATTCCGACAGAAACAGGACGGGCGCCGCTTCGGCGATGGCAAGATGGGAGCAAGTGGCTGGAACCAGTAGGCAGAAGAATAACAAGTGGCCACGGGGCGGGCGAGCTGGCCGCGGCCACCACACCCTCCCCCGTGATTCGCGACCCTTGAGAGCGGCGCAGCAACGGCAGACAGACCCTGAGACGTACCTTATCGAAACTGCTCTTGAAGCCCCGCTCTTTCTTGGCGCTGTAGTCCCATTCTCTGTCGACAATCCGGAAGGCAATGTCCTCGTAGGGCGGGCCGGCTATGAATCGAATCAGGCAAGTGTCTTCCTTGCCGGCGGGGGCAAAGGATTCGCCCCGTCGGCGCCCATGTTCCCGGATGATCTTGAAGGTGGGCGCCTTGGTCTTGTCAATCAGGTCCGGGTAGAAGATGTTGAAACGGTAGCCTTGCACGACCTTGGGCGGCGGGTTGTCGTGGTCGTAGTGGGTCTGGTTGTACTTGTTCCACTCGTATCCCATCTGGACGCGGTTGAAGTAGCGTGGCTTACGCGGACGATACTTGTCCGCCCAGAGGGGCTTGGCAGAGCTGGGGACTGCCTCCTCGGCAGCAAAGATCTCTTCGCCCTCGTTGACGCCCCGGGCAACTTCGCGGTCGTAGAGTGCCTTGGTCGCCTGCGAGAAGTCCTCGTTGCCAGTCGAGGCAAAGCGAGCCGTACCCGGCGGAGGCGCATTGGGGTCCTGGGCAGCAGCAGCAGCAGCAGCAGCAGCAGCCGCTCCGGCTGGTGCTGCGGGTCTAAGAGCGGCCTTTGCTGGGCTGGACGCGGCTCTTGGGGCTACATCTAGGAGGCTACCGGATGCATCCAACGCCGAGGCCTTCTCTGGGTCGCGGGCCCTGAGGAGCTCGACGCGGGCGGCCTTGATGGTCAGGCACATCTCCCCGAGCTTCGCTTTCGCCTTGTAGACAAGAAGGTTCTTGAGCAGCTGTTCCCAGTAATCCGTGTCGATCGGCCCGTTGGAGCGCAGCTTAGCCTTGATCTGCGTCTCGAGGTCTTGGAGCTGCGCGAGTGTCTTCGGACTCAGGATCTTGTCAACATCCGATGCCACCGACGTGACGGTCCTTCCTTCAGGGCCCTGGGGCTTTAGCTTCTGGCGCCGGTCACCGCAGAGAGCTAGCAGGGCTGTCCAGTATTCCTTATTCCTCGCATTGTGCTCAAGAGTGTGGTACGACCTGATATCCTCATCCAGCTCCTTCAGCTGCGCCCCGTTGAGGCCCTCGACCACGGCCTCTGGTGAGGGCACGTCAATCTCGACGTCATCCTCGTCATCGTCGAACACGTCGCGGTCCGAGTCGACGAAGCGCAAGTTGAAGGCGAGGTAGTCGATGGGCTTAGCGCGGCGCTCGCGCACGCGGATGTCGGCCTTCTTCTTGGCCTGCTTCAACACGAACTTATCCTCATCGGCAACGAACTGCTCCGACTGCTGATCTTGGGTCAGGTACTTCCCCGCCGCTGGTCCGTTGGTGCTCGGCTTGGCGGCTTGCTGGCGCGGGGGTTTGGAGATGCGGGCGCCGGGGTCATGGCGCGGTGCTGTGATGTCTCTGTCGTTGGGTTTGCGAGGCGATTTCCACCCGCTGATCATGGCCTCTCTCTCCGGATTCATGGTGGGCAGAGACCCGCGCGCGGATAAGGATGAGGATGGGGTTGGGGGGTCGGAAATATGCTATCGCAGAGTAGGAAGCAGTGTGGTGGCACGCGTCTGGATCTGGCCGCTGAGATTATGCGTGTTGGCGAAAGGCAGGCAGCGGTCTACGTAGTGGACAATTGATTTTAGTTGAGTGGCGGCAGAACATGGGATCAAACACGCGACGGCTGGAGGGGCCCCCACACCAATAAAGATCTATCCATTGTTACGCTGTATCTGTACGTACATACGGATCCGTACGTATGTACATACAGTATGGTTGTACGGAGCACTGTACCGATTACCTTACATACGCCGACCTACTCCCGCACCTACCCTGTCTCTATCTGCGAGGGCGGTGAAAGCGTGCAGAATTGCGCTGAACTGGCAGCTGCGCTGAAGAACACCGGCTGTTAGCGCTGTAGCAGGGCACGCTCGCGGTACCCACAGCGGGTTTTGGGGGGGCGTTGACTTTGGCGAGCTGGCCTGCTGCGGTGCGCTGCACGTTAACCTCGAACTGGAGTAGGAATGTCCACTTTCCCGACCTTCTGTATGCACCTCATGGAAACATCACGACCTGACCTAACCTGACCGACCGACCGACCGACATTCGACATGCGACCACAATGTCCGCGTTACGGGCCGTGAGGAGCCGCCCGACGTCGCGCACGCTGGGCCAGCATGTATAATATCGGCAACCAGGGCAAGATCATGCGCAAGCTGCTGGGCAAGTCGGCCATCGAGTCGGTTCACGACACGTCGATGCCGACATCGGTGAGCGGAGGCATCACCAGCTCGCCCCTCATCCACGAGTACCGCCCCATTGCATCGCAAAACGCCTCTTACTCGGCTGGCGTCCCCATCGGATGCATCGACATTTCGCCCGACGGCCACTCGGCCGTCCTCGCCGGCCGCCATGTGCTGCGGACCGTCTCTATTGACGGCCTAGCTATCCGCGACGCCCTCGACCTGCGCGCCCTCCTGACCGAACCCGCCTTCCGCAGCGCTGCCGGCGCCGGGTCGTCGTCATCGTCCTCGGCCGACCAGCTCTCGATCCGCGACGTCAAGTGGGGCGGCTGGCAGAATACTTCGTCTATATTCACTGCCTGCGCCGGCGGCAAGATCTTCAAGTACGACTTGATGCGCGCTGGCTCCAGCGGCATCGAGTTCGTCCAGATCCGTGAGGACTCGCGCCAGGTCAATGCCTTGGACATCAACCCCCACCGGGGCACCTACGTGCTCTCGGGCAGCCAGGACGGCCTCGTGCGCCTCATCGACCTCCACATGCCCATCCAGGCCCGCACAGGTATCACCTTTCGCGCTGTCCAGACGTACAAGTGCAACGCCGATGGCGTGCGCCAGGTACAGTGGTCGCCCAAGGACGGCTTCCTCTTCGCCTGCGGCACCGAGAAGGGCGTCGTGCTCAAGTGGGATCTCCGCAAAGCCAGCGCACCCCTTCTGCGCATCAATGCCCACGACACGACGTGCTCGTCCATCGCCTGGCACGCCGACGGTGAACACCTCGCCAGCGCTGGCTGGGACAGCAAGTGCCACGTCTGGGACATGTCCAAGACGGCCGACAAGAGGCAGAAGCCCAAGTGGACCATCTCGGCCCCGGCGCCCGTGTCTGCCCTTGCCTGGCGCCCGGGCCAGTGGTCTGCAACCGCCCAGGGCAAGCGGTCCTCGCAGATTGCCATCTCGTACGACGAGATCAGCCAGAAGAAGTTTGGCATTACTGGTGTGCATATTTGGGACCTCGCCCGGCCCACTATGCCCTACCGGGAAATCCAAAGGTTTGAGAGCTCGCCCAACGCGCTGCTCTGGCGCGACCAGAATCTTCTTTGGACTGCTGGCGAGGACTGTCTCTTCAACCAGTGTGACGTCACGTCTGCGCCCAAGGTCATCGACCGCCAGGCAGTGTCCACCATGTCTTTTTCTCCGAGGGGAGAAGTCGTAATGTTTTTGGACGAGCGTGCTCCGTCGCACCGCCCCCGCCCGCAGATTTTACATCCCGATAGCCTCCAGACGCCCTCGTACAGCTCTAGCCCGAAGACGCCTAGGTTCAGTGTGAGCCGCAGCGATTCCGAGGACGACGTACTCGGGAGTTTCTTGGGGCCGAGACGCCGCGGCAGCCGGAGACGGCGCCCAAGCGCTCGCCCCACGCATGTTTCCAGCACCACCCCCCCGGCAGGCTCTGGTATGGACGACGTCTTGTCGCTCGAGCAGACGATCCAAGTCACGGGCATATATAAGCCCCAACAGTCCATGGCCATTGGGCACGTCCCTGCGTCTGCAAATGTCCATGTCTACGAGTACCTCTCTGCGAACTATCTTGAAACCCTCTACAAAGAACTCCCCTTTTCGCCAGGTGGCAGATCGATGCCAGAGCGGGTCGCCGCCATCCTCGAGCATTATGCCGAGGCTGCGGAGCAGGTCAATAAGTTTCGACTTGCGCAAACATGGCGAATCCTTGCGTATGGCATAGATCTGGTCCTCCGGAGGCGGGCACAGTACCATCTCGAATGCCGCATGGACCATCTCAGCGACCCATTCTCCATTAAGAGGAGGGCAGAAAATAAGATCAAGGCCATGGGAAATCCTTTCGGCGTATCGATAGATACTCCCATGGATGGGGAAGAAACACCCCGCAAGGTCATGTCACTTAGCAGCCTAGACAAGGCAGCACCACGATCCCTGCTCTCTGAGGAGTTGGAGAGCACCTCCAACGTTCCGACGCCTCTTGCCCGACCTGTTCAAGACCACGCAGGGGGCGCAGATTTCTACGACGACAGCCGTGGCAAGAAGCTCACTCCCATCATTGAGCCAGAGAGCTTCACGCTTCCTCCGGCGATCCAACCCCAATCCTTAGAGGCACGGCGGCGGTTGGACTCGGCTCCGCTCTCTGTTGCGAGCCAAGATAGCGAGACAACACAGGCAAGCACCGAAGGGTACGACTTTTATGATGCCGAGGCCCTGAGCAAGGCCATTGATGTCCCATTTTCGAGACAGAGGCCTCACGGCCTTGATATCAGAGACCCGGGCTCCCCAATCCGGGTGCGGAAGGGGGTGATGCGGCATGATTCAGACGACAGCTTCAGCCGACTGTTCTCTACTTCGGATGGGAGCAGGCGGGCCACAGGGCTTACGCATTCGTCAGGCAGCAGTATGCCCAGGCAAGCGACCGATTCTTCAATTCTGTCAGAGATGCGACACGCGAGTGGGAGCGACGATGAAGAATTCGAGAGCCGCATCCGCGGTAAGCAGATAGACGAGTCGCCAGAACGTCTTGGCGGCACACCGTTTCGTCGGCCCTTGGAACGGACCGAGACCAACCTCACCGCCTTCACGGATGAACACCACATGATAACACAAACCACAACTGACAGTTATGAGTCACGATACCCTTCACAGACAGATGCTGGGTTTTCGGTCGGCTCCATTTCCCGGCGATCTCCACTCAATGTGCCCGAGCATATCGAGCCCGGGGGAGACCAAAGACTGCCATACATTATTGAGACAGACTACCTACCTTGGGCTCAAGATCCGCCTTACCCACACCCAGTACGCGAGTCCTCTTCCTTTTCGATCAGTGCCTCGTCCCCGCTCCAGCCATACTCGCTTATTTCCAAGGCCCTGGCCTTTGAGGCCAAGTCTTCGGCCCTGAACGCTTCAGCAATTGTTCTGCTCCTTAAACCTCTAGTCCCTGAAGATGTGATCGATTCTTTTCAGGCCGCTGCCATCCTCCGCCAGCACCACTCCCGCCTAATGAACATGAAACTGTTTGTTGAGGCAGCAGTTCTTCGCAAGCTTTCGATCAAGGGCTGGCCTGGGGGTGTATTGTCTAGTTGGGGTGACAACTATCCTGCAATCTCCGCCCCGCTGCAAGAGGGCGTCCAGGTTGGTTTCTTTTGTTCGACTTGCCGCAAGCCGCGCGAAGTTGAACGCTCTTTCGAGTCGACCGCAACAGCCTGGCGTTGCGAGCGCTGTCAGGCCGTCATGGCGCCGTGCGCTATTTGTGGCGAGCGAGACAAGGTGCCTAAGCTGCCACCCGCGTCGCTCCTCCACGTCGACTGGGCTGGTGATTCAGGTGAGTCGGACGATGAAGAGACCATCCTGGCAACGTGGTGGTACTGCCCTGGGTGCAGCCACGGCGGCCACTCTTCATGTCTCCAGGGGTGGCACGCCACGTTCGAGTGGGAACAGCAGGCAGCCGACTCGCTGCGGGACCTCGACTCCAGTGGCGGTTACTGCCCACTCGACGGATGCGGGCATGCCTGTCTGTCGGGTCGCTTCCGTGCCGACAGCACTGCCGGGAGAACGGACGAAGTGTCCAGCCGCGCAGTCCGCGAGGCTACCCGCGGAGCCAATCGGTCAGCGGCTTTGTCCGAGGCAGAGCTCATCATACCGCTCGAGGGCGACCGCCGTAGCGACACGAACCAGAGCGGCGGCGGCTTCAGCGCTGAATACAGTGTCCGCCGCGACGGCGACGAGGTGGCCCAGAGCCGCGCGGTCGAGAGCGTGCGCGAGACGCTGTGGGCAGGGGGAAGCCACCAAGGTGCCGGTGGCGGAGGCACGCGCGTCGGCACAGGAATCCTGAGCTCCATGGGTATAGGGGGGAACAATCCCAGCCCCGGTGCACGCGCTGGCGCCAGCATCTTGAGCTCCAGTCCGGGCCGTGGCGGCGAACGGGTCGAGAGGGAGCGGAGGAAGAGCGTCAAGTTTATGCCAACCGAGGAGAAGCGATGAGCTAGCTGGCTTCCTTGTACTAGTATAATACTCTTTGCTGCCATGTATCAGTTGCTATTTCACCCCTTTGGCTACTTCTTTTCCTTTATATTTAACCTTTGGCGGTACATTAGTTCAGCGTTTTGCATAAAGAGGCTACTAACTAGAAAATTGTTGAAGACATATATTGTCCCGGAATTAAGCATTACTGGTATGGAGATCTAGATCTCCGTATACGGTGGGTAGTTGATGACAAGTATCGCAATGTGGTCAATTAGTTGGAACAGAATTTCATCGTCATTTATTTATTCGTCGGCTCTCATGAGGAGGGTTTTCCGCAGCGTACTACACGCCGTGAAGACTTTTAGACCCCGGTGCCTCGTTAAATTTGTTTCATAACTAATCTGCATGTTGATAGGCGTTGATTTCCTCTCGAGCACGGCGATTGTCCAATGACGAGATTCTACGAAAGTGAATATTGAGATGGGAATTCTTTATGTAGTACAACTGTAAAATTGGGTTTACAGTGAGCTACGACTGAAGACTAGAATACAATAACCAGTTAAACGCGGCCTCTCTTTCGAAAGCCACGTCTAGTCAACAGAATTAATTCAACTGCGGGAATCTTGGGGCTGAGTGTGGAGAGAATAACTACCAGTCGTGACTTTCAAAGACATGGAAGATATAAACCCATCTTCAACCAGCCTCCCGAGTGTGGAAAGGAAGAGAAAAACAAAAAGAATAACAAGTATGGTCGACTAGAAATTGTGGATTAAAGAGTAAACACTAAAGTTCAGTAAACAGTAAACACCAACCAGTTCAGACCTCGCCTTGAAGCATTAATCCAACAACCGTACCGCGCCAGACCAAGCCCCTGATCGATAACCAAACAAACAGCCAAAACCGCGTCTTGCTTCGAGAGATTCTTCGAATCCAGATAACTACCCTAGTAGATTACAATTAATTACCAGGTTTCCTAGAATGGGGAAATCAATCCATCTTGACAACGTCCATTTCGACCAGCACCACCGCCGCCGTCTCCTTCCTCCTGGTATCATCGATGCTAATGGAATTTTCCCCGTGCCCGTGCCCGTGCCCGTTCCTGTGTCCGTTTCCGTTTTCCGGTGCCGAGCCCCTGTTATCGTTGTCGCTTTCGTTGCTGCTATTATTGTTGCTGTTGCTGTTGCTGTTGCTGTTGCTGTTGCTGTTGCTGTTGCTGTTGCTGTTGCTGTTGCTGTTGCTGTTGCTGTTGCTGTTGCTGTTGCTGTTGCTGTTGCTGTTGCTGTTGCTGTTGCTGTTGCTGTTGCTGTTGCTGTTGCTGTTATTGTTATTCTTGTTGCTCGCGGCAGTGATGCTCGTGCCCGTGGGACTAGCGGCGGTGCTGCTGTCATCCCCGTCCCCGTCGCGGACCGGTAGGGCGCGGCCGTGGCCGTCCTTTTGGTCGGCAAGCTCGACGACGTCGACGACGCCCCACGCGTCCTCGTCGAGCTCCACATAGCCGCTGTCCACCCACGTGCTGCCGCTGCCGCTGCCGGCTCCGCTGCGGCGCTTGCCGCCGTCTACCCCCGCCTCAGGCGCCGTCGGCCGCGACCCGATCGTCGGCGGCGCGAGCGTGTTGTTGATGTTGTTGTTGTTGTCGCCGCCGCTCCCGCCCGATCCCCCGCCGCCCAGCAGGCCCGGCAGGTACCGCGCCACGAACGGCTTGAGCGTCATGACGCACGCGCACACGATGGCGCCGTTGATCTCCACCACCGTCAGGTACGACAGCTCGGCCGCCGACCACGTGAAGTCTGGGTTCGGGTAGTTTTCCACCTGGATCAGCTGTATCAGGCGCAGGATCGAAATGAAGCACACGCTGCCGGGAGGGGGGGGGGGGGGGGGGGCTTGTCAGTACTTGGCTTTTCTTTTCACAGTTTATGTGGGAAGGAGGGCCTTACACAAAGCCTAGGCCAAACACGCTAGATAGGATCAGCTTCTGGCGGCGGGGCAGCAGGATGGTCCACACGACGGGCATGGGTAGCAGGAAGATGAGGAAGTCGGTGGCCATGTGCAGGCCCGTGTTGGACCACCAGATGCTCTGTGGGTGGCAGTACTGCTGCTTGAGGTTAAAGTCCCAGTACGAGCGCAGTGGGATGCAGGCGGTGAAGATGGTGGCGGCCATGTACACGGTCGACACGGCGACGACGCCTAGCAGGATCTGGCCGCCGAGCCGCGCCCACCGGAAGCTGAAAAGGTGGATGTAGAGCAGCAGGATCGAGACCTTGGAGAAACACAGCGTCAAGGTGTAGAATAGGAGCCCGTACCATGCCGCCTGGGAGAAGCGAGTGACACAAAATGTTAGTCTAGGGATTCAGGGGGACGTTACACGACGTCGATTGGTGATGCAGGAAGAGGGCCCGGAAAGGGATATGCGTACTCTTCCCCACGCTATGGCGGACGGTGTGTCGGCGGGATTGAGGTCCCAGATGTGTCGGCCCGAGCCATGTACGGCCTCTGCAAAGCGATTGTGAGCCTCCGGAGGACGGAGAAAAGAGAAGCAAGGAACGGGAAATGATAGGGACGCAACTGACGTTCTACCACCGAAGCGCAGGTAGCGCCCGCAAATATCTAGGAGGCGGTTAGAACTACAGACAGGGAACAGTTGGTCCTTCAGGGGGTCAACGTCGTCAAGGGGTCAACGTACCAATGACAGCAGAATGCTCCAGTCGGAGGGCCCCAAGACGCGGATGAGGAAGCCTCTGGTGTAGAATCGCAGGGCGACAAACAGGGCGGCAATGGCCCAGCAGAGCACGGCAGCGGCGTATATGTTAGCCTGGCGCGAGTCGTGGGCGAGGTCGGCCGGGTTGCCATAAGGCGGCGGGGCACCGGGCGGCGGTGCGGGAGGAGCGCCCGAGGGAGGAGAACCCGTGGGCGGGGGCGGGGGCGGCGATGTCGGCGAGCCGGTGCTCTGGCTCATGATGCTGCAGACCCCAAGGTCGAAGTCTGATAACCCCGACTCTTGCTCTGGCCTCTGCACATGCTTTTTTTTTTCCCTCTTCTTTCGTCGCAAGTGTCTGATGCCTAGCAGTAACGGCACATAAACAGAGTACTGATAGGTAGTACGTAGTAGATGGGAGCAGAGGGGGGCAGGGAACAGGCGGGGAGGGCGGGGGTAAGATAATGACAGCAACTCTTGCAATGGCGGCTATATCCGCAGCTGGGTGTTGATCAGTGCCTCCCCTGTCCGCCCTGGCTGCCGATGCATGTGGATGGTGCTGACACGACACGAACTGGACTGGAACGGCCTGGCCTGGTTGGGAAGGGCGGTTCCGGGCAGGCGTAGGTGTCTGGGGAGGCCAGCTCTCCGGGACGGCAGGCCATGCGCCTGCGCTGCTTCAGGACTGATGATGAGCCAAGCATTCGTGTTTGGAGGGGTGTATGGGCATTGGCTGAATTGCCTTCTGCGGCCGGGACGGGGCCGCACTCTATGGCAGTCACCTCACTGATCAGTCAACCAGGCTTATGCTTGTGCAACGCAACGGCGGACGTGGAAGGTCAAGGAGGTGGTGGCCCTGGCCCTGGCCCTGTTGACATGTCTGCGGTTGAGCCGAGCCCTGTTGTTGACTCTCAACCCTCGAAATGCTTCAATTCCTCGTGCGCCGCTAGCCGTGGAACGAACGCCATGAATCCGTATCCCCAGCCATTAGAGCCTAGACTTGGCTGGACCTTGGCTGTCCATGGGTCCCGACGGCATAAAAGCGTTTTTCGCTGATGGCGGCACTGGCATTGTGACAGCAGGTTTGGCACACTGGCTCATGCGGCTAAGGTTGCTTGCTCTCCAAAATGAGCTGGCCGGTGGTGGCGTTTCGATGATCGCCCGTCTCGCCATCTGCCCGCTGCAGTTCAAGCCTTTGTCAGCCTTGACAGCTGCCTACCAAGCCCTTTGACAGTTCGTTGCGGGCAACGGCCAGTGTCTTGGGCTCTAATTTCTGGCTGGCAGGCTCCGCAAGTTCCAGTGCTCGAGCGTGCAGAGGCACCTGCATGCGCACAGACTTCACACGGCTCGTGGCAGAAGAGCGGAGCGAGTGACAAAATAGGCCGTTGGGGGGGAGGGGGGGATGGGAAGCGGCGCTGCCTAGTGCTGGGACTGGAGAAGGCGGGGGTTAAAGTTGTGGGTTGAAGTGGGTTCACGGCACAGGTGCTATCGTCGGGGTTGGGGTTGGGTTCCATTGCAACTGGGAGCGGTCGTCCACTGGTGACGTGCACTGCGACGAGGGCAGAGCAAGACGGTCGACCGAACATGACGCACGCGAGGTACCGAATAAATAAAGAAGTTGTGTCACCCCAACAGAGATTCGACTACCCTGAACTGGAATCGTTGGCCGATGGCGATGGCTTGCAGCGAGCGAGTGCGTCAACGGCACTTTGAATCTCGGTCATAAATCAGCCGTCCTTTTCTGTCCCCCCTCGAGTCTCACTTACCGATTTCTCTGCTGCTGTTGTCCGGCAATGGGCAAATTGGAATCCGCGAACGCCACGTAGTAATTGCTCAGGTTCCCTCACGAAGTGCCAATTTAACACACCATGTAGAGAGTTTTTAGTAGGTCCCTATCCGTAATTATGAGGCGACGCCTTGCCAACCCTTTCTAGCTCGGGGCGGTACCGAACGGCTGTCACTCAAGCGAGGTCGGCGGGGTCGCCAGGAGCCATGGATGGCCGGGGAAAGACGCTGGGGAAAGAAGTATTGAGCTGGGGAAGTCGGCCCCTCAGCGCCGGCAGTGCCGCACCATTGCAGGTGATCGAGATTGCCAAATTCCGGCACCCTCTGGTTGCCGGTCGGGGGGGTGCCTGCCGTGACATGTCAGACTACATTCCCAAGCTAGCCTAACCCATCGTTTTTGGCGGTTGGCCTCAGCGTCCAAGCACGTGCTTCGGCTGCTTGCTCGCCGACCGCTGAGTTTGGTGCGGTCCCAGCCCCCTGAAACCCCTGTCTCACATCACACGGCTCGCCCAGCCGTTCTTTTGCCGATGCCATTTGTGCGCTCCACGTATATTAAATACGCGGAACTCCAATAAGACCCTCGGGTAGCCAATGCCGCTGGCGGATGACCCAGCCTGGTTTGGAGGGCACGTCTTGGTTACGAGTCAAGGAGCAGCCTGCTCCGCCCGCGCCTGCCATTCGTCCTTCGCCACGTCTTGCACCAACTTTGGTGCCTGCCTTGGCCTAGGTCATGTCTTTAGGTCATCATAATGAGTTGTTCTCGTATGTAAAAATTTGAAACCCTTACCGCGGGAGAGGTGTGCTGTACTGGAAACGCCGAAACCCGGATAGGAACCAAGACTGCCCTGGAATCCGTAGTCGTGACGATGATGCGCTTTTGCATTTCGCCATTCTTGAATCTATCCGCTTTACCGCTGATACGGTGTAGCTGTTGAGCAAATTATACGAGGTCACCAAGGGTCATGTTTTGTCATGGTTGCTGCAGCTGGAAAGTGCTTTTGCCGGACTGGCCACGATTGCGTTAGCTATTTTATTTGCCTACCTATCGATGTATTAAGATTGCTTGGTGAGCTCATCCGCTGCTAATTGGATACCTGTGCAGTCTAATCCGTGCGTCTTGCCATCCGTGGGATCTTCTGGGGAGCCGTTGGATGGTGCTGCCGGCTCGCTCCATTAAATCATCCTATGTCCTGTATCCAATGTCCTGTATCCAATGTCCTCTATCCTATGTCCTGTATCCATTTACCCTTTCAACCTTGATCTCGTCTGCCATGAACATTGGACCTCGTCAGTGAGGCCGCCGGGCATGACGAGCTATTAGAGCTCTCTAGCTATGATGCCTGTGACCTGGCCGTCGAGGAGATCCTGGCTTGCTGCCAAAGATGTCGTTGACATTCTATGAAAGGACAAGCGAGACTCGGCAGAGCATTACGCCATTGATGGTCGGAGCTTTGGAAGACGGCAGTGGAGAACGGGGGTGGAATGCGGATATCGGACTCGGTAACAGCAACGCCCTCTTCCTAGAGACGGACTAATTAGCTCAGGACGCAGAGGCTCAGCATGGTCGAGAACAAATTTACTGGTAGTTATCTGGCAGGGTGAATGTATCGCGGGATACTGGGAATTTGGTGAAAAGATTCGTAGAGATGACTGTACGCTAGCCATTCTTCGAGTTTGACTTGAAAGAGACGCTTAGCTGCTCAGACTACGTGGCAGATGCCACGGACGATTCGGCCCCCTTCTTTTCCCGATTTAGTATATACTATATAGTACCATTGCGGTTCCTTTATCTTTGCTGTGACGTCGAAGGCCAGATCTTAGAATGCAAGATACACGCCCAAAAGCAAAAGCCGTCTTTGTATGATTGTGAACATCTGACGACAGTCTCACTTCTGTCCAGCGGGGGAATAGACGGGGACTGCCCTGGCCATGCAGCATATGCAGTGAGACAGAACAAGACAGCCAGCTTGTTTCATTCTATCGGCTGGGGAAAGCATTGGGCCAAATAGATCTGACTCATGAGTAGGGGTAAGGAAAACTTAAAGAGGTGTAAGATAGGTTTGAAGGCAAAGTGAGCCCCAGCGAGCCTAGGTTCATCTAGGTCGCTACCTGGTACCTCCGTAACACCGTCCAAGGAAATAGGAGCTGGCTGTTGGCTGCTGGCTGCTGGCTGCTGGCTGCCCTGGACCCATTTCTGGTTTAAATTCTAGCACCCTGTTTCCTGGCCGCAGTACAAACCCCAAACCCCAAATCTTGCACATCTCGAGCAAATTCCTTCCTCACGCCGGCCTAGATCTGACACGACTCTCGAGCATTCACACATTTATGTAAGTTTACACCTCCTACTTCTATGCCTAGCCGCCTACCTACATAGGTAGCGAGGCCGAGTTATTATATCGGAATCGCATCTTCTCCTGTGCTTGCAGCGCGGTCGGAGGAGTGCGGCACGTTTTCTTCACCTTCCCGCCCGCACACACCGGTTTCCCCGTCACATCTATCTGCCCAGCACGGCACTTTACAACCATGAACTGTCTAGCCCTTACCTTGATCTCGGTGCTATCCCCTTCTTCGCTTGCCCGAAAGCCGCGAGACTAGACATTATAAATCGTCCATTCGCCAGTTGCCCAGGAGGCTGCCCGGCCAGAAATCAATTCACATTCCCTGATAACTCAGCCGCCCGAGTCGCATTTCAAGACCTTAGCTTTATATTCTATCACCGTTTAATTTAGCATTCATGTTTGCCAATTATCGGCCTACTCTGCTAACTGAAACTGCCCGGGCTAGATACCAGCACACCGCCTTCCAGCTTCCGCAATGGAGGACGCCTCTTCTTCTGGCCGCCCCTCTTCGCAGGGGGAGCGCAGCCCCCGCCGCCGCTGACGACGACGCCATCCCCTCTTTTCGCCTGCCCTCACCCATCGGCCGCAGAGTCCCGGTCCGCGGGCGCAGACATGCCCGCCACCCGCGGGACATCACGAGATCTCGGGCTGCGTGGCAAGCCGAGCGTGAGTACAGTTCCCAGCCACTTTCCACTAGTTACTCTTTAACCCTGTACAGACGGAACCTCCCTCCCTCGAATCCTGATGGTTAACTAAACTAACCGTCTCCCTTGACAAAACCAGGCTTGCGGCGCTAGCTGAGCATCAAGCGCCGCTGTCAACACTGCGCATCGGAGCGCTCCCGCGGCAGCCCCCTCTCCCGCCGCCATCGCGAGGATCTCGCCGTCGCTGGCCAGGACCCCGTCGCCGAATTCGACCTGGCGTGCACCACGCAGACCACGCAGGCCACGCAGACCACGCAGGCCACGCAGACCACGCAGACCACGCAGGCCTTGCAGATCCCCCCTGGCACAGCGCAGCCGGCAGCAGCGTGGCTGGGTTTGGCGTTGCTGGGCCGTCGGTTCCTGCCCCGTTCAACTAAGAGACTTCGTTCATGCGCACTGGCTCTGGGTATGGGCCTGGCCACGTGGCTGTCGAGCAGGTGTGCCGCTGGTACGAGGACGAGGACGATGATGATGATATGATAGACGAGGAACTGTAGGGCACGGCTTGTGGGGGGAAACTTGGCTGTTGAGTCGCCGAGTTGAGTTGCCGCGTTTGGGGCACGTCTTTTCCTGAGCATTTTCGACGGGCATTGGTTGGCGCGAGACACACATGACGCGCACAGCATTCTTGTTGCGCTTGGGCTGGCATGTTTCTTGGTCTCTTCTCTAGCATCAGCATGGTCTATTGTCTCGGGCCTGGGTTTTTTGAGTTTTGGCCGCGGGTCACAATTGCGTTGTTACGCGGCTGGCTGGCATGCCAGATGGGTGTAGTACGGCGGCCTGGGTCGTCTTTCGGGTCTGTGCAGGGTTTGTTTTTGGGATCGGTCGGGCGTTTCGGATGGCGTTATTACAGCATTATGGCGCTAGGGATATACCAGACTATTACATCTCATCGACAGTCATCGGCACGGTTGGGCCATTCGGATTACAAATCAGGAATTGAAAGAAGAAATCCCGGCCAGGTATCCATACCTGGCCGTGGAATTTCTCGTTAATTATTTCTGCACTGCACCTTTCAGAGTCTAGCTTGTGATTACCCTGTGTGTACCGTTCGCCTCGTATTGTCTCGCCATCCTTTCTAAACTGTCGGATATTATAATATTAACTCTAGACCTGGAGACACTATGCTATTACTAGGAAAGCTAGAGTTACATCAAAGCCACCCGTCGAGACGGCGGCCGAGTCTATTGTGAGATGTCTTCGGAAAGTCAAGTGTTGGAAAACATACTGCACTCGGCAGCAATAAGCAATGTGTAGTTCTGTGGGCGCTAATTAGTGCCGGTTCTACCGCGTCAACTCAACTAACCAACTACGTATTATTTCGTCTGCTAAGGAGGGACTTCTACAGTTAGATTTATCAGAAAAGTGGAAATAGCTTATACCCATTGATTCGTCTTATGGAACATTATTTCCAGGACTTCGTCCATTCACGGTAAAGACCATGGTCGCCAAGGCCTTGCGGAAATTCCTCGCCCAGAAGCATCTGACGGACCAATTTCAGTCACAGTTCGAGTATCTCATCGTCGCGAGGCAGCCCAAGCGGCTGGCAGATGAGAGCGAGCCGATTCATGTGACTCCTAGGATCAAGATCCTTAGTCTAGGGGGACCCCTTGCGGGACCCCCGTAGCAATCCTCAACAAGGACGGACCCCCGAGAGCGATCATTGGCGGGACACTTGTTGTGACATCCGGGTCTCGCTGCTTCCTCTGCTGCATGACAGCGGGACACGCTGTGAAGCGGCTTTTCTGCTCTGCAGGTTATGGTATGGCGGGCAATATGTCTACTTAGTGGCGGAAATGATTCGCTCAACGACAATCTCCTTGTCTGTGATGAGAACGGAGAGATTGAGCTCGGCCTTCCTTAGTTTACCACCCTTCGAGAAAGAAGTCAATGAGGAGGCACCAAAGTCGTAGTTGGAATAGCGGAACTATCTCGGGGAAGTGATCGGAGTTCCAGAAGACACAGCGGACCATCCCGCAAACCTCGCCTGGGCAATAATCGAACTCCAAGAGATCAGATACCTTCCGAACCTCTTCCACCGCGTGTCACCACACAACTTGAAGCGATCTATCGCCAGCCTAGAGACGCCACAATCATCGCGCCGAAGCGTCCTGGTGATATCTCGACGTGGCAGTCTCGAAGGTACCATCAGAAGACAAGAGACTTCGTTTCTACAAGTAGGCGGCGAAGCCTTCACCGTCGTGTATGACATAGTGTTAAGCCCCGGGGCCGGTGAGTTTGACCTAATTTCCTGACAGAAAGATGATATCCCCACACCCATCCAACACTCCGGTTCTGGCATCTATTGCTAACCTCTCAGTTTGACAGTACTGGCGCCTGGTGACTTAGGAAGCTGGGTTGTTGACACTTCGACTGGTGAGCTTTGTGGGCATACTATCGCAACCGATATATTCAACGAAAGCTACGTTGTTCCCATACAAGACACGCCGGATGATATGAAGTGGAAGCTCCCAGCTGTACACGTGGGCCTACCTTCCAAACTTGAGCTAGAAGAGTTGAACATCGGCAAGCTCGGCGAACAGCCTACCGAGGCCCTGCGAGACCTTAACCTAGCCGCATCCACCGTGGTAAGTGTTTTCCATGCCTAGACGCCTTGATTTATGCGAGCAGCGAAAGCGATTTGCCTTTCAAAGTAGATCGGACAGAGTCTCAAGTAAGATCACAGGCTCGGGTATTAGGGTCCTCCCGCTCCCACTATTACGAATTGGCCCGATCATAAGCTCAAGCAACAAGATTTGGCCCTCTTCAAAGACCCCTCCAGCCTTCTCTCGATGTAGAGAGTGAGGTGGGATTCTTTAGCTCTGAGGATTACTTGACTATAGGTAATCACCAGATTTTCTGTATGACCGACAAAACTTCGACTTTTGCGTAAGCCCGACCGCTTTGTTGGTTCGTTGGCTTGGTGGTATGCTGATGAACCCGGTCCCAATCAGACGGCCGAAACATGGCCATGCTGCGGCTGTTGTTTCGTCGTGCGGCTGGGAGGGACAAATGAGAAAGTCGGCAAATAATGATACTCGAAATATCCCCGTGACCCCAAGCCGGCCGTGAGTGAGCTGCCCAAACCCGTATTGAGGCATTGAACAGGGTTCTTGCTACGCCGACTCTACTCGTTGGACGTACCACGCCATTGAAAACCCATTGCGAACCGGCGCAGTTCTTTGGCTGATACATGATGCAGAGGCAACAAGAAGCCCGGAACATGGCCAGATCTGAGACAGCAGCCTACCAGAAGCAATAACACCGGCCGATCCCTATCACCAACCCAGGAGAACGAGCACCAACGCACACACAAGCTTGCACTTTATCTCAACACTGGCCAACGCTAAATTCGACAAACAACCGCAAAGCTAAATCTTACCTAACACTCATATCGTCGTCGAAGCCCTCGGCCTTCTGCACCCGGCACAGGTCCTCGCCGAGGCAGCGCGGGATGGTGCCTGCGGCCGCCTGCTCCTTTGTCTTAGGCCAGTGTCCCAGATACAGCTCCTTCTCGTGCCGGTGCGTCTCCTTGGCCTTCTTGCGCAGGTGGACCAGGAAGTCGGGCAGCCGGCGGAGGATAGGGAAGAAGTCGACGAGCCCGGCCGTGCCCGTCTGGTTGATCTCGGCAAACTCGGCGAAGCCGTCAAACAGCTGCTGCATCTTCTTGTCCTCGCACGTTGACGAGCGCCAACCAAAAGACCATGGTCGTGGTAAGCGTGTTGGAATAGCGTCAGATGCTGTAGGTAGAGGAAGTTCTCGGGGTCCGTGGCCATCTCGAACAGGGGTTGTTTCAAGCCTCATTGAGTCTAGAGACTGTTCAGAGTACCTATCTTAGATACACGGATTTGACATGAAGAAACTTTAAACCTCGGTGGCGGGACTTTTGTGAAGCCGTAACACCCAGAGCGGACAACCATCAGTCTCAGTCCGGCTCTTATTCCGATTTTGTTTCAAATAAAACCCTAACCCCAACAATCTTTTTTTGCAGTCTGGGCGCACCAACCCCCTATCTCGACAGCGGATTCTCCTCGGGCCTGTCAGCAGCAACGCTCTCCTCGGCGTCGGTGAGCTTGGGCGCCGCCTCGCCCGCGGGCATCTGGATGATGTTGTGTTTCTCGGGCGGGAGCGGGTCGTCGTCGGAGCGGTCGGCCGCCACGTCCTCCTCGCTCTCGGTGGGGTTGCCCTTGACCTCGCCTGACACGGCCGCCATGGGCGGCGACGGTGGGCCCGCCGCAGCCGCGAGGGTGTGGCACAGGCGGGCCGTCCGCTCGTCGATGCCCGTGTCGGGCGCGTCCCAGTGCCGCCAGTCGGACCGGCGCCGCGCGACGAGGCCCAGCGGCAGTTCGTTCGGGTCGGGCGCGTCTTGATCGTAGATGTGCCGCCACACGTGCATGCTGTCGACGTGGCTGGGACCTAGGTATGATGGGAGGGGCGCACTGTGCGAGACGAATGCCCGAGAGGCTGCCGCTCGCGAGAGTGACGAGGACGCGTTCACGAGGACGCGCATGTTGGTACCTGGTGCGTATGTGTTTGGGAGTAATTTTCTTGACGTGCAGTGAGATGGGTCAAAGAAGTTTTGAGCGTATGTTGCAGACTCTTGAAGGTAGAAATGGTTCGGTGCCGTACGTTGGTATTATAGCAGGCGACTTGCTCCCAAGGGTTGCTAGCAGCACTGGTCTCCACCGCAGCATCATGATGACCGCAGGTTGCCAAAAGCGTGCGGGTAGGGTTGGGTGGGAGATTCTTTCGAGTTCGCCATTGAGTCGAAGCGACGTCATGCCAGGGCAAACGCCCCGATTGTTCCAAATCAAGGTCTGGCAATTTTTCTTTCGGCAAACAGATCAGAAACAGCCGGATCCCTGACTATCTTTCTAACTCATAGAAGCTCGTACGTAACATGCGACTGAGAAAACACGCATCAAAATAAACACAACGATATAGTTCAGTCATTAACATTCCGTTACTTCTAGAAGCCGTTTATATTAGTCTGGCCCTACCGGAATTGATTGAGGGACTGGTAATCATCGCTAGGAACAGGCGTATAAACCCGACCCATCACGGAGCCCTGGGTGAATTCATTCAAATTTCTGATGAAACGGCGTTTCTTTTTACTATGCTCAACCTCATGAGCACTCTCTATACCACCGGAATTCCGTTGTGGGAGTGGGAGAGAAGCTACGTTGACTGACGGGCCGAGTTATCTTCGTCTTCGGCTCTCAACCTTGACATGGCGCTCCCGTAGTTGGCCGACCCGGAGTCGAATCGCAATAAGGGAAGGGACGCTTCGGATTTGGCCAGTCTCTCGGACATGAGCCGTTTATTATGTAGTAGATCTCGTGTCGGGAGTCTGGGCGTGTTGTCAACCGTGTCGTTATGTACCGCCGACCGACACGAAGTGGCAGTGTAGTAATAATGCTGTTTTCAGTCGTGACCGAGTCAACATAGCCTCCCGATGAAGTTGGGCAGGGGCTGATGTGGATGCTGGCAGTTTCTGACGCGATTCTTGGTGAAGATGAGGTGCTGGCGACATGTAATGACATGTTAACAAGATCCTGGAAAAGCTTCAGGCTTTGGCGGCCGGGAATCGATTCGACATCTCACCAAAAGTGCCCGTTGCCGTTCCAGAACATCGAGCGCGCGCGAAAGTCCATCGAGCTCGAGCTCGTCAACCAAGCTGTTGCACGTGATCGAAGTTGACAGCGCATTGAACTGTGTGCTAAAATCAGGTCTAGTGGTACAGGAAAAGAGCGCTTTCTTATTCTCAAGATGAGGGTAAAAGAGGCACTGTAGTCAGCCGTTCGGAATGAAATGAGGGCATTCCGAGGGCCAAGAATGAAGGAAAATGAAGAATGAAGGAAAATGAAGAATGAAGGGAGTTGGCGTGACATGCTAACCAGGGCCTGAACCAGGGCCTGAACCAGAGCCTGAAGATGTGGTTTAATTCCTTGAAAAGTGGGCCAATTCCAGGCGACACAAGTCTTTGATGTTGGTGATAATTTGGTGAGCCCAACCGAGGAGGTTGATTGGACATTCGGGATTTCGAGCATCTGCAGTCCGCCCAACCCTCGGGACTCATATCTTCTGACAACGAGATCTGTCCTGTCTAAAAGTAGTCTCAGGTGGTTTAAGCCCGCTACGCCTCACAGGGCAGAAAGAGCGCAAACAAGCTTCTTGTGTCGATGAAACGAACCTACATGCTGGGATCATGGTACGAAAAGCCAGCGATGAAGAGAGTGGAGGATGAAAACCAGAAAGAGAAGTGGAGGATGAAAACCGGAAGAGAGGTGGGGAGTTCGTCATCGCCGTCAGGCTCTGAGCGATGAAGACTCGATTCGACATAAGGCGGTGACCGAGCAGACAAGGTGGTGCGAAGGTGGCTGCGCAAAAGCCCCTGCAAAGATGTTGTATGCTTGTCTCGGAGCTCATCGTTGCCTTATTTGGCAGCTTCAGCCACTTCTGTATCTGAGCCAACCCCCGAAGGTGCTCTTTATCATGCTTGCGAAAGATGAAATAATGCCGTTCGCATTCGTAAAGATATATGAGGGAAAATGATTCAACTATCGCAGCGACGATGACAATGGGCCGTGCTCATTAGATTTTAACGCTAAGGAAGGGTCCCTAGAAAGAAGAAAGGGAGCGATCGCGGGGAACGCATAGCGCAGCGAAGTACCGAGGCAAGCAAGATGGCACCGGCTTGGCTTTGTGGGCAACTGGGCCACTGGGTAAATGACGCACAGGCAGCGTGTTACAGCACAGGCAGCGTGTTGCAGCACAGGCAGTGTGTGCAGCACAGGCAGCGTGTGCAGCACAGGCAACGCGTGCAGCACAGCCAGCAGCCCCTTTTTTCCCACTTCCCGTCGACTTGAAACCTCTTGCATGCCAGCTCTGCGCAACCACACCACGACAGCGGGAAAAGGAAAACTTGTTTCATTATCCAGGCTGGACGACCCCGTCCTACCTGAACGAGCCCACCCACGCGCCACCAAACTCGACAATCTGCCAAAGAAAAGAGGGTTTCCCCACACTGGTGGAAAAGAAAACGGGCTGCGCTCGCAATCGGCGAGAGCGATCGCCAGGGGCGCAAGGCAATGCGGGGGAGCCGGCGGCGACTTTGGGAAGTGATCGGCAGAAGGGCGGCTCCCTTTTTAGAGATCGCTGCTGTGGCGATCCGCTCGGTCGGTTACTCCTGGCCCGTCCTGGGGGCGGCAGGCTAATCTGAAACGCCGTGCGTTTCCGTCTGTCTTCCACCACGCACCATGTCATTCGCCTTGACATGGCACTGGCCGTTTGCGCGTTATCCGGTGTGCGTGTGTGCGTGTGTGCGCTAGTTACACATCGGCTGCGAGCCAGGGCGATTTTTGAGAGGGCGGGAAGCGCATTATCAGCATGGCAGATCGCACACGATTTTGGGCGAGGTCTCGGGCGAGAAACACGCACGGGGGCTGGGCTGCTGGCACGTCTAAAACCCCCTCTCGTCCCTCTGACGGTGGCTTGCCCAGCTATCCCCGGGCAGCATGAGTGAGGAAAACCCGTGGGTCTTCAATACAGCAAACAACAAGCAGCAGCAGCAATGTCGGCAACAATTCTCGTAGGGCAAGCGCCTACCGTTCTCGGGCCGTTGACCACCACCTTTACACCGCCGGCGGCGTGCACGGTAGGGGTAGGGTCAGTCGACGCCGGCTTGCTCGGTCTCGGGCTGCTGGGAGGGTCGGTAGCCAACATCGCATATCTCGGGCAGACATGCGTGCGGGGCAAGGCCGTTGACGCCACATCCTGCTGGCCGCCGACGTCTAGCGGCACCGAGGCTAAGTCGGCGCCACTTGGCGGCTGGGGGTATTACTCGCCGGGTCTGCACTGCCCGATCGGGTATGCCACGGCGTGCTCAGCGACGGGGGGCAGTGGCGGAGCGTCGGGATGGCCAGTGCAGTTCAAGCTGCTGGACGGCGAGACAGCCGTGGGCTGCTGTCCGAGGTACGCCAGTCGGCTTTGGGCTGTCTAGGCTTCGTTCTTGCTGACACACGCAGCGGTTACGGCTGTGCGAACATCAACGGCCAAACATGCACTGTGGTCGCCACGTCGACTACGGTGCAGACGGTAACGTGTGAGGGCACCAAGATGGGTGACTTTGCGGTTCAGACAGTGCCTGATCCCGCAGCCTCCATCACCGCCTTCAGCCTGTTCGCGCCCATGATCCAGATCAACTGGCAAAGCAGCGACACCACCACGGAGACGTCAGCGACGGCTGGCCCGACGACGTCAGCGACGGCCGGCCCGACGACGACACCAGAGCCGGGAGCAGCAGCCACGGGGGCAGCCTCAAACGGGACGGCGACCGGCCAGCCACCAACAGCCTCGGGAACCAAGACGGTCAACACAGGCGTGGCGTCTGGCGTGTCGACGCTCGAAACAGACGGACCGCTGCCGCCGGCCACGGGAACTGGGAGCAGCACCGCCAGCAACAGCGGCACTGGAGCGGCACGGCCTCCCAGCGATGCGGAGCAGACACCAGACTCGTCGTCAGGTAGCGGCGGCTTGGCGACGGGCACCAAAGTCGGGCTCGGGATCGGGGGCGGGATCGCAGCCGTGGTGCTCGTCGTGTCGGTGCTGATATACGCCTGGCGACGGCGAAACAGCCGGCGCGAAGACCAGGAGCTGGATCGCCTGTATGGCTTGAAGCATGGCTCCAGCTCCGACCTCACGGGCGCCAACGAGATCCCCGGCTGGTACCGCGGGCAGAGACTGCTCACGCCAACGGCAGATCCGTTCCGCGGTCCGGGCACGCAGCTGGAGACGCCGCCCTCGCCGTACTACCGGCCGTACCGTCCATGAGTAGCGGAGTCGGCAACGCGTGTCCGTTTATTACGTTGTAAGATATTTTGTAGCGGTTTGAGCATTTTATTGTATTGCATCCTGCGGCCGTGCTTTATGGGGCCAGGAGAATTGGGCGTGGGAACTGGTATGAGAAAGCTGCTGCGGTAAATCGGCATGGGAGGCGTGGAGTTGTTAGACAAGATCTGGCAAACAGAGGACAGAAAACGGGCTCATAACACGCGAGAGCAGCTAACTTGGTGGGCGATTGCCTACATAGTATATTAATTAACAAGCAAAACAACTAGTTAGCATGGAAAGGCGCAAATACATGTAAAATGAGTAACTACCTAGGTACCTAAGTCGGGTATATATTGACCATTACTGACGTCCCTGTTCTTGCTCTGTTCTTGCTCTCTCAACACATGGCGATGCGGAGAGGCATCGTGCCCGGCCCGGTATTATAGCAATTCGCGGACGAGAAAGCTAGGAAAACGAAAACGAAGTCAGCTATAGTCATCTAATTACCTAGTCAGTTTCTCGCAGCCCGGAAATGAACCAGAAGTTTTGTTTACCTGATGACCTCCACTACCCGCATACTGGTGGACTCCAAAATCCGCATACTGTGGACTCCAAAATCCAGAAGGGTTTCCAGCGGGTGGGGGACCCGTTCTTCTTTGGCGTTGGGGGAAGGCACGGACCATGCACGTGTGCTAGGCCAGGTGCTCACTGCAGCTAGCCCCCTGCCAGAGCTTCCCGAAGCTCCGAAAAGCATCAGCTCTGGTGAGCTCGGTCGGGCCGCAGTGCGTCGCTTTGTACTGGCTTCGAGTTCGAGACAGACGACACCCACATCCGCTCCACGAAGCGCGCGTCCCGAGGGCAGCCAATGCTAATTTGCTGCATCACTTGCTTGCATCGTTTGGCCTCCCTCATTGCTCCGTCGCGCAGCAGCCGCATCGACATGTCACAATGTCGTCCGAGTCAACTCGCCCGCTCCTGCTGCCGCAGAACCGCAAGCTGCGCCATCTCCGCGGCATCTACCTCCGAAACCTCACCTTCGCCCGCCCCCGCGGACGCACCATTGACGACGCTGCTCTTAACAAGAGTCCCGCTAAGATTGAGGCCCTCCGCAACGCGCCCCAGCTCCAGCATGCCCTCTCCTCAGATGACCTTCGCCCCCCCGCCGGCCGGCGCCGCAGCACTAACCTCGGCAACGCGAGCCCGCTGACGCGGCAGAAGAACATGGAGGAGATCTTCAACAACAGACTGGCCGACGCCTTCTTCTCACTCCATGTCGAGGGCGAGGAGGATCCCGTCTACATCAGCGAGGTCGCCGAACGGTCAGCGGTATGCTTCTAGCCGCCCCGAAGGAACCTGCCGCCGGCGCGTGGCACGCGAGCTAACTCTCCTGCTGCCAGAACTTCAATTTCCAATTCTTCGAGCTCACCGAACTCGCTCCCTCAGTCACGCGATCGCCCCAGGTCACCGTCAAGGTCTGGACAAAGCGGAAGGGCGACTGGAGCCTGTTGCTCGAAGATGAAGTCGATCTACGGGCCCTGAACTGGCTGGGCACTCTGCAAAACGTCCATTTCCCCCCCAACAGCCTCGTATTCCATATGATGGATGGAATATACTCGATCGAGCTCTCCAACAGCTACCCGCCCCCTAAGAGGACGGCTTCGCTCCCTACGTCGTCGTACAATGCGTTGATGCGCCTGGCCACGCTCGACAACTCGATCCAGGATGCTATCGCAACCCGTGACGCACTCTCGCAGCAGATTAACGACCTGTTGGAGAAGGAGCCCAAGAACGAGCTGCCCAAGGCCGAGGACAAACTGGCGCGCGTTAGTAGGTATCTGGCCCGGCAGCGCAAGGCTGTCGCAGCGGCCCAGAAGCGGAACGAGGACCTCAAAGCGTCCATTGCCGCGCGCAGATCGGCCATTGCCGAGGGCCGGGCTCTGCAGGAGAAGGCCGGAAAAGACGTCGAGAACGCCGCCGAGAAGCTTACAGAGTCGCGCAAGTCGGTTGCCGAGACTAAGGAGCTGATCCACGGGCAGCGCCGGCGCATCTGCGAGGACCTGTCGCTCATCTACAACATCACCCCCGTGCCCATGGGCCCGCCGCTCTCGTTCCAGATCTGCAGCATCCCCCTACCCAACACCGTCTACGACTCGACGCTCAGATCGGCTGGCGAGGACGCTCTGTCGGCCGCGCTCGGCTACGTCGCCCGCCTGGTCGACGCGCTGCAGTACTACCTCTCGGTGCCGCTTCCCTACCCGATCCAGCCATTCGGATCGCGCGCCAGCATCCGCGATGACATCAGCCAGCTGGCCGACCCGCAGCGCGAGTTCCCCCTGCACGTCCCGCGCGGCGGCTCCAGCGCGCAGTTCCGCTTCGACTACGGCTGGTTCCTGCTCAACAAAGACATCGAGGCCCTGTGCGCATCGCAGGGGCTCAAGGTTGTCGACATCCGCCACACGCTGCCCAACCTCAAGTACTTGCTGTACGTGTGCAGCGCCGGCAGCGGCGACGAGGTGCCTGAGCGCAAGCGCGGCGGCGTGCGCGGGCTGTGGGCCGGCCGCATGAAGAACAGTTTGAGTGTTGCAGAGGCAGGCGGCGATGGCGACGACGCAGGAAGCACCCCCGCAGGCAGCCGCCGCGGCAGCGACGCCAGCGACGCCTTTGGCAAGACGCGCGACGAGCTCCGCCGCGCCATTTCCATGGGCAGCAACGCCGGCGATGGGCAGAAGCAGCCGGCAAAGGCAGCAACCCCGCGGCCGCCGTCACTGATGTCCCTGCCCTTCCACGAAAGCGAGACTAAGCTGACGCTGCGCACCAAGGGTCTTAGGGAGAATGCCGCGCGCTGATTACTGGATGCTTTCTGTTTGGTGGCCATGAGTTTATGACGGAGTTTTTTTTTCACTGCAGCGGGCATTGACAGAGGGTTTTCGCTATGGGCTTGGGTTTGGGTTCTTCAGGGGCGTTTAATTCTTGGCTTTTTTTGTAAAGCATTGAAGTGAAGCTACGCTAGGTACATCTATCTGTTGGGCTTGTTTTCTTCCACAGGGGCAGAGGATGGGAATTGGTAGGATGGGAATTGGTCCGAGGACGGATTCGTGGCATGGATGGATAGAAACCCACCGCCGGTGCAGATTGAGAGTTACCTGGCTGGCTGCTTTGCATATTTCTAGATCTAGATACCCCCCACCCGATAGATGCAGCACAGAGACCTTGTTGAGTATTCTGAGGGAGGTTGCCTGGGCTTGGTCATATGGAGATATGTTATGGTATTGCGTTTCTTGCTGGTTCCCCGTCCTATCTAAGGATTTTCCTGAATCTCTCAACCTGGGCGTGTTTGTTGTTGGCTGTTACTTTGCTTGTGTCTCCAGGGGCTGCTTCTAGACAACGACAACTGAAGCTGAAAGATACAGCGCTCAAGGTGGTGATGGGGTGTGAAGATAGCCCCTTTCCCTAGATTACATTAATATGCCGGCTGTCTACATTACTAGACGGCTCTGTATACGTCGTGTTCAATAACACTCTGCCTGAAACTATTGCGCGTCGACGGCTGTAGTGACAGGAATTGTTCGAGCCGACAAACCAAAATTGGGGGAAAGCGATCAATTGGACGAAAGAAAGGCGCATCCGCAACAACACAAACGGTCCTGCTCGGGCGATTCCTATCCGAGATATCAGCCGGTGAAATAATGAGATGGAAAGACAAATCACGTTTTTATAGCCAAAAGGTAAAAAGAGATGCGGGGCAAAAATAGAAATAGCCGAAATAGTTATGCCCACAATCAGAATCGAACTGATGACCTTATCATTACTAGTGATACGCTCTACCACTGAGCCATGCGGGCGGGTCCCCGCTGTATGAGCTTCGTTGTCATCACCAGTTGGAATTGGTACCTATATTGATTTGTCATCATCTGATCTGGTTTCGCTTGATCACAACCACTCTCGTCCACATTTCTTTCGGGCATTCTCAGTTGCCCTGCTAGGACTTAATGTGGCTGCTGGCTGCTGAGGTTCTTACTGTAAAGGACCCCTGGGTTCTCATTGTTCTTAAGGGTAACATGGCAAATCGCAACACCCGGCCCTGGGCGGGATTAGGCATCGAAACCACCCTGAACAATAGGGATTTGACATCAATGCTCGCCTATATAAAACTGCCCATGTAGAAGACTGAAGCCGACAAGTGGTGATCCCGCACTGTCACTGCACCACTTATGCGGATTTGAAGCATTCTGCGTTTTTTGTTCCCCGATCAAACTAGCCTGCTCCGCAAGAATCCTGTAATTAGATCTGTCATACGACGTCATACCGCGCACGACCATAGCCTAGCCTTTCTTTCTTCTTGCAGAACTAGACAGGCATGCAACCATCCTGGCGTCGATGGCAAAGCATGTCTCCTACCAGCAAATCGAGAGTTTCACTGACGCGTTCGGACGTTTCCATGCCAAACATGATGTAAACGAGATCTATTTCCAGCTGAGCATAACAAAGTCATGGACAAATAGAAGTCACTAGTTGTAGCGCAAAGTCGGCCCAATCACTTAGTCCGCCTCAGCTCCCGCGTCGTTTGAGGAAAATCGAAGCAGCAGCAAAGCCGGCCTACGAGCCCCCAGCCCTGTCAGATCCGCCTGAACACGGACATGGCCACGTACTGAGAACGGCCCAAGCCAAGCTACACCCCTTGCATCCTCGCTGGTGCCTTTACTGGAACGATGTACACACGTTCCTGTTTGACGAGGGCTGAGGCGAGCTGGGCGCGGCAACCGCTACCATCACCGCCTTCCTGGAGCGGCGAGAAATCCGTACATACAACACCTTCCAGTTGCTGCTGGACGGCATTCCTGTTTGTCCTTGCTAGTAAACGTTCTGCTCGTTGGTGTTCTGTTCGCTCTCACGAGTGATGTTGTCCTCAGGTCCTCGTTTACTTCCTTCTCTTCGGTGTTCTAAGTGCTGACATCCTTCTTGTTTATGTCATTCCCGCTGACGTGCTCGGCACGATGCATGCAAAGGAGAAATTCGAAGTACATTGTCTTGTACTGAAATCTTCATTAGCCGATATATAGACGGCAGGAGTGGTGAATGTATGTATCTTAATCACGAATAAGTTCTACGCCGTAGAAAAGACGCCCAGTTAAACATATGTATTGGGGAGTCACAGTTAAGAACCCATTTGAAACACTCTACCGGGCTTAAAGGCCTGTGTGCTGGCTGTAACACTCCTGGCAATAGGCCAGCCTGCTAATTTCGCGGAAATGATAACATTCATGCCTGGTCCAGCGCCTGTCTGTCGGCACTCATCCTCTCGTCAACCCAAGATCGTGATAACTCGGTTTAGACACCACTGTTCATAGCCCCAGCAAGAGACCTGTCACATCGCATTCCAGTTGTGACCAACGTATGCACGTCTTGCTCAACTGATTCGAATCTTGCATCGGGCTGTATGTATTATGGGATGGCACTTTTGACGCAAGTGAGAGGTGTTGATATTGCCCTATCGACTCTGAGAACCCAGATCCCTCCCATCGCTGACCACACAGTCCGTTATAGCACTGAAACCAGCAGGCCAGGGCACCACAGGGCAGCAAAAGCTATTCTCGACCATTTCGCCCCACCACGTCTTGAAACGAATCGTCGCCCTCTGCCTGGCGTGAGCTTGAACTTGAAGAAATCTCGGCTATCCGTGATGATAGAGTGATTTGCGGTTGGGTGGGCAACAGTGAGACACGAAGGCGATCAGCAGGTCTACGAAGACTGCCGCCGCTGCCTTGACATGAAGAAATGTTACTGGACTCTTCCCATGTTAGAGATTCCATTTTCGGCCCCCCCCACCACCCCGAAATGCCAAAGGTGAGCCCCCCACCCTTAAAGCTCTTTAGGCGGCATCGGAAAAGTCGGAGGGAGGGAGCTCTGTAACGGTGTGTCGTTACGCCAGCAGACAGAACAGATACCTGTTGCCTAGCACTCTGGAAATAGCAGCTATATGGTCGCAACCCTCACCACAAGCTCTCCCATGTTGGAGATTCCACTTTTGGCCCCCGCCCCCCCTTCTCCGACATACCAAAATGAGCCCACCGCCCTTAGATCTCTTTAGCGGCATCGGAAAAGTCGTTTGGGGGAAGCTCCTGGTTGTTGGAAGCAGAGATCGTTAGCAATGCATCGTGTGGACGTGGCAAGATACTTACTCTGATTTTGGCTCCCGCCCTTTAGCTTTCTCGCCGTTGAATAGTTGGCGGACCGAGCTCGGAAGTGAGCAACGAATGCCACTAGGAGGCTCCCATGGCCTCCTCTATGGTGGTAGGTGGGACCTTCCCGCTCGACGGAGGCCACAAAATGCCGACGGAGGTCGGAAGAAGATTATCACCCCACTAGCTCGTGCGAACTTGAACTTGAAAGAGGTTCGGTGCTTCAGTTTGCAATACGGTTAGTCAAATGGATTGGCTTGAGCGACGATATGGGGTGTGGTGATTGCGGATATCCGGTGGACGATGGTGTTGGGGGCAGGTAAATGTGGGATTTCAAATTCTCATTTTGGGTGAAGAAAAAGGAAAACTGTGAAGTGTAAACACGGCAAGCACGTGCGCGAGCAAACATCCTACGATTGTGTTCCAACGATCTCGCCAACGCCTTCTGGATTTTGACCGTGAAAGATGAGGATGTGCTCAAGAGTGAGTTAAGCCTCGTCCTCAAGGTTCAAAGGTCCCGCACGAAGGCAAAGCACGCCATCTGGTGAATTGGCTTCTCTCCATGAAGGCGCGCGATACATACAGATTGGCTTCCTGACATTTTGGGAGAGGGTTGGGGGCGGGTTCGGGATTGTAAGGAATGGGTCCAAGGCCGCTGGAATCCTTGAGGAAGGCGCCGTGGCCAGGGCGGAGAAGTGAAGTTTGTTCTAGACTGGAACTGGGGCAAGGCGGTGAAAGGTGGTGGGTGACCTGGGCACTCATTATTGAGAATTATGATGGCGAGAGGCAGATTTCAAGAATGAATTGCTGCATCGACGACAAAGGGAATTCGCCAAGGCAGAGAAAGCACAAGCCCACTTACCGAAAGTCGCCTCTGGAGAGTCGAGATCAGGAATGTCATATCGCAACCAGCCCCAGGGGGGAAGGCGATAATTTGTTAAAAGAGGAAAGAGTCCTTTAGATATGGTATGGGGAAAAGATATTTAAGCAGGTCTTTGTAGGTGTGAGGCAGATAGACCCAGCCACGGTACGTACCTACCTAGGTAAGGTAGGGTGCCTCATTGCTCGAGAAGCCAGAAGTACTTCGAAGAGGTGCAGGAACACAGCTAACCGTAAGCGGTAGATAGCGAAGCGGGTACTAGGAAGGCACGAGTAGAAGATAAGGCTCCCGTCATGGTGGGAGGCACCCTTGTCCTTTGGTTTCCAAAGAGAGTTGCTTTTTCACACGGGGATCCCAGCACTCGCACAAGAATTTGCTGCACCCTACACCGCGAGGAGGGGAGACCTAAAAGGACGCGTTCAGATACACCACCAGTAGACACTCGTGCGTCTCCTGCACGCCCATCTCTCCTCCAGCCGTCTTCACATACTGCACTTGCACTAGACCTTGTGCACTGGAGTGCCACCTATTTGCTACCAATAGATTACGTAACCGGCAGCAGTTTCCATCTTTCCTTCTTCTCTGCGGTTTCTTCCCCCCTCCTTCCTCTTCCGCCGCACAGTCAGAGCCACCCACCAACGAAAATATTTTCACCATTCCCTCGCCGCAGCGGATGTCATCTGAGCCACTCGGCCTTACTCTAGTTCAAAACACCAATCGGCCAAAACCACGATGGTGTTAGAAAAAGCGAATACCTGGTGAGTAACCATGAAGCGGCCTTTCCTTCTGTCGGCGACCTAAAACCCAGATCGGTCCACGGAGTCCAAAGTCACACCTGTCTCCTCCCCACCTTTGTTGGGCGCCACAATGATGCCTCTCGCGTTGCCTTTCCGTTCCACAGATAATATTTCCAGGGAAGTCAAGAATGCAGAGTGGTGGCGGACATGCCTTTGGGCTATGATCCCGAGGGTTCCGTCACTAGTGATGGTCTGGCGAATCAATTAAGAAGATTATTACTGACGACGCCTACTGTAGGGTCGATAGTGAGCGGCTCTGATGTCTACTCGGGCGTCCGAGTCTGGCGGAGAAGGAGGGGATGATGCCCCCCATTCAAAGGTTTAGAGGCATCGTGCGCCGCCAGCAAGCTATAATTTACTACTGGGGGTTTTTTGCTGGGTTTTTTGCTGGGTTTTTTTGCTGGTTTTTTTCTTTGGATGATTTGCGTGATCTCGGCACCCCAAGACACTGGCCTGGACCCCGGTGCTCAACCGACCAACATCTTTCACACACCGGTCGCTCCGCCACTGGAAGCACTTAAACGCCGGAATTATACGATACCAAGACTTTTTCGAGATCCGCCCGACTGTTCTCCCAGAGCAATCATTCCTGCGTGGCCTTCTGATCGCTTTGAGGCTCACTTTCAACCCAACTGTCAGCTACATCACGAGAACCGAGTCGGTGGGATGAGTAGAGGGTAATGGTGTTTGATGAGTGGCAGGGGGTCATCCAGCTCCTGACAACTTCCTACAATTTCTTGTTGTAGATCACTTGTCCCTGATTAATTGCTCCCTGCTTGGCTGCATGTGAGCGACACTGTAGACGTTGTTTACAGTGAACGTCAGCAAAGGGGTCCTCGCCAAGCTTCAAGCGCGCAGTGATTGGTCCCGACGGCCTGTCTCGCGCTTGACCTGAAGCGGCGACATGCCTCTAACCACGGCTTGGGGCCGGGATTGCGTGATCAGCCGTGCCCCGCACGACATGCCCTGCCGCTTGATTGTTATGCGCGGGATTATCTTAGCTGTGCTATCCCCAAGCTAAGTGAAGAGATTCCCGTGGCCGGGGCCATCTCCTCTGGTACTGCAGCAGCGCACACAACCCAAAACAACAAACAAGATGGATCTGCTCAAGGTGGTGGTGGTGGCGTCGCCCTTTGCCAACATGTCGGCCCTGTACGAGATCGACCCCGAAGCCGACGTGTTGCTTATCGTGCCGCCCCACAGCCGGCCCATTGCGCCGTGGGACGACGACAGCAAACCACAAGCCAATGGCCTCGGCATCAACACGCCCCAGAAATCCAAAGCCTCGCCGCCTCCCTCGCCCGGGCTGCGCATCAAGGTGTCATCCAAGCACCTATCCCTCGCCTCGCGGGTCTTCAAGAACAAGCTCGCCGCCAGCCCCGGCACGCAGTCAGACGGCCGCGTGCACTTGGCCTTCGGCGACGGCCTGTTCGACCCCAAAGCCGTCACGGCCGTGCTCAACGCCGTCCACGCCCGTGGCCGCAAGGTGCCGCGCGCCGTCGACCTCGAGACGCTTGCCAACATCGCCCTCGTCATCGATAAGTTTGGACTCCTCGACGCCATCGACGTCTACGCCGAACGCTGGGTCGACGCCCTGATCGACAGCCTGCCCGCCGCCTACCCCCGCGATCTCGCACTCTGGATCTACATCAGCCATGTCTTGCGCCGCGCCGACGTCTTCAAGACCGCCACCAAGCTCGCCGCGGCCCACGCCACCGGCCCTATCCGCGACCTCGGCCTGCCCCTTCGCGAAAAGCTCATCAGTATGCTATGCCTGCACTCCCCCCTGACCCCCTCCGTCCCGCCCCCCCTGGGCGCATGTCATGTTTTCTAACCTCGTCGCAGAACACCTCGACGCGCAGCGCCAGGATCTCGTCGGCCAGGCCGTGGCGGCGGTCCACGGCATGCTCCACGAGCTGACGGGCGGCAGCGCGGCGTGCGCGGCGTATCACTGCGACGCGCTGCTGCTGGGCGAGCTGGTCAAAACGCTGCAAGCCGCGCGGCTTGTGTGGCCGCCACCGGCGAAGCCATTCACGGGCGTCAGCTTCGCGGGCGTTGTCGAGGCCGTGATGGCGGGCGTCAACGCCGCCCAGCGCCACGCCCCTGCTGCTGCCGAGGCGTGGGGCCCTTCCAAGCCCGCCACGCCGCCCGGCGCCACGGCGAGCCGCAAGCGCAAGAGCCCTGCCCAACTGCCGCCGCTGACGCCGGACTCGGATCTTGAGGACAGGGCGAATGGGAATGGGGCTGGTGGCGGGACGGCGTTTGAGACGCACGAGTGTGCTGCGCTTAATCTGGCGGAGCGGCTGAAGAGGTTCGATCTGCTCGAGCAGAGCGTTGCGGGGCTGGAGCTTGAGAGTAGTCTCGGCTATCAGCTGTATTAGGGGGTCTTGGAGATGGAATGGGGAGGGATGTTAGTTGAAAACATGGCGTTGGAGAGAATGGGAATGGATTGGGTGGAGGAGCAATTTACGGGCAGACGACTGATGAGCCGACTAACAAAAGCGCGCGTTACTTGCGGATACCCCTATATCATGTCTACTTTGTATACTAATTAGCCGATTTGCGTTTTCTGTTCATTTACAGCCCGATCGAACTTCTTTATTGACATGGGAGGTGTGAGATACGGTGTTGATATTTCTGAAATTTCTATCTGATTAGGATCTTGCGCTGGACCACTAGACTTGGTACACATGCCAATCTCATCAGCCGAATTCCATTATTGACTTGGTGGAATAGTAGAGTAAAGCATATCTTCGAGCCCTCACAAACACCCCCCGCCCCCCCTTCCCCCCTATATTCCGTCCACATGCGTAATTAACCGCAACTAGAACTATCTAGAAAAGAAATCCCCAAATCAAACAATACCAATTCCGGCCCTCCCTATAGCAGCCGGCGGGAGTACAAACCGCACCCTTCTCCTCGGCCGGTGGGGAAGGACGCGGACCTCGTCCTGCGGCCTCCTGAACCGAGGTCTCCACGGCAGTGGCGGCGGCGGCGGCGGCGGCGGTGAGAGTTCCACATCATCATCAAACCCGCGGCCCAGCCCCGCGCGGAGGTCGTTCCCGTCACTCCACCGCCGCCGCCTAAGCCACCGCCTGCGACGGTCGCTGATGTCCTCGTCACTACTGCCATCGCGATGCCGCCGCCGCGGCGACCTAAGCCACTGCCTGCGACGTTCACTCCTCTCCTCTTCACTGCTCCCACCGTGATGCCATCGCCGCCGCCGCCTGAGCCACCGCCTGCGACGGCCGTCGTCACTATAATGCCATTCCTCCACGCCCCCGCCATCACGGTCCCAGTCCCCATTCCGATCGCAATAGTCAAGGGGCGGCACCCTGTTCTCCACGCCGCCGCCGCCGCCACTGCCGTGGACGATGGTGGTTTTGATTTCCGTCGTGTGTTCGCGCTCGCGTTCTGGCTGCTGCTGTTGCTGTTGCTGCACGCCGTGGTGCTGGTAGTAGGGACACGCTGCCGGGGCGGTGGCTGTCGCTTGCGGGCACAGGAACATGGTGTAGTACCGCTCGCAGCACGGGGGGGTTATCGGCATAGTCGTTGTCGTGGTGGTGGTGCCGCAGTAGCCGCCGGCCAGGCCGTGACGGCGCCTGCTTCTGCTTCTGCTTCTGCTTCTGCTTCTACTCCGTCTTCTCCTACGCCGCCGTCGACAGCCGCAATCCCGCCGCCGCCGCCGCCGCCCGGCTCGCGCACAGACTGAACAATCGGAGCTGCCGCCGCTGCTATCATCATCATCATCATCATCGTCGTCGTCGTCTTCATCGTTGGCGAACAGCTCGCCCCCTTCGCGCCGCAAGTATCGCCGCCGCGAGCGCCGCCTGGCGGCCGGGAGGAACGCTGGCGGCGGGCTGCGCGGTGGTGCCAGTCTGTAGTGGCGGCGCGGATAAACGTAGTCGTAGCCTACGTCGTCCAGGCCGAGCTCGCCGTAGCCTCGAGGACCGCGCGGGCCGGCAGCGCCCGCCTCGCCGCGCTCACCCCGTGGCCCACGCTCGCCCTGTGGCCCTGCTACGCCGGCTGCTCCTGCTGCGCCCGCTGGACCCCCTCGTCCGCGCCGCCCACGAGGCCCCATCGGCCCTGCCTCGCCCTGCGGTCCGACCGTCCCTGGGAGCCCAGGCGCGCCAGGGGCACCGGGCGCGCCTGCGGGGCCGGCGGGGCCAGAGGGCCCTTGCAAGCCCACCCCCGGTGGACCTGGGGGGCCTGGGGGGCCAGCAGGGCCAGCAGGGCCTTCGGGGCCGCGCGGCCCGGGGAACACGGGCACGCCTGGCGACGGCGGGCGCACGATTTCTATCTCATCTACGTGCGGGGGATGTCTTCTGCGGCTCCCACGGCTGCGGTGGCTGGAGCGCTGGCCGCTGAAGCAGCAGAAGAATATTGCGATGATTACGACGGCGACGGCGACGCCGATGATGCCGAACAGCGGCGAGGGTGAGTCTGAGCCGTTGCCGCGAGGTCGTAGCGGTGTGGTGTGGCGTGAGCGTGTTGTGTATTGGACCGATTGAATGGGTGTGGATGCGAAGGGGGACGAGTGGTCGGCGGAGACGGGGAGAGCGGTTGACGGGCGGGAGCGGCACGGCATGGTGGGAGGTTGGTGGGTTGCGTGCTCGTGCCCTTGGTGGCTGTTCCGCGCCCCTGTTATGACAGTCTGTTTGTCTCTCAGAGCAAATGTATCCTTGTTTGATAGAAGAGAAGGGGATAAGAAATGGGGTATTTAAAGGGGCGATGCTGTTATTCTAGCTACCGTTCCTCGACTCTGGACCGGCGGAAATGCCTCTTTGGTGTTCTTACCTGTCTGTTCCAAGGAACCTCCCCAACACGGCTGCTGGCACTTTCCCGAGAAGGATGCGAGCAGAGCCGCATAGGTATATTACGGCAGGGAGGGAAGCACGTGGTGTACACTGTGTCCCAAAACACCCTTCCGGGCTACCATGACGATCCCACCTGAGAAACACGGGTGTTTTGTGTGAGTGTTCTACTGTAGGAATCCCAGGGGAAGTAGAGATATGGTCTAGGTGTGTTCTCGTTGATGACGGCGGCTCCAACGGTCGGTCGGTGTGATCCGGGATCAACGCAGCCTCGGTGAGCTGAGCACCCAGAGAAATGCAGAACGAGGCGAGGAGGCAGCCAAATGTTCTTGCACCTGGGAGAACTAAAGGTCGCCCGACGCTGGATGCCTGTTTCGCTGGTCTAGCTGGGCACGGCATTAGCGTGGGGAGGTGGCGCTTCGCCACTTGCGATGCCGTGATAAACTCTTCAGGCCTAGCCTAGCTAGTGGGTGTCACAGCTGATGGCAAAGCCGCTGAAAGACACGCCATTGCTATGTTTCTGTCTATTTTGGTGAATGTTGTGGGACGGCTTCAGTTTACCCCGGCCTTGCTTTTTTTATGGCTGTTGTTGATGTTGTGTAATGGGGAACTGCGCGAAGGGGGTGTAGTCGGTAACCATGAGTCCACCGCCCCGGGATGAGCCGTTGAGTCATGAGAATATTTGGCTTCTCCTGGTTATGACAGGTGTACGAAGGCTGGAACAACAAGAAGGGTCACCTTTCAGGGTGGCCAAGATACAAAATCATGTGGTGCCAGTTCGTTTATGCCAGATACCGTCCCTCATCCACAGATCAGTTCAAGCTTGGTTAAACCCCCTATAATAGCGCCGAAGACATTTATCCTCTTGTACTGGAGCGAGTGGCAGTTCTATCTTTGTCCCGAGCATCCGTACTGGCTCCCAGTCTTGAAGTTGCGGCGAGGGAAAAAGAGCTAATTCTTGGTCGGGATGTTCGAGACAATATCTTCTCCGATGCGTTCTGAGAGGAGGTAAAGACTTATTCCTGCTCAGCAAAGTCCAATGGAGGCAAGTAGGCGTTACCCGGGCTTGCCTACCTGGTGGGTAGGGAAACTAGATGATAGCAATGATTCCCTGGACCCTTGGATTCCAAATTTGCCAAGCTGTTTGCCTATGCAGTCCAGAGCTCCTAGCCGTGGGTACGGCATATGCATGCAATCCTGACGGTGCTGCTGTACGCACGCTTGTGCCACATTCATGGGTCTGATGTTGTTGGCGCAAGCCTGGCCCCTAGGACGCCCGCATGACGATTGTTTCATGATTACCAACACCGCATCCCGTGGCAGTTGCTCCTTTCCGTGTGTAGCTCGCCGGCGTCAGCCAAGGTTGTAATGGTGCCCGCCGCAACATCCGACAATCCCCTCCGTGTATCTGTCCCAGGTAGATCCTCAACGTCGTGTAGTTTGAAAATACCAGGCGCCAGGGGGGGTTTTGTGGGCCATGTCACTCAGTTTCAGCTATTATTTGCGCGGAGCCGACTCTCTGCGATTGCGGTGCCATCGCAGCCGTGACTCAGCCACGGAGAGGCCACGACCGACAGCCTATACTTCTAGGGGGCACCGATAGCGGACGCCGGACAAGCTGGTCGCATCCGATCGTAGCGGGTTGGGGCCGGAAGCTCGATCCGGTGCAGCCGTAGATGACGCACCGCGGCGGCAGGTCTCATGTTCTGGTTTGATTTGAGGCTGACAATGACGCTTGATGTAAGGTACGGTGCGTGGCGAGTTTGCTTTTGGGCGGGACTGGATTCCGGGGACGGCTGTATCTGCTTTCATATCGTTATAATCAGGGGCTGGAAAGCCCGATGTTGTGGGCGAGAGTCAGCACCTCGTGCGGAACGGGTATCGGAGATTCCTGTCCAGCGCCTTGTTAGCTGTTAGCGCCCCATAGCTAGCAGACACCAGCCGAATGGCCTGCTCCCGGCTTTACTCCATTCTGGTCAAACTTGCTCACGTGGGCAAGACCTTTCCGAGCATGCAGGGCTGTCCGGGCAGTCGGTTTCTGTGCAGGGTCAGGTACGTGACTGCGCCCTGTTTCACCCGAATTCTTGTCTGCCTGCCCTGCTCCTGCGGGGTGCTGCCCACAGTAAACTGGGTTTGCCGGTGCCCCCTTCCGCTGAACAGAGGGACACAAGTACCAAGTACGCCCAAGGTTGTTCAGAGCAGTGGCACACAAAATAGCAAACACGCTAGGTCGAAGATAGTACCCCTGTGCCATTCTGGAGGGGAACCGGCCAGTACCAAGCACCGGGACAGCGGGTTACTGGCCTTGTCACGTCGTCTACTCTCTGCCTCTCTGCAACGTCAAACGGCTGCCGGGCTCTTATTCCCTACTACACATCAATACTTTTGCCAACCCAGCTGGCTTATCCGAGAAGAAGCCAGGCCTCGTGTCTCAAAAACACCAAGTTCAACACCCAAAAAGCTCTTTTGAACTTCACGGGCAGACAGCACGAATGTCGCAGACGGCCGGTCCTTTGTCCCTGAAAGCGAAATCCGCATGAGAATGATTGGGTCGAAGGGAAAATGCAAAGTGAGATTCCATTCCACAACTACTTGACTACCTTACCCCCCACCCCACCCGATCACCCAGGCCTGGCAATCACTTTTTACACCAAAACACCACATCTTTGAACAACCGTAGAATAGTCAATTGTGAGGCTCTTCAAAAGTGAAAAAGTAGATTTGGTTAGGTAATTACATGTACTTTAATCTTGGTGTAGATTTGTCAGCCCAAAAGCCTTAATTTTTACGCTACACCGTCGCAAATTAATTGCAATTAGCGTCCTTGTAGCTTCCTTGACTTCTTTCCTCCCTACCTCTGAGTGTGTATTATGTTGTACCACCACTATGTCTGCCTATATTGAAGACAGTATGTTTAATGCTTACCTTGATGTCATAGATAATAAGCTTTCGATTCGAAAATCTGCTCAAAAACACAGTATACCGTACACAGCATTGAACGATAGACCCAAAGGAATACCCCCTAAAGATAAGACTGATCAGCCGCATCGTCGCCTTACGGCTGAAGAATAAAAGGGGCTCATTCAACGGATCCTTCGTCAAGAGAGCCTCGGCTATGCCCCTAGCCATTCGCAAGTGTGTAGTATTGTCAGAACACTACTTGTAAAAAAGGGGGATATAGAAGTCCTAGGGAAAAAGTAGATTGAGGGCTTCAAAACCCGTAATCCCGAGATAAAAGCCAAAATAGGCAAGAGAATGGAAGCCGCTCGATTTAATGGCTTCACTCTTAAAGCCGTCAACTGGTATTTTGACATTAGGGAGAAAGTGACATTAGGGAGAAAGAATACGGCTGGGTCAGGCCTGAGCTCACTTTTAACGTCAATAAGGTCGGCATTATGGCGGGCTGTGGTAAGAAAAGAGTCTCCATGCTGTTTTCTACAGCTAATTCTATATAGGGCTTGACTCTTTAGTCGTGGGGAACTCAGCGACTTAGAAAAAATACCTCAAAAGTGACCAGGGCCATAGCTGGTCTACTATAATCGAATGCATTAGTGCAGACGGCAAATTGCTTGATCCAGGCATCATTTTTAGGGGAAAAGACCTTCAAACGCAGTGGTTCAAGGAAGAAATGAACAAAATAGCCGATTGGAGCTTCGTTACAAGCGAAAACGGCTGGACTGACAACCAACTCGCGATCAGTTGGCTCGACGATATTTTTATTCTACAAACCAACGCCTTACTGGGCCACGACCGTGAGGCTCGTCTCCTTATTCTTGATGGCCATAACAGCCATATAACGGTAAGATATAAGCCTACGCTTTCTTTGAGCCTACAGTCTCACATTATTATAAAAGGACTATTTCATGACTACCTGCTTCTACAACAACATATATCTCTGCTTCCTACCGACCCACACCACTCACGGCTTATAAATACTTGACAACGGCCCATTCAATGCCGTTAAAGCTTACTATAGACGTGAGCTGGCCAAATTAGCCAGTCTAACCGATGCAACACTAGTTGACAAAGTTAACTTCATACGCTGCTATAAGGTGGCTAGAGAGGAAGGTTTTACTTCAAGAACCATCAAATCATCATGGAAAACGACCGGTAATTAGCCTATAAGTAGGCAAAAGGCGTTGAATCATCCAGAGATTCAACAAGACAGAAAAAAGACCCCGGAAACCCCGGCCCTCCCTGAAGTCCCTGATACCCCCGTGTCAGGCCGCCAGATAATGGATATGAGCAAGGGGGCTAGTCCAGGCACAAGAATGAAGTTCAGAGAGGCCGCCCGAGCAGTTGACGGGCTTCAAGCGGAGTTGGTTTTGAAGCAGGCACGAATCGAAGCCTTAGAGGCTGAATTGGAACGCTTGAAGCCAAAGAAAAGGAGGAAAATTCCAAACCCGAATAAACGGTTCATGGCTTTGGCTACCATACTAGTTGGTGGCGAAGTTACCGCAGAGCATTAAGTTGAGGCTCAAAATGCAGCTCAGGCAGAGCCGCAAGAAGAAGAGGTGGATGAAGAAGACGATGAGGATAGCGCTGCAGATGACGAAATTCCACCTGCAAGAATGACCAGATCAGGGCGTGCAACTAGGGCGTCAGTACAATTCATAAATTGAGTGATTAATTAGCTACGTTTTTCTATGTTTCATTTTTAAATAGCTTCACAATTGACCATGCTACAGTTGTTCAAAGTTGTAGCGTTTTGGTGTAAAAAGTGATCGCCTAGCCTGGGTGATCGGGTGGCGGGGGGGGTTGGGTACGTTTCGAACCAACGCAATTTCCAAGAGTCCAATATATGTCCATACCAGGGCCATATTTCTACGGCCTAAGACCTCCCGAAGTCATCCCTATGCCTCCCTGAACCGTCTATACGCCTATCGGACCTGTCGAAAGTCAGAGTCGTTCCCCATAGCTAGGAATTGATGCGTTCTAAAGAGTATGTTTGCCTCTGCTGCTACTAGAATATATCTTCTTTATTCTATGTAGCGCAAAACTCTGGTGAGAATCCTGAGGATGGAGGAGTAGATGGTTGAAGATAGGATGATAATATGTAGTTTGCTTTATTATCCATCGCAACCATCTTGTAGACGTCTCTATGATTAAGACGCGGGTACTGATCCATACCTTCAGGTATGGAATCTATAATTCTCAGTTTTGTAACGGTGTCCTTGATCCACACAACTTGGGGGTGTTAGGCATTTGGCGAATAGAATTGTCCTGGACATGGTTTTGCCACGCTTACATTCTTTCCAGATACCTACTTAGGTAACTAGGCGCCACTACCGCCCGTTAACTAGGTACCACTACCGCCCGTAATCATGGGCTTCGGGGTCGCAAGTTTCATTTCCATCACCTATTAATTATCGCATTGCAGCATGCTCGATACATGGTGTCGGAGCCCCCATACTCATCTCCCTTACCGTGGGGGCCCCGCGGGGGCCTTGCTGGAAGGCTCTGGACTTCCGGGCTTGATTCCTGTATGTTTTTTGTTAGTAAGGGCGGAAGAAGAAAGAGATAAGAGCAGATCCTCTTCTTGCTCACCCCAATGAACTGTGTTGTCTTTTCTCCTTTTAATCGCTCTCCGCAGGCGCCTGCGGCTCTAGATATATTTCAAACAGAAGAGGTGCAAACAGCTCCCGTAACACACAGAAACATGAGGGAAAGCCGCAAGCAATCAGGCCATTTCCGTCTAGCAATTGCCTAGATATTGATCTGATTGTATATGGGCGTAGCTACATTGCTTGCTGCGAAATAGAACGAAATTGTGCGCACGAGAGCTATATAATCCGTCATGTGCCCTACTCTTCACCAGACCAATAATATAATGCAATCTGTCTTCCAGATCACTTCCCAATATTATATATTCCCACAGAACCAAATTCAACCCTGTCAATCGCCCGTCCCTCCTTTCCCTACGAGCATACTCTTGTGGTATATATTCCAAACTCAAACCTACTACGACCAAGGCCCGCGAGCTACACGAACCGCATACTTCTCCACGTTGACGTCAAAGTTCCCTCTAACGTCGATATGCGACTCCCGTGCCGTACCGATGGTGCGAGAGCAAGTTGAGCCGCGGTAGCTCCTTCCGCCGGGAACACCGGTCCCCCTCTTTGTGACGTGAAGCGTTTTCAGCCTGGGGAAGGGGACGAGCTTCTTCCGCTTCTCTTCGGCGTCTGGATCGTCGGGCGAGAAGTTGTCGCTGTTGTTTACACAGCCCCACATATCGTGCTGTGCCGGGTCTGCCACGATTACGATGTGACGTAGAAGACCCTCGCAGCGAGGCTCCCCTTGTTCTGCTTGTCAAAATGGACAAGTATAACGGCCCGGCTTGCTTCCCTAACGATAAGGCTATTCCGAGAAATGTGGTGCCGATCTTCTAGTCCTTGCGGGACTTCCAGAGCGGTAATGCGGCCTGCTCTCGCCGTCAGTTCCCCGTTACAAGTGCCTTGCATGCGGCGGATCACCAGCGCCGTGTTGACGCCGGCGAGATGTTGGTTCCGGGTGTAGCCTAGATAGCAGAATTGACTTTCGAGAATTATTTCATCTAGCCCGACGACGGCGGTAATGGCGATGAAGAACACGGCCACGATAGCGATAGCGACGGTAACGGCCATGACGGCGCTGAGGCCATCACGCCCTTGGCTTGTTCTACCGGCGAGGCCAGCTCTGGAAATACCAGTTCCACCGCTGGAGCTTCCACCGCTAGACCTGGCGCCTGTTTTCTTGGTGCCCTTCCCCTCGAGATCGTGATACAGATCGTCAACCTCCTCGTCTCTACCGGCTATATTGTCGAGTTTCTCAAGTGCCGCCAATGGGGCCGCCCGTGGGACTATAGTATATCTTCTTAGGACTACGGTATATCTTCTCGGGTAAAACTCGATTGGGTTTTTTTACCCGTCAGACATCTTCATACTATTGTATATTAGATGGCGCCGTCTATCCTGGCCCTATTAATACACCTTGGCCTCGCTTATACCAACCGCGCCTTTAACTCTCTCGTCCTCGAGTACTTCTATAGTAATAATTACTTTATATTCCACCTCTCTACCGCCGAGGTCGGAGTTGAAATCAAGTCGGATGACTTTTACGTATAGCAGTCCTATTCACGTAAGTTTAGACGCCACCCCACCTCTAACCCCTAGCCCTTCGTAGAGCATCCCGCCTTTGGCTCGCTGGGCCTGCCCTCCATTTTCGCCCCATGACTGACAAGAGCATTGACGCCTTTTCCGACTATGACGGACTCTGCTCACGAGACGACTTTGCTCGCTTGAAGACAGACGAGGAAGCCGTCTACCACGAATTCAAGTTCCGAGCCATCCTGATGGCAGCCCTGGAACGGGAGGTTCTAGACAAGACCGGTGACCTGTTTGATCTTCAGCGGATCGTCGCAGAACAGGCCATCGAGATCCGAAAGCTCAAGAACTCAAACACTCAAAACGCTACACCCTCAGTCGCTTCCGTCACGGACCCCACGAGCGGCAGTACCAACCAGATCATCAACCCCCCTTGTAGCCGTCTACCACGAGCCACTCCGGCCCTATCAGAAACGTCATCACAGCGAACTATCCGCACCGCCAAGATTGATGGTCCGAAGCCCTGGAACGTAGACCCGGCCGTGGACAAGGTCGACTTCGAGATTTTCTATCGCCACTTGATGAACAAGTTGGAAGGTAACGCTGACCACTTTACTACTGACCGTGCGCGGATGACGTATATTGAGAATTGCCTGGCTGGCGTCGCATCTGATACTATCGACCCTTATGTATCGAACGACCATCCTGACCCGATCACACCTAGCGATGCGTTACTCGATCTCATTTAGCAAGAATGGCACAACCCGAATCGCATGGAGAAGGCTCAGGATGAGTATGACGCTCTGAATATGGAGAGTGCAAGCGATGACTACGTCGATTTCAAGAACAAGTTCGTTCGCCTCGCAGGAAAGGTCCGCAAACCGAAGTCGGAGTGGATCAACGAGTTTCACCGCAAGTTGCCCACCACGTTTGTCACTGCCATGATGCCGGCCTTCCTAGCGCCTGATGCTATGTTTGAGAGCGTCGCCAAGTACGGACAGAGCATTGCATTGAATTTCGCTCATGCGCGACGACGCAAGGAAGCCAAGCAGAAGGACAAGGAACCAGCTGCTCGGAGGATTGAGAAGCCCCGTCGCGGCGGTAGTCTCCATCTGGAACCTCGAAGTCAGTGACTTTGACTGGGTCGTCCCTACTCCCCCGACCATCCAATGTCGAGGCTATGCAGTTGGCAAAGGAAGGACGATGCTTCATTTGTCGCGAGAAAGGTCATATTCAGAACGAGTGCCCTCACCAAGACCAAGCTAAGAAGGAGCAAGAGGCGAAGATCTATCACGGCTCAGTCAACGTAAGGAGACAGGGCTACAGTAATCATTGCTGAATTCGTAGAATCTAAAGATGAAGAAGGAAGTTATGGCAGAGACCGCGCAGGACGCGGGGAAATAGGTGCTTGTGTGCCACGTGCCACGTCATGCACGGGCCATGCCGTGACAAGATCCGCGCCATTACCCAACAGTTTGGCTCTAACAGCAAAGGCGAGGATAGTCAGTCCTCGTCCGAGGACGAGGAAGACGTCGAGACGATAAACTAGGCGCCCTGGGGAACGATGAATCCCTCCCAGGGGATGTATCCATACAACCACCAGAAGAGAAGCAAGGCATAGGAATACTCAAACAAGGAGTATCGCTGAAACAGTTGAGCGACGGTTCCTTCGATATTAGCCCCATCTTTGGAGGAGGATCCTTCCTTTGCAATTCTACTATAGCTAATAATGGATTTTCTCTCTCTACTACTGATGCTCTGATGGATACGGGAGCAGACGAGTATATCTTCGTGAGCCCTAAATTCGCGGAAAAAATGATCAAGCACCTACAATCAGACCAGCTGGATAGCTTCCGAAAGAGAGGTGTCTTAGACTATCAAGGCAAGGCCACTCAGGAGGTTAACCGACTGGTACAAGGACACCTCCAAATTCAAGGGCGAACTATCCATAACGAATAGATGATCGTACTCGATATGAAGCATGATCTCCTCATCGGAAAGAACTGGTTCGCCTACCACAATATCTGGGTCGATTGCGCGAAGAGGCGTCTCTTCTTCCCCCCTGGCTGGGACGTCGACCTAAGATGCTGGAAAGACATCCCGGTAGGCAAAACTCAGCTACTCCGGGATAAAAGCTACCAAGAGGATCTGGTCAGGAGGCAGAAAGCTATAGATGCCGATGATAAGCGGTGTGAGGGCCTGGTCCTCCAGGCCTCCCAGACGCTCTGACTAATCAGACGCCAGTTGGGTGGATCCACCCGACCAGCCAGAGCCCCACCTTGAGACGCCCTGGAAGAATCTCGCGAGGGGAGGCTTTTGAGCTTCTTTTCCCTTTTCCCTTTAGTTTAGAATCTTCATCTAAAGCGCCCAATAGAGGAGTTCCGCCCTCATTCCAAGCCAGCCGTGACAAGCGGCGCTAGGACGGGAGGAGCATACGGGAACGGCTCAGACAACTTGAGGAGCTGAGACCACCTCCGCCGAAGCCAAAGCCAACTATTTCCCCACGGCCGCCCACGGCCGCCCGGCCGCTCTCGATTACTTCCTTCCTTCTTTCCTTAGCTTTAGATTCTACGAATACAGCCCGGTAAATGCAGCCTTGTCTCATTCAATCGACTGTGCGGTGATAAGCTTTACGACAATACTCCAGGAAACTATTACTCGCGATAAAGACGGCGAGGGCAGGGAGACTAGGCGATCGCTGAGAACGAAGCGCCGCAAATTGAACCAGTAGGCGACGTGGACAGGCGCACAGCCCTTAAACCAGTAGGCGAGGTGGATAGGCGTATAGCCTTATTTTGGGAGTGGTCGTTATAGAGAAGAGATATTACAGCCGCTATTATATTATATTACTACTATAGTTATTATATTGGAGCATTATAGCCCGAGTAGTGTTGAGTATAGAGACTAAGCGATGGCTGAGAACGGCGAGGGGATAGAGTGAAGGGTGATCGTTGTGACGGCGCCAGCTCACAGCACCCACTACCACTGCGCTAGAACCCCCAAAAGGATGCCAGAATTGCAAGTCGTCGACTTGCAACCTGTAGTGAGTTATAGTGAGTGTGCTACGGCCGTTGCGCGCCGTGACATCCCCCGGGTTCGCTAGAAGTTCGTCCCGAGCCTCAACCCCCCAGTGTGAGGACCCGTCCACCAAACTGGCCCTCAAGCAGCCAGAGCCGCCCAGAACCCCGGGCCTATCAGAAGCCGCCTCGAGGCCACACCTACCCCACTGATAGATGGAAACTTATTCGCGAGCACGCGACGCGTTGTTGGACTTTTCCTTCTTTCCTTCCTCAGTTTAGAATCTTCGTCGATAGCACCCAATGGACTGAGTTCATCTCAATGCCTTGCCCTGGTCGTGACACCACCTTCGGAATCTTGCTCTGGCATTGGCTGTGAGCACCCATCTTCGCGTATCTTCATCTAAGCGCATCGACTATTACCCATTCTTCCTATATACTACCCGATCGCGCTTTATAGAGCACGTCCATCTCATTTCTCACATAATCGAGCGTATCGTTTCGCACCCATTCGCCACTTACACGTTTCGCACCTCGTCGCACCTCATCGCCACTTATACGTTCGTACCTTATCGTACCTATACATTTCGCTCTACACCTCGTCGAGTACCATGGCTCCTCGTAGATATAGAAAGGGGACACCCCCAGCACGGCAGCCCCAGACCGCAGAGACGAACAAACCAGTCAGCGAGGTCAAGACGCTGGAAGCTCTAGGAGCCGAGCTCCAGCAGTAAATCGCCGGGTTTCAAATCAAGGTACCAGAGACAAATGAACCAGTCAGCGAGGTCAAGACGCTGGGAGCTCTAGGAGCCGAGCTCGAGCAGCAAATCGCCGAGTTTCATATCGAAGACGAGGTTGACGATAACGGAAAAGTCAAGGACGACGACCAGTGCGATATTGACGATACGTACGATTTTATCGACTTTATTAAGGCGAAGCAGGAGAATAATGGCGAGTTTATGAGTCAATTGACAAAAGACTCGAAAGTATAGGCGACGCGGTCGACAACCTCGTCGAAGCCGGAGATCCCAACCACATACCGGACAAGGCCGCCAATTTGGGAGACGACATCGCAAGCCTCAGAGCGCAACTCGGAGTGGCCATAGACGAGATCTAGACTTTTAAAGCGTAACTAAGAGTAGCCAAGGACTTTATCGCAAAGAGAAAGCTCGACTATATCGAGTACGAAAAGCGGACACGGAAGAAGCTGAAGGAGCTTGAGGAGCTTGAGGAGCAGGAGCAGCGGGAGCAGCAGGAGCAGGAGCAGCAGGAAGCATCGTATAATTGATGATCGATGGCCATGAAGGCCTCGATATTCGGGTTTACTTCAACACCATGTCGATCATCATCAAGATGTCGCAAGATAAGCTATACGTGGGTCCACCAATTTGCCTACCCAAGAGAGACACCACAGCCTAGCTTAGCATTCCTTCTTCACTCTCATTTCATATTCACTTCTCAGTTCAGAGGCCCTTTGGTGCATCACACTATAAGTAACGTCACGTAGCTGGTAATTCCTCGAGTGCGGGGATCAAGACTAGACTGATAAGTTGCTGCTGATCCGGGCTAGAAACAGAACGGTTACGCACCTGCTAAATTACTCTGAATCCAGACCTTTGCGCATCAAGACTGACAACTCAGCAACGCCTAACTAGCCTACTTTACACGCTCAAATTCAGCCTATTTGAGCCGGATATTAATCATCTTGATATAATTTGTTTCTTTTTTTTTCTTTTTTTGTTATCTTTTTTACTTTTGAAAGCTTCGCTTCTTCCTACGGCCCTATATCACTCCTAACTTGGGCCGTCAGGGTATTTTATTATAGCCAAGCTGTTCATCACTTCGAGTCCTGCCTGATATACCTACCCGGGTACCTAAGGTATCTGGGTATCCCTGAGCTCCTGTAAGGTATTCGTAGAAGGGCAATGGGCCCCGGGGCACCAGATCTGGTCACGCGCGGGGGTAAAGGGGGAAAGTAGGAAGACTAACAGGCATAATCTCTTCATCACGGCCATGACAACGATAAGGGCCGCGAACGACACTAACCCGAGCGCGACGTTGCTGTCGGCGTTGCCAGACCTCAGGGCCCGCATACGCCGGCAGCCTAAGCGATATCATAAAACTTCGGAAGCAAGGACTCTACCCAGCTAAACTTCGGGACAACGGATTTACAGCTATTCTAGCCCCTCAATACCAGAACAAATTTTCATGATAATTCCATGTTTCGATGTTCATGGTCTAATCGTTAGATTTCTAGGGGGCAAGCCCCCTAGGACCCCTAGTGCCTGCGATGCTCTTAGCCTGCGGCGCTTAGGGCCTGCGGCACTTTCCTTCATACTCAGTACAGCTTACGCGTTATATCTACTAATTAGGAAATTGCTCCTTCCTAGCACTACCACGACACAGCAAAGCAGCATTTCACGGCTTAACCTGTCCGAGGGTCATCCGATCGACCAGTCCCTCGAGTCCATTTCGACAAGGACGCAAACTGGCCAATCGCTGTGCGAGAAACTTTCGGCACCCTCACGGTAATATAGATTACAGCCTCTCTACGCCACCTCCGGCTCGCAAGCTCGCCTACGGTGGCTCCGTTCAGCTGAATAAGCATAAACAAAGAACGGTTTCCGCTGTCTATTCCAAGTCAAAATTATTCAAGAAACAATCTTCCGAGTACGGAGCACGAGGACCGAATATCCCGGAGATATACCTTCCAGATTAACCAGTGCCAGGCCCAACTTCTGACACTTAAAAGATCCAGCACATTTGCTTATGCTTTTCTTCGAGCTGATTAATGGCATCGACCTCGCTGTCGTCATCGTTGCCGTCGTCATCGTTGCCGTCGCCGTCCTCGATGCCGTCGCCGTCCTCGACAAGGCGGGCCAGTCTACTAAAATTTGATACGCATGCCGCGCGGTGCTAGAGTCAGAGGCTCCTCTGAACCAGGAGGTCAGTTCTGAATTTTCTCCCGCCGTGCCACGAAGCTCAATCTCTGTAATGGTCGTAGGGTCACCGTCCCAGGCAGGCATCAACTGCACCGAAAAGTCTAGGGAATTCTTGACATCCTTTAAAAGATCAATTAAGACCTCCATGATGCGATGGCGGCGCCCCAGAGACTTCGGCTCTCGGGTCCAGTAGTGCCTCCGACATAACTTTAGCTCGAGACCACTGTCGCGGGGCCGCGTCAGACTTTCTGTCGGCATTGCCGAAATATCACAGTGCAGGTCATGGACTTCGCGAATAAACTCCCTGGGGTCGCTCTGTGATTTTGGCTGGAACTCTCCTTCTTGCGGCGGGGGAAGCGTGACGAGCCGCATCATGGAGTAGGTTTGGCAGACCATGTCGGCCAACGTAGCGACCATCATGGGACCCAAGTGGGCTGTGTTGCCATCGCCCATGGAGCGAATGGCATGGTCCCAAAGAGCCGCCGCAGAATCGAAAGAGTATTTTGTACCATTGAGTACCTGAATATCCGAGACGCTGAGGTTTGTGAGATTGATGTTGTGTTTCTTGAACAAGTCCTCCAACATGGTTCGATACTCCACAGATAGCACCTCCAGAACAGCACCCAATGACTGGATAACGGCCTCTTCACCTTCCACGAGCTTAGTGGCTTGAGCTAGAGACGAAGTGACCCCAAGGGGCCTCTCCCAACTCAGGGATGGGCAGTAACACCGCTGGGCCCATGTTTCCAGCTTTGCCAGCGCGTCATCAAGAGGTGGTTCGTTGTCTTGTGAATCATCAAGTCTAAGCGTTCCAAAACGCATGGCCGTGGAGAAGGTGTATTTTCCCTGCAATGCGAGAAGCGCGAACCCCTGGAGGGCTCGGAAAATTTTCATTCCCGGCTTGTCGTTCGCTGATGGCAGGGCTGAATCTAATTGGCCCATGATAATAACCCTTTGCTACTCCTGCTTGACGCTTCTATCCTCGTCTAGAGCGGCCTCGTTTACGCTTGTTACAGATCTAGCAATGAGCTCCAGCGCAGCAACCACAGCTCGATGCGCCCACAGTTTCCTCACACCTGGGAGAGATGGCCGGTTGAGCATGTCCATCAGCTGTTCATCGCGGTAATGCATGTTGAATAGTTGGTCAAGTTCTCGCGAGGCTTCCCGAAGCGTCATCTCGAGGTGAGCGATTGACTCGAGATTGAGCCCCTTGCTCATGCACTGGAGAATAGTGTCAGAATCAATGTTCCCGATAGCTGCGAAGAGCGAATCAACAGCGGCATCCATCTCGTGAAAGCCAGGCCCGGTGACGACATTGACACTGACCCCAGATCCCAGTTGCGGAAACACGTCGAGCCATGCGCCGAATCCAGTCTTGTTCACTGACATGACCAGTGCATTTGCCAGGTCAAAGCGCCGCATCTCCCACACGAACCCGTTGGCGACAAGTATGTTGTGGAAGGTTGCATTTCACGCTCAGTCTTGCCAAGAGCTTCATGGTTTCGGCAAAGCCCCGAGAGCACCCAGGGCCTTCTTGGAGCATCATCGTTGGGTGGTCAGCTGATATCGACCTTGAAATTGCATAGCAGCATTGCTCCACGGCTTTTTCGTCAGAGACAGCATCGAAAAGAATCTCCAGGATGCTGGCGGCATGTAACTCTGCTGCGACGCCGATAGGAGAGATTCCGTTGGCTGTTCCAACCGTTGGGTCTACCCCAATCTCGACGAGAACCTGGACGGCCGCCGCGTTTCTCTGTATCACGGCGTATCCCAAACGTCAACCGGAGTCTTTACCGCATGCGCTCGCAGAGAATATAGGCAGCTCTCCGTAGTTTGAGCAGTCCAGAGTCTGGTATCTCTCGTAGTAGTTCTGACACGTCTCGTTCTTGCACACCGGCCAGACGTTTCCCAGCGCGTCGATGCCGTTGTCCAGCTCTTACGGTCTGGGCCCACCGCGTGGAGCCAGTGGTGGTTCGGGTGGTTGATACGGCGTATTTTCTCGCCTCTGGGAGTGAATCTCGGGCAGAGAGGAATATCACGGGTGTAGCGCGTTACGATGCATTGTTGCTGCTGGTCCTTTGTCGGGCTCGGAGTAGCGCTGGTCTCGGCTTCGCAGCGTTTGACCTGAACCCTTGACCGCAACTCCGGGCAGGGGCAGTAGAGCGGAGGCGAGCAGCAGGGCCTCCTCCCACGCGGAACAATGTTGCATCTCGGTCTTGCACGACACGTTATCCATCTGGAGGCAGCGTTTGCAAGCGATTTTGCCCAGCGGGTTCAAACTACGACGCTCTTTCTCCTTGCCGGGGTCGTTCGAGAGTGTCACCACGGACTTGCCTGCTTCATAGTTGAGGCATGTGCACCACTGTCCAAAGCATCTCATCTCCGAGACATAGGAATAGTGCTTCTTGTTTGGCTCAGGATCTAATGTAAGAAAGCGTGCGCTAAGACGGCGGTGGAGATCAAACATGGCGCGCATGTCCCTCGAGTCGAAGTGGCCGTTCTCGTCAACGTCCATAACTGCGTGAGCCGACCATGTCATGCGCGAACTGAGGTCGTCGGGTCCGTAAAAAGAGCCCTTGAGCTTTATCTTGGGCATGATAGGCTCGTTTTTAAGTCCTTTGTCCCGTAGGGACACATCCGGTGGTCCTGGTGATCACAGCGAGCAATCTCAACAACCAGCTCGTCGAAACCCCAAACCTTCTTGAGGGTTGGCTCTACATCAAGCACCCACGAGATAGACTGGTGCTCGCACAGTCTCAATTTGCCCTCGCGACCGATGCAGACACGGTCATCCCCTCTGGCTTTCTGCGCGGCGGAAAACTCCCGTGGGTCGTGATGGCAATCGCAGCCGGCGCAGTATAGTTGATCATTCTTGCTGCTGCGGCTATCTGTGTGGTGTAAGAAACTCGGTCAGATTCCATCTCTAGGAATGGCAGTGATATACTCACAGTTCGGGTCTTCATCCTCCAATGGGTGTCTATTTCGGGCTATGATAGGCGATTTGCGACTTCTACATAGAAATATTCCGTTTGTGTTTTGCTTTCGCTAACTAGTCACCGTTGTATTTGGCATTCGTCACCGAAAAAAGGATGATGAATTTTTTGAAGGGTGTTCTACTTGGCAGGCAAGGCAGGTACAAGGCAGGTGCTGGTGTCAGGAACTAGCTGCCCCACAACTGCAAGGACTTGAGACAAAATTTCGCGATGGAAGGCGCCCGGCGAAGCAGTTGGCGCCTTGAGTGGGAAGGAACCTCAATACATCTTTGCTAATTAGCAGTTGCAGCTGTCGGTATGAAACACTGAGAGATAAGTCTCTTCCCGCCCATTCACTCATTCATGTTTTCTACACGGAACAGGTGAGCGTGTAGAGATGTTCTGAGGGTCACAGCCCATTAAATTAAAAGGTCGCTATATAACAACACACATGTGTCTCTAGAAACCCAATGCCAGAGAAGAAGGCATGAAAGCCGTATATATAGTAGGGAGGGGGAGGGTATCAGAGAAACGGATGACTCCCATCCAATAAAATCCTTGCCTCAGACGAATCATATACCCAAAATCCCACCCAAAGTGTTGCTGTACCCTATTTCCCACTTTGGCCATTTGTTTTTCCATTTGATATCCATCCTCAATTTCCCCATTAAAACTCCAAAAAGAAAAGAGTTGCCAGAGCATTGCTTCAGCTACCCGCGCAAACAGCAACTGTCGTCTCAGCAATCAGGCAAAAACAAAGTTTAGAAGGACAGCTCGGGCCGTTCCTCCGAAGTGTCCCAGGGCGGAACATGGAAGGATGACTCCTCTCCTTGCGTCCCGCGATAGTGGTCTGCCCTGGCTCTCTTCCGGGCAGGAGATGATTCGCTAGTCTTTTGATTCTGCCTCGGGCGCTGCCTCGGCAGTCTATGTGAACGCGGCACTGTCTCACCAGGGACGTTTTCAGCTCGCCGCATGTCACTGCAAACGCGGAGAAGAATCTTCACATCAGCTGATTGTACGGCAGGAGATGAAAGCGCAGAGACGCACATTGACTTCTTGACGACTCCGGGGTCATACGAGCAAGCGTTGTCACAGTCACAGTCCATATCGACTGCAATTTCGCTCCCTTGTTGGTCGTGGCTCTGCCTTCTCTCGGAAGTTGGGAGGGCCTCGGGAGGATCAGCCGGATCGGAATGGGTAGTACGAGTCCCGTTCAAGGAAATTGACGAGAGTGGCGTCTTTGGCTGATCTGGTGCGGCTCCCATGTGTTGCGGCAAATCTGGTTCTTGCGAGCCCAACTGCTGGAGCTGATGAGAAAAAGTCTGAGGTTGCTGCTCAAGAACAACGGCGAGCCACTCGTGGTGCTGCTCGACTGCCAGATACCGGCTCATGGGACTCCTGTCCGTCGTGGCCGGCGGTGACGGGCTGTCGGTCTGATGTTGGTCTAAGGTCTGGGTCTGGGTCTGGGGCTGGGGCTGGGGCTGGGTCTGGGTCGGAGCAAGCACGACATGGCCGGGAACCAAGACGAGGACATTGTCGGGACGAACAAGGAAGGCGGGCTCAGTGGCTAGGTTGTTGTGGTTGATGAACGGAGCAATATTCTCCGTCGAAGTGCTCACGGCGACAGACCCCGGACCAGATCCTGGGCAGGGCAGGTAATCTTGGTACGGCAGTGCGCATCGAACACCTACTGCCATGGAGAAGGCGATCTCCTCATGGCGCTCCGCGTTCCTCGTAAATCGATCCAGGGGAGCAATGGTGATGGGAATGGACGTCCGGTTTGCGACGGCCAAGGCCCCCAAAGTGGCAGTGAATGGGCCGTCGACGGCAGTGGCCAATTGAGCGTCTAATTCTTCGGGAACTGGCTGGGCTGAGACGGATGGGGACGGCAACCCAGGCCCAGCAAATGGCGTGAGCGGGTTTCTGGACGAGAACCATGGAGGACGTGTTACGCTGTACGAGATGTAGCTGTCAGAGGCGGCGTCGTGTCGCGACAAGGGCGAGGGAGGAACCAACCATTCTTCGTCAACGTAGACAGACGAGAAGCTGACGACGGACGAGGGTGAAGAACCTCGCCTTCGGCGCGCCGTCTCATGGACAATGACGATGTCGCGACCGTCAGCGATGCTGAAGAAGTCGATCGGGTCAAAGATAGCCATTGTGTGCGCTGGGCGAGGGCTGTACGAGGAGGTAGTTGGCGAGTAGTTGGATGGCGGACAGGATTAGACGAAAGGCTGCGCAGGAGGTGATGGGGCGGCAGCTTCGAGATGGTCCTCAACTAGTAGTCGAGAGGAGACCGACACCATCTAGAGACAGGAGAGGTCAAGGCGCCGAGATAGGGACGCCGGTCCTCTTGTAGAGTCTATTCCTTCGCGACATTCGGCGAGATTGGCGCGTCTTGGCTCAGGACAAGAGTGGCAGCCGTCCCAGCAGAACGGTTCGGGCTGCGCAAGGGAGAAAGGCGACCCAGACTGCTGGGAACGGAAAAAGGAAGGCAGACTCGGAAAGAGAGAGACGGGAGGGAACGGGATGCAAGATGAGTTTTGCGTAACGCAGGTCGCAGGGGGGCAGCGACGGCTACGGCCTAGTGTCTACTGGGGGGGTTGAACCAAGAGCCCGGGACTTGACTGTTGTCCTATGCGAGAGGGGCACGGGCAATCACTCGGAATTCGAAAAGAAATACAATCGGTTGCTTGGGAGTCAAGACCAAGAGCTTGAGGCGACCGAGAAGGCGACGGCAGTCAAGCACTGACTTGACCTCTAGAGGGGGGGGGAAAGAAAGGCGATGAGAACTTGAGAAGAGCTCTAAGGACAAGGAAGGAAGCGTCGTGTCGTGGACTCGGTGGTTCGCACCAGATTCTGTGGTTCGCAACTTCCACTTTTTTTCCACCGCCTGGGCCGGGCTTGCCAAGTTCGTGCTGTGACCCATGCGCGTGTGTACTTTGCTTTTTTTCGGCTTGTCGGGGAGCAGACCTGGACGACGTGAGCAAAAAAAAAAAAAAAAGCAAAGCTCCCAACCCAGGGCTGCTCCACTGCCCCCGATCCGCGATTTCCTGATCCAGACCAGGAGCATAAGGGGGGGGCAGCAATTGGGGAGCTGGACATGGGTGTGGCCCGCGCTGGGGGGGCGGCTCTTCGTTCACTGGCCAGTCAAGAGACGCGGGGACCGGGGAGCGTTCCCTGCCTGCAGGATGGGGTAGGACAGGACCCAAACTGAGAAAAGCGCTCAATGGGACGACATGAAATCTGCCCAATGGTGCAGCCCCGCGGCAGGCAGTGGCTGCGGCGCGACACGGGTCGTTTCGTTGCCCGAAAGCTGCCCTTTCAAGCCTGTTTCCAAGTTGCCATGGCTCGAGCCACCCTGGTTTGCTGCGCGACCAGAGACCCGCCCGACCATGCTCCTTCCGACATGGTATGGGCAGTCTGGCTGGGCCGAGGGCCGTGGGCCGTGGGCCGTGCCTCGCTAGGCTGCTTACACTGCTGGCGCCCCGACAGTTTGGGTCGAGGCTTTGATCACATCTTCAGACGCACGGAATTGCATCGCGAAATGGAACAAACTGCAACCCCAATGGACTGAAGTGGACCACATCACCGTTCCTGCCATCATTATTCTCGCACGATGCATGCACATCACCATACGCTAGTCAAGTGCAGCAGTTTGCAAAGTGCTTAAGTCGTCCACGCCCCTGACTCGCGGATCGTCAGCTGGCCCTCCTCGGCATCAGTCACTACGTACTGTACCAGCGGAGAGAAAGAGTGCCTGGGAATTCTCACACACGCTCAGTGAGTGCCGAGAAAGCAAACTTCATGTTTCCAGGCGAGAATCAGAAGGAGCAGTCCGTGCAGGGCCTCCTTCCCTTTTCAATACTTCCCGTCTCGGCGGTGCTGTGCTGACCGGGCCAGCCAAGCCCCCCACTCTACTCAGTTTCAAGTCCTGCAGCTAATAATTCGAGTCGTCCTTTTTTAGAAACAAAAATCCACAGCACATATCATAGTCAATGCAGTCTTGATCCTCCCGTGGCTCTACCCACTCGTACTTGCCCGCTCGGATAAGGTAAACTTGAACTGGAAGTTTTGGGTCTTCTGATGAGGGGCAATGAAGCTGCAGCTGTGGAGGATCCAGCACTGCCACTGGCCAAACTGCCAGAGTCGCATGTGAAGTCTTCACCGTGCAGAAATCCTGCCAAACCCCCGCTCAGGACGGCCCAAAATCCACCAATGCAATCAACAGAAAGACTGCCGACCGACCCATTATTGGAACCACATAGCTGATTAGCCTGCAGGAGCTCACTTCTTCTCCGTGCTTGCTCGAGGCGGTGTGTTCGGCTCAGGCCCCCCGTTCCAGTCTACCGGTACCCACGCATCCATCACCACGCAGCTAATAATACCTGTACCAGCAGGTCGGGACGCCCAGCACAATCCAAGCTTGGCCGAAGCCTAGGCCGCTATCCGTGGTGGTACCGCACTGTCGGGACGACGGGCAAGGAGGCGTAAGCCGCTTGGTGCACTCCGCGTGTCACCGCAGCCCAGGCAACAGCCAGGAAATGCGAACCAGGCTGTCGGGTCTGCGAACATTGACTCTGTCCCCTCCCCCTTTCTGTTCCCGCCCATACCTGGCACAAGCACGAAGAGATGAGACCCCACCGCCATCCACTCCGTCGGGTTGAGTGGGTCAGGGCTTGCTCCTTGCTGCAGATAATATTTGACATGCGAGTGACCCGTTGGGGGTACGTCTTGAGCAAGCAAGAACGGGAGGGGTGATATAGCGGCATTCGAGAGCACTCAACGAGCTCCGCTTGTGACATCCCTCGTCTCTTTCTGGCACTCGTCTCGCAGCTCGATGTGGCTTTAGCTGGGAACCAGATGCCGTCAAGCACCATCTCAGGGAACCGCTTTCCACTCGAATATTTTGACCCCGAGCCGGATGATTGCCTTGCCTATCACGGAGGGCGGAGAGCGCTCTTAGGATCGGACACCCAAGCTCCGAAGTATTGGGTGGATCTGCAGTCTGCAAGGATCATCTTTCCCAAAAGCCCTCTGCCCACCATCCTCCACATGCGCCGTGCTACGCCTGCGGAGTACGTGGCCTCGACATGCAGGTCTTCCTGCTCCGGCCTCCCACACCATTTCACCACCTCCACACCTCCCTCCACACCACTAATCGGAGTGTGACACTACTGTGATTGAGGTAGGTAGATATCCTCCTCTCCGTAGGGTAGCCTGGCGCCTGATGGCTCCCGTTAACATTGGGACGAGTGCTTCTGTCACATGGAACTTGGAAGCGTGCCTAGCGGCGAGGTAGCACTCGGAGCTTTCTACCCTTGTGGACTATGAAGGCCTTGAGTCCCGTGGGCAATATTTCAAGCTCTTGTTCATCACGCCAAGACGCCCACAGGTACGTAAATAAATGACTGCTTGCTAAGCAACACACCGAGCTGCCATGTTCTGTTGGCTGCTGTCCTGGCTCGGGCAGATGATACAGTGTAGCAACAGTTGGGTCGGTACTGGCGCTCTGCAACCCTGTGACGGCGAGGTTCGGCACACCGCGTCTCCTAATCAGTCATTGATCATTTACTTTGCACCGCCTCGACAGCAAAAAGATGATGTGATCAGCAAGAGCCGTGCCGTCACATTCCACGCTCATATTCTGATCAACGTGACTGGGCCTGAGTCTGGGTCGGAGACGAAACGCAAGACGTGTTAGAAAAGCCGTGCCACGTTTATTGTTCAACGCTCATAAACCCATGATAAAGTGATAGGGTGTGTCAGAAGTACTGCACTGCATGTGATATGGAGAGAAAAAGATGTACATTGATTGATGTTTTATCTTTTGTGGCACGCCAGACACCTTATTCTTATACTTGTTGTTTAGTGTCACCGAGGTGGCCGTAATGGTCGCCGAGGCGGCCGTCGATGGTCACCGAAGCGGCCGTCGATGGTCACCGAAGCGGCCGTTGATGGTCACCGAGGCGGCCGTCAATGGTCACCGGAATGGCCTTCTTTCTGACAGGGTGATCATTTCTAAGCCGTTGTGAGAAACGACACGCCGAGATAGTACATTTGCTCGAGGTTACCCCTATCACGTTCGTGCTCGGTCTCTTTCCACCAAATTTCCATAAATGTCTACAATAATTGCCTAATTAACGAAATGAAGGACAATGACAACCCAACCACCCGTTCTTTCGGGGTGCTCTGAGCTCAAGTGTAATTTGGCTACTACTGCCGCCTGCCTTGCTCTAGGACACGCACTAGGCAGTCTTTCGACAAGCTAGTCTAGACTAGCTGCCCCGGCAACAAGCAGAACAAATCCACACACCTATAGGTGCAGAGACAAAGCACAGCACATTGCTATCCCAGTACAGACTAGTGACCATAAAGTGTGGAAAAACAAGTCCGCAAATTGAGCAGAGGTAATATTTGCCAAAATACAATCGATTGATTATCATTAACACAAGTATCACAGCTCGATGACCCATTTGGTATATCACGTGATAACAGAAACATTCTCGATTAATACCCCTTATCTTTCATGACGCCGCTGAAGGTAAAAGCTTTTACCAAGAACAAGGAATACACACCCGCATGACTACTTCGCTAACGCGAGGAGTATCCCTTTCTGCCAAGGTAGTTGAAGCAGGTTCTCGGATGGTTTAGCCTGCAAGTATTGCGTCAACGGCGGTTTCTTCAACCAAGTAATGATACGAAAATATAGACACAGAAGGAAACGGGGTTAGGACCCACCGCCACAGCCGCCCCCGCAACCTCCACCGCACCCGCCTCCGCCTCCGCAGCCTCCACCACCCCCGCCCCCGCAACCGCCCGATCCGCCGGCTCCATCTCCACCGCAGCCCTACAGTAGAGAAACGTGGTTAGTAAACATGCGCGCTTGTTAACAGTCGGACCCGACGGCAGGAATGTAAACTTACCCCTGCCCCACCACAAGCTCCTGCCGCGACGCCGCCGCCGCACGTGCCCGCCGCGCAGCTGCCCCAGCCGGCACCACCGGCGCAGGCCGCGACGTACGCGGGATACCAGCCATAGTAGAGGCCGGGGGTCCACCAAAGTGGGTACATGTAGGGGCCGTAGTAAGCGTAGGGGTACCCCCAATGATCGTAGTATTCATCCCGGGGTGGGATGCGGCGGCCCTTCTTTGCAGCACGGGCCTGGGCTTTAGCGTAGGCGGCATCGAGGCGCCGCTGCTGTAGCGCGGCGAGCTGCGCCTGAACACGCTGGCGCGCCGCGCTCACCGGGCCTTGGAGGCGCGGGTCCGTCATGGCCCGCACCGAGTTGTGCGCCGAAATGTGTGCCGAGTTTTCAGGCGGGCAGAACTGCGCAGCGCCGGACGTGTGGAAGTTCTCGGCCACTGCGCGAGACAAGCGGGAACAACATGGGTTAGCGGGGCCGAAGCCAGATATATATATGATGTGGCGGGCAAAAGAGGCTGGGAGACATACGCTTCTCTTGCTTGGACATGCCTAGGACTTTGCCCACCGGGTTTATGTGAGAAGATCGAATAGCTTCAGGGATTCGCAGGAACTGTTAGCACAAGGCAGATGATAGCCGGACAAGCGAACCCTCTTACACTCGCAGTACCAACACGTGCACTCGCTGTACACCTCGCCGAACCGGTCCTGGTACTCCTTGCTTGTCCACTCAAACTGGAGGTTGAGCGTGTTCTCGTCGATCTTGTCGTCGTGGTCGGTGAATTTCTTGACCCGGTTGGTGGTGAAGTGGTAGTACATGCTTGGGCTGAGCTGGTGTGTGTGCCAGGCGAGATCGACGTCGAGCGTGGGCACCGCAACGCGGCCGGGGTTGGCGCGCATGATCTGGGTGAAGCGGTCGTACTTGACGAGCAGCCGCGCCATAGTGTCTGTGGCCGCGGGACTGTGCAGCCAGTCCAGCTTGTACATTTTCTCAATGAAGATACCCTGGCGCATAACACCCCCGGAGAGATCGAGGGCAAAGTGGCCGAAGTTTTCCCAGTACCGAGACATCATCTTGCGGACACAAATGCGCGCAACCGGGCTCAGAGGACCATTTCTCGAAATGGCTCCCGGCCTGTCCAGCCCGTCAACCTCTCTCAGCCACTGCCTATTCCCAAAGACCTTCTCAATCTCTTTTCGGATATCCTCGATGGTGGGGTCTGGGTACGTGTATGAGGTAATGAGGCTGGTGACGCGTGTCCTGATGGAATTGCAGCCGCTCTTCAGAAGACGGTTAGGGAATGTGCGAGGCAAAACCGAGCGCAAACTCTCGAGCACCGGCGGGGGCTCAGGCATGCCCGATTTTGGATCCAGCAGAGTTCCCGGCATTGGCCGATTTTCTGGACCGAGCAGGGCCTGCGTGTCTCGAACAAACTTGGCGGCTGCGAGTAGCTCCTTACGGATGTTGATACCGCAACCCGAGCATAAATATTGGAGATTCCCGTCGCCGTAGCCGTTCCCGATGAGCCCGGGATCCTCGCCGCCGGGTTTATGATCCTCGGGAAGACCGCAGGTCGTCCATGGGATCTGGAGCCACGTGTTGCAGCGGGGACATCGCAGGTTCTTGATCAGAGGATCGTCTGCGTTTTCCCAAGAAAGACCCGTCCCGGCGGCCCAATAAGCCTTGCAGTCGTCAGAGACTTTGTACGCAAAGTTGGAGTCGATGGCCTTGTTAACGGTTTCCCAGGGCATTCCAGATGTCCACAGGGACCTCAGCCCGGCGAGCATGGCGTCTTCGAGGAACGCTCGAGGGTTGAGCATGTGCGTGTGCCAAACCATGAGCACATCTGTCCAGGGTTAGGGTTAACAGCGCAAAAGAGGTTCTCGAGAGGACTGCTTACCAAGTGGGAGCATCGACTTCTCGCTCCATTCCGTGAGGGCGATGGGACTGCTCGGGAATTTTTCGTACGAATCTGAGCCGGCGATGTCCATGTCCCGCTCCGTCAGCGGCTTTCCTCGGAGCGACTTCCACCATACTTCATAACGTTCGACGGCGCGCGCGACGAACAAGGCCCAGCGCTTCTCGCGGACTTGGCTCAGAAGCTCGAGCTGCTTGTTTCGCGCCAGCTGCTCTGGAGTCGGCTGCGCGTCAGCGGAGGCGGCCGCTGCGGCGGCACCCTTCTTTTCGGTGCTCACTGCCAGAGGGTCGAGCGGTCCGACGCGTGAATCCCACAAGCCCCAGAGACCGTCCGTGTAGCCGACATCCTCCTTCATGGACTGGATGGCAAACAGCAGCTTCAAGTGGGCGAGGCAAGTTGGGACGGTGGGATTGGCGGGGGTGTCGGACAGGTTCAGCTTCTCAAAGGCGGCTTCCAGGTTGACGGGCTCGTCGACGGGCGGCACTGCCAGGTCCGACGGCGCCAGACCGTCCGCTAGCTGCGCGTCGTTGGAGATGGCATTGTATGCCGGCGGGGCGTCGACTGGGCCGTTGACTGGGCCGTCGCCGCTGAGCTTCTTGAACAGCGACAACCGTTTCGACATGATGGGTAGACGGAGGTTGCTTGGCTGCAGTGAGTGATGCAACAGCGCGCTGGGCCGGTTGGAAGCGGGGTCGGGTCAGGGGAGTGCGGGGATCGAATTGACTTTAATGGATGTCGAGTCTTAATTCCGAGCGGGACGCCCTGCACCGAGTACGGATTACACTACGGTGGAGTCCCCACTGCACTGTCTGCGCCTGCCTGCCGCTGGGGCTTTCTGTTCTCGAATACGGTAACTTACCTAACTTGGAAGGCAGCGAAGGCCGCAGGCGACCTGGAAGAGCCCGTCTCATCTAATACGCATGGATACCCGTACGCAGGAGCGCTTTGCTGCCAGGCTAGGAGCAATCATCCATCTCCACTGACAGGGTCTTTTGCTTGCGTCAGACGGTCGTTTTTGGCCACCGAGAGCTCGCTGCCAAACCCCACTGCCTGGTTTAGCTGGTGGTGGGGCAACAACCAAAGGCTGATTCCGCACAGCCTATCTCGCCCATCTCGGTATCGCATTAGTGACCGGATCGACCCGAATGCTCAGCGCGAAAGAAGCTTTCTCCAAGCTTTTCTTCCCGCCTCGCCAATGGGAACGGCGCAGGCGGGCACGCGACAAGGACGACAGTGCATTTTCGTCCGACCCCTCCACTAAGCGAGGCGATGCGGGGCCAAGTCTGCGGGCTCGATGCACTGCCTCTCAATTTGTGGTCTAGGTGTGTTTGACAACGGAGTGACATCGAGGGATCCCTGGGCCTGGAAATTGACCTGCGTTGCACTGGAGATAACCTGAGTAGGTCGTCGATGCCACAAAGCGAGGCTACCTGGCTGATTGGCATCTCGGATGGATGCACACGGCATACGTATACCTTATTCTGTGCTAGACCTAGGCAAGGAAGTTCAAGCGAGTGCACTACGCAAGCCGGAGTACTTCGTCGGGTGCGTTGGCTATTTGAGAGGCTTTCGCGACGCTTTCCCTAAGAGGAACCGGAAAGGTCGCAATGATTACGTTGCCGGTAAAAGTTTGCCTCCATCCGCCTTTAGCACTCCTCGTTGCGGAGCACTTGCAGGCTTCTTATTCTTGGCGCTAGACCAAGACGAGATGGGCGTTGAATCAAAGGTTAGAACTTTTCGCGAATTTGAAATAAACAAATGGGTTTCATAATTAGAAGCAAATAAATAGAGCCCAAACTCCAGGAATCCAGTTAAAACGGGTATATGGACAAAATAAAGGGGGGGTATATATGGCGTAAACACGTGGCTCGCGAGTGCCGTCATGGCGTCGTTCCCACGGACTGGTCCTTCTTCGAGAGCAGCCCGCGCCACCTCGCCGTCAGCCCAGCCGTCTTGTTATGATCCGCCCTCTTCGGAGAGGCATCCGCCTTCTCCGGCTTCGCCGACAGCCGGCCCGGGCTCGACGGCGAGGGCGCCTGTTCCTGCCCGGCCCCCACCGTAGCCGACTTGCGCTTGGCCATCTCCTTGGCCCTCAGTGCGAGTGCGGCCGGCATGGCGGGCGCCATGGGCGATAGGCTGAGTAGGTACTCGGCGTCCAGCATGTCGAACCTCGACCTTATAATCTCCTTAGCCTCCGGCAGGCGGTTGAGCGGCGCGCCCTTGGCAATCATGGCGCCCAGCACGGCCTTGGCGCCCGCGTACTCGAGCCCCAGCTCGTCCTTCCACACGGCGCGCAGCGGCCGCTTCTTCAGCTCGCCTAGGAACATCTCGAACGGCGTGCTCTCGTTGCGCGCTGGCCGCGCGCTCGGCGACGCCCCCTGCTCGAGCAGCAACTGCACGAACTCGACTGAAATGCTCCACCAGTGGTACGGCGCTGCGTTGAAGGGGAGGATGACAAGGCTTAGAAGCGGGCTTTCGTTCTTGGAGATTTCTGCTTTCAAGCGCTCGTCGGGTTCCAGATTCAGCAGCGCGGTCGCGTACAAGTAGATGCCGCGGCTGAGGGCCAGCGCGAACAGCGACGCGGGGCGCAGATTATGCTTGTGCGGGTCAGCTGGGCGCATCCAGTCGAGCTTGGCCAGGGCGGCCTCGGCGGCCTTCATCAGGGCCATCGGCGGCGCCGTGTTCTGTTCCTGCTCGATCCGCCACGCGAAGTACGCGAAGCTCTCGACGTAGTTGGCGATGCTCGGGGCACGGATGATTTCCGACGAGCGAAGCAGGACCAAGAACGCCTGGTTGAGGCGCGTGGCGGGAGAAAAGTCGGCGCGGCACCGCCCGCGAAGCATGGTGTTGACGTCGCCTGTGAGCAAAAAGTCGCGCACTGTGCGGTGTAGGAACTCGGCGCGCATCTGCACGTGTCGGAACTGCGGCGGAACTGGGTCACCGTTGTTATGAGACCTGATCACTTCGATGAGGCCCTTGGTTCGCGCGTCGAGCCGGCGCGCCATCTTGTCCTTCCACGGACCGGGCAAGCCCAGATCGCGTGCCGTGAGCGACATGGACAGCAGCTTTGACGGGCTGTCGTCGATGTTGTCCAGGATGTGGTAGATGGGCAGCGGCAGCGACTCGGGCGCGTAAGCTGCTAGAAGGAACACTTCGGACGACTGCTGTCGGTAGAAGGGGTCGACCGAGTCGAGGATGTGCTGGAAAAAGGTTTCCAGGTCTGGCGGGAGCGTGTCGAGCCGCTTTTGGAGGTCCGAGACGCGGTCGGCATAGGTTAGGCCATCCCGCAACGACCGGACCACGAGAAAGACCCAGAGGAACACGCCGTGCGCCCTCCCGACAACGTCATCGACGAGGGTCTTGTACTCTGGGTCGTAGTGGTGCTTGAGGAACTGAGGGTGCTTGTCGAAGTTGTCCTGGACGTATCTCCTGATGTCATTTTTAGTGAGATCTTCGAGCTTGAGCAGCCTGTCTTGACTCTCGCCAAATGCGTCAATGAAGCAGGTCCACGGCCGGCTGGAGCAGCAGATCTTGGCCTTGCCAAACGACACCAGTCTCCGTAGCATATCGATGAGATGGTAGTGGTCTCCTTCGTACTCGTCCAGCCCGTCGATGAAGAAGCAGAACTTCTTGGGTATCTTCTGGCTCGATACGACCTCCATGACAAGGAGTAGGTCCTCGGTGGTCCACTGGTACGAGTCTTCGGTGACGTGGGGCATGGCTTCGCAGATTTGAGGAATCACCTCGGGACAGTGCCGGAGCATCTCGAAGAGCAGAGTCCGGAACAGTCCAGTCTGTGACATCTGCAGCTTTGATCCGGAATTCCAGAAGAAGTGGTTGGCGATGACTAGTTCGTCTCTCCCGGCCCACGCTTTGAGGATAGTGCGTGTGAAGGGACTCTGGATGACAAACTTTGTGAGGGTTGATTTCCCCGAGCCCGCTTTCCCCCGGATCCAAAAGATGCCGCTGCCGCTTCTCAGCCACGAGTTGAGGGAAAGGGGCGTCCCATCCGGCATGTTGTCGCGAAAGGCCCCTTTTGATTAGGGAAATCCAAGGGTTAGTATTTTAGTAAATAAATCACTGTTGAGAAAAATTTTATCTTACAGTCAAAGGTCTGGGGGTGAGCTTCTCTGATGCCGGCCTGGCGTGCCATGATGGTGTCGAAATAGAGGGTGGATAGAAAAGCGTGCTGATCATTGCGTTGCTGTGCAGTGACGACAAGGCTAGCTACGACATTCACAAGCCTCACAACCTTTGTATCTTCGTGTAGTAAAATTGGTTGGCCTGACTCGGTCGTCTGCACGTCTGGTGACAGCGTTAGTTTCGGAGCCATGTCTGAAAGTCGTGGTTACAACCAATCGTACCCTTGATCTTGGCTATCTCTTGGCTGATGTCTTCTTTCGCTTTGGCTATTTCCAACTTGATTGCATCTCTGATGTGCTGCAGAGTTTCGGTGCGGTCGATTCTTAGCTGCAGCGTTCGTTCGTCAATCTGGCGGAGAGCTTCGTGCATCGATGATTGTTTGTTTCTTGCAATCACACGTCAGTCTAGGACTCTTTCGCACTCAAGGGACAAGCAGGAAGCGTAGACGTACGCTATCCCCCACTGCAGATGGACGACCAGAGAGGCCTGTTCCCGGCTCAGGGTGGCTACCATATCCTGGATGCGGGTCTTTTGCCAGAGAGTCTTCAGGGCGGCCCAGAAGCTCTTCCAGACCGTCTTTTCGTCCGTTTTCAACTGGTCGAGGGCGTGAAGCAACTGCTTTGCCATACTGCCGCAAGACTTTGCTATGTTGGCCACGGTTTTGTCGACCAGCCCGGCCTCTACAAGCTCAGATGCGTCGGCCACATTGCCTGCAAGGGCCTGCAACCTGGCCGCGATGGCCTCAATGGACGCATTTTCGTCGGATGCGCCCTCGGCCGACTTGTAGATGGCGGTGGTGCCGGAGATCAGCTTGAAGGTGAAGTCTGCCAACTGCGCTGCACCGCTGGCAAGCGAGAAGCTCGTGATGGGATCCATTCCGCCCGATTCTTGCCAGCGCCAGCTTTTCGACCTATTAAGACCTATTGGAGATGCGATTGAAATCAGGGAGTGAATAAACTTGGAACGGGGGGGGCTTAATTCGGATCGCAACCTGTCACGCAGATTCGGAAAGAGGCCTCAATTGAAGATGAATTATGTGAAGCACACCTCGCTCGAAGAGGAGGATGTCGGGCATGGACCGCCACGCCATCATGCCCAGTGTATGCGCCCGCGCCATGGCCAGGGCTGAGGGGCAGTGCATGTCCTGGCGCCAATGAGGGAAATGCTAATCAAGGCAGCACCGCCTCGATTGTCCAGCCATTTTAGACAACGGTCAGGTGATCTGTCTTCCCTCGCCTAGGGTTAGGGTCTATGCACCTCTCTGGAGGCCATGCCTTTGCAACAAACCCCATTCTCCTTATCGGTGGTCAACGCTGTGTGAGAAGATCCACTCGTCCATCTCTTAGTAAGCGTTTCATAACGTGCGGCTAAGCCAGACAAGACACTGCCTGGGTTGGCTCGAGGTGCTTCACTTATCCAAATTCGATATACCCTAACCCTAGGTGGGAACTTCGGTCACTCGTCGTTAAAATGGCTCTGAGATATTTGGGCAATCGAGGCGGTGCTTACTACATTTGATTTTGTCAAGGTTAGTCTTGAAGACAGCTGGTGTCTGGTTAATTAACACAAGGACGCTTGTTACAATAGCAGGAAGTGCTTTTGGGTAATGGGGGGAAAGGTGATAAAAGAAATGAAAAAATTTAGGGCCGATTAAAAGAGGGGGTGCCACGCGCGGGCCATAACTTGGGAAATACAACCTTGAACAACTTAGGTCCGCGAAGTTGACTGCCCCTTTGAGGAGCTGTGCTTAGTCTCTGTGCCCAAGCGTGTGCCGGCTTGGACATGTCGTGTCTAGCTGATCAAGTCGCGATCGATGTTGAGCGGGCTGGCTTTTCTGCGCTGGTCCAACGACAATGCGCTCTGGAGTGTGCATCGCGTATTGAAATGCCGGTGGATAAACTGTTAGGTTCGCTCTTCAGACACCATGGGGAAGGAAGTTCAAGGAGCCGATAAAACTGCCCCTGGTGCTAGTATAACTGGCTGACAAGAAGCAACCACATTGAGTTGATCAGGCACCTTGGGTCAACGAACTCTCCCTCTTTGTTATATTTATAATTACTTAAATCAAAACCTGCGGAAATGCTACTTGGAAGGTCAAAGTAAATGATGTGTCAGAAGGGAGCCATCAACTACCGAGACCGCACACTCACCAGCTAGTCATAAGCAGCCTCCTGATTGTCAGGTATTTCATGGTCCTCCAATACCACCTCTTGCGTCATGGTCTTGAATGCTTCGGCAGTTTGCACGGCGTCTCGGACTTGATTCGTCTCACCTAGCCTCGCAAGTACCAGCGCCAACTTGTAATTTGAACGGGCAATTTCGCCTTGTCGAAAAGATTTGTCTTTCCCTGATCGGTACACGTTTAGTGCGGCCACGAGAGCGTTCCTGCATCAGCGCAGTCGATTAGCGGGGACCGTGTAAGGTGTTGGGGAGTGGAGACAACGAGTACGTACCTTGCTTCATGCGCCCGGACAGGGATCTGTTTACTGTGGCATCTTTATAATCCAATCCCAGAATGTTTGTAGCGTGGTACGTCCGCACTTGGGCAGAATAAATGTGATAACGTGGCAAATACGGATCGCACCGGCCAGGAAAAGGCTTTAACAAAGGTAGCTAGGTGTTTTGATCAAGAAATAGGCCTACAGATTCCAAAATAGGGATTGTAATAGCTTTTACCTCCCTCGGCAAGGAACCTTTAGAGCGAGCCGTTTGGTATTAGGGCTATTCAAAATCTTGGAAAGTCGTCTGATAGCAAACATCCAGGGATTGGGTTGAATAGGTACGTTGATCGTGAATAAGATGCTTGCGGTGATAGTGCTGAGTTTGATAGACGAGAAAAATTTGTGTTATAATTAACATTCAACCCGCTAATTGTCCGCCGTCAACAACTAAGGTCAGAATGGGTGGGATTGAGGCAGGTGGCGACACGGACCGAACATGATGAAAGTCAACAGCCTACGTATATTTGTGCAGGTTCCCTTGAGTGCTCTTTAGATGCCACTCACAGTCATCTACATGCTAATGCTAGGCATGGAAATACCTTTCACCCTGTCCCCTTTGGTGGAGGGACAGGCATTTCAGGTTCTCCAACCCGCCGTTAGTGAGCTGGGGTAATGACATGCCCCTGTCATGTCGCGCCCCCACTCCACCCATCGTCTGGGGACATCTGTGGGGCGGCCCGAGATTGCTAAGAAGGTGGTGATGTGGGCAGTGTCGAATATGTAGGTACCTTTGTGTCAAGGTGTTGAGCGTATTTGTTCATGTCTCGAGGTGTCCAAATTGCATGGCTTGGTGGGGTGTCGTTACGTGATCTGGTTGCTTAGGTTTGGGTCTCTTGGCTGGTGGTCAAGGTTGGCTGCCTTGCCTGGGGGTAACGGTTGGTCCAGGGGCTGCCTTCCCTGGGAGTAACGGCTGACAGCTGATAGCTCAGGCTGATTGACTGTGCCAAGACTTCAACACCAAAAATTCCTAAAGCAGCTGCCACTTTCCTGGGGTCGATTTGCTGTGCCTCCTACCATGCGGCGCACCGTCAGCCCTAGGCTTGCTTTGCTAGACTGACTAGCGCCCTCCTGGTTCTTCGCATCGACCGTTTTCCCCTTTGAGACGTCTCCTCACTGAAATCTCACTGAAGCCAGTCAGCCAGCTGCACATTTGTTTTGGCGCGTGCGGCAAATGCAGGAACAGCGCAGCCCGTCGTGCTTCTGGAGGTTGCGTGGGGCCCTGGGCCTCATGACCACGTCAAAGTCGGTGAAATTGCAACCCTTCTCTGAAAGATTACTCTCTTGCCCCCAGTGGCCGGTCTGTTGGTTAAGTAGGAAATTGACCCTTTTTCAGGCATCAAAACTCATTGATTACACCACCCGTCCCACTTCCGACTCTTTGCCACCTCAGATTGCGGTGCCTTAAGCTAAGCTCGGTGAGATGAGTCGGGTTTCGGCCCTCGATGCGACCTAGCCAATACGCAGGGGGCCGATCACGATAATATAGAAGGCAGCCATGCTTTCCAGCTTTGCTCCTGTGCTGCTCGTCAGTCCAGTCTCTCTTTGATCTCGGGGCCACCATCAGCGCGCTCAGTCACTCGTTCATTTTTCTTGCTATTTTCCTCTGGAACTCGGTCCCTAAATCTCGCTCTCGTTCCCAGGATGTTGGTCTCCAAGATGCTCACCGTTGCCGGGGTTTTATTCCTACACGGCGTGGCGGCCTTCCCGTCCCCCCTGGGCCACGCCTCTGACCGGACCGCTGCCGTCACCGTCGCCGACCGCGCTGCCACCGCTGCCGCCGCCGTCACCCCGGGGTATTTCCTCATGAACTGCTACCCGTTCGACAGGGCCGACATCAGCCCCAAAGAGTGGTGGTCAGCCGTATTCGTATGTTTCTACTCCCTCCATTGCACCATGGCGGCCGAGAACCGCAGGCACAAGTGGCGGCTTCCTGACAGTTGCTCGCCATAATAGTACTGTGCCAATGAGCTTGACTGCAGCGACCCAACCTCCAGGTTTCAGACCAGCAACGTGTGCAGGCTGCCCGAGACGTCGCGAGACGCGGGGAGGTACCACATCTGGGAGAACATGAAGGGCGACACGAAGAGCATGCAGAGCTGCTTGTTCTCGTCGGGCCAGACGTTTTCGTGGCAGATTCCGTCTGATGCGCAGAGCAAAGCTGATCTTACTGTTGTTGGGTGAGTTGTTTCTCTCCCCCTGTCTTCCTCCCCTCTGTCTTCCTCCCTCTGTCTTCCTCCCTCCGTCTTCCTTCCTTGTCTTCCTCCCTCTGTCTTCCTCCCTCTGTCTTCCTCCCTCTGTCTTCCTCCCTCTGTCTTCCTCCCCTCTCTTTCCGTTTCGCGGCGACAGTGGTGTGATGACACCCACATGGACGCTATTAATACGGAGCATCATTTTCTGACAATTTGCAGAAACGGCAACACCCTCAAGCAAGCGCAGACTTGGTCCGGCATCAAAGACAACAAGATTACCGGGGTAGTGTGGAACTCCCACCTCTGCAGCAAGATCTACACGTTCCGGCCGAAAAAGTGAGCGGTCGCTGACGGCTCGGCCAGTCAAACATCCCCGTGCAAGGTGCACCTGGATGGAGGTGAGCAAGGGGTGTACGCTGAACAGACACATACATGTAGTTAATGGTAATGTCATGTTCGCAAGGTATTACCGACCTGTACTATTTAAAAATAAGTGCTTCATGTTATCGATGTACCGCTCGCCGATTTTCCTGTTTGGGCTGCCGTGGGAATTCCCGGCCACAAGGCGCACCAGGCTGCCGAGCTGAAAGAGAGCAATTATGCCTTGCCCCCGCTGCGGCTTTTAATCGGCAAACTTGCTCCGGGGACCGGGGCGCTTGCAGCGGGGTTTGAGTGACTTCCGTGGGGCTTTCATTTCCGCTCAACGACGTTCGTCCTGATGCCAACTCCTGTGTGAAAACGCGCATGATCAGAAGCCCTTACTTTCGATCATCAATTTCAATAACCCTCCGAGTCCTGCTGCTGCCTTTGAGAATTGCTCACCAAACTTTCTGTCTTACAACAGCATCTACCTGCTCTGGCGACAGCAAAATGGCCGCCGAACAGGGCATGCCGGGCCGGGGCCCCTTTTGCGAGGCCAAGACATATCCGGTGCACGCATCACCGACGCCGCTCGCGCTGGTCGAGCTGTCGTCAGAGACCAAACACCGGCTGCTCACCGAGTCGTCGGCCCTACAGCCGACCATGTCCCCACGTCAGGTCCTAGAAAACGTGCGCAACCTGGACTCCTGGGCCGCTGACCGGCTGGGCAGCAAGGGCGATGCGCTGCAGCGCTTCCGCTTCAAGGCCCTGCAAGCTATCGCCGCCCCGTCCGGCGACTCGAGACCTGCCTCGGCCGCCTATCAACAGGCTCCGGACGTCGCCGTTCACGAGAACCCCCTCGCCCCAGTCGACTCGTTCCTCATGCTCAGCTACTGCTGGCACTACGGCGACTGGGATATCGCGCTGGGCTTGCAACACAAGCCAGCCGTCGAGGGGGGCTTCGCGTCGTCCGAGCCGGAGCCGCCAGTCGCGCCCGCCATGTTCGCCGCCCTTCTCGACGAGCGCCGCGACGAGTCTGAGGCGGCTTGGCTGGACCAGTGGTGCATCGACCAGAGCAACGAGCAGGAAAAGGTCGACGCCATCGGCTCCATGGACCTGCTCTACTCCAACGCGCGCCACGTCATTGTCTGCCTCGAAGACGTGCGCCTCACTCCCGCCAACGGCGACATGCTCCTCCGCTTCGGCGACTTCCTAGCCGCCAAAGACTTCGGGCCGGCTGCCGAGGTTCCCCGCGAAGAGCTACTAAACCTCCCTTGGAGCGACGAGGACAAGGGCCATCTGTGGGAAGCCACGGCGAAACTGTTCACGGCGCGGTGGTTCACGCGTGCGTGGTGCGCGCACGAGTTCTGGATGGGGCGGGAACACATCTTCCTGGCACCAGTGACAGCTGACCCGGCCCGCCCCGGCACGTCCGTGGCCATCCTGCGGTTCAACTCGACGTTCCTGGCCAACGCGCACTTCGCGACGTCCATCTGGCTGCCGGCGACGAGCCCAACAAGCGCTGAGCGCATCCAGCGGCACTGGCAGCGGTTCGTCGAGCCGACGCACCCGTACTACTGGCGGGGCCGGCTGGGGTCGTACGACGCGCAGGTGCGCACCAAGATCGCCTTCACGCACGCCACGAGCTTCGTCGGCGCCTTCGGCATGGACCGCGTCATCCCGCCGCACCTCGCCACCTTCGCCGTCATCGACTCGCTCAACACGTCGCGCTCCGCCGACAAGCTGTCCATCTCCCTCAACGCCAGCCGCACCGGCCTCTACCTCACCGGGCCGCAGGACCTGTCGAGGGCGGAGGCCGCGTGGATCGCCAATGTCGTGGCCCTGGCGTCTGGGGACTCGACCGCGCTGGCGGCTGTCGGGCAGCCCCTCCTCGCCAGCGGTGACGCAGGTGATAACGGCGAGCAGCTGGTCGCGGGCAACAAGCTCCGCAGGGAGACGGGCTGGGCATGTGAGCCGCGGATCGACCGCTATGTGCGGCTCGGCCTGGGGGACGCGGTGCAGTTGGCGTCGGTGCCCATGTCGCTGTCCCCTGCCGGTCTAGAGCTGGATGTGGTCCGCCTCGGGATGGGCCCGGGAGCCATCCGCGGCTTTAGCGACGTCGACGCCGTCAAGACCTTTCTCGCCGGAGCTGCTCTCGACTGGTTCCTGGACGCCGGGGCTAGAGTCACGGCACGGAATAATGGAGGGGAAGCAGACAGCCAAGCGGCCTCTGATCCCGCAGCCGCGGCCGGGGCGCGCGTCGCCTCGGGCTTCCGCCTGTACGAGCAGCGCCAGCGCAGTGGCCAGATGGACGCCGTGCTCGACTACCGGCACCTGAAGCAAGCGCTCGCGTGCCTCGTCACGGGCGGCCGCGAGTGGACAATAGCATGCGCGTGCCAGGCGCGGCAGGTGCCGGGCGACCGGCACAAGTACCTGCGCATCGCGCAGAACCCGGCGCTGATCGACGCGGCGTTCGACGCGCTGACGGGCGTGGCCATCAAGCCGCTGGCCGAGATCCCGGCGGACCTGCGCGAGCTGCTCGACCTCGAGGGCACCAAGCTGCTGCTGCAGCGCAAGCACGAGCAGCGCGAGATCGCCACGGCGCTGCACGCGCTCATCACCGTTGCCGACGGGCTCGTGCGCACCGTCGTCGGTGAGAAGGCTGAGTATGAAGTCGTGGGCGAGATCGATCCCGCGTACGAGATCCAGATCAGCTTGATCAACACGACGGCGCACGGGGGGATTGTCGTATTTGCGCCTCGGGCTGCGGGTGGGGTCGAGTATGAGATTGTATGTCCTGATGTGCTGCGCCGGCCGGGCGACAACCAGCTCGCCGCGTACATGCGTAGGGGGTGGATTGTTGAGGAAGATGGCCGTGTCGGGGATGGCGGGCTGCAGAGATACCGCCTGCTGGGCAAGACGGCCTTGTTCATGCCGTTGGCGTTTGGCCATGGGGACCAGGTCTTCAACCCGGACGCACTTAGGCGTTACGAGAGCGAGAGGATTATTGTTGGGGGCTGATGGTCACTGGTGAGAATATAGGTTAATATGATACTACATGACATTTGGGTAGGGGGCGGTTTAAAGCCGGCGAATGGCTTGAGAAACGGGGAGTGGAAACCGCGGAGTTCACGGGGCGGAAAGAGACTGAGAATTCGAACATAGCTAAGTACCTACCTGGGTTGAATATACGTCCATCTGCTGTAAGACCACGGATGCGCTTCCCTTGGCGTCCTGGGCTAACTGTGATGATATGATTCAGCCAGCTGCTAGCAAGGGTGCTCGGGCTATATGGCGAGGTTCGGACGAGTCGAAGCCAGCAACAGAAGTGCATAGTTTTCAATGGCCTCCCGCCCCCGTGTGCTCAAATCCCCCTCTTCAAAATCCTCTGTAGACTACATGCTCAAGGAAGCAGCACAACACGCAAAGAGCACGACACGCAAACAGCACAACACACAAACAGCACAACACGCCCGCCGATCTGAAATCTGCCGTTTTGTTTTTTCGCATGCCGGCTGCGTCCCATGGGCTCTGGGGCATCAGAATGACGACCGGCTCTTCTTCCCTCGAAGGGGTCCAACCAAGCGTTCCGTACGTGGATCAATGGAGATGTAGAGCTCAACCTAGATACTGACATTCTAAACAGGCCTTTCGGCTCGCTCGGGATCCTCTCGCGGACAGCCCCCGACATCCTTCGGCTATTCGCCGCCGCAGAAAATGGTGCAAAGTTGGCCGTCCAGGTCAGACAACCTCACGCCGTGCATGCTTCCCAGCCAACAAGATGCTAACTTTGCACAGAAACCAACGCGCATCCTATACCCGACCGAATTCTTCCCCATGGCCAACGAATTCTTCCCCATGGCCAACGGTCCGTAGCAGGCGATGCAAGACAAGTTCCAAGACGAGTTCCTCGGTGCTCTGGAGAACTACCTCGGGGTCCCCCGCACACATGCGTCTCTCTAGCTGAGGAATGGGCAGAGACCGGCCCTGCCGAGTGCAGAGACATCCCGTTGAGAGAGTAGAGAAAAAATAGTCAAGAAGTTGTTGGTGTTATTGTCGTCGCTGCCACCCTTGTGCCTGTACCGGGCGCCCGCCGCCCCGGTGACCTTATCGCAGCTCGCCCGAGACTGGCACAGATCTGGCGAGACATAGTTCCAGGCACCGCGCTCGTCTCCCCGGATGCTAGTACCCCCTCTGTACACCTCTAACGAACAGTGACCCGATCGGACGAGTGGGAAGAATTAGGTTTTGCCCATATTTCTCCATAGTGCCGAGTCATGACAGCTCCCGCTGTCGTTGAGTATTATGGCGCTCCAAGGAGCGCTAGACGCGGCTCCGTCGGCCCTCGGGTGCTCGTGCCCGTGCACGAAGGAGACGTCTTGCTCGACGCTGTGGCGGCTCGTGTGCATGTTCACACTGCGACACTGCTCCGCGCCTTCGGCCTCGGTCGTCTATAGCTTCTAGTTAAGCAACTCAGTCTCAAGGTCCATATTCATTTACGTGATGCCTTCACCCTGGGATCCTATCGAGATCATGCAGATGGTAAGGACAGGCCTGGGATTGTGAGGCAGCCCGCTGATGCGGAACGTTTTGGGTATATTTAAGTGGTCTAGCACGGTGGCGGGCTGGAGCTTGAACCGCCAACTCAGCTTGTGGAGGAGCGATAGTGGTGGGCAGCCGCGGGTAGACACCACGGTTCTCCCGGTGGGTGGGAACCGCGAAGTACTGGGAGAATTTTCTGAAACGTCGTGTGCTTCTACAACGGCCGATATGCTTTGCAGGTACAGCTCCAGAGAGAGTATGAGAACAGTCGACTTTTTTCCATTCAGAGCTCGAATTTTCGGTATTCTCTATTATGAGCTGGTTGACATAGGAACCCGGAAGCTGATGGTTTAAAAGAGTTGCTTATTCAAAGAGGCGGTAGCCTTGTTCCCATGAATTATGTGTGTTGTCCATAGTAGTATTTGGACAGACTCACAAAATAGCAATATCAGTCGAATTGCCGGTAGCTGTTGTGGTTGGGGCCGTTGTTCAGGGCTGCCTGCCAGGACAGAAAGGCGGATTGTTAACCTCTACAGGCAGGGTCTCACGTCGCGTGGACTGGGTAAGCAGACGAGAGCCAGGGCTAGGGCAAGTCAAGTCGCGGCAAGACGTATTTCATGAAGCGTTTTTATCTTCTTGATGACGTGCTGGGGATTAGACAGGTCGACCCAGGCGAACTGGGCGCCGTGAATGAGCTTGAGTAGACCCCAGAGGGCAAAGAAGACGAGGACCTGCAGTACGAACGCAGAGATTCCAGTTAGCCTTTGTTGTAGTCTACAGTCACGGAACGGGAAGAGACGGAAGAGACTCACGATCAGATACGACGCGAGGAACGCCAGATCATGGAACCCGTTCCACAGCGCCGCGCCGTTGGCCACGACCAGCACGAAAATGCAGCCGGTAAGAGCGAGGTACGCGAGTAGGGGCTGCGCGTGGCTGCGGTAGGGGTAGTCGTTGTAATCGGTCAGATCCCAGCGGCGGACCTGGGAGATCTTTTCGGCCTGGAGGGTTTCCTTGTGACGATGGATACTGGTGGGTGTCAGTGCCGATTCGGATCTCAGACGACGATAGACGCTTCAAACCGACTCACCAGTGGTAGTAGCGGATGAAGGCGAGACACTCGCAGGCCCAGACGATCAATACGCCGACGGAACCCATCTCCGTCAGGATTTCGATGAACTAAACACCGAGCCGTCAGACCACGTAAACAACACTGCAAAAAAGAGGCCAAACTGGGAGCTTGCTTACCATGCCAATCGCAGTGTCGGTACCGGTCCCGCCCTTCAGCTGCAAGAACGGCACCCACGAGAACGCTAGGGACGAGAAGATCATGGCGCGCATGGGAACCTTGTGCCGGTTGGTGCGGCCAAACCAGGCCAGCACGCGCAGCAGCCACGGCTGGCCAGTTCCGCCGTCGAGGCGGCTCGTGAGCCCAAAGAGGGTGCGCGAGGCGACGTACAGGTTGGTCTGGGCGCACGTCAAGGCGGTGAAGATGAGGAAGGCGTTGAAGATGTCGGCGAGGTGCGGGATCTGCGACTGCAGGGCTATGACAACAAAGGCAGACGTGGTGATGGACGGCGGCGCGCCGCTCCCATCGTCCTTACCGGGCTCAACCGTCGTCGTCACCCAGCTGAGCCGCGGGAGGCTGGGATCGTCGCGGGGGATGTCGAGAGAGACCAAGACGCCGCTGATGGTGTAGGCGATGGTGGCTAAGACGGACAGGAAGATGGCAGAAAACTTGACCGACGAGCCGATCAGTGGCTTGTCGGAGCGGCGCGAGAGACCCGAGTCGATGCGGTCCTCGCTGCGAGACCCGGGCCACCTGGCTTCGAGGGCGGAAGCGGCGACGATCTCGACGCCCACAAAGGCGAAAGTGGCGATCGATATCGACATGCTTTGTCCGTCAGCGGGCGAGGAGAGAGAGAGCCGCTCATGGTCACTTACAAGAGGGCAGTCACCCAGTTTTGCGCAGCGCCCGTGTCAAAGACCGTGGGCGAAGACCAGTCTGTGATCAATGGTAAGAGAGGGCTCATTCATTGGGCCGGGAAGGGGAACTTACAAGAGTCACCCCGATGCTCTCTCGGGGCAGGACCGGCTTTTCGACGCGCGTATTAGCACTGGTTCCAGAGGGGCACTACAGACAGGAAGGATCTCACCTCCAACGTTGATGGCAATCATGAACACCATGATGACAGCGAGAAAGAGGATCTTGATCGTTCCCGTGATAACCTCGATGACGCCGTAGATCTGCGCGAGGGAAATCAGCATCCGCGACATCCCGCACGCGACACGTGACTTTGCAGCCTTACCTCGATTCCAAGCCCATTAACCATGGTCAAGACCAGAGGAATTGCAAAGTAGATGACTCCGCCATCGACGCGCTTGTTATCCCTGAGGGCGGGCCAGTAGTCGAAGAGAGCAGCCGAAGTTGCGACCAGGGCCGCAAACGAGACCGAGTAGGTGAACCTGGAGATACCGAGTCAGTCCACGTCTCGTGCCCCCCTCAAGGTGAGCGGCGAGGCGGCGGCGCTTGTTTTGAAGGAATGAGACTCACCAATAGGCAATGCCGACGACGATGCCCAGCTCGGCGTCGACAAACTCGCTGACATAGACCGACAGGGCACCAGGAATCGGCCAGATGCACAGCATCTCGGTGATGCACTGCATGACGGCCCAAGCAAGGATACCGACGAGCAGAAAGGCCAGCAACACAGCCAGGGGCCCACCGAGCTCGAGGATCTGCCCGCCGCGCCAGTAGAGGCCTGTGCCGAGCGTGGCGTTGAGCGTGATCATCTGCGCGCGGTCAGCCATCTGCAGTCAGGGTTATGGAAAGACTCTTTTCGTGTCGTGCGCGACATTTCTCTGCGCTAGGCTAGAAAAAAGCCGAACTAAAAAGTGTAAGAAGAAAGAAGCAAGCGCAACATACAAACAGGTGAATCCCGCGCAGCCTGCGTTTGACGGTGCGGTCTTCGCTAGGGGTGACGAGAATCTGCTTCGGCGGCGCGCGCGTGAAGCCGCCACGGTCCGACGAGGCGCCGGCCTGGCTCGTCAGGCTCCGGTCAGTGCGGGAGTCGACCGGCAGCAGGCCGGGGCTAGAGGGAGGGCCCAGGAGCTGCGATGGACCGGCGCGCAGCTCATTTTGGTGCCGTGGCTGCTGCTGATCGCCGTCTTCTCCCCTTTCCGGGGTCGACTGGTCCCGCGGTGAGCCTCCTCGCGGCGCGGCGGGCAGCCAGTCGGGATACCATTCTGGAAGCTCGATCCGCGGCTCCGACATGACGTTGGCAGGCTAGTTCTGGAGCCAGGGGCATCTGAAGAGAGACCACCGGTTAATGTGAGGGCTTGCAGGATGATGCATGCATTGCAGCTCGAGAAACAGCGATCTCCCGATTCCCGAGATTCCCGAGAGACGGGGTGGCGGCGGCGCGAGAGAGTCCCGACCATGGCACACCCCACAGGTTCAGCCGCATCCGAACGAACGAACGACATGCACAGCAGGAATGAAACTGACAAATATTGGACCTGGGCTTCGAATGATGCCTCTTTAGGCAGACGCCGCGCTGGGCAAACCCGATTCAGCCAATGACAGGCCACAAAACAGTGGAAATCCCATGGGGGCGCTACCCAAGATTGGCATGGCAATGGCTGCACCCCCGTGGACTTGGCAAACGAACCCCCATCCCAATTTTCGGGGCCGGGCCATTAGAGGCCTGATGGGTGGTGTTAGTGTCACACGCAGCAGCTTGGGCGGATAAACAGCGAGCAACGCAGCCACCAGCAGCCTCCGGGTCCCTCTGGCCCGTCGCAGCTCGCAAGGCCGAAGAGCTGGAAGTTGAATCGAGTCGAGCGAGTCATCGACTGCCCAACCCGAGTTGCTGTTCGGTGTGTGCTCCGAGCTCGCAGTCCTGGCATGGCAGTCCTGGGCCGGAGGGCGGCAAACGTGGTATTTTATTGCCCGTGACGCTGTGACGTGGCAGGCGACGGGCAGAGCCTCAGCTTCAGGACAAGAGGCCACCTGAGCCCAGTGGCCGTCGGGACCTACTTAATGCTTGCGCTGAGACCCATCGCAAGGCCCTGCACTGCTACGTTCGGTTTCCTTCGGTGCAGGTGATCCTAAGACCAAAATGCCTCGGTTCGCCAACTTTTTCTCTAGTTCTAAAAGGACCTGGCCACAGCAGCTGCAGCACCAAAACCCAAAGCCAGACACTCCCGCTAAATCTTCCACCTGCCCGCCCGAAACAGTGCCGACACGCACCGAGACGATGGAGAGCAGGACAGCTGCGGCGGCCGAAGCTGCGGCGGCGGGCGTGACGCAGAATGTCACGTCGCGCTACCTCAAAAAGGACGCTCTCCAAGCGCGCCTCGAGGAGCTGTTCCCCGGGCAGACCGATTTCAACATCCGGGTATGCGCTTTTGCTTCTTTCTTGGGTCGGACCGACCAGTCGGTAACGGAAGGGTATGCTAACGGGGATGGCGTGCATGCAGATGAAGGACGACCAGTGGACTTTCACTGCGCCAGAACACGTGGACGAGGTAAGGAGGCTCCTCCTAGCCAACCCTGGAAGGCAAGGTTGTTCTTGAAGCCATGCTAACAACGATCATTAGTCCCAAATTGAGTAAGGGCCCCAAAAGCTTCAATCTTCAAATAGATCGGTCACAATAGGCTTTTTACTGACGTAATTCGAACCCAAACAGCGAGGCTCGAGAAGATTGACAATCCGTTCTTAGCACCTGTCGCGAGGCTCGAGAAGATTGACAATCCTTCTTGGCATCTGTCGCGAGGCTCGAGAAGATTGACAATCCGTTCTTGACATCTGTCGCGAGGCTTAGCGGCGGCCGATTTGTCCTGCCAGGGGGCTTGGACGGGGATGTGGGCGCAGCTCTGGCCCTGACAGGGAAGGTGACCCCGAGGCGCGGGGTCGAGTTTGGCGCCACTGTCGGGGCAGGCGGATTGGCCCAAGGGGAAAACGCCTCGTCAGGCGGCCCAGGAGGCGGCGTTGGGAGGCGGCGTTGGGGAAGGAGCGTTGTGCAACGGGCCTGCGGGAGAAAGTCTTGCGGCTCGACGGCGGATTTATTGGATTTATTACTGTAACAACTGCCACTCTACGATCCGTTTTTTCGGGGAGTTCGCGTTTGGAGGACGTCTCTGCAAAGAGAAGCACACCCCACTTCGCCTGTATTTTTACTCATTGCTCCAATGACTTCGCTTGAAAATTGCTTTGTTGACAAAGCAGTCGAGCCTGTCAAAGTAATTGATGTTGGCCATCCCCAGTTTGCAACCGTGGACGCGACTGCGACAGCGACTGCAACAGCGACTGCGGCAGCGACTGCGACGGCGACTGCGACTGCGACCACGTCTAGGGCCTCTTCCGTTGCAGCCTCAACTACCGCCCCAGCTCCGGCTCAAGCCCAGACTCAGGGGCAGCCGTCGTGGCCCATTTCAGAATGGGGTGCAAAGACGCTGCCTGAACTCGCTGGGCACCTCAATGGCGCTCGAGCCGACAGCTATTCTTGCCGCTTGATGTCAGTGATGCCCAATGCGTCGCCAGTGGCCGAGGATCCCGCTGACTCTCGCCAGCTCCATCTGCCAGCGCACCTCATGGCGCCCGTTACAGATCACGAAGCCTATGATGGAGGCCGTCGTGTCGGCGCACGGCATGCATGCGTCCTTCTGGGACATTACATCCTGCTTCTACACGCGCAACCTTGAGCTCGAGGAGGTCTACTGCGTCCCCTACACCGAGAATCGCACCGGCGGCGTGACTGGTACATCTTCGCCCTGCTGCCCGTCCCGTGACTGCTACTGGCTGTGACTCTGACGACGACAACCAGAAATCTCCTACACGGTCAGGTACCCCGAGTACAAGGCCGCCGACGCTAGGTGGGTAATTCGGCAGACCGGGCTATACCACCGCTTCGACGCCAAGACGTGCGGCAGCACCTACGTGCTGCTCAGCCCGACCCCAAACTCCAAGCTACACCAGGAGGCTGCCGCCTTCCTGTCGACCCTCGCCCAGGGCCCCGAGACCGAACCGTTCTGGCTGCACCGCCTGCTCTTCGCCACGTACTTCCCGGCGTGGCGGCAGTACATCGCCGCGCTGGAGCGGCAGTTCCTTCCCGTCGCTAACAGCACGTTCGCGACCTACATCGACGAGCCGCTGCGCGTCTGCTACGACAACCTGTCGGCGCTGGTGAGCCTCGAGACGCGCTTCCTGCTAGTCCCGGCCGTGCTGGGCGCCGCTACCGAGACGCTCGACGAGCTCACCGCGCTGCTGGCGGGGATGTCGCCCGCCGCCGCCGCCGCCCACCCCGGCACGCAGCAGTTGCGCAACATCAGCCGGCAGTGCGGTGGCTACTGCCGCGCCGTCACCCATCTCCAGCAGCGCACCCAGCGTACCGCCCAGCTCCTGTCCGACACCCTGCTGTTCCGCGACCAGGTCGTTGCCAAGGAGCAGAACGGCAACATGCTGCAGCTCAACAAGTCGGCCGTCTTCATCACCACTCTGACGCTGCTGTACCTCCCGGCGTCGTTTGTTTCGGTGCATGCCCCTAGCACTTCTAACCCTGCCTAAACTAACTCGAGCTAACTCCAACTTGCAGTCTTTCTTCGGCATGAACTTTTTCGGTTTTGACGGGGACAACAACCGCATCGCCGGGTCGTCCATGGTGTGGATCTACGTGCTATCATCCGCCGTACTAACCGCCATCACCTTCTTCTTCTACTACTGGCTGCTGCACCGCGAGAACGGCGCCGCCTTCCGCCGCCTCGCCCCCAAGGTTGCCGACTGGAGCCTGAAAGACTTTGGGCGGCGCTTGACGGCGAATAACAGTAACAATATCAATACCGGGGATTTGGATGTCGAGGGGTTGAGGGGTGTAAAGGGGTAGAGGTGGGATGTTTGATGAACTCGTGTTCTGGGGACTGGCATGGCATTCTAAGAGAGATGGTCACAAAAAGATCTAGTTGCAATCATATGATCACATGTGTCGTAGCAACTCGTGGTATAATTACGGGTTTTGTTGATATTCAATTTAATAGATCCTGAAACTGGATGTAGAAAAGTCGAAGAAGAGAAGGTCGCTCAGGCACAACGTCGGTAAAACGCAGCACTGGGGGCCGCGGCCGAGCGCAGCGAGAACAGCCCGCGGCAGGCGCCCCCCGGGAGGGCCGCCGGAGGCAGTGCCACACAGTCGGAGCTAGTCCACGAGATGACAACGGCACTGGAGAAGGAAAGAAGAAACAGCACCACAATATTATATTAAACACACTAGAACTAGCAAGGAGCCTGGCAGATAGGGTGAAGAGACAGACGCATTGTAAGGGGCGCTGGGACAACAGCTCGCTGTGAAGTCTCACTTGCAAGGCACATGTACGTACAGCATACAAGCCTGTGCGCCCCTAAGCCCCAGGTGGGCCTTTCCTACCCTGCAGCGGCCTTCCCTGCCCCTGAGCGACTGGTTACGTGCCCCTCACGTGACTCCTTCCCCTGAAGTCCACCAACGACCATGACACACAATAGATGCAACCGGGGATCATATTTTACAGGGCATTTCTGCAGGGGCTTTAGGCCCAGGGGCAGCAAAAGCCCGAGCGTTTGTTTTATGGGCCACCGAGGCCAACAGATATTACACCCCCCGCCCCCCCCCCCCCCCCCCTTTTTTATAGCGTCTATATGTGACTACCGACTTAGGCCATGTGAATGCCCAGTCTAGGGCAACAGTCACCACCGGTATTAGATCGCTTCTTTCACCCGGCTATAACAGAGTCCTTCTCTTGTCCTCAAGAGAAAGTACCAGGTAGAGCTGTCTTATCTCGGGTCAAGGTGGTGTAGTGTGTGATCGTGTTCTCCAAGTCGAGACTGGGCTGGCCTTCAGCGACAGAAATGTCCACCTAGTCTAGCCAGCACTGTCTAATCATGACCGGATCAGTCTCGGGAGATCAAAAGCCACCTGGAATGACACACGCAATATACTCAGCTGTAACATTTCTATCCTGTAATACTTGGCTGATCATGTCCAAGATAGTATTGTTAAGCTCGAATATCCCCTTCAAGGTCTCCATATTTTCATATGCGCTTATATCCATAAAATGTTTCAAACTCTTGGCCGCTTATGCGCAGCCACTCTCCTTCGTATTATGCAAGTAACTAGCAACGACATTCAAAAGCCTTCATCAAGACGTAGTTAGGCGTGTAGTTACTCCACTTCTGGCTCTGAGAGACGCGCCCGGTAGATTGCCCGGCGGTTTGCACCGACCAATGCAGCGACCAGAATGTATTTCTCGCCGGCCTCGTCCGAGAGCCGCACGGTGAACTCGTCGTTATGAGACAAGCCGGGAAGCTGCGCCAGCTCCCTAACCTCGACCTTCTCTGCCTCGGAGCGTGGGACCGTGAGCTCCAAGAGAAGCAGCCGCTGGTTCAGAGGCGTCGTGCCGAGCGCAAACATCTTGTCGTCGTGCCAGTCCATCATCAGCTTCAGCACCCGGTAGTTCTTGAGGCCCTTGTGTATCGGGGGAATCGGTTCGCTTTCGGTTAAGTTTTGGATGTGGAGGCAATTCTCTCGAGTGACGACAGCGCACGTTGCGGGATCGTTGTGGAACGGGGCGAATGTTGTCAGAAGGCCTGCGGAGCTGCTGTTGTCGAGTCCCTGCATCAATGCCATTAGCAAACAGAGCTGATCAAGAACAAGACCTCTGCCCAACAAGGGAGCTTACCCGCGACTCGATTATGACGCTTTCCATTGTTCTGTTGGCGAGAGACAAGTGAACAATGGGAATTTGATGAACGCGGCTTTTTGCAGTCAGTTCCGGCCGCACCACCAGGTATATATCGTCTTTTCCGGAAAAAGATACGTGGGTTACAGCTGGTGCAGGCCAGTCTAGCTTTTCCAGTTCCCAAGGTTCCATCGCTATTGTGATCGAGGTATTGCTTGCGTCTGCCGACATCGAGGCCTCGTCGGTTGAGGAGGATGGTCTTTGCGAGCTCATATGTTAGTTGGAGTGCCACACGCAATCTCAATTTGCCAGGTGTTCACTCACGGTCTCTTCGAGTATTTAATAAGATCTGCCACCGACGCCGTGAATAGAGAGCAGGGGTTCTGTTCTCCTTCTTTGTCCCTCAGAATGCACGCCACTGTCTTGCCGTCGGGCGAGATGGCAAGCCTGTGTATTTCGGGGAGGGGGAGAGTAAGCCGGTACCAATGGTCGAGGCTGGCATCGACCGAGGTGCCGCGTTGAAGGTCGAATATGTAGCACTGACACCATCATGTCAGTTCAGAGCGAGATCAACAACAAGAGGTGTTGTTCTTACGTTGAAGTTAGCACCCGTAGTCGACGCAACGAGATACCTTTGCGTCAAGCAGACGCCCTTTAAGATGCAGTCTGTCGCCACAAGGAGATGTTCTGCTGCAGGTGCTGCCTCGTCACCCTTGCTGGAGTAAAGGGACTGCGACGTGTATAGCGAAATTTTGACGTCGGTCCAGTATGCGACGAGGGATCCTTCTGGAGAGATCTTGCAGGCCTTGGACGCCTCGGTGCTGGACAAATACCATCCTTGCACCTGTCCGCGTGCCGGTGACTCCGGCCTATAAGTGTGGAGTTGGAATTAGTTCTTGTCGAATAGCTTGTAGTAGGCAGTCATCATACTTGGCAACTCGGGCAACTCACCTTGGGCGCAGCTTTCCAAACAGCGTGGTGCTTCCGAGGGGTTTGAGGCGTCCGGCCTCCGATTCCTTGTCCCTCTGTGTTTCTCCCAGGCTCTTGTACTTTTTAAATGTTTTCAGCAACATGTCTCGAACATTCTTCGCCCCATGCCGTTTGGGAAACGGCTCGACGTCAAACACTGCCTCCTCGAGATATCGCAGCATAAACTTCACCACTTCCGCCTCCGCCGGATCTCGCTCGGCTGCCCTATCGATAAGTCGCGCATGCCATTTGTGGACCGCCGGATGGACTTTTGTAGACGTAAATCGCGTGCCCCGGAGGAAGAAACGATCGAAGCCGTTGGCATTAGGGTGAGCCAGGCGGGCGTCTTGGTATCGTTCGATGCCGTCGCTGCCTTCCTCGAGGTAGGCGAAGACGACGCTTATCACACAAGCCAGGGACCACACGTCGCTCTCGGCCTTCATGCTCTTAGTCGACGAGACCGACTCGGGGGCGAGATAGGTGCCCTCTCCACGTCGATTCAGCGTGGCCGAGAGAGACGGGTCGGGGGGCTTCTGGCGGCGGACGAACCAGCTGTTGAAATCCTTTTCCCGCTCCGTGTCCTGGCCGGCTCGGCGCAGCTTGACGCGGGCCATGCCAAAGTCGCTCAGCTTCCAGATGGCGTGGTCTCGGGTCGGGTCGTCGCCAGCCTCGCGGAAGATGAGGATGTTGCTGGGCTTGAGGTCCATGTGGTAGCACACCAGCTTCTCCCGGTCAGACGTCTCCATCTCGGTGTGGAGGAAGTTCAAGCCGCCGGCCAGGCCCTCGGCAGAGAGGATCATGTTGGCCTTTTCGGCCATGGTGTTGGGGCGTGCTTGGTGATGCTCCATCATGTAGGCGCGGAGGTCGCAGATGGCCAGCGGCATGAACAGGCTGTAGGTCGAGGGGCCGACCTCGAGGCTACCGTAGTTCTCGAGGATATTCTGGCAGGCGCGGGCGGAGCTAGTGAGGATCTTCTCCATGATCTCGCGCTCGCCTCTAGCAGGAAACTCGCTGCTGACGAGGTAGTCCTTGCGAGCCATGTCGAGGGGGGCGAGGTTTCCCATGCCAGTCTGGGGATCGTAGAAGTGGCCCCTGGCGATCTTGACCTTGAAGACTTTGCCAAAAGAGCCCTTGGCCAGAGCCTGCTCCTCGAGATAGGGCAGCCTCTGGCCCTGGGGGTCTCTCACGCGGACCTCCTCGCGCTTGCGGATGACGACGGTGCTGAAGCAGGCCTGGTTGCCGAAGAACTTGTCGGCAGCGACGACGTTGCCAAAGAGGTCGATCAGGTCGTCGCGCTCGGCAGGGAGGAGGCCCAGCGTCTTGCCGCGGCGGCGGACCGGCCACTCATCGCGGGCCACCAGCTCGCGCGTGAAGGTCCATGCTGCTTCGATGCGACAGGTGCCGAAGATCAAAATGGCCAGAAAATCGTGCAGGTTCCGCTTGTTGACCCTCTCGACCAGCTCGTCCTCGTCGTGGCTAAACTGCTGCAGGGCCGTCAGGTGAGGGACGACAAGGCTCCGGAAGAATCGAAGCAAGTTCTCGCGCCGCAGCACCTTTTTGGCCGTGCCCTTAGCCGCAAACCGCAGCTGGTCTTCGTCTCTCCGCTCGAGCCGCCGGTATATCTCCTCGTAGATCTCGAAGCACAAGTTGTCGTACGCGGCCGACGCCATCTCTGGAGCTTGTGTCGCTTCCTCACATGTTGGGGGAGTTGTGCGGGGCAAGTTACAAGTCCGAGGCGGCCTAGGGGATTTGGGGTCAAGTGTCGTGCGGCAGCTGGCTTGGCCAGGACGGCGCAGCACAGCCCGAGTGGGGCGCCGGCTGATGGCCCCCCTGAAGGCCCTAAAGGGGTCAGAACTGTAAGTAGGCTGTTACGGCAGCCTAAGGCCCTGAACTGACGCTAAGGCCCTGAACTGACGCTAGGGCCCTAAACTGACGCTGTAGGGCTGGGTATCGAACAGCCAGGCGGCAGCTAGGTGGCGTCACCTGACTCTGACGCTATTGCTGTGAAAGCAGCGCTACCAACAACTCAAATAACTCTAATATAAAGCTATATTTGAGTTGAATAGAGTTCAAAATACTATATTTGAGCTGGGTTGAGGCTCTATTTGAGTCGAGTTGGCTTTATTTGACCTTACTTGACGGAACTTGCCGCACCACCAAAAAACACGAAAATCTGGCCAAATTTGGCTAGGAATTGACTCCCTGGACCAGAAAAGAGCGCTGAATCCAGCCAACGCCCTCAAAACAAGCCCCAGCTCTTCAGACACATGAGGATGTTGATGGTATCGTCGCTCAAGGAATGTCGTTGCGTGCCAATGACAAGCTTGGCTTGGCTGAAGGCCCTCTCACACTCAGATCACATCGCTTGCATTGACAACAGGTCCAAAGCCATCCTTGACAATCGAGGCCAGCGTTCCTTGTGAGCCAACTACCAGGTTTATATTGGAGGCGAGGAAGCAGCGAGTTCGCAGTAGGGAGGCAGGAAAAGAAGCTTGTTGACTTGGCGATAGTTATAGCTTTGCAACGCAGGTCGATGGCATTACAGAAAACCAGGTCAGTCCAGTCGAATTTTTCCCTGGGCCAGGAAGCCCCAGATCTTACCAGGTCCCCAGATCTTACCAGGTTGGCCATGGCCAAATGCTGCCCTAAGCCTAGGAATGCAAGGAAAACTGGGCCCAAAAAGGGCCCAAGCGATGGAAATATTTGAGTTAAGCCCAACTACAAATAACCAGTCGATTTGAATTGAATTTGGTTCAAAAATGGCTTGTTTGAGTTGGCTATTTGATTTGATTTGAGTTATTTGAGTTGACTTTATTTGAGTTGTTGGCAGCGCTGTGTGAAAGTGACATGAAGTGGTGAATTTCATTTCTTGTCGCAGTTTCTTCCGTTTTCATTCCGGATTTTTCTCTCCTTTTCGTTTTCCCGTTTCACTGGCCAGAGGATTTCACTGCCAGCATCCGGAATCCCGGCTGAAAATCTGAGGAGGAAATCAAACTGACAAGACTAGAATGAAACCCACGCCATGTCCTGATATTTTTATGAACATCCCACGCCATGTCCTGATATTTTTATGAACATCCCACGCCATGTCCTGATGTTTTTATGAACATCCCACGGCCAGTACAAGAGTAAAATCCAACATGTTCAGAGCAATACATTCCATTAATTACACCCAGGCGGGATTCTCCCGGCCTCCAAGCGTGCCATTTCTACCTCGGCTTTCCAGGAAGAATCTGCACGCCACTATTTACACCACTACCGTAACATCGACGATCTAGCTCACTAGAACTCTAGATTAACAAAGGTTCCTGGGGTGAACGGAAAATTGCGCGAGAGAATCTTGTGGAAGAACAGTGCCATAGATAACAATAGGAAGACAATAACGCCGCCCCACTCAAGCTGTCAAGCAGGGCCGTGTAGCCGATTGTTCCTGCTTCTCTGCCCGCACAGCTTGCTATCGTCCACTTCCAGGGGCATGAGTTCATTTTCCTACAGGCCGACTAGGCATTCCCTTTTTTAATCCTGAACACCTCGTCAGTGACCTCGTCTAGAAAGTTCTTTCCAGAGAAGCTCCCGGTCTAAAACCTCATTTATTTTCGTGCTCGGTTCCCTTCCTCATCATTACCCCCAAGAACTGAAGAAAGCGCATTTCCTTCCTATTCCTTTTTCTAGGCTCCTAGATCTTCCTCTAACTATCCTTCATTCCTTGCGTTCATCCTACAGTCGTAAAGTCTCTCACATTATTATCATCACTACTCCACCGATGTCGGGGCACGAGGACGAAACCGCGACCGTAGAAATTTCTGCCACTCGCAACTGGTAAATATTACCGAATAGCCCTAGTTTTCGCTCCGATCTGTCAAGTTTCCCCTCGATAAAAAACTCGGCTTGAAGTTCTAACGTATCTAATTCCCCATTTCAGGATGAACGGGCTGCTGGAGGCCAAGAATTTCGTTCGCTGCTTCCAGGCGTCACCCGAGGTCATCGGCCCCCACGTCTTCGGGTCTACCGCGGAGCGTGCTGCTAGCGAGGCTAGAGTCCAGGAGGCAGAGGGCGAGATCAGTAGCCAGGAGTCAGAGGGCGAGACGGAGACTACTAGTAGCGATACTAGTAGCCAGGAGCAGGCCAAGCGTCCCCGCTTCAGACGCTTCCGTAAACTACCAACCGAGCTCCAGCACAAGGTCATACTGGAGGATGTCCCTCCGCACCACCTGCAGGCCGAGATGTGGATGTTCCACTTCATCTAGCTTCGTCTGCCGTTGCACTACCTCGTGCCGGGGTACTACCACAACCTGGGCGCCGACCCAGCCATCGTGGTGCGGTCCGACCCGCCCGAGTTCGCCAACAACCCGTGGTACGCCGTCGATCGTGCGACCCGGGCCTTCGCCATCGCGCGGTTCGGGCTGCCCAGGCCCGACACCTTCCCCTTCGATCCGCTGAGCGATTTGCTCGTGCTCTCGATCTGCACCCGAGGCGCGTCAACATAATCGTGCAGAGAGACAGAAACCAACACCTCCTGCGCACCAACCCTACCACACGGCGTATCACGTGCACGCCGGAACTCGCCGCCAAGTGCAACCCGGGTTTGTACATGGGCCACGGGATTTCCGACGGCGAGATGGCCATGCGGCGGCGTGCTGAACAGTGGCGCGCCGACATGTCGCGCGTGCCGTTCAGCGTGGCCGAGCGCATCCGCCTCGTCAAGCTCACCCTGACCAACCAGCGCTGCGAGGCGACGCACATCTTCGGCAGCATGCGCTCCATGTCGAGCCTGTACGAGAGCGTGCTCGACGTGCTGCGCCGCAACCTGCCTGGCGTGCAGGAGCTGCGCGTCGAGCTGTTCCAGCCCGACGACTGCGCGTACACGCCCCCGGGCTGCATCGTGCACGGCCGCCCCGCGCAAGGCAAGCCCCGCCGCCGCGTCTACGACGCCGACCGCTTCGCCGTCCACGAGTGCAAGCGCCTGGCCATCCTCGACGCGCTCGAGGATCTCACGCGCTGCCGTTTTGAGGGCAGGGGCGTGCTGGACGCCGCATGGGATGCTGCTGCTGCTGCTGCTGCTGCGCGACGCCGCCGGGGCATTGCTGGTGGCAGCGGTGGCGGTGGTAACGAGATCAGCAGCGAAGACGACGACGACGACGACTCGACCTCGGACTCGGCTGCGCCGTCAGCTTGGCCCTTTCCCTTCCCACACCTCAAGCAGTTGCGCCTCATCCAGCTGGGGCGCTACTACGCCGACTTTGCGTCTGTCGACGACGATCTGCCTGTTGTCGGCATGTGGCCGGCGAGGCAGCGCATAGCTTGCGCGCGGTTCGCTGTCAGGGTGCGCAAAGACGTGCGGCCACGGCTCGTGGGTACCAACGCGGCCAGGTCGTGGGCGCCGTTGGAGAAAGACGACGGCGAGGAGGACAATTTTGTCGAGCCTGTTGTCGAGGCCGAGGCCGAGGCCGAGTAGATGGTTTGGGGTTGGCTCACGTGGTTTTGAGCGATATTATTCGTGGGGTCTTTTCCGAGAGGAGCCCGGCTGCTCGGTTTAGATGCGTGCTCATGGGGCTTTACTGGGCTTTGCGAGAGGAAGGGCATCATGTCGTCGCGACGCAATGCATGTCCCAACCACTTCCTATGCATGGCTTGATTTCTTTTTTCCCCCATACCAAACCCGCCTTTTTTCTTCAGCACTTACACTAGTTTCGTACATGCCGTTCAAGTCGGTAGCTCTTCCGGGCTGCGCGCACTAGGCAACAACCTGGAATTTTTTATTTTAGAGTTAATACATCCCAATTTCCTTTTCCTAATCCGTTGTTTCTGGCTTAGTCTATATCTTGGGGCTGACTGCGACGATGTAATTGTAGGGTTATGCGGATCAATCAGGGTTAATCAAGCTTATGCAAATTCAGGGCTGTGATTGGTTTAACAGGCAAAACAGTGGGGGATCAGGTCAGCGCACGGGTCACATCCCCCAACACGTGGCGTAACACGTGACCGCGGGGCACCCTGAGCTGAGCGCCTTCGTGTCCCCGTACTTCGTGATCCTTTTGGTTGACATAGAAGAATGCGAGCAACACAACTACCCCACCCTTTCGCAGCGGCTACTGTAGTGACTAGCACGAATGACCTTGTCATTCCAACAGTAATACACCATCTACTTATTTCCTACCTAGTTATATTATCTATTACTTATACTATATAGGGCTTGATTTATTAGTCCTAGGGACATCAGAGACGAAGAAAGCCTACCTAAAAGCGACCAAGGTCGAGGCTAGTCCACCATCATCGAATGCATCAGTGCCGGGGGCCTCGTACTCGACCCGGGCATCATTTTTAAAGGAAAAGACCTTCAAACATGGTGGTTTGAAGAGGAAATGCAGAAAATCTGCAACTGGCGCTTCGTTACGACAGAAAAGGGCTGGACTGACAACCGAATAGCGATTAGCTGGCTTGAGGATATTTTCATTCCACAAACCGACGCTGAAGAAGAGGCTGAAGAAGAAGAGTTGCCTGCAAGACTGACAATATCTTGTCGTGCACTTCGTGTGCTAGCACAATACATGGATTAAACAGCCAACTAGCCACATTTTCTTATATTTGGCTTATAAATAGCTTCACAATTGAGTGCGCTGTTGTTGTTCAAATATGTAGTGTTTTGGTGTAAAATGGTCATCCACTGCTACGGTGATCCGTTGGGGGGTGGGGCATGGTAGCTGTATTGCTTAGAAGAAGTATGTCGATGTATGCCACGGCGGAATATATGCGGGTGGAGGGATGATGGATGGTTGTGTAGGAATCACCAGGGTACCGGTACTGGAAACAGCATGGCGCGCTGCGCGCCGTAAGGTGGTGGTTCAAGTGATGGATTCGTTTGTGTCTGTCTTTTTATCTATCTGAACAGGTGGGCGTAGGCCAATATATATGCATCTGTCAGGCCCGCTCCTCCACAGACGTTGCCGTGGCCAGGAATGCGGAGCCGCATTCCTTGGATCAGCGCGTCATTCCAGTATGTTATTCTAACAGGTTGGACTGGGGATCTCAATGTGGGTGCGGGTCCACTTGCCTCGTCCCACGCCCGCATATCAGTCCTTTGATCTTGCCCAGTGAATCTTTCCTCATTGCTAGGACCTTCAAGAAGCCTTGTGCAGCCTTAAGACCTCCGTGCCACCGTAGCATAGTTACCTGCAATGAACAGGCGTGTGTGTTAGTACTGCCGGCGTTACCAATAATTAGCTCCTACTTATTGGTCTGATACCCGAGGGCCACTGTCTACCGTCTACCTCTAAATTTTGTACTGGCTCAGTGCGTCAACATGTCGTCTGCCGACCCTGCGTATGATGGGGAGACCCCTGATTCAGATTTGAATTCTTCGGTCTCTAAAGATGGAGTAGGTTTTTAGAAGGCGGAAGAGAGAGATCCCTCTTTCATAATACCTCGGGAGGGAGATAACTGGCTGTCCTGTCCTGTCCTGTCCTGTCCTGTCCTGGCATGCCCTGGCCCGGATGCGCTGACGGAGAAGAAAAGAACCGACATGGCGCTAATAACGACGAGACTTGTTGGGACGGAGGTTACATGGGCCTACAAAAGGTCTGTCCTGGCTCGACAGCCATCTGATCTCTGGCTTCCGATAAGGACTTACCTAATGGAGGGCACAGATAGCTACCATAGGTGACTGAACTTTTCCGTTTCCCACATATCTTTTTTTAAAACTGCAAATATTCATCACCCGAACACTCCTATCCAGTGACTCGACCAACATTGTCGTCCGTGAAAAACGTCCAGCAAACCAAACCGTCACCTGGCAGAAGAAAAGTCCAGCAATAAACCCAATCGCAACCTGAACAGTGCGAGTGCGCACTGAGAAAAGAAACAATGCGCGTGTTCGCAGAGATCCCATGCCCCCGCTTCGGCTGCTTCTACGCCATCGACAGCCAGGGCAGGGTGCACTACTACAGTCCGACCGCACACCGGTCAGCCGTTCTCAGCGAGGAGCATGTGGACTATTTCCTGCGACAAAACCCCGCGTACGCACATCTCGTCGCTCGTGACAACAATCCCGCCCAGGTGACCGCCACTCCCGCCCCAATCCCGCGCAGCCCTTCCTCCGACAGCAGCACCAATGTGCAGATCACGGAGACATACCGCATTCCTCCCACCGCCAACACCTACAGGGGAGTTGACCGCCTCCACTACGCCGTCAGCACTGACGGCCAAGTGTGGCTGTACTGCCCCAATTTCGACACGGTTGCCTTGTTGTCGCCTGAGGAGCTCCGCGAGTTCCGCGAGCAGTATCCGAACGTCCCAGCCAGCAACCAGCACCCTCAAGCAGAGCCCGAGCCCCAGGAAGACGCAAGCCAACAAGGCGAGAGCAGCGCCGCAGCTCTCCAGCCAGGCCTGGAGTTCATCCGCCAGATCCCAATCCGCGGCATTTCACCGGCAGAGCTTGTGTACACGGTGGGGTCAAACGGCGTCGTGTACTGGTATCTGCCAGAGACGGGCGGATTCCAACCACTCAGCCTCGTAGAGCTGCACAACTTTGCCGCCACCATGACCACGGAAAGCTCAGACGACGACGACGACAACGACGACGACGACGACGACGACGACGACGACGACGACGACGACGACGACGACGACGACGACGACGGCAGCTCGTCCGAGTGGGAGTCTGATAGTGACGTCAGCGACGACGAGGCCAACCCCGAGGCCGAGAGGCAGAGATACCAGCTTGTTCGGGCATCTTGGGGAGACTGGCTCAGCCCACCCGAGGCCCGCAGGTGGTCGCCGATCCGCTTTACGTCGAACACGTGCTCGAGGCAGGCTTTCATCGACGACACGGGCCACCTGGATACCTGGGCCAACATGCAGACCAGGAACCCCGTGTACCGCGGTTTGCTGCCCAGGTGCCGCTGGGTCACGATGCGGCATGCTGGTCCGCTGGCAATAGGGCCGGCCCCAGGGGTGACGGTGACTGATCCGGAAGGCATAGAATTGTGGCTGGATGACCACATGCCGCTGGGTCACCCGGGTTAGAGAAGTTGAGGTGGCAGGTTTGGGTGGTTTGAGGGCGGAGAATACGCGTGGGCGGTGATAACACGGTGGAGCGTAACCGAGAGAGCGGAAGTGGGGCGGGTGTACATCGTTTTGTAATTATATTCTAATCCCCGGGAAGTGTCCCTTGTAGCATTATTACTTGGGCCTAATGTAAGATAGTTTCCCCCACGACTACATGCCGCTACGTGAAAATGGACTCGGGGCTGTCTTACCCGTGCTCAGTCTCTGGGATGACACTTCCTGAACCGCATAACAAAACTCAAGAATACTGCTACCTAGGTAATCACGTCAAGAGGGGAGGGAAAATAAAATGAAACAAGCATAAGCATTTCGCTACGACGGAAGTTGAAGTCCCCATCGCTAGACTAAGCACCAAGGAAAGTTACAACGTCATCATGTCAATAACAATACTCAGCTCCGTGTCCTCGACGCCCGTTTCCCTCTCCACCAGCTCCAGCTCACGGTCCACCTCTCGCTGCAGCCTGCGGATGGCCTCGAGCATGTAATCAAGACTCCCAGCATTCTTGAAGAAGCCTAGCACCATGTGCTTGTGCTCTGGCGTTGACTTGCCACCGACACGTCTCTGGGTGAGCAGTTGCGCAAGACGAGGGACTCGTGCTCGGGCAGCATGTGGAGCGTGTGGATCAGCGGCAGAGAGTACTTGCCCTCGTCGAGGTCCTCGCAGAACCTCTTGGTCTGCGTGTACTCGGCCGAGGCCAGATTCTGGTAGTCGTCTCGCAGGGCGTACAGGCGGCCAAGCATGCCGGTGAGTGGGAGGAGGTTGGGCTTCGGGGAAACGGGCGAGCCATTGTCCTTGCCCTTGCAGACAGAGGGAAACATTAAGCAAACCAACATTCATGTACCTCGCGCATTTACTCAAACTCATTGCCTCACTGAAGCCCACGAATTTTTCGTATTGACGTAGTTTCCATCCTTCTTAACAATCCGAAACTCATGGAGGAGTTTGCGCACCGATCGTAAGCACCTCTAGTTCAAACCTCACAATGATCGGCCACCGTCTACCAGCCAACCCCATATTACGCGACGAGGCTAGTAGGTACTGCGCTCCGACCAAGGCTTGACAGCCTCGAGCAGCTCCGCATGGACGCGTCCGTCGCCACCGCAGCACGCGAGCAGTTTCTCCCAGACATCCTCGCCAATGCGGCGGACGAACAGCAAGAACGCGGCCCAGAAGAAATCGACATAGCCGACCTGCTCGCCGCCAAAGAACGGCCCGGCCGGGTTCTCCTTGAGCATAGCCGTGGCCTCCTTCATAGAAGGCTCGACGGCAGCGAACGCCACATCCCCGCCCTCGTCGCGCTCAACGTCGGCAACGGACTTGCCGGCGACGCGCGCCTTGGACTCGTACCAGTACGCGACACTCTCGTCGGCGAGCAGGCGCCGCGGCACCAGCGGCAGGTAGACGCCGCGGAACGGGGTCATGAGGCGGCCGTAGTTGGCCATGAGCCACTCGAGCTGCGGCGAGTCGATCTGCAGCGGTGGCGACGGGTGCAGCACGCTGATGGTGTCGGCGATGGCGCGGCTGTCGGCGATGTACGTGCCGTCGGGCAGGCGGATCGTCGGGATCGTGTAGGGCGCGATGTGTGTCCCTGGGGCGTGGGGCGCGACGCTTTTCGCGTGGGTTGGTCAGTGCTGGGAGTGAAGAGAGGGCGAGGAGAACTTACTGGCCCTCGAGCCGAGGCTTGACTTGAGGGTAGTTGAGCTGTGTTTTTCACGGGTGTCAGGTTGCGAGCAGTGAGGGAGGGAGGTGGGCAGGAAGATTACCCATTCGGTCCTGTAGTGCAGGCCCTTATAGTTGAGAAGGAGGCGTGCTGTGGTCATTAGTAGTCTGATTTGATGGGAGTAGTGACATTCTCTCACTCTTCCACGGGTTCAGCGACCACGACTCGACCGGCGCCTTGGACGGGATGTCGAACAAGACAATCTCGTCGGAAGCCATGCTGTCGAAAGTTGGGGAACCCTTGTGCTGGTGATGCGACAGGACACGGGCGAATGGGACTGACAGCTATGTGACTGGGTGAGATGGGGAAAGGTGTCATCTGGTTGTTCAACCAAGGTTGGAATTGAATTGGAAACATCTAGCACGACAATTGATTAATAATGTGACGTAGATCCCCCGTACCCGTACCCCGTATCGGTGCGTATTCGTTTATCGACGGCACGTTAAGGGCATGCGTTAAACTGCTCCAGAACTTTATTTTTAGTGCCAAGTCCTAGCGCACCCCAATGTAACTTGTAACTCGAGGTGCCAATGTAACTTGTAATAACAATAACTCGAGGTGGTGTTGTAATATGTAGGGTTAGGGTTCCGGTTAATTTGACGAACGCTGCCTGGCCTTTGCCCAGCATGCCACACCGGAAACCAACACTGTTTCTCTGGAGACAAGCACAAACCTGGCACAAATAACCGTGTAGAGGCTGTTGGCGAAACATAGTTTCCAGCAAGGATTGTTGGATTCAAGTGTGACGTGGGAGGCTTAGGGATATGCTTGTGCGTTTGATACAAAAGGGCCTGACCAAGGGGTAAGCCCCGTATTGCGACTTGGCCAGGGTGCTTTGTAACCTTGACGAGTAGCTATTTTGAGCGTGTCTACTATCAAAATAAATCAAACTTTCAAGTATCATTTTAGGACAGAAAAGGTAAATGTGCCTCATGAAATAGGAGTTGGTATTCCTTTAATTCGTTCCCACTCGCAGCTTTCACTTCCTCCTCGGCTGCGAAATATGCCTACATCCTATATAGATATTCTCGGTAGCCCTAGACTTGGTGTCTCAACCAATCAGACCCAACCCGTAGTCATGACCCGGATTAACACAGACAAACAAACCCTTCGGCTAAGCCTTAGGGGAGACGACATCTTAAAAGATCTGCTTAACGACAACCACGCCTACCCATCTCCGCAGCCACAATCGCAACCTAGACACAATCGCAACCTAGACCACTACGCCATATAGTATGCCTCGAATCTAACATCGCCGATCTCCACACTGGCTGATCGGGTCGGAACCGGGCGTCTTCAGCCAGAAAGGTCCGCCGATTTTGGCCGCCGATTTTGGCCGCCGATTCTCCGGCAAGAACACCAGCTCGGCGTCCATCCCAAACCGCAGCCAGCTGGCCGCAAGACACATGGCGCGCAGCTCGGGGGTGGGTCGCCAGCTGCCAGTGCTGAAGGTATCAAGGTTCTGGCGTCCTCTTCGGCCTGGCAGTCTTCTGCCAGGAGGTGGTTCAGGCTGCATGGGCTGCCGGGGACGTCGAACGTGACGCCCCACAGGACTCTGTGGGGCGGGCGCTGTGGCCCTGGGATGAGAGTGTGCAGGCAGGCGCTTCGGATCTTGGGCATGCGCGTGATGGCCTGCACGAAGGCCTGCAGGAATGGGACAACGACGACGTCGTCGGGGAGTCTGCTGCCCCAGAAGCTCATCTGGGACCACCTCGGTTGGATCAAGATGGCCTCCTAGTAGTCGTGCGGGATTGGGCGCCCGACGGAGCGCTGCAGCTCCTCGGGCCCGGCGTGCGAGCGAGGGGAGTCCAGTCACGTGGCAGGGTGCGGGCCGTGGTGGCGACTTCGGCTGCCACCGCGAGGAAGTCTTCCCTGCTTTGCGCAGCGTAGATGGGCCGGTTGTTGAGCGGGCCGCGGTAATAGATGGGGGCGACCGAGCGTGGCACAGTGTTGAACTGGAAGTAACGCATTCCGGTCGGGGACGTGGTTTCAAAGTACACGTCGAGTCGTTCAAGCTCTTTCCAGAAGGGTTCTTCTTCTGCTTTGTCGGGAAGAGCGGCCGGGAGGCCCCCGTCATCAATTACCTGGCTCTCTTGTACTGCCGGAAGAAATATCGAGCGGTCGGCGAGCCCGAAATATCGAAATTCGCGAAGATTACTCGCCCGGCCGATCTAGCTAATAGCCCGACAGAGGGGGCTACTCGCCTCGGAAGGTGGCACAAACTCGCGAGGGATGACGAGCACTCTAGGATCGGGAAGCCTATCGTGGTCGAAATGAAACTCGAGATGCTTGAGCGTGGGCGGTAGGCTGTACTTTTCAATGGCCTTTGTAATGTCGTCGTGGATATGCGAGCATATGCCAGGGTTGCCGTAGTGGTCGCCACTCCACTCTGTCGTCTCCAACTCGGGCATCAGGCTCGTGAGCCAGACTTGCCGAGAAGGATCAAACCTACGACCCTTTGGGCCATTGTAAGGGCCAATGTGGAGTGTACTGATGAGGGGAACTGAACTCAAGGGCCGCCCATCGGCGTTGAGGTCGCTATCGGAAGGGTCGCTATCGGCAGGTATGTGGTCCAAGATGCTCAATTGAGAGTTTATCCACCGCCTGTGGCCCGGATAGACATATTCGTCCGGGTACCACAGCCCGCGCCTCGGCCTCGGGGTGGTCACATCATGGGTACGTTCTGGAGTGTTGTTGTTGTCAGGCCCCCAGTGTTGACGGTCGGAAGGGGACTCGGCAAACATTTTCAGGGTAAGGCGACTCTTCAAGTTCGGAGACCACTCAGAGAGGAAGCGGAGCAGCTTATGCACCGCATGGGTTGCGCGAACGTCGTTGCGCCTCCTCACCAGCCTTGATTCTGGCTCCTTGTCGTTTTCAGAAGACGCGTACGGCGCAAGGACGATTCGATAAACAAGATGACGTAGATAGACGCGTCGATACTCGTTTCCCCCGGAAAAGCATTGCTTGAACATCTCCCATGAGTTGATCGGCTCGTCCACGGACGGATTCTCTGCTTCTGACTGTTCATCGTACTCTTGGTTGGAAAAGACCTGGAGATCCTCAAACGTGAAACGCTCGACAACAACCTGCCACTCGCGCGACACACACGCCAAAGCTTGTTTGGAGTCGCGGTCGGGGATGTTTTGCACAACCATATGCTTGACCTCGCTCGGTAAACGGTTCATTGTCGAAGTGGACAGGTGCGACCAGTTGATTGAATTTGTTGACGAGAAGTTATTGACGAGAAGTATTGATGCGACCGATCCCTAAAGATTGGTTGGTACCAAGATCGAAAGATCAAGTCTGTCTCTGAGAGAATTTGGGCTAGGGCTTGATGATGTTGCGACCTTGAAAGAAATGGGTTGGCAGAAGGAGTGGAGTATCTGATCTGTGGTGGGGGTTCTGTCCATATAGCTTTGCTGTTGCCCAGAGTGCCAGGTAACAGGTCTTAATTTTGCCTGCTGGCGTAACAGCGTACCATTACAGTATCATGCCCAGCAGATTGCCCCTCTTTAAGTGAGGGCTGAATGTTATCGTCGCCTTGGGAGACTAGAACATTGCCTTCTGAACCTTGCACTAGGAAGGTGATAGTGTAATGGTGAGGGTGACCCTTCCTTTGTCCACACCCAAATGATACGGTATTGATTTCGGTAGGTAGGCACTACGGGGTATACTGTCACGCGGGCGTATTCCAACAGCAGACCTACCATACCCCACCCCCCAACGGATCACCCCAGCAGCGGATCACCTTTTTGCACCAAAACACTACAACTTTGAACAACGACTGCATAGTCAATTTTGAAGCTATTTGCAACGAAAATACAGCAAGATATACCTAGTTCAATGCTCAATTATTTTAGCGACCTGGCTTGCGTGTTTCACGGCCAGATGGGGTCCTTTGCGCAGCCGGAATCTCGTCATGGTTGTCATCTTCGTCTTCATCTTCATCTTCAATCTCTTCAGGTTCCGGCTCTGCTTAAGGCTCAACCTGGGGCTCTACAGGAACCTCACTACCTAATAATATAGTACCGAGGCCCATGAACCGCTTATTTGGGTTCGGAATTTTCCTTCGTTTCTTTGGCCTCAGGCGTTCCAATTCAGCCTCAAGGGCTTCAATGCGGTTCTGCTTGAGAACTAATTCGGTCTGAAGCTTCTCAACGGCATTAGCAGCCTTCTGGAACTTTCATCTAGTCCGGGGACTACTTTCTTTGCTAAAATCCGGGATTTGACGCCATGTACTCGGTATATTAGGGGTCCTCGCTCTGTCTTGCTGAATCTCTGGGTGGTTCAGGGCCTTTTGCCTATTGACAGACTAGTTTCCAGTGGTCCTAAGTAACGATTTGATGGTTCTTTCTATCAATGCTTCCTCTCTGGCTACCTTATAGCAACGAATGAAGTTGATCTTGTCAATAGGTGCTGCATCGGTCAGACTAGCCAACTTAGCCAGCTCACGTCTATAGAGGGCTTTAACAGAGTTAAAGGCCTGTTGTCGAGAGGCTGTAAGCCGTGAGAGGTGTGGGCCGGTAGGAAGTAGAGATATATGTTGTTCATGCCGCATATCGTCATGAAGTCGTCCTATATATATATATATATATATATATATATTGTGAGATAGCTAGACCAAAGGGTGCAAGAGACTTATCTCTTACAGCTGTGTGGCTGCCGTGGCTATCAAGATGTAAGAGAAGGCAGGTACGCCGGATCAAGGTGGTCACAATGCAGGTAAGAAGGTGGGCGAGCAACGAGTAGTATTGGTGTGAGATGTCACGACCAGGGCAAGGCATTGAGGTGAACTCAGTCCATTGGGTGCTATCGACGAAGATTCTAAACTGAGGAGGGAAAGAAGGAAAAGTCCGACAACGCGTCGCGTGCTCGCGAATAAGTTTGCATCTATCAGTGGGGTAGGTGGGGCCTCGAGGAGGCTTCTGATAGGCCCGTGGGTTCTGGGCGGCTCTGGCTGCTTCAGGGCCAGTTTGGTGGACGGGTCCTCACATGAGACTTCAACCTGGCCCTCGCAAAGGAAGGTGGGCGAGGGCCACGTTTATATACATGCTCAGGGGCTCAGGCCCGGGGCGCCATGGCGTGGCGTAATGGCTTGTGCCAACTGGCAGTGTTCTGGCCAGTTGGTAACAGGTGGTGAGCGCGCACCCTGTGCGCGCGGCTGGTGTTTGGGGTGTCATTTCCTTACACAAGAATAATGAGGCTAGCCTCATATGCGAGTTCAGGAGCCTATCAGTTGTGGAATAAAAATATCCTCAAGCCAGGAGATTGCTATTTTGTTATTAGTCCACCCCTTTTTTGTAGTAACAAAGCGCTAATTGTAAATCTTCTGCATCTCCTATTCAAACCAGAATGTTTGAAGGTCCTTTCCTTTAAAAATAGTGCCTGGATCAAGGTCAAGACCCCCGGCACTGATGCATTCGATTATGGTGGACCTGTCACGACCAGGGCAAGGCATTGAGGTGAACTCAGTCCATTGGGTGCTATCGACGAAGATTCTAAACTGAGGAGGGAAAGAAGGAAAAGTCCGACAACGCGTCGCGTGCTCGCGAATAAGTTTGCATCTATCAGTGGGGTAGGTGGGGCCTCGAGGAGGCTTCTGATAGGCCCGTGGGTTCTGGGCGGCTCTGGCTGCTTCAGGGCCAGTTTGGTGGACGGGTTCTCACAGGACCAACCACGACCTTTGCCGCTTTTTAGGTATGCTTTCTTCGTCTCTGAGGTCCCTAGGACTAATGAATCAAGCCCTGTATAGTATGAGTAATAGATGTCATATAATATATGTTATATTTTTACTGAAGCCCGCTATATTGCCGGCCTTATCGACGTTGAATGTAAGGAAAAGGACACTCACCTCGCCAACCACCTGTCAACGCGCGCTCCCTTACACGCGTTGACCGTCTGGCACCAACGGGCTAGATTACTGCCGGCTGGCATGAGCCACTAAGCCCATATCGGGCGCCTTGTGTCACAAGCACATCCGGGACCGAGCCCCTGAGCATGTATATAAACAATGGCCCTCCACCTTTCCTTTGCGAGGGCCAGGTTGAAGTCTTACGCCAATACCAGTCTTTGCTCACCTTCTGTTGTCTTCATTGTGACTACCTTGATCAGGCGTACCTGCCCTCTCTTACATTGAAGGTGAGCTCCGGCCTGATTCAGTCGTATTCTTTCTCCCTGGTATCAAAATACCAGTTGATGGCTTTGGGAGTGAACCCGTTAAAACGAGCGGCTTTCATTCTCTTGCCTTCTTTGACTTGAATGTCGGGATTTCGGGCTTTAAAGCTGGAAATCCAGTTCTTTCCTACAGGGTCTAGTTCCCCTGCAAGCTGACAGAGCTTTGTAGCTATACTAGCTGTTGTTAAGTAGCTCGGTGCAAAGCCCAGTCTTTCCTGGTTGACGATCCACTCAATTAGTCGCTTTTTTTGAGGCTCTGTGAGCCTCCGTTGTTCCTGTAGAACCTCTTCTCTGGTAGGGACGCCGTTGAGCCGCCTGTTGAGCGTTGTATAGGGAACTACATGCTTGTAAGCCGATTGACGAATAGAAAGCTTGTTGTCCGTGACGTCTAGGAACGTATTGACCATAGTATCTTCAGTATATTGAGACATCGTGGTTGTACAAGAAGTTATTCATACTCAAAGGTAGGGGGGAAAGAATACAAGGAAGCTAATTTGGAGTCAATTTCGAGTTCATTCGTAGCAATGCAGCGGAAGAAGTAGGGCCTGGGCGCTAAAAAGCAGGGTGGGCGGCGATATATTCGTTCGCTGACAAATCAAATATCGCATATTCGTCAATATTTGCTGACACATCAACGAATATTCGTAAAATCTGCTTAGTAATCATTTCAATATTCGCCAAGCCCACCAAATCCACTTAGTCATCAAGATCCATCTCCTCCAAGCCACTATTTACAAGCCCTGACTTCATCCAATGCTTCAAACACTCAAGAAACTCAATAGTATCTTCACCTAGTTGCATTCTTTCCCAAGAGATTGTACGACGAGACCCAGAAAACACTCGCTCTGGCTCAGCACTCATTGCCGGAATGGATAAAATGTTGATTGCCAGTTGAGATAGCCTTGGCCAGCGTTGTTGTTGTTGTGTATTCAGCCACCAGGATAATGCTGAAGTTTGGATCGAAATTGCAGCTTCTGAGGTATAATCTTCGAATTCATCCTTTATTTGTTGTCGTGGAAGAACATCAAGGTTTTGAGCAAGGATGTCGAATTCATCAAGATCATCAACCTGCATTGATGGCAGTGTTGGAGAGGCGTTTGCTGAGTGATCTTTATGCCTTTCCCAGAGATCTCTGACAGAGTTGATTGCTGGCCGTATCCATTTCTTATCCCAGTTTTGTTTGAGATATAAGGTTCGCCGTGATGAATGGAAAATTACTGCTGCTGCGTAATATGGAGAGTCCTCTGTCTTTAAATAATATTTGTCGAATATAGCCCAGCTGTTTTCGATCCGAGAAGACAGAAGACTGTTTGACTGATGTGTTGAAAGGCTTTTCTTGAAATGCTGATTAAGGATGTCCATTGTGAATAGAACTCGGTCAATTGTCGCTTGATCTCCCTCTGTAGCCTTTGTTGCTCGATAAAACGGATGTAAGAAAGTCGATATCGCTCGAAGATATTCCCATTCTTCCGGAAAAAGAAAATCCTTCTGAAGATATTCATACCAGGACTTGGTATATAAATAAATTGAACCCTCATGCTCAATAGCAACTTGAACCATTAAATACCAACTGTTCCATCGTGTTGAATTATCTGAAGGGATCATTCGACCAGCAAGCTGAGTAAATTGGCGGATTCGAGCAGGAGACCCTCGGATATGGCGGACAATATTATGGAGTTTAATTAGAGGGTTTAGATCATCAGAGATCTGAGCCTCCTCATCTGCCCCTTTGTTGTGTTCATCGACTGCTTGAAATAGAAATGTCTGGACAGCAAGATTGATAATATGCCCATTACATCGGATTCGATTATCTGATGATAACCAAGGGATTGCCATTTCGCTGAAGGTTGCTTCGAGAATTTTGCAAAGACTGTCGTTGGTAGAAGCGTTATCGCTAATAATTGCCCCAGCTTTTGAACAGATATTGTAATCCTTAAGAATACAGATGAGGGCTTCGTATTGTGTTGCTGCATGATGTGACTGGATAGATGGAAGGCCGATAAGTGCTTTTTGAAGGGTTTCTGATTCGAAATCCACAAAATGAGCACAAACTGCAAGGAACAGTTTCTGGTTTGGAGAAGTCCAAACATCGAGGGAGAGGTGGATTGTTGAGCGGGATGATTAAAGTTTCTTCCGAATAAGATCCTTATTGAAAAGCCAGGATTTTCTGATATGCTCTCTGATAGTCGAATGTGATGAAAGGATCTCGTTTGATGCCGTTGGATTAAGAGCTTTGCAAAGGGTGTGAAAATAGGGGCTTTCGACGATCCGGAAAGAAAGATTCTCAACAACAATAAGCGAAATAATCGCCTGTGTGATAACCTCTTTATTTAACGCTCGTTTCAAGATTTGAGCATCAAACTCAAAGGACTGATTGATCACCATTGCTTTCTCATATAGAGATTGCAGTGCTGTATGGCTGGAATCGTCGGCTTTCCTCGATTAGCTGATAATTGCAATACCATGCTTGGATTGAATGTGTTGCCGGAAGTTCGATGTGTTTTGAGCACTCCATGATGGGCAATATTTGCAATAATACATGCGGTTTTTGCCTTTTCGTGCCGGTTCTTCGTCTTGGGGTGGTCGTGTGTGCTCTGTGATTGGGCTCAGAATTCGGCCCGTATCTCTGGATATTGAAGAATCCTCAGAGATGAAAGACATCTTTCCTGATGTGAATTGGAAGGATTTGGTAGAATTTGTGGTGGTTAGGTTGGGTTGGGCAGCCAAATATTTGTTGGCTGTGATGGCAGATTAGGTAAGCAGACGAATATTCGTGGCTGTTTTTGGTTGCTGTCTGCACTTGTGGCAGGCTGACTAAGCGAACGAATATTCGTCGCCCACCCTGCTAAAAAGTCCACATCAAAATTAAACTACATGCAATTACCTAACTATTTCAATTCTCTTCTTGTGAATATCTTCACAATTGACTACGTTGTGGTTGTTTAAATATTTGGTGTTTTGGTGTAAAAAGGTGATCCGCTGCTAGAGTGATCCGTTGGGGGGTGGGGTATGGTACTACACCTTCAGCTAGAGTTAGCTTTCTTCTTCTGGTCTGGAGCAGTTATTTCATTCCACATGGGTTTTCTGTCCCAGAGTCCGAGTAAGTGCAGCAGTCTCACTTGAGCGCGTCTGAAAATGTCTGGCTAACTGAACCTAACGGGCCTGGGGCTTAGTCTGGGCGTACGGGTCATCCGCCCTAGCACGTGACCGAGGACAGCCCACTTCCCCAAAACCACCAGCACCCTGTTACCTTAGTTCGTGTACAACATAGATAAAATACCACCACCACCCCCCAACCTTACGCTACGGTTACTATAGTGACTATTGCGAATGACCTTGTCATTCCAACACGTCGGGATCGTCGCGAATATCTTCGCCGTCCTCGTCGCGAATATCGTCAAATTATTCCTCATTGGATTTAATTATGATTTCACTGAAATTGATCCGCTCGACAGCCGCTTGCCACCCGCTTGGCACGCACGCCATGGCGATTCGAGAATCTTTGTCGGGAAGAAACGATGCAATGATTAGCTTGATCTCGGAAGCAGGCTCTCTATTGCCGAAGGGGTGCGATGACTTCGTAGTCGCACCTGATGAGTTTGTGGTCTCATTTTGTTGATCTGACTGAGCGACAAATGTATCAAGGTCGAAATACGATGAAGTCTGTTCTGCTTGGTGTTGACTGTGTTTAGTCCTGCTGTCGGTGGGGAAGTAGTTGTTGGAACAACGCGCATTCCAGCCACATAGAGGTGGCTGTAGCAGCGCATTCATCAGCCACACAGGCGGCGGTGGAGGCGTAGGGGTCCCAGATTCCATATAAGTGGCCTACGGCCACCTCTTTCTTCTAGATAGACATAGACAACAATGACCATCACTTGAACCACCAGCTTTCGGCGTGCAGCATGCCCTGTTGTTTCCAGTACCGGTACCTGGTGATTCCAACAGTAGTCTCGCTAGAAAGCTGAATTCTGGTAGCAAGGCCCCGTTAACCGTTGAGGCATCGGATGAACTACACCGAGCAGCTCATGGAGCCTACAGGCCTAGAAGGCGCTACTGTAATTACGATAGGGACCAGGCATGACGTCCTTGTGTTCTTCAGCGGACCGATGGCCCTTGAACAGTGGCCTCGTCCACCAGATCTTCTTGCTATGAACCCGAATAGTTAGGTGATTCGGTAACGCGTCTTCCCTCTTTTGCTAGTTAGTAAATATTTGGGTAGCGGGGCTGAAAGGCGATGACCATTTGCTAATGATAGAAACTGCATAATAAGGCTAAGATAGATGCCCCATTTGATATTTGTACAATGAAATACTGATACTTGCGTATGTAGAATACAGTGCTGATTTTGTCTTGTGTTTGTGCAAGTCTGTGGCCCAGAACTGATGTAGCCGTACCTGCGGTTTCCCACCCGTCTTGCAAAGTTGACCTCGCCTATCGGCCTTTTTTTCACTAGCCTTTTTTTCACTGGCCCAACAGGGACTTTGACCGACATCGGCACTATGGCGGGGCTCATCCGCAGGCGCGCCTCTCTCTGCTTTCTTGCTGTCTGAAAATACGTCCGCCGACGCACTGCCAATTTTGTTCTACCCAGGACGTATCCACCTCGCATCGATACCCCAGCCCCGATCTAAACATCCCCCGATCTAAACATCGACCGCCGCCACGTTCCCTACTCTCGCAGTGAAATATTCCCAACATTCACGAAACACCACCATCCGACGCCGCAAGAGATACAAACACGAGGCGAGAGCCCCAGCACGCTTTCAGCCTAGTGTTCGCGATTTCCGATCTTCCACGCGATATTCCGGTTCAAAATCGATATCAAGCGGTGACCGCGGCCGTGATTGCGAAAGATTTTAGGTGGGCTAGACTTCATCTCGACCTTGGCCCTCACCGGACACAAAGAACTTAAATGGTGTTGTTGTGCCAAAGGTGCGGCGCAACAAAGCTTCGAGGCCTGTGGGATTCTCTTTGTCCTTCCTCTCTCAAGCCTTTCCAGAGTACCGCCTTGAAGACTCAGCCTCAGAGCCTCGCCATCCCAAACCCGTTGATTTTGCTGACGCGGTAATAAAGATACTCGTTCCCTTGGGCTTGATCAACTTGCCATCGATTATCACAGACACTAGCCAAGCCTGATGCGGCTGAAAGACCCCCTGCGAGCTTAGGTTGACGACAAGCTCAGGCCCTTCACAACTTTGATTACCTTACTCAGCGGCCTCGCATGCGACTCACAAGCTCAGGTCATCCTATACGAGTGATCGAGAAGATACTGGATGAAGTTTGGACCTAACATGGATGGCAGGCTTTATGAGTTGGAGCTAGTCGAGGATTAGTTACACAGATGACGAAGGGACTCCTAGTGAAACACAAAGACGAACACTTTATTGGAACTCAGGTACAACGATAATCTGGCCGATATAATCAAAACTCCACTTCTAACGGAAGCAGGTGGCTAGTTATCGGCACCCAGCTCTTCCGTGCTCTACAGCAAAGTCTACAATAAAGAACGAAAACTTCCGAACCCCACAAGACGAGTCGACATCACGGGACTCTCTCGCCTCAAACACCGACAAATCCGAGCTCCCCCCCAACCACAAGCTGCACCTCAACAACAACCACCCCTCACTTCACTATACCTTGCACAACTTCTCGTGCACCCGAGCCGGGAAGCTATCGGCATGGCCCCAGTCGAAGCCGGCAATGGTGGCACCAAGCGGCGTCGATGCGTCGGCTTGCAGATAGTCGCCTAAACCAGTGCGTCAGCAAATTTCCCGCGTCTTTCCTCTCCCCGGGGTGCGGGAGGACACAGGGATCAACACTCACCCTTCTCGGGAAAATACCACCAGTCCTCACCGCGATACGCGTTCCACGTCAGCTGCGACAGCGGGTCGATCCAGCCGGTGCGGCGCGTGTGGTAGGTAGCGTGCTTGGACCAGCTGACATACACCTTGGCGTGTTCGCGGCCAGTCCGCCCGTTGGGCCCGCCACGCGGCCTGCCAGCGTCGGCCTTGTGGAAGGTATTCTCAATGCTCCCCCAGGCGACGCTCTCGTAGCCGGCGTGCTGGCCGAGCAGCAGGCGGGCGGGCGCCCACTTGTCTCTGTTCTTCGCGGCGACAGCAGTCGCGTTGCCACCGGCGCGCTGCCAGACGACGATGACGCGCTCCCAGTCGTAGCGGTGGCCGCCTAGAACGTCGGGCGAGCAGCCGTCCTTCTCGAAGAAGATGTTGTACGCGACGCGCACCTCGGCCAGATCGCACCGGCGCACCGAATAGTAGATGGGAAACGGCGGCCCGGCGTGGTTGCGCAGCACCCCCGGGTTGCGGCAGTTGCACCCCGTCTTGGGGTAGCTGCACAGCGCCGCCGACGGTGTTTGCTGCCCGTCCGCGTCTGTCGCGTGCGTCGGGTAGCATGGCACTTGCCTGAGCGCCTCGCTGAACAGCCACATGGGCGCGGCTGCTAGCGCAAGGTCCACCCCGTCGCCTGCGAGGAGGACTGCCATGGCCGTGTCTGTGATGGGGGCTGCCATGGCCGTGTCCGTGATGGGTAGTGTCGTGGCGGCGGCTGCGCTGGCCAGCAGCAGGAGAGAGCTGGCCAGCCCCCTGGAGAGGAGGATTCGCATCGCCGTGGCTGCCGACAGGTTGTCAAGAGATAAAAGGGTAGGCTCGGCAGCTCGGCTTGGCCGAGGACGCGGCTGTCAACGGTTGAAGGTTTTGTTCAATGATGGATGTGCAAGTCGATCTTCGATCCCCTTGAACTTTCCTCGGAATTCCGTGGTATTATGGTGCTCGGCAAGGAAGATTTTAGCTGCGTCTTAACCTCAGCCTGCACGCTTCCTCGCATACGCCGTTGAACCTTCGGAATGGAGCTACGGCTCGTCCCGCCGAGAGCTTTGTATATACGTGGTGTAGGGTGACATTTGATAGCTGCTATGACACGTTGACTACCTTAGCCTTGCTTAGATGGCGGTCAGACGCACGGTTTGCTTGATCGAGCGCTGCCAGCGCCACGTTACGTTCGCCATTTGTTTAATCGTTGTAGCAGAATAGGTCGTTCGGAAAGGCCACGTTTTATCTTGCTGAAGAGGTCTTGCAACCCCGGCCCATAAACAGTAGTAGCGGTGAAGCGGTGGTACAATGTTGAGCATTCTAGTTTTAGCCGAAATTTACATCTTTTCCAATCTGTTTTGGAGATAAAAGAGGGTGCGGGGTTTTGTTGTGACGGGTAGCTCTGAACCTCAACTCCAATGTGGTTGACCCAAGTTAACTGCTTTTGGAAGGCCCCAGCAGCGCAACGAAGCTCCCCTCGATCTTGCCTTCTTCATCGTCTCCCCTCGATCTTACCTTCTTCGTCGTCTCATAGAAGCAAAGGAAGTAGCAATGCTTCCTCCACCTGCCGCTTCTCGGCTTTTAAGATGCTGTAGCGCCTTCCTACCTAGTTCTTGGCTTGGCAATAGAACTCAAATGCAGTCTGGAAGGCCTGATTGCTTTGCCCCCGGAAAATTTGATTCTGCAGCTTCTCCTCTCGAAATGTCGAGGAAACATTTGGTGCAATAAATCGGAACACCAGCCAAAGCGCAGCCTTCTCGCACTACTACAGTCATGGCCTTGCGCCTCGCTGCAGCCGTTTACGCAGGCGGGTTCTTCGCTGGTGCACAGCTAGACACCAGCCCGTGGATGTGGGCCACCGTGGTCGTGACCGAGACGGTCTGGACCATGTGCGCTGCTGAGGAGACGACAACCGTAAGAAACACCACACGAAAGTGCAAGAAACAACGCACGAAAGTGTAGAACTCCAAAAGACGGCAGCTGATTTGCCGTGGCAGATCGTCGAGCAGGGCCCCGTGTCGACGAGCATCGTACTCGCCAACGCCGTGCTCAGCGACATCACCATCCAGCCTGCCAGCTCGCCCGCGTGGTGCTACAGCCTGCCGACGCCGCTGTCGGCGCTCGACTCCATAGCGCTCTCGGTGGACAGGGCCAGTCCCACCGCCCCCAGCACCGCCTCGGTAGCCGATGAGGACGCTGTCTTCTTCTATGTCGGGGACAACGCCACGGCGCCAGAGTACGTCGGGGCGCTGGTCGACGGCTCGCCTTTCCTGCTCGACATCTCTTCCAACGCGTCCGCTGCCGGTCATGTCGCGCTCGTGTCGTCGGCGACCGGCGAGACCCTTGTGTTTGACGCTGCTGGCATGCACCGCTTCGCCCCCGGCTGTGTTGCGGTCTCGTCGGTTCTGGTGGCGGGGTTCATGGAACAGATGGTGGATATCGTGTCGCAGATGCCTGTCGCTCAGTCAAATGTCTTTGGCCAGGACAGCGTGGCTGTTGCCCAGAAAGTGGCTCGCAGTAAATCAGCCCCGAAGATGGCAGAGACCAACTTTACGGTCGTTGTCGAGGTTGATGATATCATCGACGCCCTGCTCAGGGAGCCGCATGTCTTCTTCGGGCCGTCCGAGTGCGCCTTTCTCTCGCGGGACGACAAGGCAGGCGGCGACTGGACGGTGCTGTCTTGGACGTGCCAGTTCCCTGGCGCCAATAGCGGCGAGAAGGCCTGTGAGGCCGCTTTCCACTCGTGGCTCGAGCCTGACGGGACCATCGCCACGTCCACAATCATTGCCAGAACGACGGTCGCGGCCACGACCGTGGTCGAGCTCTCTCCCCAATGCAAGCCCATCAGCAACGGCCATGACCTCTTTTTGTGCCTGCCACAGTTTGTGCGCGCAGCAGGGGCGCCGCTGACAGACCTCCTGCCGGGCATCGATGCCCAGCTTCGGCGCGGCCTAGGCTGGCTGGCGCACGCGGCGCAGGCAGCGGTCGTGGACGCGGCCGAGGTGGGCGGTAAAGCACTGTGCCGCGTGCTGCACGCCGCCGACGAGTATCCCGTGCTGTTTTCAGATCCGGGCATCGCGGCTGCCCACACCATTGCCATGTACGTGTCGCCGCCCGTGCCGACCATTGTTGAGACTCTGGCATCGCGCACCACGCGTGTCACCCGCGAGCCGCCCCGCGCTGTGATCCCTGCCGTAACGGCATTTCCTAATGTCACCGTACCCAGCTTCTTGCCGACCGCCGCGGGGATTCTGACGGGGATTATCGGGGGGTTTGGGTCGGGCCTGTCGCGCATTCCGTAGTGCTAGGCGGTGACGTTGATGATGGGCACGATGTCGAGGCAACGCAAGCGGCGGCGCAGGCCACGGCGAGCTCGTCTTAGGCTGGGTGTTTGTCCTCAGCTTCGACAATGTCTGTTTTAGCTGTCGCCGCTGTCATCCAGACCGGCTGGTGATGCGGCATCATCTCGTCCTTGTCAGCACCAGGCTTGGCCATGTCCTCCGTCTTATTACCTATCCAACTGTGCCATTGTGTCAGAAGCCATGTTTTGGACTCGGAAACCTTAGGCCAGTTGGCAACAGTTCCGAGAACTTACTTTGTAAAATGTGGATCGGACTCAAAATCGCACTGTTCAACATCGCGATTCGGGCATATCAAGGGGCTTTTGGACGTTATTTTGTTTCTTTTCCGCAGCCATGCCGCGCCTTGAAGGAAATCGAGTTTGCCCATGGAGAATTTTGGCCGGTGTGGACGGATCTTTGTCGGCGCTTGGGAGCAATGGAAATCGGATCAAGCATATCAAAAGAGTTGGTTGCCTCCTATCGGCTCCACGTGAAACTCGGACTTTCAGTGAACTAAGAAATTGTTTTCACGGCACCCTCGCCTCGAGGCTCCACCCTGCAACCTTGCACCAGCCAACACCCCCTTTGCAAGACCTCTCCTCATCGAACCTGTCACCACGTTCTGGCTGTTGTTCTTCCACCACGTTGTGTATAACCCTACCGCCAGTCTACTGCACCTAGACACCAGCCACCACTACTTCATCGTCGTATGTATAATTCTTCATCTACTTCTCTCGCTACGTCACCTCGACCTTCGGCGAGAAAGCTTGGTAGCTCCGGATACCGTGATATCAGTCCACATTTTCGAAGAGCAAAAACCTCATCACAAAAGCACCCACCCAAAAAAACCCAAAACCACCCAAAAAACCCAAAAACCACCCAGCATACCCGCTAGTCGAACCATGTTCTGTCTGTCAACTTCTGTGGCTATGTTTTGGCTACCCCTACTGGTCTTGTGGCTGGGTCTCCCTCTCGGCCCCTGGTTGCACGGGGCAGGCAGCTGTGGCGCCATCGCCAAGGAGGTCCCGGGCAACCTCAAACAGTTCTATGAGCAGCTGCGCGCCGCCGCGTCTTGTCACAACGTGCTAGCCACGGGCTTCTGGGACGAGCAGACGGGGAGCAACAGTGAGTTTTTCGCGGGCACCTACCTAAGCACATCTGCACCCACCCAGTCTCTCACACCCGAACAGCCTTCACGTACTGCGGCGATCACCTCGCCGGGTACTCCTTGATGTACATACAGGGCCGGCAGGGCGCGCTGGCGGACATGGATGTCGACTGCGACGGCGTGGCGGGTGGCTCGGCCGACGACGGGCGGTGCAGCGCGCGCGAGAGCCCCGACCTGCAGAACGTGACGGCCTTCCAGGACACGCTGGCCGGCTACGGCGTCGCCGGCGTTACGGACCTCGACCCCTACGTGCACCCCTACGTCGTCTTTGGCAACCAGGGCGCCAAGGCCAACTGGCCAACCTTCGACCCCACCGCGTACGGCGTGCGCCCGCTCAGCGTCATGGCCGTCGTGTGCCGCGGCGGCGAGGATCTCGTGTACGGCGTGTGGGGCGACACGAATGGCGACGACGGCGGGTACGCGATGGTCGGCGAGGCGTCCCTGGCTCTTGCTACGGCCTGCTACGGCAACGAAATGTCCGGCGCCGACGGCTACAGCGCCGATGATGTGCTGTACTTGGCGTTTATCGGCCCCGAAGCCGTGCCTGGTGCTGCTGGCGCCGACTGGGGCGCGCCTGATTTCCACGCGTTCGAGCAGAGCATTGACGCGCTGGGCGACTCGCTCGTCGCCCGTATCGCCCCGGACTCGGTGGCTGCGGGCCGGGCTGTGGTGGGTTGGGGTGTGGTTTTTATTGCGGTGCTGGCGGCGGGTTTTGTGGCGCTTTGAGAGTTTGGCCTTTGTGCTGCGGTCCTGCGGGTCTGCGCGTGCAGTATCTACCTACCTACTGTACTACCCTTACGCTTAATAAACTTACTTGATCATACGTACTGAACATTGATGTTTGCCGGGATGAGGCAGCCAAGTTATCATCAAAATTCCCAAAACTTTCCGAAGCGACCACGAGAGCGAAGTGGTTCCTTCGAGCCTTGACCATGATATCATCACAATGTTTGAACGGGCAAGGGCTGAACGATAACTGCTCAGATTCCACCCCGGAAGCTAAATGACGACTACTACAGGGAAGGCGGGCAAAACGAGCACCCTAAACATTGCTGTCTTCTCAGCCCTCAAGGTACGGATTTGTGATGTTTTCAGCTATGCTGTCCTCCAATGACGTCCATCCATTCCTGGCCCGTTCGGTTGACCACTTGTTCAGAAGCGCGACAGATTCTGATTGATCGACCGATAGCTTTAGATGATGCGTGTCGGGGTAGTCGTCGACAAACTCTTTCTGCGGCCGAAGCCTGCGCAGAATAGCGAGTATCTCGTTCCAGTGAGAGCTATGCCCCCAGGACTGGAGGCGCGCGTTCTTGACCTCAGGGTCCAGGGCGGCTGCTACGTGGATCAACGCCACGTCCTTTACGTCGCCGTAGAAGGCTGGGATTGAAAGAGTCAGGTCACGGCTTGGTTGGAGCTTGAGAGTTGGCGTGAAGAGCAGCTTGAGAGTTGGTGCGAGGAGCAGCTTGGGAGTTGGCGCGAAGAGCAGATCTTACAGGCTTGCAGTGAGTCCATTACCGCTTTGTTGCCTCTGTAGGCGTGTACGACCCAATTGGCCAGCCCTTCGATGTGTTTCTTGTCGAGGGGCTCCCCGGTCAGGCCAGCAGGAGACACGACATTGACATTGAAGTGCAGGTCATGTCTCCCGACAAAATCCCAGACTTCCTTCTCGGCGGCTACCTTGCTGGCAGGGTAGTTGGCCATAACACGGGACAGGCTATACGGAGGTGGCACCCATGCAGCGTCCAGGACGGCATCATTCCACGAGTCTCGCCTGATGGTCCCATTGTCAATTCCAAGAGCAAGCGGCGAGGTAGTAATGGCGCTTCCGGTAAATACAACCTCCTTGACTGAGGGCTCTCGGATGGCCGCGTTCATGGCGGACCGGATGCCGGCCACCATGGGGGCGATGACGTCGTTTGGATCCGGGACGATGTTCGCAACGTAGGCAGTGTGCATGATGGCAGCGACGCCTCTGATTGCCTCGTCGAAGGCGCCATCAGTACCGAGAGGAGGGACAGAGACGAGCTCGATGGCACCGACGTCGGCATAGCGCTTGAAGCGGCCTCCCAGGAGCCACGAGGATTGGGTGGGATCACGAACGGCGCCTCGAACCCTGAATCCCCTTTCCAGAAGTTGAAGACAAATATGGGATGCAAGGGAGCCACTGGCACCGGTCACCAGGATCCAGGAGCCAGCAGGAATAGACGTAGCCAAAGACATGGCCGAAGAGGACATGGCCAAAGAGGACGTGGCCAAAGAGGACGTGGCCAAAGAGGACGTGGTGCTGTAATAGAACTAATGTTTGGCTGGCTCGATGGACGTGAAGGGAGCGTAGTAATGAGAGGGGGGACATTGCTCTTAGTCCAAAGGTTCAAACTAGGCCCTTATATACTGTCTGGCGAGCCCTTCGACATTCACTCTCTGCTCGAACACGACTCTGCTAGCACCTTGCCTCAAGCAATACCAGCAGTTCATGATTGCCAGTCATGACCAAAACCCATGTAGCTCATCCCGATCCGGCAATCCTTAGTCTTGGCAGGGGCCAGCGTCGCATCACGGCTTAATATGGCCAAGATCAACATGCTAGCCGCCTCCTGATCGGGAGATCCTTTGTCTTGGCAGAGACTGGTAGCTGACAAATGCGGTTCGCGCGTCAGGGAGATATTTGTGACATCTAAACGTGCTCCGCACCATCAGTATCACTGACTCCAAGTAACATCTGGATTTCCCTTCGACTAAACGTTAAATACCTGGTAATATGGTGCGCCAGTTCAGATTTGTTGCCGTCTCAAATCCGGTGGAAGCCCCTTCATCCGCGTCGAAGAAATTGGCCTACTCCCATGCCTTTCGCCAGGCACACGCCGAGAGAAGGCGTGAGCAAACAGAGAAGTACAGAAGAGAGATAGCCAGTATCCCGGTGACCAAGGTCTGCACTGCATCCGATGAAGTTGTCTCGAGCCCTCCGAGCCAAGTGCTCAGCAGCAACAAAGACCCGTTCTCGTCCTTGGCGAGACCGCTCTCTCCGGTGGAATATTTCCTACTTGATCACTGTATGTCCACCACAACTACACAACTACTCATGTATACCTATTCCTGCTCCTACCGAGGCATGGAAGATCCCCTTCTAGGCCAGGGGACCTCTTCTAGGCTAGGGACCGTGCCCTCTCATGTTGACAAACACTGCCTTGGTTGCGCCCCAGACGTCCACGTAGTCGTGCCATTCACTGTTGGCCACTGCGGCCTATTCGACCATCCAGGAGACAATGAGACGCAACTGCTTCGGGAATGGGCTAGTCTCGCAATCACCGACGACGCGCTCATGACCGCCGCCATCTTCTTGAGCACATGCCGTTACATTCTGCAGATCCAGCCAGGCAACACCGTCATTGTGCAGTTGGCCCTACAGTACAAGCAGACATGCCTTCAGACACTACGGCAAGAAATGAACAACACTGCGGCCCCCGTCAAAATCACCACTATTGCTAAAGCACTCGCCCTTGCGCTTGACGAGGTAATGTCTTCCTTCTGGGGCCCATGGCTGGGTAATGTCTTTCTTCTGGGGCCCATGGTTGGGTAATGTCTTTCTTCTGGGGCCCATGGCTGGGTAATGTCTTTCTTCCGGGGCCCCTGGCTGACTAGGCTGTGGCTTCTCTTGAAACTGACGAGGGATGATTTCTCATCCAGGTGACGGCGGGCGAGCACGCTACTGCCCAGAAGCACTTGAAAGGCGTGTTTGCTATGGTCGATTCTAGCGGTGGGCCAGGAAAGCTCGGCTTGACAGGACTGTTGGAACGCATGTAATTACCAAAAGTTCATGGACGACATGTTTATCAGGACACTGTTCTAGGCCGGACCTAATGCAAGCACGAGGAGATGCACAAGGGACCTCGGGCCTGTATTGCTCGTCCAGATTAGCCACATGGATCACAGCCATTTGGTGAATGTCTCGGCGCCGCAGTGGATACCTGTCGGTAGAAATCCAAGGGCTACGAACCTTGTCCACAGCAACACGTCTCTGCCGGCGTCATTTGGACCGTTCAAGACTCAATTGCCGCGGTAATCTCTACTCTTTCCTATTGTCGCGGCGCAGCTTAGGGTCAGGGGGTCATCACGTGCCACCGGACCATAGCATGGCAGTGAGTCCACGCCCGAAACGCGGTGGTGCCTACCACATGGCAATCGGCTGACATTCGTGCTCCAAGGGGTCATCAGACGGCTGTAGCCCGGCAAATCGATATCGAATGAGTGCCCCCAAGGTTTGAGCTTTGAAGTTGAACTCTTCGATCCGCCGCTCCCTCCCTTTGCACTCGCATCTGCCACCATCCTAGTACATCACTGCTGAGAAGACCACCAACTTCGACCAGATTCACGATATTCTCCAGACAGAACCACCGAGCGCCGCCTCCCATGCCACCAGCAAGAATGAGGCCAATTGCCATCGTCGTCGCTGCCGCCTGGACTGTCGTGGCCCAGACGACCAGCGGCCTCCCTCCTTGCGGTGTAGGTTTTTAGCACTCTAACTCTGCTCCCACCCACTCACGCCCATTATGGCCGTGGGCTAACCCCCTATTATTTACATAGCAAATCTGCGTCGACAACATGCTCTCGCAGGGGCCCGACCTGGGCTGCCCGACCGTGAACGGCGCTCCCGACGCCGCCTGCCTCTGCAACAAGTCCAACTTTGGCTACGGCATCCGCGACTGCGCCCGCCAGGCCTGCCCAAGTGCAGACGTCGGCGCTGTCGTCAACTACGGGCTGACGTACTGCACCAGCGGTAAGCTAAACCCTCAACTCCCTCTTCCAAGATCTATGTACAACCACCGAAACAAGCGCTCGCTGACATGACGCTGCGCCGTCCCCGTCTCCAGCAGCAGCCGCAGCAGCAGGCCCAGACTCGGCCTCATCCATCACGGTCCCGCCCGCCATCTCAGCGCTAGGCGGACCCGGCGCCGGCGTGCTACTCCCCCCGCCACCGACCCTGAGCACGCCGCTCAGCGCGCCCAGCAGGGCATCCCTTACTCGGCCCGCCGGCGCACCCACGGGCCCCGTAGTGGCAACGTACACGATTGGCGGCGCGACGATCGTGACGACCATCGCGCCGTCCGATCTCGCGCCGGGCCTCGTGCCCGTCCCGGTGCAGACGCTACACAGCTCGACGACCGAGGTGGTGGTGGTTAGCAACAGCTCGACGACGGTGACGTCGCTGACGACACGCCAGCTCGTCGGCGCCAGCACCACGGACCGCGCGGCGGTGAGCACGACCACCGAGAGCTCGCGCACGTCGACGCGCACCACCCGGACCGCGTCGGCTGCCTCGTCTACGTCGCCGTCTGAGTCGACTGCCGGCGGCATGCCCATCGCTACCATTGTCAAGGACAACATCTTCTTGGGCGCCGTCGCGGTTGCCGCCGCCGTGTTTCTGTGAGGGGTTGCGAGTTCAAGTTGTGGGATATTGTGGCGTCGTAATATGGGGAGCTGGGAAGCATTGTTGTGGGAATGGGGGAGATGTCGAGTTTGTCGTAGAGTCGTGGTAATATCAATAACGAACGGTCAGGGTGTTCTGTTGGATTCACCAGGGTACCGGTACTGGACTCAACAGGGCGTGGCTGCACGCCGAAAACTGGTGGTTCAAGTGATGGATTGTAGATGTCTGTTCTTCTCTCTCTCTAGCTTTCTGGCAGTGCCAGAAAGCCCGTTCTTATACTACTATTGTGGTGGCGAAGTTGGTGGCAAAGTCTCTATCTAGAACCTTCGAGGCCCTTCTGCTTGACAAATTCCAACACTGGCAGTTTTCTCTTTTGAGGCTGGAAAGCTGCCCTTATATAGCTGCCACTATCTACACCCCCGGGATCACTGCTTCCACCCGGGTCTTCCTTACCGGGAGACCCACCCTTCCATACGGACCGTAAGGCTATTACCGTCGATGAACCGTTCTAGGGCCCGGTTCGGTACGGCCTTGGTCAGGGCGTCGGCGGGGTTATCGTCGCCGTGGATCCACCTGACCTCGTGTAGCTCACGGCGCTCGTACGACTGCCGTAGGGCCATAATGTCGATCATTAGCCTCTTCTCTTTCGTTGTCCCTAGCTTGACAAGGCATTCGTATAGCGAGTATGAGTCTGTACAGACGACCGTAGGGACTGTTGGTAGATTGAGGTGCGTAGTGACGACTTGAATCGTAGAAGCTAGTGCGTAGGCCATATCCACGCCTGCCACCATGCCGTAGACTTCGGAAGCGAGTATACTACGTGTGACTCGCTTGCTCTTAGTACTGGAGAAGTGGATGATATTACCACGAATGGTGAATTGAGTATCGATTGTGGTCTCGTTGGCTAGAATGATTACGAAGCCGAGTTGTGATGTGAGGTCACGGTTATTAGCGAAGGATCCGTCGACGAAGACGAAGAGCTTTGCGTTAGGTAGGTCTAGGGGGATAAATGCTAGACCTCGGTCCTGGTTATCAACCTGCCACTTAATACGTTGGTTGAGGGCTTTCAAGTCATCTAGCGTAGGCTCTTGGTGTTGCGCTGCGGTTGATAGGTCGAAGCAGGCTTCAGGTTGACAGATGGAAGCAATATACGCGCCGCGGGCTCGCTGCTCGACGTATTGTTGCTTGGCGTCAACTGCATTGTAGTTAATAGGTCGTAGCCTACCGGCCTGGCCTTTCTGCCGTAGGGTGATCGTATCGTTGGTAAGCGTAGCGATCCCTCCGTTGAATGCTAGTGGTTCCTTTGAAGTCAGGATCTGCTTAGGCTTTGCACTGAATGCGGCCTCTTTCAGCTGTTCTTCCTCAACACGGGAAAAAGCCTTAGTTGACAGGCCGATCGTATCGTCGGTTTGCATCCCGATGCAGGCAAATTCCGGGTTCTCCGTATTGGAAATTAACAAGCAGGGGTCGTACGTAGATGTCATCATCTGGAGCCTTTCTAAGTGATGCTTATGGTAGGTAGCCCACCAGTGGGTCCCTGCCTCAGCCAGGCCGTATAACGGCTTGATTACTCGCATTACGGTGCCTTCGGGGTACTGGTCCTGAATCTGCTTAGGTAGGTAGGCTAGGATTTCGCGGTTGAGGTTGGTTCCTGATTGAACGTAGGCCTGCGTAATGTCCCGTAGCCAGATAACCATACTGCGTTGCATGAGCGAAGGAGCTAGTGCCAGTATAAGGCGTTGGCTAGCCCGTTGGATCGTTGGCGACTGGGTTAGAATAGACTCCTTCCCGTCGTCTGCGTAGCCTTGGATAACGAGGCGGGATTTTTCGTAGGGCGTTGTGGTATTCTTGCCCTTGACTTCGTTAACGATGCGGGACTTGAAGATGCGTAGGCCTCGGTTGTGGCCTTGCTTGACGAATTCGAATACTCCCCGAGCGATTAGACTGTCGATCTCGTATTGGGTAGACTCTTCGAATGGTGCGCCTGGCGTGGTGATCTTGCCCTCGGTACGTAGTCGTACCGCTAGTACGGCGTCGGCCTGTTCCTTGTTTGTTATAAAGCTCTCAAGGGTTCCGGTTTCCTGAAGGAAGGTGTCTTGGGGGGAGGCTTTACGGGGTCGACCGCGGCGTCGTGGTCTGACGATGATCATGTCCTCTGCTTCGCTTTCCGGGGCTAGGTTAGCTTCCGATGCCGTTGTGGTTGGTATAACCGGTATAGCCTGCGAAGCTGTTGCGGTCGGTGTAGCTGGTGAAGTTGGTACGGCCGTCGGGTCTTCGTAGTAGGGCTTAACTACGGTTGATCGGAAGATGCGCGGGCCGTTATTCATTTCCAGGGTACAGGTTTCTCCGTCAACTGCAATCAGTTTGAAGGGTCCTTGCCAACCGGCTTTTTCGCGCCATACACGGACTAGGGAGTTAACCGGTAGTTGAGTGGTTCGTACGGTGTTTGGGCCGTTGCGCGTTGCGAGGGCGCCGTTGACTTGTCGTACGGCCTGTAGCCGTTTGACTGCGTCAGTGGCTTTCTTGACTGCTAGGGCACGTTGTTTTATCGTAGGCGAGGGTGCCGAATCTTCGGTCAGCCGGGGGTAGGCGCCGAAGACTAGAAGCGTAGGTATAAGGCCGTCCGGGCCGGCCGTATCGTTGACTGCTTTGACGGCCATTTGTAACGAAGCTTCCGGGCTTGCTTCGGGGTCCTCGGCCCTGAAGATATTATATGCCCGGCGTAGTGGTGTGTGGTATCGTTCAACCTTGCCAATACTGTTGTGGGCTTCAACGGGTATTTCTTTGATCGAGATCCCCATCTCCTTAGCCGACTGCCGGAACTCGGTAGATCGGAACGAAGTGCCGGCATCGGTAACTAGCCAGTCGGGGGGTCCTTGGTATACATTGATCCAGCAGAGGCAGAGGGCTTCCCATACGGTCTTTGACGATATATCCTTGAGGAAGCAGGCCGCTGAGAAGGCCGTAGCCGTATCGACGATGTGGAGGACAGGACGGCTATCGATATATAGTATATCGACGATAACCTCGTAGTTGAACTCGCAGTCGTCGTGGAGGGTGAATTTGAACCGGGCTGGGCGGCCAGCGTTCATTTGGCACTGGTGGCATACCCGGCTAAGGAACTCAAGGGCTCCGATTTCCACAGGGTGCCCGGCCGTCTTCAAGACTTTATGTAGGCGGGCGACCGACGGGTGGCCGAATCGGCGGTGGAGCCGGCGTAGCTCTGTGTCGGTAAGGTAGTTATATGCGAGGGTCTTCTCTTTGGTTAGTTGGAGCCAGGGGTGCCCCCACTTCCGTACGACGGGGACGGTTAGGTTGCCCTGCCGTAGTTGGTTATGCAGGTTGTCGAATTTCAAGCCCAAGCGATCCATATCCTGAAGGCATAGCAGGAACGGTGTGTTTGCGGGGACTACGTGGAAGTCAACCGAGCCGAAGGGGGTAGGTACGGTGATAGTGCCCAAGGGGGTGAGGGTGCCGCCCTGGCCGAATTTGATTGCGGCCTCCGTAGTTGGCGGTCCGAGCCGTAGTGACGGTAGCTCCCTTTGTAGGGCACGGAACTGTGGGTGCCCGGCCGTTGAAAAACCGGACGCCCCTGTGTCGGGCATGATGCCGTGGAACTCCGTAGCTGAGTAACGGCCTTCGAGGGTGAAGATTGAAGCGGGTTGGTGGTCCTGATCCTCGGCCTGTAGGAATGGGTCTTCTTTGGTTAGGCCGTGGCGGACTGACCTATCGGCAAGTAAGGTAACGATGGCGTTGCCGTCGGTTGGCATGGAATCGTTAAAGAAGGTACTTTGGAATCCCTCTTCCTCACTACCTTCGGACTGGTCGTCTTCGTGGGCCTGTAGGAACTGCGAGACGTTGTCGTCTTCGTCGTTATCGTCAAAGCTTTGGGTTCCTTCGTACCAGGCTAGGAATTGGGCATATGTAGCCGACGGTTGGCTACTCTGTATATGCTTGTTGCCCTTGAAGCGGTCGTAGGCCTGGCGCCTTTCTTCCGTCGTGTGGGTTGTCGACCAGCAGCCGGGCTTGCCGCATACGTAGCACTTTTTACCGGGCGAGGGTCCTCGGGCCGGGAAGGTACGTCGTGGTTTTTCCTGGTCCTTACGCCCGAAGCGAGCCTCTCGGCCGTTGCCTTTGAATGTCCGGTCAGTCCAGTGCTGCCGGGCTTCCTCAGGGGCGTAGGTGTTGAACTGTTGGTTATGGGCTTCAGCTGCAATACTAACTGCCGACCGGAGCTGGCTGCGTACGCCTTCGTAGGTTGCAGCCGGGTTGTACAGACAGAGTGTACATTCAGGGATCCCACGGCAGGCGTTGAGGACTTGTATGCGGAGTAGTTCTTCTGACTGATTGATGGTCGGGAGGGTACGTTGAAGCTTGGTAAGCTTATTGAGTAAGAGTTCGAGGCACTCGGTCCTTGGTTTCCCTGGGTTCTCGTCGATGACCTTACGTAGCGTTGTGTTGCCCCACTCTAGTAGGCGTAGCTGGTTGCTTTCTTCGCTTTCGAATTGGGCCTTAGTCTGGGCGATCAACGTAGCGAAGTCGTATTTACGCCCACAGAGCCGGTCGTAGTAGTAGGTCAGGGCGCGGCTCTTGAGCATAGCGGGGAAGGCTACGTCGTACTGGCCCTGGGTAATACCCAGTCGTTGGCAGCAGTCCTGGAAGATCACTAGCTTAGAAGCGAATACATCGTATGTATCGCCGCCGTATTTCATCTCGTCGTTGTAGAGCTTAGCCAGGTCTGTAAGCTGCTTCGCGTTCGGGGGCCCTTGTGGTACGGGTGGGTACTCGAACTGGAGTCTAGATCGAGGGTACTGGAAGTCCTGGTGAGGGCCATCTGTAGGACTGCGTTGCTGGGGGTACTGGGGTCCTTGGTGAGGGCCGTTTGTAGGACTGCGTTGCTGGGGGTACTGGGGTCCTTGAGGTGGTTCCCGAGGTGAAAATGCCGTAGGAGGTTTTTCGGGCTCCTCTATATCGTCGTCGGGCTCTTGGATCTCCCGAAGGAAGTCAGGGTCTAGGGTATTTAGTTTGAAGGCCTTGTTCCGTCCTTTCTCGTACTTGACGTCCGCGTCAGACCATCTGTGGAACTCCTTCGCTGTTGCTGCTCGTTGGAGGTTATTGTGGATCCTGTCACCATCCATAGTAACGAAGACTCCGTTACCCCGGAGCCAGTTACGTAGGGTAGTCTGTGTTCGACCCGGGATCTTCGCCCAGGCGGCTTTATCCCAGTGCTCGAATTCCTCAGTAAACTGTACCCATGCGTATCTTCCTTTTAGGGGGTTTTTCTGCCAGGAGCGTAGCAGGAAGTGGATGTGCCCATTGATCTGCTCATTTGTTGGCGACGGGAGTCGATCGAACGCGCTTAGCCGGCCCCAGGTTAGAGGGTCTACCTCCCCTTGAAGGTCGGGAGGGACCGAGGGTCCGGGGGTAGGGCTGCTGAGGGGTTCTGAGCGCGCTGGTTGGCTAGGCGTAGGGGTCGGGGACGTAATAACGTCGTTCTCTGTGCCCGTGGCCATCTTAGGCGTGTACGAACGAGCCGTTGGCTGGCCTGGAACGTAGGGATGGGCTGTTGACTGGCCTGGAAAGCTGGGAGTCGAAGGAAAGTGCTGGAAAGCGAGAGAATGCGAAAGAATGTTGAGAAGGGCCGAAAAATGAAGGAATGTTGAAAAGACCGAAGAATTGAAGCCGGATGGATTATGGTAGAATGGAATGGTTGAAGGTCGAAAAGAATGAATGAAGGTAAAAGAATGATGATTCAACACGTAGGTCGTTGTTGGCCTGGAAGGTCGTCTTTCAGGGTTTGTTGCGTGGTAGACGCTCTACGGCTAGGTGACGCCAGGGAGACGGTCACGGCCACTTCTTCCGTAGATTCGAAGGTCCTTGGGCTGCGGTTGAGATTCGAGGCACGAATGCTCCGTTATACCATCTCTTCCGTAGTTGGGGATGCCTTCCTTAGCACAGGTTCGTAGAGAGGGCCGGCCTTCGGGTCCGACCGTTCTCTACGGCGCTGTCTCTTCTGTTGCTCCTTGCTGATCTGTGGCGGAGGACTGTTGTCCCAACAGTGGTGAGTTAACCACTGATCAGTGTTGGATTCACCAGGGTACCGGTACTGGACTCAACAGGGCGTGGCTGCACGCCGAAAACTGGTGGTTCAAGTGATGGATTGTAGATGTCTGTTCTTCTCTCTCTCTAGCTTTCTGGCAGTGCCAGAAAGCCCGTTCTTATACTACTATTGTGGTGGCGAAGTTGGTGGCAAAGTCTCTATCTAGAACCTTCGAGGCCCTTCTGCTTGACAAATTCCAACATGTTCTGTGAAGTGAGTTGGAGTGATTTGTAGCTGCTGAGTCTCAGCTGCAGCGCCCCACGGCAGAAACGCACTTTATAAAATTCACATCAGGAGCGTCAAGTCACATTATAAGAAGATGATAAAATTGCCTGGAGATTGAATTGTATCTCGTGTTTCCAAGTAGCTCCTGGTAGTTGAGATCTTCATTCGCCTCTCTCTCCACACCAGCCATCCAGTCACCGTCTCCCCCAATCCGCTGCCAAAAACAACGAAATTGTTCCCAAAGTCTCGTTCTCGCCAGTTATCTGTCAACCACTACCCCCTTCCCTGCTTACTACCTCGCTCCACCTCGATAGCCACCAAAACCATCACCATCTCCCCTCCAAACAACTTATCCATCCGCTGTGGCCTATCCCGAACCGCCCCCTCTTATCAGCCCTCAACAGCCCTCTCCAACCGGTATCGTACACTCCAACTTCATCCCATCCTCTCCCAAAAGTTTACTCAACAGCCATGTTCTCAACGGCCTCACTCCCACTCCTCACCTCTCCAACTCGCTCTCTTCCATTCACGAGGTCGACAAATAACAACAGCTCAGAATCGCTCGTACACGCTCTCTTCATTTCCTTCTCCGTCTATACTGCCACTATACTACTGCCATACACCCGACTCTCCCCTCAACTTTCTACTCAACTACTCTCCCACTCTCCCACTCTTCCACTCTCCCACTCTCCCACTCCCCCACTCTCCGACTCTCCTGCCCTCTGCTCGCTAGGCCTTCACCTAGCCACTCACCCTCTCACCCTCACCCTTACACACTCCACAAGCCGCCCGTCCATTCGTACACTCGTCCAGCCATCAGTCATCCCGTCGTCACTCATACAATGTAACAGCCAACCACAACTCTCAGCCTCTTCAACTCCCACTCTCCACACACGCACTACTCTCTCTGCTCATCCGCAAGCACTCCCGTTCCACCGTCTCCTTTTCCACTGGGTCGAATATGCTCTCACTCTTCTCCTCTCTCCACTGAGCCCGCCGCAAGCACTCCAGTTCGACCGTCCACCTTTTCTCTCAGTCGATATGCTCTCACTCTTCTTCTCTCTCCGATCTGCCGCAAGCATTCCTGTTCGACCTCTTCGCCTTTCCACTCAGTCGAAAATGCTCTCACTCTCTCGTCCTCTCCCCCACCTCTTCAACTCGACCGCGCCCTCTCAATCGCAAGCATTCCCGTTTGACCTTCCCGCCGTTCCGCTCGGTCGAAAATGCTCTCACTCTCTCTTCCTCTTCCTCTCTCTCTCTTCCTCTTCCACTCTCTCTTCCTCTTCCACTCTCTCTCTCCGCTACTAGGACCAAAAAAAACCCCCAACTCCAAACCCAATGCAAACTCCGATGCAATGCGATAATATGGTAATCGATCCGATGCAACGCAATGCAATGCAAATCCAAGCCCACGTGTTTTCCCCCTACCAAAATGCCGATGCGATAATTATGTATGTGTATGTGTGCTGCTGAGGATTGCTCCCATTCCCGTTTGTGTAGATGCATTGCGTGCTGCTGGCCGATAAAATAACGATATATGCTGCCGCTGCGGAAACGACTGTGGCTGTGTGTAAATATGTAGCGAATGTGTGGACCCCCCAAGGAACGGGAAAGGGGAGGGGGTGCCGGATGATTAATGACAGTAGATGTAATCAAAGTAACGACTGTGTTCATGTGTGAAAGTAACGACTGTGTTCATGTGTGAAAGTAACGACTGTGTTCATGTGTGAAAGAAACGAGCGTTAGCACTGCAGGCGGGCCGTGCAGGTCTGGCCTGGTGCGGTGCGGTGCGATTTGTAAACGAAGGTGGCGGCGTTGTCAGCCATGTGGTTGTCTCCATCCCTCTCCAGACAACCACATGGCTGACGAGTGTGGATATTTGTTCGCGGCGCTTGTGTATAATAAGCGAACGGACGGACGCTCCCGCGGTTGAAGGAGCGAAACCCGGGGCGTCCTCAGGAATTAAAATGCAAAAAAAGCAAAAGGCCTCCCAAAAAAGAATGTAATCATGTCGCTATAGCCGTAACCAGAAATGATGGTAACCGAAAGGGGTCTGTTGTTGCCGTCGGCAAGGCAGGCATTTATTTGGTGGGAGCCTTGGCGCCGCCGCCGCCAACGGGGAAGCCACAGCCATCCTTCTCGCCGGCGAACGGGGTGCCGGGGCCGATGTTGGAGCAGATGCCAAAGTTTGGGCTGCCGTCCTGGGGCCTGACCAGAGCGCAGCAATTGGTGGCGCAGTCGGCGTCGGAAGTGCAGCCGCCGGTGATGAACTGCTGGCCGTCTTTTTTGCCAAAATGCGTTGCGCTGTTCGGGTCGGCAACGAGCTTGGGGGACCCGGGAGGCGTGACAGAGGAGGGGTTGGACGAAGCACCTGGAGCGACAGCGCTACTCACGGAAGCACCGGCGGCGCCGGCGGCGCCATCGGGCTTGGCAGGGGTCGCCGGTGTCGCAGTGCCGCCCTCGAAACCGCAACCCTGCTTGCCGGCCTGTTTGTCGGCACCCGTGCCCGAGCAGAGGCCGATGGTTGTGCCTCCAAAGGGAAACTTGGCGCAGCAGGCTGACGGATTACAGTCAGCCTGGCCGTTGCACTGCCCGCCGATGAACTGTGCTCCGTTGCCGTTACCGATGTTTTTGTTGCCAGACGTGTCGGGGAGGTCGCGGGGGAAAATATTGGGGTGGGCTGAGACGGTGGCCGCAGTGACTAGATCAGATGCCAAGCGCGTTAGCGGGCCCCCGGTGTGGAGGGACGAGCGACGTAGGTATGCACTTACGGGCAAAGGCACCCAAAAGGGTGGAAAATTGGACCATGTCTGTGTTTAAGGGGGCTACCTTGGGGCTGGTGTAAAGCGGACTGGTCGACCTGCGACTGATCCCTGTTTAAAGAAAAAGGTATGTACTAAGCGAAGAGAAGCAGAGGGACACCGGGTCCTAGATAGCTGGATGCACAAGCTCGAAGGGGCGTGGAAGCCGAGGCTTGTGTATGAGGATGGATGAGAATAACAAAGCAGATGCGGGACAGGAGGTGAGGGAGACGTGGGATTTATACCAAAAGCCTTGGCGTTAACACAACCAAAGGCAGCCTGTGAGTGTGGGCGGGTGTGCTGCGTTTGTGTTCCACAGACACGCAGATACCCAGAGATGCAGAGGACCACCGGTAGGGATCAAGCACAAGCTCATACACAGTCTGCCGGCACGTGTATGGCGATCTAGAGGGAATCCCGGAAGGATAAACCCTCTTGTGCACATCCATGGGTGGATGCAGCCCAGTGCGAGCAAAGTCCGGCCAGCGGGCGCTGCGACGCGAGCGGAGGTGTAAAGGCGGACAGTCCTCCACTGTGTTGCCGGAGAGCCCTGCACTGTGTTGCCGGACAGCCCTGTGATAGTGCAGACTCCGCTGCAGGACGCTGAAATGCGCCGAAACATTAACAACGGGTCGTGGCCATTGATAGTGGACACCCCCGTGCACGGCGTCTGATGTGCACGTCTTGCGCCAAGCCTGGCGGAGCTTGGTGCGAGGATCTGCAGCAGGTGAGATGATCAGCCGAATTTTCTTTGACAATCGGAACCGGACGATCATAGTAATGTCTGATGAGTCGCGGGGCCGCGGTATCGGGCCGTGTTGCGATGGGCTTTGGACCGGGTTTACGTGCCCGGAGCGGCTGTTAGACGACCTGGCCGCTCGAGTGGCCGTCTGTAGTGATGCGTCTAAGAGGCGGCCTGCTACTGGAACTGGAGTGGGCCTCTACGCTGCTGCGACATGTAAGGTTCTTCGATAGCTTGAGTAGGGAGGCAGTCTTCGCCTCGAATCTGACGCCCATCAGTTCCGACGAGCTCGCTCTTGTGAACCGAGCTTCCATTAGGAGATGGAAACAATCCTCCTAATGTCGTTCCTTGGTCGATCAATTGACACCGGAACATTAAGGTATGGATGGCCCAGGTCGTGGCGCAGCCCTGAAACTTGGGGATCCTTAGATGACGCAAACCCGACCCAAACTTGGCCCCTGCGCCCGCTCGAATCAGTCAAGGCAGCCTCAAGGCAGCCCCCCATGAACGTGCCTACCCGTTTCAAATCGGCCCTTGGCAGACTGCGCAAGCAATTTGTTAAACCGCTTCTCAGAACCCAAAACTATGCGCAGGTTCACAAGGCAGAATGGATGCAGAGCGTGACGATAAAAAACTCGACGAATCACGCATGGGCGGTCTCGACGAATCACGCATGGGCGGTCTCGACGAATCGCGCATGGGCGGTTCTCGACGAGACACTTTGGCTCAATGGCAGTCCTTGCAATTGGAAGGGGAAATCGGAGAATAATCCAACCCCGGATAACCCAGACATGGAAGCCCGCCGCCCCGGTCTGTCTCACAGCGCCACGCGCCGCGCCGATCCCATGCTGCAGCGGCACCCGACCTCACTGGGGGCTTGACCACTGGACTAACAAGCTACCCGCATGGACTGAACACTCTATGCCAACGTCGCTTGAAGGTGTGCACAACGCGACACCCGCATCGAGCGCTGGATGGTGCTAATAATTGCCGAAACAAGTTCTTAAGGGAGGAGATTCTTGTGTGGATGGTTAATGCCCCTGGTAGTCAATTCCATACACAGTAGTCGAAGGTGAGCGGTGCCTGGCCTTGGTGAGACGTACCTGCCTGTTCAAGTCATGTGGCGCGCGCCAAATGCCGTGACGTCTCGCTCACACGAAACATGTCGCAATCCTGCCTTCCTTTTTCAGCGCCCTTGCATTCGGTCTCTGTTTTGGGATCGAGGTCTCCAGCTCCAGTAAAAGCCCCATACTACTCGGTACGCCGGATTACTTGGTAGACCCGACGATATGATATTAACTGTGATTTTTATAACTGCCTAGGTATTCTAATCATGTCATTCTTTCCCCTGAGCCAGAGGCGAGACGCGAAGTAACACATCAGATTAATGGTAGGTAGCAACCCCGAATCTCGAATATTCTATATGAACTAATGAGAATCTACCACATTGGTCTCAGAAAATATCAAGTAAGAAAGAAATCCCAAGAAGTTGATGGCTTGATCGCGTCATCCAGATGGTGTTGATTGCCTGTGCATGGCGAGATGTTGCACGTGATCGAAGTTGACAGCGCATTGAATTGTCTGGCAAAATAGGTCTGTAAGTACAGAAGAGAACGCTTCCTTATACTCGTTGAGAGAGGCCAAGGGAAGTGTTGTAATCAGCCCGAAATGAGGGCATCCCGAGGCCAAGAATAAAGGAAGTAGAGGCATGCTAACCAGGGCCTGAAAAAAGTGGTTCTATTCCTTGAAAAGTGGGTCAATTCCGGGCGATACAAGACGTTGTTAATGTGGCAGCTCCTTTTACCACGAACCTGAATATGCAGTGATGAAAACCGTCAATGTGTGCGTTGGTTGGTGAAAGGCCACGGGTCAAATACCCAGTCCTTGGGTTCAAATCCCCGCGTCAAATACCCAGTCCTTGGGTTCAAATCCCCCGGGTCCCGAATCAAAACCTCAAGGCCTTGAACTCGACTCCCCAAGGGCTGGTGAGTTGGCTTCTTTCGTCAGATTATCGACAATGTGCTGGTTGTTTGGTGTCGTGGTATCTCTCTCAAATTGCGAGGCGCAGGATTCAATTTCGAGCACCCAAGTGCCCAGGCAATCGTCTCTCAATGCCCCAATCCCCACCGGCCTCCCAGGCGGCCACACCACGCCCCCATAACGGCAAAAATGGCAGCCCCCAAAAATGCCCGCCCTCCTCCAGACCTTCAATAGCCGTGGCCACACTCGCGCCAGGTGCTCCCACAGACGTAACAAAACACGTGCCTGCAGGTGCACCTCATCCTGTTGCACCCGTCGATGCGCTCGACGATCATGCCGCAGCGGGGACAGCGCTGCCAGCCCATGCGGGCGGCGACGGGGGTGACGGCGGCGACGGCCTCCTCGTCCATCACTCCGCGGCGGAAGCGCGTGGCGCGGTGCCAGGCCTGGTAGCGCGCCGCGTATCCGGCAACCCAGCCCGCGCCCATGAACCGCGCCAGCGCGCAGCCCGGACCCGGCAGAAGAGGCTCGTCGTTGCCCTGCTCATCGTCGCCATACCCATCCTCGCAGCACCCCGGCGGCGGGAACGAGCCCGGCTCAAACTCATCATCGGCGAGCTTTGTCGTGACGTGCTTCGCCACGCACTTCCGGCACCACCAGTGTCCGCAGTCGAACACGAACACGTCGGCCACTGCGTAGACATCCTCGCAGATAACGCACGTCATCAGGTCGACGTCCATCGCCTCGCCTGAATCGGTGCCGGACATGCCGTCGTCGTGGTCGTGGTCGTGGTCGTGGTCGTGGTCGTGGTCGTGGTCGTGGTCGTGGTTGTGATCGTGGTCGTGGTCGTGGTCGTGGACGTGGTCGTGGTCTTGGACGTGGTCGTAGTCGTGGTCGTGGACGTGGTCGTGGACGTGGTCGTAGTCGTGGTCCTCGCCCAAATCCATCTGTTCGGGCTGTGTGTTGGTGGAGAGCGTGTGTCAGCTTGGCTTACTCTCGGATGTATGCCCGGATTCCGGGAAAAGAGGGCGGATAGAAGGCCGAGTATGGCAGGGAGTATTTACCATGTAGCTCAGCCAGGGGTCATCGACTCCTTCGTCGGAGCCCGACTCGCCAGCCTCATACGAGGCGGCTGACTCGCCAAGCGACGACGTGTCAGAGCCGTAGTCATTGTCAGTGCCGTAGTCATTGTCAGTGCCGTAGTCATTGTCAGTGCCGTAGTCATCGTCATAGCCATAGTCATCGTCATTGCCATAGTCATCGTCATCTATGTCGAAGAAGTTCATTTTGCCTCCAAACTCTTTGTCGGTGGGCGAGAGAAGAAAAAGGGGAAGGCGGAGCAAGTTCCTGTTGCTTGATATTGCTGGAATCCGAGGCGTCAGTCATGATTCTTGCCGTCGATGGCGAGTGCCCAAAGACAAAACAGTCGAGCCTTTGATGATATTGGTTGCCTGGTAGGCGTGTGTGCTGTTTGTGACATCCCATGCTGGGAACTTACTAGAACGATCGGATCTCATTCGTAAAGTGAAGAAGAGCTTGTACGGCCGGATGGCTGCGGTAAGGTGGGAGTGAAGCTGTCGATCCGGATCTTCTTCGCCAAGTGAAGTTGAGCTTGTACAGACGGATGCCTGCGGCAAACTAGGGATGAAACTGTTAAGTGGTATTTCTTTGGTGGAAATGAAGATGAGCCTGCCCAAGCAGATGTCTGTTGTAAACTAGTGATAGATTTGTCGAACTGGATATCTCTCGTAAACCGACGACGAAACCTGGAGAGAGAAGGGTTCAGTCTGCGGTTTTTTATAGGCGAGGAGGAAAGAACCACGGACGGGGTTGAGCTGAATGGCAGTCCGGACAATAGGAACGTTAGATTCTCTGCATTGCTATTGTTCACATTGTGGATCTAATCCTCCATTGTTTGCAGTCACACAAGAATTTGGCGCGGTTTCCTATTGTGTGCTATTGACTAGTAGTGGGGACTCCAGAGGCCCTGCGAAGATGGATGGGACCGATTTCATGCCTTGCTGAGATCAAGGTGATTCTGGCAGGAAATCCGAAGCAGGTACTCGCAGGTACGGCCGAGTCTCACACCTAAAGCAGCCTAGAAACCAGACACGCCGGCTCGTCTGGAGTGATATTAAATGTGTGGCGCATTATTCTGGTTTCGAATTATGAAAAACAATATACTCCGCGAAACAATGAAAAGAGCTACAATTCTATGCCGGAGAACTACGTGAAGGATGACATGACCTTCTAGAAGCTGATTTACAAGGATGTTCTCGGTTTCTTTCATTGGTAAAACCCAGAACTTGGCGTGCGCATAGACGGTAACAGAGTAGATTCGAGTAGTCTAGACGAATGTGGGGGTCTAGCCCTAGCAATTCACATGCCTCAGTTATGTGCCCAACGTAATTATCGTGAAAGATGACGTTTCAGGGCAGTTATTCCACTAGATATCGCCCAAATCCACCTATAGTTACTGGCACTTTTGCATGTCCACGCCTTTTCCAGAATCGACTAGCCCAGTAAGCGACCCCCATGTCACTTCAGCCCAAACTGAGACGAATTCACCCCGAGACACCTCTTGTGGGATGGGAGTGTACCTCCGCCGGCTGAAATACGCTGGCGTGCCCCCCTCTCCGCCATTTCTAGTCGCGTAAGTCCCAAAAACAGTTCCTGCCCACCCCGACACGAGCTTCGCATCGACTTGTCCCAAGGCGTGTTTGCCACCCACCTTGGACGCCAACGCCTATCCAAACACAAACTGACCATCCATGGTAGCCTTGACCGTCAGCCACAGCTTCTTCCCGATCCACACGGCCGGCAGAGCCACGACAACCTCGCTCGGCGCCCTGAACGCAGCCACGGCCCCCGCCAACTCGACCCGCAACGCCTCACCCGCCCTAATGTCCACCACATCCCCGTCGTCCTGCTACTTCCCGAACCCTTCAAACTCTTGTCCACCGACGGCAGCGCGGCGGTCATGCGGCCCTGCACGGGGTCGAGAGCTGGCCACTTCTCAGCCTCCCAGCCCATCGGCATGAACACCGTCTCGCGGCCCATGGAGAAGACAGCCCATGGGGAAGACAGCTCACTCAGGGCCCGACCGAGTCGCCAGCGCGCTATCGCCCACCGCCCGCCCGCCGCGTCCTAGAACACATCCGCGTGCCCGACCGTCTAGAAGAAGTTTGTCGTGTCTTTGGCGTGAGGATGGGGTTGCCGGCCGCGAACCCCTCGTGCGGCCCCGGCACCCCCGACGCAGCCCGCGCGATGGTCGCCGAGTGGTTCGTCTCGGTCCCGCCCTGGCCGAGTAGCAGGCAGGTAGTGGAAGCCGTCCTTGGCGAACAGATGCGGACCCTCGGGTTGCGGTCGCCTGAGCCAGGCCACGGCTTAGGCACCTTCTCAGCCCGCATGAGCGCGTTGCTGATGTGCCGCCAGCTGGTGAGGTCTTTGCTTGTTAGGCTTTTTGCTATCGCCTTGGTGCTTGGCTGTTTTCTATGTTTTTTCTGCCTATTTTTTCTTGCATACGGACACCTTTCTGTGTTTGTAGCATCATGCTAGTCATGCCATGGAAGTATGACCTGGCCCATATCCTCATATTGGTGATCAACGAGGCATTTGGTAGACTCTTGCTGCTTTTCATCTCCTTCCAGGATGCCATTTTCATCGTCAGTAATAGGCTATGCCCGTGCCCATACTTGGAGAAGAGCTTTCTATTAAACTGCCATAAATAACAAGACAGTCAAAACTGATAGAGAAGGGCAAAGCCGACAGTTCTGGAATTTATTTGGTTATTTTATTTCAATAATCCTGTCTTAGCTGGTATATTGAGATTATTACTCCTGCAAAGTCATTCCAAGTCAAGCCATCACACTGTCTATCTCCCGCGGAGCCAGGGCTTGAGATCTCTGACAGTACTGCCCAAGCCGGCTTTTCAATTCTGCTTCGCAGTTTACGGGACGTTGCCACAAAGCACTATCAATATATTCAGCTTGTTGACTTGACCAAGGTATGTTGATCATTAGACGTTTAGCTGTACCTTTTCTTCCTTTGCCATTTGTAGAGAGGGGTATCACGTGCCCTGGAAATGCCTGGAAGATCAGACCAGGACCCTGTCTAGCGTTCGTTGCTGTACGACAGAAATCGACAGAACCTGTCGCCACCCACTACCCTTTTCATTTTCTACTTTCCAACAATGAAACCCCCCCACCTACAGATTTTCATTTGCACCTGTCCTTTTCCTTTCCGTTAACCCTTTGCACACATTATTCATTTGCGTACGTTTACCTTTGCTTTCACTAGTTACATAGTACACACACATTGAGCAAAATGGCCTCACAGTCACGGATTAGAATCTACGTCGTTGGAAGCTGCCCTATTTGCAGCAACCGGCTTTAGCTTCCGAAAAATGTCGAAGGCTATCGCGCCTTCACATGGCTTGCTGCAGAGCGTCAAAGTAAGCCAATCGCCCTGTGTCGTGACTCTTATTCTACATTGTTCCGAGCTAACCAAGTCTTGAACAAACCAGATCCTGACGAACCGAGGAAGATCTGCCTTGTTCGCCAACAAAGCCCTGGCCGAAATAAAAAAACCAATCCCGCCCCCATGGAACGGACTGCCGACGTAAAGAAATGGGCCGTTAGCCACACGCTAGTTTAGGTGCTCACGCCAGCTCCGGGGACTGTGATAACAGGATTTTACGGGACAGAGATAGGACATATCATGCCCGCCTACACTTTAATTTAGTGACGGCTGCTAATTGGTTCATTGCATAATGCAGCACCCCGAAGATGGCTGCGGCATCACGTCCCTGGGTATCATCTCTGAGAAGGTCGACGACGAGAGTAAGGCATCGAGCAGTTTCGTGTTTGATAAGAGGAAGAGACAGGAAGCAGCACAAAAGGCGAGAGAATAGCTAGAGAAGCAAGAGCAGCAAGGTACGAAGAAAGGCGGTTCGGTGTACGTGTTATTGGTAAACCTACAGTTGTGCCGAACCTTGACGGCTCCGGGTCGTTCAAAGTTCGGGTGTGTGGAGCGGAGCGGCCGGCAGGCATATAGTTGTAGTTAGCCGGATCCGAGAACCTTTCGTGTTGGGCTTGTGCTTCGTGCTTCCGCCGGTTAGTGACCAACTTTAATCCATATATCGCATTAGACGAAAGGCTCTTCATAAGCAGAGGATGAAGTAGGGTTTGTAACCCAGTCGCTATATCGATAAAGATTAGTGTCGAGCTCGCCCGTGACCAGGGGAGGTCTTCTCTCGATTACCTTACAGCACAACCTAAATTTCCAATTCTTCACACTAACAAACGCCACCATTCACCACGTACGTATCGCAACCCAGCAAGCACGCAACAATGGAGAGATCGACACAGCTCACGACGCAACACGCAGCCATGGAGGAAACCACCGAGCTCACGCCGCAACTCAAATGGTTTCTCAACCCCCCGTCAATTTCGGAGATCGCGCCGCGCCTCTTCCTCGGAAACTTCAGCAGCTCGTACGACGTCGAGACACTGAAGAAGCACTCTATCACGTCAACACTGTCGCTCATGACAGAAAAGTCGCCGCGCTGGATGGACCCCCATGTTCAGCATCATGTGTCAGCGGCGCGCCGCCTCTTCATCCCGGCCGTCGACGCAGATTGGATGGACATCCTGTCCAAACTGGACGAGATCTGCGAGTTTATCGATAAACAGCTCGCAATGGTGGTACCCGTGTACCCAGACCCGCAGAACGACGAGACCGGGCCTGAGCACACGCACGAGTTCGGCCAGCCCATAGGGACTGTGCCCGGGGGCGTGCTGGTGCACTGCCGCATGGGCATCTCGCGGTCAGCGACGGTTGTCATCGCCTACCTGATGAAGAAGCATGGCCAATCCGTTGACGAGGCGCTGGCGGCCGTGCGCGCCAAGCGCCGCATCGTCAGCCCCAATGCGGGCTTCCTGGAGCAATTACAGGCGTGGGGCAAGATAAAATACGACCTCTGGGAGGTGCCGGGGAAGGTCCCAAAGAGGGAGTACACCGAGTTCCTCCGCCGCTGGGACGAGCGCCAGGAGGCTGCAAAGAGGAAACACCCCCGCCGCTGGAACGAGATCCACGCCAGAGAGGCTGAAAAGAGGAAGTTAGAGGAGCACAATGCTCAGCAACAAGAGAAAGATCAGGCAGATCAGCAAGGCCAGAAGGATCAGCCAGTCGAGAAGGGTTGGTCAGGTAAGGATGATCAAAGCCAGCAGGACCAGCCCAAGGAGTCAGAGAAGAAAGATCGGCAAGATGAGAAGGATTATCAGGATAAACAAGATCTGGCGGACGAATCAAAGCCGGAAGTCCAGCACAACAAGCAAGAGTAGCAAGGCCAGCGTGATCAGGAGACTCAGCACAACCAGAACGAGGAGCTGCACCAGCGTTAACTAGAACTCCATAAGCAACGGCAATTATAGCTCCTAGCGGTTACTTTTGGGCATCTGGGTGGAACTACACAGGCGTTGGACATAGCTGCATGAGAAACGATGTGGCTTCTGGTGGCGGATGTTAGGCGTCGAGGCGGAACAGTCACTGGGCTTCTTTGTCAAGTATTTGTCTAATTATTTGCTATTCAGCTTTGACTTGCCGTAAGACGACAGACTCTAGATGCAAGTCTGAAACAAGGCGCCGCCATCACCTGAAAGCTCGTTTGGTATCCAACTTGTGCGCCGTCGCTGCAGCCTCGATTTCATGTCTTGCGGTTTCATCCAAGTTACTGACTTGGAAGAATGACGCGCAAAGGGTGGTAAGACGAATCGCATTGGGACGGTGTATATTAGGCATCTCGTCAGTACGCAGAGCGGATAGCCATTCTCAACGGAACTTTGAAATACCATGATATTTGATTGTTAAAGTATGGCTGGTTACTATTGCTATAAGGCTCTGAAGTGTAGGACACTACAGCGGTCGTTTTGGTGTGATTAGTGCTGTTGATCAGCCCGTCTCCAGATTGTTGACTGAGCTCCACAGCATCTTCCAGAACCTCTGCTCGTCTTGGCAGAGTGCTACAGAACTGTAGCAGTCAGGCTGCTTCCCTCAGTGCCTTCTACAGGGCAATGCTGTACTGGACTGTAGGGCAGAGTTCCCTACAGCCCACTGGGTTGTAGGGCACAGTTTCCTAAGACCTACCCTGCACTTGGACCGTAAGGCACAGTTCCCTGCGATCTACCCTGCACTTGGCTCTCCAGCCTACGTTAAAACGTTTCCGCTCCGCCTGCCTGCAACACGCAGTACAACATTGAAGGATTTTCAACGCAGAGGGGATTTCTAAATAATTAATAGTATTCAGCAGAAAAGTATTCGTCTGGCTACGCTGCGTATACTAGCAAAAACCAAAGGGGAAAAAAAAGACGAGGGTCAAGGCCCGAACGCGGTTCGATGCCTGACCCTATTAGCAAAAGCGAAGGGTCTACTAGGCTGCAGGGTTACCAGCAGCCGCTCGACCACGTCCATTAGGTGTTAGAGCACTTTTGAGCTACTTCGCTGGAAACTAGAACCGAAATCGTGGTATATACGTTCGGCAGTGATTTAGGGTTTACAGTTGGCCGAGAGCGAAGCCAGTGTGCTTCCTGTCTTTTACCCTTTTGTCTCACGAAATTCCACCGTCTGTGGTAGCAGGCGGGGATGTTTCGATCTTAAAGTTCGGACTGTCCTAATGTTTACCAAAACAGCCGGCCTAAACCACCGATATTACCGGCACAGTAGTAAGAATGGGTCTTTAGAATAGCTATCCCCATATTATGCTTGGATGCTCTGCGGCAAAGGAATGAATCCCATGAGCAGTGCCCGGCTGTCTGGAAACGCCCACTCCCTCCCACCCCGGTTGCACCGGCTTGGCAGAATCCCAGCAACACGGACTAATCTCGCGCGACGCCCGAGGCCGCTCCTGAGACGTGGGTAGTTAATAATTATATAGATAGGGTTGCATGCAGGGCGGCCGTGTAAGCCAGGAATTCCCGGTCGGCCGCGCGGTTCTTATCTCTCTCGTGCGGCTGCTGCGGCCATACAGGCTAATTGCCCGGTCGGTGGGTCAGCCTCCTCGAGCAGCGGCGAGATAGCATACAGTATCTCTATCTCTCCATCAGTGGCTTGCGGGTTGTGGAGGTGTGCGTGATTATTTCGTGGGGGCTGCTGGGCTTGGTGTTCTAGGCGGCGTGGCCGCGGACGCATTAAAGGGGCTGGTTCTGGGCCGGAACTGAACGGTCTCTGTTTCCGCTTCTCTCTCGCGATTTGGTCTACTCACCAGCAACTATTTACTCATCAGCAACTGTCTACTCACCAGCAACTATTTACTCATCAGCAACTGTCTACTCACCAGCAACTGTCCTACTTGCTGGCATTCCTAGCACCTTTGACATACAATGAGACCAGAGGCTCTTCTCGCGAGCCTCGCGGGTACCTACTCGCTCTACAACACCACAAAGTACGTACCCACCTCCCTCCCCTACATACACATACACGACATGCACATACACGACATGCACATACATGACGCTTAGCGACTCCTGCACAGCCTCTACAACGGCGTGGCCCAGCGCTCAAATCCATCCGGCGGGATCTTGATCTACACGGCGACGGGGTACATGTCGGCGACACTCGGGCCGTCGGCGGCGGGCGTGGCGACGGTGCTGGCGTACGCGGGGCCGCTGTCGGTCAGCGACACGGTTCCCTCAACCGAGACGTCGGGCCAGATGATGCACGGGCCTTTGACGGTCGCCAGCACGGCGTCATGGGTCGGCACCCGACAGCCGCGGAATTATACAGTCTTTCGGCAGCCCGACGGCAGCGTGTTCCTGCGCATCGTGACGTCCAAGACAGCCACGCACGAGTCGCAGCTGTGGTGGAAGAAACTGGATTAGACCGTGTCCGAGTGTGCTCTGCTGCATTTGCCGCGTCGATGCACGGGGAGGATACAAGATACTGCTCGGGATCGGGATAGAAAGGGGAAGTCGTAACACGGACTGCTCGGGATCGGGATAGAAAGGGGGACTCGTAACACGGACATTCATTGGATAGGGAATCAAGGCAGAACGTAGGCATAGTTACACAACGGTGGGCATAGTTACACAACGGTCAAGCATCTCTCTTGGAGGTGTTTCATGTGCAAGCCAGTGCAGAAGTACGGTCAATTTGACTGCAGCTAATTAAGTAGAGATTTCAAGAATATTGAACGTCGCAATTGGAGATTGCGTCTCCGAAGTTTGAACTGGTTGCCTTCTCATCGTGCAACCTGTACTTGTACTGATTACTCCCCAATTCCTCGACACCGCCAAACCCTCATCAAGTAGAGGAAAGCGGCTGCTTTTGAAGCGTCTGCCAGAACGCCTGCAATGAAACCTGCGGCTGATAGAAAGGACTAAAATGCACAGTCAGCCAACAATCACTGATGATCATATTGCATAATCAGCAGGGAAGTAGGTAGGCACTCACACTTCGTGGCCAGCGGCATACACACGCAGCCAGCTCAGGTTGCTGACGGTTTTGAACTCGCCGTATGAAGTACCGCCGACTGTGTACGGGGTGACAGCTTTGGAGGCGAAGGTGCTCTTGCCAGACCAGGTCAGGCTGTTTACCGCCGCAAAGTTGCCCATCCAGTTGCAGATCCAGTCGGCGTCGCCTGCCCACACGAGCACCTGGATGCCGGACTGGACAACCGTCGAGAGCGAGCTCAAGAAGCTCCGAGCACCTGTGTCGCGTGTCAGCTGCCGTGACATGCATCAAGACCGGGCAGGTGCAAGGAGCAGACTCACCGTCCCCAGTAGCAGAGAACTTCTCGTACGGCGCGTCGGGGCACTCGGCATACGTTGCCTTGGCGCCAATGGCCTTCACCACGGCTGCGCTCTGCAAGTATGTAACATATGTCTCTGGCGGGTTGGGGTCGTTGCTGGGCGCCCTCACATCGTAGACGTCAAAGTCGTTGGCGTTCTCGATGGGGCCCTCGACGGCGTTGTAGCACGTATTGTCGGCGGTCTCGCAGGCCGAGTTGCTCCCCGTCTGGCTCGTGCACTTGGCCATTGCCGGCACGCACTTTGTGTTCCAGGCGCTGACGTAGGACGAGTACTGGGAGGCGGTGACGAGCTTTTTGTACGTGTTGTTGAAGGCGTAGTCGGGATACGCCTTGTATTGGTTGACAGGGTCGATCCACCCGTTGTTGATTCCTAGCGCCACGAGGTCGATCTTCTGGCCCGAGAGGGAACCGCTAGTAATCTTGGCGTTTTGGCTTTCAAAATACGAGGCAAACTCTGGCCCGTAGTGTCCTGAGAGCGGTTCGGAGTCAGCCGGAGCCATAAACGAGATTCAAACAAGGAGGCTAGTTTCAAGGGCTTCACAAACCTCCGTATGACTCGGTAAAGAGTCCAAAGTCCCGGTTTTCGTACTGGGGGAAGGCCGCATAAAACGCCTGCATAAACTGCCAGACAAACGGAGCAGCTGTCACGGTCGAGGTCACGGAGTCGGTGCCGTAGCTGAAACCAGTGCCAATGGGTTGGTCCACGTAGAGCATGTTGGCTAATAGCACGGTCAGCACCTTGCGAGACTGCTTGTCTGCTGATCAAGGTCCAACTTACCGTGGGTATTGAAGCTGTAGGGGTTCAGGGAGGGCGTCGAAGCACCGTTGACGAAGTGGCACGGCCCGTTCTCCTGGAAGAGGCCAATCATTGAGGAGCAGCCCGGGCCCCCGTTGAGCCACATGGCAAGGGGGGCCGTGGTCGGGGTGGAGCGGGACTCGAAGAACCAGAACCACATGTTCATATTGGTGCCTATGTCATGGAGACATGTCAACAACTCACGGCCGTGCACAGCGCGACAAAGTTCAAGGCCGAGGAGCTTACCAACGCTGAGGTAGCCGGAATACTGGTTCACGCCGGGCGTGGTCTCGCAGATTCCCGAGTTGGTCACGAAGGAGAGCTTGGCCGCGGTTGCAGCGTGCTCGAAGACGGTGTAGTTGGTTCCTTCGTGGACTTCGGTGTATCTCTTGTCCTTGGACGCTGATGGTAGCGCCGCCGCGAGACCCGGCAGGGCCAGGGCTACAAGAGTAGAGACGCGCATCGTGGCGGTGGGCTGATGGTGCCCGAGTATGGCTGGGAGAGGGCTGATTGCTGGAGCTGGAGCTGGACAAGGTCTGGAGCTTGACAAGAGCTGGACAAGGTCTGGCATCGTGGCAGGGTTATCCACAGCCCTTATATGGGCTTGGCAGGGCCGCTGAGCGGCAATCTGCCAGGAGTCGACACCTTGTTCCACCTGGCCGCTCTCGTGTGGGATCGCATCGGGAGGGTGCCTGAGGGTACCGCTCGGTGGTGCCTGAGGGTACCCCTCGGTGCGGGAATGCTGCAGGCGACGATCGCGGAAGGGCCATTACTAAGTCAGACTCTGAAGGCGGTAGGCCAATCAGGACTGTGCGAGATTTCGTGCTGTAGTCCACCACATGCTGGTTGTGGAAGGTCGGATTCGCGATTGCAACATCAGACCCGGACTTGGCAGGAGTTGTCGCACGGGGCTAGACCTGCAAAGTTGTAGGGGCTAAGCCGCCCAGAAAGCTTGATCGCACCACGAGTGCCGATAAGAGGGGGGGATGGGAGGGATCGTGCCAAGGCCTGGACGCAGCTTCCCGCTCAGCAGCCCAAGTGCAGCCAGTTATCCGTAAAACGCGCACAATGCCGACCACAGTCGCAGTTACCTTCCTATCGCGGCTTGGCACGCCTTCTGAGGCTTCCTTGCCTAGCTGACGCGGGTGCTGGGACAGGCCATTTGACCAATTGAGTGCCAGGTCTTGGCGGAGATGCCGAGTCAAAGGCTCCTGCCAACCACGAGCCCAAGTCACATGTCACCAGGGAAGGAGCAATACATTACTGGTGCCATTATGAGAAAGTTTGGTCTTTGCTATCGTGTGTTCGTTGGCTTATCACCTCTTGAACCTGCAAAGCGTTTACTTTGCATTTTGTTTCACACGTTAACCCCGCACATTGGGCTGTGGTTGGACGTGCCTGCCTAGCGCACATTTCTGCAAAGTCTTAGTGCTGGCAGGTTTTCGTTGGCGTTCGTCGCAGCAACGCAGGCACGGCATGATGGGGAAAATATAAAAAGATTTGACGCAAGCGCGTAGGAAGTGCCAAAAAGACACCCTAGAATGACAGAGGCGGGGGGGTGCTATATATCAAACTTTGAACACGAAGGGCTCTCTTTTCTCCATTTCCTCACTCGCATCTCTGGAAAGCTGGAGTACTTCGTAGTGAGAAATGGGCGTATGTAGCATCTATACTCACATACGGCATCGGCCATTGAACTTTGACGGCCGCTAAAAGGCATAGAGAAGGGCACAAGGAGGGAGCAACACAACCAGTTGTTTAACCCAAAGTTAGACCAGCCCATTTATCACATATTTTCCAATTCCTACTGTTGAGCTTTTCGTTTTAGAGTCCTTGGGCTGATTGATTCCTCGATGACGATCAACTCTGCGACCTCAGGCTAGGCCGATAGTACTAGTAAACTGGTCCTCGCAGTCATTCTCGATTAAGGAAATCGTTGCGTTTTCAAGCGCTGACGTGTTTTGAAAGCGCCACCCGAGAAAGGCTTGCGCCTAGAACGATGGATGGCTTGGCTCTGGAAAGAAGGATGGAAAGTAGACTGCGTAGAGGATGGAAAGTAGACTGCGTAGAGGATGGAAAGTAGACTGCGTAGAGGATGAAAAGTAGACTGCGTAGAGGATGAAAAGTAGACTGAGTAGAGAGGAGCGCAAGGCTTTAATATTGGTAGAATAGCCTACTTCCGGCGCCCGCGGGTCTCTTAGACCACCTTCCGATTCTCGTCATTAGGCTACTGAAGGCCGTTGTCAAGGTTAGGGAGTGACTTGGTTGCATGTAAAGCGGAGTCCACTACCCGTGGTAGAGGCTCGCTAGGCAAGGTTCCGGGAGGGGGAAGATCTTGGGTAAAAATGCCGGGGTGATAACGGCGGGGCCTTGATGTCTCTTCCGCGAGCATCATCGATGTCGATGTCATAGCATTAGCTAGGATCTACTCTCGATCATGCTCGAAGAAAGCAATAGTCTCGCCTTCAAGCGCTGACATGTCCCGCTTCCGCTTGCGCTCGTTGGCCTCCCAGCGCTCGCGTTTGCACCTGAGGACCTGTGTCGTGGCGGCTCCGAGGCTCTTATCCGAGACTGTCCAAGCCTTGACCTTGTCGTACGATTGGGCGCAGATGGAAGTCTCTTGGATGTGCCCGACTTGGTTGCCGAACCGCCGCGGCTGCGCTTTGGGTTCGGGTGTTCGTACTCAGAGTCGCCGTAGTACTCCGAGCACTCGTTAGTGTTCTTGACGCTGCCCTTGCAAGGCGTGGTGTTTGCGCAGAGCGTGATGCTAGCATCCCGGCATGTGACTCGGTTCTCCTCATCGCGGGCTCTCGTGGGTCAGTGGACCTAATCGAGTTGCAGCCCCTCGATGTAATATGGGCTGGAAAGGTTGAAGAATTATTATAGTCAAGGGCACAAGACGCTCCCTTTTTAGCTGGTATGATTGAGCGCTGTGACTCTTGAAAGTACTTGCCCTCAGTCTGATTGCTCACTGCTTCAACTTTTGACTCCAAGTTAAACAAAAAAGTAAAGCTTAAGAGTTATCTAGGCAATCAGACGTGGCAAGAACAAACCAGACTAGATTTCAGAAACCTCTCCGGCGGTTCCAAAGTCACAAAGTCACTGAAGCACACATTCCGACTACCTGGAAGTAAATAATACTACCTCAGAGTTTGCTGCTAGGGATGAAAGCCACGTCTACAAAAGGATATTTACTCCTATACGGATAGATTGGTAACGTCACTATGTTAGTTCAGGGCACTGTGACAGCTTAATGGAGATGGAGAATTGGGGGGGGGAATGGCCGCGAGGTCCCACAATGGCATGGTCTCTCAATCGGCGACCAAGTTTCTAAGTAGAGCAAAAAACTATTGGAGTTTAGTGCATTGGTCTATCTAACTATGTTAAAGCCCTTTCGGTCATATCGCTTAATGAAAATTTGATATATGTACAACTATAGCCCTCGATTTCCTCTTTCCCTCCCTATTTCGAATGTTTCTTAGCCATGTGGACCTCGCTTCAACCAATACCTGGATTTAGCCAGCCTACCCTATTTTCCTACCCTCTATGAGTAGAGCTGTTCAATCTAGCTTTCTTTGCGAGCCTTTAGTGTATTAGAACCCGGATCGCGACAACCTTGGCAGTTTTAATGTATTTGGATTCTGTGCTGTCATTTTTCAGACCCTGTTCACCCCTAGTTTCATCAACCTGATCCGGGTTAGAATGGTCTTGATCTCCGACGTTTCTGCCAATTCATAGCCCACTTTCTCGAGCGCCTGGCACTTTTTTTTTCTAGCTATCGAGTTCGAAATTCTGCTCTTCTTTTTTCGAGCTCTTTGATCCCCTCCTTCGCCGCGCTGAGCTCCTCAGTTATGGACGTCGTGGTCTGTGGTTCCTTGTATCGGATATGACCTGATTTCGCCAATTCACTCTTTGCCAACCCACAAGCGCGCCAGTGCTAGCCTCAGTGAACTGGGCAGCAATGTGCTCGTCCGTTCCACTCCCTGTTTGGCTTGTCTGTGGGTGCAGGGGTACATTAGCCGCCGCCACCGTATCCAACACCAGGAAGCCTTGACCGTCCATTTCTTCCTTGTTCGTTCTGCGCTAAGCTGGTCCTGGATTCTCCGCTGTTTTACGGCAACGTGGTTCGCGTTCATGACTTTGGATCTCTTTCTGTCATAACCTGTAGGGTAGACAAAGTTGACAGGATCAATCCCGCAGTACCATGGATGGTTGAGCACGTCTGCAGTTCTCAGAGGATCCGTGGGTATCGACTGCCTAATCCAAGGCGCGTGGTACCGGGCAAAGCATGCGTAAAGGTTAGTCTCGGAGTCGCGGCGATTGGAGACCAACCGGTATGCTGACGGTGCTTCATTGTCAGACTGCCTCGCTGCCAGAACTGACACACCGAAGGGTGTGTACTCCTCGTGCGAAACGAGTCTAGACCCGCTCAGTCCGGGATTGAGGCCCAGGTTGTATCACATGAGCGGCGGTTGCCCCGTCTCACTCTCCATCACCACCAACGGCGCCCTGTCCTCGTCCAGACTTGTGCGATGTTGGACCTGAGTATCTTCAACGTTGAGGCAGTGCCGTTCTCTGAGGACCTAATGGTCTACACCGCGAAGAAACAATATATCCTTCAGCTTGACACCGCCGCCAAAATTTCTGTCACCTTGCGAGTCCTGACACTGTTCTTGTTGTAGATGTACCACGTTGTCCCCGGGGCGTCATCAGGGTCTGTCACCTTCTGGCGGGAGATATGTCTCAACTTGCCGACAATATGTAGCATTCGCGACAGGAACATCTCAGGGGTTGGCCGATGTTGTCGGCCGACTAAATCTGTCAGAGGCAGGCTAAAGGGCTTGGCAGCTACTTGGCGCTAAAGAGATTTCATTGTATGGTTGTCGGCCCAAATTGGCCAGGACCTGAATGTTTAGGGAGGGACCTGAATGTTTAGGGAGGGATCTAAATGTTTAGGGAGGGATTTCCTGAAGGTACGTAATAGCTGGATGGTCACTGAAAATGGGGATGTTTTTGGCTACCGAGATGCCATCCTCGGCACGAGAATTGTTCTATTCTTTTTATAACCATCCAGTGCCCACGCTATTGACTCCAGTCCCGTACTTCTCACATTGTCTTTCGTATAATTTCAATGCACTGCAACCCCTATCTGAACTATCTCATCTCATCTAACCCTTACGGTCCCATGAACTACTAAGCCAAGCTCTAATCACAGGAGCTTTGGATACACATACCAAGCAAAGACGGAGCCGCAAGGCTCTCTCCGGCTCTACATTTAGGTAACTCTCTATTTGCACTGTCTATGTCTACTTTTTCAGTACTCGCAAGTACTCAATAATTATGCCTACCGTGTAAGGTGCGCGTCGTAATTCGGTGAGCAGTGCTCCTATCTATCTAAGTGCAGGTAAGTCGCATAATCAAGGTCGCCCCCTAGTTTTAGAAGCTTACAATGTTCTTATTTCGAACAAGAATGAGTTAAATGAAGACACCCACTCCGGTTCAACGTAGAACCTTGATTCTGGAGGATCCTTTGGGTAGATCAGCTACCTCTGTTAGATACCCGACGTGCGCGCATCAGGCGTTGTTGTTTGTCCCCCACGCGGCACATAGCATCTTATGGCTACACGGCAAGGGCCGGCAAGAGGCACAGCCCGAAGATGTATCCAATTCGGGAATCTGGTTAATATAGTGTTGCACGCGATCGAAGTTGATAGCGCATTGAATTGTCCGCTCAATAGGTCTAAAAGTACAGAAAAGAACGCTTCCTTATACTCATGGAGAGAAGGCAAGGGAGGCGTTGTAATCAGCCCGAAAGAGGGCATTCCGAATGAAATGAGGACATTCCGAGTCAAGAATGAAGGAAATAACAAAGAATGAAGGAATCTCAGAGGCATGTCAACCAGGGCCTGTCCAATTCCATGAAAAGTGGGTCAATTCCAGACGACATATCCCTTCGACCGCGAACGTGCAACAGTGACAAATCGACAGGGGTTTTCGGCCAATCAGACCACCTTTTGGAAAGGTACATGAGTTTACTAGTAAATTTAGCTGTGAAATAAGTACCAGCACAGCCCCACTATACATAATGCTACATCACACTAGCGGCAGCCCTTCCTCGTCATTTTGCGCTGCGCATTTCCCGATACTTCCCCAAGAGCCTGGCTCTTGTGACGGGCCCCTTTCGAGCAAATGACGCAGCGTGAGCTTGCCGCGATGTACGAATTCATGCTGCTCAACGGGAATAGTTTCATTCCGGTTGTCCAACGGTGTGCCAGCCCGAGCCTGCTTCCGCGTCTTGACTTGTAGCCCAAAGGTCCCAATTAGCTGTTCAGAAAGCAGCTGCCGTCATTCTAGATGACTGGCGGCACAATCCCAGTTGGGCTCCCCTTGGTCTAGTAAAATGAAGGTATTCACCGTAACGACGTTTAGTAGGTAATCCCACGCGAGGGCCTGCCATCCGCTCCGCCGAATCGACCGCCCCGAGGCGTAATACGCCCTCATCTAATCCCCAACGTCAACGCCGTTCATATAATGATTATACTCGTCGATGAAACTCGGGATCGGCAATTCTTTCCGGGCGTCGGCCCCGAATACCTTGCGGGCAGCCCGTCCAGCAGTAGATGAAGCATTCGGGCGGCGTCGGTTGCGATGACGTAACTGGTGCCGTCGTGTACGGTCGAGAGCGCAAGAACGGCAGCATTATCTTTCCACGCAAACTGGTTAACCTAAAACACGGGGAACTTATTAGGCAAATTATAAAGAAGCCGGAGAGAAGCCGGAAAGAAGCTAGAGAGAAGCTAGAAAGAAGAGATACCTGTCCATCGGCTGTAGGGATGATTCTGAGTTCCCCCCACGGAAGATCTTTCATTTCGGACGCCTTAAGTGCTACGAGGGCTGCGTGAATACCGCTATTTGTACGGCAGGTGCCCGCAGCACCAAATCTGTGACTACGAAGGACTCGTAGCAAGTTTGGAGTTGGAAAGAGGTTATCTAGGAATACTTGATATTTAGCTTTTTGTAGCAGATTCAATAAGGTAATAACCACGGCTTGGGTCGGATTGAGGCCTTTATCTTCTAAAGGAACAACCTGTGTAACGGGGATAACGGCTGCTGTGGCCAAAAATGTATGTAGGAGGCTTCTCCTTTTTTTCTCGGTCAATTTGACGTACCGCGCTAGCGACAGGGGTGGTGTGGGGCCCAAGATGTCACTGTTGCACGTTCGCGGTCGAAGGGATAGCAAATGCATTGCCAACCGACCGAGCCGCTGAGCCTCAATTCTACAGCTGGTTCCATCATACCTCTAGGGGCAGAGTATCTGGTACACTTTTGAGTAACCAATTCTCCCAGGAAAACACCGCCCCGATACCTCCTTCCGTTGAGCGGCTCTTATCAAATACGGGGGCGGCTTCTTGCTGTTGGATTTTACATTCAGACCGAAAAAAAAAATGAAGTGTTATCTTCTGTTCAATTTCTCTTCTCCTCCCCTCTGGCTATGCCAGAGGTGCAGGTTTTATACATATGAGTGGTGGCGAGCTGTGTGGCAATTTTGGCTCACATCAGCTGAATAATCTAGTATTTATCATCCACTAGAAGATTCCATATGGTGAATTCAACACTTGCAGCTCTGCGGCGTTTCCAGACCAATCGCCACTTTGGCCGGTTCCATGGATTGCGGTACGCCACTTTGGCCAACCCCATGGATTGCGGTACGACACCGGGTGACGGCTTCACTAGTCCTCAGAGTGCTCCAGGTCCGGGACGGTCGAGGGCGCGGCTGACTTGCCTACGGATCCGGGCAACAAGATATGCCTTATCTGACGACCTCCATGTTTATTTATGGATCAAAGGCGGATGTGGAATCGTCCCGGGCCGTAGGGGACAAGATCCGCAGACCGGCGACAGTGCTCTGAACTGGGTCAGTATATTCGCCGATCAAAATCCCCGATGGTTCGGAAGGCTCACTAGCTGCCGCGTATTTGTTGTTTGTGATTAGAGAGCCTGGAGGTGGGTTACTTGATAAGAAGTACTTATCGTGGAAGAAGGCTTTTCGTCTTACTAAGAAGTGAGAAATAGTATGTTGATTGGTTGTCTTTGGCGTTATCAAGCTCGTAACGGGGATACTTCGGACCAACTATGGTGGCTTACTGCAATGTGGGACGAGTAGCGGTAATGGAATGAGAAGAAGCCACTATTCGCGTGTACCCCTGAGGAGGAACCGAACTGTTGGTTGGCGCGGTTGCTGGCTTTTGAGGTAAAGCAGATGTTGGGTTGACAATGTGTGATATGCATTCGGTAGCTAATTCTAGGAGGGGAAAATCTCCGTACTAAATGTGTGGGCGAGAACCCGTGCACGGGTCTGCAGCCCATGCACCTACCAGCTGGGGCTAAGCCCCGCCACAGCAGACGTAATGGAAACACGCTGCTAGTTGCTAATTGCTCCTTCCAGTCAAAGGCTGTACATTCTCACTCGTCCACCGTCAAGAATTGTACGATATGTGATATTCTTGTTAGGCTCATTATCAACGACGATTCCGGAAAGATACGAGCGGTGAATATGGACACTTTCACCAGATCACATATCATTGGATCACATCGCAAGATGTTTCATCGCTCAGCGTCACACACTCCGCTTGAGACAGGCGCGACCAGCTTCTCCATCCCAGAGCTACTCTTCGAGTTGACTGTCCCAGCAACTTCATGCGGCGGATCCGGCCCCTGAGCGTGTCCATCCTGTGCGCCACCGGCCCCTACACGACGCTCGCCGCCACGCTGTCCCCGACCGCGCACCGTTACCGCCTAAGCTCGGCCGCCTCGGAAGCAGCAGCTCCTACCTCATAGGCTCGGTGGAGAACGGGCCGTTCCGGAACGATTCGGTGCCTATTACCCAGGGGGCTATCAGGTCCGAGATGCAGGGCAGTGGCACGTTCTAGCTCAGCTTTGGCGAGAACACGCAGCAGTTCCAGCCGTTCAAGGGCGCCGGGGCCGTCAGCTCGTGGAAGCAGGCGCTGCCGCGACTCGTCGCGCGGCAGTTCGACTACACGTCCGTCTCAGACTTGGTGCTGCACCTGCGGTGCACGGATGTCGACGGCGGGCCCATGCTGCGGAGCGCGGTCACGGTGGCGTTCTCGCTCGTGCCGGCCCAAATCGCGCACGTGGGCGCCCGCGACGGCCCATGGGTAGGTCTTAGTCTTTGTCAACGTTCGCAATGGAGCTTCCAAAGAGTGGCTCTCGTTCCGCGCCGTGCTCAGGGTCTTCAAAATTGCTCCCGAGTGATCCCGTCCGGCTGTGCGCTTCCCACTCATAAAATCAATATTGCCTACCATTTTGCTAGCGGTCGTCCAAACAGCCCAACCTGTCAAGTTTAGCGGTCAAGTTCAGCGTGCTTGGTGCTTTCTGCGAAACAGACTGCCGGGCGCTGATCTAAGCACATGCATGTCAATACATGGCCGCGGTTGATCGGCTTGTTCGGGTGCCACCCATCCTTGTTCAACTAATTCACCCCTTTGGCCAGGACAGACCTGTGACGGCAGCCCAAACACGTGCTCCCGGACGCCATTTCCTAAATTCGTCTTCTAGGGAATTTTCATCAGCTTGAATCACTGGAGGACGAGATCTCGCACCGCCTCTCCGCTCGCTGCCGCCTGCCCGGCCATGACGTGGTGCACGAACGCTTCTCCAACCACGGAGTAACGGTCCGAAACCTCGCTGGACCGAAGAATATAGGGCGTTTTCGCTCCGGCTAGCACCCATATCTCGTCGCCCGGGCGGGCACACTCCGGCACCAGACTCATGCCCAGGTCGTCGTTGCGGGCGACTCGCCTGTCGGCCAGCCCCACATTTATGTACCGCGCCAGCTCCTCGCCAGAGACGACGGCCATGGCGTGATGCTCGCCGCCATGCTCGCCGCCATGGTCAGAGGCTTTTGCAGTCTGGCTACTGTCGATTACAACCTCGGCTTGGTTCGTCTCGGCCAGCTCTTCGGCAAATGCCAGTGCCAGGTCGAGCTTGACGGGCGACAGGAGGGGCTCGGTGCTGAGCAGCGCAATCAGGGGGCGGAACAGCGGCATGGGTGGCCAGTCGTCCGAGTTCTCCCGGACCCTGCGCTGCCAGTCCCACTCGTCGCGAGGCCGGGGCTCCAGCAGAATCTGGTCGTCGACCAGCGTGGCCTCCACGTAGCCGAGATGCAGCTGCCACAGAATGTAGCCGAGTGTCAGGGAGTGGGCCTGTGTTGGTGAGAGATTCAAGGAGTTTATCTGGTCCCGCCACAGCGTCCTCGATAGTAACTCCAATCGGCTGGACTCATCATGAGGGGCGTCTTTGTCTTCAAACCTGTACAGGGTGCCTTAAGTCAGCAAATCCATTGCCGCCTCGTAATTAGACCGGATCGCAGAATCTATATGCTTTTGCCACTCACCGTGATGGATAGCTTGGAGCCATGCCGGCCGCCAGCGGCGCGAGACTAGCCCAAAATTCGATGGCAAAACTGGAACCGGCCGACAGTGCGGCGACAGAGCCTATCCGCACGCCCCGAGCCGGCAGGTGGCGATTGCGTTGCACCGGCGGCAACAGGAAATGCAGCCCTGCAGACGCGTCCCAGGCGGCGGCAGTGTCGTCAGAGTCGAGAGGGGTATGGGTGTGCGGGGCCGACCAGTCCGGAACCCAGGACGGAAGACCCTTGACACGAGTCTCGTCTTCCTGTTCCTTGTGCTTGAGGATGGCCAGGTCATGCGAGGACTGGATGCTAGACCACGCGACGTCGAGATACAGCTCGGGGACGGGAACCTCGTAGTCGACGCGACGGATATCCGGGCACGCCTCGAGCTCGGGCGAGTTCTCATCGATGATGCTGAGAACGGAAAAGACTTTGTCTCTGGGATCCGAGCAGAGGCTGCTGCGAAACAGGCGCAGGCACTCGACCAGGGCGATAGACCTGCCAGCCTCAGCAAAATACTGGCGTGCGTAGCGGACGACCATGGCCGAGTCCTCGACGGTATGTCGGTCCGGGTCCAGGAAGCGCCGGTACCTACCTGGGATCTCGCTCGGGGCGAGATAGGTCAGGAGATAGGACGGGGTCAGGATTTGGAGCCAGCGCGTGTCGTGCAGGAAGGAGTAGGCGGCCGAGAAGACGTGCCAGGAAAAGACATGGGCGCCGCAGAGGAAGACCAGCTGGCGCGCCTTGACGACCTCCTGGATAATCCAGGCGCGGCGAAAGTAGTTGCGCTCGACAAAGGCGATCCAGCCAAGCCACTCATGCATGGGCACCGGGTCCATGGCCAGCTGCCGGCTGTAGACGCCGGGGTTGCGGATGTCGAGCGGCAGGCTGCTGTCGCGCACCGCGGCCAGCGCGCTCTCGGGGACGGCTGAGAGCCGATTCAGGACCCGCATGGCGTCGTCGGTAGTTGCGTCCTCGGGGCCGAGCCACACGATGACCGTCTCGGCCCGGCCGTAAACGTCGCCCATCATGGCGACCTGGGCGGCGCGCTCGGCCAGGTCGTCTTGGTTGATGCAGATGGCATCGATCCAGATCAAGGCCTGCCGGGGGATTCCCAGTCTGCCCGGTGCGGAGGCGGGGGCGCGAAGGGCTCGGAGGGCGCTTGCGAGGTTTGGCCTGACAGCGAGTGGCTTTCCGTCGCAGAGTATGTAGGAATCTTCCATCGACATCTCTGGCGGGAAGGCCAGTGGGGAGCTAGGATCACCCCAGGTGTACGACAGAGCGTCATATGGCGGTGCCGTCTCGAGTTGGTGAGCCTGGATGGATATGGACACGGCCTCGTCTTCTGGCCCGAGCTCGACGTCGACAAGACGGATGCATCGGGGGCCTGGAAGCGGATGCATGCCGCGCCTCGCGCCTCGGTGAGCAATATCGGTCTCCTTCCGAGTCAGGGGCTGTGTGCATGCTTAGGGTAATCTGGTCCCCAGGTGCCTTCTAGTGTGGCAACCATTGGGAGGAGCGGGCGGCTGGCGGGTGGCCGTCGTGCAGCCAGGCGGCCAGGCAGCCAGGCAGCAGCCAGCACTGAGTGGCTTGCAGCAGTGCGGGCATCCATTAAGGTTGAGTGCGCAGAATTTCACCCGTTTCGGATAGCCCTAACCCTGCATTTCTTTTTTTATTTTTTATTATTTTTATTAATTTTTTTAGAAGGAATGGGGCAGAGAACTCGTTTTCTCCAAACGCCAACCCCACCCCCACCAACCTCATTGACAAACTCCACTGTGGATGACACCGTCGTTTACAGGCCTGTCAGGCACGCGTTTCAACACTTCTATTCCTAGCAGCCGTCCGAGACCACACAACACTTCGCTCTAGTCGTAGAGCTCTTATTGCAACCCGTTCGAATCGATAGTATGCTCTACTCTACGGCCTCCTCATTGGCCTATTGGTCTAGTGTAATATCATGTATGAGCGGCTCCGCGCGCTAGTGGATTTTTCGAACGCTATACCCGACGCGATTATCAAGGTTAACTATTCAAATATTCGTTAGAACTAACGTAGGACGTCTAATATACTATGAAGAGTATCGAACAGCCGTGGAGATGCTCCAACAATGTCGTTGATATCCTACTGCCCCTCGACGCAATGGGAGTTGCCACGAGCTCACCGGCTCGAGAGGGATAAGGCGGGTCCGATTGAAACAGAGCGATATGTTTGCACCATGGCTCCAGCACCATCCTCCCTGCAATATGTGAATTGTGCTGAGCTCCTCTTGACCGCAGTTGCACGTCCTCTTTTCGTTGCCTCGCACGGACTAGAAGGCAAAGGCCACAAAGATATGGGTCGCAGTTCACCACGAGGACCAGAAGAGAGTGCCAATTATTTTCCTCGCCGGCGGTAGCATTCATTGATTTGACATAGTCTCTAGTTGCATCTTGATCTGGTGTGGGACGCCATAAGGGTGCGGCGGCGGAGTCAGGATCTTCCGCCTCAATCTCTTTGTGCTGGAGCGCTAATACTTCTTACCGCAATTTAGAAACATGGAACAGGTGAGTATTCTTGTTCATCATGACCCCTTCGCGCATTCAATCAGGTTTACAGTATACTGCAGAAGTCCACGAGAGCCAATTCATGGTAAGCAGCATAACTCCCTTCATGGCTATCATACAAACATAGACGCGTACTTCTCGTTTAGATGTAAGCCTGATTATTATTTTGTACCTTAGGAATCGCAGGAGGAACAATACAGCTCCAGGTACATTTCTTCTAGATATGCCGAGTCGAGTCGCAGTTGTTGGGTTCCTAACTTTGACCAGGTAGCTCAACCATGACGCCATGTCGATCAACGCGGGCGCCAGAGTAAGCTTCGCTAACTATCCTAATCCAAGTTACCTTACCTTATTTAATTTAGTCTAGAGGGTTACTAACCCACGATTAAGAAGCTCCGCGCTGACAAACGTAAGAACGAGCTTCACTCCGTAGCCCACTTCACAACTATTAACAAAATCACTAGCCACGCAGAATGAAGGTTGCAGAAAGGAGCCGTCGATGATGGCAAAGCAGGGAGAGCCGAGGGGTTGGCAGGGAGAGCCATGCACGAAGTCGTAAAGAGTGGCATTCTCATTGTGTGGCGCACTAATTAGTGCGTCGGGGAGTGTGCATTGGCGCGGTGAGGCTACGGCAGCAGTAGACCGAGCCTACGGTGTAAAATTCTACTTCTTTCAGCTCGAACCGTTCGCCAGTACCCCAGTTCTTGGCCCAACAGTTGCCTCGAGTCTCTGGGGCCGTTTCTCCTGTGTTACCACGCGTGCAACCTGCCTGAATGCAACCCAGTGATTTGCTTATTATTGACCACGCAGAGCCCGGTAGGAGGGGAGCATCCGGTTAATATCACCCATGTGGCGCAGCAGCAATTAATTGGCACAGTATCGAAGAGAGAAGCGAAGCGCGTCAAGAGACCACGCTCGCATTTTTCTTACCCCCCTCATTCCTCCTTTTCTTCGAATTTAACCTGCAAATGAGTTAACTTCTTCCTGGTCGAGTTTCTGCCCAACGTTTGTCACGACGCAAGTCGCCGATTCGTCTACTCTCAGCCGGCCAAAGAGGAAACGTGGACGTCCGGACGAAAAGAAACCAGGGGATGGGGAGGCCGGGAGCGACAACGCAAAGAATCTGGCCATGCTCAGCGTCCCACAGCTTCGTGTCGTGGCAGCCGTAACTGCCGCTGCGATGTTGGTCCGTTCATTTATTACCTGTCCATTCCTTAATTTACCTTGGGGGGCGACTGCCTTCCCGATTGTTTCCTGACTCATGTCCTCACAGACGGCGGCGGCGACGGCGATGGCGACGGCGACGGCGACGGCACAACAATCATGCACCAATACCACCTTCGCCGTCGCCCTCCGCAACTGCACAATCTCGTCCGACGTGACGGCATGGGGCCATCTCGTCGAGGTCGGCACCCCGCCGCAGCGCCTCTGCCTGGTCCCATCAACCGTCGTCAACTCGACCCTCCTCTCCCAAAAGTCGCTCTGCGCCATCTCACAAACGCCAGCGCTGTACCAATGCGAGGCCCTCCGAGGCGGCTTTTTTAATGAAAACTCGTCGTCGACGTGGACGACGGCGACGCTGGCCGACGGCAACGACACGCGTAACAACCCGACATGGGACTACTTCAACCCGCCCGGCATCACCAAAGTCGGGTACGACGTCCTCAACTTCCCCAACGCCAACGTCGCGCTACAGGGCACGGGGTTGGCGCTGAACCAGTACGGCAACAATTCCAACGCCGGCATGCTGGGGCTAGGGATCGACTCGGTGTTCCTACAGGATGCCGTGCGGCAGGGCGTTTCTGGGTCGCGTTCGTGGTCGCTCGACGCCGGGTCATATTCGCTGGCGAACCCGCGGAACGGGGAGTTGGTAGTGGGTGGGTACAATGCTGGGCGAACGGATGGATCGTTTTACTGGACGGCGGTGAGTAACATGGCGGGGGACCGGCCGTGTCCGTTGCGGACAAGGATGGTCGACGTCAGCGTGACCCTGGCTAATGGGAGTGTCGTGCCCGTGAACTCGAGGGCCGAGATGGTCGAGGCGTGCATCGAGCCTTACGATAACTTGTTTCGCTTCACGGCAGGGATGCTGCTCCGCTGGAAGGAGATCACGGGGTTTAATGACTCGCAATTGGGGGTCTATAGCAACCAGGGCGCGGCCGAAGGACTGAATTTGTCGTTCACGGAGTATGGACTGCCGTATGCGATGGATAAGGTTGGGGACTGGTCGCTGTCCGTCAGGCTCGATAACGGCTATATAACGACCATGCCGGCCTCGGAGCTAGTGCGCCCGTTGCTGGGCTGGGACCGGCAGGGTAACCGGGTGCCCGTACCGGGGATGGCCAACTTGCAGATCTTGAATAAGCCGACTGACGTGGGCGAGGTGCCGACGCTGGGCAAGATCTTCCTGTCACGTGTAGGTTCCCTTTTCTCCTTTAGCACATGATAAGCTCCCCTTCTCCGATATTGACCTAAATCATGCAGAGCTACCTCGCCGTCAACTACGAGACAGGCCGTTTCGGTCTTGCCACGGCTGCCGTACCTACCCAACCGGACAAGTACATGGCCCTGCCCTGCAAGGATAGCAACAACGGCACGTCCGGAACGGGCTCCTCGGGAAGTGGCAGTAGTAGCACCAACCTGGGTGCGGTAATTGGTGGCGCCGTGGGAGGAGGCGTGGCCGTGATATTATTAATTGTCCTCGCCGTACTGCTCTGGCGGCGCAAGAGGAGAGCAAGACGAGTGGAAGTGGCCCACGGAACCCTGCATCCGCTACAGCAAGACATCGACCTGGGATACCGGCCGCCGACGCCAGTCGTCGAGGGGGACGCGCAGAATCGCGTGTTTGAAGTCGACTCGCAGACCACTGCACCTGGCTCACCATTCTTCAAGCATAAGACGCAAAACAGCAATCCGAGTCCACTGTCGGCGGGCGGTTCCTTCTTCGGGGACACCAGGGCTGTCTCGCCGTATATCAACGAGGGCCAACCGCCACCAGGGTCCAGACCGTTGCATGCCATGTCGCAGAGCGCTTCGTACGAGACGGCTCATGAGGTGCCAGGTTGAAAGTTGGCCGTGAGCGAGAAGAACATATGGAATTTGTTTTATCTGGGTTGCCGAAAACGGGAATGGAGTACGGATCGAATTTGACGGGCATAAAGCGCGTAAATCTCTTGGCAAAGGCTAGCGAGCGTAATATTCTTGCCTGGTAAAGAAGGGTAACACGGCGCCATAATTAAGCGCCATAATTAAGCGAGAGAAATATGCTGCAACAGTACGTAATAAACTAGCAAGGAGCACTTTGCTCTGTAGCTCGGCCGGCCCTTAGTAAGTCTTCTCACGTGTCAGTTCGGCGCTATCGGCGCGAACTTCGCTCATCAACCATGCAGCTTGGCATGATGAGTCACTCGGCATCGAGTTAACGTATTCGACTCTTTCGACCGACCGTATTTAGTCCACTTCTCCCATCACCTAGCAGCCTCAGTTAATCTCAAATTATCAACCTCGCATTGCTTTTCAAGATTCACACCAACTACTACAATGTCCGAAGAGGCTTTCAACTTCCCAACTCATCCAATTGCCAATGTCAGGGCGAAACTGATACCCTTCTCAGTAGGTTTCTCTTCCCTTAATTATAAAGCAAGGCTCTAAACTCCACCCCAACAGATAGACCACCATGCCGAAGAATTCTTCATCCAGACCGCCCCTCACCCCGAACTCTACGCGCACATGCCCTTTGGCCCCTTCTCCAGCAAAGCTGAGTTCATCTTTGCCCTGACCACCCAAACCAGAAACTGGTTCACCTACGCCATAGTCGACAAAACCCGCCCCCCAACAGCCATAGACAACGAAGGCCAACTCGCGGGCGTCATCGCCTTCCTGGACACATCCCCCACCCACCTCTCAACAGAGATCGGGTTCGTCGTCATCTTCCCGGCCTTTCATCGCACTCACGTCACCACCAACGCTGTCGGGCTCATGTTGCAGTTCGCCTTGGGTGATGGCGGCATGGGTCTGCGCAGGGTCCAGTGGAAGGCGAGCGCCGCCAACGCGGCATCAATCCGTGTCGCGGAACGCATGGGGTTCCGTCGCGAGGGTCTGCTCAGGTGGCATTTTGTCTTGCGCGATCAGCCGGGTGCGAGGGTAAAAGTTGGGAATGGGCAGCCGCTGCCGCCGGTAAGTCCCGAGACGCTGGTTGGGAGGGATACGGTCGTGTTGGGGTTGTGTTGGGATGATTGGGAGCAGGCGGCGAGAGAGATAGTGGAGGCTGCGATGGCAAGGACTAAGTGAGAGATGCCGTGGTTGGTGGAAAATGAATGGGGGAATGGGCCCAAAAGTCCAAAGATGAACCGAATCGAGACTCTATCTTGCCATTCGCATGTTCCCATTCGCCTTTTCGGTGACACCCTGCCTTTTCCCGGCGAAGCTCTGCCAAGCCGCTCCTGCCTAAGGCCGTCAGACAACTTGCCCAAGCTGAGCGTTAACGCGATCATAAGTGAGGGGAACCGCGATCGCGACAATCCGACACATTTTTCCTATTGGCAGCGCGTATCTATCCAGGCCCCTAGCATAATTAATCACTTCGTTGCCTACTATTCAGACACTAAGGTTGTATGGACAAGGCGGAGGAACGCGAGGAGACCTATAGAGGAGAGGTAAGTAAACCGTTCTTTGGTAACCCCTCATACCTTCTGGCATGAGCTCTCTTCCTTAACCATGTAGCCTAGTCACTATTAGACCTCGATAGTACAAATTACAATCACCATCGCCATTGGTTTCGGTCTCGAGGATACTGGTGAGTTTCTCATTACGTTTAACAAATCTACACAACGCTATATAGATAATAGGGTCGTATTACAGGTTATCTAGCATCTATTATTTATGCTCAACTTAGGCCCGATGCTTGCCGGTATGCTCAGGGAAATCAACACGGTTTTACGTCACTATGAAACTGATGCCTCACGTTTTAGATTAGCTATGGGGTACCATTTAGGATGTCGGCCAGTCGCTCAAGAAGGCAGGGCCGACACAATATCCTTGATCAGGACCGTCGACAACTAGCCGAATACCCAATCGCAGAGGGTCCGGAATAAAATCCCCTATGAGGCGAGCCCGCGACGGCTACGTCGCGTGGTCGCGTATGCGAAGGACAACATTACGCTTCAATATGGTAATCACGTACTGAGTCAGATACCAGTGGGATGATTATCAGGTATTACACGATAAATTTGGCCCTTTGGCCCCCCTGTTGTCATCCTCTACTTTATAACATAGGTGGCTAACATTAAACGCTCTTAGACCTAGTCTAAACCAAGCAGCGTCTATTATTTTGCGCAGTCAAGCTAGCCTTTCATCAAGCGAGTCTTCCAACCTTACGGCATATTACTTTCGTGGCTGAGGCCGATGCCGCAGCGTTGTAGTCCTGCATAAACAACATAGATCTGAATCGTGTCGTAAGCCCAGGCTGCTTACAGATAGCACCTTCCGAGCAAGGATTCGCAATCTAATAAAATGTGACTCTAGGCTAATCATTACTTTATCCTCTGTCAAACATCTAACCGATCCTCGGTGAGTGAAAAGGCGTCTAGGGAAACACGGCTAGTCTGGACGGCTAAAACGACCAAGGTCGCCATAACATCAAGGCCGCCATAACATACTGTCTCGAAACCATAGGGACTGGAACTAGGAATCTGACGAGATCTGGCTACTTGTCGCGTCAGTCTTCCCACAAGGCTGTTCATCTCTGTCATGAGATATCTAACTTTGTTCGTCGCTTTAAGTCCCGCCGAAGCCGGCTTAGAAGTTGCGGCAGAGTTACTTCTTGATCTGGTGCTGGATCGACTAGACGAGGACGATCAGGCTCTCTTTGGTTCTGGCAGCGAAGCTGGGACGCCTCTGAAAAGGACGGTTCTCGAACGAGCGAGAGCACTCATAAACGCCCATGAGGGAGACCCCGAGAATCTCCAACACGTAATACAGCTGCCACGACGAATCGGATTGACTGATGGCCCGGAGAAGGAAATTATCAGCGGAACCATCCAACTAGCCGCGTAAGCAGTGAATGTGACCTGAAAGGTCCTCACTGGTCTAGACTGCATGTCTAACTGATGCCGAAAACGGTCCTACAGTAGCGACATTAAGACAATCTTCCAGTCGTTAGTATCAAACCTGACCGAGATTTTATCGATGCAAGTGCAGCACGCGGCATTTTCAAGTATACCACTCAGTGTAGGATCATTCTGGGGAGGCAACGTATTTCTCCACTGCTTCACATCAACCTTGCCCGACTGACCTTGAAAAGGGTGTGTTAGTCTCAGGTATTTTACGTCACATCCCTACGTTCTCAGCCAAATCCAGACATTTTGCTACCAGCGCCGGCTCGAGGTCTTGCTTCTGGATTCCGGGTAAGTGAACCTGAACACTCCTGCATGTGCGACCCTGGCTAGAAAGACGTAGTATCAATACTAGGATCACCGTTCTCGGATTCCTAGAGCTCTAGGAGGCGCTCGAGGCTCTGTAGCTACCGCGCTCGGGATTGATGTGCCCCCGGTCCCATAGTCTGTGCAAGTGACGCCTTGTCACTACGGGGTTGTCTGGTGCGAATGTTTCGGCCCTGCACGTCACGCCCCAGAGAATATACAAATTAATCCGGCAGACAATGAGAAACAAGCTACAGGGTGTATTGAATGGCTAATTAGAAAGGGTGATCCGATCTTTCCCGCCGCCAAAAAGCTACGACAGGAAACAGTCCAGTTGCAGAGACGATACACTGAGCGAGACATCGCAGCAGCAACGAGATCAAAAGTGATTTTCGTAACGAGCACCGCCGATTCACCTCCTCATCGACCGAGGAATATCGAAGCTAAGAGTACATGAAATTACCACCTCCTAGGACAGAGTCTACGGGTCTCCCCTAAAATCTCACTCTCCAAGCTTCGTCTACTTTTCTTCCCTTCCTCGGTAACCTCTAACCACTAGTCGATCTGTACTACCCACTTCCATTAGAGCATTGTCTCACGCACAAGCGATAGCAACTACAATCCTTAACCTTGAATACCCACTGGCGAACATACCAGAGCGCGAGCGACAGAAGCAAGAATATAGACGCCACTTCCTCGCCAAGACCTACTTCCAATCTTTATATCCGCAGGAGTTCGATTACGTATGGCCAAGGTAAAGATGACACTAAGTTGCGGAGATACGCTGCTCGCCGAGTACACTGGGCTTCTGTAATGAGCATGTGCGCGGAAAATTGTTGGGAAATCTTGGTCTGGTTACTTTAGGCGCGTTAGTTATTTGCCGTAGTTGATGTTTTGCAATATGCGAAGCGGACTCACGTAATCCCGTTTTTGTGTCCCTAGACTAGTTCTAGATGCATTTCGGCGGTGAACTTTTGCATCCAGCTCAGCCGCAATGCGTTTCCACCTGCCCAATCATGGCCGAATGATTGGCGATAACACTGCCTGCCGCATTTTCATAGGCTCAAAATTTGAGCAAGAGTGACGCTCAAGAGACAATTCCACGCCTTTTGACGCTACGCATCGTGAAGAGTGGTCGGCTTGGTGCCTTTCCAAGTAGGCAGTAGACCCACAGCCTATGGGCACTTACCTTTTAGCTGTTTAACAGCTCATTGTTGTGATTCTCACTTCTTCTTCCTGGATTGTTACTCGTGCGCTGCGTGTCTCCTTTGGTCATAGCACTGTCCGCTAGTCTAGAATGTTTAGCGTGATGTTAACATGAGTGTTTATTGTAAGAGGTAGTTTGGTTAGGCCACTTCTTCGTGTGTTTTGCGTGTTCAATGCTGATGATGAGATATGTCGTAAAGTGAGTTTTTGGACTAACAATTTGTGTGAGAACCGCCGCTAAAACTGTTAGTGACTTTGCTGCTTGCACACCCCATTTCGGATACCACGCCGTCCGATCCACGTGGGGCATACGGCGCCCTTCGATACGTCATCCCGCCAAGCCCGGTTCTCGTCGCTGTCGCTACTAAGCAACCTTCCGTGTGGTAGCAGAACCTTGTGCCAAGATTGTTGTGAGACATTTCAGTTCCGATACCCATCGCCACACATTGTGTCTTTGCCTTTTATTGCCCTGTAGCCAATCGCACCGACGGCCAAATGACGAAGTCCGGACGAAATCTGCCCCTGAGCACACAGGGGCCCCTCGAATGCGCCTTGCGGGGAACCGTGCTTCTCAACCACCCTTACTTCAACAAGGGCTCGGCGTTTTCCAGCGAAGAGCGTCGCGACTTTGGCCTGTCGGGTCTCTTGCCACCAAGCATCCAGACCCTCGAGCAGCAGGTCAAGCGGGCATATGACCAATACTCCAGCCGGGCTGATGACCTCGCCAAGAACACCTTCTTAACATCCATGAAGGAGCAGAATGAAGTGCTTTACTTCAAGGTATGCATACGCGACTCGCAAGCAAGTTTAACCACTCATTCAAAATCCCTGCCCGGGCGGTTGCACAAAACAGGGTGTGGGTTTTGGGTCGAACTGTGCAGTAGTTAACAATTACATGCTGTTACAGTTGATCCAGGACAACATCCAGGAGATGTTCAGTGTCGTCTACACGCCAACCGAAGGCGATGCCATCCAGAACTACTCACGCCTGTTCCGGCGACCGGAGGGCGTATTTCTGAACATCCACGACGTGGACCGTGTCCGCCACGACCTGTCCAAGTGGGCCACGGCCGATGACATCGATTACATTGTCGTGACCGGTAGGAGAAGCTCCCTTGTGTGTCACGCCACGCATCCCGGCGCGTGGGCTTTCCCAAGGCTTAATACTGACGCCAGCCTCTAGATGGAGAGGAGATTCTCGGCATTGGCGACCAAGGCTGCGGCGGCATCTTGATCTCAATCGCCAAACTTGTCCTCACGACCGTGTGTGCGGGGATCCACCCAAACCGCGTCTTGCCGGTTATCCTTGATTGCGGCACAGACAATGAAGAGCTCTTGAAGGATCCGTTGTACCTGGGCCTGCGGGAGAAGCGCGTCCGGGGCGAGCAGTACGATAACCTGGTTGACACCTTTGTCAAGTCGGCGCGGGAGCTTTTCCCGAAGGCTTACATCCACTTTGAGGATTTCGGCCTGTACAATGGTGCGTCCCTCACTGAAACGATGCCTTTATATTAAATGGCAAAGGCTCACGTTGGACACCTAGCACGGCGCATCCTCGACAAATATCGTCCTGAAATTCCCTGCTTCAACGATGACGTTCAAGGAACTGGATGCGTGACGCTGGCTGCCATCATGGCCGCGCTGCGCGTGTCAAACCTGGCACTGGGCGATCTTCGCATGGTCATTTTCGGTGCGGGAACTGCCGGCGTTGGAATCGCCGACCAAGTCCGCGATGCCATATCAACCGAGGGTGGCATTAGCAAGGAGGAGGCTGCCAAGCAGATATGGTATGTGCCTTTTGATCACTGAAGCACGGCAGCTAATTAATTATTTCACCACAGGCTGGTCGATAAGCCTGGAATTCTCACGGCCGAAGTTGAGCACTTGTCTGGCGCCCAGAAGGGCTATGCCAAGGCAGAGGACGAGTGGAAGGGCAAAGAACGCAATTTGCTCAGCGTGATTCAGGAGGCGAAACCAAACGTGCTTGTCGGCACGTCGACAGTGCCGAAAGCGTTCACTGAGGACATTGTTCGCGCCATGGCCTCTCACGTTGAGCGGCCCATCATCCTGCCGCTGTCCAACCCGACGCGCCTCCATGAAGCGGTCCCCGCGGATCTGCTGGCTTGGACAAATGGCAAGGCACTTGTTGCCACCGGCAGTCCCTTTGACCCAGTCCGGGGCCCGTGGGGAGCTGATGGGGAACAGATTGAGATTTCCATTGCCGAGTGCAACAACAGCGTCGTGTTCCCCGGCATTGGGCTTGGCTCCGTCCTCTGCCAGGCCCAGCGCGTGACAGACAAGATGCTCGTGGCGGCGGTGAACGGCGTGGCTGAGCTTGGCCCGGCCATCCAGGATAAGGACGCGACGGCACCGCTGCTGCCCGGCGTCGGAGCAGTGCGCGATGTCAGCGTGCGCGTGGCCCGCAAAGTCATTCAAGCAGCAGTCGAGGAAGGCCAGGCGACTGAGAAGGAAATTCCGACAGATGACGAGGAATTGGACGAATGGATACGCGAGCAGATGTGGGACGCAAAGTACAGGCCGTTGAAGTACGTCGACATAGAAGACGCGAGCCCGCAAGCCAAGGGCGACATGCGCGTGGTGGGAAGCTTGGAAGGCAAGAAAAATTAATTAGGCACAGCGGATTGGTGGGGTATTAACAGGCATCCGGCAGTATTTGCGTGTAGTCTGTTAGCGTCTCTGCAGCCAGCGCATTGGACACCACATCAGGCCTATTCGCCAAATCCTTTTCGCTTCTTCCACAGTTGCAAATAATAACCTTTGCATTACAAAATGAACGCACCCAGAACGAAATGCCTATTGTAGTGATCGTTGATAAAGGTCAGGCGTGGCACAATGTTGCATCAAAGGGTTAGGGTCAGCATAGCGTAGCAAAAACGTGCCCCGCCAACCCCACAGTCTAGTCCACGTGACCTGTCACGGATCGGGTAGGGTTTTCGGCCCACACCAAAAAAATTACCGCGAGCGGCCGACCCAATTTGTGATTTGCACGAAATTTCGACTCCCCATCGTCAAGTCGACATCTCACACCCAGACCTTCGCAATGGCCAAAATTTCGTGAGTACATCCCGCCTGTGTGCACACAATGCTATTTTCCGACTGCCGACGATCTCGCCGCCTCGGCCGAATGATCGCAGGAGCGCTGTCCGAGTCGCACGGAGCGAAAGCCACCGCTAGCTAAGCTCCAGAAAAAGAGTGAGAGACAGCGCTCCTCGAAATTCTAGGTCTTGGCGGCAGAGGAGGATTGTGCTTGGATTTTGGGACTGGAATCCTCTCTACGAAAACATCCCGCTAACGACCATCTGTGCAGACGTGGTGCCCCCGGTGGCAAGCTCAAGATGACCCTGGGTCTCCCAGTGTGCGTTCGATCTATCCTCGTCCCGTTCCTCGAACAGGGCGCCCGGCTGCCACGAAGCAAATACTGTTGCGACTGCGCCTGAGGACAAGTTTGGGGGGAGGCAGGAAATTGCTGACAACGAAACAGTGGTGCCATCATGAACTGCGCAGACAACTCCGGCGCGCGTAACCTCTACATCATCTCCGTCAAGGGTATCGGTGCCCGCCTCAACAGGCTGCCCGCTGGCGGTGTCGGCGACATGGTGATGGCCACAGTCAAGAAGGGAAAGCCTGAGCTCCGGAAGAAGGTCCACCCGGCCGTCATTGTCCGTCAGTCCAAGCCGTGGAAGCGCTTCGATGGCGTCTTCCTATACTTCGAAGACAACGCTGGTGTGGTAAGTCTAGTTAATAATCCACCCACCCTATTTTCGAGTTGCGGTGCTCCGCCTTATCGCCACTATTATCGCTCTCGATCAATAAATCGGAATAGTGCTGACTGCCTCGGTCCAGATTGTCAACCCCAAGGGCGAGATGAAGGGCTCCGCCATTACCGGGCCCGTCGGCAAGGAGGCTGCGGAGCTCTGGCCCCGTATTGCCAGCAACTCTGGCGTCGTGATGTAAAGGGGTGTTTGGGAAGGAATGGGTTATTGGCTTGCGAGTGTTACGTCTTGGGTCGGGTCGTCCCTCGCCTACAAGTCCAGGGCGCTAAACTCAGGTGCTTGGCGGTTTCCTGAAAGGTCGCCCTTTCGTTTATCTCGATACGAAGTCTTTTCTTGTCCCGGGTTGTGCCGTGGGTTGTGTAGATATGATCGGGTGATAATGATCGGTATGCTCTCCAGCCGTTCACCGGATCCGGCTCCTCACTACGATAGACACTGGCTCCCGGCCCGTCGTCCCTGTGCGCTTACTGTCTTGGGGGAGCGTCTTCTGATAGCCCAACTTCCCTCTGTCTCAGACCGCACACACCAGTTTGGTAGATGTGGTCAACCCAACCTTGGCAGCGATTATCACAGTCGAGTGTAGTCCATGATATAGTCGATGGATCATGTCGAACCAAGTGCCAGTCATACATGCCCCTTCACTAGAACGAGAACCAAGCACCCGTGGCATCCCCTCTCACCGTCACCATGGTATCGGGAAACCAGCCTGGGGACAACAGGGCCTACCAGATCTAGGTGCCGTGCATTGTCTTCTTCGTCCTGACGTCGGCCTTTGTGGCCTTTCGCATTTGGGCCCGCGTCAAGCTGAAAGGCTGGTCCGGCTTTGGCTGGGATGACGGTACCATTGTGGCCTCCTGGGTAGCCATTGCCATGCTGCTGTCAATTGCCTGTGGAATGGAGTCTGACGCTTTGCCGTGGCCAGGTCTTTGCAACCACCGTGTCGGCGCTGATGATAGCGTCGTGCGCGTACGGCTTCGGCAAGCATGTAGCCAACCTGTCTCGGCAAAACAAATCGATGGCACTCAAGGTACGTATCGGCTTCCAAGGGGCGATAAGGGCGTCCAGCCTGGCACGGATCCGCTGGCTGACTCCGAACAGCTGTTCTACGCGGCCCAGGTCTTCTACAGGCACACCATTAACCTGACCAAAGCATCGATTCTCCTATATCTCCGCATGTTCGTGACCAGGCAGTTCAGGATCGCGTGCTGAACGCTCCTGGCCACTGTCCTAGCGTACACGGTTGCCACCACCGTGGCCTCTATCCGGCAGTGCTCGCCGGTCCCGCTGGCCTGGGACAAGACGGTCCCCGGCGAGTGCATCAGCATGACAGACTCCTGGGGCGCCAATGCCGGGTTCTCTATCGCCACCGACATCCTCATCCTAGCGCTTTCCATGTATCCCACCTACTCGCCGCACCTGCCGCTGGACCAGAAGGTGGCGCTGATGGTGTTTTTACGCTAGGTCTGTTGTGAGTCTTGCGTGTCTTCACGATCATTCGACGGAGAACTGATCTTGTTCGCCCGCTCTAGCACGAACGTCACCAGGATCCTCCGCATGCAGACGCTCAGCTTCTCCGCGACCGGTCCGGACATCACTTGTAAGCTCCCGCAGATTTCCATTAGCCCAAAACACGAAGTTTGTCTGGCGCCCCTTTTCTCTTTGCTAGGGGACATCGACTCGTCGATCTAGACCATGATCGAGGAGAACCTCACCATCATCTGCGCGCGCCTGCCCGTGTGCAGGCTCCCGCTATCCTACACCTTCTAGACGCACTTCTCCGCCTCGTCCTTCTCGTCTTCGTTCTCCAACCCCGCCGCTCGCAAGCACAACCACTCGGCTGATATCGGCGGCTCCTAGTCATCCAGCAAAGCGTCAGGCTCGCGGAATTCCAGCCACGGTCCAATCAAGCCCTCACAGCAACCTACATGGCCGCCGCAGTCGTCAGCAAGCCAGCACGGTGCGGCAGGAACGCAGCTCGAAAACGACATTGTCGAGATCCCGCCGGCCAGAGCGGCCGGTTGGGCCGAGGGTGAAGAGGACCTCACGGTGCGCCAGCCGCCGCGCATCGCTGCTCCTCGGCACAGCACGGCCGCGTACCGTGGCCGCCGGCGGTCCGAGGATGATCTCGAGCTTGACCTCGAGGATGGAGGCCCCGATGCGGTGGTCCGCCAGGCCTTGAGGTTCTAATCTGTCAGGGACAACAGGGGGTGATGGCAGTGTTTGTGTGATTGCTAAGAGATGGGTTTGGGCTGGTTTGGTTTGGGTCCGGGTTTATATGGCCAGAGGCGAGGTTTATTTCTCGGGGATTGGCTTGGTTTGGAAGGGGTGGTGTTGGCTTAGGCGCAGGGTGCGCTTCAAGTTCCTCCTTCAGAGGATCGTGACAGAGGCTGGACCTGAACCTTGAATGTGGCCTAAATTTGTCTTTCTTCCTTCCCGGGATTTCTCTTTTGCGTTTTTCTCCCTCGATCCTTTCTTTTCGTTCCTTTCCCTTCACATCCCGATTTTATAACCCGACCAACCACCACAAGCTCGAGGCTACCTCAACGGCCGGCATTGGCACCGACACAAACGAGCCTCATACATCCTATGAAGTCACCGACGCAGTCTCGTACCTGCAATTCGGGCTCTGGGACGGCAGCCTGACCGTCGCCGTCGTCTTCACCGACCGCGTCGACGGTGTGTCAGCGGTCAAGCACGCGCCACTGGGCATGACCATCAAAGAGAGATAGACCGTTCGCGACGCAGCAGCAGGCCCGGGGAAAGAGACACCTGATAGCGAGGTGCTGTTGCAGGTCGAGCTCGTCGCTGGTCAGCCCGTCGTGTGGCTGACGGTAGGTATGATGGAGAAAACTACGACGTGTACATTGAGAAGCTTGGCAAGCTGTTGGAGACATCAGAATGACATACGTGAAAACAAACTCCGACTTAGTTGAAGTGGCAATACCTTTTTTTTTTTTGCTGCTGCTGCTCAATGAATTCTTCTCGCGGCTTTTGGTCAAATTCGCTTCAATCACTGGTTCCATTTTGATCCTTAATTACAGAACTGGCCAGGGTTGATGGTGCTGTCACGTCACTGTGGGCCTTTAAATTCGGGAGCGCCGAAGGCTTGTTGAATTTGCGAAAAGTAGGGCAGAATAGACCAGAGGTCAGTCAAACTGACCTAGCGATTAAGCTATTCAGACATTATCTCTCTGCTTCTCTTAATCAGCTTCGCCCATCATCTGAGTCCTGGCGTTCTCTACACGAGTAAGTCGACAAAAACCTCCTACTCAAACTTGCTTGGCCACGTCAACAGCAGCACCGTGGATTGAGAAATAAAATATCCTCTCCCAGGCAGGTTTGTAGTATTGAGGGCCCGTTTTGACGTGAGGGGGAGGCCTGTGACTTAAGGATTTTTGCCTGGAGCCTTGAAATCTGTTTTAGAGTAAATATTGGTCAATTCCTGGACTACTCGTTCAAGATATTCATGACGTGATCATGTGTAGAATCTAGACGACCCAATCCCATTCATTAGTATTTTCAAATCCGGTTCAAATTAGGCGGGCCTACGGCGACGAAGGAACGCTCGATGCGCCATGAAACAAAAGAGGCCCGGCATTAAGTGGTGCTGTGGTCTCAACACTAGTAGCTACGCGACACATCATCAAGTGCAACGTGGTCAACTAGCTGGCTAATTATGTGCACCGGTCTACCGTGAAGCCATGAAATTCTGTTCAATATTTTATGCGGCATTTACCACGATTTAGTGACGAGGCAAGGAAGCTGATACACAAGCGCATTTACATTAAGCATCCTCAACCCGCTCAGACAGGCAGACCGGCAACCATCATAGCCACGAGGATATTTGAAGGTAGTCAAAAGTGCGGGTTCAAGTTATGGCAGATGGGGGCTAGAAATTCATCACTTCACAGCAAATATCTAGACATGACTATTACTGTTCATCTCGTGCCTTAAAGCCATATACCAAAATTAGTGCAGATTAATCACACCGACAACGCCTACTGTCAGCTACTATTTGGGCATACCGTCTCGCTAACCTATTCCTGTTTTCTGCCGTCTGCTGCCCTTTCTATGCGGCAGTAGACCCCGCTATCCTTGACAATATGGAGCCACACTCATGGCAGTTTGTCGGGCGAGGCGGGCAGCGGCCGATCCTTCAAGCTCCAGAGATGACCATCGAGGCACGATTCACTTGCCTACCCATAATTACGCAGGTCCAGAGCTGGAGATCCAACGCCAGTCGAATAGAGGCTCCCACACATTAAGAACTCACTTTACGCCTGCCTATTTTACCAGATAGAACTCGATCCAAGAGGCCTGGGCCTTGGGGTCAAGAGTGCCGATTGCCGGTTGCCGGTTGCCATACTCGCCATTACAGTGCCCTCGACATCTCGGTCAGTAATCACACTACCGCTCTTCCTAGTACTGACGAGCCAGCTGTGGGTGGGGGGGGGGGGGGGGGGGGGCACAGAAGTGGGTCCGCGTCCCTATTGTCCCCCCCGCCGCGCCTGCAAAACCTCCAGGCGGCGGCAGCATTTTATTCTCAACAATAGGAACGCGCAGCTTCTATTCTTTTCGTCCGATGTCTAGAAGCTGTGAGTCATAGACCCAAACCCTGACCTTTACTGATTAAGAATTTTTTACCTCGACTGCCTGTGCATAAAAGCAGGCCTCTCCTCCCCGCCGCCCTCCGACTTCTTCTTTCTTACATCGCACTTCACACTCTTCACATTTCGGCCTTCACACTTCGATCTTTTCGCTTCCTTACTCGCTTGATTCCTTCAAGGTAGCAAACCTTCTTTTCTTCTTGCCTGTCTTTACATTTACTTGCTTTCCCTTTTCACATTTCACCTTCTTCCTTCCACCTTCTGCCTTTTGCATTTTAGCTTCTACCTTCCACATTCATATCTTCATTTCATACCTTCCACCTTCTACTATTCGCCTTTTACCTTCCACCTTCCTCACCTCTGTTTGCACTTGACATTCAGGTAAGCTTTCCTTTCTCTTCTTCACATCTTCACATCTTCACATCTTCACATCTTCACATCTTCACATCTTCACATCTTCACATCTCCACATTTTCCTATCGCTCATCGTGGTATTTTTCCCTTCTTGCTTTCCGTTTTCATTTCGCTAACTTCAGCTTACTTCATTCTAGAGTTCGGTATTCAACATCCAGCAATTCGGTGACATACAAGGCAGTGGAGGATACAAGAGGAGGATACAAGTTTGTGTTGGTGTTGGTGTGGCCGTGGGTCGCCGTACCTCAGAACTTAGCGGGTGTTACTTGGTACCGACTGCCACGGACCTTCTCGTCAAGGGCATCTCTTCTCATGAGGTGCTTATGCTTGGCGGGTCGGCATCTGCGAACGGCCCCTGGCCCCTGGGGCCATCTCTTCTCATGGGGTGGCTTTTTCCCGGGGGACAGGGCACCTGTTGTTCGACTTACCCTTCTGGGCTGGTCGTCTGCCGCTGTGTCCCCAGACTCTGCCACCACTGGACGGTGTGCAGAAGGTACTAAGCCTCGACTAGAGCGGTTCGGCAGGCAGTGTTAGGGGCGTCAGGTCTACGGACTCCTCACCATGGGCCCATCTCTTCTCATGGGGTGCCTGCTCGGGGGGCGAGTGGGCCTGGCGTCTAGACTCCTCTGGCATTGCCGAGGGATGTTTTGGTGCCTGTATTCACGGATCTCTCACCATGGGCCCATCTCTTCTCATGGGGTGTCTGCTCGGGAGGTTCGGGTTCCTTGTGCCGGCATTCCAACGCGGTGTCAGCAGGAAGGAAAGCTCCTGTTCGAAAAGCGCCACCCGTTTGCCGGAGTTACCCACCGAAGCGAGTGTCCGGGGAAGCGTGAGCAAACGGGGACAGTTTGAACTGTCAGTGTAAATGGTGAATCTCAGGGGTACTGGTGAGCGGGCGGGACCTCCCGTGAAACCATCCTCAAGTTCTGTGCCGGTGGCAGCACGGTCTTATAATTTTTTTCATTGCAATCTTGGGCTAAGGCTTGGAATGTAAGGAAGAAGATCTTGCTTTTCAATTATCCGTGCTATGTAGGTAGTGACGATAGTGTACAATTGGAACGTTACTACGCCGTTCCCTGATCGTTGTCTGTCTACTGGGTACTCAGTCCATCATTTCCATGTCGTCCTCATCACTATCAGTATCCCCTTTCTCGCCTTGACCAACACGCCGGCCCGAATTCCTGGAAACAAGCGCCTGGCGCTTTCTTTTTGGCTCCCTCCGGAGACCCATCTTGATGAACTCGGTGTAGTACTTGAACAACTGGCCCATCCTCTCTGCAAGTTCGTCCTGCTGCGCCCCTGTCAGGGGCAGGTCGCCCGCTACCCGCTTGATACCCTCCTCCAGTCCGTCCCAGCCCTCTCCTAAGTCATGAAACACCTCTTGAGATTCGACGGGGGGGGAAAAGTCTAGTTGCCAGAGCATGGTAGTCAGTGCTAGCCGTTAAGATATAGAGCCATCTTGGAAAAAGTGGTAGTATACTGACCTGGGCTCGGGACGACCAAGTCTTCCGGAAACAGCATTCCCCACAGCGCAAGCCACGTGTTAATCTTGGAGTTTACCGTTCTGCTATTAAGAATATCCTCGATCCTGCTTGTTATGCCATCCTCGAAGTCCGGGGGAAGTGCTAATGCGTGGCGGCACATATCCTGATTTGGTTTGGCCAAGTGATCCTCGTATCCTTCCTGAGTCTTCATGTCCTTTTTGCATCGCGGACAAACATACACGGTCTGCTCGTGGAAGTTCTTAACGTGAAGTCTAACAAAATAAATCAGCACCTGTTGTTAGTAAAGTATGAGGGAATACTGACTTGAGTTGTGAAATTCCTGGGAAAGACTGGACAGCACAGCTTCGGTGGTCTCGCACGTTGAAGCGGAGAGGATTTCTTTTTCTATACGGGCAAGGGAGGTTTGTATCACTGTGAAGTGGCCTTTTGCCGCCGTCAAGAGGGCCTAGGTTTATGTCACTCTCAGGTGGCCTCTTGACACTTGCGGGGAAGAGGTCGCGAATGTCGGCTAACGACGGCTCGAGCCTTGTCTAAGTTCCCTTTTTTGTTAGGCTCGTGACAGAAGCACTCTCGGAAGTCTGTGTAGTTATTGGGGGCGGTAGACTTTGCTGAAAATCTGTAGAAGAAACTTTAGTGTGCTTTTCTGGCCCGAATACCGGAACTTTGGGCGGATGCGATACTCGGTTGTAGCTCAGGGACTCGAGAAATAGTTCGAACCGGGACAACCCCGCAAGCTTCTTGCCACAGTTAGCGCTGCTTTTCGAACGCGTCGTAGTAGACACTACAGATCGACTGTCTATGTCGATGGCCGAGTCCGCGACGACCCTCTCGGGCGGGACGTACGAAGCGGCATCAACCTCTGTTTTGCTGTCGCCCGCTATTACGCCATCCTGCAACCGGACCACGTCGTATTGCTTGTAGATGGTTGATACAAGGTTGCCGGTGGTGGCAAAGCCCACAAAGGACACAGCCGGGTGGTTTGGGAGCATATGCCACACGCCGAGCGGTAGGTTTAGAAGCAGCAGTGTAGAAAAGCTGCCAAACCAGCCTTCGACTTTAATGTCGACAGCCCTGGGCGGTGCTTTGAGAAGCCACTCGGCCCATGTTGGCGGCTCTAGGTTCCCTTGCAGACGCACACTAACAATGACCTGAGGAAACTATTCGTCGGTGATTTCGATAATCTCGTTCTCTTCGCCAGGCCCGGCGCCAGTTGAGCTCGACAACGGACGTGCGGCGGTAGTCCGGCTACAGGCTAGCGGGGGCCCCATCACCTGCGCGGCGGCAAGGGGAGCAATAATTATGGACTCGTGCTTCTGAGACACAAAGTAGTGGATTGGTGTCCTCCTCCGGGGCGGCTCGAACCTGGGACGGCACTGCTCGTCCAGAAGCAGTCGGCCGTTGCCATCCTTCAGAAGCTTGGGTGTGTACCCGGCGAGGCCAGCAAGCATATGTCCGTGGAGATCACTAACGGAGATTGGACGACTTTCAGCGGCCGCTCGGGCTAGCTCGTGGTTCAGGAGATATGTGAACGAATTCTCGCCCACCTCTGCAGCAATGGTCTCGAACCCTCCGGGTACACTTCCCTAGCGTCGGTTCGCCTCTTATATGCATACCGGTGACCGGTCAGAAATCTCTGGAGCGAAGATGCTAGCGGGGATACGAATCTTGACTCACGACCTCCAAACGGGATACGTCCCAAGCTGCCGGCTCGGCCGAGCGTGGCCGCCATAGTAGAAGATGAAAAGGGACGGTGGGGCCTGCCACCTCTTGAGAACGGCTCTCAACTTCTCGTCCAGCTCTTCTTGGGATTGACGGACAGAATCTTCCACTTCTCAACCTGAAATCTATACACACTCCGGAACATCTGCCCGAGATCGTCCAGTTCAGCCTCGACGCCAAGATCATCGTCCTCCCAGCTGACGAGGAAGGCCATGCAGATTTGTACCTTGCGAGCTTGGCATGGCTGCGGCTTTTCCAATTGGCGTCCAGGGCCCTCTGAAGATCGTGTGTGAGGTCACCCAAGGCAGGGTAGTGGTATGCCGAAACTGATGTGTCGTGAGTGGTATTGCTCGACGTACTCGGCCCCGGCTCGGACAAATTGGGTGGATCGTCGGACGAGCTGCCTCGGTCGGTAGAAGCATCGTCACAGTGGAAGTCCTGGGATGCAGTGGGGTCTTGTCGGCTCCGCTTGGGAATCTCGGCTTGGTCATTTTCGTCCAGTTTTCTCTTCTGCCGGGATGTAGAAAAGTCTTTGAGCAAACCTCGAAGATCTATATTTCACCGTTTCGGCTCTGATTATGGGCTGGCAAGTAGTCTCCTCAGGCTTGAGTGTGAGTCTGTTCTGCACATGGTCGAAATCGCGAGGGAGAGTAGCGAATTTTAGGAGAATCAGCGGCGCTTGTGGGTGGCTGAGGCTGGGCCAGTGATCAGTGTCCTGTTCGGTGTGTGTTTGAGGCAAGGCTCGGCCAATCCGACATCGACGCTAACTAGAACTGGGAAATGGAATTTAAACATGGCATAGACCATTTTTTATATCGTGTGACATGTTCCTCATTAGCGAATGAATACAATAATCAGAAACGACGGTGGCAAGCCAGTCGTTGACTCGAACTATCTAGTGCCTTATTGGCTCAGTCGATGGCAATGCGTATGCGATCTCACTCTCTATTTTTTCCCGGAACTCTTGTTCGGTGATTTTCGGTGGCGAGTACGAGCAGTTGAGGCCCATGGCGACTATCTTCTGCTGAATCATCTCCAATTTGACCCAGGGGTACGAGGTCGGGGATATATCTTTTGTGATCCACACTCGCTCGGGCTCATACTTGATATGAATGTTGCGCAAAGGTGCGGCATATCGCACGGCGTCATGCGCCAAGGACGTCAACCACGTCTCAACCTCGTCGTCAATCGATGTCCACTTGTAGTCCTCGTACGAGGAATAGAAGCTACTATGGCGGGCGTCCCAGACAAAGGTTTCCAGGCTCGGGCCCAGCATGACAAAGGCTTTTGCGAAGCCGCTGTAGTTCAGCCGTGGCGTCGCAAGAGTAAGCTGCTTGAGAGCTGTAAAGTCGCCAAGGTCAAGCCGGCCTTTTACGACCTGGTGTTCTCCCAGGACTCCGATCTCCAGGGTCTCAAGCGTTGCTCGATGGGGAAGCAGCATTTGCCGGACGTCGGGGAGGTTTAGGCGAACATCCTCGACGTCAACATTCATGATGAAGTGCTCGAGAGTTCGGGACAATGACGCAAAATGTCCAATACTGTCCGGTGTCCCGGTGACGCGCAGTCTCCGAAAAGAAGCAGTGCCCATCTCGTCGTCCGTCACGCGCAGTCTGCAGAGTGAGGTAATCCCCGTTGGATCTTGTGTTTGGTCATGGACGCTGTTCTGCGCCTGTGTCAGCTGACCCGGGGCTCTGGGGTCCAGTTAGAGGCGCTGGCTGCCATTTGCAAAGTAATTACCTCATCAGGGTACCAGGGAATGCTGACATCGACCATATCCAGAACCTTCAAGTGCTTCAGGCGGCAGACCTGGCGCAGTATGTTGCGGGCCAGCTCGGGTTTGTTGGCGATCTCCAAAAAGGAAATCTGGAGGTACTGCATCGTGGAGTTGTTTCCTAGGACATCAAGAAGCAGTTTTGCGCACTCGGGCTTGGAGTTGACGGGATTGTTGGGGGTGAAGGAGAGACAAGTGGCCGTCTTGACCTTCAACAGGGTGTCGGGTTGGTTGGTGGTCCACATCTCGGTCCAGGCCGACACGTCCAGTCTCCGGCAAAGCTCATGGCGAGGCGAGGAGGGGCCGGGAGACTGGGAGGAATCAAAGACCAGCGACTCGTAGAGCAAGGGCAGGGCAATGCGCAGAAAGCGTCTGCAGACCAGCAGGAGGGGGAAGAAACGCTTTGCATCAAAGGCCCTGTGGTCGTGGCTGCACCGGAAGTGACAGAACGGAGATGGGCACCAGCAGCGCGTCTTGAGCCCCACCAGCTGCAGTACCTGGAGGAGAATCTCGTCGGGCAAGACGACGATGTCCGAAATTAGAGCCGCAGCCTGAGCCATTTTGGGCCGGCCCACTTGGTAGCGGTCGGTCGGATCGAAGCAGATAAAAACGCCGTAAATAACCGAGAATGGCCAACGAAAACAAGAGTTCGTCTCAGGTCAAGCAAGGAGGGCGTGGCTGCCTGCTCAGGTTGACGTTTTTTGGAGCTAGTCGGCAACAGAGAAAAGCAAACAAGAGCCGCCTGAATCCAGCTGGCAGCTTGCCTGACAGGAACGAAGGAGGCCATGAGGTCGCGCGGCACGGCCGCGGGGCAGGCATGTGACTAAGCGCAGACGCGACCACTGGCAGTTTGCCACCAATCTCTTCCTTCCCTCCCTCTCGTCATAGGCCGCGGAAGGAGCCGGTGCTGCCCCCGATGACAGAAGTGCCAGGCGGTTATGCCAGCTGTCACCGCCCATTCCACCTGTCCCAGGGGCAACTTGCTGTGCGTATTGTATATGGGTGGGTCCAAGTGGCCCCACCTATCAGACCTTGCCGTCGTAGTGGCTGGCAATCTTTTTGACTTCGTTCCCAGGAGCCGGGACTTTGTTAATGTACGACGGCGATGCACCGCACCGCCAACCTTATTCCCTGGCTTCAAGCTGGCATGGTCTCCGAAATTTCTGCATTCGGCTCTATCGGATTCGGAAGATGGCATCTGATCGGTTCATCCTCGCCGAGGCTTGCTGATTTCTTGGTTTGAAGCGACCATAACCATGACTGTCAAGATAATCGATAATCATGTTGTCATGCGAGCCAGATCAACAACACTGTCGTCTCAGATTCTTGCAGCAGCGCGAGTCCGACCCTGGTTTTTGGGCGGGCAGTTCCTAGCTTACTCATGCCCTCCATGAGGCTCCAACAAGCGGCGGGTTGGTGAGCCCGACGGCACAGCTAACCCCGTGTCTGCCTGCCCGAATCTGTTGGCTTCAACGCACGCAATTGCTACACCTGCCCTCACCGAGACTCGTCGAGTCGGTTGGTTTCTGTACGCACATTCAGCACCCATGTAACTTTGCTAGCTTCAAAACATGCTTCCAAATCTTGCCGCCGTCTTTGCCCTCCTTGCCGCCCGTCTCTGTCTGGTGAGCTGAGCACCCAGTCCCCACCCCCGCCGACGACTTCACAGCACTGACCAAGCTCACATTCGACCTTCAGGCTGCTCCTCAGTCCGCCGAAGTCAGGGCAGTGCCTGGCCGCGGCCAGACACTCTACTGTGGCGTGTTCACGACAGCCGACAAGACGTCGGTCGAGACCATCGTTGGACTCCCCTCCATGTGGAACGAGACGGTCTGGGTCGAGCCGCACGGGTGCTACCGCGCTGCGTGCTCTGGTTCATCCGGCCTGTACATCTGCAACGTGTGTATTCCAGTCTGTTCATCGCGCATGGGCAAGTTTGTCTCGGAGCGCTGACGGCAACGACACCAGGACGACGAAATCGGATACAACATCCGGGTGGCCTCGATCCTCCAAGACGCCCAGAAAATCCTTGACATGTGCTGCGCAGGGTCGCGCGACGTCGGCCCGCAGTATCCCATCGCCGGCCAGCAGTTCACGGGCGTGACCAACACGATCGTGGCGCTCGCCGACTGCCTCGGCGATCCGACTGCCAAGCCGTCCCACTACGCGGACGGCCAGGGAAATGGCGAGTGCAAGCAACATTTAGGCTGAAGTGAGCCTGCTGGAAGTGGAGATGGATGATGCCGATTGAAAAAGAGTGCTTGTTGTTGGCACTTGTTGCAGACTTTTCCTAGGGCACGACGGACGCTTTATGAATTCAAGGATATTTCATGCATGTCTATATGTCACTTCAGAAAGTCCCGACTAGAGTTTGTTACTCCGAATACGCCCTGTCCAAACCGAGCCATACCAGCCAGCCAGGCATTGGAGTGTGAAAATAATGAAATGATGAACTGAAAATAAAACGACTGAAGGATCTAGACATGCCCCTTTTCCCAAACCTAGCAATCCGAAATGCTACGATATGCTACGCTATGCTAACCAACTCCAAAAAGACCAGTTCATTCCTCGTCCTCGTCCTCGTCCTCATCCTCGGTGTCGTCCTCGTCCTCGGCCTTCTTGACGCTGGTCCCGGCATCCCACAGCATCGCCGACAGGGAGAGCACCATGACGCCGCGGCGCTTGCGCGACACCTTGGCCTCGACGGTGCGCTGGTACTCCTTCTCCCAGGGCTCGGCAAAGGTGACGGTGTTGGTAAGCTGCAGCGCGGCTCCGCGCGTCGGGCTGCGGCGGTCCCCAGCCGCGCCGCTCTTCTTGGCCGCGCTGAGCGCCCGCGCCGTCCACGATGACTCCTCCTCCTCCGCCCCGTAGACCTCGGGGTTCGTGATCTCGATCTCCCTCGTCTTCGGCAGCCCGGGTGGTGGCGGCGGCCGCGCCGGCGCGTCCGAGTCCGGGTCGTCTGACGGCACCACCGCGGCCGGCGCAGGGTCTGTGATGACCCCCTGCACCTTCCCGGGGGCGTCCCACAGCTGCTGGGCCTGCTCCTTGAGGAGGACCGCGGCGGCGCTGGTGCTGGCGTCGGTGTCGGCGGGTGACTGCTGCTTCTTGGACGGCCTCCGGGGCGGGAGCAGGTCGACGAAGCAGGCGTCGGACGACGAGTCGACGAGGATGCGCACGACAAAGCCCGTCTGCAGGTGCTTGTTGAAGAAGACGACGGCGGCCAACTGGTACAGCACGCCGCGGTCGGCGATGCCGGCCAGGCGCAGCGTGCCGAACTCGCGGTTCCAGTGGTGGTGCGACGAGTGCGCGGCCCCGACGCCCCGCGCCCGCACGTCGACGATGTCGTAGCCCGGCGCCGTCAGGTCGTGCGCCTTCACCCACACTATCTCTTCGGACTGGTCCGCCCGCAGCAGCGTCGCCGCCCCGTTGGCAATGTACACGACGCGCGGCCGCGGCGCGCCCACCAGCTCCTTGCCCGTCACCCACGTGCGCTGCTTCGTGCGCGTGCGCAGCAGCACGTTGGGCATCTCCGTCTCGGCCAGTAAGATCCCCGCGCGGCTGCCCACGTCCGCCTGCTGCTGTTTCTTGCTCGTCGTGTTCTTGCCGTCGTCGCCGTTCTGGCAGTCGAGCACCCCGATGTATGTCTTGTGGCTGGTCGCGTGCGCGCCGCTGACGGGGATCAGGCTGAGCTTGATACGCAGGCCCTTGTTAGTCATGGCGAAGTCAACCGCATCGCCGCGCTGCGTTGCGTCGAGCTTAGCCGCTGCCGGCACGGCCACGCGCTCCATGCCCGCGAACTCGCTCGGGGACTTGGCCAACACGCCCATGGTGCCGCCACTCATACCCTCGTGGTCGAAGCCGTCGTTGCTGCCGTTATCGTCGTCGTCGTCGTCGTCGCTATCGGAATTGTTCATGAGGTGGAAGTGGTGGTAGTGCGGCACACCCTTGTCATGGTGGCCGAGCGTGCCCCAGGCGAAGATGGTGTGGTCGTCGGAGCGGCGGATGATCTCCTCCTGCAGGCGCAGGAAGGCGTTCTCGCCCTCGCCGTACAGAGGCATCATGTTGATGCTGAAGATGCCGAGCAGCGAGTAGGCGGCGTCCTCGGTGCGCGTCGTGATGCGGCCGGCGGCCCAAGCCATGCGCCGCGCCACGCTGGCCTTGTGCATCAGCCGCGGCTCCAGCAGCGTCAGCTCGTCGATCTTGGTCGCCTTCTCGATCGTCTTGGCCAGCGCCGACTTGGTGCCCAGCAGCTTCCAGCCCTTGCCGTAGAAGACGACGTTGCGCGGCGCCAGCAGCTCCTGCAGTGTCCATCCCCTCGTGAACCACACGCTCTCGGCGAACCCGTCCTTCCACGTGCGGTAGCCCTCGCGCGAGTCCTTGGACACGTCCTCGAGGTACGCGTAGCACACGGCGGCGCGCTGGTACCAAGTGAACATGGAGTTGATGGCCTCGGACACCTCGGCGCTGTTAGACCTGTCGATGCAGCACGTGTCGACCCAGAGGTAGCGGTGGCCGTCCCGCGCGGCCTGCTCGCAGGCGTATGTGATCTTGGCGTATCCGGCCTTGAGCTGCAGCGGGTGGGGCAGCGCCGAGGGGACCAGCGCCCGGAAGCTGTCGTCGTCGTCGCCCGGGTAGGCCTTGGTCATGGCGGTGGGCGTCGACATGCGGTTCAGGGGCGAGGGATGACCGCGGAAGGCGAGCAGCATGGACGAGAGAAGCAGCATCCTCACCGTGTCGGCCTTGTCGGTCGGATGTGGCAGCTGGGGTATGCGCTTCTGTTGGTCGAGGCGGTATTTGGCGATGACTGCCATCTCGGGCAGGGTCACCTCGTCGCGGCTCCATCGGTGCGACAAAATCGCGTAGGGCGGAATATCAGCGCCACAAAACTCTTGGATCTCCAGCGTCGACACATTTATTAAGCGCATTTTTTCGGCGATAGCAAGCAGTTGACGTTCAATAGCTCTCCAACGAGCCTTCACTACTGGTCGAGCTCGTTCACGTTGGGGGGATTGTGGAGTGGAGAGAAGAAACCCAGGGGTCCAGTCTGTTTACAGGGGGACCGATTCTGAAGCAGTTTTAGATGGAGTGTGTGCAGTCGTCGTTGCAGGTCCGGTTGCGCTGGACCGACTTGAGGCGCACCACCTGGCGCAACTAACGGCGTGCGCTAACAGACGTGTCAGTGCCTAAGGCATGCACCGCTGCACCGGGTGCAGTCGGGCACTTGGGTCGGAATTGGCAGGAGACAGCTGTTGATTTGACCTGTGGGCTTGGCTCGAAATTCTGGCATCACGACACTGGTCAAAATGGCTCTTGTTCGTGTTGCTGGTGACACTGGGCAGATACCAGGCAAGCAACTCGCTGGGCGAGAAGGCTTGTGCAACGTGGCGAGAACAGGCTCACACAGCACCACACTGTCTCTGTATTCGTAAATATTATTTCTACAGATTTTCACCTTCAAGCCGTCAACATGTGCAACGAGCTTATAAAAGCCTTATTGAATTTCCGAATACGTGACAGTCAGTCATTACCGAGATCAAAACTTCTGGTAGGCGCTAATCAGGATTCATGTGAGGGTGCGTGGAAGATTTGCTACAGTGCCTGATGATGCCCTGGTCAGAGCTCTGAATTTTTCACTGCTAAACTAGGGCACTGTGCATTTCTCTTCTCAGTCGTGTGTTTCAAAGACGCAGCATGACTTGTCACGCTACTCTAAGACCAACCAGCAACTTTCGCCAGTGCCTAGCCTAGTTTCAGACAAAGTCGCCGGTCTCAGCACAGCAACCAAGGCTTTCTTCATCAGGATCAGTCCATGGCAACACAAAGAAGCTGAATTTAATTCACCCGCTGCAAATCAACACCTAAACCATTGAGCCAAAGACAATGTTCTCGTAGACAATTCCACGTGCCTCTTAAACCACAGATACCCCTGGATTGACTTTATAGGGTAAGTTGCTCCCATCACCAATCTCTTGCCCGATTTTTGTCATTAGTTTATTCGCCGTCTCTGTAGAGAAGCGACTTGCAGTGATAAACCTGGATTTACTCTCTCCAGTTTAATGAGCAGTTGGCAACATACCCTACCGGTTGCAGAACTTCACAAGAAACAGCGCAATGTCGCGGCCATCTAGAGCCTCCGACAGGCCCCAGACGCCCGCCGCGCAACCGGTCAAGGGCGTCGGTCTTCCGATCCGGAAGTTCGTCAACATTAAGAGCCTCAACAGGTCCAAGATCCGCAAGCTATGCAGGGTAGACCGCGAGATACAGCGGCGGTGCACCATGTGCGACTCGGCGCCGGTAGAGAAATGGGCGTGCCCGCGGTGCAAGCTGGCACGGTACTGCTCGTGGGAGTGCCAGGTCGACGACAACGAGTACCACGTCAAGATCTGCAGGGCGTGGCGGCTAGGGGGCGACTGGCGCAAGCGGCCGTCCAAGTGGTGGGCGCGCGCCGTCGTGTTCCCGGCCCAGACCGTCACACCCATCGTGCGCTGGGTGCGCATCACCGAGTCTCCGAAGAAGGACAAGAAGAAGGCGAAGGACGGGAAAAAATTGAAAAGGAAGAAGAAGAAAGACGGCAAAGAACGACGCGTCAAGCCGCTCCTCTATATCAAGGATGGCGAGATCACCGAGTTCCTGCGCCAGCTCAAGCGGCAGTACGACTACAAGCCAGAGCACCGGCTGCGGTGCGTCAACTCGGGGCTGGAGGCTTACAGGCCCGAGCGGCTGGGCCACGGGCTGTTCCTGCTCGAGTGGCGGAGCCGGGAGGGCATCGACGTCGAGCACGGGTGGGCGAACCAGAGCATCGCGGGGCTGGCGCCGCCAGGCCGGCTGCAGCAGTGGACGGGGCCCGTGGTGTTGCTCGCGCTCGACCTGCGCCGGTGCAGCGTGAAGCGCGGAGCCTTCCTGCCCGACGACGTCGACATGCGCGACTTCCGCCACGCCGTCGACTACCTGCTGCTGAACCCGTGCAACCCGTGCCTGCCGCACGACGCGATCGCGTCCAGCCGCCTCCTGCGGTCGCCCGGCGACCCGCCCGCCGTGCACGCCGTGCACGCCGTCAAGCTCAACGACGTCCACAGCACCGTCAACGTCATCATGGGCGTCACGGAGCCCATCGAGGACGACGTGAATGTGCGCGCGAACCCGTACGACGTAGGCGGCTACCACGACAGCGGCAGCCGAGGTGGCGAGTCGGTTGTGCTCGAGGGCCCGTCGACCGTGTGCGTGGCGCTGGGGCTGGACTGGGTGGTGCGCACGCCGCTGCAGCACCACGCGAGCGTGCAGTGGCTGTACGAAGACCACCTCGACAGCCTGCCGTGGTTCACGCGCGTGCTGACCGAGGTCTGGAGAGTCGACGACAACGACGCGACGCCAACGCTCAGGACGTGCAGCCTGGCCAACATAGCCGGCGACGGGTTGCTCGTCATGCACGCGTCGGGCGCCAAGATCTGCCGGGAGCACGTCGAGGCGCTGAAGGAATATCTCTCGCCTCGGCCCGACGAGGCCGCCGAGGACAGCGTGAGGGCAAAAGTCGCGGCAGACCCCAACGGGTTCAGGACTTTCTGGGACAATGGCGCTTTCTGGGGGGGCGACTATTACGGGGACATGCCGTCGCCCTACGATGCGCGTCTGTTCGGCCGGGGCGAGCCAGGTAGCAAGTCGTCCGTTGTCTGTGGCGACGTTTTTGCGCTGCTTGACGTGGCCGATGCCGAAGACCTGCGCAATGACATGCTTCAGAGACGCGTAAACAAAAACATTGGCAACTAAACTCAGGCTCATATTAACTGGCTATTAGATCTACTAGACCGTTATGTAATTGCAAATCAATACCAAGACCGTTGAATTCCCGTGACGTTGACCAAATACTCCCATTTCTCGAATTGATGTTCCCCTGTGCCTGGCGAATAACTTCAGGTCTAGCTTCAATACCTCGGAGCAGTGAGCGCTGAGCGGTAGAGCATCCGTGGATAGATCCACCTATTCGTAGAGTCTGCGGTCAGTTGCCAACACTTGCTGCATTGCCGGGCGGTCCAGGCAGACAAGACGCTGCCACGGTCGTTGTGATGACGTACGTACTATGATAACCTAGCCGTGTCATTAGGCAGCAATGCCGCTGACACGCCATGGGATTCACGACTCGCGGGCGTGGACAGAAAAGCCCTTTTTGCGGGTCCACTTGGAGACTTCAACGCCGCCTTAGTCAGCCAGCCAGCACATGCTCGGCTGGGCACCCTAGGCCTTGGCGAAATAAAGGAACAAGACTAAAAAAAGAGCTCTTAACAATGCTCCGGGGGCTAAAAGCAAGTAAAAAGGCACTAGAATACTTTGTCAAGTGTTAATCGTATTTTCAGTTACCCGTCCCTAGGTTACTCTTTCCACAAACATTATGCAATTAGTTAGTAACTCGTGCCAATGACAACAAAGTTCAGTCATTATTCTCAACAAATTCTTTGAAGGCTCTAGGCGTAAATACGACAATAAAATAACCAGCCACGAGTAATCAAATTGATTCAATAACTGTATCTGCCCTCATTGATCCCAGTCACATGCGAAAATTCAAGTTATTAATTGAATAGGACAAAAGTGACGCGAGAAAACTTTACTCTCTGTCGTCGACAGCGACTTTGTGCGAATAATACACGATACCTGTCTGCCATTTCCAACTTCTTCTTCCCTCAATACTTCCAGGCCGCATGTTCACATGAGCCAGTGGCAGGGAGATAACATTTCAGAATAGTCGGAAGCAATTAGAAATGGCGCCACCGAGGTGTCAAGAAGAGCTCAAGTTCCTGGCATTATCTGGCCCTCGACGAAGCAATACTCAATGAAAGCTAAACGAACCACCATCACCTTCCTGATGCCCATGTGCTGCCCCATGCCAACTATCCTTTTGTATGTATAAAGAAGCAACAAGGCAATCAACCCGCGGTCAAAATGTTGCTTTGTAAATGTAGCATGGACAAGAATAGAAAGAATTATTCCTACACGAAGAAGCCCATCTAGACATCGAGGCTGGAAACTAGAAATATCAGAGAGGAAAAGAGAGACCTAGAGAAAATGAGACACCCGGGTCCGATTTTGAGAACATGATGGGACCATGCTGATGCGAGACTAAGAGAGAACAGAAAAGACAAAGAAAAACTACCCAAATGCAACAAGAATGCCTTACGTGTCATTTGTGTCCCAATGCCCCTCAACAATGCCCCGTATTCAGACCCCTTATCGAAAAAATATGCTTTTTACCAGACCACCCCAACAGGCAAAAGAAAACGAAAAAGGAAAAACAACCGGTCTCCCAATAATAAGAAAAACAAGTAAAAAAAACCATAACGAAGAAGTCGTTCAATACGCCTTGTCGCTTTCCACAGAAGACATGCCGCAGCCTCTACCACAAAGAAACCAAGCCAGCCTCCTAGGAAAATGCAACACCATTAGGCAAACGAGAGCCAAGGAAAATGGATAATAATCGGCCGCCAGGGTACAGCAGCCAAGAAGACTCTTGAGCCTTCGATCCACACCAGGGATATCGTGGTGTGATGAGGTTTCACCCCCTGCCATTCACGCCGTTCGATGGCATGATATGGCGAGAGACTGTGGATTGACAGGGTCGTGTCAATGTATACAAACATGTTCATGTCATGTCGAGGGAAATGCAGCTAGGCCGTCAGACGAGAACAAAGCTTCCGTCCTTTTAGTCGTACTATTTTGTAAAGCTCCGCTACAGCTCTTAGAAGTCGTAATTCCGAAGCCGAGTAACTGTGCGGAGACATTTTCGCAACTCATGTTCAAGCAACCGGGCCAGAGGGTGGGGGATGCGGATATGCGAGAGGTTGCTGCATCAGGTGCTGTGGCTGCCGGAGTGGCTGTAGTGGGTGAACTAGCAGCGGCAAAACCGGAAGGTTCGACTGAGGAATCGGCACGAGAGCCGGTGTGTTGGGAGCAGACGGTCCCGCTGAAGTCGGATCTGGGGTCTGGCTCGGGTCCGTTCCGTTGGCAGCTTTCTCTGCCTTCTTGATCGCCAAGGTGGTGCGGCGCTTTTCGACAGCCCCTTGCATCTCGCCCGAAGCCCATCGTCCTGCAAATATACCGTCAGTAAAGTTACAAAAAGCACAAGCACCGAGTTATCACTTACGTCTCATCGACCAGCTCATCTTCTCTGACTTGCTCATTTCAGCATAGGGCTTGTCGCCCATGTCGGGATTGGGGGGCTGGACAGGCGGCTTCACATCAGCGGGTTTGGGACCGCGAGAAACCTTGGCTGCCGACTTTGCGCTCGGGTTGGGCGCGATGTTTGCCGGTCCGCCGTTACGAGAAGAGGCTTGCGAAGACATGCTATTGTTCGTAAGCTTGATCTTGGTGATCGGCTTCTTGATGGCGGGCGGTGCCGCAGGAGGTGGAGGTGGAACACCAGGCTGGAAAGAAGGCGCCGCGGTGAAGGTATGTAGGTACGGGCCCGGGGGGCCGCCCGGCGCCGGAGCCAATGGCGGGTTGTTGAAAAAGATGGCCGGTGCCTTCAGCCCTCCGACAGGCAGAGGGGCGATCGGTGCCGGGGCAGCAGCCTCTACCGGCTGGCTCGTGGCGATCTTCTTCTTCGGTCCACGCTTCTTGGGCTCCGTATTCTCCGGCTTTGCGACAGCGGCGCCGCGGGTCCGCTTTTGCGGACGAGGCCCTAGCTCTGGGTCGTTCTCTAGAGCAAAATTCCGCTTTCGCTTTTCGCGAAGAGAATATGACGATTCCAAGGTCTCCGCCGTGTTCACGGTGGCCTCCGACGAGGCAGTTGAGGGCCGCGACTCGAGCTGGGTATCTGCCGGAGACGGGTTGCTATAAAATGACGAACTCGCAATCTCCCCGCCTCTAGATGTCCGCTGCCTCTTGGTATCCTTGTCCGTGGTTCCATTTGTGGCAGCCGCGCCGCGACCGCGTTTACGGCCTGGCTTCGGCTTGACCTCGAAATCTTCGTCATCGGTCTGGCGGTCTGCGAAGCTTGCCATTGCGGCCTCTTCTTGGCTCAACAATGTCTGTTTGCGGGGTCTTGGGCCACGCCGCCTACGGGTGGTGAGCTCCAAGGCATTCTCGACACCTTGCATCTGGTCCAGATCCTCGAAATCATCGCCGTTGGCGGCAGAAGTGGCAGTCTTGCGTTTCTGACGTCGACCGGAGGGGCCAAGGGGAACAATGCCAGTGGGTGTTCCCGAACGACTCGGGTCCTTGCTCTGGTCTGAAAGGTTGCGTGGCTTCCGCATGCGCTTTCCTTCAATCACGTTCTCTTCGGCGAGTTCTGCGCCTTTCTCCGTCCGCTTGCGCTCGCGAAGGCGTGTCTCTGGCATCTCCCAGCGCTGCTCGTCAGGGTTCTGACGGCCAACCAGGGTGGCATGGTTGTTGTGCTTGAATCCATAGGCCTGTGCCATGATGCGGTCTTCTCGCCGCTGATGCTCATACACCAGGTCATCGATGTAGGGCTTTGGAGCCCGAGGGCCGCGAATCTCAAATACCGGCGGGCCTTTGACTGCCTCGTCAAAATGGCGGCGCCAGGGAAGTGGCTCATCCGGCTTCTGGCGGTTCTCCCAATTGACGATGGTCTTGTCATTGGCCTGCCGACGCTTGGCATTATCTTCATCTTCGGTGATCTTCTTGAGTTCCTTGTACTCCTTCTCGTAGGCATCCATGGTCTCAACAATCGCGGCCGCAATCTCAACACGTTCCTCCTCTGAACGGCATTCATCCAGGGCGCGAACGAAATCGGCTGGATCGCGAAGCTTGGGGAAGACGTATTGCTTCGACGGGACTTTGGTAACCTCAACAGGCTCCGCGGGGCTTTCAGACTTTCCATGGGTATCGGCAACTTCCTCATCGCCCTGTCCGTCCTCTGCGGCCTCGGCCTGACCAGCAGAAGGATCTTCGTCAGCGGCCGCCGGCGACGGTGCAGCAGTGCCTTGCTGGAACTCCCGTGCGACAGAGCTTCGAGGAGTCTCTTCAAAGGACCCAGCAGCGACTACGGCTGGGCGTTTCCGCACCTTCTCTGTGGCAGCGGCATGGTCAAGCTGATCTGAGACCGGCGTGAGCTGGTCTCCAATTGGGGTCTCGCCTCCGGTACCTTGGGCGGCCTTGAAATTCCGAACGCAGTGGTTGTTGAACTGGACCATGGACATTTGAGGCAAGTTTTGCTGTTTTCGTCGCTTGACTTCTTGTTGGTACAAGGCGTAAAACTCCTTCTGCCTCAGGGGGCGGCGGCCATCCCAATTTATTTCTGCGAGCGCATCGGCAGGAGTGCCCGCGCGAGTTGGGGTTGGTGTCGGTATTGGAGTGGCTTCTGCCTTGTCTTTGATGTCTAGTACCACCCGCTCGGTGAAAGGTGCAGGGTATGCGAGGTCTTCGTCTTCGTAGGGTGCCAGGTTTAGTGCAGCTGCAAATGGCCTGTCAAGGTTGTAAATTGTCTGCAATTGCGGTAGTCGCTTTGGTTGTGTAGGCTTCTGAGCTGGCGTCGACCGACCGATTGATGTAGCTGCCACAGGAGCTGCCACAGGAAGTGCAAACTCGGCTGGTCCGTCGAATTGGGCGGAGGGGAAAGGAGAAAAATTGGTGGAGGGGTTTTCTAGGGACTCAAGCGGCGCGTCGGGCGCGACAGCAGACTGAACAACTTGGGTTGTTTTTGATTCAGGCCCCGCCTTGTCGAGCGCCAGTGCACCTGCTGCATTGTGAACAGCGAGCTGTTGCTCGTGGTTGTCCTCGTCGGCAAGGTGCACTTTTGCAGTTTCCGCCTGCGCGAGATCTTCGTGTGCAGCTGGTTTTGCCGATTGAACCGCAGAATTGGCGAGCAAAGGCACCCCCTCCAAGTCTTCTATATCTTCTAGTACAACCACGTGACTGTCTTCAACGGGTGCGGCGGTTGTGAAAATTTCAGGTGTGGAGGTGAGGGTAGGGGGGTTTGTGTGTTGAGCTCAGGATGATCGGGCTCAGGTGTAAAATTTCTAGCGGGACTGATTTTTTCGGTCTGGATTTGCTCGACTTGATTGATTTGCTCTTGAGGCCCAAGGTGAGCTGAGAGTGAAAGGTTTGTGGTTGTCATGTCAATCTCAGCCTTGCCGTCAGGCTGCTCCGGGGTGAGCCCTTTTTCAATCGCCTCATCAGTCTCAGGCGCAAATGACACGGCCCCTTCGACCTGAGGTACGATTTGCGGCTGCGGAGTTGGTGGCTGTGATCGTGGCTGGACACCGTCGCTCCCATCCGAAGTTGACGGGCGCGACTCGGAATCTGATAATGTCGAGTGGTCCGATTCCTCATCCGACTCGTCCTGTCCATCAATGGGAATGCCAACAAGGATGGTGTCCTGCACATCATTGTCGGAAGGCTGGTCTATATACGTGTTTACTGGCGTGGCCGGCTTCCTGGCTGGTATTCGCCGGCGGAATGAAGCGCCACGGGCCGCTGCTGGGGACTTGTCGGCGCGGCGACGCTTTGGGATGGCGCCGGCGTCTTCCACCTCTGGCTCCGATTCTTCTTGGGCGCCCTTGCGCTTTCGACCGCGAAGAGACGGGGTAACGGCAGGCTTGGCGAGTAAATCAGCCTTGCCAGCCGTGAGAGCGAGGTTGTCATCAATCTGCTCCTGGGTGTAGTCAATGCGGGCACGTTTCCGGAGCGAGTGACCGCCCTTTGAATGTCCCTCGTCATCGGCGCCGCCATCATACGAGACCTCAAAGGTCCGGGCACGCTTGCGAGACGACGGACCAGCCATCAGCGGGTTAGTGGCAGAAGTTGGAGTCTCGAAACTGAATGAAGAGCTGAAGGTAGCGCTGCGCGCGGGGCGGTCGCTGCGAGGGGTGCCGCGGGACGATGACAGGTCTCCTGCTGCTGCTGCTGCAGGCGTGGTGGCATCAACAGAGACGGGCTGATACTGTTTAGAGCGGCCGCCTCTTGCTGGGGCAGCGCCGGGAGTTGTACGCGGGGGATGAGATGGACTAGCGGCAGCGGATGAAAAGTGTGCCGGGGTGACCGGGATGAGATAGTCTGAGATGTGTTGTTGATGTTGATGTTGTGCCAGGTGATGAGACGAAGGGGGTGGTAGAGAGGCTCGCTTCTTTGTCGCGCGCCCGCGACCCCGTCCACGGTCCATCGTGTGCATCTAATTCAATGGACGCGCCAAGGGCACTCGCACACGGTGCAGGCGGGGACTGCAGACTTCAGTCGCCGAGGGCGTTATTTTGCGTGGTCGCGGCTGCCGTTCAGTCTGCTGAGTGAACAGTGTGCAAGCAACGGGATGTGAGGCGAAAAAAAGGGAGGCGCACTAAGCAAGCTTCCAACGCTGCGCTGCGGTCAGATCCAACACCCGAGTCCGGCTAGCTGTCTGTGTCTGGCTGCGCTGTTAGAACGAAGCGCCGCTCGCCGCGCCAAAACACGGCCGTCCAGCGACGCCAAAAGTGCGCTGCTCGGTCGGGAGGGACTGTGGAATGCCAGGGCTTGCTCGGCCAATTGACCGAGACAACAATAGCGAGGTGGTGCGGATGGGTATCTCGTCACAATGCTTGGTGCGGCTTGTCTTCCATGCGTGTAGATTTCTGCTCACGTTCAATTTTGGATTGTTCCCGAATAAGCCCACCCACGCCGCCCAATGGGCGCTTTGGCACCCGCGCCGCCCGATTGCCCCACCCGCACAGCTGCCAGCCAGCCGCCTCGCTGTAACCGGCGCGGTTTGCCTCTGTGAAAGCTGCCAACATTTGCACCCTCAGCCAATGGCGCGCCCGGAACGTCGTCGGCGGTAAACCAACCCAGCTTCCAGTGATCCACCGACCTCCAGCGCCCCAATTACCCCCTGGAAATCGCCCTGACGCAAGGCGGCACTGCCCTGCCCTGGCCTAGATTACGATACCGGACACTTGGGTTTCTTTGAAACGCGGATACCTGGGACCGGAGTTACCTACTCGGGAGTGTGTAAGCCGACAGATGGGGCGCAAAGTCTCCAGGTTACCGTATTCTACCTGGTATTTTATTCCGTTGTTAAGGTTGAAGATATTTATGGTGCATCAGACAAGTGAAAGGTTTTATTTAAGTCGACTTTGGGAAAAACAGATATTTTCAGTATTCTCTCGCACATGCAAGCGTTCGAGCGTTGTCGTTGTCAGTTTGTGCCTGACATTGCACGGGGGTACAGTACGAAGTACGAAGTACCTTGTGTGGCTATGGTACTCCGTTACTTACGCCGCAACTGAGCTGAGGCCGCTTCGATGGTTTGGGAATCTGCATCACAATCTATCCCCACTTCAGTTCTCCAGACGCGACATTGCAACACCACCACCTCTGCTCAAATATAAACGTAGCCACCACCACAGCAGCAGCAACGCGCGACATGGCTAGCAAGCGCACCAAGCCAGTAGCCCCCACAGACGACGAGCTGGGCGAGCTCTTTGAGGGCATCGGCGACGATGCTGCCCCCCGCAAGACTGCGAAGCCCGCGCCCGCCAAAAGCAAGCAGCCGGACGATGACATCTTGGCCGAGCTCGAGAACGAGCTCGGCGACACGACGCCTGCCCGCCCCCACACTCCCCGGGTCCGCGAGGCCGCGCCAAAGACGTCTCTAGCCAAACGCGCCTCGACAAACACCCCCCCTCCCGGCGCCGACGCACCTGCCGCCACGCGCAAGTCCGCCGATAGCACCCGATCCTACCATGCCAGCTTCACCCCCAGCGCCACGAGCTCCGAGCTGCAGGAATCCGAGAGAAAGGCTCCCGTCGAGCCACCACAGCCTGCAGCGGCTCCCAGCGGTGGTAGCTGGTGGGGAGGCCTGCTGTCAACCGCGACGGCAGCCATGAAGCAGGCCGAGGCCGCCGTCAAGGAGATACAGCAGAACGAGGAGGCCAGGAAGTGGGCTGACCAAGTCCGCGGCAACGTGGACACTCTCAAGGGCCTTGGTACGTTTTTTTTTGCATCCGCCATTTGTCCTGGTCTCTCGCGTCTAAAAGATAACGGTGACCTGCTAACCAGCTTTCGTGCTGCCCTGTAGGTGACGAACTCCGCCATCGCGCCCTACCGACCTTCACTAACATCCTCCACACGCTTGCGCCGCCCATCTCGTCGCACGAGCGCCTGATGATCCACATAACGCACGATCTCGCGGGCTACCCATCGCTCGACCCGCTCATCTACGGCGTCTTCAACCGCGTCATGGCCCAGGTCGAGGGCGGTGACCTGCTCGTCATCCAGCGCGGCCAGGAGTCGTCGGTGCGCAGCCCCCCCGCCTCGGACAAAGCCGGCGCCGGGTCCTTCTTTGCCGGCCAGTCGGCAGCCGGCTGGCGCGACGGCCCGTGGTGGCGGCAGGCAGACACGCCGCGCGATCTCGGCGCGGTCAAGGGACTAGTCGAGGGCACCAAATTGTGCCGGGCCAACGCCGAGGGCTACGCCAATGACTACTTCGCGGCGCATGGCGGCATTGAGGGCGCGCGCCAGCGAGCTGTCGAGCCCGTCAGCGAGAGCAACCCGGTGCGCAGCTCAGACCTGTTCCTCTCGGTGCAGGCCCTCACAGTAGCCGCCGACAAGGGCCTGTTTGCCGGCAGCACGGCGACCGAGAAGGACAAGGCCGACTCGGCTGTACTCGAGGAAGACGACGAGGACGCCGATGGTGACCTCGTCTGCTTCGCCGTCTTCATCCTCGACCCCGTCCACGAGATCCAGTACTCGGCCGTCAGCCAGAGCGTGCCCGCGCGCTGGATCCGCTGGCTCGACGCCTCAGCCGCGCCGCTGCCGCAGGCCGCCAGCGAGGAAGGTTACATCAAATCCGAGCTCGACCGCGTGCCCGACGAGATCCGCGAGATTGTCGAGGGCGGCGGCGTCGATCCGCGCGAGTGGGTTGCCGAGTGGGTCGAGGAGACGCTTAACCTGTCCGTCGGCGTCGTAGCGCAGAGGTATGTCGCGCGCCGCATGGGCGTCGGCGAGGGCGGCATCGGTAAGGGCAAGCAGAAGGTCGAGTCTGTGCTCGAGGACGGCGGCAGCGAGGCCGCGCGGGCTGGCCTCATCTGAGAACGCTTGCTTAATGGACTTCGTGTGGTAGCATAGTGTTATCGCCGCGCCTTGTTACTTCGAGCTCATGGCCTCAGAGTTGTGTTTGTCCTTCATTTTGGCGTTGTAGTAACTGGTGCAATGATTTAGGGTTCGAGGGCCTCCTCCCGTCGCTTACAGCTTGAGCTGTTATCTTTTATATTGCTAGTATCGTTGCGTCGCGCAATCAGTATGGATGGATAGGCATGTCCATAGTTGTCATGTTCTTTAACGTCATATCCAGGAACTTGGTATTGAATCAATTTTCTGTTCCTAGGAGCTTTGTCCATTAATTAGGTAACTACCTAGGTAGGTAATTATCCAGTCACGGCTCGCATTCATACTTTCTTCCAGAGGTGTCAACCAGCAATTAGAAATGCGTGTTTGTGAGATTTGGCCGCCCGAATTTGATTCTTAATAACAGTGAAACGCGTTTGTACAACTAAGAATAGAGGGATGCTGGCTATTCATTTAGTTTTACCTTGACCCCAGAAAATCGAGAGCTGGAGACTGCGGAGATCGTTGATATCCGTGATCTCTTTACAGAACAATTCTTTTCCACTTGTCCGATTACCGGGGCAGAGGAGACACAAGTACTAACTCCCAGTGGTAGTTACACAAAATCATACTTATTATTCTTCATCGCAAGCCGCGTTTTGCTGGCTGTTTTAGGAAATTCACATGATTTTATTCGAAGAGGAGTTGGTGTGCCGTAGCACTTCCCATTAGCCTGGCCTTTATGAGCCTGTAATAACCCATTTGAGTCTACAAGAGAACCCCTTCAAATTATCGTAACAAGACCAGGTGCATGTAATTAATTGGGATTTTGGTATCTGATTCTAGCATACCTAGCGAGCACGTTTAGAGTTACCGAAGTTCCAAGCTTTGGGTGTCCTTTATTATCTTCTTCTCTTGTCTTTTTTCGATCTTCTTGCACGTCGTGATTGGAGTATGGAAGTAGGTTTGTTTATTCGTTTCGAGACTTGATAAATTTTCACTTTTATATAAAAATTTAACTAAATTCGTTTTTGTCCGAGTGAAACCAGGTTTTGTGAAGAAAAAGTCCGCTAATTCTTCCTTTTTTTTTTTTTTTTTGTTTTACAAATGCTCGTTTACTTAAACAGTAGGCACAGCTCAAAGAAAGCGTAGATTTGCTATTTGTACCAATTCTCTACATCCATAATAAACGTCTTGGGCCTAGCAGGTTTTTATAGCTTATAGTCGTTTTATCTTTTTCGCTCTTTTTTTTGTTTTACCTTGAATGCTATTTACGCATAGTGTGGCTGTGTCCGTGTGCGGGATCCATTATTTCCGCCAACGGACCATTGTTGGATTTTGAGTGCATGCAACCCTAACATTATTTACGCTACATTCGGGGTTGGGTTCCTTTTTGGAGAGCGTAACAATAGTGCGAGCTCGATCTGCAAGCTTTGGAGGGTAAGCCAAAGGATTTGAAAGTATCCGGGGTTCAATTCGTTGCCTGCCGCCCCGTCGGAAATTGCGGAGTTGAATCCTTCCTGCCGGATCTCCCGCTTTTCGAGTCACAAGGACTATGACCCCCCTGTATTTTCTTCCATTCCGAGACCCTGTTGCAAAATTCCACGTCATCCTCGGATCTGGGACCCAGCATAATAACTACTGAAAGAATCAGTAGTCTTTTCCCTCTTTTCAGGACCGTTGCAGTTTCACGGCGATTGGATAGTCCGATGCCTGAATATTTATTTGCGTGTGACTGTTGAAGATGTGAGGGGCCCTTAAAATTGTTCACAAGGGGGAGGCGACAGGTCCTGGAGCCCATGGTCTAAAATCATGGTGACCTGTCTCCCTTGTTGAAATGCCCAGCAGAGGCTTTTCTTAGCTAGTTCATTTATTCACCGTGATCCCATTATCGTCAAGTAATTATCCCGCACTGCGCTAATACTTATTTCGGCATTGGTGAATTGAGCAGTGCCTCTAATTTCTTTTGCTTTTCTCTCCAATTTACGGTTGACCATGCAGAAAAAGCTAGCCAGGGTGTATTGTTGCGTGATATTTTCTTCGCATTGCCACCAGAAACTGTCCAACAATTCCAAAATAGAACAAGGGCAGTTTGAAATATAGTTTTGTGATTATAAGGAATGTTGCAGTTTGGTAATGATTCAAGGCATTTGCTCAAGAAGTAATATCCAACGTGTGGTGCCTGTCTAGCAGCACGTAGATAATTAGGAATGTTTGGCTGTATCCGTACTGTGCTCAAATCAAACAAGGAGAAATTGACTGAAGTGAGGGCTGAGGGAGTCATCCGTGGCTCTGAAAGCTCGGTTTTTTCATTTTTATTCTTTTACCTCTTTCATACCTCTGCTAATCTCAAGGCTCAAGGTCTCTAGTGGCAGTTTAAGTATTTAGGCTGCCATGTCACTTGTTTCGAACAGCGAATATCGAACATTCCGGAGAGTTGATTAAACTTTTCTACAAAGTCGAAACCAGGCGCAGCTAGAAAATTTGAGATGTTTGCTTCGGTGGCCAACATATGCGCGTGGCTAAAATAGTGCCATCTCTAACATGTCTGTCCGCTGGCCGCAACCGACATATTCAAATCGAGGCTTGCTTTTCGTGGTGTGTTTTCTGTTCTTGAGGACAGGGTTTGACACACGGCGCTCACATTCCTCCCCTTGTGTTATTCGGCTCTCGATACGGCTTTCAAGTGCACACTAGCCATGGAAAATATCTCGTTGGACTCATCCATTTTTTGTGTGGAATCGAGTAGATAGTATCCAAAGACTGTTTTGACTAGTTTGGAACCAGGAGAACAGAGCGAGACGAAGAAACCCGTTGGGCAGCGGAACCTGCTGTTTCCAAGAGCCGCTGAGCATCGACATGATCGAGCTTTGAGTCCTGCTCTTCACTGACGTCGCTGAAAAGCAATCCTGTTAGCATCCCTGAAGGTCAGTCGCTCAGGGTTGAGAACGTACAGGGTCGCTAGCTGCGTGGCAAAGAAGAAAACCCTGGAGTAGGCAGCTAGCACGGCCTCGAACTCGGACACTGTGCCGATGACGATGGCGTGGACAAGAGAGGTGACGCCGGCCTGCTTGACCTCTTCGGACACGATGGAGATGGTCTTGTCGCAGTCGGGCAGAGTCTGGACTAGCACGGCCTGCAGCTTGGCCGAAACGACAGACGCCTCGGCAACGCACTGACCCAGCTGGTCGACATGCTGGCGGAACTGCTGGAGACGCGTCGACAGGAAGGCCAGCTCTTTCTGCAGGGCAGGGTCCCTGGCACTGCCGTCAGCGACGACAGTGTCGACGGCAGCTGCTGTCTCGCGTGCCTTTTCGGCCAGGCCCGAGCACGTGACTGCCACGCTGGCAGCGGAAAACGGAGCAGGGTTCTGCATTATGCCTGTGGGGTGGAGATTTTGAACGGCACCGCGACGGTAATACCTTAGCAGCCGTGTCCGGGTGGGATAAATGGGGGAGGGAGACGCAGGTGAAGGTTAATTTGCTTCTGCTAGTGATGGAAACCCCCATGCGAAGCTTCGATGGGACCAGCCCAACTGGGATGAATCGGGTGGAGTGTGGAATACCGTGGGGTGTTTTCGGGGTTGAAAAGGCGGGGTCTCGGTGACGAGAAAAAGATGAGCGAGTCAGATGACTTTGCGTTAAAATTTCAACCAGCTGGCTGAAACCGGTGCAACACGGCACTACGGGCTGGTTAGACGAGTTTTGAGCGTATCAAACTAGCAGTTCAAATGCCGTGAATCCATGGATATTGCTTCGCGGATTCTCATTAGACTTAGGTGCTACGTAGTACGCGAGGATGGGGAATAGTGTTCGGGAGGCAAAGTCAGCGTGTCATTCAGGCGCAACCCTAACCCTCTTGAGTGTCCCCTGAGCCCAACTGACAATCCGAAAAAAGAGAGAATGAAAGATAAACAAAGATAGGTACCCAGTGAGTTCTTGTCTCCATAGACACATTGAATGGTTCCGGGAGAAACATGGCTTCCAATTTATGAGTGAGCCATCTAAGCGCCTGATTACTATGCAGAGAGCCCACGGCAGAGGACGTCTATCCACCCTAAAGACTAGAGCCCGAGAGATAACAAGGACAACGCGTCTCAAGCTGACTATCGCTTGTCCTATGATAACCTACCGTCAGCTTAGTTTAGATAGATTTACAAGCATATTAATTGAGTTAGCCGTGGAGCCCAATCAAAACATGCACTGGTTCTACACTGCCACTGTAGCCCAACTGTCACTGGGCTATTAGCTCCCATGACAAAGACATCGCCTCGTTCGAAGGTAAATGGCAATAATGATATTACTCTCTGCTCTGAGTAAAATACCTGTTACATACCTAGCTATTCAAGAACAACCTGAGGCTTGCTCTCACTACTACGCTGCCATCAATCTGAGCTGCACGCAAAGACGGTCGTGTTGGGCACAGAGGTGCTGGCCGCGCACTTTTTGACGTCCTCCTTGAAGCGGAGGCGGAAAGGTGGGCTCGGGGTGCCCTAAGTGTGGCACTTGAGCTAGTGGCCAAGGTGGGCTTGGCCGCGCTCGGGCTGGGGCTCTGCAGCCACAGGTCGACAATGAGGCCCTGCGCTCACGATCAAACACGTAGTTCTGCAGGTGCGTGCCAGCCTGCGGATTCTACACGTCCTTGGGCAACTTCTGCGCCAATTTCACCCGGCCACCCTTGAATGCCCGCGCGTCGCTTATCTTCTCGTACTTGGTCTGGCACCTGTGGCGGAGCCAATGGTCAGATGTTGCTGCTTCGTGGCGGAAGTGGGTGTCTATGGTAGTGGCGGTGGCGGTCTGCCCTAGGGTTGAAGCACCAAGAACTGGTGTAGTATTTGGGGTACCTAAAATAAGACGACAGTATGTCGGCGAGGTTGTCGAGCGAGCAAAGAGTGTATGGGATCTCAATGAGACAAATTTGGAGGATGGACGAGGCGGATAGAAAATCTGCTCAATGTCGCGTTTAACAATCCGGGGACGATGACGACCAACCTAACACTACTTTATACCTTTTGGGCACAGCAAAATCCTGGACATGCTGCGAAGACCATAACCACGCCGCCGTTCAAATCAGGAGCTCAGCCAGTCATAGCCTCCTCCCTCAGTGCCCGGCCAGTATTACCATGAGCACATTCATTTCTAGCTGGAGGAATTCGTTCGAACTATTTCAGAGCCACTTTGATGAGTTGGCTTGGTCGCCGGCGTCGCCGATTACACGGAGGCCTGCTCAGCCTCGTGGTTGCAAGGGATATTGAAGCTGGAATCTGCCCTCTTCCAAATCGAGGCCGCCCTGGAATATGCCGCAATCTCCAACGTACAGAAGCGTACAAAAGCCTTGTCACCCCCCGCAGCCCAGCCTTGCAAGAAAGCTTCAGAAAGCCACAGATGCGTCTTGCCGTGCGTTCGAGGTTCAAGCTGCATCAGACCGCTACCAGTTTCAGACCAATTGCAAAGCAAATTACATTCACGTTCCGGTATCTCTCGAAATCCAAAGCGCTCAGGACTCAGGAGTTAAAACCTCTCGGAGCACAGAAAGGCTATTAGCAACAGTTATCATCATTAGATTGCTGAAGCAATGTCATTTTCCTATTTCCTTTAATCTTTTTCTCTTCCCTCTTTAATGTTCTATGCTTGAGTTATGATGTAAAAAAAAGTCTGAACTGGTTGATCCTTAACGTACAAACAACTGATTGTGATAAAGCAGTCGATTCGACCGAAGTTCAACCAATTACCAACCCAAGGCACATAGAGCCCAATCCAGGCATCACTCAAGTGCATGGATCTACGTGCCATACGGTGACGTCGGGGACTGACTGGCGGAAAGTCATTCGGAATTAGACTCTCCGGCTAGTCTAGAGACTTGATGAGAGGCCCACCTCATAGTAATTGGATAAACGGTCTAGAGAGTAGAAGCTAATACGGCGGCAATGGCCGCTCTATACACTGGGCTGGCCCCCAGGGCAGGTCGGCACACACAGTCCTGCCTGAATGTCCCCTGCCAAATCACACGACCCGCCGGCGACTTTACCCGGTTTCTCTCTACGGTCGACCACCGCCGCCGGCTGCCAAGCCACACACCCGCTGCAAAGGCCTCGACCCGAGGACGGGGGAGTCGACGGGGTTACCAGGCCGCCGTTAATTAGCCTATATTTGCTTCCTGGGATATATGTTTGCTGTATTGGACAGTCTCTCACTCACCTGGAGCTTGGCGCCAGAGAGAGGCAGGAGATGAGAGGGCACTGTTCTGCTTGGAACACTAGTAACCATCTCGATTTGTGATTTACCCCCCCCCCCCCCTTGCCCAGCTGCCCAGCCATAGCATGCATACAATGGGTTCCACATACAAGATTGTCGTTGCCGTCTTGCTGATCGCCAGCAGCTGGGCAAACGCGGCCCCAGCAGCATCCGGCGACAACAGCGTCAGCAGCCCGAGCCTGGACCGGCGGCAGACGACCTCCAAGTACTGCGCGTCGTCGGGGGTGTGCTACCTGCAGATCGTGACGTCGGGGTCGAACCCGACGTTCCGCATCGCCATCCCCGACGGCGCGGCGGCGCCCTTCGACACGCTGCTGCAGATCATCGCGCCCGTGTCGCTCGGCTGGGCCGGCTTCTCGTGGGGCGGCGGCATGACGCTGAACCCGCTCACCGTGGCCTGGCCCAACGGGAACAAGGTGACCGTGTCGTCGCGGTGGTCCAAGTGAGCCGTTCTTTCCATCCTTTGGTCCTTGGAGAGAGTATGAGATATTTAAACCCCCAAATCCGAGATTGCTGACCATTGCTTCCCTTGTCCCTTGCGCTACACAGCGGCCGCACACTGCCCGGCCTGTACAGCAGCGCGACGTACAAGACGCTGAGTTCGTCCAAGAACGCGACGCACTGGGCCGTCGAAGTAGCCTGCACGGGGTGCAGCCGGTGGAGCGGGGGCTCGCTGACCACGAGCGGCAGCATTAACACGTTTGCGTGGGCCATGAGCCGGACGGCGGTGGCGCAGCCGGCGAGCACGGGCAGCAGCTTCTCCATCCACAACAACGTCGGCATGTTCTCAGACGACCTCAGTGCTGCCAAGACGCCGTCGAGTGTGTTTTCGCAGTACATCAAGAGCGCGGCGAGCTCTTGATTTGTTGGGAACGGCCCGTTGCTGAACGGCTAAGGTGGATGGAACTTCAGCAAGGAGGACTACTAAGAGTGTAGCGGCGATTAGGCGAGTCGATTGCATTGCTGGGCGCTGCATATTATGATCTTGAACAGTCCGAGAACACGTGAGGGTTCAAGAATGGAACTCTGTTCAACTAGATATCAAAGTTTACTCGATGAACATCTCCTGTGCTATTTTCTCATCCGGCAAGTGTGTGTGATTCCTGGAAACCGCAGCCATCATTTCGCTAGCAATGCGGGCTGACCGGCGGCTGTCAAATAAAGGGAGACGGTGTTCAGATGGAGTAGATCACATCGCATCGAGATAAGACAAATAGTTATCTACTTCATTAGAGTATAACAGTAATAAGTGTAGGGGTTGGAGCAACCCGAGCTGGATAGCTCCAAAGCCCCTATCCCGAGAATAGCTACGGGTGGCGACTAGTTTTAGGTGCGAGCACTGCTTGACCGGTGCCGTAGACCAAGTCACAAAACACACAAAACAAACCATGACAGAAGGTTAACTACAACCGGAAACCCAAGAGAACGTTAAAATGCGAAATCAATTTCCAAGACCTTGATGCGAGCATCAGGAAAAATACACGGATGTAAAATTTCAAAACGCCACCGGTGCAAGCGTCCTCGAGCAGTGCCACTGCCAGTGGCATAATATCAGTGTCCATGCTAACCCCATGCCTATGCCGACAACCAAAAGTGACAACCAAAAGTGATACTCCAACATAATTAGTACTATGCAAAGGCCCCCACCGCAGACATGAGGCCCGCACCCCCTACGACAGCAAGGAAGGCGCTCACCCTCCTCCGACCACGCAGCGTCGTGTAACTCTTTTCCGCCAAAAAGTCCTCGGCCAGCAGCTGGACCAGGCCTGCAAAGAGCAGCAAGCCGCTAGAGATGGCATTCATAAAGCCGACCATGAGGAGACCCATCTGGCTCATGGGGTCGTAGAACTGGTGGATGAACAGGCCGATGGCCTGGCCGATTGGTGTTGTAGTCCCAAATGCCACAACCATGAGCCACGGCCGCAGGGATGACTTGGGGAAGTGGATGGCAGCGATGCGCGTGCCCAGCGCAAGGCCCTCAAACGATTGGTGGAAAGCGATTGCGGTCAGGAAGACAGCAAATGTCGGGCCCGTCGCCACGGACAAGGCCATGCCGATGAAGATGCTGTGGAAGAGGATGCCGGCCTCGAGAAGCACGCATTGCAGGAGCAAGCGTTTCTGCTCTTCGGCGTTGGGAATCTGCGCCGAAGGCTGTGGTTGGGACCTCGGCTTTGCACAAAAGGACTGCTGATTCAACGGCTGCGTCTGGAGGTCCAAATCGTCGTGCCCGTTTGCGCCTAGTTCGTCAAGGGTGAGTTCAAGGTCAAACGAGGCTCGGTCGGGATCGTCCCCCAAGTCAACACCCCGCTCCTTCATGCCCGCATCACGCGGTGTCTGAACCCTCGGCGTGCCCCCCGGGAGAGGAGAAGCACCAGCGACCAAGCCGTCCGAGGACCCCACATCGTGGAGAGCGATGTTCGCGGGCCGGTGCTCATGGGCCCGAGAGCTAGAGAACACTTCCTCGTGCAGATTCGATGCCAGGCCATCACGCTCGTCAACCGACTCATCCTCCCATATGTTGTGTGAATGCGAGTGGCCGGCCCCGCGAGTGGTAAGATACGACTCGAGCGCAACGACGACAAGCGCGGACACCATGGCTATAAGACCGGCCAGTGGCTTGTAGCCTTTGCTGAAGGCGTATGGGAGGCATGGGTCGGTCAGGGAGTTGAAGGCCGTCGGCAGGAGGTGGACAAAGGCGGTTGCCATGAGCACGCCCGTTCCAAAATGCTGACAGAGGAAGATCAAGGTTTTCTGGCGCTTGCCGCCTTTGGTCAGTCGGCGGGAGACGATGGGGAAGCCGCAAGCTGTCGCACGGGCACGCTGTCAGTCTCGAACGGAAATTTCGTATCTGGGGAGCATCCCACGACGCGGAAAAGGCAGGATGTGCGACATACCCACGGTGCTCAGTAGCAGAATCAGGAACAGGGCAAATACATGCAGCCCGGTATCGTACTCCCCTCTCTTCCCAGAGCCGCACTGCGGCCGACTGTCAACATCGTCGCGTTTCGAGAGCTCGGCGCGGAGCCAGTCTGTAGGAATCGAGGACCACGAGAAGTCTAGTATAGTAGTATGTGCGCGTGTTAGCTGTGGCGGGCAAGATCGGTTGTGTCACGGCCACGTCGATCATGAAGTTGCGCTCCGAGATAGGCGTCGACGTGGGGCCGAGAGCGAGATAGAAGACGCCCATCGGTCGATGCGCCGCGATGTTTTGGGGGCAAGCACGGACGGGAAAGGAATAACAAGGACTAACCACTCGCTCGGAGATTCAGTGTCTCCATTCTCCTTTAATCGAGGTGGTCTCGCCTCGGGCATGTTATCCTGGCAGCCAGGGTGCCAGTTGGGAATCGCGACAATGTCGAGACGTTGCAAGTTGGCAGTTTAGAGAAAGACGATACGTCCGTAACTGCCTGCAAGTTGGCCCACATTCCAGGTTCTGGAACACTGAGATCCATCCGCCCATTCCCAGCGCCCCATCCCCTGACCCCAAATGGGTGCCTGCCAGCCCGTATTTTTTAGCGTCGTTCGTAGCGGCGTTTCCCGCCTGCTGCAGGCCTAGCCCCTGTAGCGGTTTCTTGGGCAGGCATCCACGGGCGGGCTGCCGCTGAAACCGCCAGCTGGGAGGCACGCGCCGCTGCGCCTCCTACTCTTTCTCACCAACAACAGACGAAACATGGCCGCGGGAGGTTGCATGCGGCTCTTTTCTCCCTGCAGCACCATTTCAGCGCGGCGCAAACTCCCTCGTCCGTGTAACGACCGCTGGGCACTTCCGTTTCGCCAAGTGCCTCAATGCATGTTCTCGCGGCACAATCGCCGATGCCAGGAATTGGAGACCGCGCTGCTGCCAAGGGTGAAAGAGAAGTACGATTCTTGCACCTCACTTTGCTCTCCTCTGTCCCCCCAATCGCTTTTTGGGGCGAGAAATTGGAGTATTGAATTGCTCTAGGCAGTAGCTGGCTAGTATCGAATAACTCAACCTTCGTTACGCCGTCCCGCCGTCCCGCCGTCCCATCTTCGAGACGCGCCTACGGATACGTACATAGCTATCCACCGTTTCCCGTTTCTCGTTCCCCGCTCCCCGTTCCCCGTTCCCCGTTCTCCGTCGTTGTCCAAGGCGCTCGATTGCCTGAGCGTTCACGATGCCTTCGGGACGGCCGTGTACCATGGATACGCCGTCGTCATTGGCGATCCGTACGATCCCAGGCTGTTATAGTCCTTTGTCGTTGGCGTCCCAAAGAAGATCTTCTGCACAAAGGGCAGGATGGAAGTGCTGTGTGTTTTGAACCCGTGTCAGCTCAGCGCTCTCTTTTTCGAGGCAGGGGAAAGAACTTACAAGCCGCTCATGTCACAATGTCCGCCGCTGCGCACGCTCATGCCAATCTTGTCGCCGGCGCCCAACCAGTCGTAGACAAGCTTGGCCGCCGGGTAGACGATGACGGCGGTGGCCTTGCTGTTGGTGAACTGATCACCGGTGCCCTGGTCAATAATAAGGGCGCGAGGCGCAATGGCGGCGGCGATGGTGTGTGCGTCGTACGGCAGGTTCTCGGCGTGGTTGACAAAGGTTCCCAGCTTGCTGTCACTCCACCACCCGGCCCCCGACTTGCTGTTCTCGAGCGTCTCGTCCTGGCCGCTCATGGCGTGATACCGGTACGGCCCAATACCCTGCACGCCCGCGGACATGGGCATCGTGAGCGTGATGCGTGTGTCCAGCAGCCCGGCTGCCAGCGCCCCTTTCCCGAGCCGCGAGCACCCCGTCACGCCCACCCGCGTCGAGTCGATCTCAGGCACGGTCATGTTGAGCCCGTCGAGCGTCCGGTGGAAGCCCCATGCCCAAGCTGTCAGGACGCCTGCGGTCGGGTTAGTTGCCGCCGGTCTTTGCCCCGTCTACCATGGTCGTTGACACAGTTCATTCTGGACACACGTCACGCACGTACTCACCAATATCCCGCCCCTTGTACACATCCCAGAACGCGCCCGTCTTGGAGTTGCTGTCGGCCGCAACCGACGTGTAGTCGAACCCGACAACCGCAATGCCCGCGCTCAGGTAGGGCGCGTTTTGCATGCCGCCGATGTTGATGACCACGGGCGCCTTCTTGGAAGCGGACGCGCCAGAGGGCAGCGTCAGGGTGGCCTTGAACTTGCCCGTCTTACCGCCGGCCGTCACGGCAATGTTGACCGTGCTGCCGCTTCGCGTGGCCTCGACCTTCTCTTGGCTGTGGTCTGGGTAGTAGCCGAACTGATATTCCTGCAGCAGCTGCAAGATCTCGGGCTGCCGGCACTTGTACCACTCCTCGGGCGTCTGCACGCGCTTCTGGCCCTTGCCCGTCATGACATCCTGCGCAAATGTCGAGGACGACGCCGCGTTGTCCGTTGTCGTGTACTTCAGCGGCAGGAACGGGTCCGGCATAGTCGACTGGACCGGCAGTTGCTGCCACGTTGGGAACGGCGATGGGATCGCGGCGCAATCGACGGCCGCGTTGCTGCTGTCCTGCTGAGACTCCACCGCGGGCAACGCCGCAGCGCTCCCTGCCGCGATGGCGCCGATCAGGAGCTGGGCACCGGTCCGCATCGTTGATCCCGTATCAAGAACTCTCGGGGGTGTACAGATCAGTGTAAGCCCGGTCCGTGAGACGATTGCGTCACATCACTGTTCCTGCGAGCGAGGCGAATGTGCATGGGAGGCCCAAACAACCACCCCCCTCCCTTCATATATATTTGCTCCGAATCCCCATGCCCTCCCATCGTCCGAACATGCACTCGCAATCCTTGCCCCGGATTGCTTGGCCCGTGTGGGGTAGGCACATGGGAAATAGATGGACGCGCCTCGAGCAACTGTTGGCGGGTATTAGCCAGATTGGATCGGCGTCGTAACTGCCGCCATATCCGCCAGAAACAATATCCCCGGCGCCGAAAGGGGGCCATAGAAAAACAATGGGAGTTGCTGGCAGGGTGGTATTGGTTTCTACTTGCGTATTTTGCCATGAGTGAAGTGTCGCGTGCGATTCCGCTCTCCTGCCGGCGAAGACAAGCCCTGCATTTTTCGCGCCGTGTCAAGAGGTCGGGGGTTACGTGTGCGGTACTATCAAGGAGAGTCGCTGTGTAATGCAAAGCGGGAACTGATCGAGCGGTTCACACAGAGCCAAGGGCTGGGACGACGGAGACTTTAGCCGTCCCCCGCCCCGAAGCATTCCATTCGGGGAATTCTGTCACAATGCGGTGTCTCAGTTACGAAGCACTTCCCGCAAACAAAATACCGACTGCGTTTTGGTTGCTGTCGCAGTCACAGCCTGCACAGAAAATACATGGAGCCAAAAGAGAATTACCAGTCACCAGTCACCAAGTAATATTGATCGTGTGCCAAATGTGTCAATTGCCAACAACTACCTAATGCATGCCTGTCTGGTATAACAAGTTGCGTCTCTGCGCTGGCCCTGGTCTCCCAGGTTTCCAGGCGGCACCACGAGGAGGTGCAGAGTCCGACTTCGCCGCCCGTCCTCCTCTTTCTTTCCCCCCACGGGGCCTTTTACTCGGCTTCCTTCCACCGAAGATCTCACTGCTCGCTATCTCTGCTGCTGCTACTGAATCCCTGGGTCGATCTCGCATACGGTAAATGAGGGTTATAGGCAGAGGTACAGGTAGAGGTACAAAACGGACAGGTAGGTGATGTGACAACATAAAGCCCGTAGGCAACAAAGAGATAGGCTTGTCCGGAGGTCTTCTATGACGAGCGTAGGGTACAGAGGCCGGCTTGTCCCAAGGTCTTCTATGACGGGCGTAGGGTACAGAGGCCGCAAGCATGTCCAGGGTCTTACATGACGAGCGGAGGACAGGAGCTCGCCGGGGACGCGTCCAGGGTCTTATATGACGAGCGTAGGACTAGCGTCGAAGCGTGTCCAAGGTCTAACGACGAGCGGAGGACGACACTTATTAGAAGAGGCTGGGGGGAGGGGGGGGGGAGGGGGGGGGATAAAGCCCGTAGGCTAGAGGCTTGTCCCAAGGTCTTATGTGACGAGCGTAGGGTACAGAGGCCGGCTTGTCCAAGGTCTTATATGACGGGCGTAGGTACAGAGGCCAATGAATTGTCCAGAGGTCTAAAGACGAGCAGAGGACAGGGGTCGTAAGACATCGTGCCTCTAGGCAGAGCGGTCTGGGGGTGCCGGGTGAGTTGCCATGTTCACGGTCTAACGACAAGCGTAGAACACGGGCCAGCGAGGCATATCCTGGTCTAACGACAAGCTATGGATAGCGGCCACAAGCCATGCCGAGTTGCCGAAATCGGTCAGAGGACTGGGTGGGTCAATGTTTCGAGACGAAAACAAAAGGCAGACGACGCCCTACCAGGGTCGCCAAGACAAGGGTAACTGGCTACGGGCGGAGGAGCGATGCCGTCAAACGTCAGGCAGAGCGCTTAGGACCGGTTCGACCTGTCAAACGGACCAGGTCTCATCCCCGAAGACGGTCCCAGAGCAAGTGGGTCGCCGTCTCGGAGGCGGCGATGTCTTGAGCGGAGACACCACCGGATTATTGATCATCTCCAGCGGCCCACGCCGGCTGGTTTCTTCTACTTTCTGCGGAGACTAGTGGGCATCCATATCGCTTCCATTCGATGTGCACCAGGACTGGAACGAACCCTGCCGTTGGGCCGTGTGTCGGACTCACCTCCGCAGGGAAAAAGTTGCCCACTGTGTCCGGCGATGACGACAGCTGCGCTTGACGAAAATAATGGAAGTCGGAACACTGGGGACCTGGGGGCTGCTCGGGAATCCCACGACGAACCGCTCCTGGGGAGGAAGAAACCGGACGACAACCAGCCTGAACCTGGCGACGCCGAGAGCCCTTGCCCAGGGGACGGCCTGGCGCGACTTGAAATAGGTATCATCCTGGGCCCAACCAATGGAAAGCCGAGCAACCAAGTAATATCTGGTGCCTCGACAACCTCTGGCCGGAGGATGACCCCGGGCCCTTTCCCAGCCAAAGACGAGCCGACGACAGCCAAAAGTGAAAAAAATGGTGCCGACGGCCTCTGAACTAGGGGGTCCTGTTATGGTGCGCGTGATCCAGACCGGTCCTTTCTCGGCCAAAGAGAAACCGGCGACGACCAATACCGAAGATTAGCGCCGCGATAGCCTCAGACCGAGGGACGACGCGAGCGAGCAAGCCAGCCCAGAAAAAGAGTCAAGGACAAAACCAGTCCCTGGCCCCTCCCCGCAGTGATCCTTTCTTGTCTTGTATCTGTCCGAGCTCTTGTTGACCCGTTCCCTCCCCTCGCACGATGCAGGACAGACGGAGCGTTGTCAATGGCGTCTGGTGGTCGCCTACAAAGCTGAGAAGAGAGCTGCCTAGGCGATGGCTCTGAAAATGGCCGGCAGGGGATATATTGGTGTAGTCGACATGCCGCTTGGGGCCATGTGATGATCGTGCCACTGGTGTCAGTTGACTTGCGAAGTGCGGTGACATGTTCAGGGACCGAGGCCCCGTCCGATGATCGGTCTGACCGCCGACTCCGCAAGCTGAGGTCCCATCAACGGCAGTGACGCCCGTCAATGGTTGGCGACCTCGGGCGTCTCCGACTAACCCCCAAAGCGGCGACCCCCGCAAAGTGGGTTGGCGAAGGCGAAGGCGGGGGTAGGGAGGCTCGGCAAGAGGCGAGACTCCCGCGCGGCACGGTTGTGCCGGCGAGAGGCCACCACCTCCGGATGGAGATGGCGGTGCTTCTTGCTGGGGACACGGGTGCTGCGCGCCTTGTCGATCTTAGCGATGACCTTGGCCATCGCAGCTCCCCACTCGAGCTCCCTTAACTCGGCAAGATACTGGGCTGCCTCCAGATCTTGCTCGGGTGACACCCCCATCACCGGCTCGTAGCCCCCCGACAACGCAATCTCTCCACTTTCCGATTCACGCTTAGCGCAGGCATTCGCCTCACGCAGCTCGTAGATGTCCCGATTGTATTGCTTCCTGTCACGGAACTTGGGCGGGTGGACTTGGCCGGTGATCATACACCGCAGCTTGAGATCTTCCAACCCGTGTTGGAAGCTGACCTGTTTTTTGCTCGCAGAAGACGACACCCTTGATGCCGATGACTTGAGACAGCTCTTGCCAGGTCGAAGGCCGCTGCGATGCGGCGGAACGCGGGGACTGCTGATCAGCCCCGAGACGCGGTCCGCGATTTGGGACGGAAGGGCCACAAAAGGACCCGAGTACCCGTCCCCGGAGGCCGGGACCGCTGCGCGGTTGGCTCCCATGTTGTCTAGTAGACTGGCCTGGCTCCAGAAGGGGTGGCCGCAGATGTCATCGACAGCCCGGGCCACTAGGCGGCTGTCCTCGTCGTCGTCATAAATGCAAGCCTGGCCGCGGCGACGAGACCGACTGAGGCTGCGGTTAGCAGAGGAGGGGGCAGCAAGCTCGGCGGCATAGCTTGCCGAGGAGAGGGAGAGGGGGTTGACGTATGACTCCATGAGGGCGGCGGCGGGAACGGGACGTGGGATTGATGTGACGCTCGAAAGGAGAGAGAGAGAGAGACAGAGACAGAGAGAGGTAGTGGCTGTGCGCGGGACGTGTGATTGACGTGACGCCCGGGAAGAAGGGAGAGAGGAGAATTGGCGATGCGCTGGGTCGTCCTTGACGCCCGAACAACAAAGAAGTTGACGAAGAATCGATGTGGCGTTGACAGAGAAAGTAGTGCTTACGTGACAGTCAGAGTGTATAGACGAGCAGATCGATGGAGAAGAAAGAAGAAGAGAAAGGAGAGGAGAGCCGGGATTGGACTGCTATTAGTACTTTTCGGAACAGTGACAGACTCATACGGTAAGTTCAGTGGCGTTCAACGTTTGTGGCCACCTTAGCAAACTCAAAGTTCATCGAGCTTCGAGAATTAAACCGTTGATCGGCTATTACCGCTGACGTTAACGGTTTGATAATGTAGATATTCCCTCAGTGTGGGGCGCGGATAACTGTTGAAAACTTTACCTCGGATCGACCATAGTTGTTGGACACATGTCGGACGTCTAAGAAAGTCTACATATCAAAAACGCCATCTCATGCAGAACTTTAATACTTGTCGCCGGTTACATGCAAGGGGGCTAGACACCAAAGAGGTGCCGCGCGAGTAGGTGCGGTAATAGACGCTCTTTGATAGAAGAGACGAAAACCCCAAGATAACATAGCCCCTATAGGCATTGTGCGGGCCTGTGTGGACCTCCAACGGATAGTTTGAATACAAGAGAGGCTGAGATCGGCTGAAAGCCAAGGACGACTGGAAATCGAATAAGTTTGTCGGTATAACTCAACTATGTAGGTTTGCGCGTGATCAGCCTGGTCCCGGGAAACAAACATGGCAGACTTAAAGCTCGAAGCGGAACCTAAGGTACTTGCCTCAGCCCCCCTTTCATCCCTATTAGACACCGTGAACGCCGTGTACACTGGGCACTGTAGGCAAGAAGAAACTTTGTTGAGGCCCGAACTGATGCTTCGGGGGCTACAGAGATGCGGATTTCTATCCGGTCGCCGTTAGAAGACTAGAGCAGTCCGGATTGTTCCAACGATGTCAAAGCTTTGGAGACAACAACGGTCGAGCGTCGGCACGTGCGTAATAGAGTTCCTCGCTGCCCTGGGACACGATCATACCGTACAAATGTCGGTTTGCGAGTGGGCAGAAAGCCTAAACGGCTCGTGGTATCTAGTCGACAAAGCACCTTACCTAACCAGGTGCACACTTGGCTTCCCTGTAAGCCGAGGGCCGCTTAAGAAGTTTCTGGTGACTCGTCCACGAATCCTTTTAGGCAAACTTCCGTCTCGCCCTTCCCAGAGTATAGTTGTGGGTGCTCGGCGGTTCGTCATTTCTTCGGAGGACGGCAACCTAGGTTGGACGAGGAGTCAGGACAGTTTGGATTGCTTTGGGCTGTTTCGCTACCTAAGTAAGGTAGATAATTACCTAGGTAGCCTTCAAATTGGCGCTGCGATTTCGACATTATAGTGGTGAATTCGCAGGCTCGGCAGTTGGCTGTGAACAGCGGATGGAATTGGCACGACCTGCGCAACACGGACAATCGGTCATTTGCGACCCAGCATCTCATTAGCCCACTACCAGAACTTGCTGGTCAGAGAGTTGAGTCGCACAGAAAGGTAATTGACGGGGTAATTATTCTTTATTTTCTCGAGAAGGCCGGAATTCATCGTCGAGCCGTATGTCGGTTGGTTGTTGGCGCCTATTCTGCCCAAGGTGCCTACCAGATTATCACTGACACCGGGAACTGAGTGGATGTCCGTTTTCCTGGTCTAACGCTTTCCATCCAATAGGGGTGGAGAAAAAACGTTCGATTGCTCCTCTAACCCCCACAGTCTCCGCTGGTTCTGATAGTGATGCGGAATTTTCCAGCCATATGCAGAGTTTGCGCATGACTCTCCAACGAATCAGCAGGCAAGATGGCCGAGCGGTCTAAGGCGCCACGTTAAGGAGTTCCAAACCCTTAATCTCAGTTTCCGTGGTCCGAAAGGGCGTGGGTTCGAATCCCACTCTTGTCATCAGAGTTTTGATTTTTGTGAAGTCCATTTTGTGTCACCTGTTCATTTTTGTCCCCGTTACCGCGCCCTGAACGGCAGCATAATAACTTAACTTCTTTATTCTCAATCCTTCCTCCCCCCTCACCGCCCTATCATCGTTCACCGCCGTATTGCATGGCAGCCACCCAACGGCCTGCCGGGAATTAAGGAAGCATACCGGGCACTAAGGAAGCCCGGCAAAGTCAAATCGACACTATTTGTGACGGCCCGCCTTACGCAGTAGGGATGTCAATGGTCGAAGGCAGTAACGAATGTGGATTTAAAGCTAAGGAAGGAAAAGAGGAAGCTATTGCAGGGACCGCGCAGGGCGCGGGGAAATAGGTGTTGGTAGTCAATCCCTGTCACGTGCGCACCGTGATACTATTTACACTTCACATGCCGGCATTTGTGCGCGCAATTGGTGTTTTAAGGTCTGTTGCGGCTAGGTGGCCTTTGCAGGCTTTTCCTTCGCCAAACAACCCATTTATCGAGATTTCCTCTGACGATTCGAGCTCCTTAGCTCCCTCACCCTCGCCCTCGCCCTCGCCTCGCCGGCCCATTCCTGTCGTGACGATTTCTCGCCTGCGCCTTCGGCCGGCTCCGAGGAAGAAGCTGAGGTTTACGGACCTGAAGATATATAGACTATTGATGCCGCCGGCGAGCCTAAAATAGGCTCTGTGTTGCACGTGATCGTAGTTGACAGCGGATAGAATTGTTTGTCTAAAAAAGGTCTATACGCAAAAAATAAACAAAGGAAATCTAATAGTACCTGTCACGAAGGAGAGGATTCGACTGGCATAACACGCAGTATAACCGTAACCTGTATTGTGGAATCTAAAGCTAAAGAAGGAAAAGGAAGATGTTGCGGGGAGCGGGCAAGGCGCGGGGTTCTAGGTATGGTGCGGACCACGTGATAGGTACGCACAGACCACACTCCAGCACTACGTCATTGACACCACGGCACCCGCCGTGACAGTACCAGGAAGTGAGCGTCATAGAGGCCTTCTTAAGGTTCAACTCGGTTGTGGCTCGGTTGTGGCTTAAATCTAGGCGACACTCTGCGTGTCTCAACTGCCAACAGCTGCCAAGGTCCCCAGGTAGGTGCGAGGAAAAAAGTAGTAGGTGCGTACATCAAAACTCTATAAGAAGAACATATCTCTTCTACTTACCGAAGAAACTTGGCTCTTCTTGGCTTTCTCAACGGCGATACTAACGACTTTTAATAGCAATAACTACTTTATCCCGTCTATATAATAGTTTTATTCCTTCTTATAATAGTTTTTTTGTCCCGTCTATAAGTGGAACCTCGCTATTAAGACAAAGAGAAGCAAGCGATTTTCATTTCTATTTAAGTCCCCTAATCTATCTCTTATTTACTTATCTCTTCATACCCTTCCTATATCTACCATCTCCAAACCCATATCTATAATTATCTCCACCATCATCCTATTTGTATGTCCCTCTAACATGGCCCTCCAAGCTCACCTGTACGGTAGAAGCTCGCTACAGGTTCTCGGCTCTGTGAGGACCCGTCCACCAAACTGGCCCTCAAGCAGCCAGAACCGCCCAGAACCCCCGGGCCTATCAGAAGCCTCCTCGAGGCCCCACCTACCCCACTGATAGATGAAAACTTATTCGCGAGCACGCGACGCGTTGTTGGACTTTTCCTTCTTTCCCTCCTCAGTTTAGAATCTTCGTCGATAGCACCCAATGGACTGAGTTCACCTCAATGCCTTGCCCTGGTCGTGACAGGCTCCGGTAATATTTCATACGACGTTATGGTTTATCTAGCTTTTACTTCGGCCGCTTCGGCTCTCTGGTCGGTCGGGTAAGGTAGCAGCATCGGCCAGATCTATGTCACTTACAACGTCATATCGGTTCTCCGGGGATGGCGGTTCCAGGTCGCTATTATCGCCATATCTCTGCTTGTATTCGCCGCCAAGTTTTATAAAATAAAATCGCACGCCGATACCCGAAACAAAGAGACTACGAGCAAAGGACGGATTTCCCGGATGCAGATGGAGATAGAACTCGAGAAACTAAAAATGGAGATGGAACTGAAGAAAATAAACTTGGAGCTCACTTACCATATATAGAGCTCACCGCTCAACCCAGCTGCAACCCAGCTGCTCTTCGACCTTTGGCTGCGAAACCTTTGGCTGCGAAGCCCCAAGCTCTTCTATTCTTACGTAAAGCTGACCAGATATCGACGATAACCTATTATATAATCCAGCCTCGGCAAGAGCTTCAATCTGGCTATCCTCATACTAGCTATCTGTCCGATCGCTATATCTCACCGAAACCTGTTGAGCATTAATTAGATTTCAAAGCGTTGAAGGAATGGTGGTTATGGAAAGGTTTAACGGAAGGTTTGAAGCTTCCATGGGAGGGATTCGAAGGCGATGAAGGGCGGCAGAACGGATGATAATAAAGAGTAGAAAAATTGGATCAGAATGGGAGTTCGATTGTGTGTGTGATCTAAATCCAAAGGTGGAAAAATGCCCCCTTATGATACCAGCTTGCATCGACTCAGTTGAACGGAACTCGTCTCTGTTCAAATCGCTGGTGGAGCAAATGATCACGGACGTTTCACGAGTGGAAACTATCATCCTGTTCCTTCAGCGAACCTGTCCGTGCAATCATGAAAGAATAGGAACAACGGGCTAGCTTGAATTCGGGCATGTCTTTGCACCAGAGGCCATGCAAGTAATTTTGACTCGCAGTTCATCAGCTAAATCGAGCAAAATTCAAATGCAGAGATGGTATGTTATGATTTGCTGCAGTGAATAGGTATTTTAGAGCACTTGTGCTTGGATGGACGCTACCGCATCCCTAGTCGTCAGGGTCGTGGTCTACCGGGTCTCTGCCAAGCTCGTGCCTGAAACCCCCCAAAACCCCCAATCTCGGATGATTTTGGTGGTGCCAAGAAAGGGGAAGCAGCGGTGGAGGGGGCGCGGAGGGCCCAACCGCAGCTGCGGGGAGCTCAGGGGTTGTTGCAAAACAACCGCCTGGCTAGGCGATACAGGGGCAGAGGGGATTGTTTGCTGAAACACCACGATCCCCGAGCTGCTGAAACAGGCACAATCAGCACAGACAGCAGCAAAAATGTTCATCATCGACGACGCGTATCTGCCATTTCTCATTACTACTCGTCGCCCCGGAATTCTTTCCGTCGAAGACCAGCAACCCCCGCCGGCGATCGTTTTCTTCAATACCACTCCACGGCCTGGGGCCGTTTCGATACCCATTCTCTTGCCCCTAATTTTGTTTTCTGCCAGGTGGTATCTCATTGGCACGTTCTCCAGTCGCAACCTTCCATTTGCATTACTCGTAGTTTCTCTGGCCAGGAACTTCGACGCCTTTCGCCCAAACGAGGAAAATCGTGGAGAGGACTCGCTGTACAAAGCTCAGATGCTCAGAAAACCAAGACTTCAAGCCAGTCGGAAGAATGGGGGTAACAATTACGCACACATGCATCGACGTCAGGTGAATCTGGACCCCGGTACGGATCTGGAATCTGGGGACGATTTGGACGATGTGGATGATGGATCTCAATCTGATGTGGGGGACGAAGGCGATGGCGATAATGACGATACCACGCAGACCGGGAAACTAGACACACCGGAAAAGACGGACAAGCCAGAGAAGACGGACAAGCCAGAGAAGACAGACAAGCCAGAGAAGACGGACAAGCCAGAGAAGACAGACAGGCCGGTGATGGAAGTCCCAACACTAACAGTGGGAAGGCCGGGCTCGACGCAACCAGCTTCACCACCAAAACCGTCGCCTGATCTTGCAAGTTTAACGTCTACAAGTCAGGCGCCGACTGCTGCGCCAACCTCGCAGACTCCCAGCTTACCGTCTCCAACAGAGACTTTGTCCCGAACCAGCAGTACGGCATCCAATTCCCGTATCGGAGGTGGAGGCCAAAGTACCGCTCTCTCGTCAACTACGCTGACCATTTCGAGCTCGGTTTTGTCATCCAACACAAGCACGGGAAGCACATCCATCCCATATACGCTCGGCTTCAATACGTCTTCAGTATCTGCAACAAACAGGCGTTTGGTCACAACAACCTTCTTTACTTCCACGAAAAGCAGCACGGCCACGGAGAGTGCATCACCGGGCACGGCAAGTGGTGGATCGGCGAATTCCGATGTAGGAGGGGACAGACTGCCTGTGCAAGACGACTCGGGGGGTGGAGGGCTTAAACCCAGTGCCAAGGCTGGCATCTCCATCGGCACGATCGGTGAGCACCTCGCCCAACTTCGGTCGCTTCCAACGTTGAGGGGTTGGTGTAAAATACTGACAGGACTGCATTATAGCTGCTGCCGCAATCATCGCCGCCGGGTTGTTCATGTTCTGGAGATGGTATCGCGCCCGCCGTGACCAAGCACGCACGGAAAAAACTCTAGATGCGCCACGCGATGGTTCCAGGAGCAGCATGGAGCAGCCACAGGATGCCCGGACACAGTCTCAGATTATGGATGACTTGTTAGCATCAGCCTACGCGCACCAAAATGGCCGTTCAGTATCCGCAGAGTACCTGGTGGGCGCATGTGCAAAGAGCGCTGGCGCAGCCAACACTGACGGAGGTCTTCCAACCACATTTCTCAATGCCAATATCCGCTCCTCCATCGCAAGCTTTCTGCGACGCCACCACCCGCTACAGCTGAATCCGCTATACGGGCGCAACAGCGTCATGTCCACGAGCAGCCAGGACCCCATGTCTCCATCGTCCACGGCCCACACCGTTCCACCCGTCCCGCCGATGCCTGAGGCGCACCACTCTGGTAGCACCAGCAGATACTCCTCTAGCGTGTATTTGCCAACCGGCCTGCCACGGCCCCCTGCACCGCCGTCGGCCTTCCTGGAAAGCAATATCACCAACAACGCTATGCCGCCCAGGTACCAGTCCGGCTGGTCAGACTCGAGCGCCGGCGCTGCGAGCGTGGCCACGACGTCGGACAACAACACGGCAATTTTATATATGTACGGCAGCACGGCCAACACAGATACCAATGTGGGACCACAGCCTCAGATACAACCGCGGCAGCATAGCTTGGTCTCCCCTCTGTCGCCAACAATGCAACAGCCGCCGCCCTGGAACGGGTCACGCAGCTAGAATGATAATTTCATGTCCCAGTATTGCGGGATTGTAAATATGGCCTTTTCTTTGCCTATATAAAAGCACTTTCCCCTATCTTTACCGGCGCAAGGTCTGGCCAGGTGTTATGCATTGTGGGGGAAGCCAGGAATGGGTTCTGGCAATAATTATCCGGCCTTTTCTTTCTACGTTTCTGAGGCCATCTGGAGGCTTTTTGAATAATGAGGAGCCGGCCAAGAGAGAGACACGACAGCAACTAATATAGCAAGCACGCAGTCTTTTCCGAATAAAGTGGCCGGGCATCTCGGTTACCAGATAGTAGATGCCACGCAAAACGACAGCCCTGCGAATCTATCTTTATGTTCTAGGGAAAACTGCAAAGTCGTGCAATACGGAAGCCATCGGGTCCCCGATCGTTGGTAATCACTGGCCAAAGTAGCCCAAGCATGGATGTGCAAATAATCCCTGCCAGACAGCCGATAACACGGCCAACTATCATCGCGCTCAAGGGTCGTCGTATTCTCCTATTTGTTGGTTCATGACCTAGCAACTAACGGGCCGAACAATCCGGTAGTGCACTAGGCAATGGTTGAAGACAAAAGGATCATGTAACTACGCCAAGGATTCGGATTCTCTCTTCCTTTTTCGTCCTCTGTTCAACTCCATTTTCTACATCAAATCCTTTCAATATATCTAAAAATCGCAGTCACTGATCGCAACCATGGCTATGCTTCCTTCTTCGACACAAGACGGCTATCTTCCGTACCTAATACTCTACCCGCGTGCGCCGTCCGTCAACTTTTGAGTTTTCTTTTTTTTCGGGGTTTTGAGTTTCATTTTCCTCTGCCCAATTCCGTCACTTGACATATTCCGGTACAGACGGTCATCACCGGCTTCGGCTACTCGGCATGGTGCTACTTCACGAATCCAACGACATCGCTCGCCGTGCTCCAAGGCCCGGGAAGCCCGCCCATGGCTACCCTGCTGGCCCACGTGTACGGCGTCAAGAACGTCTACACTTGCCTGATCCGGCTCTACGCCGTCTACCATCTCCGCAACCAGCCGCTGTACGACCTGGCTATGTGGACATATGCGGGAGTGATCCGGCTATACGTCACTGAGATGTTAGTCTGGGAAACTGTGCGGCTAAGAGAGGGCTCTATCGCACTCGCAACGGCTGGGCCTGCATTTGTCTGGATGTTTCTTCACAGGGGCTGGTATCTTCACTGAGTGCATTCTTGGGAGAACCGTGCACCTTTTACTACGGATAATTTGGTGTAGCACAGGGAGTAAAGACTTTAGCATCCAAGTCAGTGACTTGAGTAACTACAATATCAACTTGTTTACACCAATCACTTGCATTATCGAGGCGGCAAAGTATTAATGGCTTCAAAGGGGTTTAAGTGGTTGCTATATTGCTAAAGATAGCTTAGACGTATTTTTTTGTTGCTGTTTTCGTCTCCGATTTTCCCTTTCGGTTGAGTGTAGCGAAACAAATGCAAACTGACATAAATCGGACATGCCAAACTAAGATAGAGCCTACCCAACAGAAAATGAAGACAGTAATTCGTTCAATAGCACTCAGCTCCCCCTTCAAATTAAGTCTGGGCAGGTCCCGCCTCCAGATCACGTTTCGGTTCGTCAAGCATCCAATCAAAGCTATAATAGTAGGCGACCGAAATGTACGAAATCACCATAACTCCCAACAATGCCAATCCACTGATGGCTCTAGGGCTGAGCGATAAATGGACCTTCTGGGTAGGATCATTAGGCGGGGTAGAGACATCACCTGCCGTTGTGCCGGCCTCTTCCCGGAAGTAAAGCGATGATTCCATGTTGCGTCGTATCTAGCTGAGGGGTGTTTTTGTGGGCAGAATTGTTTTCGAGAAGAGAGAGAAGACGAATGCAGGAGCGGGAAGATGAATGCGGGAGTGGATGAAGAATAAACCCACCTAATTGACGTGGTGTGATTTATATAGTCCCGAGTTCAATTTTGCAGACCCGTGAATAATATTGGAACAAAAGACAGCTGTGTTTGGAGAAAGTGGATGGAAATTATTCACCGGCTCAACTGTTGCATAGAATAGAGTCATTGATACAAGCACACAAAGTGTCAAATAATGGACGCCTTTACAGCGACAAAGCTGTAGTCAACTTCTTGCATGCTGGGTATGGACTGTTTTTTGTGCAGACTCTGGCCCAGGAAAAGGCATGTTTTCGGGGAGCCTTAGAGAGTTCTTCTCACGTCATTGCATTGGGGCGGGCTTCTATCGAGTCGTCGATAGAACTAAACCGTGCCAGAGACAAAGGGCCCTCCACCCCTAGTAACTGTGCAAGTCCGTATGACAAAAGGGAGTGCGAGCTGCATTGAGATGTCTTGCATCTCTAGTTGACGGCCCTACATTTTGCGTACCTGTTAGGACGGCCTGCGTCATGTGGCTTGAATGTGTCGGAAAGGGGCAAACGAGCACATCTCGGCTCCACGGCACCATCTGCCATAATTAATTAATCCAGGTACGGTCGGGGACGGATGCCCATCGCCTATTTACAGCGAAGCGCGATGATCCCTCGCGCTTTACACTCTCGTCCACAACTTAGTACTCGCAAGTACGGAGTACCAGTGATTTGCCTCAACTGTGATGCAACTTTTCAGCTTGCTGCACGGTAAGTTCAAGTGTGTCGGAAACTGCTTCTATTGGCTGCCCGGGTTGCAATTGCTGCGCTGACCAACAATTCAGAGGCAGAAAAAGTCTGCTGGCGCTTTGTGGCGGGGGGGCGGGGCATGCACCATGCGGCGGTATTCGAGGTTGGCCCCGCCTCCTACAGAGGTGCCTATGTGGCTTTTGCTGTAACCTTTCGGGCTATTGAAACCGCCAAGTATCAACGGCCGCCTGTCACGAAAATGATCTATCGTTTTGGTGTTGCCACACCGTCTCAAAGAGGAGGGGCAACTTGGCTAGAGGCGGCTGGGAGACGGACAACAATAGGAACAAGGTATCTTGTAGTCCGTGGTGTTTGCCCACGGTGCGGTCTCCAAATGCGGTCTCGCACAACGCAGGGGGCGGGAGCAGGCGTTGCTGCATGCATGGAGATCAAAACCGGAGCCCGAATCTCATTGCCAGTCACCACCAGCTGGCAAGCACCTCAATCACTTCCCGCCTGGTGGCCTGACAGCTGCAACAGGGGCCGTAACTCGCACATCCCATTTTTGAGGGAAGTTGAACGCCTGGTCCAAGTTTCTGGTTGAGAATGATCGCTGACTCGGGTGCGAGATCTCCACTGCAACGGGCGATCGTCATCCCATCTCTCCCAGCCAGTCTTTCTATCTCAAGTCCTGCTTGGCCTGGAAACTTAAAGTCGATACGTACAGCAACTCCAGAATAATAAGATGAACCATTGACAGAAGGGCTCGTGTTAGGTTTGGTGTACATACACTCGATTTTTCGCCGGCTGGGTAAGGCAGCTCTCAGCATCGCAGTCTACCATAAAAGGCACAGCAACTTCAAACATTTTACTACCGCGCCTCACGCTTGCAAACTTGCAAGTATGGTGATCGACAAAATCTGTGGGCCTAGCCTCCCATGTGAAGAGCGGAGGGCTCGTTGGGTTGACCGTGATGGCGCTTGCCAAATCGGGCAACCGGCTGGCGTTTTAGAGGTGCGCTTTCCTGGTACGGTCTCCAGCCCGCTTCGCTTTTTCGTCTTCCCGCGTTGGTTTGAACGATAATAGGTCCATTCGGGGTACGAGGGCTGATCGCGGACTACTAGCTTGAACTCGCCATGTTCACCACAGGCTTTGAGCTTTTGAGCAGTGTAACGGGAACTGTAAGTCAGCTGCAGCCAGCAGTCCGGCACCCGAGTCCCGGCCTCATCTGCGGAACTATCCGGAATATGGCGGCCCAACCAACTACAGGCGCCTAGAGCTGTGATGGATTGGTTCCTGCGCTAACCTGTCAACGGAAGGCAAGAATAAGGAACAAGATATGATCGCGATCAACGAGAAGCACCTACAGCAGTTCGGACCTTTCATCCCTGACAGCGGCCGCAAAGACCAGAGACACAAATCTCCATTGGCCGCAGATGTCCCCGAAGCCATGCACCTGCACTGAATGCCGAGGGCCGCCCCGGAGCTGGGCTGTAGATCTGAAGCCGCCCCATGGGATCGGCGTCGTCTACAAACCGTGCAGCCAAGGGGGACAATTGAGTCGCAGGGGGGTTGGATTCCCGGGCTGCCACCAACCCATCACCCATCCCGCCCGCTTTCTATGTCACTTCCTTGATTTCACTGCGTAACACACCGTTTATCAGTCGTTCCCCAGATGGGGCTCTCAAGCTCTACATAACTTCAAGGGGCACTCCTCTTTTCACTTGATATCTCACTTGAATTTCGCCCTCAAGCCTTACCAAGACTCGAAATCCAACCACTGTCTCTACTGATGTAAAAGTAGCCCGTGTTCTAGGTTACTAGATCCCAACTCTGACCTTTTACCTCCTCTCTCTCTGTCATCACACCCCCCACACGCCATGATTCTGGCACGGGAGTCGGCCAAGGCCGCAACCGTCGGATCGGAATTTGGCACCACGCCGGACACCAAGCCGGAGCTCAGGTTCGGTGTCGTCGGCATCTTCTGGGATACATTTGCTGCTGTCTGGACGGTTGTGCTGGTTGGCGGCATGGTCTCCCTCTGGGTGAACCGTCAGAAACCGGCGCTTAGACGGCGTGGCCTGACTCTAACATTTGCCGGTCTCGTTCTCCTTCATCTCTACTGGACCACTGTGCAGATCACCTACACCATAGGTCCTCTTGTACCCGAGGTGGCCGAGTACTGGGTCATGGGCCTGTGGTACCCCTTTGGCATCGCATTGTTCCAGGCAGGCAACAGCCAGTTTCTCCACGTTGCCAAGGCACAGAGCCGCTTCGCTCGGCCTCTGAGTCAGGCGAGCCAGGCAAGCAGCTGGTACAACGAAAACCATCACCCGAAAAAGAGCAACCTAGCCGGCCGGGTCCGCAAGATGGACTACTCGACAAAGATGTTCACATTCATTACCCTAGGCATGGTGGTTCAGGTAAGCAACCACAATTCCACCCTCATAATTATCTCCTTGCCCACCTAACAATTTCAGCTTTTTGTGGTTGTACTTTTCTACATGATGTCGCGCAAGTTCCATGCCGACTTCGGCGTTCCTGGAACGGAGGCACCCGGAAATACTCCTGCCGAGATTTCCATGCATCAGGGCAGAGGCTGGGAATGGTGAGGTCAAAATAGGTCCTGAACCCCGAGGTACACCAAGCTTACACAGTCGCTAGGATTCCATCGCTCTTTTGGCAGTTTCTGTGGGCGTGGGTTTTTGCGCCCATCATTTTGTGGAAGTCAAGAGGCATACACGACACCCATGGCTGGCGACTTCAGACAGTTGTCTGCTGCATCGCTGGGTAAGTGAAGGGGTCTGCCTCCTTCCCGGCCGGTGCAATCGCAATTTGACCAACAACCGACTTTACAGGCTCCCCGCGGCGCCCATGTGGCTGATTGCTCTCTACGTTCCCGCCATGGCACCCGTGAATGTATACTTTGTGCCACCTCAATGGTCAGTTCGGAGTTTCGCAGGCTCTTGGCGCACATGCTTGTGTTCCGCAGCGCAATTGTTGACAAACGCTGCAGGATCTGTATCTCGATATTCGTCATGGAGATATTCACCGTCTTCGTCCCGTGCTGGCATGTCTGGAGGGACTCGGTAATATCCAAGGAGACAAATGAGAATAACGAGAGGTGGAAGATCAATAGGGTTTCGGTCTCTGGAAGAGACAGCAGCGAGACGACACCGCCCCTAAGCCCCACGTCCACCAAAATCGGCGAGTCAAGCAGCTTCGACCCCTGGAAGAAATTGTCCATATTCGAGCCCAACCAGTCCTCAGAGCAGCCCGATATCGAAAAGTATAGCGACGACAGCATCTTGACTATGAAGGCACTAGAGCACGTCCTACACAAGAACCCCGAGCCGCTCCGCCAGTTCTCGGCGCGCCGCGACTTTTCTGGCGAAAACATTGCCTTCTTGACTGCCGTGGCTGACTGGAAGGCCTTGATCAGCCAAGATTTCCGCCAGGACGGCCAAGACGGCGTCACACCCGAACTCGTCCGCCAGTATTTCACCGACGCACTGCGCATCTACACCGACTTCATCAGCCCGCGCGACGCCGACTTCCCCATCAATATCGCTTGGCCCGACCTGCGCAAGCTTGAGGGCACTTTCGAGCGCGCGGCTCGCAGCGTACTGGGCGACGGCGACAAGAGAAGTGCCGCCGATGCCGTGTCTCCCTTTGCCGAAGTCGCCTGGGACTCGCCTCCTGTCGATCGCGCAGCGCAGCAGTCGCGAGGATCCGAGGACGGCATGCTCGACATGGAGGCGTCCGCGACCGTTGCCGCCCACGGCACACACACGCTCGCCCTCACATCTAGCAGTGCCACAGTCCTGGCGGCGGGTGCCAAGTTCGCCGTCTTCAAAGGCGACATTCCGCAGGCGATTGACGCCACCGTCTTCGACGCCGCCTACGGCAGTGTCAAGTACCTCGTGCTCACCAACACGTGGCCCAAGTACGTCCGCGAGCGACGCAACTCGGAGAGCTCGTCCGGCACCGCCCGCACTGACGAGACGTACGAGACAACGGGCTTCAAGAAGTCCATGCGCCGCATCTTGTCATCCCTAAAGCCTTTGATCGGTTAACGTCAGTGCTTTCTGTGTAGCTTCCCTAGACGTGACGTGTATGTGGATGATCCGGCGAGGGCCTGCCGGGTTGTCGGCGAAGACAAGGCAGGCGAGCCCATGCGACGACGGCGAAACCCAACGTTAAGGGTTTTAGATGCGGATTGTCCTAGATGTCTAATGCCTTTTTTTTTCTCTTTGCTCTTTCTCCCCCTTTATTTCCCTTCAATTTTGTCCCTGAATATTATTTATTATACCCAGTTTCTCTTATTTCCGGAATTCTTTTTCTTTCTGTAATAATCTGACGCAATCTTGTCCCCCGTTGTTAACTTCTCTGCTGACTTCCTTCGGGGTTGCACCATTTTTTGTATGACAACTATAGTCATTTCGAGCCTTGTAGGTGAAAACTTTGGCCTGGGCCATAACTCAGTATGTCGTAATTATATTCCAATTCTGTCTAATACCAGCAAGCGCAAATAGTTGCGAGACTTGGACTGTGCCGAGGACCATCGGGGTGAAGACGTAGGTACGTACCTATGTACGTATGTCGGATTGTGCAGCCCTTCGTAATTATCCGAACCAGGACTGTTGCAGCGGCAGCCACGGATCACAGGGACGAGTAAAAGAAACCACAGTTTTATTGCCCTTTCCATTCGCGTATTACGTTGTCCAAAGACAACTGCCGGCTTTCCCACCGGGTAACACTGAGCCTACGCTAAACATCATACCCAAACTCGAGATGGAAAGTGAAAGAAAACGTCCCAGTGTGCCGTCCGGACCTCCGCCTCACCCCTACCAGTTATTCACACCCAAGAAAATGATCTTCAGATCCACCGTAAGCACTAAACGATCGCGGCAAAAGAGCGCAGATAGGCCAAAAGTTCACGGGCCTTCCCGATCGACAACCCGCGAGAAGCCGTTCGTGAAGATCGAAAATGTGATAGGGTTTCGTGTCTGGGCAGGACGGAGGGCCGAAATTCCGTCTCACATTACGAAGAGCAGTTCCACTTCTATTCCGGGCAAGAAAAAGTGAGCACATTGTCTTTCTGTCTTGGGCCGCCGCCCTTGGTACAATGACAACTGTCCCAGCCACGTCGCCGAGGATGTAAAGGGGGAATGAGTGGGTGAGGTGGGGAACTAACTGAGAGGATGGCTGCAAGATAGCTGAGGTTTTTGCGACAGGTTCGACGCTTTGAGGATCTCGCGGATACTGTTGAGCATCTCTGTGTAGCTCTGCTGCGGGTCCCTCCTGAGCGCCTCGATAAAGGCATGCGACATGGCGCCCGTGGCCTTCGAGTTCACTTTCGTGTCGGCACTGCGAAAGGTGGACGACTTAGCACACGACCGCCTTTGGCCAAAAGGGTTCGAGGTTCGGGGTGGGAGGCTGTTTAAGATGGAGTGGAAACAGAAAGGAAACTCACGATGTTTGGTCGTCCTTGCTTCCACTCCACATAACAACGTCCGCAGCAGACGTTTTTGTCCGTTTGGTCTGTTCGTAGGCTTTATTACCTGTCAGAGCTGACTTGGCTAGGGACATAAACGTGCTGCCGAAGCTCTCTATGGCCTTGTCGGTACCGCCTTTGGCCAAATCGCTAAAGACCTGGAGAAGGCCCTGACCGGCCTCGGCAGCCAGGTTCGGTGTTTTGAGCACGCCTTGGGTGCTGTACAGGTAAGGAAGGTCCATCACAGAGCCCGAGTGGCAGCTGTCGAAGATTGCTGTCAGACGCACGCCAGCCTTTAGCGGCTTGACCACGACGTCGTGGATCTGGTCGTCGACAATGGATTGGTGGGTCTGTTCCCAGTCGACGGGGTAAATGACCTCATCTTGGCCATCCTCCTCGTCGCCATCCTTGTCCACTGTCTGTCCACCATGGCCTATGGTGTTTTGCGCGCCCGGTTAGCAGGTTTTCACTCCCCCTGAGAGCTGTGGAATACACATTAGACAAGCAGCTTACCGGAATAGTGTAAGAACAGCGCGTCGTTGGCTTCAGCACCCGTGACAAGCCAGGTCATGGCGCGCAAGATGTTGGCCTTGGTGGGTTGGAAGTTGGGATCGCTCTGGTCATCGGTGAGCATAACCATGTCTTCCGGCCTGTACCTGTGTTCCTTGATGAGGTAGTCGCGTAGGTTCAGTGCGTCGTTAATGCACCCGTGCAGTGGGCTCTTCTGGCCCGTGTAGTTGATTCCTATCAACAAGGCCTTGCGCTTGCCAGAGCAGTCAGAGTACTGGAACGTGTAGTCAATGCCTTGGACAAACTGCTGCTGGCCCGCTGGCGGACGGGCAGCGCGGGCTCGAGGGTAGCCGTATTGATCAAGGTTCTGCGGAGGAGAATTTGGCGGTGGGTTGTGCGGGTGCTGCGGGCCATAACCTGGCTGGTAACCATACGGTCCGCCCTGGTAGTACTGCTGAGGCGGTGGTTGCTGACCCCATTGCTGCGCAGGTTGTTGGTATCCATCGTACCCCCCAGGCTGTCCCCCTTGTTGATAATATCCGTTGTCTTGTTGTCTGTCAGGACCATGGTTTGCGCCGGGCCACCCGTTATATGCCATTGTGTTCGGAGAAGTTGAAGGGCGCAAAGGGATGGCGGCGCAGGACGAGTCTCGGGAGTAGACAGAGATCAGACTGATCGGACTCGGATAAATTTTAGGGCAGGTCTTGCTTGACCTTTGTGAGTTGAAGCAGAGGTTGATGATGGGAGAGCGGACGAGCGGGAGGCGTTTTAGTTTGTGCTTCTGTAAGGTTTGTCGGAGGTCGAACAACTCGGTTTCAGCTCAGCGGCGCCGTTGCCGCGCCATCACGTTGGCGCCCTCTCCGGAAGTGGAGGGGCACTTTTTTGCGCCTAGGTCGCCCCTCTCCCAACGCGGGGGGCGCAGTGGGGGATTCTCCAACGAGCTACGAGAGCACAGGGCAACGAGCTAGCACCCGACCCCGCACGCGTCAGCCCAATCCGTCTGACGGTCTCCTCCACAAACGTAACAAGAACACGACGGAATCGAATGCCATCATCCCTCTAGTATTAGTTGGCCAGGTGGGCTTTCGCTTGTGCAACCTAGGTAGTCCAATTTCTTGTTCATATAGGTATTGATCAACTGCTGAAACCCCAGCCAACGAACTAAGACAAAGGCATCTATCTCTCCACCCAAACAGCCAACATGCATCCCCGAAAAAAAGACTAAAGAGGTAGATTATTCGTCGTATGCTTCTTCGTACTCTTCCTCATACTCTTCCCGTGCTTCCTCAACCTCTTCACGATCACTGCTAGATGACGAGGCTGCATCGTCTAATGCCTCCTGATACTCCTCCCGGGCCTCTTGCAGTGACTCCCGGTCGCTGCTATCGATATCTTCGTCTCGCGGCGGCGGACTTTGGTAATACTCTGTCTGGTACTCGGCCGGCACGGGTGCGATGACTGGCGCGCCGCGGCGGTGTCCACCATGATCCGAGTCCGAATCCGAGTCTGAAGAGCCGGAAGAGTGTGAACGGGAGCCATGAGAGCCTCCGGAGCCGCCTAAAACCACAGTGTCATGTCAGTTCATGGCTCATTGGCTTATGATGTGGGTTAATATGCAGCTACTCACCCTGTTCATGCGACTTGAACGCTTTGCCGACGGCATCGATAGCCAGGCCACCTGCGGCGCCCTTGAGGAAGCCGCCGGGACCCTTGGTCTTGTTCTTTCCATGGTCGCCCGAAATGGAACTGTACCCGGCTCCGGGAATCGGATGAGCCGCCCCGCTGGAGCTATAGCCAGGGTTTTGGCTGGCACCGTGTACGTCATTGCCGATGCTCCGGGAGTGGTCATAACCAGGCGCTTCCCATTGCGAGTTGCCCGTGGCCTGGTCGACGTAATACCAGTGCTGGTATCGCTCGTCCCACTCCGGTACCCAGCCGGTCGGGATGGGGGGCTTGTCAGGGGGTGGTTGGTAGTGCGGGCGGGGCCGCTGGCTTGGAGCGGGCGCTGGCGCCGAGTACCCTTCGTAGGCCTGCGGGTTCGGGCCGCCGCCGCCGTATTGCTGAGGCGGCGGATAGTTTCCTGCGACCCGATCTCGTAAGATGACGCCATCCCAGACCAGGGACAGTACGGGGGGATATTTTCGGGTGGGAGTTGCGGGAAGCGCTTAATTACTCACCGTCGCGTGTTCTCTCGTCCTTGCGATCGGGCGCGAACCCGAAGCGGGAGAAATCGTCGGTCAGATTGTTGAAATACGACATGGCGATCTTGCGCCAATGTGTGGATACGAATAACTTCAGGTAGCTAGAACGAGGGAAGGGTCCGGCGATTAGGCCTTCCTGGTGGGATTGTATAGGACAACAACGAGTTATGAAGCAAAGAGTTATTTGCCGAGGATTGAAAAGGACTCGATTCGTTGTTATAATTATTTACTTGCAGCGCTCAGCTTCAGCCTCAGTCTGCAGCAAACATGCACCCTCGCCTCCCGGCCGCTGTGCTTTTCCAGCTCCATGCTCGCTGCCAACTAATGGACGGGCAGGGTCTTGAACCCCGCGGCCGCAACTCATAGGTACCTAAGCGAGCAAGTAATTGGGCCTTTCATGGCTTGGCGTCTGATAAGACCTGCCCACGGTGCACAAGGCCTTAGCGCGGGCCACGATCGTCGCCGCCTATTCTCTCCAGAGCCTCGAGCATGACAACCGAATTACCGCGGATGACCTGGAGAAGCAGTCAATTAGCACCTCTTGTGGCATGAAATTGTAAGCCAAAATTGTTATCAAAACGTACCACCATGCCGAGACTCTCCTTCTCACCACCTTCCTTCTCCTCGACCGCATCGTCTAGAACAATGTTCAGGAAGACCTATCGCCGGGGTTTATTGGTTAGTGATTGCATTCGTGCTTCGAGGGGAGGGCCGGGCAGGGTAGCGCACATCGTATCCACGAAGAACACCGATGACCTTCCGGCTTCCGTTGAGCTGGACGAACAGTCTCTTGTCGAGATACTGTGTAAGTGGGTCAGCGTGCTTCAAAAAGCTGCGACGCTCTGGAGAGGAGCTGTCACATACTTTCTTGAGTTCGGGTTGAGCGGGAGCCATTGTGCTGTTCGGTCGCAATTCTTCTCGTGCAGAAGCTTGAATGACGGTTGTGGATGCGGCAGCCGTCACGGTGTAGGCGCGGGGCGCGTCGCGGTTTCTTGGGGAAATTCAAATTCCTGAGGAGCTCGGGCCATGTGCAAGTGGAGAACTTCCCGATAAGATAAGGCTGCGGCAGGGCAGGCAAGCATGCTGCGCCAGTTGACGAGCTCTCGCACTCCGTAGTACTGTGCAATAAGGCAGACAACTACTCGGATTTTCGCAATTGATCAAAGCCACGCCAAAATCGGAACCGTTCGTTAAAACTAGATACCAACAACTCGCGATGAGCTCGTTTGGCGCGAAGCGCAAGCCGCGCATTATCCAAACACTCGACGACGAAGACGACGATGCGAGCCTTTTGATCGGAGGCAGCGAGGGCACTAAAGATAGTGAGTAGCCAAGCTGCACTGCCATAGCATGCTATGATACATCACTTTGCTGATACCATGAACTAAAAAAAGAACAAGCAAGCTGATGCGCTGCCCCAGTTCCCATAGCGCCGATCAAATTCGGACGCAACAAACCTTCTAAATCCTCGTCTCTCCGGAAAAGCATCAATTTCAACGACAAGGACGAAACCCACGCTGGTGATAGCAGCATCCTTGGTAGAGATGTCGGGACAGCTTCTTCGACCAACGAGGACGACGACGGCGCATCGTCAGTAGCCATACAGCCATCGCTCAGCCGTTCCGGCTCTACGAAACAGAAGAAACGGGCGTCCACATCCCGCCTCTCGTTTGGGCCAAGCGAGCCGGCAAGCACTATCGAAGGCGACAGCACCAGCGGACAGCCCGAAATTTCCACGCCCCGGAAGACGCTCAGTCAACGGGCGCTCGAGAACAACGCGCTACGTAAATCCGCTTCCTCCCAAGGCCTTGCCCTGCGCTTTGGCGCTGAAGAGGAGCGTCCGAGGTACAGCAAAGAGTATCTCGAAGAACTCCAGAGTTCGACACCCAACACGCCTCAGAACCTAGCGTCGCTACGCGTCGCCGACGACGGCGATGTTATGGACCTAGACCCGTCGGAGCTCGACGGGGCTCTGATCGTGCAGTCGCAAGACGTGACCTGGCGGTCGCCATCTGGCCAGGCACTCGTGGCACAGCGACCTCCGGCCAACGCAAACATCCTCACAGAGGCTGAGATCCGCGAGCGCAAAGAGCGGCGCTTGCGACTAGCCCACGAAGCCGAGTTCATCTCGCTCGAGGGTGGCTCGGACGAGGAGGAAGAGGGGTCTGGCCGCGTGTCAGTCCGGTTCGAGTCCAAGAAGAAGGCATCCGAGTCGCGGCTGATCGCCGAGGATGAGGATCTCGGTGAAGGCTACGACGAGTTCGTGTCGGACGGCGGGCTCGCGCTGGGCCGGAAAGCCGAGCGCGAGGCGGAGAAGCGGCACCGGCAAGAGATGGCGGAACTGATCGGCGCCGCCGATGGTGGCTCTGACGCGGAGAGCGACGACAGCGAGGCAGAGCGGCGGGCAGCCTACGAAGCTGCACAGCGACGGGCGGGCTTAGGCGGTCTGCATAGACTAGACGATGAAGGCGGCATGGATAGCGGCGGTGGCGTCAACATAATCCCGCGCATGAAACCGCTGCCCGAGCTGCAAGATGTTCTACAGCGTATGCGCAGTCTTGTGCAGGGCTTGGAGGACGAGGCGGCGAGGAAGCGGGCGAGGATAGCAGACCTCGAGAAGGAACGGGCAGAAATTTTAGCCCGTGAGAACGAGGTGCAGGAGGAACTGAACAAGACCAGCGCCAAATACCAGGCTGTCATGGGCAGTGCTGCCGCTGCTGGTGATATGGCCAAGCTGGTGTCACAGTCGCCGCTGAGGCCATTACCGCCTGGCATGGCGGGCGACTTTCCTGTCGAGCGCGGTCTCGAGAGCTTTGGTACTCCAACCAAGAGACCAGACGTGGAGATGACTTGAATGAGTACTGGTTTGTCTTAACATTTCACAATGAATATATACGCGATCGTGAATTCATGCTCTTATTTAGATCAATATAGCGCAAGGGGTGGTCATCTGTGTCCTTGTATGCTTTCTCCCAAGGGCAGCAGATAGGTCTAGAAAAAAAAAGAAAATACGGAGCACTCTTGCTGCTCCCAAGAGAAATGTACCTTCACCAATGCCAACGCCGTGTAGCGATACAACCAATATGGTACAACCGGCAGGCCGATAATGCCTCCACTGATTACACTTGCAGGCGCATCTCGTGATGCTTGCCCAGCTTCCTAAACCCACATACCATAAGCATGAACCTCTTTGAAACGACACGCCTGTTTGCAGTAACACGGACTCAACTTCTCATTCGACAGGTTTCCATTGTCCGCTCACCCTACTTTGTCCTACTCACACCGGCCCCAATGACGCCAGGCAGCTGCTCCTCGCCAACACTAAACAGCAGCCCGATGGCAGCGGTGACGACGCCAACGATGGTGACTGTAAATCCCGTGAGCAGCCAGAACGGCACGCTGATGTCCTTCTTTTGGCACATGCTGCCGCCCCAGTATATCGTCTGATTAAAAATCTCGCCACCCTCGATCGAAGGCACGCACGAGCAGCTGAAGCACGCATTTGTCGAGTTCTCGCCATATTTGTTGACGCACTGGCCGTGACTAGTACAGTTGCCGGTCCCCGCCATGCAGCTGTTGAACGTGGTGAAACACTGCGGCGCGGACTTAAATTTCTGGGGCCGTGGGCGCTCGTCGTCGACTACTCCTTCGTCCAAGGCCGTGGGTGGGGCACTGGTCGGAAACGAGACGGTCTCGTCGGCAATCACCGTCTCGGACTCGCCGCGACGACGCAGGTCGGACTGAGCAAGCCCTGCAGCGGCGCTCCAGTCGTTCAGCTTGGACGAGCGGGTCGATTCCGGCATCAGAACAAGCACTGCTTCGAGGTCGCCGACCCGAACAAACTTGCTCAGCCGGGAGAGATTGTCGAGAAGAACTTGGAACGTCTCCGGAGACTATAACTATAGCGTGAGCAGGCTGACGGCAGAACAGAGCTGTTGAGGGGTCAATATTGGGTGTGTAAATACCTTGGCGAGGTCGTATCTTACAACCGAGGACGGCCCGTCCCAGCAGTTCATGTTGGAGGGGTTGATGACAGATTTGACGTCACACTGTGATGCAGAAGATATTCCCAGATTCTTGAAGAGCGTCATCAACCGGTCGTTTGCCAACGCGGACGGAGGGTCGGATATAGTGAAAACCGTATGCTGCTGTTCTTCGCCGAGCGCTCTCTCTAGCTGTGTGGTGTGCTGGGGGGTAACCCCCTCGAGGATAACCACAAGCTGGGCCGCCTCAATCGTATCTGGTTCCACAAACAGCGGTGTTGGGTTTCGGCCGTACGTTGCGATGTACTCGACGACTGTCTCGGAGTCGAAGGAGCTGGGGATATCGCGCAAGTCGCTGCCATAGCGGTGTCGCGATGTCTGCGCGGGCGATTAGTATATCTTGGGGCAAACATCGACGGGTGATTGACGGACCCTCTGCAAGAGGATGTGGCGTGCGACTTCCTTGGGTAGCGAGTGTCTCTCGGGCGAGGCGCTCTGCTGCTTGTTCTGGAAGACGAACACGTCGGCCCGCTGCTGGGTTGCTCCAACGGCAAGCCCTGGCAGAGCTGCCGCTACGATGCCCGCAAGGATCCTCATTTCGAATGGCGCCCGGGGAGATGTGGCTGGGGGCGTCGAGAACAATTTGGAGTAGGCTGATCGATTGATGGTTTGACGCTTGGTGCCGGGACGCTTGGTGCCGGGTTGGAGCTTTCGATGTTCCCGTCTTGGAGTTGACGTTGGCGGTGCAGGGGATCCGAGCTTTGGGGGCCGCGGCGGTCCACCTGGCCTGAGCCACCTCCGTTGTTTGCCTGCCGGGAGCCGACTCCCAACATACATACAGGGGACGAGCGACCTTGGTGCACAGTGCTCAGACACTGTTTTGATACGAACCACTTATCCGTAATACCGCTGAATCAGGTAAAATGCATCTATTTTAAATAAAATAATATATTACATGAGTCTCCGGAGAGTTCCTTTACTTGTTCGGCCTGTAAATCAAACTGCAAAGGCGCACCGGAGTGATCTTTTGTTACACTGTTTGTTGTCCGCGTCATGGCGTCTCGCCTCGCCTCGCTCCCACACCTTAGCGGTATTGGCCATTCGCCCAGTGTCTGACCCCACCAGACTGATTCGCACTGTCGAGGCTCTTGTCGCTCACACTGTACCCTGTGCCCGAGCCAAGTCGAAGCCACACTGAGTTGGAAACCCGACGACGGACGTGGTGCTTTCGGACCTGGGCACTCTGCACAGAAAGCTTACTGGCAAAGGTAACGGCACCTGCATTCCTTTCGCCATCTCTTCTTCAACCCGACATCCATCTGAACCCATTTGCAACTACCGACTTCCTCTGCAAGCGGGCTCCCCCGGCGAGTGTCCTGCGCGCTGGATCGAGCACAAGCAGTCTCGACGCCTTCCCACCCTCGCTTTTCTGCCCGCAGCGGCCACGGCGACGGCACGCCGTCTCTATCGCCTCCATGGGTTCCATTACCAGACCGTTGAGGGTGATCTTCCACAAGACGAAATTATCTCTTCCAAAGGACGCCCCAACAGTGATAAGGGTTCAGAGGGTCAGGATTAAGAACGTGTCCCGACGGAAGTACGAGACTCACTCAACCGCGCCCCGCCCCCCCTCTCCCCCCCTTCGCCTTCCTCGCAGAGCCTTGCTGACAGGGTGTTTTCCGTCAGGCGAATCCTGTTCTGGACTTTCAACCTCTACCTGATACATTACATAACCACATACACCGTCAACATGTTGGAGGAGGCCGAGAAAAATGATCCAATAGTTAATGAGGAGCCGGTGAACCTCTTCTTCCCCCTGCCGTTGACTACCAAGGTCCACCCACCGGAACCCTACACGGGTAACAGCCCGGAATGGAGGGAATTTGTGAGGATATCTACGGACCGTGAGCTACAGAACAAAATCAGAGGTATGAGACACGGGAAAGGCATGGCGCAAGTTGCCAAATGGCTGGCTAACCACCTGGCTAGATATGCTCGCCGGCATTGTACTATCAGCCGCATCCAACAATGCGCCGCTCGTGTCGAGGTGTGGCAAAGACTTGAAGCTGAGGAGGGTCTGGATCGATCTCGACTATCCGTACAAGGCTCCGCCCGAGTTTGAACGATCTGGGTATGTTGGGGCCAGCATTTGTGGTTTAATGAGCATTGCGCTGACATCAGCCCGGTCTGAAGCATTCTTATTACGGATGACACGGTCGAAATTGCCACGCGACCTATCGCGGCGTCGCACGCCAAGCTGCTGGAGCGAATATTCTGGCCTCAGCCTATGGCGCTGTCGTTTTGGGAATTCGGCAAGACTTTGGTGCGACAAACAGCCAGCGACGTTGCGAGGTACTTTGGCATGGATGTTCCCGGGTCCTCTGGGAACTACGTGAATGGGCCGGCACCTGGCGGCCCTGCAACCCTTCCTGCATCTCAAAATGCCCAAGTGCAGAAGGCGCTGGAACAGCTTCGGCAGCAGGCGACGAAGCGGCCGGAGGAGGTTAAGAACCCGGGTGCGATGACAGCAGAAACGTCACCTTCAAATACAGCTGGCAAAGTCACAGAGGCAGGGAAAGTGTCTGGCGAGCGCTTCACCGGCGAGAACAAGATACGCAGCTTCACCGACAGTCCGTGGGAGGCGTTCAAGAAAAAGTACAACCAGGTATGGAAGCCAACAAGAGAGCTCCCGCCGCGCGGTTGTGTTGCGGTCTCTGGCCTGATTGAACTCGAGAGTTCGAAGGCCTACGTCGTTATTGACGTCTTTGGCTGGTACAACCCGACGACAAGGAAATACGACGCGAGGAGCCTATGGATGTCGCTTAGGAAGATGCAGTACAAGAAGCAGGCTCCACTAGCCTGAGCTGATTCGGGTTTTCCCGATGGCTCAAGGCGTTGGGTTTGCTGACACGGCTTCGGTAGAAGCATTCTCCTTTCCTCTCTGATACCCACTTAACCTTTTTCGGCGTGTGCGTGTGCCAAAAGCACAACCACATTACCACCACCAGCATGGAAGCGGCGTTTGATGATTCGGGGGGGCCAAATTTCGATAAGAAAGGATGTTATTCACCAGCGGGATTGAAAGCAGCGCTCTTGGTTTTGCACTTTTATTTAGATATCATAGACACAGCCTTCTGTGAAGGCTCGGGGCAGGGGTCATGGCAACATTCTGAGGTTTCGAAATCGACAGCGTCACAAAATATATCTTCCCAATTCCGTACACCTACCCAACCATGCCGGCAGCAGTGACGGCAGGCCAGGAAAACAAAGGATATCAGCTAGACGGGCGCACATCAAGACCAGCATATTTACCAGAACAGAAGGGAGTCACGGATCATATCTGCCTGGGCCGCGCAGCTGGGACACAGGGGTCTGCAGAGTCCGGGTTTCCATCTCCTTGACGGGCTTTAGACTGGTGAGAACATGTCGATGGAATGTTTTGACCTACCAAGGTTCGAAATGCGAAAGCTTAATCTCGAGCCGTGCCAGCAACAACTCAGCGTTCACGCGCTAACAGGCGACCGGACGGAGGAGACGGCGAGAGTCCCGGCCGTAGTTGAAGAGAGTTTGACAGCGAGCTCCCAACGGCCTGCCGTTGCGAACGAACCGAACTTGGCCGTTCATGCACACCCGAGGTGTTCTAGCCTCCATACCATGGGTAAATGGCAGATACCCTCCCCGAAACCGTCCAGCGTCACTAACGTACAGCCTGCAGGCACGCCATCTCTAGTATCAGGAGATACAATACGCCCAGGCCAGAAATATGAGAGGCAAATAAGCTTTGCCTCTTTCGAGTGGAAGAGACAGCATGCCACCTGCTCTCGTCCTATCCCTCGAAAGGCAATCGAGCGTCAACCCCCGTACCCGTCTAGCCAGGACAGGAGCATCTCGTGCGTTTGGGGAGCCAGAGCCAGGCCACATATGCACATCATGGAGCCCGCTGGGTTAAAGTTTGTAGCGTGCATCTACAGGTTCCTGTCGATACTAGGGGTCGCTGCTGTCATAGCTGGCACATCCTTTTCTCATGGCCGTATTGGCGTCCTTGTCGGCTTTCCGTTCCGCAATTCTAGTCCCCAAAGCATCTGCCACTACTGCTGCCAGTGCCCAGGAGACAGCCTCGACGGTCTTGTCGAAGCTTGTCGGGATCTTGGGCTCAGAACATCTCGCCATACCCCTGCCCTGCGGCCGTACCGCCCCCTGGAACGCTCTCGGCCCTCGACTTCGAAAGTTAAGGCCCCGCCCTGTCTGTTCATGGATTGTAGGGCCGTATTCTCTAGGTTGATGTTATACTTGAGCCCAGTCTGGCTGCTTTGGAGATATAAGCCGGAAAGATCTCATTCTAGTTGCTTGTCATTCGCGACTTGTGCTTTAACCACAGATTTCACCGTCACTCATCGGGATTCGCATTCGAGTCGAGTTGGACACCCCCATACAGAGAGACCTTGCTGCAATGGAACCGCCAGTTGAGGCCCAGAGCCCGGCGATGCTCGAGACTCAGAACCCATTGATCAGAAGCATTGTTGCTATCTCGGGGAAGTGCGCTAGTTCTGCGCGAACCGGCAACATCTCGTCGCCACCGCCGCGGCTGAAAGGGCGTACTGGAGGTATAAATAGGGACTCGGTTGGCCCAGACGAGAAGTCGATCGTGACGACTCTGGCCCAAGTTCAAGACGGGAACGAGACGTCGACCACGCCATCGCAAAGCCATGTCTTCACCAAGCGCAAGAAGTGGCATCTCGTTTACATCGTATCGTTTGCCGGCCTGCTGTCGCCCCTCTCGAGCAACATCTACTTTCCAGCATTGGGGGTCATCGCCGATGTAGGTCCAGCAAACCGGAACCCCAACCCGCCCTGCCTTGATTATTGACACTCGTTTTGGGGAAATTCTAGGAGATACACGTCAGTGTGGCTCTGATCTCCCTTACGGTGACGGTGTACATGGCCGTTCAGGGCGTTGCACCATCGCTCTGGGGCCCCCTGAGTGACACGCACGGGCGCAGGATCACCTTCCTGAGCACGTTCGCCGTGTATCTCGTCGCCACGATCTGCCTGGCATTTAGCAAAAGCCTGGCTGGCTTGATGGTCTTTAGAGCTCTCCAGGCGGCTGGAAGTGCTGCCACCATCTCGGTTGGTGCGTATAGCAAAGCTGTCCCTCAACCCTCACCGTCTGCAGCTAGACTAACTCCTTGCTCGTGGCATGGCAGGTGCTGGTGTCATTGGGGATATCACGACGGCCAAGGAACGCGGTGGATTTATGGGAAGCTTTGGCGGCAGTGAGTGATGATAACCCCTCAATGCCCGCCGGGGGGGGCTTAGTTTGCTGACCGAGTGGGATGCACAGTCCGCATGCTGGGCCAGTCAATTGGCCCCGTCATTGGAGGTGTGGTCAGCGAGTACTTTGGCTACCACGCCATCTTTTGGTTCCTCTTTATTCTCGGTTCCGTCGCACTCCTTGTCGTGCTCCTCTTTCTTCCCGAGACGCTCCATCGCATAGCTGGCAACGGCACGGTGCCCCTCTCGGGGGTCAACCGCCCCTTCATCCACCACTCCCCCGGGGGGCATTACTGGCAGGAGAAGACGCCGAGTTCCTCCGAGGACAGGGACGAGGAGATCGCCTGCACCGCTCCCAAAATTTCCATGTCGTCCATATTGGCACCGCTTCGCTTTCTCTGTGAGAAGGACGTGTTTGCCACGCTCGCCTTTGGCGCCGTGGTCTACGCCATCTGGAGCATGATGACGGCGTCAGCGACAGCGCTGTTCCAGCCGCGCTTCCACCTCAGCAACCTCCAGGTCGGGTTAATTTTCCTGCCCAACGGCGCTGCGTGCGTCGTCGGGTCGTGTCTCACCGGCAGCCTCCTTGACCGGGACTACCGTGTTGTCGAGAACCAGTATCGCATTGCCCGCGGTCTCCCCGCGGACGTGCTGCTGGACCACAACAAGCTGACCGACTTCCCTGTGTCACGCGCGCGGCTGCGGTCGTCGTGGTATTTCGCCATCCTGTTTGTGCTCGCGGTGGGCGGATACGGGTTCGCCATGGCCAGCCCAACGCTCGACTCGAGGCAGGGCATGGCGCTGCCGTTAGTGCTGCAGTTTATCATCGCCTTCACGGCCACGGCCATATTCACCCAGAACAGCGCGCTGATGGTTGATCTGTACCCCGGCGCCGGCGCCAGCGCCACGGCCGTCAACAATCTGATCCGCTGCAGCATTGGCGCCCTGGGCGTCGCCGTCGTTCAGCTCATTATCGACGCACTCGGCACTGGGCTCGCGTTCCTCGTCTTGGCCGCCATCTCGGCCGCCATGTCACCACTGCTCTGGCTTCAATGGACTCACGGCGAGGAATGGCGCAAGGCGCGCATGAAGCGGCTCGCGTCTCGGGAGGCGGAAAACACAGCTGCTTAGCAGATGAGGGGGGCGAGAGGACAAACTAGGTGGAGCCGAGTTTTATATTTCTTTGCGCATCTTAACGGAGAATAAGAAGAGACGTGTATTGATGACTCATGCTGAAAGAAGTTTGTTGGTGGTAATTACTGGTTTTGCCGTATTCAATCATGATTCATGAGACACTTGCAGATAGAGTCTTTTATTTCTTTTTTATTTTCTTAGATCTAATAGATGGTGCTCGTGACGAGCCCCAGATTCATGCCCTTAGTGTTACTTGTTAGGCGCAGTTCTTCTAGGCTTGATTGTGACATTCTTTCTAGTACAGTTTCAACGTGTAATTAGTCTGTTCAGGGAATAATAATGGGAACAACCAAGTTGACAGGCAGATATAATTATCTAGGTAGGCCACGGCATGGAGAACAGCTGCATTATTCGACATCATTTCTCTACAGGGACACCCACACCCTTCCACAGGAGCCAACCGGGGACGCGGAGTGCATCCACCGAAGCGGCGACAAAGACGACAATTTATCCGGTCTGAGGCACAAAGGACACACAAGGGGCAGCCACCACCCCGGAGCGACTGCAATCTGGGCAATTCAGCCGGCCACAAACAGCAATCAAGCCAAGCTTTGCAGTGTCTATTGTATCAATAGCGCCGAAAGAACCATCGCATAGTATTCCCCATCTCCTGCCGCGAGATTCCGCGCCGGACAGGGGCACGCATCCCGGGAGCACCCAGACGCATATTTGCGCTCCGCTATAAATAGGAAGATGGTTAACGAGGCTCCTTTTAGAAGGCTCCGGGAAGCGAGCCGGGGGTTGCGTGGTCGCCATCTTACCAAACGCCTGGATGCCAGGAACGTTGCAGCTGCGAGCCGACAGGAAAGCTCCAATCTATCTCTACCTGTGTCCTAAATATGGACCTGGGTCAAGCCATAAAGCCCATATACCTACTGCGGTGCAAAGAATGCAAACTATCCTGGGGGTGTGATTTGGCGCTGTATCTCATGTCCTTGGTTCTTTAGCAGCAACAGCGAAAGGTCGGTCATACGCGCCTGGATAGATTCTCACGGACAGGTCACCGTGCAGCCCTCGCCATGCGGAACCCAACTCGGCGACTGCTGCTTCTCCTAGCAGCTGTCACGGCACGGACGGCATTGGCGTCGCCCAACTGCCCGCCGCTGGGCCCCGTGTTTGAAAAGCCGCAAAATTTCAACTCGAGCGCGGCGATACGGTCGGCGCTGGCCAACCTCACGCAGGCACTGACGGCGCGCGACCGAGACAACTCGGCCGCGGTGCTGGCCAACACGACCAGCTACAGTATCGAGGTGTTCAGCACGAGCGGCGACACGCCCGTTGTCTTCAGCTGGCACCACACGGCGTCGGCGCTGGCTGCCAGCAACTCATCGGCGGCCGGGGTCAAGCGCGTCGACTCCAGCACCGTCTACCGCCTGGGCAGCCTGACCAAGGTCTTCGCCGTCTACACCTGGCTCGCCCAGGACGGCGACGCCAAGTGGAACGAACCAATCACCAAGTACGTGCCCGAGCTGGCCGCCGCTGCCGAGAGGGCCAAGGCCGAGAACGACCCCGTCAAGAACGTCCCGTGGCAGGACGTCACCATCGGTGCACTTGCATCGCAGCTGTCGGGGGCCATCAGAGACTGTGAGGCCTGTCCTGTGCAATAAACATGCTTGCTGACAGCGAGCTGCGGCTAACCACCTTGTTTCGCAGACGGGCTGCTGGGCGAGCTGTCGCAGCAGATCAATCAGAGCACGGCCGTGTCGCTGGGGCTTCCACCCCTGAATAGCTCCGACCCGATGCTGAATCCGTGCGGCCAGTGGCCGCTGTGCAACCGGACCCGTAAGGCCCCAGAGGCGCAGACCCAGCCCCTGATGAAAACAAATTTCTAATTAACAATAACCTGCAGAATTCTTCGACGGGCTGCTGCAGGCATACCCGTCGTACGCGCCCTTCACAACGCCGGCGTACACCAACACGGGCTTCCAGGTCCTGGCGTACGCGCTCGAGAGCATCAAGGGCAAAAGCTTCAAATCCATGATGCAAGACAGCATCCTGAGCCCGCTGGGCCTCAACCGCACCTACTACGACAGCGCGCCCGCCGAGCAGGGCGTCATCCCTGGAAACGCGTCTGACTCGACGTGGTATTATCAGCTAGGCGACGAAAGCCCGTGGGTCTACCCTTTTCTTTTCTTTTCTTTTCTTTTCTTTTCTTTTCTTTTCTTTTCTCTTTTTTTTTTCTTCTCCATTTCCCTCACGGCCCAAATTCGGGAGGTTTACTCACGCCAAACAGGGCCGGGAATATGTACTCGTCGGTAGGCGACCTGTCGGTGCTCGGGCGGTCGATCCTGGGGTCGTCTCTCCTCGCACCAGCGCTGTCGCGGCGGTGGCTCAAGCCGGCAGCGCTGACGTCGGAGCCAGTGGCGAGCGTGGGGTACCCGTGGGGGATCCGGCGGGTGATTCTGCCGCTGGCCAACGGCAAGCGCACCGTTGACGCGTACAACAAGGCCGGGCGCATCGGCTTCTACTCGTCGCTGATCAACTTGCTGCCCGACTATGACGTCGGCTTCTCGGTGCTGATTGCCGGGCCCGCCATCCCAGGCAACAGCAACTTCAACCTCGCCGACTTCATCGGCGTGCGCCTCGTGCCCGCGCTCGAGGCCGCGGCACGCGAGCAGGCCAACGCCAAGTACGCGGGCGACTACCGCTCGGTGTCGACCAACTCGTCGCTGCGCCTGACCACGCAGGACGACCGGCCGGGGCTGGGCATCGAGAACTGGCTGAGCAACGGCACTGACATGCAGACGACGGCCGTGGTGCTGGCGGCCGGGTACACGGGCGTGCAGCCGAGCATCCGGCTGTACCCGACGGGGCTCGAGACGGTGCGGGCCGACGGCTCGCGCAGCGCCGCCTTCAAGGCCACGTTTGAGGACGTCGGCCTGCCTGCCCGCAACGACATGTTCTCGACCGACTGCGGCAGCTGGGTCACGCTAACGAGCGTCACGTACGGCACCCAGTCGCTCGACGAGTTCGTCTTTGAGATTGACAGGGCCGGCAAGGTTGTAAGCATCGAGTCTCCGGCTTTGAGGGTGGTTATGCAGAAGACGTAGGTAAGGCAGTCGATGGCCGCGCTATTGCTTGTGTAATTATTTCGGAGTCGTTCAAAAAGAATAAAAAAGGGAAAGAATTTAAAAATTCTTGAGTGCCAGGAATTGATTGGTTGAGTCTGGAACCGAGACTCTGACTTGACATGGGCGCGCATTATCGTATACGAGATAATGCTCATAATTGTCCAGGGTTTATGTCATGCTGTTTAAAACGAGGCCCGTTAACACTTAACCCTACAGCAACGCCTTCATCCTAACCACCCCGCCCATTGCTTTCGGTATTTATTATATGATCTGCAACGGATAAGAAACTCGGGTTTGTAAGGAACTCTCTGTGGCATTGTTCTGATTTCATCGAGGGTCACCCTTTCTTTTTCATCTTCATCTATAATTATTTATAACGTGTGTGATAAGCGAGATGAACAGACAAGCGAGTTGAACACTTTTGACGCGACGCGCCTCCTCTCTACAAAACACCAAATTCCTCAACAAACTCAAATGTCTCTTCCTTCATACGAAGCTAGGGTGAATTTGGCCCTCAGGGCTATTCAAAACGACCCAAAACTCAGTATTCGAGCTGCAGCAACAACATATCAAGTCACGGTAAATACTATACGCAACCGACGCGACGGCAAACCTGCACGACGTGATACTCCAGCCAATTCGCGTAAGCTTACGGATTTGGAAGAGAAAACGATTGTTCAGTACATCATTGAGCTATGTGCGCGCGCATTTCATCCCCGGCTTTCGTACGTAGAAGATATGGCCAATCGATTGCTACGCGAACGCGACGCGCCCTCTGTCGGTACACGCTGGGCTCACAACTTCGTCAAGCGCCAGCCAGAACTTCGGACGCGTTTTACGCGTAAATACGACTACCAGAGGGCCAAATGCGAAGATCCAAAAGTTATTCGCGAGTGGTTTGCGCTTGTGCACAACACGAAGGCCAAGTACGGTATCCTTGACGAAGATTTGTACAATTTCGACGAGACCGGCTTTATGATGGGCATTATCATCCCCGCTATGGTAGTTACTACCTCTGATGGCCGTGGTAGGGCTAAGCAAGCCCAGCCTGGTAATCGAGAGTGGGCTACAGTCATCCAAGGAGTGAATGCTCTAGCCTGGACTATCCCACCATTCATTATCTTAGCTGGGCAATATCACCTTGCTAACTGGTATCAAGAGTGCAACCTTCCGGGTACCTGGCGTATCGCAACAACCGACAATGGCTGGACTACTAATGAGAAGGGCATGGATTGGATTCGGCACTTCGATTTCCACACAGCATCTCGTACGAAGGGAATATACCGACTGTTAATTCTCGACGGCCACGATAGCCACCACTCCGAAGAATTCGAGACTTACTGCCGGGAGCACAACATCATCACACTCTGTATGCCTCCGCACTCTTCACACCTACTTCAGCCATTGGATGTTGGTTGCTTTGGGCCGTTGAAGAAGGCGTACGGCTGTCAGATTGAGCAGCTGATGCGGATGAACATCACACATATTAGCAAGCTGGAGTTTCTTTGTGGGTTTAGAGAGGCGTTTTTTGCTTCGGTTACGGAAAGGAATATCCAGGGGGGGTTTGCTGGAGCCGGCCTTGTGCCGTACGATCCAGAGAGGGTGATATCCAAGCTGGATGTGCGTATTCGGACTCCAACACCCCCAGCTACAAGCCCAACTACATCGCTACCTTGGGTCTCCCAAACGCCACAAAACCCGAGAGAGGCTGCCTCACAGTCAGCGTTCATCAAAACTCGAATTTCCAACCATCAGGGCAGCTCTCCAACACCAATGCTGACTGCTGTGGATCGATTAGCTAAAGGTACGATGGCTATGATGCACGAGGTGGCTCTTTTGCGTACAGAGGTCTCAGCACTTCGGAAGGCCAATGAGGGGCTTAGTAAGCGACGGAGAGCCAAGAAAACACGTGTTCGGCTTGGAGGATCACTTACTGTACAAGAGGCACAGGATCTACTGGATCAGAAGGCTGTGGGTGGGCAGTTGGTCCAGGAAACACGACAAAATGGTGGTGGTGCAGGGGGGTCTCGTACGAAGATTCGATGCTGTGGCGTATGCGGCAAGCCTGGCCATAATGCACGTACGTGCAAGGAGGCTGCAGAATCGTCTGATTCATCTGTTTCCGATTCAGTTATTGTTATTTCCTAGTGTTGTGGTTGTGTAATTGAGGGTAGTTGTGGTGAGGTTGTGGAAATTGTTCAACTCGCTTGTCTGTTCATCTCGCTTATCACACACGTTACCATCTAGGATTAATTTACGATTATGAATAACGCCTAGAGTAACTGCGCCTCTAATTATGTGTGCCGAGATGAATAGGTATTTAAGGAAGGAAACGATGATTGTATCCTATTATTAGCGGAAGCTGGGAACTCTTCCGCCGTGTTCCGTGCCTTTGGGGGTTGTTTATGTTAGCTCAGTTGGCCCCTGATACGGGAATGGCCTCAATTGCGCGTGTCAATTGTTGACACGGCCCCGCACGTGCATTTGGCACGAGCACCACTGTATAATTACATAATCAGCACCATAGAATAGCGTAAGGCGGGCAAGGAAGCGGTGTGTACAGGCAGTACTATTCTGCCGCCTACGTGGGGCATATCCTCGCGGCCGGGCACACAAGCTCCCTTTTCCACCTTCCAACCTTCTACATCATACAAATTATACCATCTTTGGTCACCACTGCAGCTTTCCCTATCAGCCCCATTATACGAGGGGGGGGGGTTTCTATACATCTATTTCACTTTGTGGCAACATGAGCAAGGTTGTTCCTTAATTGTCCCAATTGACTCCCGGTTGCCCTATATCTATGTCTAGGTCTAGTTACTGAAAAGGTTATGTATACCCCCAACCATCATGCTCCTGCATGTTTTCCTTCCCATCCTTCCCATCGGAATAGTTACTGAAAGGCCATACCCCAACCATCATGCTCCTTCCTACATGTTCTCCTGCATGTTCTCCTTCTCATCCTTCCCATCTTTTCTTTTCACGGCGATGTAGACTGGCTTCTGCGGCCCTTGTCAACCGGGACCGCGCTGAGGTCTCGACCGCTCCACGCGCCGTCCCAGAAGGTGAGCAGCGCCCAAAGCTTGATCAGGCTATGGAAGTAGCCCCAGCACACCTGGACCGGGAACAGCCAGATGTCCTGCGGGTGCCGCCGGAGGTAGGCAAAGACCTTAACCGCCTTCGAAAACAGGATCCAGGCGACCAGACTGCCCATGGCGAGCCGTGGGTAGGCCGCAAACCACAGCGACTGCTTTAGTAGGTATACCAGGGCCGGGTCGACAACGGCGGCAAAATTGGTCAACGAGGTCAGGAAGACGGCGTAGACGCAATAGGGCTGGCTGATGTAGACGGAGCGGTCCGTGAACAGGCTGCACGCGTTGGATCGCCACGTCGTGCGGGACCAGCGGCGGCACTGGCCGAGAAACTTTCGGTAGGGCGGGGAGGCCACGCCGACCGTCGTCTCCATGAGGGTGTGAGTTTGATGGTTGGGAAGCAACGAAATCAATTGAGATTTGGTCCAAAGTTCTGTCACGAGACCGTATTACGATAATAAGATCCCCTAGTTAGTTAGACTTGAGTTCTATTGAGAACTAGGGCTTGTACAGAAATCCACGGAACAGGCAAACCTCGCCGTGGTAGCTAGAGCTCCTTAGACAATGGTATTTGTCTCGATATTTTCTGACCGGTTTGCATTGGCACTCTGTAAGATTTAATTAGACTAGGCACCTAGGTAGTCTTGGCAACTTGAATATCCCATCCCCTTTACGTGTCTTGTGCTGGGGAGCGGACGAAGGGAGAAATTGGAGTACACATACTGCTGAACTGAAAAGGACTGCTAGGAAATAAGAATATAGTGGGGCGACTGGATTTGTTCGCTAGCAGCCAGTGAGTGACTCGACATGTCTCTTGCTGCGTGCGCTCGGCCGACAGCAGTGGGCGGGAATCTCAATTATCTGTTCACGCCGGTTTTGATGCCGCGTTATTTGCAATTGGCGGTAGGCAAAGTACAGTGCGGCGAGGGCTAAACACGAGGCGATGATGCCAAAGACCATGGCTTGGATTGTCTTAGGCTGAGGCGATGTCAATCCCGGGCCGCTGTCTGGCGGTGATTCGGCGGTGGGAGCACCGAGAGCGTGACTGGGCTCGACTGCGCTGGTAGCCGTGCCCGGGCCATGGCCACGGCCGGCGATGGCTTGGCGGGTGCCATTGGTTTTTGGTTACTGTGGGCGGGAGCCTTGAAACGCAAAAAGTCGAGTACCTTGGGAAGTGCTAGCGACCCCTAGGTATTCGTCCGTGGGTCACGTAGGTACGTTACCTACGACCATACTTGGGTGCCTAAGAGGTATTCGTATCTTGTTTGGGCTTAAACTAACTTGACATGCAATAAATTCACAGTACGGGTTGCGCTCCCTAGGTATTCTATATACCCCTACGATAGATATTCATTCTCCTTGGTCATTTCACAAACCCTTGTCGTTCTGCCTGCCCACTTAGACTCGAAAGTGCGATGGCGACGACCTTAGCATCTTTCCTAATTCGACCTAACGCTGCTGCGGCTTCAGCATGGGTGTGTGAGGAAGTGCGACCAAGAATTGATTGGACATGCAGGGTTTGACGAGCTTTCCGTCGCACGCAGCCCCATTCCCTCTGGCATCAATTGCACCAACTTGCGAGGCCTGGCCTTGGCTAGAGCCAATGAAATCGCGTCATAGATCTGACCAAAGACCGAAAAGAAGAAGTGCCGGCTCGATCTGTCGCTAAACGTCTCACCTTTCAATTACGTCGCAAGTTCATCGCGTCGTTGTCAATATTATCCAACATCCCATACCTAATTGATTCCAGCTCTCTGGCGTCTGGCCGTTCTCTGGCGTCTGGCCGTTCCTTCCTCGTCCCATCAACCCCGTTATCTGCGCCTAGTTTCTCTATAGGAATTACCAATCAATTAGGTTAGCGCACGGGCCACACCCGCCCAGCACGTGGCGCAGCACGTAACCGTCGGGCACCCTGACTGAGCGTCTTCGTGTCCCCGTAGTTCGTTAGACATTGAAGAACACGAGCAACACAACCACCCCACCCTTTCGCAACAGTTATTATAGTGACTAGTACGAATGACCTTGTCATTCCAGCACTCTCTTCCCAAATTTTAGCCACGGCTCTTCGCTGCGGTGACGCACAGAGGAATCTTGTATGTTATTACCTGATACCAGGCGATCCAATTGGCGCGTGCTTCAGTGTCGACGTATCTCTCAACTCACCGCCAAGAAACCCCGTCATCATCTATGGATACCGAATCCCAATTCTCCCGACGCAAAAAAAAGCCGCGAGGCAAGCTGGACCTGTTCAAGTGCAGCTTTTGTCGCAAGGATAAACAAAAGGTGAGCCACAGTCGATTAATTACCTTCAAGTATTCTTTTTTCGCACCCCACACCCTGTGCTCCATCTAGTTCCGAATCCCGTGGCTTTCGGGGCTGTTGGTTAACAGAAAGCGGCCAAGTGCGAACCGCAAACCCGAGTATGGCCTGAGAAGTGTCACCGCTGCGAGCACAAGGGATTCGATTGCTCTCCTAGCACACGCAAGAGAGCTACGCGCCGCGGCGTCAACCCGGCACCAGTACCGGGTGGCATTGCCATTGCGCATCCCCCGTCCCCTCCCTCCCCGGTAACTCCTATCCACCACATTGATGTGGATACGAGCGCGGATGCGGGTGCGGAAACCCAGCTTCCTGCTGCCACCTGGAATTTGACCCAACTGTGAGTAGATCCGAGTTCTGAATCGGCGTGACGCGAGTTCATGATTTAATTGAAAGTGTGCAGAGCCGACGCCGTCAGCCTCTACAAGGTTTACTCTCGCGCAGCTGCCAGGTCAGCGCTCTGGATGATCGAGCTAGAGGAGATATTCCCAGGGTTCAGTGGCAGTGAGGAACTCGAGAGCTTTAACTATTCCACCTCGCACTTTTCTCGTCGCCTCTGTGACGCCATCACCGCTCGAGTAGCCGCACTCTCGACCCGCAGTGACCTTCATGCCAAGCTCGAAAAGACCATCCTCAGAAAGTCGATCTTCGAAGTCACCGACTTGCCGGCTGGTCGTGACCGCGACTATGAAGACTGTGACAGCAAGATCGCCGCAGCCTCCAACGTCATCCTTGACATGCGTGCGGAAAATGAATTCGGTCCAGCATCACTCTTACAGGAGACACTACTCGCTTGGACAGGCCCAGGCGCGGTTTCCGAGTCACCTGGCTCGAACGAGATGGTGTATTTTGAGTTGTGTGACGCATTTCGAAAATCCGTCGCGAACCTTCCGCTGGAGCTTACAGGTTCTTTCCGTCGTCACAAATCGATGTTAATTAACCCGTTTATTTTCGACAGGATCGACTTCGTATCGCCACTGCTTCATTTGGAAAAGGGCAACTGGAATCGGCGCGATTGTCTCGGGTCTTCTGTCCTCCATGTTGTTCTAGAGCAGCTCAGTCGCCGCGACCACACCGTGGGATATTATAGCCTGGGCTCGGTAGGACGCTCAAGACTGGTCGAAGCCATCACCAATTATTACGAAGAGGCTTTCGACAATCCTGACGGAATTGGCCGATCGGCCATTCATCTAGCCACACAATACAGACTCATCGATGTCGTGACTGCCTTTTTGAGGGCCAGCTTCGATCCCAATGAGGAAACTCTTACAGGATGTACTCCACTTCACTATGCCGCTGCCATTGGAGAGGAGGTAATATGCCGGGAGTTATTAGCCTACAATGCAAATATCAACCATAGGGACATGTATTGCAGGACGCCACTCGATTACGCCGCTCGAAAAGGCCACACTGGTGTCACTCGTCTTTTTTTGGAAAACCCCAGAACTAAGGTCAACATAAAGACCTTGAGCGGAAACACAGCCTTGATGTCTGCGTTGCGATGGGGCTCGGAAGGCAGCCACCAACCGTTTCTAATTCACCCGGATGTTAACTTCAACGTCGAGAACGACATGAGTGAAACCGCTTTGCACCTGGCCGTCGACAAGATGAGTGTGGCGGTGGTTGAAGAGCTACTCCCAAAGTGCGCCAACTCCATCAACAGGCAGGACGCTCAAGGCAGGACGCCCCTCGCCATTGCCGCTGCAAGTCGGCGCGAGCAAGCATCAGACGTGTTGCGAGCTCTGCTACGGGTCAATAGCATCGATGCCAGTTTGACCGACGCAGACGGGAAGACGCCATTGCACCATGCGGCAATCGTGGGCAATATGGACACGTGCCGCCTGCTGGGCTTCCGCGTCGACAGCGGCATATTCACCATGTGTAAAGTCAAGAACCGCACCCCTTTCGACTATGCCGCACATCACGGTCACTTGCAAGTTGCTGCACTGCTTCTCGAAATACAAACTCGAGTTTCTTCCCTGAACGCAGTCCTTGCATACGGGCTTCCATCTTAGATACCCAACCCTCAACCGCTATTTATTGATTCGGATTCCATGGCTCGGGCAGGTGCGACAGTATATATTGAGTGAGCCGTTTTTCATTTATAGCTATTTAAGGCTTTTTGTGAAGGATGCTGGAATTGCTGCAGTCCTTTGTAGCTGTATATGATAGGGACATAGCTGCTTAATATGATAGGCTTGAAAGTTGGACGTACAACACGAAAGGGAAGGAGAACATAAATCGCACCACGTCCAAGGGTTGAAATCCTACCCAACTAATTTCTTGTTCGTTAATTGTGCTCACAAGCTCCCACATTTATTTTCCATCTTTTTTCGTCTTGAAGAAAAACACACAAACTTTATTCAAATCTTTCCCAGGACTTCAAAAGACAGGAAACCCGGATAAGTCGGAGACCGAATTGATTGCTCCAGTCGCTGCGCCATGGAATGTTCCGGGCCTCTACCGTATGCTAACTGGCCAAATATGCTAAAAAAAACCCCAGCCTCTGTCATCGTCATCGTGTCATGATAAGTAAGGTACGGAAAAGAAAACAGCAGCACCCATAACCATGCGCCTCCCCAATCTATGCCCCAAGAGAAAACGCCGTGAAAAGGATGATTGAAACCACGACAAGACAAAGCAATTCATAACATCAAACGAAAGATCTGAAGCCGCCGGACTGGCCGCTTCCTCGTAACCGAGCTCGCACATTGATGTGTCCGCGCTCAGGGCCGGCGTCGACTGTCTGGACGACCCACATGGATCGTCTCTTTACCTCTCGCGGGAAGGCGGGCCCTGCAATCCGATTGTGAGTTTTCCAGGATAAATAAATTTAATGAATCCATGACAATTCGATGGAAATAAAAACAAATCACGCACCATTCTGCCAGAGACTCGGTTCCGTATAAGCTTTTGGCAACGGCGTTGACATCCCTTGGCCCGGCTCCTCCGGGACGGACGGTTCGGTATAGTAGCTCTCGGGTTCGTCGGTCATGGAGAGATATGACTGCGGATTTTCCGACCACTGGTCCATGTACTGCGGCTGGAACTGAGCTGCTTCGGGCAGGTGGACTGGTATAAACGGTGGCTGAGGGTCTGAAGCCGGTGGTGGTGGTGGTGGTGGCGGTTCTTCCCAATACTGCGGGTTTTCGTCTCCTTCGTGAGCCATTTCTAGTCCTCTATGCCTTACAGAAGACCGGATCGGGCATGAAGCTGAACTAGACGCATAGCCAAGCTCTTGGTTCTGTGAAAGTCCTGTCGCATCGGCCCATGCATACGCCTCCATTTTGTTCCACCTTCTGGCGGCCGTGTCGATGATTCGCTGCTCAAGACCCGTTTCGAGCCTGATACCCAGCAGAGATCCGAGAAAAATCAGGTGGTGGGCGAGCATCTGGCACAGGTGTTCCTTCATGACCAGCCAGAGCGTGGGGCTCTGCTGGAACTCGACGCTGAGCATCTGGGGTGGAAATGTCGGCGAGTCGGTCGTGTGAGCAGACGAATAGCCCACGGCCAGCACGACGCCCAACACCATCAGAAACAGAACCTGGCACGACTCGCGGCCGCACTTGGCGAGGAACTGCGGAGTCAAGACGCGGTCAAGCTGCTTCATCAGGCGGTGGCCCGACATGTGGCTTACGGCACAGAGGTCTCGCTGCCGGATGTTCCTGTCGCCGTGCCAACCGCTGTGCACCAGTGACGTGGCGAGTAGGAAACGGCGGAACTCTGTGATGAAGCCGTCTCCGCCACCGGCCTCGTCCCGGAACTGCAGCGAGAGCAGACTGGAGCAACACAGGCCGACGATGCTGCCGTCGGGCAGGTTGAAAGCCGGATCCATGAGCCATGAAACCAGCGTCTCGTTGAAGTTTTCCGGGCTAGAGTTGAAGGTGAATTGGGCAGGCGTGGCGATCCTGGCGAGCAGGCCGCTCATCCTCGACAGAACCGTCTCGAGCTGCATGCTGACTGCGGCCCCGGCCTGAGTGGGACCAAGGAAGATGTTGACGTCGGAAAAACGCGTTCGCACGCAGTAGCAGAATGAGAGAACCTTCCTCTCGACTCCCTTGACAGCAGATCGTAGACAGGGCTGACAGGGATTTCCGCTGGAGCACTGTAGACGGGATTGTTGGCGCTCTGGAGCCGAGAGAATGGCTCGCCCGAATCGGCTTACTCACCTGGATTTTCAAGACTCGACACCTCAGACAGGCACGCCGACGTCGGACCTCGCTCACTTTCTCCTTCTCCTGGGGCGTAAGCTTGGCCTTGGTGCGCGGGTGGCGGCTAAGAGGGGTGTGCGCTTGGGCTGGGGCCGGGATTGCCCGGGACTGGAATTGGAAGCAGTGGAGAGAAAGAGCCAGCGATGGAAGGTCGGTTGGAAGGTCGATTGGGACTGGGCCGAGGGAATCCTGACCCCGTGTCGTCAGATGGGTCATGGAGCGAGGGTGAGCTTCTTATGTGTTATCGAGTGACTGCGGGGGATCGTGAAACCGACGGGCCGGGTCATGGCACCTGAGGTCCCGCTCCGGTCGCTTGCTAATTGCCTGGTAGCTAGCTGCTCAGGTGTTCCTGCTAGTAGGTTGGCTTGCTTTTGCTTGCGTGTGCGTGTGTGCGTGTGGCGCGGCGCTTTTCGGCCGTCTTGTCTATAGCGCAGCGAACCAGGTGGGCTGAAGTCCCAGAAAAGAGTCTTTTTTTGGTGGCCAGGCCTTCTTGTAATAGTCGCTAGCAGGATGAGGCTGGCTGAAAGTGGCCCAGTTTTGTGCCACCAGCAAGGCTGCGGCATGAGACAAGCAACACCGAGATGTCCACAACCGGTTAGCCCTTGTTGCACTCCTTCAGTCGCTCCCTACAGAGAGATGCGCTTAAAAACGCGCGCAACATTTGGGGCGGCGGCCCGGGGGGGCGAGGTGGAATTGGAGATTCCATTGTGGATTGGGGATTGTGGGTGGATTGTGGTGTGGGCTGAAGAAACACCATCCGATGCCGAATGCGCCATCTTGTCATGCACGCGGAATAAGATCCGACAAACTGGATATTTCGAGCTGCCGAGGCGTGTCGGGGGTCGACAATTGCCGCTCCCACCAAACCACCCGAATTGCATCATGTGCCCTGGGGATGCACGGCGCTGGCTGAGCAGAGAGAGCTGTGTGATCCATATCCATGATCTAGTCCTGGGTCCCCGATTCGGCACGCACTCCAGCTCTCCAGCTGTTCGGGCACCTCAAGTCGACCCCATAAAATCCAATTAGATACCTAGAGCGCTGATAGTGCGTGCAATTTAGTGACGGGCGGTCTGCAACGAACAAGAAAACGACAAGAAAAAGCGCTAAGGAAATCGGACATTGCTTAAATCGCCGTCCAGCCTAGATGGTCAGGGCACCAGTAGACCTATTCCAGGTAAGGTAGTCCCAGGTATGGAACTTCAGCACCTCAGCACTTCAGGGCTTGCAGGGGCCATGGGTCGTAACGGACGGGCCTCTGCAAAGCGACACCGAAAATGCATGCAGTGGGATGCAGGAGTTGGCTTGGCGTGCCCCACCCCACCACTCGCCTGCCCCCCCCCCTCGCCGTTCCCCGTGGGGCCAAGCTTGTCAAGCGAGCCAGTTAGGGCCGCGACTGCTGCTTTTGTGAGCTGAATCCTTTCACAGGCGGCACCGGGCAAGCTGAAAACCCCTGCACCGACCAACAATGACCCTTTGGGTCTCGCGTGTGCATCAGCCAACTTCCTTGACCTGTGAACCGTTGCAAATGCATCGCCCTTGATCGATTCCCGAACGCCTCCTCGCCGTCATCCTTCCTCCTCTTCTTCACTCTACGCTTTTAGCGTCCTGCTCGTGTCTAGGAACTTGCCAGTGTCTAGGCCGTATGGCCTCTCCGCAAATGCAAATTTTCGGAGAACTTTCCGCACCGCCCCTGGAGGCGTCTTGTCAAAGTCGCCAAGACACGAATCCATGGCGTGTGTGTGCCGCTGACGAGATGGGCCAGGTCCCACGTTGCATCAACCGTCAACGGCGACAAAACATGATGTTGCACCGCAGGGTGTCTAGTAAGAATGGCGCCCATCATCGGCAGACAAGTTTCATGCCTTCTATATGTGGCTACCCACCCGAGCCACCCGAGCCACCCTCCTCGTCTCCTCGTTCTTCATGTGTCAGACATTGCCTGCGAACAAGTTTCTTGGGACCAAGGTTGTCATATGACTGTACCGTATCCATATCTTGAGTAACTAATGTACCCACCACCCTGGAACCTCTCTTGGCATCATCCATGGACCCTACAATTCCACGTTCCAGCATGCCAGGATGTCTTGCCAGATTTTGACTCCAATCTCGTCGCACTGGTGCTGACTGTACGGAGGAGTGGCCCAGTTCGGGTCTGATGGTTCGTCATGTTGGCTAGCCGGATCGGATACCTTGGCTGACGGTCGGTGCTCGGCGCCAGTCGACCCACGTGGGAAATGACCGGGGGCGGAGAGCCCGTCCATTATCTCGGCCACCCGGGGTCCGGGCGAGCGAAGCTGACAGACGAAACGCTTCAAGTCGCAACATGAATAACCACAAATGTCTTCAAAAATATTTTTTATCGATTGGCCAGAGATCAATGACCAAAATGCCTCAACCTTGCAATAATGTTTTGCTGGAAAGCCGCAGAAGTCAGAAGGCCCCGAGACCCGAAGATGATACCATGACCCCCTCTTAGCATCGCTACACCCCAATCTTCTTCCAGGTAGTAATTATGGTTGTTTGCTCTCGGGGTCCCAATGTCTTCCGCTACATTCCTGAAGGTGCGGCATCGATTGACTTGGACTTGGTGGCTTCTGCGGAACGCTTGACGCCGACAGTACGGCGACTTATCGTGCCAACGGTTTCACTACACGTAGCTAGGGTACGTGCCTATGCATCGGCGAAGACCGGGCCTATAACACCTGCCTTAGTGATCAAGCCATTGGTCTGGACTTCTGGCCGACGAGCGCATCTGGACTCTTTCCTCCGGCCGGGTTTTGCTGCATGAGATAATGATAATGCATTTCGTTGCGCCCGATACGTATCGTGATGGTTGCATGGACCGACCCTTTAGCAAAAGGGAAGGGGTGTAGTAACCCGGAGCCGGAGCTCAGCCCAAGCACCTAGGGATTGTGAGTCACGTATTGTGCCGTGGCGTCGGATCCTTCGGTTCTAGGGCGTGATGTTAACATGTGGCTTTGGCAGCATTTCGATCGTATTTTCCCCAACGAATACCCCGTGAGCTCATGTCATGAACCACTCCTAGTTCCAACTCAGTTGCTTAATCACTTTGACGATTTGAGAACATCCTTTTACCGTCTCCTACCGGTCTTTTCCTCCCCGTGCAGGTCAAGAGCTTTCCCATCATCACCGTAAATAGGCATGGCATTTGCGTGAGACAGGGAGGCCGAGTTGGAGCATTCAAAACAGAGGCCTCAGGAACCAAACCTACTCTTGCCTTTCTATTTCTATTCTCTAGAGCCGAAAGTCCAAAACCACAACGTTCTTCTTATCCGTCGCACCGTCGACATCAGCGCGCACAAACACAGACAAGACGTTATCGTGCTCGAGCCTGGCCGTATCAACCAAGGGCTCTCCGGTATACCCGTGCCCCTCCCAGACCTTCTCATAGTGGGAGTATCCACTCGCCTTGGTCGCTTTCAATATTCGAATTCTCGGCGTTGTCGTTTCTGGCAGAATAAGAAACAAATCGCCGTTTTTACTGATGGCCAACCTGCCGCGCCTGGTCCCGTCAATTGGTTGGATTCCTTGCTGCCTCCATGTCCCTAGAGTTTGAGTTTTTTTTTAAGCTTTGTCATATACTGGCAGAGAAAAAAATTCCTGATCTGCTGTTCAATCCGGACAACTACCTAGGTAGGTAGGTAGATGCATATAAAAAAGAAAAAAGGGCAAAGGACCGTTTGAACGCTCACCTTCCGGAGACCGATAGTAATGCTTCCACAAGTACGTTCCGCCATCCAGCGTGTCCCGATTGAGCACATGCACCCCGCCGTCGTGGTCGACGGCCTGCGCCTCCTGGTTCATCAGCCCGGACCCCTTGGGAATACGGAACGCGACGATACCCTCGGACTTGTTGTCGATAGTCCCGCCGTCTTTCAGATCCGCAACCACCTTGCCGCTTCCATTATTCCACGTGTAACCCTGGTCGTCGCTGTACGCGTAGCATATGTCGTGGTTGTTGGCCGCGCTGTTCGGCCCTGCCTGCTGCTTGTGCTTGGTGTCGAGCGGGTCGTCCCAGCCGTCGTAGTTCACGAAGCCGCGGTAGACCCACGTCACGTGGAGGCGTCCGGCCCGGTAGTCTATGCCGTGCACGTATGGGTTGCTCCGGATGCCCGTCAGCGGCGTCCCCGCGAAGGTGAAGAGCCCCGTGCTGCCTCCGTGGTAGATGTACAGATGGTCGTTGCCGAGCCCGGCCTTCCCGTCGCGGAAGGAACAGAACATGTTGTCGTCCCCCATGGCACCAAAGCGCGGATACGTCACGTACCCGAAGAGCTTGTGGGTCGGCGGCAGGCCGGGGAAATAATCGAGAGTTGGGGTGAAGAGCGCCGGCGTCCATGCGAACTGGGCCGGGAAGCTGGCAACCTTGCGAATCGATCGCCGATACCTTAGACTGAAACGGGGTATTTCTTTTTCAGGTTACCTGCCATGCTAGCGGCCATATATACCCGACCTGTTCGGACACACTTACACGTCACAGTGGTGGTCGTAGGACAGGTGGATAGTGCCATCCCCTGGACAGATGCCCAGCTGGACCGTGTTGTGTCCATCGTCTACTGTCTGGGGGTAGTCGCCAAACACCAACGTATTCCATTGCCCATATGGCAATTTTCTCCTCGCCAGATGGACGTAAAGGGGCTCAGGGGGGGCGCCGGGGCCGAGGTTTCCATAGAACGCGGCGTACTGCCAGCCGTTGAACGTCGTGATTGCGTCCTGCTGGAATGCATTGCCGTTGAGTATGCATCTGCGGTGGGCAGGGTCTGCACCCAAGACCGAAACGCTGGGTTTGGCGAGCATGGCTGAACCTGGTTGGCAATTAATGACCGGCTCAGTGTGAGGTGCGAGAATCCCAAAACACTGACGAAGAAAGAAGCTTTAGCATGTCCAAGTAGAGTTAGATCACGTTTCTGCTACAACGTGCAGATGGACCCAACTAGACATTTGTGGCCCGATTGGGGATTCCTTCCGCAGACCTGATTTGTGGATAAAATGATGCCGGATGAACCCCTGGCCTGGCCGCGGGCCGCTAGGGGTGTCAGGGAACGGGTGCGGACAGGCATGCTAATTACTGGCCCAAAGCCTGGGAAACCCGGCTTTTTCACATACAGAATGGTTGCATATTGGCACAAGTAGCGAGCCTGTCGGGTTAAGGGAGCTTGGCCAGGCCAGGACCATGTGAGGGTTTTGACTGCTGGCTGGGTTCCTGGCTGCACCTATGGGGCGGGCGACGGGGTGGGTTGGATAAAAACAAATGTCCCTTTTGAGCCATTGGGATTCAATGTGAATGGTGGATCGAATTGAATTAAATCGCGCGGAGCGACGGCTTGTTCTCAATTGCCTACCTAAGGCATCTTATCTTAGCTTGTGTTATCTCGTTAGGTGCCTTTTGCTGGAACGAAAGCTGCACATGCTCTCTCGCCAGCCCTCTTCGATGCTGCCTGGCACATTGTTGATGCCGTCGCGCGCATGGCTCGTATTTCTCCTCTCATCGACATGTTTTAAACCCCAAACCCCAAACCCCACCTCCTCACGTGGGGTAACTTGTCGGCTTCCCCAGACTCTCCTCTCTTTAATAAAGTGGGCTCCGTTCCTTCGGCCTCCAGCAGAGGATCAATAAGGGTGGACTGGGGAGGCCGGTGGCTGGGGTATCCTGGTATGTAGCTCTCGGTTCTATGCACCTATTCCCCACACCTCTACGAACAGGCTAATAACTCTGAAAGCGACGTGGCGAGCAAAACGGGCAGCGATACGGCGATCCTCTCGTCTCTGCCCCCGCTCTCGAATGTTTGTGTAGGTGGCATGTGTTGGTAGAGCGGGCGGGCAATGTACGTAGAGAGGTCGTACTGCATCAGCACGGCCGGCCGGCGAGGCGGGTGGCGAAATCAAGTTGGAGTCGGCTGGGTAACTGAGGTATGAATATTGCATGCATGCATGCACGCACTAAGAGACTAGTCAACAAAATCTGCCCTCCGGGAACCCAACCGGCTCCCTGGTTGTCGCCTCTTTTTGAAACCACTGATGCTCTGGACTGCATATCTGATTACTAGTTATGTGGGTCGAATAACAATACTGACCTTGCTTGACCTGCACCAGACTAGCTAGGTAGCTATCACATTTCACCGTCCGCGTGAGCTGGTTTGATGAACTCTATGCCGCTGCTTGGTGGAAAAAAGGAACTCGATACTGACCGTTGGGGTAATCGTTGTCTGGCCCGCTCGCATGGGTGCCACAGATGCGGGCAGAGAGTGACGAGAATGGGAAACGGCCCGGAACCCAAGAAACATCTCCAATCAGGCGCCGAGACTAGAGACGGGGGGTGGGTCTCATCAACCGCCCGCGGGAGAGGACGTCGTGTCAATCACGGTATATTGTGCTTAGATGCATGCGGTACGACTACAAAAGGTCGGGATAATACCCTGGCCACCTTCCACACCTTCCCTTCCTAGAGAGCTCATGCTGGCAGTGCTTCTCTCGTCTCTTGTGGGCCGAAGTACCAGGTCGTGATAAAACGGCCTGATTCGCTTCACCATACGCAACTGGGGGCCCGGCCACTGCTTCTGTCGTCGATTAATTAACTCGTTTCTTTTTCTTTTCTTGGAGTTTTAATTCTCCCACTCTTCAAGGACGGCACCAAACAAGTGGCCAAAATGGGGCTCTCGGCGAGGTTGTTGCAGAAGATCGTGCGGAACGAGGCCATGGCCTCGGATCCGCCCGAGATTTACGGCTGGCGTGTCTATCTCCTGGCCTGCTCGGCCTGCTTTGGCGCCATGTCGTTTGGCTGGGACTCAGCAGTCATCGGCGGCGTCATTGTCCTCCCGCCCTTCGTCCAAGACTTTGGCCTGGGCGGAACCGACTCGGTCGCCGTTGCCAACCTGCAGGCAAACATCGTCTCGACACTTCAAGCCGGCTGCTTTCTCGGGGCCCTGCTTGCCTCGCCCATGACGGACCGCTTCGGCCGCAAGTGGTGCCTCATTGGCGTGTCCATGATCATCCTCGTCGGCGTCATCATGCAGGCCGCCGCCAACGGCAGTCTGGGCGCCATGTACGCAGGACGCTTCATTGCCGGGTTCGGCGTCGGCGCGGCCAGCTGCATCAACCCCATCTACGTGTCCGAGAACGCGCCGCGTGCCATCCGCGGCCTGCTGACGGGTCTGTATCAGCTCTTCATCGTCACCGGCGGCATGATTGCCTTCTGGATCAACTACTCGGTCAGCATTCACTTCTCGGGCAAGATAATGTACGTGTTCCCGCTGGCCGTCCAGGCGCTGCCGGCGCTGCTACTCTGCGGCTGCATGCTGCTCAATGAGGAGTCGCCCAGGTGGCTGGCGCGCCAGGACCGCTGGGAGGAGGCCAAGCGGGTGCTGTCGCGGACCCGGAACCTGGACCAGGACCATCCGTACATGCAGGAAGAGTTCCAGGAGATTGTCGACCAGCTCGAGCACGAGCGCCGAATCACCGGCGACGCCTCGTATTGGACCCTAACGAGGGAGATGTGGACAATAGAGGGCAACCGCAAGCGCGCCATCATCAGCATCACCTTGATGATCTGCCAGCAGATGACGGGGACCAACGCCATCAACACCTATGCGCCCCTGATCTTCTTCAACCTAGGTCTGACAGGCCCCTCGACCAGTCTCTTTAGCACCGGCATTTACGGCATCGTCAAGGTCACGAGCTGCATCATCTTTCTCCTCTTCATGGCCGACTCGCTAGGCCGCCGCCGCAGTCTGCTGTGGACGTCGATCGCTCAAGGGCTTGCCATGTTCTACATTGGCCTTTACATCCGCATCTCGCCGCCCATAAAGGGACAACCGGTGCCACCGGCGGGCTATTTTGCCCTTGTGTCTATTTTCCTGTTCGCGGCGTATGTGCTACCCCCACCAATCTCCATTTTTAAAACTCGGCAACTAACACACGAAAACAGCTTCTTCCAGTTTGGATGGGGGCCGGCATGCTGGATTTATGCCAGTGAGATCCCCACAGCGCGGTTGCGGTCCCTCAACGTGTCATATGCTGCGGCAACGCAGTGGCTTTTCAACTTTGTCGTAGCACGCGCCGTGCCAACGATGTTGGTGACTGTAGGAAGCAACGGCTATGGGTAAGTCTCCCTTTCCAGCAAAAAATTACAGGCACTGCTGTCGCAGACACTGACGATGGCCCTCACATACAGAGCATATCTCATTTTTGGAAGCTTTTGCTTCGCCATGTTTTTCTTCGTGTGGTTCTTCATTCCCGAGACCAAGGGCGTCTCGCTCGAGCACATGGACCAGTTGTTTGGAGTGACAGACGCTGCACCGGCAAAGTCGCTGACGACAGAGGATTATGTCAAGGATGAATCTCATGTCACGGAGAAGCGGGTCGATGTTGTGGCTTAGGGTATGCATGATTGGAGGTTTTGCAGATAGTCATGTTTCCCACGCTGCTTGCACTGTAATCGAACATAGTCCATAAGAAATCCCGGAAAAGAGCCCGACTATTGCGAAATTGGATGGTATAAGTAGAAGAGGTTTCATTCTTGAGTCGAATCAAGCTAACGACTCTGCTAGCTTCGTGGTATCATCGCACAAGAGTCTGTTAAAGACCCATAAAGTAGTAATTACGTGTTGATGGGTATATGAATATACCACCATTCCCAGCGCCGTCCGTTCCTCGGTAGTCAAACCGGGAGCCCTTAGCACTGAAGCATCGGGCAGGCAATGTTGGTGCCCTTTACGGCACCGTCTACGCCAGCCAGTGTGAGAACGGCGCCAACAACTCCGCCAAGGCCTTCGCCAGCAATGAGACCTAAATAACATACGTTGTCAGAAACAGAAAAAAGTCGAGGTGGAGCCGGCAAGGAATTTCCTAGGGAGAGGGAAGACGAGACAAACGTACCGGCAGCAAGGGCATAGCCATAGATGTCCCAGGTCCTCATGTCCCACTTCCTCCAGAGTGCGGCAATGATGGCGCCAAGAAGCGCAGCAGTGCCGTAAACAGTAGCGGGAATGACCCAGGAAAGCGCAATTGCACCCCAGTTAGGCAGCCACTTGCGGTATTTCTCGCGCTCACCAACCAAATAGTAGTGACGGATGATCACCTGGATGACTGAGACGGCGCCCATAACAATGGAGAAGATTCCGCTCTTGAGGGGAATCTTGACGTTGGGGTCTGTGACGGCCTGAGCGACCGCTGCCCACGCCGTCACCGACGGGACCTGGAAGGGGCAGTGCTCAATGGAAGGATCATAGATGCACGGGTATGCCGATGTGAAGAGCACAAAAAGACCAGGAGCAAGCCACACGGCGACAAAGGTTCCGCAGGCCTGCGCAATGAACTGCTTGATCGGAGGGGTGCCAAGCAGGAAACCGGTTCGGAAATCGCTCACGAGAGCATTAGCTACTTCAGCGCCACCTGACGCAAGACCGCCGGCGACGAGGTTGAGTTTCTGGGCGTGCTGGACCGTGTAGCCCGAGTGTGAGGTGGCAGCGCCAAAGATGAGCTGCGATGCCTTGGAGGCGGCGGTGAGGGGCGTGTTGTCGGTGACGGCGCCGATCTGGATGGCAAGGAACGAGAAGAGGAAGGAAAGGAGGAAAGACAAGATGGTCAAGCCGGGGTGCATCTCCCAGAGGAAGTGGAAGATGAGCATGCCCACCACCAGCGTGACAAGGAGGCCAGTGAGCCACATCCAGTCCTTGACCTGCTGCTCCTTCGGCGCGGGATCCTCAACCTCAAACTCGGTCCTCTCACGCGGAGCTCCGTGCTTGGCTAGGAAAGCACTAGATTTGCCTCGGGATAGCAGGGCGTTGTTGGCGCTCGAGCACGCCTGGTTCCAGAGCGACTTAAACCCAACTCCAATGACCTTGTACTGCACAACGAGCTCAGCCATGGAGGCGCACACCATGACCATAACACCAGGCCACAGCAGCCAGTATCGAGGAGAGGGAGTTCGCTGCCCTAGCTTGCTGAGGGAGTAGAAGGAGTAGTAGCCGTCCCAGTCCGGGTCACCATCCGAGAGGTCGATACCGATGCACTCGCCATAGTGGACCAGAAGAGGCCCAATGAGACCCCAGCCAAGAACCGAGCCGGCAAACATGGAAATGGCCGGGTTGAGACCGATCAGAATGCCCGAGCCAATGAAGGCCGGGGTCCACTCAAAAAACCAGCCCCAGGACTCGACGTTCATAGCCCAGCTAGTATGGCCACTCCAGATATGGATCCACGTGAAGAAGTGCCAGTCGTAGAGGATGCCAACGGCGTAGTAGGAAACGACGCGGTGAATGAGGGCGCCGAAAAATGAAATTCCAAGGCACTTGAGCTTCTTCATGGCCTCGATGCTGCCAGCGGCGCCCGCATGCATGGACCGGATGGTCAGGCCGACGGCGGTGGGGGTGGGGAACATGAGTCTGAGCTCACGAGCGACCTGGATGATGAAGAACTTGCGGAGCGGGGTGACGTAGAAGAGCCCTAAAAAGGAGCAGACTAGCGTAATGGTAAAGATTGCACCGATGTCATCCTTGGGTGTGCGACCCTCGCCCATGACGCCGAGCTGATACATGGCAGGTATGCCAGCGACAAAGATCCCGCTGATACCTCCAGCTCCGGTGGCGGCAGCCTGGATAATCGAGTTCTCCTGGGGGCCGAAGAGACCGCCGATGATGGGTGTTTCGCCACCGACCTTCTCCAGAAGCTTCAGGAAACCATAGCCGAAGATGGCGCCGAACATATTGGCACTGAACGTGAAGCCAGTCTTGAGGCCTGTGACGAGGATTGGGAGTTAGCCCCCCTGCATAAGGCACGCCATGCTGTATGGGCGTAGTAGGGACTCACCGAGATAGAGGTTCGAGGCGCTAACGAGGCAGCCGAGAACGATGCCCGTGACGACGGCTCGGATGGTCAACGGATTTGGCTCGTAGGGGATACCAGGGTCCATCTTCAGGGGGATGTAGAGATCCTCCTCGACGATCTCGCCATCCTCAGTGCCCTCATCCTTCATGTCGCCCACGTTCTCAAAGGGCGGCGTGCTCTCGGCGAAGGGCTTGACGGTGCCCGTTGCTGTGGCATGGACGGGCTGCTTCTCCTCCATGGTGGCGGTGGTTTTGGTTTCCTCCATGATGCCTCGTGGTGGGTCGCGTTTCACGGAGATGCGATGCGATGCGCTGGCTGGGGTTAGAGACACCAGGCCAGGGCGTGGAGGGGGGGGGGGGGGGAAGGGTCTGGCGATGCGATGTCACAGAGATGGGAGCGAGAGACAAAAAGGCACCAGGAGGGCGGGACGCGACGTGCATGCAGTATTTAACTTGGATGCCCGTCCCGTCAAGGTGTCGACTTAATTAGCTGAGTCACGGCAGCCCGAGCTTCTCGCCTTAACAGGTTTCCCAGTGCAGCACCGAATCCGTGTTGCACGAGGAGGGGCTCGTCTCCAATGTTGCCCATCCATGGGACGACAGGGCTTTGCATGGTCCAGAAGTAGTCGATCTTCCCAGCGGCCAGGCTCGCCCGTGCTAAGTTGCCACTTACGGTGAGGCGCTCTGTGCAGCCCAGCGATAAGGAATGAAACGCTCTGCTAGGATTGAAGACAGATAGAGAGACGAGGGGCGGGCGGTCCGCTCGCGCTCCACCCACTGGGGAAGCTGTGATGCCGGTGTCTCTGATTGCCATTCAATTAAGCCAACCCTGCCGCACTAGGAATGTACATACTACGGAAGTGGGTCCCCAGCCTGCTGATTCGACGGGTTCGAGGGTACGTCCGTATTAGGCAGGTCGGGTGGTGCTCCCAGAAAAAGGCAGTCCCGCTGTTGTTCTTGAACTGCAGTTGTGGCAAGCCATGCCATCTCCGTGGGCAGGCATTTCTTGTTTGCGGATGCCGTTCATAGACTGTAATCGCCAATTCGATAGGGAGTTCCCGCCAACAGAAAGCCAACCTACTAACATTAGCGTGAATCTTATCCGAAGTCCCAAAAGTACGGATTCTCGCGGGCGGGAGGGGTTGTACGGCACATGTACATGTACAGACATGCATCCATACGTGCCTTGCGAACACACCAGTAGTATAGTATCAGTACTGGATGCACGTATTTTATTGCCCCAGCCATTCGCGTAACTTAGTTGGTGTTTTGTCTGCGGAGACGGCAAGTCGCATTGGACGGTAGGAAACCCTCCTAAATGTCCTTGGCTTCTTCGCTTGAGGTTGCACGATTCTACCGCAAACCTGGAAGGCGCCCCAAAATCACCCCACTGAAGTTAAAGCGCCAAGCCACTGCTCCTTCCCCCCTAAGCTGCGATATGCTGGGTGCTGTCAGTGGCTTGAGTCTGCCGAGGCCGCTTTACCTAATGAAGCAGGAAGCTTAGACGCTCATCAGCGCGCTATCTACGGCCCCCCGCTCTTGGCCGTCGGTTGGGAGGAAGCCGCGGCTATCGACGCCATCGACGCCATCGAAATTTCAGAACACTACGCAATACCAGGCACCTACCTCGACCTCTCCGCGTCCGAGCTGCCACAGATCATTACTAGGTAGGTAGGTAGTGCACAACTTGAGAGGAATAGCTTTCTGGAAAGCAATCAGCGACTTCAATTATCTCAAAATAGTCCTAGGTCTAGGGAGAACCTACCTATTCCAGAAATATATGCCTTTTCCTCTGCAAACAAATCCGGCCTCTGACAGTGACGGAGGACTACATAGTGCAACTGACTGATCCAACTTGTGTTAAATGGGCAGGTGCATCTCGGCGCACGCTTTCATCCAACCGCCCGGCATATGCATATTACCTCCCAATCCCATCAACACCCAGCGATAACTCGAGCTACCTACTTTAGGTAGTTTCGCCTATTATCGCGTGAGGAGCAAATGGGGGCCAATCACTTTGTATCATACTTCGATAGAACTTTAGACGTGCTACCCAAGAGTGCCATCGTTGTCCGGTTCCGTGCACTGTCCGTTTTGTAGGTGCGCCCAGGATGACTGGAATGCCACGCGAGTGTTGCACCCTGGACCACCCGAAAACGGGTGCAACTCTAGGACATAATCAATATTTACTGTACCTACTCCTCGATTAATTATCAGTCGCCGAGACTTGGCCAAATGTAGCAGGTCATTGGCGGTTGCTAATCTGGAGAAAGGTCATCCGTGAACGTGTCAAATCCGTGCTGTAATTGGCTTGTGCTTGTCCCGGATCTTGGCGCGCTCCACCAAAGCCAGAAATTCCGGATATATGCAACGGTAGCAAAGTGCCTCGGGATCTCACGGCCGATATTGAGATGTGGAAACTCAGCCTGGCTACATCTGTTCTTGGATATAACCAATGTACGATCCAAAAACATGCTAGGTAAGACAGCCTAGGCCTAGCTAAGTGCTCTCTAGGCGCCTTGTCTTCAGCCTACATAAGACCGCTGAAGTCCTCCTTTCGAAGGTCTACAAAGATTCCACGCCGAGCGAAAACGTGGGGGCCCGTGCGTGCCCGTGATCCCAACTGCCGTTAAAGCCTAAAAACAACGCCATTGCCTCCTGAAACTAAAATCAATGCCAAGACACGCAAGGCCCACAAAAGCCCCACCACAAGAAGCTTGTCTCCCCACCGTCACAGCAGCTCCTGCCATTCTTGACTGGACTCGTCCAGGGTCGGACCGACAAGGCAACATACAGGTTCCTCTCGACAAATCAGCAAACGACCATTGCGCATACCCCAGGAACACCTAAGCCGCGCAACGATACTGAACTAAAGTTCCCCCGACTCGCTAGGCATCAAGCAAAGCCCAATGACTTTAGGGAGATCGGTCTCGACTCGAGCTATAGGGAAGATGCTGTGCTTTTCCAAACGAACACAGACCAAGTCTCTTAGTAGATTGGCAGTTGGTAGGTAACTTAATAGTACTGCGCACAGCGTCTCTCATTTTGATCAAGGCCCGTTGGATTTGCGCCGTTCAATGCTCTAGATTGCCGATTAAAGTGCAACGCTAGGCCATACTCGTCAGGGCTACAAAAACGCTCGTCAGGGCTCCAAAAACGCCCTGACGAGTAGTACTAATCAAGTCAAGATTCACTCGCCTCAGTTCAAAAACTCGAAGTAGTTAGTGCATGAAACCAACATCGATAGGGAAGGTTGTACGCAAGTGGCCACACATGACTAGTGATTTGATGTGGAGTACGGATACAACCATGGATCCTTACGTGTCAGTGGGTGGGTACCTACCTATGGAGTAGAGGTGAAAGGCCAACACAGGCCAAAAACGAATCCTCCTCCCTCAACGCGAACCCATGTCGGCCACACGTTGTCTTCGTGGAGGAATCACAGTGAGTGTTCTGCACAAACCTAAAAGTGTTGTGAAACTAAAGATGAATAACACGAAGCCTTACTGTGCCACCTATCTCTGCTTCTTGCACAGCCGATCCGATGTGGGTAGCAGCACGGGGAGCGGCTGGTCACATTGGTCTCGTAGTATCGTGCGGAGTAGTAAGTCTAGGTAGAATGGTACCGTTTCCCACATGCCATGTGTGAGGAGAAAGGTCCCATTGTTGCCTGAGGTGGCAGAGTCGCACATGGCAGCCCAGTCACTAGTAGGTTAAAACACTTTAGACGAGACGGAAAGCCCGCGCGTGGCGAGCCCACCCGATGCCATGGTCTCGGCTCGGCAACCCCGCGTCCTGTTTACACACGCAGTCTCAGAAAACTTGAGCCACCCAAAGCTAATTTCAAGAAATCCTCTTCCATTGAGAAAAGGGGCTCGCTACAAGGTCAGACGAAGAAGAAGAAGAAACCACATCATGCTACCCACCTTGCTAGATTCAACAAGTAATCAGTCGCGCGTTACTTTCGCTGAAGATGGCATGTAGTCGAATGGAAATAGAAAAAACGTACAAGGAGAGGATTACATGCAATATATCATGCTATGCTCTCGCTCATCTCAATTCACAATTTCACCAACACGAAAGTAGCACAGTTATAGAACACAACACATAATATGGAAAGTCAGTCTGCTAATAAGGCGGTGAAAAGACACCACAAAACCAAAAACAACAACAATACCAGGATCAATGGAAGCGATCGAGCTGTAGGCTCGATAGGTTGGTGAGCTTGAAGCAGAGTAAAGGTACAGAGTCCCATAGCCGGAAAGTCAAACGTAAACAAAGAAAAAGGCACTAACGCGTGCGCTGGTCTAGGGATCCCAATTCATGGTAAAAAGACGTGATTTCTTCCTAAAGATCAAGGGCCCCGGGGGAAGATCGATGCCCTCCCTCTGATCTGAGAGGGGGGGGGCGAACTACCCACTTTATACGAGGTGGGTAGGCCAAGAAAAAAAGAAAAAAAAGTACACTAGATTATTTTAGGTAAGGTTGTAAACAACCCCCTTGTTGCCTGGTCCCCTGAACCCCTGATCAATAATGAAATGCATTATCGTTTCAGTCGGTAGCATTACCAGCAACAGGCTTTCTCCCGGCCCCAACACAGATTAGCGCGTAGAGCTGCCCATTTCCAAGATCATGTTCAGCCTCCTTACATGCTTCCACGACCTGCTCCTCTGTCCAACCGAGTCCTTTCATGAATACAGTCTTAGCGAAACCTAGCAGCCCCCACCGTATGTTCTAGAAGAATTTCTCACGGGTCAGCGTCAGACGTGTAGACCCTGCTTCATTATCGCTGTCCATCCATGACCCGATCGGCACTCTGTATTCAGCCACCCGCAAGTCCTCAAACCCCGCCCCTACCAGGGCCTCATGTAATTTGTCCACGATGGACCTGTTAAATCCACAGCGAGATGCTGCTTCGACTCGGAGCTCAAAGAAACGCACTATAGGAGTATCTCGCGTGCCCCCGAGAGCTAGGTTTAGATCTTTGCAAAAAAGTTGTTGCATTTCCTAGAACTCGACCATATCGCCCAGACGAAGGGGCTCAAAGTATTTCCGAAGTACGGCCCGTGGGTCCTTGAGCAGGAAGATAAACATGCGTGCGTGGACGAGGTCGAATGTTTCTGGTGGCAAGCCCTAGCCCTTTTCGGCATTTAGCACGCAGAGAGCACAGTTTTTAAGCACGGGAGTGATAGAAGGCGCATAGAGATCAATCCCGGGAATATATGCCGCTAGATTCTCCGCTGCAAATTCGGCCGCCCAAATGCCAGCGCCGGTGCCAACGTTCAGAACCCGTCCTGAAAGGCTACGAAAGAGCGGCGTCGTTAAAAGCTGGTTATTGAGGATGAGGCGGAACACTTCGTGCTGTAGATTGAGCCTAGCGGGTGTGATGGTAGCGGGTAATCATTTGCGGGCTCCATCTCATTTTTGAGTTCTTTCCATGTCTATGTCCGAAAGATGGAAGGGGGTGCATAATTAGGTATTCGTTAACTGAAACCCAGCCGGGTAGGCGGAATCGACCGACATAAACTCCACACCCTTTTAAAAGTTCTCGACTCAATTCACTCCCACGCCAGTAACGACTCCGCGGGCATCTTGATATTGAGATATTAGGTGTCAGAAGGCGATATGCCTATAGTGATGATCTGAGCCCGGCGCTATATTTATTTACAATAATGATTCATGTCTCTGATTGCGAAAAAATTTACACGACTTTTAATAATATATGTCGTTGAAGTTAACTACGCGTATTAGATAGTTCGTATTAGCTTATTACTGATTAAACGGGGGAGCGCCGGCTAAAACCCTTTAGGTGATATTGAGGAGCGGGAGGTATAATATTAAAGCGATAGACACGTGAAGGGTTAGTAATTTCGGGGACAGCATATAGATTTAAAGGTTTAAGGAAGAAAGGGGCCAACTTGGGGGAGCTCTTGGAAAGATGTTATGTGTTTTTAGAATGTAATTCCGTATATCAAGTTAAAATGCGCCAAATGCGGCATAGTCTCTCAGCCAGCGGCTGCTTGCGCCAACGTGTCGTCCGTAAGCGGTATGCCACAAAATACACAGTACTAGAAGAATCACCAGAAAGGTGGTTCGCCAGGAGAGTGGAGTGGGGCCAGAAAAAGGTTAAAATCCGCACAGGACCGCTACACTGAACCAGTAATTTTAAGCCTTTCTCAACCCTGCACCCCTCACTGTCGAAGCATTGGCGAGCTTTGCCCATCATTTAGAATACACATACTTCAGCAATGTTACTAGGTACCGGGGTATAGGCAGGTGCCTCTAAAAGGTGGTTTTAGGCCCCATATCTGCTCCCGTCTCCAGTCATACCCGGGTTTTTCTTCGGTCGTGTGTTTCCCAGCGTCGGGCACCGGGTACAGCCCGTTCCTTAGCGGCCTTCATGTTCGCCTTGGTAGGCCCAGTAGCTGCAGGGGTCGAGTGGGTGTTTTGTCGCGCCTTCCCTAACTTGGCTTAACCTGGTCAAGCTGGGCCCACTCTTGAAGCCGGTGTTACGCGTCTGCATCGTTCCCGCCCCCGGAAAACCGGGAGAGGACCATTACCACGTGTCCGTACCTGCAACCACTATGTACGTCGCTTCCATTCCAAGTTGGACATGTTTATCCTTGGTATTACTTTTCCCCGTCCAAATGAAAGGTAAGCTTCTTGGCCAAGCAAGCTTACTTCAAGTTACATGGCATTCGAGGCGTAACACAAGTTCAAGCTGGCACCACAAGTCCAAGCACTAAGCTCAGTTTGCTCGCACAGTTCGTTCATCGGAGTACAGATGGTGGTAGTTGGTTCTAGGGCTCAGATAAGAGCCAGTGCAGATAGCAGCAAACCAAATCACGAATTGAAAGCTTCCTAAGGCCCAATGGCCCCACCGCTGCAGTAGTAGGGAGCTGGCGGTCAGTGAATACGTACCACCTGAGCCTGAGGTGAGACCTTCAGATGGAAGCTACGACGATCGTTCAACGGATCTTCCCAAATAGGAAACTGCAGGGTCGTTTTTTCCTTTCCTTCGCAAAACCGAGGCCAAACTGCCCGCGGGTGAAGACCAGTAGATCCTTCCTGCCTTCTCCCTGCAGCTGCTGCCCTTCGAAAACTGCCAACTCTCTCAAAATCTTACCATTCAACCATCTCTCTAAAACTCGGTCAAAGAACGGCGCAGCGTTACAGGCGCCATTACTCATTGCCCAGAATGCTGGCGCTGTTGCTTCTCGCCGCCAGCCTTGTGGCCAGCCGGCTCGCAAGCGCGGTTTCGCCTCGAATTGATTCTGCCAATACGGGCACCGCCTCGCTGAAGCAGGTCCGCAATCCTCATTTTTCCCCCCATGGCCCCTCCGCCTTGGCCAAAGTCTACCACAAGTATGGCGTTCCTCTTTCAGACGACCTTCGCTTGGCGGTGGCCGGGGGAATTCCCCACAAGAGGGTGACGGGCAGTGGTGTGGCGTCGCCCCAGCAGTACGACGTCGAATATTTGACCCCGATCTCAGTTGGAACCCCGCCTCTGGTCCTGAATCTCAACCTTGACACCGGCTCCAGTGACCTCTGGGTCTTCAGCTCGGAGCTTCCCCCCAGCGAGATCAACGGGCAGACCGTCTACGATCCAACCAAGAGTACTTCTGCCAAAAAGCTAGAGGGTGCGACATGGGAGATCGAGTACGGTGACGGTAGTTCGTCGGAAGGGGATGTCTACATTGACAGTGTGGCGATTGGCGACTTGACAGTGACGGCACAGGCCGTCCAGGCTGCGAAGAACGTGTCGGCTGAGTTCACGGCCGACACCAATGACGACGGTCTGTTGGGTCTCGCCTTCAACACCATCAACACCGTGCAGCCTACCCGGCAGAAGACCTTCTATGACAACGCGCAGTCGATTCTTGACGCACCGGTATTCACCGCCGACTTGAAAGATGATGCTCGTAAGCCATGCCACCCCAAGCCTGTTGTGATGTGCAAGAACTGACATGGTGTGAGCTGATCACAGCGGGCCGCTACAACTTTGGCTATATCGATTCGAGTGTCTACACGGGCAACATATCGTATTTGCCTGTTGACAGCAGCCAAGGGTTTTGGATGTTCACCTCTCCGGGATACGCGATAGGGAAGGGCGGTTATAAGATCACCGAAATGAAAGGCATCGCGGACACGGGTACGACCCTTCTCCTCCTGCCCACCAGCGTGGTGGTAGCCTATTACAAGCAAGTCGATGGAGCAAGATACGAAGGCACCCAGGGAGGATACATCTTCGCGTGCAGCGCCACTCTGCCGGATTTTGTCTTCGCCGTGGGCAACAACGCTAGGGTCACTGTGCCCGGCAAATACATCAACTACGCCCCAACTGACTCCAGTGGCACAACCTGCTTCGGCGGTATTCAGAAAGACATAGGCATTGGCTTCTCTATTTTCGGGGACGTTGCTCTGAAGGCAGCTTTTGTTGTTTTCGATGGTCCCAACCAACAGCTTGGCTGGGCAGCGAAGCCGTTGTACAACTATGATTAAGGGCCTCGAATGGGATTTGAGGTTTATGAAAATGGCGTTTTGGGTGGAGCGGATATTATGAAAGGTGTATCGCCGATCTTACCGTCACCGAGGCGAGTCCTTTTCATTTTCTATTTTCTTTTGGCATGGCTTTCCCCCCTTTCCTACCACTCTTGAGCACATGATTGCAATATCACCTCCCTTGTTTTTCCTAGACCCTCGAAGCCCATTCTTTTGGCACATAATATGGAATATTGCGAGAAGGTGTCTACGGTCTGGGGTGTGCGATGGGCCAAACAGTGGCTTGTCCATAGACCCAGATCTTCTTAATTAATTGCGCGCCTTGATTGCATTATTCATTGTCCATTCGCGATCTCATCCGCTACTGCAATACCACTCCCGCATGACAGATGTTCCAGCTCAAGTCGGTGTCCCCAGCCAAGGTAGTGTGGTGTGAATCAACTCGCTCAGACAGCCCAACCCCTTGGGTGTCTCTCTTGGGCGCTTGGCACTATCCCTGTTGCAGCGATGGTGACTGGGCGGGCCTGCTGCATTCCATGTTAAGTTGGTGTGATTCAGACCTTACCATCTGGTGGCCCCCACTATGTTCGTGGCTGCACGATTAGCTTCACATCAGTCTTTTTGCTGTCTTAAGTTCTAGAGCTGCTTGGCGTTGATCACGACAGACCTTGGCGTTCCCACGAGGTGTATTGCCAAGTGCCAAGGTCATGACCAGCTGAGATAATAGACTCGAAGAAGACACTTGCCAAGATATTAAGCGACAGGCAGTCATGGGGTACATCGGAATTATTCTGTCGAACGATAGTACCAATCTGGGCTGTCATTGGCGGAGCTAGACTTAGCTGGGGAGGCAGTGCACAAACCGTGGTAAAGTCACATTGCAGCATAAATCAAGATAGGGGGGAGCAATAGCAAGCCATCTTGGTGTCGAGAAAAGAATGAACCAATAGGTTGCCATCACAAATATCCAGAGGTTGAACTGCGTAGACCGTGAGGTTTACATGACTACAGAATAGTTGGCACGTACGTACAAACACCTTCCAATCTAACCTGGGGTGACGGCCGCTACGTCCACCTCGGAAGCCTTCGCCGCTCATTTGCGACCGCGAAGCCAGCCCCGGTTGCTGCTTTGAGCTGAGTTGACTTTTTCAGCCCGTAGTTTGCCGCTCGGCTTCTTCCGTCCTGGTGCTGTATTGTCATTGTTTCTTGGCTAGACACCTAACCTCTAGGCACGTTCTTCTCAAACCCTTGCCAAACCCCCACCACCGTAAGTGATGTTCTGATGATGTGGTAAAACCTTTTTGAATTCGCTCACAGAAAGGCCTCGGAACACGCGGTGAAGTCTCTTGGCCTTTCGGGAAGTTGCGCGCCAAGTCCAAAAGGCGACTGTGCTTCGCGGCTAACTGGGCCCGCCGAGACTCCAAGACTTCCAAGACACCTATCAAGCCTGTTGCTGAACGCCATCCGGCAATTGCGTGCTCGGGCCAAGACGCGCCTTCACCCGCGCCCAGACACTTGTGAACAATTCTGAGGGGACACGAATTCCATTCGGCGAAGACGAAGATGACGGAACAGACTTGGCCAATTTTATAAACCAGGTGCAGGAGAAGAGAGGAAGGGGGAGAAATCAACATGAGGTGATTTCCTTGGCCACTTGGCAAGTGAAAGAGTCCGAGATTAATATAAGATGCAGCACCCAGAAGCCTCCCGATGCATGGAATGGGAGTTAATCTGGCCAGGATCCATGACCCCGAGTGGAACCCCCGTCGTTTCTCCTACAAACAAAGACTTTTGAGGCTTCACTGATTGAAGCACTTACCTAATCATGGGGTTCATTGACTCCAAGTCTGCTAACGCAGACCCTTTCCCTCTCCCGGTGGAGGATGAAGTGGCGCTCGCCCTGGAGGTGGACTGGACACCGGAGGAAGAGCGAAAGGCCAAGCGCAAGTGAGTCTAGGTGGCAGTGACATGAACTGAGGCCGCGATGCACACCATACAGACAAACTATCGCGGTACTTGACTTACACGAGGAATCTCCACTTTCGCAGGCTGGACTTGATCATCATGCCGATCCTCACTCTCGGTTTCTTCTGTCTGCGTACGTACCCAACCGGCCTTTGCCGCTTTTCAACTGCCTCGAGTCTGCCTCGAGTCTGCCTCGAGTCTCCCTCCTTCTGCCTCCTTCTGCCTCTTCATTTCCCGGCGGCCGGCATCATGTTGACTGACGTGGTTCCGCAGAGCTCGACCGTGGCAATATCGCCAATGCCATCACCGACAGCTTCATGGAAGATGTCCACGTCACCCAGGACGAATTCAATGTCGGGCAGCAGATGTTGTCCCTAGGAATAGTGCTCACTGAGATCCCCGCCAACATGGCCCTCTATCGCATCGGGCCCGGCAAGTGGCTCACGCTGCAGCTATTCCTGTTCGGCATTGTCAGCACATTTCAGTCGTACCAACGGAACTACGGCGCCTTTCTGGCCACTCGCTTCATACTCGGCCTGACAGAGTCCGGCTTCATTCCCGGTGGCCTCTGGACGCTGTCGACGTGGTACACGCGTCGTGAGACGGCTAAGCGCGTCATGTTCTTTTACTTTGGCAACCAGTTTGGCCAGGCGTCTGCAAAGCTGATCGCCTATGGTATCCTGCACATGCGTGGCGTGGGCGGACAGCCGGGCTGGTTCTGGCTTTTCACCCTGATGGGCGCCTTTACCATTCTCAGTGGCTTCATCTTTGGCTTCTTCCTCCCGGATTCGTTCCGCAATCCGCACTCAACCTTCCTACCCAGAGTCACCATCTTCACCCCGCGGGAGCTGCACATCCTAAAGAACCGAGTCCTCCTCGACGACCCCATGAAAGGCAAGAAGAAGAGACATATCAACTGGGGTGCCTTTAAGCGCGCCTTCACCAACTGGCGCCTGTGGTTGCACTTCTTCATCACGCTAGCAAACAACGGACCCCAACGCGCCTTTGACACGTACTCGCCCTCCATCATCACCAGTTTCGGGTTTGGCGCCCTTACCAGCAACGCCCTGGCCTCGGTCGGGCTGTTTCTGCAGCTTCCCGTGTCCTTTGCATTCAGCTGGGTGTCTGATCGATAGTAGGTAGAGTCCCACCCGCGTCAGCCGGGACTGCGCTAACACGAATGCTTCACAACCTCATAGTGACCGTCGCGGAGAGACCGTTATAGCCGGCATGAGCATGCACATGATTGGCTACATCTTCAACCGCGGCTTCACCGAGGTGAACTTGCGCGGCGTGCGCTACTTTGGCGTCGTCTGGACACAAACCTTTGGCACCTTCACGCACCCGCTCAACATCACTTGGATGTCGTTGACGTGCGAAGACTCGGAAGTGCGCGCGCTTGCCATGGCCATGTAAGCGAAAACCAGACCCCCCCCCCCCCCCCACTCCCGTCCTCGTGCTGCACTGCCATCCCGCTTCACACTTTACTGACAAAGGAGCAGGGTCATCATGGGCGCCAACATTGCCGGCATCTACGGGGCGCAGATCTTCCGCCAGGACGACAGACCCTTCTACCGCCGCGGCTTCAGTATCAACATTGCTATCCTTGCATCAGGCCTGTCACTTGCCATAATCCGCTATATCGCCGATATCATTGAGCGCCGCAAGAAACGCAACCAGCTTCAGCTTCATCCGGACTCGGTGAGCGACGAGGTCGAGGCCGAGGTCGAGGCCAAGGGTGTGCCCACTTCGGTCCAAGGATTCGACTTGGGCCCAAATGGAGAAAAGGTATCGTCCAGGCTGTGAGCGTTTAATCACGAGCTTGTCAGTCCCTTTATCGGGGACGTCAAGGGGCATGTGCCTGCAAGGTGAAAGACTGGCCACGATGTAGTTTCTAGCAACTTCTATTCTGTTGAGTGCCTAGGTAGCTTGTGTCGGGAGAGTTATCAGTCAATGACAATAGCTATACTTAATACTGAATCTACACCTACCCTATAATTAAATCTCTTGTTGATAGCGACTTGGGTCTAACCTAACCCATTTGTTTGACTGGTGGAGATGAAAGTGAGATGACAATGTCCTCAGTGTCATATATTTGTTAATTGTCTTTCGGTAGGAAGTGTTGCGATAACTAACCCAAAAGGATCACCCTCCGAGCAAACTCGCAAAGCCTAAAGCCACCCAAGCAAAACAAGCAAAACAATCGAGCTAGGTACAAATCCCACTGATAATAGTAAACCAACTTGGTTGCAATCTCGCTCGCTCCCTCCCTGTAGGATAGATGCCAAGTTAGATTCACCCAAGTGGTGTCCATCGTCGTCACCACGGCAATATTCAATAGCTTGGAGGTCAAGAGTCCCCGTCAACATGTCGCAACCGCACGTATTGATCTTATTATACCGAAGGGTTTGGTCGAATGCTCGTAGTCATGGAGGGCCGACGAGACGATAGCGACGGGCGGGGCATGTTTTGCGGGGCTGGATGCAGGGAGCCAATGATGCCGACGTCGACACTGTTGCCCTTGCCAGCCTTGGACAGAGCATAGTCGCCCGAGTCAAAGTACTTGCGCTCCTTGAGGTGAAGTGCAAAGCGGTGAGACTGCGAAGGCACTCTGCCGTAAAGGCGGAAGAGGCGGAGCTCGTCGGGCGACAAAGCCTAGAATAGGGAAGTATGGGTTGAGTCCAGAGTCAGTAAATCCTTTCCCCCGCAATGACTCCGGTCTACAGAGCAGAGAGGAGCAATACACCTACCCCTATATCAACGTTCACTCCGGTCTTGGACATTGGCGAAATTGAGGAGCCCGCCATAATACAGAGGTGCTTAAGCTGAAAACGCTGTTGTGATCTACGGTATTCGGCAGACGGTGATTGCTTGGGGCGTTTGGGCGGTTATTTAAGAGGATGACGGCAGGTTCATATACCTATCTGCGCCAGATGCTATCTTTGCTTTAAGGTTCCATATTAATTAGGCAGCTCCCGGATTCTCATTCAGACTCGAATGATACTTCTATGCAGTTTGTCGAAGGGGGGCCGAGAGCACCATAATAAAGGCATTCAGGTAGAGGACGAGGGTATATTGTAGAGTGAAATGCACAACTGCCGGCGGGTGTCATCAGGCCATACTAAATACCATCTGCTGTTTTCTGACACCTTCCACCCCTTTCCGTGTCATGTCGTGAGACACGGGGGCTAGACCCGATTGGCTAACCCTAACCCCCACTCGTCACTCGAGTGGTTGCCCAAGGTCGCAAAGCCCAAGCACCCCGCACGCACGGCCGCCTCTGGCCAATCCTTTATCCTTCCTTGCATGGCATCTGCCCTCCAAACACGGAGTCACGGACAGCTCCCCCAGACCCCGAATTGGCTTCCACTCTTTCTTTCCAGGTATCTTGCTTGGCTCCAAGAGTCCTAGCTACACGAGATACCACTCCGTTATTTATTTGGGTCTACACGTGTAAGGTTGCGGAGTAGCGCGCGACGCGCAGTTCGGGCCAACTAAAGACCATCCCATCGGTCCTCGGCCTCGGCGTTCAACACCGTCCGAACTGGCATCATGAGGGGAGATTCGTGGTATTTAATCTCACTTCCCGTGCACATACTTCTCGTACTTTTTCTTCAGTCGCCATCACATTTGCCCCTCGAAATACTGATCTCTGTTTTTGTTCGGGTTGAAGGTTCAATTAACCAGGTCTGTAGAGGAGCCAAGACGGCCAAATCCTGGAACGCCAGTTTCTGACTCGTGGTCACAGACCTCACCAAGCACAGGCAAGATGGCGCTCTCTCAACTGCCATTTCTCCATCTAGCTGCCCACGCCTTTGCCACCATTTTCACTAGCTTCGGCGTCAACGCCATCCTCCGTCCAGCACACGCCTTGACATTCTTTGAATTCAGCCCGCCAGCTAACGCGGCCGATGCACGCATGGTCAACAGCCTGATGGCCGTGTACGGTGTGCGCGACATCTTCATGGGACTCGCCATCTACGCTGCGGCCCTTGTCGGCACCAACAAGTCGCTAGGGTGGACTCTAGTCGCCTCAAGCGGTGTCGCGTTCGCGGACGGTCTCGTTTGCTACGCCCACGGAGACGGCCAGTGGAACCACTGGGGTTATGCACCCGTCATCACAATAGTCGGAAGTTTGTTGCTGGGCGTTTTTGACAGAGTGAAGCGTAAATGAGGGCGTTGATATACTGTGTGTAATAATTAGGTATCTAGGTAGGTAATCAACTATTATTTCAGGCAAGCTAGCTTCGCGTAGGCTTTAGACTTTGTGAAGCCGTTCATGTCGCAGTTAATGTAGAACTAATTTTGTGCAATGGTTATATACTCTACGCACCACTCATTTCTAGGCGGTGCAAAACCCGATCATCAAGGCGGCTTGCATCATGTCGTGGATCTTTTGCCATTTACTTATCGCCAACAACAATTGCTTATGGCATGTCCCCGCTGAAAGAGACGCGTCTCATGGTCACGTGGTCACGCCTCTCACGGCGGTGTTCTGTCGCGGTGTTGGCGAGACTCCGAAGGGTCTAGGTGGGTAGACTGCCAAGTGTGAAGTTAAAAAGTCGTGATCGGGATCAAACACTGTCCGTCTACGGAGTAATTAGTACTTAATATGCCAAAGAATCTCTAACAACTAACAGAACTAATTACCGTGGAAAAGAGCTCGTTAATTAAATCAGTTAATCTCACCATGTAAATTGTAAACCTTGGGGCGGAGGGAGAAAAATGACTTCCAAGTCAAAGATACCAAAATACACAACCGCCTGGAAGGTTCTCACACTCTGGGACCCAAGACAGCATTGCGAGGGGGGTGCAGAGAGGAAAGTATAAAGATGTTTCTCAACTCGACCATGGGACATCAATCTTCAATCTTGACGTATGGTTTTGTTCATGTCCCTGCGCCATCCACAACTTCTTGCCATAGAAGAGGCCGATGCGCTTCTACGGGAACTTCCTAACGAGGCGCCAACTTACCATAAACCCACATTTTAGCTGTTTGACAAGATAGCCACTCGCAAAGCTGTTGCCTGTACGTTGACAGGCCGGAAGAAGTAGGAAGACTAAAGGCCGAGTATGTTTATGACGGCAAGCATGTCGAGGTGGGTTATTATTTGACTCGCGTTTTTCCACTCAACGAACTTCCCGTGCTTGATCATGAAATTGACACCGGTTTAGGGCGTTTTCTGTCTTCGCCCAGAAATGAGAAAACCGAGAAGGAGCCGTACACCGGCAGATCCGGCGCCGCATCCGGGACGTGTATCCGAACAGAGACAACAGAGATGAGCTGAAACACTAGTTCCCTGAGCCTCGGAAACTCAACACTGCCTTCGTGAACTGCTACGTCGGGCCCCAGGAGAGCCTGAGCTACCACTCGGACCAGCTCACCTGTCTGGTGCCGTGAGCCATGATAAGCAGTCTCAGCATGGGCTTGCCGCGGGAGTTCCGGGTGCGCAAGATGGTGGCCCTGACGAGGCGTTACCACAAGGATGACGACTCTCTGGCGGTCGCGCAGGGTCAAGTCTCCATCCGCCTTCCGCACAACTCGCCCCTTGTCATGTACGCCGAGATGCAGTGCAGGAGGAGTGGAAGCACAGCATCGACCCCGCTCAAGCCATTGACCAGCACCCGCTGGCCAAGAGCACGCGCATCAACATCAAGTATCGGCACTACCGGGAGAGCTTACACCCCAAGTCCCTGTCTCGGTGCAGCTGCGGGATCCAGCTCGTTTTCCGGTGCGTGCAGCGGAAGAAGACCCGAGGCAGATACATGTGGATGTGACATACCAAGTACGTTCCCAGGCAGCAGAGCTCTTCATCTTCCCAGTAAGTCGAGTTCGAGACCATGACAGGAAGCCTCTGTTTGCTAGCATCACCAAGCCCCACAAGGTGCCGAAACCAGCACTTGTACCACGCCTAAAGGAAAACATAATCATAGCTGAAATTATGAAACATGGCTTGCCAATGCCCACCACTTTAAACCACATCAAAATCATTGCTGGTATTACAAAGCCACAAATGCTTTGGGTATAAGTGACTTCTCCCGAGAAAACCCCTTGGGCCCCTGACCTGGCCAGACTTTTCCGGCTCTAGTCGGCAGGTCAGAATAGCTAGTTTTGAAAAACAAAAAATTGATAAAAAACAAGGGCGCCAAAAACAAAACATGCGAGGATGGTGCTATTCCCATCGACTCCCGACTCCTGCGCTCAATTCTTGCATCATCCAGTAATTACAACCAACTAGAGCAGAAATTAAAAGAAGACAAAGAGAAAACAGGCGGTACGAAACCAGGACAAGGCTGGAGCAGCAGTCAGCATATGTACCGCCAATCGAACCGATTGTTGTACAAGACCGGATGTAGGTGATCTGTGCCCCTCGTGGAGAGACTGGAACCATGTGGTTTTAGCCACTATCAATCCCCCCCGTTCCGTCATTAAACAGCAAGAGCGGCCATTGGCCTGTTTGCGAAGTCGGTACGGGTGCAATGTCCATCGACTCTCCCTGGTTGACGTGTCCAACCACGTGCTGCCCTAAGCCGGTATCACCTACCCGTCCCGACCCCAGCGTCAACAACGCATTTGCGCTGTATCGGTCCTGGCTGTCGGCGATGGCAGCTGTCCAGTCGTGCCAGGTATTGGTGGCGTTCTGTCCTATCAGCTGCTGGGCTTGGGGGCGCCAATCTTCGCCAGCTTGGCCGGCGACATGCTGTGTTGCCTGAGAAGCGAATGCTATCAGTGGGTTCGGTGTCGATGATACTTGATCAACTGCAGCAACATACTGCGTGCCATTTGCGGGTTCGTAAACTGCGCCAGGCCCCATGCCATTGCCGTTTTGATGGGAAGCGGGCCCGCTAGAATCCTGTTCATGGTAGTTTAGGGACGGGTATGGTGCCGATCCCCCAGGGAGACCTGGATCATAGTAGCTGCTGCCGTTGATCGTACTAGCGCTGCGCTGCTCATTTGGGCTGTCTGAGCTATTGGGCGAAGAAGGGTTATGCGATTGCTGTTTTGGAGTGTCGAGTTCCCGATTCGTGTCTCGTTCGATCCAGTTGATCGTTCGTTCAATGACAATACTGATCTCGTTTGCCAGGCGGCCACCCGCGCCTGCGACCCAAAAAGGTTAGTGTCCGGTAACCACGAAGCATGAGTAATTTGGCTTACCCAGAAGTCGACCAATCTCCCCAATAATAGTCAACCATAGTCTCATCTCTTCCCGCAGTTTGTCTATCTCTGCCGACGAGGTGTCGCAGCGTCTCTCCCAATGGGCCACCAATGTTGAGAAAATTGCGGCGACATATACTGCCAATTGGTACCAGGTAGTATCAAGGGATTTCATCCTTAATAGCTCCCCAACCACTTTGAGCAGCTTACCCGCGGTCTCCTCGCAGATCCTGGTATTATCGGCACAAATCTTGGCGTCGTCGGTCATACAAACCGACGGATGCCTGAGGCATAGAGTGAATTCGAGGCAAAAGGCTTGCGTGTAGAGAGCAAAAATCTGACTCCCGGGCTTACACCTCTCCATTCTCAGTTCGTCAGGGAGATTATCGAGCAAGTTGCGCAACCCATCTTCAAGCTCGCGCACCACGTCGACGTATTTGTTTGGATCCCGCCGCACGCTGTAGATGTTTGAGTACATCTCCATGTACAAAGGCACCACTTTAAAGCCCATGAGGCCAACATGGTAGTTGCAGTGGCCAATCTTGGAAGGGTCCAAGATCCCTTCCTCACCAAGATATTCGTCGGGGATAGCCATTGGGAATTCGACGTCAAACTCCTCAAGCGTGATTGGCATTGGCCTGCCGAGCCGGCCATTCAAGGTTGTGAGAACGCCGAGGATAGCCCACCATACCCTCTTTCGAATTTCGTTGTTCAGCGTTGTCCCACCGCCGGGCATCTTTACTGCCCTGTGGAGATTTAGCTCGATCGCCTTCATTATGGCAAAGTGGGCAACTGCGGACGAACAGCCAGGTTTCGGGAAGTTCCGTGTATGTGAGACAATCATTGCAAGGGCCTGGACAGCCGTCACCGTTTGGGAAGAGGCAAGATCATAGAACTTGCTCAGGCACCAATGATAATGCTTGTTGGACAGCTCATTGAGTTGCGCATGCTTCTCAGGCTCCTCGCGATTCCTGATGCCGTACTGGAAATAAATTGTCGCAAATACCATATGAACTATCACTAGCTCTGGAACCGACGCCTTGAACGAGGGTTCGTCGTAGATACGGGTCAACTAAGCCAGGAGTCAGCAGCCAATTGCGTAATAAACGACGGGAATGACTTACTAGCTGGAGAAAGGATGGCTTGTGCAGGATTGGGAGGAACGGCGAGATCATGAGAAAGTACCATTCCGAATACGTGAATGCATCTTGCTTGGAGGGCAGCTCGACGTTTTCTAGGGGAGGGTTGACGTTGAGGATGGACTGTAGGAAGGCCATGACAGATTTGTTGTAGAGAGGCGACATGGCTGGTGTCCCTGGCGGCGGCTCGTCTATGTCGGGAGCATCAAACGACGCAATGTCAATGGTTGTGCCGAGGATGGACAGCGTCGTACCCTTGATAGAACTTAGAAGAGCGCTGTCGGACGAGACGCCGAGATAGCTGTCGGTCGGTCGGGATTCTAGGAGCGGGTATCGCGTATATCCGCTCGAGGATACATGTGGTTTCTGGTTCGTTTTCTTGACCCATAGCGATCCAATCTGCTGCCATTGTTCACTGGGCGTTGGATCTAGAACTGGGTTGCCCATATTGTCAAGCGTCACCCCGGGCGGGTAGCTGGTGCCGTAAGGTTGCCACGGCCTGACCTTGACCCCGTTACTGTCAAGGAGCTTCTCTAGTTCGCGGATGTGATCTAGCATCGCGGTTTTCTCACGCTCAAGCTGTTGCAGATACCCGCGGCGCTCAGTGCGGCCTGTGACACGGTCCGTAACATTGCATTCGAGGTTTTGGTTTGTGCAGTGGGAGCAGCCTTCGGGAAGGGCATCGCAGCGGATTTTCCGAACCTGGAAGAAGGAATTGTCAGCACGGCCTTGCTTCAGCAGCCGCATTGCGCATGCGCGCGCGCGACGGCGACGGCAATTGACGCAATCACAAGCTCGGGACTTGGGGGAGGGACTGTGTTTGCGAGTGCGCGGTTCCCGCCTACCTTGCATCGATCGCAGGCTTGCCCAGTGCGCGAGTAGGTTTGCAATTTGCTCTTGACGACATTGGAAAAATCTTCAGGCCCACGCTCGAGGCGCGGGAGCTTAACTTTGGGGCCCGAGGCAGGATCGAGAGGGCTGTCGTCGCCGTCGCCGGGCCGTTTGGGCGGCATCATAGCCGCAGAGTCGACAACCTTCAACCGGCTGTCGTGGTGCTGTGCCGCGCCAACACGGGCAGCGTAGGCGGCATTCAACTCGGCTGTCCCTGCGACCAGTGGGCTCGCTGGGCTGTCTTGTTTTGAATTGGCGATTGTTTGGAGCGTGGAGGAATCGGGGTCGAGTGCACGGGGTTCGCCGCCGCATGGAACCTATCAGCGAGGAAATAGAGAATTCCGTGGCGGCGCAGACCCAGCCCTGTCGCTAGCTCGCGTCCAAAGCGTCGGGAATCGGGATTTGCGGCACGGCAGACAAGCTCCAGCAACGGCGCGCAGGGACGGCGGCACTTGGAGGTACGGTATCCGTATTCTATACAGATATTGTACCAGGTACTTGATACAGTGCTGTGTATTTCGTCCGGTAACGTAATAGCCGTACGGCTCTGTATTGCACTGCAAAATTGTACTGTACACTGGCGCTTTAAATGACCAGGGCAAATGGGGCGCTCTCTTTGCCTGGCCACCTCATAAAATTCGCCTTATTTTGCGATTTGCTTTTATATATCTTCCTCCTTCTCAGAACTTTAGTCCAAGACATCTACATAACTACCCTAATGAATCGCAGAGGCCTTCGAGTGCCACTAGTTGCACAAAAGTGGGGCACTGTACCAACAGCGTATGTCGACTCCTTCAGCCAGAACCCCAGTGCCCACAACAGTGGACGCTTGCAGCCGTTTCAAGTTTGGAAATATTTGTTGCGTAATTAGTGGAAGAGGCCCTCTAATTCCAATGTTAGCTGTCTTTCAAGCTAATAATGAACGTATAAACCAAAATGTGAAGCACCTTTAAAGCGTTTCTCAAGCCAAGGAATATTATTTGCTGTTCACCTAGACGCTATTTTCTTCCACCTGGTTGGTGTCAATCCACCAGGAGACGGGGATATGGCCTGTCGGTAAGGGCTGGCGAGTGAGGTCCACTAGCGGTCCACTAGCCGTCAAGTGTCAAGCTACCCCTCCGCCCCTCCAACTCGCCACGATCATGCTTCTACAGCTCGTTGGGCTGCCCAGTGTTCAACCAACCGACAAAAATTAACCTCTATTCGAGCCAGTCGCACCTGCACATCTGTGCACCCGAAATCCCGAAGCTACCTTCCACCAACCTTTCCAAGGCCGTCGCAGCCCAACGGAGCTCTTCGCCGACAAGGCAATCCAACTCCTCCCACAACTCCTCCCACAACCACCCATACGCTCTGGGGGACGAAGGCGACAAGAGAAAATATGGAGCTAGAGCGTCTGCTGTTTGAGCAGCTCCATATCGACAATGTGCCCCCAACGTACCATGTTCACGCGGCTTTGTTCCGTGACGTGACCAACGCTAAGTTCCTGCACGAGCAGCTGCTCGCGCGGAACAGCGGCTTCGAGTATGCCTTCGTCGACGCTACTGCTATCTTCTCGCGCACACAACTTCTGTCGGCCATCTTTCGTGCCCTAACGGGTCTAATTAACGGCCGGCTAGCGACTCCAAACGTGCACTCCGAGATCGTGCTGTCCTTGAGCCCAAACAACAATGTTCGTTGCTCTTGAATGCTGCATGCAAGCTGGTCTCAAAATGCTCACTTATTCCTCTCCCCAGATTGCCGATGCCTACCGCCGATTTGGAATTACGCCGGGATTGACACAGGACATTATAGTTGTCAAAGTCCTAGCACCGAAAAACTTCACGCACCTCCTTCGCTTAAACGCTCTGGCTGACGAGACGTGGGGGCACCTGAGCGAAAATGTTGCTGGCAAACCCGTGCGTCTTACGGATGACGAGATTAGCAAGACAACGGACTGGACCAAGGTCTGCAAGTACTACAAGCTCAACGATTTGCCAGTAGTCGACGCGGAAAAGGATCCTGTAGCGCGCCGGGTCATGTTGGAGCGCCTCGCTATAATGTCTATGGCCCTGCGCGGAGTCTAGCCCAGCCATACCGGGCTGGAAATGTCAGGGTCCCTTTGGGTTGGACTCGACAGGTCAATCTAATCATACATCTGCTCGGGACCGTACTAGACGAAATGGGCTCATGATCAGATTGGGGATTTAAGAAAGCTTTACGCGGGCAGCGAGTAGGCGGGAGTTTGGGAGAAACAATTTCCAATATGGAACACGGGAACAACAAGAGAGGCATGTTTTCTTCGTTTGCTTGTTCGGTACTTTAGGAGAGTGTGGGATTGCATCTGTGGATAGGGAACAGGTAGCCGGTATTGGCGTTGAATGGTCTTGTGATAACTGCGGTGGTTTTATTAGGTTACATTGACTCGGCAACATCGCAGCAACTGAAAAGCCATGCATTGATCATATCGCGACAGGGCGAGGAATAGCGAACACTGAATTGAGCCAAATCACGAAGAAACCAAAGAGATGCAGTTTTTATTATACTACATCCTAGCTTTCGCCCGCTGTGCTCGCTCCGTGATTCCGCTTTATGAAAATGTTAGTTCGTTAAATGGCGTGTCTTCATGTGCCCTTGGCGATCTTCCAAACCTCCAACCCACACTCAGCCCGCGAAGCCAAACAAGCCTTTGACCCTCCGTAGCAGCTCAGCGCGCATGGCATCCCGGCCATTGCGTGTTCGCTGTACCGCATCTCGGTTCTCTTGGGCACGTCGCAGCAGGTACTTCATACACTCGCCTGTCGTGCCCCAGACTAGATACTTGTAAACCTGTGTTTTTGTAAGGCCGATGCCGGAAACATCAGCCTCGCCGGCGGCACCAGTGGCCACCAGCTCACAGCTCACCTCGTCCGCCATTCCCTGCAGCTGTGCAAAGGCCACCGCGGTACCACGCTCGCCGCTCTCAAGTATTGCCCGAGCCCTGAGGACCGTGTCGCGATTATGCGACGCCAGGACCAGTTCCACAGCCGGGAAGAGGGCCTTTTCCCCGTCCATTTTCTTTGGCCCCCGGAGTGGTGTCCTCCACTGTCGGCGCAGTAGTGCCTCGGCAATACCATCGTAGGCGGCATCCGTATTGGCCTTGGTGTCGTGGATCAGATGCCTGGGATCTGACCCTAGATAGGCACCGCGCACGAGCTTGACTCCTAAGGCAAAGCCCTCGTCGCGGGCAATAGAGAGGTGGTTACTCAGTGTTGAAGGTGTTGCCTTCAGGTATGCCTGGTAGGTGCCGTAGACCACTGCACGGTCATGAGTATTGTACTTGCGCATATACCCGAGAGTCCAGTCGTCAATGCCGGCCTGTACCGCCTGTTGTTCGGCATCGAATAGTAGACGCACGCCCCGCGAGGCCGCGAGCTTGCAGATGTTGTCGATGGCGGCGGCAAGAGCCTCGGACGGCGGGACGCAGCTGGACAAGGCGTATAAGGCTTGCCGGCCTGCGCCAGTAAACTTGAGCGCGACGAAGTCGCCCGGCGAGGCAAGCAGCACCGTTTCCATGGTACCCGCCTCCCAGTGGTTTACCTCGGTACGGATGCAATCTTCAGCAGCAACACCGCCTGCGGAGGACGCGAGATCCCTACTCTGCGCATCCGTGAGCACGACTTCCTTGGCGTACCCCAGAATTACACCGGTGAACCCGATCTTCTTTAGCGACTCGACCGTCTGTCGAACCTCGACCGGTGTCTCTCCGGCGCAGAATTGGGCGTAAAATGTCTTCTTCAGGAGATATTTCATCACTGGATTCCTGTCCGGGTTCAGAGCCGGGTTCGTGGTGTTGGCGAGAACCGACATAATAGCAAGCGACGGCGGGAGGAGGAACGAAGAGGAGGAGATCGTAGTCGTTACGAGCGAGCGAATTACATTGGCCAGAGGCAAGACCGCCAGCGGCGTGAGCTTCGCCATGTCTTCTGGTTGAGGGTTTGGAGCCCGTGATGACAAGACATTGGAAGCGTCGTCGAGACTGAGATTACCGGAAGGCGAGGGGTGGGAAGAAGAAGTGTGGATTGACCGTGAGGAAGTCATGGCTGCCAAAACGGAAAGTAATTGAGACGAAAGAAAGAGCCGTCGCCGGGGGGCTGTAGTACAAATGGAGGCAAACACTGGAGTCGCAACAACGCTTCTTGGGCGTAAATGTGCGATGCCACATGCAAATGACCTGCCAACAAACGAGGTAGGTATCTGTGCCATCTCTTGTAAGCGGCGAAACCCTCAAGGTGGCTTTGTGGCAGGGGATAAAACGCGTCAAGACGGAGACGGCGAGAAAAACAAACAAGACAGGTCCGCAAAAGCCGTTGACGAAGTCAGTTTGACAAGTTTCGAAGCTCAATCGGACCTTTAAGTAGTCAAAGGGTGATTAGATGGACATTGTTGCCAGCAGCCGTCTCCTGCCTTTTATCCCCCGACATCGCATTCTTGCTGCGGCCGGCAAGCTCAAGGCCGGCATGGGCCAACAGGCGGCGCAATTGCGCGGGGAGGGGCCCATTGTGGCCCATTCCAGCCAAACAGCGAACGCCCTCTTTTTCGAAAGGTTCGTAGATCCATAGGGACCGATGATGTTATTGCAGCATCTCTTATCAATAATCACGTGGACTGCCCCAGTCTCGTAGGAAAGGCCGTGGGTAACCGCGATTTGTGGGGGAAATGAGTGCGGGGAGGCGGGACAATCGGCACCGGTCATGCAACATGCTTGACACTGCAGCGCCCACGACTCGATAAAGCTCAAGGCCAGCAGTGCAGGCCAGGAATTTCCAGCGATTCGGGTTCTAGTGGAGACGATAAGGGAAGCCGGCAGCCAATGCGTCAGCATCAATCAAGCGGGCGCTACACCCTTGAGCCGACGCCGGCTTAGCTAGCTGCCCATTCCAAGTTAAACGGGAATGGTGTTGAATAGTGATTGGAGATGTCGCAGGTCTATCCCGAAGAGCAAACCAGACCATTGAGGGGCTTTCAAACTCCAATTGACGCGATTGCTTCTGGCGGGGGTTCGAATAGCTTCTGGGACCCGGCCGAGATCCAGGCGGCTTTGACCGGCCGCGAATGCACCAATTGCGCAGCCATGCGCAAGTGGGTTGCCCCAAAACACCACCTGGGCTTGCCATGCGATAAGAGCTCCAATTGAGTCCGATAGGGGGGGCGGGAAGCTTGCGGCAGGCTATCCGATGAAGCGTATAGTGTTTGCTCAAGCCGTCCGCCCTGACATGTTCTCGCTCGATTCTTTCGACCGGTGTCCTAATGTGCGTTTGAGTGTGTCGACGTATCCAATCGGCCGACCCCTAGCCACTCCAGCAAAGTCCTGCATCCCCCCATAGATGAATCCGACCACCAGGGCAGTCTTTGTAGTTCGGGCAGCCATTGGCAACGAGAAACGATCTAATGCCGAGCAATTACAGCCGTTAGCACACCAGTAGGGCTGGCAATTGGCTTGGGGATGTGTGGTTTGCATACTCCAAAGACTGAAGCCTCCAGCGACAGTAACGCAAGCCGTCACTGTGTTAAAGAGATCGGCGGTCTCGCGGTAGGTATCGAACATGCTTTCAATTGCAACCATGGCCGTCGTCCAGAAAGATATCTTGGCTCCCATTCGGAGGCCCTCGCGAAGACCCCCCGCAGCGACATGGTAGTTTTTGCTCTTGTGATAAAGATACCACCCTGGCGATGATGTCGGCAGCTTATGCGCATGCTCGGCGCGGAATCGGAGGCCGGCCATCATGCTGCCCTGTGTCGTTCCCAAGCTGAGTCCCACCAGAAATGACAAGCCCGAGGCAATGGGGATACGGACGGTGGGCGGGAGGGACAGCCGCAAGGTCCGGTTGATCTCGTCAATCTCTGCTCGAGTCCGAGGCCGGGCTAAAGCCCGGATTCGCTCCCTTTCCTCGAGGGAAGGCATTTGGGTACTTCGGTCTGTAGACGGAAGTTGGTTGTTATAGTTCGCTGGAGGAGAAACCGCAGGGCTGCCAGAGGTCGTAAGCTAGGTTGAATCAGAGGATTGTTGAAAGGGCGGTCGACAATTCCATCCATATCAGGCGGCCGGTTCGCAATGTGGAGCCTCGGGGGGTTATTTCCCAGGCCAGAACTCCACCGAACGGACCGGGCGGGAAAGCGCCACAGACGCGAGGCGGTGTGGCTCGAGCTCAGGTTGAACGCTAAATTAATTTCAGCCTCCCCCGCACCCTTCAGACGCGCCCAAACGCGGATCGCGTGCCATTGTGGAGGCTATTTTGAGCCTTTAACCAACATTTCCATTGTAACAGTGACCACGGCGCCAAGATGGTGAGAATTTCCCTGTCGCCCTATTTTGCTGCTTGAAATCGGGCTCATAGTAAAAATTTGCCGTTGAACTGTTGCTAATCTTGCTCCCCTACGCGACGCAGCCCCGCAACGCGACCCTTACGGCCGACGACTCGGACATCACGATCCGCCTTAAACATGGCGTCCACACCGTCTTCCTGTCTGCCATGGTCGAATGGTCTTTTTCCCGCGTCACCTCTGACCTTCTCGACATACTGCGAGAACGTTACCCGCGTGGCCTAACCACATCGATTGCCCCGCCGAAAACCACACCTGTTCCTGCTTCAGACACCGATGCGAAGGTCGTATACGCGCTACCTAACAATACCAACGACCTATCGGAGGGATGGTCGCGACTTCGCGTCAAAGGAACAGACACGCTAGCCGACAAGAGGCTGAAGGATATGTCCATTCTCGCTTTTGCTCTGCTCGACCCGGAAGACAAAGACGACGAGGCCGACTTTGACGTCGAGCTACCTATCTTGGAAGAAGAGGGGGCGTAATAAAGAGCATACCTCTTTCATGCTTGTCATTTGCGTATGTATTGGAGAAGCGGGAGACACAACTGGGCTCATTTCAAGATGGCGTTTACGGCTGGAAAAGCAATACCCGCGAAGATATGGGAGACAGCGTCCTGAATACTTCACACCACTATATTAATATGGCTTATATATTAAACGAACTCTATGTGCATCAATAGGAGTCTGGTTCTGGAGCATGCATTCATCGCAGCCCGGGACGGTATGGCATTCACTTGCTTTCAATTGGCGGGTCCCTATCCGAAGCATACACGCACGCCTGTCTCACTACACCACTAGACCGAGGAGAGACTGCTGTCTCAAAGGAAAGAGTCTGCTACCCAAGTTATCATTCTTTCACTTTTCCGTAGTACTCTATCCATCGCAGTTTGGCGCACGCGGTCTACTCATTAATAATAGACTGTATCTCCCCCTGATTGTTTCGATTCATCCGGGATAGGGGGGTATTTTTGTGCTGGGGATATTCACTACACAACTGGGAATGAAAGACTGGTATGCGGTAGCTAATACACACCCTGGGCAGACTTCAAATAGTATTGGAAGGTGCGGTCTTTGGAGAGAGTAGTGATAAGCAATATCTCAGACGACGACATTGATCCCTTCGTCAAATCTACCAATTAACGACTTCCATACCCGTCAGGGCTACAAAAACGCCCTGGCCAAGTCGTTTTTGTAGCTCTGACGAGTACTGGGGAACGAGAATGGTGGCACGTATAATGAATGGTTGTCCTGGTGATCTGGGCTTGTATTGTTATATCGTCTCTAGCAAATTCTCTAGCAAATTCTCATGGCCTTCCCTTACCTAGGGAAGTGGGTAATGCCGCAGGATCACCAAGGATATGCTGATAAGTTCGATACAAACCAGCAATTACAGGAGTAAACATTTCTAATTTCAGAACGCCAACAGACGATATCGTATAAGCCGGAGTGGGCTCTATGGGATAATGAGATGCTAAGATAATACCCCGGATTTCAGCACCACGCACAGTCTCCTTTTTGCTTTCCCCCTGGTGTCTACCTTAGGTATGTACCTACATATATGTTCATTACTTTTAGTCGCAGAGTCCTCTGACTCAAAACTCACTGTCGCCTTTTGCCTTCAGATCGTAGTCACTGTCCAGTCCCTTCCTCAGCTTGACCTGTCTCTCCAAGAAAGTGATTGCAATGCCAACGCAAGAGAGAACCAAGAAAACAATCCACGTCACTCTCAGACTCGACGAAAATGCCGAAATGATCTCTGTCTTGACCTGCGGGCCGAACCTCGAAACAAAAGCCGCCGTTGCATGCTCGTAGGCACGGCCGCCTCTCAGCTGGTCCTGAGCGGCCGCGCTGTGAATGGTCTGCAACGTGGTTGAGAACTGAGCATTGAAGGCGGCATTGGGGACGGCGACGCCAAGGAGAGAACCCAGGCCACGAAGGAATGCCCACGAGCCCGTTGCCGCAGCGTTCTCTCTGTCGGTCAGCTCGACCAGGACGGTGGGCAACGTCGTCGAGACAATGATGCCAGAGCCGATGCCGACCAAGAAGGAGAACATTATCCACAAGGCTACCGAGTCTGCTTGATCGAAGACGGTGCAGAGTAGAAAGCCGACGGCCATCAGAACAAAGCCGGCCTGGTGCATCAGTCGGTATTTTCCAAACCTGGCCAGCAACGGCCCACCGGCGGCAGCGATGACCACAATCGTCAATGTGCAAGGCAAGATGAGCACGCCGGACTCGGTGGGCGACGAGCCCATGACGGCTTGGAAAAAGGGCGGTAGGTAGAACTGGAAACCGTACGTGACGAATCCGTGCAGCACCGTGACGACAAACCCGGCAATGGTGGTGCGATTCGAGAAGACGTGCGGCGCCATGATGGGGTGTGCGCACCACCGGCAGCGTTCCCACGCGGCAAAGACGACGATGCCCGACGAACCGAGAGCCACGGTTCCCGCAACCGCCGGCGAAGACCACGAGTAGGCCGCGCCTCCCGAGGTCAGGGCGAAGAGCACCAGGACAACCGAGGCCGTCAGCAGACCGATGCCCGTGAAATCGATGCACTTTATCCGCTCCAAGATAGGCACTTCGTCCCAGCGCTGGCCAGTGTTGACCTGAAGCCAGCACCATATCATGACCAGAGCCGCAACACAGACGGGGATGTTGACGCCGAAGCACCACCGCCAGCTCGTCTCGGCAAAGACACCACCGAGGACAGGCCCGACCGTCGTCCCCAGCGCGTACACGGCGGCCTTGATGGCCACGTAATGGCCTCTCCGCTTCAGGGGGATGATGTCGCAGAGGATTAGCTCGGCGAACAGGTCAATGCCCCCCGACCCCATGCCCTGGGTGATGCGGCCGAAGATGAGCATGGCGCCGCTAATTGCCGCCCCAGAGATGGCGCTGCCGATGCCGAACAGCACCACGGCCACCATCATCAGGTGCCGCCGGCCCCAGATGTCGGCCAGCTGTCCGTAGAGGGGCTGGCACACGATGGAGGCGAGCAGGAACGCCGTCGCCACCCACGACGAGTCGGGGCCGAGGTTTAGCGCTTGTGAGATGGTCGGTAGTGCCGTGCTGACCACGCTCCCTTCGAATGCCGAGAGCAGGATGGGAACGCACACGGCAATGAAGCATCTCCAGAACCCCTCGCCTCGGGCCCACTCGACCGTTGGGGGTTTCTGGCAAGCGTATCCCTTCTCGTCCGACAGCGATGACGAAGACGAGGACGGAGAGTGGGACGGCGGTATCGCCAGTGATGTGACATCTGACAGAGTTATGGTGGCGCTCTGGGACGAGGTAATGGAGCGGCTCGGGCTCGACCTTCTGTCGTCTGCTGTCTGCTCTTTAGATGCCGAGTGAGACTCCATGGCGACCGAGCCGTGGGTTGCTATCCGGGTGATGCTGTCCTGTTGGTCGTAGTTACGCGTGTCGGAGTGTCGCATTTTTTTAAACAAGTTGTAGTGAGTGTGGATGTCCTGTCCGGACTCTTGAGCTCCTTTCTCGTCCGGACTAGTATCAAATACCTAACGTAGGTAGGCACAAGTGCCCGAGTGGTAAATTGGTTAGTTGAACGAGATGCTGATCATGAGATGAGAGAATGCAGGATACCGACCAATGTTGGCAAGCACCCGCGACCATTCTACCGCCTTATAAGGACTTGCTCTCAAGCCATCATGTGAGTAATTTGTGATGATCTTCCGCCGGCTTGGCCCATCCCCCATCTCCCCCACTCCCCTTTCCGCAGAAAGACACACGCTATCTGTCACGCTCGCTCTCTGTGTGCCGTCGAGAAGATCCCTCCCTGTCTAGGGTCCAAGGTCTGCAAGGTTCCTGGTGTATTTTGCCCCCCCTGCTTTATGACCTTGTGCAATCATCGGAATCTGATCGGGCCACGTACGGTTTTCAGAGTCCGACGACTCACGACACGCCCCGAGCCCTCGGCACAGAACCTGGCATGACTACAGAGTGCCCCTACTATCCTGCCACTTGCATTTCACTGGGAATTTGGGGATTTGAAATGTGAGACATCAGAGCTAAAATCTTCTACTCTCCCGGACTGTTTGATGTTGTCCCATTCCAATGTCCTACTGGCTTCCTAGTTTGTGCAGATTGAGGAGCTCGCAGATTGATTCTTTCGCGTTGCCGCCGGATGCGAGGGCCTTTCGAATACTGTCCCCCCTTCCAAGGCCGTAGCGTGCCGAGGCGTGCAACGTCTACGAGATCCAGAGCTGCGCTGCTGGATAGACGTACAATCCAGGCTCGCTTGGTTACACGCAGCTTCCCCACTGGCAAACTGTCACGGGCTTGTGCACGCCGCGGTCCCGTTGACAGCAGCATTATCTCTTGTCATGAAGTCATTGCACCACACGTACACCAGCGGCTGCGACATGGGACGCGGGATGCAGCCCGCTGTAACTCTAGCACAGGCTAGCTAGGGAGGTACTTTCCTTAACATGCCCTCTCTATATTTTCTTTCAGAAGTGGCTGGGCTTTGGCGTCATAGACTTCAGCAGATTGGACTACAAATCTTATCACAGACGTCTGCAAAACTCAATTCGATCCGCATCTGTTACCCAGGTACCCGTATCAAGTGGCCGCCAAGAGATACAACGCATGAAACATCAAGTCTCGCACCGCATGGCCGATCCCATACATACCCAACGGCCCCATACATCCGGTTGCGTTGGGATCGTACTATGTTGCTCTCTTCGTCGCGTCTCATGCCGGCGGGGAGGAAAGGCTCAGCTGCGGCCGCGCCCACAAAGTTGCCACTCTCCATATTAGAGCAAAAAGCGCCGTTTTAAACCCACCACTCGGGACCTTCACGACAGATGATTTGCAATTTTGCTTTCCTATTTGTTTCACAGCAAGTTCTCTCATGACCCCACGAGATAGTTACTTTGTTTTGAGTCGTTACTCTTAACTCGTAGCAATTCCCTCACATGAGGCCAACCTTGATAGAAATAAGATCCGACCTCGGCCGACTCCTTGGTTTCCTTTCCATGTGCGGTTTTAACAACAGGGCACAATGTATACAGAGAACTTGCCACAAGCAATGTGCGTGTCCAAACTCTGCATTGAGCCAGTGAGGTTGAGGAATTCGTCAGCCTTGATGGAACTGGGCTCCCATGCCCATGCCTGTGGTAGCGTGCCAGCTCCCTGTCGCTAGGAATGCGGAAATCTGTTGGTCTCTGCCCCCCAGCCACAGAATTAGACTCGTATGAAGGGAAGACCTGTAATACCCAACTGATACCGAGCACGTTGAACCCAATTGCCATTTACATCGGGGTATCACGCATTGTGTGTTGCAACGGCTCCGTAACTGCGTGATACCAACACCCGAGATCGGAGTGTCTGACAGACCGCATCCAACCAGATACTAGGAATTATTGAGACAAGTTCGCATTCTACATTTATTTCGAAACTCGTCAATTGAGCTGTCAGATGGAATTGGCGGCTGAAAGCAGCCAATTGGCCTTGCTAGTTGACAATATTGAATTGTCAAGTGCCATTACTGTATAATAACTGAAGAGGCAAGGGATTATTGAGCCGGTTAGCACCGGATGAAGTTAAACTTTCCAATCAGATTGAGCTTCTGCTGAGGGGAAGCGCATGAATTCTAAAAGTCCTTGTACCAGTGTCCCTTACCTACGTAGGTGCTCATTGGGTTGAGCAAAGTGCCGATAATATAGCCAGAGGTCAGAAGAGACCGCACGACTAAGGCACTTGTGATAATAGCCTGATTGATCTTTTCTGCTCCCAAAGATTTAGAGAAGGTTTATTAGTTATCAATTCCCATAACACCAACAGTACACCAAATTGAGTATATCTAATAGCATATTCTAATTCATCTGCTTCAATATGGCTTGCCTTGGAGAAGGACCTCCGCAAATATCTGATAGTATAGGTGTCGACAACTTCAAACCACGGTCTAGTTGAAGATATCCATCACGATACTCGTCACGTAGGTATGCTGTCAGAATTTGGTATTCGGTACTCAGGCCGAGACTAGCAACCCGTATGTTTTAGAATGCTTTGATTGTGAGTCGAGCCACCATATTAGGCTGCAAGGTTATGTCTCGACATAATAAGTTCTAGACTCTGACGTTATCAGCTAATGCAATCAAGATTTCCTTCTGTTGTGGGGCGGCTCTGGGAACTATAGTAGGAGTGAAACATCTGTAGCGGGACAGAATACCAATCAGCTAGCTGACGAGTAGCCATACTGTGTGGGATGTCTATCTTACCACAGGTGTCTCTTTTGCGCCTGTTGGCGTAAAACAAATACATATTGCCTAGCATTCTAGGCAACAGCAGCTATATAGTCGCAACTCCCACCACACACTGAGCTACGATGGATGTAGTGGCTTTATACTGATTGTCGTAGTTTTTAGAATCTATTCTAAACTGCGTTCAGCGTTTAGAAATTTAGTTAAACCTGTAGAGTGAATGATATAAGCGCGCACTATGAAACGTGTGAGCAGACCGAGGCAAATTCTTTATGATAGATCGCTTCATGTCCGATCCAAGTTTACTAGGCATGCCCGCAACAAAGGTAGTTGCACTATGAAAGAGGAGATGTGAAAAAATAAAAACGAATAGGGAAGATTAAATTTATCCTCCACTCCCAAAACTACACGCAACTCCTTGTTTTTACGTGTCTGTAGTGCCTTGAGATGTGTAGGAAACCACGATGTGCGGAATTGTCCATGGCCGTGGGACTATGTACGCCTCTAGATAGGTACCTGACTTTCACCCGATATCGATGCTTCAATTAATTACCAGGAACAGCACCAGTTCTTAGAAGAGAAGCATAAGAGACCGCAAGAGGAAGTTTGGTCCAGGAATCAGCCAATACAATAAAACAACAATACAGAGCGAGTTGAATCACTGTACTTCTGTAGTAGTTATTGTGTAGATACTGGACCACAGAAATGCTGCTTCCCCAACCTCTGGTCTCGATTCAGTACGGCGCAACATGGCCGGTAGCCAAGCCTGGCTAATAACGTGATTTGTCTTGGCTTCTCCACAACCAAATACGGTGTTTCATTGGCAAACATTCTCACAAACTTGAAAGCGCTACGGCCCTAGCGACTCCGGGCCGATCTACATTCCATCCGCCTTGGCTGACCTAGTGCGTATTCCGAGGTTGAATCCTGGGCAGAAAGGGCCCGCAGCAAGCACACGGAAAGTCGCACCGGAGTCTAATTACCGTCTAGGGTTGCTTCTCTCTACCTTCAAGCCAACATTGACGTCGCAAGGCCTCGCCATACGTTGCACAGCATGGTAGCCGAAAGGGGATTTATCCATAGCCAGCGTAAAGTTCAGCTGCTGTAACACAGTCTCGGGACCTGGGGAGAAGGAAACTTCCGGCACAGTCAAAATTGGCTATATATTGAGTTTGACATAGCCGGCTCTTGCACTGTAATACTCCACATTCAACTTCCATGATGAGCGACCTTGGATATTCGCAATCCCACAACCTCTTGGTCCAACACAACCTACCTCTCTAAACATACCAATAAATGAAATGATGTCCGCCTCCTTTCTCTCCAGGGGGCTGCTCGCTTCGGCTATGGCACTGGGTGTGCTTGGTAACCCAATTGCCTCCGAAATCCGCCAAGACCTCTCCCCTTGCGCTACAGTCCGCTGCGCGGCCAACACGACATGCGAAGTTATTAACGGCAACCAGGCCAAGTGTGTTCTTGACAAGGGGGAGATATGCGGCATAACTGTTTGCGCGGCGGATCTCGTCTGCTGCAACCCGTCTTGCGGTATCTGCACGAGGCCGAACATGGCGTGCACGCAACAAGTCTGCGAAGTCCCCCCACAAAAGCAATGCGGCACAAAACTGTGCCCAACAGGCCAGGTTTGCTGCAACTCGAGCTGCGGGATTTGCACCCCCCCTGGTGGATTCTGCACACAGCAATTCTGCGGTTGACGAACTGGGTGGTGGGACACGGGACGGGATTGGCGGCATTGGGTCGAAATTGGAAAAAGTGTTCGGCCCTCAGCATCTGTAATTACCTTCTCTTCACCAGCTTCTACAGAACTGGCGACTCTTTTGGGTTGCTCTCTCTGAATGGATTCAACTTTGCGCTCTGCTATCAAGATTAATATCCCCAGCCCAGCTCGGAAGATCATCCTTTTATTCTGCTTCGCAGTGTTAAATCTAGTAGGTACGACGGCGATTTGATCGACACTCCAATGATCTTCTACCTTGTCGACATGTTGAGAAGGGAGATTTGCGTGCAACGAATTTCTTGAGAACTCGTGCCCCTAGACTACTAAACCCCTACCTAGGTAAGTTGCGAAATCCTCTTACCTCATTCTCTCCGTACACAGACACCGGGCGAGCGGCACTCGCGCGGCATGTGGTGCACAACGGAGATAACGCATAGCATATTGCCTAGGTACACTGAACTTGCAGATCACACGACAATGTTACCGAAGTGGCCAGCAACATTCCCCACCACGCGGGTTTTGGGGGCCTACTTTCCTGGCTGGTTACGTAGTCTGCCATAGTGGCACGGAGGTAGACAGCACCTTCTCGCTGATGGTCTTGAGGCCACAGTTTGAGATGAAGACAGCATTCTCGGGATTGGAGAGATCTAGGAGATCATTGCCCAGACAGACGACACGGGCACTGACGCAAAAGAGGCCGCGGAAGGCATAGTTTTGATGAGTTTACATGCCTCTATGACCTCCAGCTACAAATAGGGGGTGTGAGGAGGATAGTTTAGAACCGCCATAACTACAGTCAGGTATACATCTGAGTGCTCTTTTTTGTGTTCTGCTTGCCTCCCTGGTCTCCGTGACCGTGAATTCGCAATTTGCTCTACTGCCTCTACTGTCCCTTCCGGGTTCCGAGCCGTGCGGCCGGGCATTCAGCTTGGCTGCGCCGAGTTCCTGCTGTACTAGACTGCCACAAAGGTGGCCGCCATGGCCAAACCGGATGAGTATGCCGGCCCAGTAGCGCCTCAGACGGCCGAGCAGCTGGTTGCGCTGCCACACAACAATACTAGTACTCTGCTCAGTGGTGTAGTCTGGACTTTGACAGGCCTATCCGGCATGTTCCTAGCCCTGCGCATGTATTATAAGCTCCCGAAACGATAGGGGCTATGGTGGGAAATTATGGCTCTTATTGTATCTTGGGTCATGTGCCTGCGCATTCAGCGCCAGTAGAAGTGGTGGTAGCCCGAGTTGATTAGGTAGGCGATAAACGTATTCGGTCTGTATCATTAGAGGGAATGTAAGATCCCTGGGGCCATCTTTGAATATCTTTGCGATTGTTAAATATTTGATTTGGTACAGATCCAACCTCTGGTGCATAAAAATCTGTACAGCTGACAATTTGAAAATTTCCATCAAAAGTCTGCAAAGTTCTTCAAGAGGAGAGCGGCAGGACCCACTTTGACTTTCGTGAGTGGCCCGGCCCAAAGTGCGGCACGTGAGCACGCGACGGACCACCCCGAGAATAATCCTCCACTTTCTCAACCGTGTCCGGGTCATTCCACACCACCATCTTTAACCCACACCGCCAAACTACTCCGCGAGGTCCCCATCCGTGCCTTTTGGGGCCTCTGCTTTGGCCCAAAACATCGAGGCGTTAGAATCCATGTCGATGACCAACACAGACGCAAACCAAACAATGCAGCCGCAGTTGGCGCAACCAGCACCGCAGCCGTCACCACCTACCGCCTCAGAGCCTTCCGATGCCGCCGCCCAGGAGGCGCTCCAAGCGGCGCGCTATGCGAGGACCGGCATTAAACCGCCCCGAAAACTGGATAGTCGCAGGCGCTTCAAGAATTTCATCGATCGCATCAACCGTCGCCAGTGGGAAACCCTGGGGGAAGGCATCCACCGCCGGCTCGCCTACAATGGCCGTGACATGTCTCAATACGAACTCATCCAGCACCTGAAGCAAGAGTTCGCGCCCAAGACACACACCACAATGGAGATAGTCGCTCTTGTCGGCGGCAAAACTGACGAGGATGGCTCCATTGGTGCCCGCCTCCGCGTAAAGCATCAAGTCGTCCAGGGTCCCTACCTAACCTCGGCAGCCAGACGACGCTTTGAATATGCGCGTCACATGTTCGTGCAGTATACCGCTGGTAAAATCAGTGAGATCAGCGACATTCCCGACGAGGATGAGAGGCGCCGCGAGCCGAAGCACATCCTGCCGCCTCCTGGCTTGCGACCGCCGCCTCCTCGCGTATCAATCGACCTTGGACAGTTCTACACCGACTACATCGCTTGCATCAACGGCGGCAACATGACCAGAGAGCTACAGAGGTTTTGCAAGTCGACCGGTGTCACTTGGAATGGTTCCAAGCTGGCCGTGGACCAGTACCGCAAGCTGATGGAGGGCGCATTTGACGCTATCGACGGCCTCAAGTTTATCGCGCACACAGTCTTGGTTGATGAGGCGAGGCAACAGATTGCTGTGCGAATCGATTTCATAGGGACGCCCGTTAAGCCGTTTGGGGGCGCCTTCCCAAATGGCAAGCAAGTTATCTTTTCCGAGCACGCCTTTTACTGGCTCGAGCAGGGAAAGATATCGGATGTGCTGACAATTGTAGACTGGGAGAGCTACAAGTCACAGCTAATCCACTGACTGGGCGAAGCCGAAAGCCGCCGGAGCGCTGGTCTAGCTATACTTTTTCCCACATGAATCATTCTCAGCCCCTTTGGCAAATCCTCGCATCAAGCATTCATTCCTCTCGGTAGCACGCAATTTGCAACTCTATGAATCGCAGCTAGGCCTAGGAGTCCGTGATGAGCAAAAAAATTAGTGCATATCAATTTGACATTTGCGAGGTTATTCGCAGGTATTTCAATGCAATAAGCTTACCTCCAAAAGACGTTTACCGAATCCAAAGCTCTGAAATATCCCGTTGCCATTGCATAAACCGCCTTATGCGCCAAGTCGATTATCTGCTCCCCAAACGGCCACGTCCTGGCACCACCATTTGATCGGCTAGTTAGTGCGTTACGTATCGATGTGCCGTTGGTTGCAGGAGGGGTGAGACCATAGTCGGCCGAGCCACAGGACGAAGCTTACCAAGGTAAGGCGCCAACGCCTGTCCAGCTTTCCAGAGTCTGGTCGACTAGCAGCCGAAGACTTGTAAACATTGAATCTGCAAACGGGCCGCGGATTCCATGGTAACTCATCAGCGCACGGGCAACGCCAACCACAACACCCTGCCCGTAGTGCATCGCCATGTTCAGGCGCCATAGCTGCTCAGCCGATCGCGGTTTTGTACCGAGCAGGCATGCCAGCGTCTTTCCGGGCAGCTCGGCCCGTGAACAATTGCTCGACCTTCTCGCTGGCGGTCATGCTGCGTTGGGTGTGAAGTCACCCTCGTCAGCCTTCTAGGCTGATAGCATCGAGGGGCTGTAAAGTCTAAGAGACTCACACGGCCACTCTGAGAAACCCGGCGCTAGCGCCATACAGGATGACGGTACTCCAGGGCAGCCTATGATACGGCCGATGAACGTCGGCAGGTTTGGGAGACATGGTGTGAAACGATCAGTGAAGATCGTCGCTGATCGTGATGTTACTCGTCGTGAAGCACTCCGGTAATGGACTGCAAACAGCGGTCCTTATTGTCAATTTCGTTATGAACGCTGGCAAACAAGGGGCGGAAAACTGGTACAGCCAAAGGTATTACCAAGTCTTTCTTCAATTTGGGGAGCGGAAAGGAAATATCTACCCACCTACCTTTGCATATGGATGATGGCATATTGACGCCATATTGGTCGTCAAGGTACTTAATTAGGTATTTACTTGGCACTGGGTGGACAACTGCCCGTTGCCCTATGTTCAAATTTCTTCACTTGAAGGATTCCGTAAGTATTATAGTCCAAACGCCGTCAGTTGCTACCCGAATGGGTAAAGGGGACCAGTCGGTTGACCAATACTGAAGCTTTGACCTACATTCGTAAAGAAAAGGCCTTTGTCAAGGGCATCTAGTAGCAAAAAATACTACTATCTAGCACCGTTTCACGTCGCCTTGTGCTGAAAGTACGCAGGTTCCTTGATAAATATGTGATATTCGTGACGTGTTGAATACATTAAATCCGTCTTTACTCCGGGTATCATTATAACGGACGCCGATATCCAGCTTACGGCCGCGTGGCGGGCAATCAGCCCCAAGCCCTAATTGCAACAGGTTGCTGAGGATTTTTTTAAAAAATTTTAAAAAAAAAGTAAAGAAACAAACACTTGTTTTGTTGCCCGAGCGTGATATATGCAATCCTGGAACGACAAATAGCGCAGCGAAGCGGTTTGCATAACTAGTCCATTGCGTCAAGTCCATCAAAATGCGGCATTGCTTTTCCGCCCGTCGCCTCGCAATGAGAGGCTATACTCGGAACGCTTCCGAATCATGAAGGCCAGACCAAGAAGGAGATCGGTATCGTAGCGGCCGGCGGGGCCATGCATGACGGAGCGCACTACACGGCCGGCAAGGCGTTCAGCCGTCATCTCATTGCTCTCAGCAGCGTCCGCAATGTCACCCCACAGGTCAAGTAGTAGCTTGAAGAGTGATCGGGCAGGCCCGCGAAGGCCTAACAAAGCTTCTTCCCAAAAATCGATGCCTTGGTCGAGGCGCATGGCCAGCGACCCGCTAATGGTAGCTTGCCTGGAGAGTGTGATCCACCGCTTGCCAACTGACTCGGGCACAAGCGGTTGCGGGAGCTCCGACAGGAACAGTAGAATAAGGTCGGCGGCCTCGAAGACGGTATAGCGCCGCCAATCGAGGTCCTTGCCGAAATTTGTCGAGGCCGAGGCAAATACTTCCTTTAATTCGTCGAGGCATTGCGGGTCGGCGTCCTGGCCGAAGACGTGTGGCGTACTTACTCCCTGGTCTCGGATGAAGTATATGCATCGGAGAACACACAGCGGGTACTCGCGAGTCGAAGACCTGCCGCCATCGTGGTGAGTGCCTGCGAGCCCCTTTGCGACGTACATGCTCTTTGCAAGTGACACCCCAAATATGGCATCTGGTTCTAGGATCTCGGCCGGTGTGGTGATTTGATCGTCGGCCTTTGAGAAAGGCAGTACCTTGTGGCTGAAGCTTCTGAAAGTGGTTGAGAGGCGTGAACTGCTCCGCCGAACCAGACCATGTCTGACCGGACCGGAAGTTGGCATGTTCGAGCCCGAAGTAGACGGACGAGGCGAGGCAAGACCATCATCGCCAGGGTTTTCCCAAATTGATCGCCGCACCTGGCTCAAGGCTCGACCCATTCGGCTGCTGGGCCTGCTGGTACCGCCAGCAACAGGCTCAGGGTTCAGGGGAGGAGCAACCTCAGTCACAGCGGTAAGGAAGGACTCGGAAGCCGGATATTGCGAGCCTTGGGGTGAGAAACTCCAACTGCGGGAGTGACCAGACAACTGGCCTGTACCAGGGACGGGCCCGCGGCAGCTTTCAGACATTGTGGGGCGTATGTCAGGAGAGCTGCGAACAGAGGGAACACCCATCCTTGCCAGAGACCTTGGCGGCGGAGTAGGGGCCCTACGGGGCATCTCTCTGAGCTCATCGAGAAGTTCGTCAATCTCGTCGACGGGAATACTGCCACCACCATGAGGTGCGCTCAATGATCTTCCGTGTTTTATCGCTGGAAAGCTTGTCTCGTCCCCGCTCATCTCGATAGCACTGTCGGGAGCCTCTCCGACGGATGACGCGGCGTCAGGACGGCGGTTCTCAAGCTGTTCAAGCTCCGTATCGACCGCAGACACGGCATGGGTATATAATGCATCAAGGAACTGCTGGATGCTAGCCACGGCCCCGTTCTGCTGGGATTCATTCCGTAGCCTAGCCGTAACGTCACTGATCCGGGCCGCCACTTTTGCCAACTCGCTCTTTTCGTCCAAATCGACAGGGTGTTCGGCCTTGTTCGGGTCTCTTGCGAGGGTCGAGTCGACACTGTTGGGCTCGGTGGAAGAGGAAGTTCTGGCACGGAGGCATACGTTAGCCTCCAAGCACCTTGACACCCAAGCACTAGGCGGGGGGGCTCTCACAAAGCAACCAGGTCAACGGCAAGCCCAAGTGTGGACTTGTAACCTTCAAGTGTCCATCTGAGCTTCTCGATGTGGTCTCGGCTAGCCATCCACCTCGACTTCTTGTCCGCTTTAGAAACGCCCTCGCGACCGAGGACCGATATGCAGCCATCCAGCTCGTTGACGATGGTCAAGCACTTTTCCAGCACTCTGGGGGTCTTGTTGGCCAGCTGGGCCGGGAACGAGTCTGCGTCGTCTTTCAGCAGGTCGAGGACACCCTCGAGTGAGTGTAGCTCGCCGGATATGGCATCGAGGTCGGAGCGCGATTCTCGCACGTCGCGGACAAATCGGTTCAAGGCAAGGGAAGTCTTCGCGATGGCATTGCTCGCGGCAAAGCAGCCCGTTTTGATCGATCTAGATAGCACGGATTCGGGATTAGAATCAGCCATGTTGAAGAGATGCAACGATGACAGTGGTCGGTGCATCAACCGGTGCAGCGGTCGATCAGCGGAGCGATTAGAGTAGCGATCAGGGAGCGATCGAGCTAACTGCTCAGTGCAGAATCGCGCCGCGATTTCGGGGCTGACTGCCATCAAGAACGAGTAGTAAGAAGAGTGACTTGCATCCAGTCCATCGTGGCAGCGGCCCTTTTCGCCCCCGTCTCAATATTACGCGCAAATTGGTTGCACTGCAGAAAGGCGCAGACCGTAAGCCCAGAACCCAAGCCCCGAGCCGTCCGACGCAAGTGAAGATGACGGGAGGAGGTCGAAGAAAGTTTGCGCATCCATAGTTAGGTTGCTGCTAGCGAACGAGCTCAAATTTAAAGTAGACGCACAAGCATCTCGCAAGCCTGTCCCAGTTATTGACCTGTATCTGGTCACGTAGATGGAACAGGCGCTTGGATCCTGTTGGATATCGCTCTGGCCTCGAGAGCGTCGATCCTGCCCCTGCCCGACTTCTTTTCCATCCCACTGCCAGCGCCTGTGCCGGGACTTTTGGGGGTGACGGGTGACGGGAGGTGGGGAAGTGGGGTTACATTTGTCCTTTAGCGCCTATTCACTTCGGGGAGAGCAGGTCGATATTTGGCCTGCCCAATCCTGGTTTTCTTGGCGCACGAGCCCCTCCCGCCCGCCCCCATTGGGTGCGCTAGAAGCCACAGCTCTCTGAACTGCGGTGCGGGGATGCGGGGCGACGCCAGGAACATGCTTTTCATGTACTGAGATGAATCGGAGAGGATTTGTTTGGGGCCAAAGTGCCTGAACTTCGAGGCTCCAGTGTGTTCTATCCGCAGCTAGGTTAAAGGTTCTGGCGATCTAATATCAGAAAAATAGCATCGCTATTGGCTAGGGCATAGGAATCTGGGTGCACTTGCTACTGCACTGCAGCGGCGGGCCAGATGCGGTGTGCTGCGGCACGATTGGCACAGTCCCCTTATCGAGCACCTCAATCTCGCAACCAGGCATAATGTGGCCAGAACCACCAAATACAGGTTAATAGCGTGAAACGTTACCGAGTTCGGGCTACAACGTCCTCCCACCCCAGACAAGGATAATGGACAATTTTTCCAGGAGCTTTGATCACAGTCTTGGGTAGCATTCGAAGATATCAAATGACCAAGTGTTCACCAACCAATGATGTTTTCTTTCGCCTACCTAAGTACTCTACTAGAGCGACGCTCACAGTTACCCGCCAATGACTTGAGTTCGGGAATCGGAGGGGTCGCATTTCGCAAGCCCAGAAACCCCGAAACTCCGCCTTGAAAATGGACCAGCCAATAGGAAATATTGAAGAAATAAGTTCCAATGTATGCACCTAGGTAGTTATCTAAATATTTCCAGATCCTTGAAACTACGGTACCAACCTCTAGGATTGCTTAATTCATTAGAAACCGGGCAATATTTAATTAGCCAGGGTGGCTATTGCTTCTTAAGGTCCGACCAGCGTTGGAATTTCTGTGTAGGTATGTACATGTAATAAGCTTGCCTTATTTAGTATTTGACTGGTAACTTCAGGACCTGTTTAGTAACCTCTGTGAAAATACTAAACGAATTGTCTACTCGGCATATTTGCTAAATTCCCTCCAAGCACCCAGTCACTTCTCTTTTCGCATGCCTTGAAGAGCAATGAACAAGTCCCAAAGTGAGGTAGACTTGTCTCTGCCAGTGCAAAAACTCATAGAACACAACAACGATCGTGATAAGCATAACACTCTCCTTAAAGGAACTCCAAGACGTCTCTCGGGGCACACGAAATATGAATATCTTATATACAATGCCAATCACACCCAATAGGCAGGACAGGGTTGGCTTCGCACGTTGACATCAACAAGCTATGGTTGCCATTCAAGACTCAATTTACGGAAGGCATTGGCCTGATTTCGCAGTGTCAGCTTTCGTCTCGGCTCGCACGGCCAATCTCATTCCGGGTCAACTCACTATACCATTCATTTGAGGGTTTGCAGCTACCTGATTGGCAGGCCGTGGCCCCAGTCCAGCCACTTCCACCGCACTGGCCATATAGTGGGACGGAGCCTGATCCGCTCGTGGGCGCAGGAGTTGCAATTGTGGACAGAGTCGTAGGCGTAGAACCGGAATTGCCGCCATTGCCGCCATCGGTGCAAACAAGTACAGCAGGGCCGGGGATTGAATAGGGTCGGCCACCGTTCGTAGGCTTGCCGCCCGCATCGTATATGCTTATCTGGATGCCTGGGTGGGTTGCTGAGTATGCACCCGGAAAACTGACCGTGTTGGAACCAGTCGTCGTGCCGGAACCTGTAACTTGAATCCTAGGAAGAGCCAGGGGAATGAGCCTCGACCGTCTCGGCATTTTCAAGAGAGGCAAGGGAAACCTACTGGGCACATTCCATGTAGAACTGGGCCAAACCTTGGGTACTGGCGCTATGAAGAGCAATAATTTCGACACGCATGAGGTAGTTTCCTGGGGCTATGCACGAAGGCATAGAAAAATAGTGCCAGCCCTGATTGGCAATCATGCTGTCCACTGCCCAGGTGCCGCCATTCAGTCCGTTTTCGGCAATCTTGAACCACTTGAGACCCGTCGTGCCGGCCGTGGCAGCATTGTCAACCTTGGCAAGATATACCATGATGGGACCTAAACAAGTTGCATTTATCAGCCAAGACAACTTCTCTGGTTGAGATATATACCTTTGGTACCTGCATACCTTTATGGCTGGCTGCAATTGGGTTGTCGGCGTCGTTAGGACCAGATGCGCCGCCGATCTCATGTCCCCACCATGCTCCAACCTTGGCGCCAGCCGGAATTGTAATGATATTGCTGTCCTTGAACTTGAGGTTTGCATTGCAAGCAAATTCTGCGTGGTTGACATTCTCGATCGGGTTGTTACTCGAAGGAGCGCGAACACCTTTGAGCTGGCCCTGATCAACACCATTGACTGAAACTTTCTGGAAAATAGTATGAGCTTCAGCGGCCGCAGCCATCGTAAGGAGTGCTAGAAACTTCATGTCTGACAGTGTCGAAGATGCCCAGGCCACATTGAAGTGCAAAAGAGAATATGAGACAGACAGGGCAGATATCTCAACGCTTTATATACTTGAATCATGCTTATGGCGTTGGTACTGTTTCTTCGTGGCGCACTTCCAATACACGTACTGTCTTCGGTCGACGGTGCCCGTGGCCCTTGTAACTTCTCAAAGTGGATGCGGAACACAGCTTCCAGAAACGAATGTAACGCGGGCTTGGGATAGTATATCATGCTTCCAATAACTTCTCAGGAGTAGTGGCAAAACGTGTGGGGTTTTGCGGTCCGCTTCCAGTTACGATTTCGCCTTCGCCGGGTTTCAAACCCGTGCCACGGTCTCTTCAACGTCTACCGCTGAGGGGAATTTTGCTAGCCTAGTTCGGTACCAAAGGAATGTCAGGAAATCCGGCAGGGTTTGCACGAATCCGGGGTTGTGTTTACGCCAAGTTTCGCGGGGAGTTGCGGTCGGCCCGGGCTCCGAGAGAGTGGCACCCTATCTGCATTGTTCACATAAAACGATAGTCTTGGTAGTAGCACCATTGGGACCCTACTACGTGGAAAGATTATACCTGGGCAGACCATTAGCTGTACAATCAATTGCATCTCGATCTATATGTGGGGAACGGGAGGGGAGTTATGGTTCACCGAACAGGAACACTGCCACATACCTATAACTAAAACAGGTATTTTGCTTTCCTTGCTGTCGGGGCGCGTATGTCGTTCCGCAAGAAGGCGATGCTCTAGGTCTTTAAAAAATCCTTGGTCACAGAAGGGGTCGAATGGGGCCGCTGTCAATTATTCTAAACAAGGTAGACGAGTAGGGACTGGTGATGTGGCGTAATTCCGCCTGTTAATAATGCCTCGAAATAATCATTTTATATCTGATAAAGCTGGGTAGATATCCAGGTAGCCAGAGTGGAAAGATCATTCCTTGGACTGGGAATCACGAAGGCAGTGATTGACCAAGATGGATTTTGATAAGGTTAAAAGTCAAGATGTTAGAGACAAAGGAATTTCATCGAACTTGGGTAGAATAGACATTCAACTTTAGCTAGTCTAATTAAAACCCCCAAATTGAAGAATAATGATTTCCGAAGAGGAGGTTCATTAGAAATCTTCAAAGCGTCTGCGTAGACTCAAAACTGAAGCCTGCTTAAGGTATGCAAAAGGTACTTTGGATATTAATTATCTCATGGCCTGATGATAGAAAAACCTGAAGCCTTGTCTCTTTTTTACACCATGGACTCATTGGTCAAAACAAGGTCAGGCCCGACTGTTTCAAGTATTATAACGGGGATAGACTTGATTAATAAATTGAATAGACGTTCTCTTCATAATTAAGTCTTGTAATTTATTTTATTTTCTATCACTAGGGATAACAGATGGTCTCTTGAAGGCTGTAGAGGATCCTTCCCACTGCGAAACGTTCGTATAGCGGTACTAATGTGACTAGCCTTGGAGGAAAAGGAGGTGGTTCGCTACTCAGTACCATTCCCAGCTGATCCATAGCTCACTAACGCCAATGCAGTCTGTAGGCTCTGTATAATGACCCTATCACTTATTGCTCACGAATGAAGATGGTAGGGTGCATGATAATGCTCTTTATATATTTTCCGTACCTATCTTCTATTTTCTTCATTCTCTACGACCCTGTCATCCTGCGGCACAATGGAGTGACGACCTTTTCCCGGTTGCCAAGGAACACATCATGGTAACTCCTTGGATCCACACGAAGACGGCGAACTTGTGGATAATGCCTACCTTAGCTACGGGAGATTGGGGTCGAGCGGAGAATTTGTGGATGTCTCATTCGGCCTTACAAATCGGTTGCGGGTCAGTGACACGCAAAGCAGGTTCGCAGGCGGTGACACGAAGCAATTTCAGAGAGCGCATGCTGCAAAGCACGCGACTCTGCATGCTCCCGGTCTCTGGCCGCAGAGCCGAAGCCAGCTCGACTTGCCATCTAGGAGAGACACGTAGCAGGCAGGCAAACACACACAGACAGGCGGTGAGGGAGCTGGCAGCAGGGCGGGTCACCTTTCCCAGTTCCCCTCGTCGTTTTGCGGGTCCTCGCTCCAATCACACACCAACACTTCGTTCCGTCTTTTGCCAACCGAGGCCATTGCATCTGTCTCTCAGCTAGATACCTTGCCCTATCTAATATCATTCCTTGGTAAAAGTCGGATTCACAAAGGACAGTTTGGAATTCGATTTTTTCTTCGCGGCTGATTAACGCAACAATGGTTTCAATTTACCTAGTAATACTTGGAAGCAGTTCTTACCATGGTCTGTCTAGACTCCTGCTCTCGCACACTGGCATGGCACGCAACAACTCCTCACTTCCGCCACCTCATTCAAGCGGTAAAGACGTGGAGTGGTGGAGTCGAGCCCGGATGGGTGCGGGGCAGGTGACGGAAGCGCCTGGCGGGCTAGTCCATTAGTTAGCAGGCAGCTAATGAACAGGGGCTAATGAACAGGGGTCAAGGGGGGGGTTCTCTAGACTAGCCAAGCTGGCGTGCTCCTCGCCTGTCCAGAGCTAGGCATGCGAGCCTTCGCGACCAACATCACAGTGCCACCGCAACAGAATGCGGATATATGCCAGATGATTTCTCGGCTCTGCACGAGCGGCGGTCGCTGCCCGATTCATTACGCGCCTCATTAGTGCCCGAGGAGGGTCCGCTGCCCATAGTATGCCTTGTCACAATGTCACTTGACAAGGAACTTGCAAGTTGGGAGGCGGCGGATCGAGGTCGGCCTTCCGATTTCGGTCTGGCTTCTCCTCTCGACTCTAACGCGGGCCGGATCATGGTTTAAGTAGCGGAGAGAGCGCCCTTTGCCGGGGTCCAGACTTGGTTCTGGTTCCTTTACCCCTCGCCTTCAAAACCTCTCTATCGACTCGCCACGAGACCATCACGAAACAACCCGACAGATCACGTAGACGCCCTCCAAATTTTCAACCACGACCGGCTACCTTGCCAGTCAATATCAAATCCGAAGCATACCATGGCTGCCGCTGTTGCCGTCCCCTTCTCCGCTATTAGCGAACACCTCGGGGGCGTTCTCCCGCCCAGCGCCGTCGTACAGCACTCGCCCCGCCATGGGCGGAGCAGGGGGATGAGCATGAAGGGGAAGGGCGGCCGTGGCCGCGGGTACAGTGTGGTCGAGGAGCGGGATGTCACCATTGCCAAGGCCCTCATGTTCATCCTGAAGCGCACTATCCAGGAGAGTGAGGTGGACGAAGAAGAAGAGGTCGAGAACCTTGTGGCGGATGCCGAGGGCTGGGTTAGTGTCGACGACGTAGTATGTTTATGCTTGCCCCGCCCGGTTCGTCTCTTCCTAGGGGAACATGCCGCTAACGGGTAGATTTGCTGCACAGCTCGAGCATCCCAGGATTACCGTCCTCGAGGCAGACTTTGAGGACGTGCAACGTGTCGTAGCCAACGCAACCAAGGCCCGCTTCAACCTGCGACAAGCTCTCGGCACAGCAGACAAGGCCGACGAGCCTGCGTCGTGGCAAGTGCGCCGGATTGGAAACAATCGCGACAGCGTCCAAGCGCCCGCCCCTGTGGGCGATAAGCTGAACGTCGAGACGGCAGACCTCCCAGAGTTTGTCGTCTACGAGACGTCGTACCAGCGATACCCTCTAATCCTGTCTTCGGGTGCTATTTCACGTGCTCCTGGTGGTACCCAGTCGCTCGTGTTTTACCCCGTCACCGTGGGCGAAGACGGGACCGAGTCTCGCCAGTCGTCGGCCGGCGGCGAGGCCGCAGATGTCAGCATCTGGATTCACCTGCGGACAGCCCTAGAGACGGAGCCGAGTGTTGTGTGGCGGCGCACCGAGAATGGTGCTATCCTCACAGCTGACGAGGTACCCAAGACGCTGTGGAACAAGGCAGTGGCTCGTCGGCCCGATATCGGTGTACTGTTCGAGGAAGGCGAGGTTCGGAAGGAGGTCCCTGCCGGTCTGCGTGGCCGAGGTGGCAAAGGCAGAGCTAAGAAGGGCAACAAGGCCACGCTGAAGCGCGAGGGTAGCGGGGAGGACTCGGGCAGTGCGAGCGAGGAGCAAGAGTAGATTAAGAGGGGCGTACGAGGCCTATGTCTGTGTTTAACCACGACATTTGAGCAGCTCGGGGTTTGTGCCACGGATAGAAGCCGAAAGCGCTCTTCCAGGATAGCCAGCCCAGGATAGCCAGCCCAGGATAGCCAGCCCAGGATAGCCAGCCCATGCAAGCAAGTGTAGTTTATTTTGGTTATAGACAGCGATTGCCACGCAGATCCTTTACCCGTTCGCATCATGCTTCATTTTCATCCATTCTTAAGTTCTCGCTAAAAATAAAATAAAATAAAATAGTCAACTCATGGCTCCCTATCTACCTTGATCCCCCGCCTAGCGATATGATGTAACATTGTGACCAAGTCCCGGAGTAGATCCTGTTGATTTCCGAATAGGTAGGTGCAGGTACTCAATTATCTAGGTACCGTACACTGAAAGTGTGACTTAAAGTACATCCATTGTAATGAAAGGCAACGACTTGTCTTCAACTAGTTGGGCAGGCATACGTGGTCGAATGTGGGCCAAGCCGGAGACTCCCGAGCTCACTTATACCAAGATATATTTTATGTATTGTGCAATATTCGCCTAATCCATCATCGCATTGGTCGCCCCTCCTCCCAGTCCTACCAGTTGCCCGGCGTGTTTCTAGAGGCGATACCTAGTAATCTTAATAGGAGCCACGGGTCATCCCGCGACTAACAATCAGTGCCGGACCCTCAACATGCAAAGCCGCGAACCACCTTCCACTCCGGGATTGGCCTCAAGTCCAAAGTCGACTAAGACTTGTTAATTCCCATTAGGTTTCGGGTCGATCAAATACTTTCAGCGTATCAACATCCCCTTAGGCGCCGTGGGGGTGAGGACACTAAGTCGAGGCCAGGCCACAAGGAGCAGTATTTGTGTGCAGCTTCTAGGCTCTGCGTCGGCAGAATTGATTGTAAGCTGTTGAATGGCGATTTTCTGCTGGTGGATGGTGGGGTTGGCCTGAATGTGGGCTGTGCCGGAGCGTGGGGAGAATGCAGTGGGTGTTGCTGCTGCTGAGGTGGTTATCGATACCTTACCTACCTACCTACTTGAACTGGAGGCGCTGCCCGTTGGAGCTTCCGCATCTCCTTCCCCATGCGGCGCCGAGGTGTTTGCATCGAGTACGATCAGCGGGGTACGCAGTTCGCCTCCCACCCTCTTCCCAACTTTTTCGTCAATGGGTGGGCATGATTAACTCTTGTATTTAATCAGTCTACGGCGTTTGGGCTTGTTGATCTGTACGTAGGTGAGTGCCTATAAAGCCATTGGCACCTGGTCCTCGTAGCCCATTTTCACTTCATGCTGGTGCCTGTTAGGATTTGACTGGCATTGTTATGACACGTGGGACCTCGGAGCGAATTCCACACATCTCACTATGAAGCCTGTTTTCATCGCGGCCCTGGCTCTCATTGAGGGAGCCAGAGCTAGCGTGCAGGGATTTGATGTCTCGCACTACCAGTCAAGCGTCAACTTTGCAGCTGCATACTCGTCCGGCGCACGTTTTGTCATTATCAAGGCAGGTTTTGGACGGATGCAACCTGCAACCAATCCACCAGCTAACTAACAAGATCCAGGCCACCGAAGGTACCACTTACATTGATCCCACGTTTAGCTCCAAATACACGGCAGCGACTAGTGCCGGCTTCATTCGAGGCGGCTACCACTTTGCGCACCCAGGCGAAACCACGGGAGCTGCACAAGCCGACTACTTCACCGCACACGGGGGCGGCTGGTCCGGGGATGGCATCACGCTTCCTGGCATGCTCGACTTGGAGTCGTCAAGCTCGTCGCAGTGCTGGGGCTTGTCGACAACATCCATGGTCGCTTGGATCAAGGCCTTCAGCGACCGGTACCACAGCACCACGGGACGCTTCCCAATGCTCTACACGAACCCATCATGGTGGTCAACGTGTACGGGCAACTCAAACGCTTTTGTCAGCACGAACCCTCTCGTACTCGCGCGCTACGCAAGTAGTCCCGGCACCATTCCCGGCGGTTGGCCATACCAGACCATTTGGCAAAACGCCGATACGTACACGTATGGTGGCGACTCGGATATCTTCAACGGCGCAATGACCGGGCTTGTTCAGCTCGCGACAGGATAGAGATGGGTGGCTTTGACAGTTCGGCTGCCAACTGGTTTGCTGGAACAATCACACAATGGACATGTCATGTTTTCACTCCGGGAAAGTTGGGAAAGCAGTATTAGTAATAGAATATATCTGCTTTTGACTGTCTTCAGCTTTGACATATGGGTGCCGATGCTGGGTGATCAGCTTCAAGCACTGTGATTGGTATCTTTTCTCGTTATAATGTGCTTCCAGGACTTAAACCGTGCTACAGCTACCTATGCTCCACTTCGAATTAAATATTGTCCTTATCATAGCATCAGTCCTTATCCAAGTCCTGAAGAGTCGTTGCACTCGGGACGAAAAACACAGAACCGGTCAATGCGGATGAGTAGTCGAGCAAGCGGTCGTGCAAACCAGGAGGATCGCCAATAAACATGCGCTCCAACATGCGCTCAATAACCCACAGGTGGCGCGAGTAGCCGATGAAGTAGGTCCCGAACTGGCCCGAAGCTGGCGAGCCAAATGGCATGTTATCGCGGAGGATAGAATGTTCAGTTCCGTCGTCATCAGTGATGTTGGCAAGCGTCTTGTGCGCTTTTTGCTTAGAGTCGTCCGCGTCAGCCAGCTCGACATTGTCCCATTTCGTGCGCCCAATGACGGCTTCTTGAGCTTCGCTCGACAGACTGCACCAGGCCTTCATGTCGTGCACGTATTTCTGCACAACTACATAACTCCCGCCCACTGCCCCCGTGGCAGCCAAGTCCGCCGGATCTCCATCGTCAGACGCGACGAGAACAGCCTTGCTGATCTGGGTAGCGGTTGCCGGATTCGCCGTGCCATCGACGAAGCCGAGCAGGTCCCGCACGTCAAAATAGCGGAAACCGATGGTCTCGTCAGCCACCGAGACGGAATCGCCGAGCGCGTCAAGCAGCTGGCGCTCAAACTCAAAGTTCATGTCACGCCGCTCGGAACGGATATGGAATATCAGGTCGCCGGGCGTCGACGGAGCCGTGTGGACAGCACCGCGGACGACGCGGAAGGGATGCAGCTCGGGCGGTTTCAGCAAGCCCACAGGCGCCATGAATCTGTCCCACGCGTCGGCTCCGATACCGACAGTGCAGTTGAGTGCAGCAAATGGGTCGCGGATGGACACATTCTTGTTAAGATCAGCGATGTTGGCGAGCACTGAGCGAACCGTCTTTGCGGCACCCGGCGAGTCCGTCAGGGTGAGCACAAGAAAGGTGGCCGACTGAGTCAAAGGGGCGTCGACACGCTGAGGCTCGACGAGGGAATGCGCGTGGCTGTCTGCGCTCACAGGCATGCTGGCCGTGGGGGGGAGGCTCTGACCGAATCGGGCTTGGAATACGGAGCGTCGAGAAAGGTGCAACGGTCTGACGGCGAAGGACTGTGGCCCAGATGCAAGGATCCCAAGGCGTCTAAGCGCGTCACTTCTCTGTTTGGCCAGCGTGGTGCTCCTCACAAGGTCCAGCTTTTTCATTTTCGGCACGCCATGAAAGAAATGCACAAGACAGATTGTGCATTTTGTATCTGTTTGGTCCTATGCTGCAAGAGCGTATTACTTCCGCCTCCGCACGCCTCCGCCCAAACTGTCGCGTAGCGCCACCGCCGCTTACTAACTCCCTCTCTTTCAGAGGAACGAGGTTGCCCACAACCCGACCCAGGTCCGGGTTGAACCCGAGAAACCCCGAACTTCTGCAACCGTCCAAAATCAGCACTAACGAAAAGATTTGGAAGCCCTCACGGTTTTGGGACCGGGCCTGCCATAATCCTTGCCGAGTAAAAATGTGTCTAGAGTAACGTCAGCGGTTCAATACTCCTTTGATGTTTTTGTAATATAATTTGATTGTTTCGAAGTAAAGAAAGATGCATAATTGTGGTTGTGTATTCAAGTATTACTGATAGGTATTAATGCCTTAGAAGACCCGAAGTTTCTATCTTGCTGTTGTTAAGAAGGTACCAAAGTAATGCACGAGAGATTAATAAAAGGCTAGATGAAAAAGAAAAAGAAATGTTTATAACAATTAGAACTAGGGACCTAGATAGCTTAATTAACCTAGCGATATGATGTGGCAATGACCTGTTGACGAGTTTGGAGTCTGGCATAGTAAGTGTAGCAGGATAGTACGTGTAGCTTTTATTTATTTAGATCTAAAATAAAGCAACCGTTGTAGCCATAAATAGTCTGTAATCCTCAATCCCAGATTCACTCCGTGGATAGCACGTCGGTATTTCGGGTTCATTTTATGCAATCCCTTTTCAGCCCTAATTACTAATTAATCTAAATTGTGGGAACTGCGATGGTGATTTTAGATGTTAATTACGTCTTGTTATTTATATCCATGCTTTTTAGAAAAGCATAAGTAATCCAATTTGCGCTTGATTTTGCTCTCGACGTTTAGTACAACCTCCCATGCCCAGTAGGATCTTGACATCGCCCCTTGTCAATGAGGTGGACTGGAAATTGGGGGATATGTGCATTAGTCCCAGTGGGACGTGGAGGAATGGAATTGGAAAGCCATGCAGCGAGTTCTGCAGCCAGTGATCTTTAAGGCTTGCGTAATGCAGGTAGTCAAAGACGCCATCCTATCACGTCAGAACCGGTGGCACCTCGTTATTAGCTGGGCTTAAAGTCTTGGTTTGCAATTCTCTAGCAGAGGTCAGGTGGGCTGCTCCTTTCTCAACAACAATTACCGTCTGAAAGCGCACACATGGCCCTTTAACCGACCTACCACAGTATCCGGGCTGGCCAAGAGCATGACTGTCAAAGTACGGCGAGTGGCCGTTATCGGCGCGGGGCCTGCGGGAGCTATTGCCACAGATGCACTTGCCAAGGAGCAGGTCTTCGACACAATCCGTGTGTTTGACCGGCGGCCGGTCGCCGGCGGGACTTGGTACGGACTTTGACGCCCCTTGATCAGTTCAGTGGTCTGGACTTGCGGCTGGGGAAATGGGACAAGATGCCTGACCTACTTCTAGGATCCATACGCCTCATCTGCCTGCGGCGATTCCGTCACTGAGCGACTTGCTCGAAGGGAAAGCCGATGTTCCGGTCCCCATACCGGTGCAGTTTCCGGCAGAGACAGCCAAGTCGGAAACTGTGAATAGTCACCAGAGGCGCTTCTCTGACACAGCCCAGCACGAACACTTGCACAGTAATATCATTCCCTCCATCATGAGCTATACCAATGAGCCGTTCCCGGAAACTCTCTCGCCGCGGGTGCTGGCCAAGTACGGCCCCAATGCTCCCTTCCGCCACCGCGAGACCATCCGTGAGTGGGTCGAAGCTATCTTCATACGTGATGGATACAATCGCTTCCTTGAGCTCAGCACCACTGTCGAACGAGCCGAGAAACGAGACGGTGAGTGGATTTTAACCTTACGGAAAGAGAATCCCGGCCGCGACTACTGGTGGCAAGAACGCTTTGACGCCTTGGTCGTGGCCTCTGGTCATTACAATCTTCCATGGCTACCAGAAATTCCCGGCCTCCTGTCTTTTGACACGCGCTTTCCTGGCCGTATTGTCCACAGCAAGCACTTCAGGAACGGCGATCAGTTCAAGAACAAAGCAAGTGAAAGCCTCCTGAACAAGGTATTAAGCGTCTTGAACATCTTATGTGCTAACAAAGGGCGCATTTCCTCGGGTGATTACAGAGAGTCATTGTAATTGGCGGCTCTGTCTCTGCACACGAAATCGTTCACGAAGTGCTCCCATTCGCCCAACATCCCGTCTACGCATTAGTCCGAGGTGAGCCGATCCCGGCGTTTGGATGGACGCCATTTCAACACCCACATATTTCTCTACTCCGGAAGGAGATAACAAGGCTCGATGCGTCAACGGGAGACATGCACTTCTCGGATGGCTCAAACCTGAGCGGTGTTGACCACATCATCTTTGCCACCGGTTACACATTCAGCCTGCCATACCTGGCTCATGTTCAAGACCGCATCCAAAAGGCATACCGCCGCCTACCTGGCGTGTACCAGCACACCTTCGACATTCTGGACCCGTCGCTGACCTTCATCGGCATGGTAAGCTCCCAGCTATCATCAAAGTCACGTTGCGCGCGGAACGCTGACGGTTACATGCACGGCGGAAAGCTCGGCGGCGGGTTCACTTTCCGTGTCTATGAATGGCAAGCGGTGGCAGTAGCCCGCCACCTTGCCGGTCGAGCCAAGGCTTTGCCCCACATTGCGGAACAGCAGGCCTGGGAAGCCCAGCGTGTCGCCGCGAAGCGAGGTGGGAAAGACTACTACTCCATTGCCCCTGACTATCAGGCATTCTTTGAGTTTCTACGCGACCTCGCCGGAGAGTCAGTGGCGGGAACGACAGGGCGCAGTCTTCCCAAATTCAACCCTGAGTGGCTGAAGGAATGGGCGGGCATGATCGAGCCAAAGATTAAGGGCTTTGAAGAGTCGAGGAGGAAAGCCGAGCACGAGGAACAGGCCAAGGCGAAGAGAGCAGGGAGGGCAAAGCTGTAAATATAAGCTCAAGGCTACAGATTGCTTCTCTACCTTGCTTTTTCTTTCCCCTTTCTCCACTCTCTGGATATCACGTCAATCAATCCCTTCCAAGCTCCTGTAGTCTTCGAATGATTTCTACGGCTTCACTCCTCGTCTTCTCCACAATTGCACCCGCACCGTCAACGACCCTTACGAGACCCACACCCGCGCCAGCATATGTCGCTGTCCGGCCTTCGGGGCCCCAGCCTCTTCCTTCCTTGACTGCTAGATCGTGGCTCTTTTTGAGATCTTCGAATCCGGCCCCAGCTTGTTGTTCAACCCAACTCTTGTTGATGATGGTGCGTGGGCTGAACTGCTCAGGCCAGCCAAACGTTCCGCGAAGATGGTTATAAAGCTGAGTCCGTACCGTGGTACTGGCGCCATCTGCTGCCCGAATAACCTCGTTCTGGTAGTCCTTGTTGACGCGAGCCTCTTGCGAAGCGAGGAAACGTGTGCCCATGACAACACCAGCGGCCCCAATCGCAAGCGCAGCAGCCGCTCCACGTCCGTCCGCAATGCCGCCGGCTGCAAACAATGGGATTCCCGAACCTCGTGTAGCATCCGAGATCTCAGGCAGTAACGTGATGAATCCCATTCCATCCGAAGCACGCCCGTGTCCGCCTGCCTCAGTACCCTGCACAACCAATACGTCAGGCCGAGATGCCGTGTCGCTTGCTGCCGCCTCGACCGCCTCGTTGAACGTGCCGACCTGAAGCCAAATCTTTGTCCCTGGGCAGGCTTCACGAAGACGCACTGCCCAATTGTCGACTTCGGCCTGCCCGTGGCGAGGTGCGAAGAGCCATGCCGCAGCCGGTCTGTACCGTGACACAGTGGAAGCGGCCACATTAATGTCGCCGTTCCATAACTGAAACCCGACGCCAATTGGAAGGAGAGAGCTGCTCTGGTCGAGGCTAGAACTGTTGGAAGCGGGCTGCGAGATGGGCGAGTGAGACAGCATATCTTTGGCCGATTCAAGGTCAACAGCTGTCGTCTGCGGCTTCTCGCCAGGTCCGATGAAACCAAGACCGCCGGACCTGGAGACGGCTACTGCAAGTTGAGGGCCCGAAATAACACGCATCGGAGCTGCAACTAGCAGAGGCTTTGAAGTCCAAGGATATGCTGCCGAGAGCTGGTTTCCGAACTCGATCGAATGGATGATGTGGCGCATTTTGCTCGTGCCTGCCATGAACACACGCCAGTTGGTAGTCAGCTAATCAATAGTTCATTACTTAAATTCCTTCATATTTTGCCAAGTAATGGAATCCCTCAATTATGACTGTTCCCTAACGGAGCTGGCATAGGCTCCATCTCCCTGTCCTCCGCGGAGATGTGATGAATGCGGGGATCGATGACAAACTAGCGGCCCGGCAGTTTCCCGATGGCCGAACAATCCCGAACATGTCTACTCCTAGGGGCGTAACTAATTAAAATACCAACGCTAGGTAAAGTCAACGCAAGTCACCCGAGGCTTGATCCAGCTCTTAAACCATAAAATGCACTAGACTACGGAGCATGGGGCCAAAAGAAAGTGCCAACCTCCATAGGGCTCCCACTAGACGCACACGTGGGGCGGTGTAACTTTCTTTTGGCCCTTTTCTCCATCACTTTTAGGGCACGCAAGGGTAGTACAAAAATGTTCTACGGACTGCTTTGGCTCACTTAAAATATTGTCGGGGTTAATCTTCCTTTCGAAAGGCTGTAAAAACCAGGGCTGTAGGAGGCACTGTGAAGGATATTCGGCCCAGACTCAAGGATATCGCAATACATTTCCTATCTTGCGATATCGAACTGAGCAGACATCACAGTATTGTTAAGGGAGCGAAACACAAGGGTGAAGCCAACCACCAACCCATTTCCCTTGGAAAGCCCTAGGCGACTACAAAGACGTCCAGTCCAACACCGTTTAAGAGAGCGGTCGCAGTAGCGTCACGCTGAGTGCCAGCGTCCAACGTTTTCTCCTCACAGTCATTATCGGTCCAGCCTCTGTCCGGCCCCCAACCGATAGATCTTCCCTGGGCAAAAGCAATGTCAATGAGACCACGCATCATGGCGCCCGACTTCTTCACGCTGCTCCAGGCGTCAAAATAGACGCGATCGACAAAAGCCATGTCCCCAAGGACGTCCTTCAGGAGGATACGGCAAAATCCTTCATAGAAGTCATCATCCCGACGAAAGCCGTTGAAAACACCATCACTGGGGTCGCACTCAACAAAAACTGTCAGTCTTCGCACACTGGTACAGTCAAAGAGGCCGAGGGCCGAGTTCACCACCCAGCCGCGTGGGGGTTTATGACCCCAGCCAGGGCCCAGACGCAGCTCGAGCGACGTGATCAGGCTGCGCTGGCGGGTATTCAGCCTCGCGAGCAACGGCTTTTTGGTCTTGAAGAAGCGGCCTGCATGCGTAGGAAAGATGCGGAAGGTGTGACTACTATAAAACAAGTAGGTGGCCTCGTTGTAGATGGTCCGGCAGGTACGGAGAATTGCCAATTTTTTGTGAATACGTTTGTAGTTGTCCGTGTCGAGGTCGATTACGCCGATACCGGCAAAGTGGTAGCCGTATATCTTGAGGCGCAACTCGGTCGGGAGAGCAAGGAAGCAGAACGCCTGCTTCTTCGCCTTTGGCTTCTCGACCGGGCCGTCAAGAGACAAGGCGCCGATGGCAATCTTGGATAGATCATCGTCGGGGTCTAACTCGGCCTCGGAGGCGTAGGTAGACGGGTATGCGGAGCTGGTGGGCGTGGTATAGGTCGAGAGGATCGGCGTTGGAATGGCGGGTGTTCGCCCGACGGCGCGAGACGCCTTTGTGGTCGGTCTGCGCGGCATGTTGTGGCGACCTTGTCAAGCAAAGTTGAGGCGGGTTGGTTCGGGGGAAACAACGACGACGGAGGACGGGGCTTGTGACCTGCAAATGCAATGTCAGCTTTGCGTGAATGTGGGTTCAAGGGTCGCCACCCTCTGCAAGCGCGACCTAACTGACACTTGGGGTCCAAAACACGACGAAGAGCTGACCTCAAGGGCACGATTAAGGTCGAAGATATCGACGTCTGATTTCGGGTTTGGGACTCGGGCTGACGAGAATGCAGAACTCTGAGGGTGGTTCCATCGTGAGTGCTGATGCGCGACGACCGATTGAACCACCCTCTAGAATGCATTTGAGGCGGCCATGGCGGGCAAGCAGGCTTGGGCGGGGTTGAACGTTGTTGCAATATGGCCGAGGACAGGCGGCTTTCGGAGAATGATTCAGACCACTGGTGGGTTTCACAAACCGCGCGTCTCTCAGTGCAGGCAAAATGGGGAGGAATATATAAGGGCCAGGCCAAAGTTCCGGAAGTGAGGGGAAGGCCGGGTTGGTGAAGGGAGCAAGCGACGGTCGAGACAATGCGTATACCTTATGGTTTCTCCTCGTGCTGCAATCTCCCACAGTTCCATCGCTGACACGTCTAGCGGCAAAAAACGGGCGGGTGCGGCACGTGAGGAGTGCTGGGATTTTGCGCTCTCACCATGACGAAATACCCCGCTTCAGCGCCTCGGAAAGGCCCCCTTGCCCACTGCTGGCGGGACCCACATCGCCCGTGCCGCGCGTGAAGCAAGTTGAGGAATTCGGGTACTGGCCCGTGCACGACAACTCGAGGAAAATCTAATCAGGAGCTGTGGAAATTTTTGGCCAGGAAGCTCAGAGCCCAGCCCAAGCTATCCAGTCCATTCTTGACTTTGTCAGTGCCACGACCATAACCTCCCCTCCCATTTAGCGCCACTGGCGCCGAATTCTCACTGCGAACTGCCCGGCGACGCCAGAGCTCATGATGCTGTCGAGAGCCGCTGCGCGCTCCGCCGCGGGCGCGAGAGCTGCATCCTCGGGGACTTGTTATGCCCGGGCATCACGCAGCTTGCCTGCCGTCTGGACTCGAGGTATGGCCAAAGACAACAAACAGCAGCACCCGAGATTCGCCAAGCCGCCAAACTCGGCCGCCCCCAAGACATCATACCCTCCAGCAAGCGACCCTGCCACGACACCCGCTTCCTCACCCTCCACACCCGTCCGACCCTCTGCTCCCAAAGACTCGGCCAGAGCACACGCCCAGACCGAGGCCCAAGGGGCTGCCACGTCAAGAGCGACCGAAAGACAGCAGCGACAGCCCGAACTAGAGCCCGAGACGGAACCGATACCTGACCTTTCCAAGCTCCCCGATCTCACGCAGGGGATCCCCTCTACCTTGGAATACGAGACGGCCGGCGCCACCAATCGCTCGTCGCTAGCCTCTGCAGAAGACGAGGGGGCTTCTGCATCGGAAGGCGACGGCGGCGGCGGCGGCGGCGGCGGCGGCGGGAGGGCCAAAGGCGAACTCCCCGCCTCTGCATACATATCCTCGTCGGAGCGTCGCCGTCAAAAAGTGGCCAATTGGATGTTTTCGCTGGCGGGCCTATCCATCGTCGGAGGCACGGTATATCTCGGCAGGGACTGGGACGAAGACGACCTGGCAAAACATCCAGAGGTGCCCAACGGATGGGGTCTGACGCTGTGGTGGAATCGTGTCACGGCAAGACTCGGTGAGACGATGACCTACTACCAAGAGCCGGCCTTTGAGAAGTTACTACCGGATCCCGACCCGTCCTTTGAGCGACCATACACGTTGTGCATCAGTATGGAGGACATGCTCGTGCATAGCGAATGGACTCGCGAGCACGGGTGGCGGGTCGCCAAGCGGCCTGGTGTCGACTACTTCCTGCACTATCTCAGCCAGTATTACGAAATCGTCCTTTTCACGACCGTACCTTTTGCCATTGCCGAGCCATTGGTGCGCAAGCTCGATCCGTATCACTTCATCATGTGGCCACTTTATCGGGAGGCTACAAAGTACAAAGATGGTGAGGTCGTCAAGGTATGAGCTTCCCATTAGCTGCAGCTCTTTTTTGCATTCTAACACAGGCACAGGACCTTTCTTATCTCAACAGAGATCTATCCAAGGTCATCATGGTGGATACTAGCGCCCAGCATGTTCGTGATCAGCCTGACAACGCTATTATTCTGCCAAAGTGGACAGGTGACCCCAAGGACACGGAACTTGTATCTCTGGTCCCTTTCCTTGAGTTCATCCACACGATGGAGTACGACGACGTGCGCAAGGTTCTGAAGTCATTCGACGGCAACCATATCCCCACCGAATTTGCGCGCCGGGAAGCTATCGCGCGCGCCGCGCATAACAAGCGAATTGAAGCTAGCCATGGAAAAGGCTCAAAGGGAGCCGGAGCATTGGGCTGGCTTAGCAGCCACCTTGGCCTCAAGCCGAACAATATGAGCTTGATGGTACAACCAGGAGGTGAAGAGAACCCAGCTGAAGCCCTAGCAAAGGGTAAAATGCTTCAAGACATTGCCCGCGAGCGCGGCATTCGCAATTACCTTGCGCTGGAGGAGATGATCCGCACGAATGGTGAGAAATGGCTCAAGGAAGAGGCTGAAGCCCAAGAGAAGCTCCAAAAGGAAGCCATGAAGAACATGCAGAGCTCCTTTACTGGCTGGTTTGTGAAGTCGGGAGAAGAGACGAAACCGGAGTCTGCCCCTACGGATGGTGCCGACAAGAAGACGTAACAGGCGTCTTTTTTATATACTAAACATGTACTAACACAATTTTCTTTTCTCTCCATCACTTCACTGGAGTACCCACTACTGATGCTAGTCCTCTCTCCTCTATTTCGGGCCATTTCGTCTATGGCGTGGAATTTAAAGGTCGCGTTAATTGGGCACCTCGTACATAATCACCCACAATGCGCAAACGGGTTGTTTGGAAAGCCTTGTAGAATACTTAGATTAGACTAACGGTTGCTAATATGCGCGGTTGAGGACATATTCGTTAAGTTCAACGGTTCCCATGGGTGTATAAGGAGCGATGCCATTTGCTAGCTTCGATATTGACATGCTCTTCCAATAGAACGGGAGATGTGTCAGGCTAGAAGACAGCAGCAGACAATGATTAACATTATCCCTTGTGAGATCTCTCCTCTATCTTACAGGGGGTCCCGGAATGCTATCCGCACGTAACGTCTGACAGATGAACCGAATGTCTGTTGTCCCCAATCATCAAGGTCATGGACCCTTTCCCCAGATGACGTGATATTGGGATAGAAGGTGTCGAAAAAAATCTGTGAGAGGTACAGTAGTATACTGACGCAGACTTCCATCTGCTCAACCTAAATGACGAGGATGATTGGCAATTGACGACAGAAACATCTGCCGCAATGGTTCCGCATGGCAGCCAGCAGAAGTATGTCGGCCAGCTTCCTTAGAAAGAGATCAACGGAGAACTGCCGACGTCCTGTTTGACGACGTGTTTGCTGTCAAAATCTGCACCCAGCCTCTGCGGATGCCACGAATGCTGGTGACCGAAGGCGAAGAGTTCAGTTCTGGATTCTTCAGGCCCCGTTGCTACAAGGATTTCCCGCCTACTCAGAATTAAGTTCTTTGTACCTGTTTGTTTTTCGTCATACGACAAAAATTTGCCCATGCCACATGTGTTTGCTTGATCTCACGGCACTGTGAAACCGCTAAGCCTGGTACCCAGGTAGCCAGCCCCTCAATCCAATATTCTGTCCTTGACTCTTTCTGTTTTTCTGGTTTGTTCTTTGTTGGGATACTGGACTGATGTGTTACGGTTCGGCATCGGGTCAAGTGAGAACAGCTCAGGCCTATGTAATCGTCAAGACTCGGCGACTTGAAAGAGAGCATAAATATGACCGTCTTTCTCTTCAATTCCTCTGCTCGAAACCAGAGAAGCATCCCTCACCCAACACGGACGGAGCAAATCACCACCACTGCCTCACTGCCAGCTTAACACCAAGCAACTACAGGATGCATCTCACTCGTGCAGTACTCACCATCGCCCTCGCGGCTACCACGACTACGGCATTGCCCAGATGCAAGCCGGGCAATATAGCGGATGAGGCATGCCAAGCCATCCAATCACGTGGACATGACAAGCTTGACATCTCCGACGTTGAGGGCCAAGATCGTCAAGAGACGTCGTTCCATGAGAAACTGGACAATGCCAACACAGGCAGCCAAGGCAGAAAGTTGACCCAGGGCCATTGTAAGCCTTAACAAGATAAATTGTCTCCGTTGCGTCAGAAAGAAGTAATAGCTGACTCTGTGTTTAATATAGCTGGTTCCGGCATGATGTCCCAGCGCCGTTCCGTCGAGCAGGAGTCTAGCCTGACTCTTATGGACGTGGGCAAGACTCGAGTGGCACAGAAGGGCGACAATGGGAAACTTGAGGCTGATGCGCTATTCCTGGATCCGGAGATTTCCAAAGGAAGCGAGCACCTGTCGGACACGGACCATAATATCCACGACATGGATGGAGACTGGAACTCGAAGCTACAGTCGCGTGAAGACGGAAAGCACACAAGCATCGCCGCCAAGGAAACTCTCATTGACGACGCTGACTCCCAAGGGTCTGGCCACAGCCAAAACACCAACATGAAGATTGGGTTCAAGGTCAAAGTCCGAGACTTCGTCAAAGGGCTTGGTCAGGATCACTCTGATAACAGCGTTGGTCAGTCTCAACCCTCTGACCGGGAGGACCGAGTCCACGAGAGTGACTTCGGGGCTACGATGGACACCACTCCTGTCTCGCACGGAGAGGGTATGAAGGCGGAAGACTTTCCGAACCACCTATCGCTCAAGGAGAGTATCTCTATGCCTTCCCAGCAAAACGACAAGACCCTGATGCATGATCTTCAAGGAAGCAATGTGCAGGAATGTGACTGCAGCTCGCCCAGCCAGAGACGCAGCTCTATCAGCGAAGACCCAGTGTCAGATATGCAACATAACACACTGTGGCCCGTGTCAATCTCAAAGCACGACGAAATTACTCGCCCAATTTCACGGCGCCAATTCCAATCCAAGCCCCAACCTCATGTCCAAGAGGCTGCTGGTCATATCGGCAATTTCATGTCTGGCCAGAAAGCTGATTTCACCTGGGAAGGCAATGGCCAAACGATGAGCAAAACTGGAAACAAGGGTGAGATGAAGGAATCTGACAAGGTTGACAGCTGGTCAGAGAATTTGAACCGGAAAACCGAGAGCGGCACCAGCAATGGCAACAACAACGACAAGAAGATCATCAACAACTGGCGCCAAATAACACAGCGTGACGGCGGAGACATGGAGTTTAATGCCATGAAGCAAGCGCAAATGATGATGCCAGGTGTCGACTCATCCATGACTGAGAAGAGCGTCCTCCAAACTCGAGCTCAAAGAGACGATGAGGATATCGAACATGGCGCGAAAGGTACAAGCCGGACGATGAGTGGTGCACAGAGGGGGGACAATCTCGATCAGGATCACCAAAAACAGTACGCGTGTGTTGGATCGTGCGAGGCCGGCAGCGTGTATGGCGATAAGTACGCTTTTTCATCTTTTCAATTTCATGTTTGTCATTTTCTCCTGATTAATTCCGAAGTCTCGCGCCTCGGAATATCTTGGTTTCGGGTTTGAACGTGTTTGGATTTTCTACTTAAACCCTCTACTCCCCCCTTCGCTCTCAATTTTCATGCTAACAATGAAGTGAAGGCCATGGGAGAAAATTGGCGAGTCAGCCGATCTTGATCAAGGTAACCAAGACGAAGACCACACTCGTAAGAATGCCGGTGTGAAGACAAATTAGGGCAAACACAATACGAATTACAAAGTTGCGGCAAGGTAGCTAGTGAGGCTATAGGGAAAGCTATTCTACACTCAGGAGGCCCAAGCTCACTGGTTGAACCCGAACAACTTGAAGCTGGCGGAAAGAACGAATAGGGAGGGGAGGAAGATGAGAAAAGAATTAGAAAAGGGGGCTGGCAAAGTGAAGGATTGTTTGGAACATGGATCGCTAGACAATATTCGGTCGCATTTCTAGGGATTTCTCGCACCTGTGCCATTTCACGTTATGGGGTGAAGCCCACTTGCCAGTCTTTTTCGATATTATGAGTTTACCCTACAGCGTCACTCGTTTAGCAATATATCACTCCTTTATACTTTCTCTGGTCCTTTAGTCTTGCTATGTTAGAGACGCGTCATTTGATTATATTCGCGCTCTTCAGGTCTTCAACATTCTACTCTAACCGAAAAATTCGAGACATCCTAGTATTAGTCGCAGACGACGAGGAGATTTTATCTCTGGATCTTTATGTTATTTCCTAACACTTCTATCTATTTACTATGTGGTGTGGGCGGGTCATTGGCAAAAGGGAACAGTGGTATCCAACTCGACAATTATTTTACAGTAAAAACGGCCCTATCCAACAAAAAAGGAACAAATATACAAGCTTAGGAAGGCGTCAACCTCATGGCCGCCTTCTCTCTCTCTCTCTTAGCCATAGACGTCGGAGCACCAGGATGTATCGCACCAGGATTTTGGCCGCCCCAAAATATGCGGAGGATTCGCAACGCAAGGTTGGTAATTGCTTGGTCCACGTCCACGCCCGATGATGCAAGTAGTCCGAGAGAGACGGAGAGCACAATGCCAACAATGACAACTAGATCAACAATATGGACGAGCCACCACAAGTATTGCTTGCCCAGTGGGCATGTCGCGTACTCGGCACGCCATTCCCAGTTGGCCTCATCAAACCAAATGCTTAGCAACCCAGCGTTTCCGCCAAACTCGCCCATCATGCTGCGGACCGTGATTTCTCTGAGACCAGGAACATCGGGCTGTCCAACTATGGCGTTCTTGGTGGCCTGCCGCCAACGCTTGACTTCCCAGCCTCGTTTTTCCCGATCAGCAATGGTCTGGTTGATGTAATGCCACGTGTCGCAGCCTTCGTGGTCATGCCCATTCAGAATGATGCCGCGCCTGCCGCGCCCGTGGGCCGGAGCGTGGACGTCGCCCGAAATGCCCATGATGCCTTCCAGAAAGCCCTTGCTGGCATCGGCGCTTAGCTGGTTCTGCTCCTTGAGGGAGCCATCGTGACCGTGAAAGTCGAAGAAGGGGTCGTCTACGCAGACACCCTCAGGTTTGTATAGCGGAATGTGGGTCAAGACGAGCGTGAAGTGGCCCTTAAACTCGACAGCAGCAGCCGTGTTGATGACGCTATTGATGAAGGCGTATGTGGCATCCTGATGTTCTGCCGAGGCGGCGGGGGTATCGAGATTCATGTCGTTGAGCACAACGACGCGCAGCTCGGGAAGGAGGCGATTTGAATCGGGGTTATTGGTTGCGTCGTATGCTGTCTCCAACAGAGACGTGTTGGTCAAAGGCAGCTCGAAGCGGAGCTCGTAATTGACCTTGCCAAACGCACGCTCGAATCTTTCAACCCTGTTCTCGTTTATATCTCCCGCATAGCCAATGTCGTGGTTCCCCGCCACATTGATGACGCGGCGCGTCCAGGCTCTCGACTCGTTTGACGCCCCGCCGTCGAGATGGCCCGTCAGATCGTATTCATCGGCCGGGTACGCAGCCAGATGATCAGGGACTCGCTCAGCGCCCCGAAAAACGCGGCTCCAGAAGCGGCTGGCGCGACGGAAAAACTCGGCATCTTCGAGCCACTGGCTTCCAACCAGGTCGCCCAGAACGGTGACGTGGGTTGGGCGCGTCCACCAATGTAATGTACGGTATATATGGGCGAGGTAGAAGTCGTTGCCGAACAGGTCGATACGCTTGCGCACCGACTCGAGTGCATTGAAGACATCTTCGAGCAGAATGTCAACCACGTCGTGCAGGCTGTCCCGAACGCGGTGGCGAAACGACGCATGGCTCGACCGGAACGTCAGACGCCGGACCAGGCTCCTCAAATGCGGAAAGACGCCGAGGTAGTCCGTCGGGATCGAGGTATCGCCTTCGAGCTGGGGATCGCCGAGCGCAAGCAGACGAAACGGCGCATGGCTTCGAAGGGGGTCGGCGAGGGAGGAGAGGGAGGAGAGGGAGGAGTTGTCGGTTGTGTTCGAGAATGGCCAGTGAAGCTTGGCAGTTTCGACAAAAGCAGCCCGACCCGTGTCGGCCGAGCTAATGCCATACTGGTCTGGAGGTAGGGGAAACGCGCAGCCGGCGAAGATAGGGTAGAGATAAAGGGAAATTGTGGCAGCTACCGAAAGCGGGACAAGCAGTCGCAGGCCATTGCGAAGTATCGCAGTTGGGGAATGTTGGGTCATGTAGAAAGCCGCGGCATGTGCGCCTCAAGGTTTCCTGTCGGCGTCGGCACCCGAAAAAAACCCCCCGAGGGAAATGAAGAGAGATTTGCTTGCTGCAGAGGAAAAAGAAGAAAAGAATGGGCGGCGTAAATGGATCGGGAAGTCGTAAAAGCAAGAAAATGACCAAGAGCAAAAAGAAATCCAGAAAAATTCCAAGGCCTCCTGTTTGGCGAAGAAATCCATCCACGGTCAGCAGTCAGATTGTTGGCGAGTTTGCCAGACGCGTTAAAAAGCCAATTGGGGTTTGGACCAGGCCGCTAGGTTGCCTCAGGGGCAGGGGCTGACCCGCTGCACGGACCACCGAGCGGGACCCGCTCAGCCACACCCCGAGGGCAGTCTCATTCGGGTTTGCAACAAACCTTTTCATCCTTAGACTCAACAACCATATACCTAGGTATATGAAAGATCCTCATCATTCTGGCTCAACCAGTCTGATGGTGGCATACACGTCATACAGAAGAGATGAGTGCTGGGGCTATTAATATTTGCATGCCGGATTTGACGCACAACCCTTTGCAGGCTACTGTCCAACTAAGAATTCTGAAGAGACAGCTGGCTGCAATGGGGATGTAAAGTGAGTATCCGCACGGCGTTGGAAAATCTACTTTTTGGTATTAAGATTATTATTGACAACCCCCAAAAAACACATCTCGATGTGCACACATGTTATATACATCGCAAATAAACAGAGCCAAACTACTGAGAGACAGTAGAACAGAATGGTATAATTAAAATGAACTCAGAAGTATTATTCTATGACGTTCTGGCACTTATAACCAACAAAATGTGATAAGAACGCTTGGAATTAGCCACATGCCGAGTCGTTCTGGCGCCGCATATCTCGAAGCCGACGCAGTTACCACTGACGTCGAGATTAGCGATACCAGCCCGGAGGATGATACAATGGATGGCGCAGCCGTTGTAGGTACTGTAGAGTCGGAAGTTGTGTCGATTACTGGGCTGGTCGTTGATGTTCGTGGGGCAAACACGGAGCTTGTCAACGTTCCGCTAATGCCCGTGACGGTAACTATCGCAGTAGCTAGCGGATCTCCGTCTGCATCACAGTAAATGATCAAAAGAACGCCCATCTGAGGAGCAGGTGGAGTGGTGGGGGTCGGGATTGGAGGCACAGCTGTAATGGTCTCTGGAGGGGGCAGCACGGTAGTCGTTGGCGGAATGAGACCACCTGTGACGGTGGGCAGTGCATACGGCGGGTCGAAGAGACCGAACCGGGCGCAAGCGTTACAAGGGTAAGCCCATGACCGGACTTGACTCGGCGCCGCAAGAACAGGGTCGCAGTGCGCATCGACTATGGTGGCAATGGCAGAAGGATCAGCCGTTCGTGGGCAATCGGTGCCCAGATCGCTAAGCGTGAGCTGCCGTGTGATGTTGGATGAACCCTGGGCGATGGTAGACACCTCGTTTAAGTTGAGAGGAAGCATCCAGCTAGCCGTTGAAGGCCCGACCGTCTCACCCTCGGTGTTTATTCCCACGGCCGTGGGAATGAACATGTACACTGACGGCCATGTGCTGTTTCAAACTCATCATTAGCCCGTTATCCCGCCACTCCGTTCCGATGCAGGAATAGAGACTGAAGGAACTGACAATGTATATCCCACATCGTGATCGACATAAGTCGAAGGGTACGTTGCGGGTCTGTCAGTGGGCCAAAAATAGAGGTTGACAGTTTCGACAGAACTACAAGTGGACATTTCAAGGTTAATTAATCATCAAGCGACAGCCAGAAGCGGAAGGCCTTGGGAGAACGTACATGCTACAAGAACTTGGACACGGGTCAACGGTAGTGGAGAAAATGGTGCGCGTGGTAGTGGTATATGTTGTGATTGTCGCCGGGACTGTGGAGGTGGTGGTCTCCGTGTTGGTGATGGTCGTAGAGCTCGTGGCTGTGTTTGTTACCGTCACCCAGCCTTTTTCTGTGTTTGTGATTGTCACTGAGTCTACCTCAGTAGTTGTGGTTGTTGCCGAGTCGGTCTCAGTCACCGAAACGGAGTATAGTAGAGTAGTTGTGATGTCCTCAATGATGTACGTCGAGACGGTGTTGGTTGTGGTGATATTCACAGTACACACGACGTCCACATAGTGACTTATCTTCACAGAGGTGGTGTCATAGACTGTGACATTGGCTGTGCAGACAGGATCAAAGATCGTGGTGCTGATGACTTGGACATCGACTATAGGCAATCGGGAGTTGGTCATTCTTCCTCAGCACCGAAGATATTCAGCAGCCATAACGTACCACCGTTGCGCCGTCCCTTGACTGATTGGACTAGCAGCCCGAATGCTGCTAAAGTTCTCCAAGTCTGCAACATGGCTGCGGATCCCGATTAGCAACGTTGGGGTTAAACGAGCGCAATAATAACGAGTGAAAGAAAACGAGCGATTGAAGCATTGATGAATAGAAGATTGGACAAAAACTCGGGCATCAGCGCAAATGGGTTTGCATTTAATTTCTCTGTAGCTATTGCCACAAAACGTCAACTGCCAGTTCCCCTTTCCTGTTTCTGGTTTCTGCATCTTGTTTTTGGTACTCGTATTCCTTTTCTGGCAATGATGCACTAGGAAGCATGGAAGGAGTAGCAATACCAAATCTTCGAGCCTCTAATTAGTGGTGGCAAGCTTTCCCCAAATGGTCCAAGACACGATGTCACGGTACATGCGCGCGTTCATTGGTCCACGAGGAATGATCAGACCTAAGAATCTAGAAGCAAGACTGCGGGGTGACGTTTACAGGGTGAACGAGAGCAAACCCCATGTCCTATCTCACGTCATAGACTTCCAGGTTATCAGGCAAGCGCAGGAACAGGATCATTGACCAATAACCGCCAACACAACGGGTGAAGTTGATATCATCTTCATTAACAGTCCTCTTCCAGAGTAAAAATGATTATTGTCGATTATTCTATGTTACTTCTTAGCTTGGGACAGAAGCTGGCGTGGGTGGCAGTGCCCGTTCTCTATCCTACCCCGAGCATAAGCCTTAATTGAAGATTAATTATCCGTTTTCTCTGCATGGGTTTTGTGGTTCACCACAAAATGATGTCTCTTGCGATATTATTAGTGATTGCAGTTTCAATCACAATGTCTTCCTCCCAAAACACACAGCCAGGGCCTCTCGTGATTTCCCCAAGTCAATACTTGTAATTCTGCCCATCCACCCGGAGTGCATTTCTGGCGACGTTGCTGACTTGATTTTTAGTGACGGCAATGATGGGCCTTGGAGCAGCTTCGACATTCGCGTCGGTACCCCAGAGCAATACATTAGAACGCTAGTCTCGACGGCCTCCCCGCACTCGTTGGTTCCTTTATCCGAGTTTGCTTGCTCGAGTTCGGTTTTCACAGCTGTCCGTCCAGACTGTGCCGTGTCCAGAGGCAACTTGTTCAATCTCACACAGACCTCAAGCTGGCATGACGTGGGTGTCTACGGAATCAACCAAAATGGGGTCGGTCTCGAAGCAAATTTAGGATACAACCAGACAGCCCAGTTCGGTCTGGAGCACTTGGGAATTGGGCTCGAGGGACCCAGCTTCGACAACCAAAATATCGGCGGCATTGCAACACCCGAGCCATTTTACCTGTAGGGACCAGGATATATTTAGTTCTCTCCTCTATTGACACTAATACTCGAACTTTGCAGTGGCATCTTTGGGCTCAACAACCAACCCATCAATTTTAGCACTTTGGGAAACCACTCGTCGCCTTCATTCCTTACATCACTCAAAGACGAGAAGAAGATACCGAGCCTTAGTTGGAGTTACACGGCTGGTGCAAAGTATCGTAAGCGCATCCCCGGCGAGGCGAACCTCTTACTCGTGGTTGACAGAAATCTTCTCGTCCGCTTAGGCCTCAAGAAAGTCTTGGCCCAGTTAATCTTTTCGGGTTACGACACGTCTCGGTTCAAAGAGAACACCGTCTCATTTACCATGGTAGATGATGTTACTCGGGATCTCGTGGTCGCTCTTCAATCCATTAGCTATAGCGGGTCAACTTCTGCCACGTTGCTCTCCAGTCCCATTGATATCTTCATTGACTCGACAGATCCACACATATGGCTTCCGGCGGATGCTTGCGACGCTTTTGAAGAGGCCTTTGGTCTTAGACTTGACAGCAAGTCTGGATTATATTTGGTAAACGACACACATAGAGCCGCCTTGCTCGACTCGAAGGCGGAAGTGTCCTTTCGGCTTTCAGACGTGAAGTCAGGGGGAGATACAGCGACGATAACCTTCCCTTACGACGCATTTGACCTTACGGCAGACTATCCCCTCGTCGACAACCGCACTTATTATTTTCCCTTACGACGCGCCAACAATCCGGGGCAGTACACACTTGGACGGACGTTCTTGCAGGAAGCGTACGTGAACGAACACACAAACGGCTCACTAGATTGGCTGTGACTAATTAGCAATCTTCTAGCTATTTATCCGCTGACTATGAGCGCAAGACATTCAACGTATCGGCATGCATTTGGGACCAGGGTGCAAAGCAGACCATTATAACCATCCCTTCTACAGAGTTCGAAGACTCTAACCTGACCAGCGTCCAGCCTTCTTCAAACAGGTCCGGCCTAAGCGGCGGGGCCATTGCGGGCATCGTGGCTGCTTCCGTGGTTACTGGAATTCTTGTTATCGCCAGCGTCATCGTGATAATCCTTCGGAAACGGAGGAAGTGGTTGAGCGCTGGCTTCGCAGTGACGGCGCGGGACCCGCCACCTGACGAATCTATGCTCAAGGGTCCGGTCTTTAATTCTCCATCGCGACAAGCATCAACGCCAGAGGGATCAATGCCATTCTCCGCAGATGATATCTCCGCGAACCAGCCAGAATCGACGTCATCAACCGAGCACGCTAGACTCAGCTCAGGGATAGTGGGTATCACTGGTGCGTTGTCTATTGGCGAGCTGGACGGTCACGAAACTCTGATCCGACCAAATAAAGAGCTCGACGGGAATGAGGTGCGAAGACCTCTTCCAACGGTGGCAGAGAGTCCGGGAGGCGTATATGAGCTCCCGGGTAGCGACGCGCCTACGCAGCAAAGGATAGAAGGTCTCGGGGATAAGATAAATAAAGGTACTGCGTCTACGATAAGTTCACTACTATCGCGGGACGGAAGAGAGGAGGAAAGCTATTCTCCTCCATCGCCGCTTACTTCTACGATGGAGAAGAATTAAAGAGTCGTATATATCACCGTATAGCGTATTATAAGTACGAGTTTGCGCAATAAGTGTTTAGCCCACGAGCCGTAACTAACGAGTAGATTTATGAAATTTAAATATAACTAGTAGGAGCTGGCTGGGCCTTTTCTTATCTCATTGCCTCCGAATTTCTCTCTCTTTTCCAGGCTAATCGTCCTAAAGTGGTGCATTGCGATGGTGAGCATAGCCGTTATCATCTCGTTACGAGTTCTATACCTCTCGGATTTATAGGCAACAACTTGAAGGAGAGCAGCTAGTTGTCTCTAGTGGCCGATGCACTTCCCTACTGTTGGATTCACCAGGGTACCGGTACTGGAATCAACAGGGCGTAACTGTACGCCGAAAGCTGGTGATTCAAGTGATGGATTGTAGATGTGTGTTCTTCTCTCTAGCTTTCTGGCAGTGCCAGAAAGCCCCTTCTTACACTACTATTGTGGTGGCGAAGTGGGTGGCGAAGTCTCTATCTAGAACCTTCGAGGCCCTTCTGCTTGACAAATTCCAACACTGGCAGTTTTCTCTTTTGAGGCTGGAAAGCTGCCCTTATATAACTGCCACTATCTACACCCCCGGGATCACTGCTTCCACCCGGGTCTTCCTTACCGGGCGACCCACCCTTCCATACGGAACGTAAGGCTATTACCGTCGATGAACCGTTCTAGGGCCCGGTTCGGTACGGCCTTGGTCAGGGCGTCGGCGGGGTTATCGTCGCCGTGGATCCACCTGACCTCGTGTAGCTCACGGCGCTCGTACGACTGCCGTAGGGCCATAATATCGATCATTAGCCTCTTCTCTTTTGTTGTCCCTAGCTTGACAAGGCATTCGTATAGCGAGTATGAGTCTGTACAGACAACCGTAGGGACGGTTGGTAGATTGAGGTGCGTAGTGACGACTTGAATCGTAGAAGTTAGTGCGTAGGCCATATCCACTCCTGCCACCATACCGTAGACTTCGGAAGCGAGTATACTACGTGTGACTCGCTTGCTCTTAGTACTGGAGAAGTGGATGATATTACCACGAATGGTGAATTGAGTATAGATTGTGGTCTCGTTGGCTAGAATGATCACGAAGCCGAGTTGTGATGTGAGGTCACGGTTATTAGCGAAGGATCCGTCGACGAAGACGAAGAGCTTTGCGTTAGGTAGGTCTAGGGGGATAGATGCTAGGCCTCGGTCTTGGTTATCAACTTGCTACTTAATACGTTGGTTGAGGGCCTTAAAGTCATCTAGCGTAGGCTCTTGGTGTTGCGCTGCGGTTGATAGGTCGAAGCAGGCTTCAGGTTGACAGATGGAAGCGATATACACGCCGCGGGCTCGCTGCTCAACGTATTGTTGCTTGTCGTCAACTGCGTTGTAGTTAATAGGTCGTAGCCTACCGGCCTGGCCTTTCTTCCGTAGGGCGATCGTATCGTTGGTAAGCGTAGCGATCCCTCCGTTGTATGCTAGTGTTCCTTTGAATTCAGGATCTGCTTAGGCTTTGCACTGAATGCGGCCTCTTTTAGTTGTTCTTCCTCAACACGGGAAAAAGCCTTAGTTGACAGGCCGATCGTATCGTCGGTTTGCATCTCGATGCAGGCAAATTCCGGGTTCTCCGTATTGGAAATTAACAAGCAGGGGTCGTACGTAGATGTCATCATCTGGAGCCTCTCTAAGTGATGCTTATGATAGGTAGTCCACCAGTGGGTCCCTGCCTCAGCCAGGCCGTATAACGGCTTGATTACTCGCATTACGGTGCCTTCGGGGTACTGGTCCTGGATCTGCTTAGGTAGGTAGGCTAGGATTTAGCGGTTGAGGTTGGTTCCTGATTGAACGTAGGCCTGCGTAATGTCCCGTAGCCAGATGACCATACTGCGTTGCATGAGCGAAGGAGCCAGTGCCAGTATAAGGCGTTGGCTAGCCCGTTGGATCGTTGGTGACTGGTATAGAATAGACTCCTTACCGTCGTCTGCGTAGCCTTGGATAACGAGGCGGGATTTTTCGTAGGGCGTTGTGGTATTCTTGCCCTTGACTTCGTTAACGATGCGGGACTTGAAGATGCGTAGGCCTTGGTTGTGGCCTTGCTTGACGAATTCGAATACTCCCCGGGCGATTAGACTGTCGATCTCGTATTGGGTAGACTCTTCGAATTGGGATAGATGGATGCCATAGGCAAGTGTAAGGAAACCACCTGCGTGGCCACAACGTACGACCGCCACTAGGGCTACGCACTACCGCTACCAGAGCTACGCACTACCGCCACTAGGGCTACGTACTATCGCCACTAGGGCCACGCACCACCGCCACCAGGGCTACGCAAGGATGACTCATAACCCCTTTAAGTATATTAGACCATGGCCCTCGCATATCTCTTTAGCTTAGGCCAGGTTGAAGTCTCACGCCAATACCAGTCATTGCTCAGCTTACTTGCTTCCATTGTGACCACCTTGATCAGGCGTACCTGCCTTCTCTTACAATACACTTTGCACAGCATTCCAGATTGACTGTGATTATCGTGCGATAAGAGCTTGCCCTTTGTTCATTCTTCATTGTTACTAAACCGACCCAACCTTGCAGAGCCTGTGCTCTCTTACCGACAGACGACCCTAACAGTCGAGCGGTTTGTAATAGTACGGGATCGAGCCAATTGATTAGCCTCCTTATAGCCCGGATTTGAACCCTATTGAGTACGTTTAGAAACTTTTAAAGGACCTGGTGTATGAAATGCATCCTAAATTTAAGGACCTGAAGGATAATGAGGCTGATAGAGTACTCGCCCTTGTGTAGGTTAAGGAGGCGTGGGTAGCTATTAACTAGGGCTTTATTCGAGACCTTTTATAGTTAGTACCACGCCGACGGTATACGAAATATTAAAGCACAGCCTCTGAGCTCCATTTTGATGTATTTATTATCTTCATAGCTAGTAAATTGAGCGCGCAATTGATCGTTGAAGATTGAAGGTCAATTTGGAAAAGTTGGTTGGGTGGCCTGTGCACACAAACTTTTTCAATGGGGGTGTAGTGACATTGATACATTCTCACGAACATGATGTGCGGCCCTCCGAAGAGAACTGGTAAAAGCTAACCACATGTCCAAAAAAAGAAAACACGCAACCACGAACGAAACACGACGTCCGCTTAAGCCTTGAACTCCCTCTTAACCTTGGCCTTCATGGCCGCCTCGGCGCCAGGGAGGTACTTGGACCCTGTTAGGTGGAGTAAGTCAGTATTTGTCTTCATTTCAGAAAGGGGAAAAGGGGGTAGGGTCCACATACAACCGTCAATCTTCTCATTGACAAAGTTCTTGACGGTGCACTGGCCGGCCACGCTCATAGCCTGCTTCTTGATGGCGCCACAGCCGTCGTAAAAGCACTCGGACTTGTCCATGGCCTTCTGAAGGGCGTCTCCCTTCCATCTGTTGTGGGGCACACGTTAGCTAACACTATCCCGAAACAAAAAGAAGAGAGAAAGGAATCACATACCCGAACATGTAATCAGCGTGAGTACCCGCGCCAGTGCCCTCGAAAGACCACATGAAGGGGTTCTTGTCCTTGGCCGGGTCCCAGAGGGAGTTGAACACGGGGGTATCCCACTCAATCTCAAAGGTCACCTGGGGCACACGGACGGGGTGGCTGGCGGGGCAGGTGGGGGCGTTGGTGAAGCCCTCGCTGGTGACGGTGTTGTACATGTGCGACTGGTGGTCGGGGCTGTCGAGGTTCTTGCCGTCCCAGCATCTGTGCCGTACTGTTAGTAAGGTTTCTGGTGAGGAGATGGGGGTTCCCAGGTTCGTTTCCAGAGCGAAAACTGTACTAGATGGACGGAGATTTGATTTGACTTACGGGGCAAAGTGGTGGGTGGTGAAGATGCCGTTGGTGCACTTCCCCTTGGGCCAGTCGGACACAATCGTGCCGCGGTTCTGTCCGGCCATGCACTGGTAGCTGAGGCCAGCGTGCGGCTTGTTGGTGACGGTGGGGCTGCCAACCGTCATGCGGAAACCCTACGAATTTTAACAGTCCGCAAAATGCAAACATGAAATAAATGATATCTCCAGCATCCAAAGGGAAGATGAAAACATCAAACTGAAAAACTTACAGGAGGGAACGCCTTGATAGGCTGCTTCGCCAAATTGTCCTTCGACAGGTCGAATTGGGTGTAGTAGACGGTCAGACCGCCCTGGGCGCCGTTGGAGCCCCCCAAGAGCGGCTGCACCGGCTTCGGCTTGACAATATGGTAGGTGCCGTTCTTGGGGTCCTTGAAGTACATGTGCGCAACCCAGTAGTTGGAAAAATCATCGGCCATCTGGCACGTCGTGCAGGTGGCCCTCTCACCAACATCGCCCAACATGGTGGCGTTGAATGCATTGCCGCCGACGATCATGTGCAGATGTGCGGACGGCAGCGCGCCGGGCTGGGCCGCGGGGTCGAGCCGCTGGGTTGTGAGAGTCGAGCAGGGGAAGCGGAGGCCGGCATATGAGTTGTCGACCAGGAAGGCGGCCAAAATGGCGAGAGCCGAGGTGAAGGTCTTCATCTTGGCAGGGCGGTTCTCGAACAAAGACTTGTGCGGTGACGGTCTCGAGGTTCAGAACTTGAAAAGAATGATTGAAGGCAAGAAAGGAGGCCAAGATGATGGAAAACAGGAATGGAGTGGGGAGGCCCGCATCCGGTTATAATGACAGTCGCTCTCGGCGAGCGCTGCCGAGCGACGCGCCTAGAAGGCTAGAATGCTTTTTGGCGCTTTTATCCACCTGCCGGGTGTTAATGATACACCTTATTTATGTCGTTTATGGAATCGTTCCTATTGGTCCGGGCCCTGCGCCATTTAATCTCTGTTCTAGCAACATACGCAATCAAGGCCTCCCAACTTTATTTTTTTTGGCTTATTGACCCCAGTATATGAGTATATGGGGTCGGCAGGAAGAGAAGGGGGCGAAGAGACACCGGCAGTTATCGTTCCGAAGCATGTTTTGGTCGCTGCATGTTCTAGAAACATCAGAGTAGACAGTTGGGCCGCCCTGTTGCCGCAAATGGGTATAACGGACTCCTACCTTGCTGGTTGACACGGGCGAACCGAGGTAGCCCCGAAAACAGATGTGGCGAATTGGCCTGATGACCAAACACTTACCGCCAACAAGGAGGAATTAGTTAAATATGAAAGCAACCCGGCATCTGCGTCTCGGTTGCCATCTGTTGGGTGCCGAGACATCGACCCAGTGGGCAGGGGTATATGGCTGATGTTGCGTACATCTGCGCCTAGCGGAACTCGTTGCGCCTGTTATTCTGCACTCGGTGTGTAATCGCTTCGGAGAATCTGTCAAGTCTGGTGGTGAGAAGATTTGGTTCCTGGAAACGGCCACGCATGTCAGTCTCCATAGGTAACTTACCTCAGCTGTCGTCCCCGGAAGACTAGGAGTCTGCTTTACCACAACGGATACGCAGTAAGCCCAGTGCACCCAACGGGAGTGTCTGCCTGACGTCACGATGCCGCTACCTTCTCCTCATCCTCGCGCTATTCGGGATGTGGGACTAGGTGCTAGATAGAATTTTTTTGCCTAGCAAATACCCTTAATTGGTATAACGCGAGCACATAGCGGATCTTCAAAATGTATTGTAATTTCTAAAGGATATAGTGTAAATATAGCTCTGCAATAAGACTAATTCAATTAACATAACTATGGTAACGGCGCGCTCTAGAGCACGGCAAGGTCTTGGATATTGCCTCAACTCCTGTAATAACTTTGAACCCGAAGGTCCTTGCTCTTATTCCTGAACCTTATTAGACAACTAGCGTAGTGATTTGGAGAGAAGATGACTGTAATGATTTTGCCGCTCTGGGTTAGGCTATAAAGTAGCACTTATTAGGAGCCTAACCTTCAGGAGTAGATAGGGGCAGGACGTTGGTCATGAACTCCTGCACGTTGTTGAGGAAAACTGTGATGTGACCCTTGAGGTGTTTCGGATACCTCACCCCCTGCCTGTGGCCCTCCGGCAAGCCGTACATGGTGATGAATCCGTAACAAGAGTTCAACGCAATAAGCTTCTCCTTGACTGGCGTTAGAGCTTTCTGGAAACGTCGGGAGGAGCTGCCGTGAGATCTGACCTTGATAAGACCAATCGTCGCATTGTCCTGCTTTAAGGAGACTGGTGTGAGGGCCTGGTCCTCCAGGCCTCCCAGACGCTCTGACTAATCAGACGCCAGTTGGGTGGATCCACCCGACCAGCTAGAGCCCCACCTTGAGACGTCCTGGAAGAATCTCACGAGGGGAGGCTTTTGAGCTTCTTTTCCCTTTTTCCTTTAGTTTAGAATCTTCGTCTATAGCGCCCAATAGAGGAGTTCCGCCCTCATTCCAAGCCGGCCGTGACAGGCGCCACAGAGGGTTGGCGAGAGTTAGCATCAGTAGCTGAGCTCGTACTCAGGACCATGGCATCCTCGATATCGCCCTCGCCCTCGCCCTCGCTCTCGTCGTCAGGCGTCGTAGTAGAGGGGCCAAAGGCATTACTCGCGCGGATAATGTTACGGCCATGACCAGACTGGTTGGCGTATATCGTCTCATAGTCTGACAGAGTAAACCGAGCAGTCCGAAGCCATCCAGCATCCTTATATTGCAAAAGGAAATTATTCCAGACTTCCACAGAGCCTTCCACCATCCTCTCTTCTTCGTTATATTTCGCACCTGACTTGTTAAGGAAGGTCTTGATCGTTCGGAATCGCTTCTTCTCGTTATCGTACTTGTCCCTAATCTTCTCTGCTGACCAGTGGAAGTCTGGAAAGGATTCCTCCATTGTAACAGAGATCCTCTGGAATGCCGGCCGCGTCTCGGTCAACTTGTTGATACGGAACGCTCCAGCGATAGCCTCGTCTCGGAATAACTCGATAATCTTCGCCTGCATTTCGGTTGTGTAGATGATTTTCCTCCGCCTCGTACGCGGGGTCGACGAAGGCGCGTCAGGTGTCGGCTCGGAAGTAGGGCCGTCATCGGAGGCTTGCAGGCCGTCGTCAGAGGGTAGGTCATCGGCTTGAACAACAATAGAGGCCTCAGGAGCAGGAGACTCTACTGCGGTTGCCCTGATGCGGGGTCTTCTGGGCATCTTGACGATAGGTGGGTTGCTGTCGTGGCTGTATTTTGGTCAAAAAATTGCGGGAAGACAGGGCGGAAGTCACACGGGACTATGATTAATTAGGAAAAGCCTAGTTACAGGGGGTTTCGGGGTACATTGGCTGTGTCTCCACTTTAATTATGCACATGGCTCGTATCTTTTCCCAACCGCAACGACACCGCAACGGCGAGCCGATCAGGCCCTGAGTGATGGCTTCTTCGATATCGGTCCCCTCATCGGAGGAGGGTCCTTCCTCTGCGACTGTACTATAGCCAACAATGGATTTTCTCTTTCCACCTCTGACGTGCTGATGGATACGGGAGCAGATGGGTATATATTCATAAGCCCTAAACTCGCTAAGAAAATGGTGAAGCATCTCCAATCAGAACAACTAGACAACTTTCGCAAGAGAGGTGTCTCAGACTACCGCGGCAAGTCCACCCAAGAAATTAGCCAGTTGGTGAGGGGCCATCTCCGGATTCAAGGACGAACGATACACAACGAGTGGATGATCGTCCTAGAGATGAAGCACGACCTCCTTATCGGCAAGAACTGGTTCGCCTACCACAATATCTGGCTCGATTGCGCGGAACGGCGCTTGCTATTCCCTACCGATTGGGAAATCGACCCTAGTCACTGGAAAGACATATCAGTTGGAAGGACGAAACTACTCAAGAGCCAGGACTATCAGGAGGATATGATCAGGAGGCAAGCAGCCATGGATGCCGAAGATAAGAGGCGGCGGGATAGACGGAGCGTTCGAGAAAGGATTGAGGAACTCGAGCGACTCAAGGCTATCCCAGTCGAACCGCCTAAGCCCAAGCCCAAAGCACCCCAACGCGTGTACTTCATTACTGAGAAGAAGCCTACGAGGTCCCTCGCGAGCAACCCAATACGACGACAGCTAGATCGTATGGAGAGGGAAGTCTTTACCCCAGATCCCGATGTCGAGGAGACCGAGAGGAAACAACCTTCTCCCCGACTACCCAAGATCACGATCGCATCTCTATACCCCGAGTCCGACATTAGGGGCCCCTACAAGATGAAAAGGGACGCGATCGGTTGGTATAAGGAGCGTACGCCTGACTTGGCGACAGTGGGAGCCGTATCATTCCTTCGGACGGCCCGCAAGTCGAGGGATTCAATCCACGTTATGTCTTTATACGAGCTAGATTGCTACATTCAAGACCGTAGGGAGCAGCTACTACCCAGGGATGAAGAAGACCTCGCAGAAAAAATCACAACAACCGTCCCGAAGGTCTACCACGATTTCCTAGATGTGTTTAGTAAGGCCGAGTCTGACGTCCGGGCACCACATCGCCCCGGTAAGGCCGACCACCGGATAGAGCTCCTCGAGGGCAAGACACCTGAGAAAGACTTAATTTATAGTCCTCTCTATAAGATGTCATTGGAAGAACTAGAAGCCTGCAGGGTGTATATTACCGAGCACCTACAAAAAGGCTTCATCGAGCCTAGCTCAGCCCCTTGGGCAGCACCTATCCTAATGGCTGAAAAGCCAGGAGGAGGGCTCCGCTTCTGTGTCGACTACCGGCGGCTGAACTCGATTACAAGGAAGGACCGTTATGTTACGATCCTGGTCCAAGTCTGCAGGAGGCGCTGGAAGCCGATTGCTAATTGGGCAGGGCAGGCAGGCGGGCCGGGCCCCGCAGGGGTTCGGTACAGCCAATCAGGTAGCGCTCTGTTCGATTAGGTGCTAAGACCAACAGAGCGGACGGAGCGGGCGCTCTGCGGGGCCTCCGTGCTCTGTGAGCAGAGCACCCGGGGCCCACGGAGCGCAAAGAGAGAACTCTGATTGGTTACATGAATAAGATAAATACGATGACCGTAGCCACGGTCTTAGATAACTCTTGCTTGGTTCTTCAAGCAAGCAATACACATTCACTGCACTCATACACTTTGAGTGGCATTCCGATTTGGCTGTATTACCCGTGCGATAGGAGCTTGCCCTTTGTTCTATCTTCATAATTACAACCCCAGCATTCTGTGGAGCCCGTGCTCCCTTACAGACAGACGACCCTAACAGTCGAGTGGTTTGTAATACGTTATCCTATCCCGTTGATCGACGAAACGCTAGAACGGATAGCGGGTAAGAAGATCTTCACTAAAATCGATATCCGTCAAGCTTTCCACCGAATACGCCTTCACGATGACGATGTCGAACTTACTGCCTTTCAGAGTAGGTATGGCTCCTACCAATATCGTGTCTTACCGTTCGGCCTAACCAACGGTCCGGCCACGTTCCAAAGGTTATTAACGCGGCATTGGTGGACTACCTTGACGTATTCTGTAGCGCGTACCTCGATGATATCTTAATCTTCTCAAACTCGCTAGAAAAACACAAGGAACATGTCAAGAAGATCCTCGCTAAGCTCCGGGAGTGTGGACTCCAGGCCGATATTAAGAAGTGCGAGTTCCATGTTACGGAAACACGCTACTTGGGATTCATTATCGGTAAGGATGGAGTCCGCGTCGACCCGGAGAAAACGGCCGCCGTGAAAGATTGGAAGGAACCTACTACGGTAAAAGGGATCCAGTCCTTCCTAGGGTTCTGCAACTACTTCCGCCGGTTTATCCGAGAATATAGCCGGATCGCTAGGCCACTATCAGACCTTACAAAGAAAAATCAGCCGTACGTCTGGTCTAACCTTTGCCAGGAGGCATTTGAAAAACTCAAGCACTCTCTACTCACTGCGCCACTACTTGGATACTTCGATTTCCACGCGGAGACCCGCATGGAAACAGATGCCTCGAATGGCGTGATCGCAGGAGTGCTCTCTCAGAAAGGAGGGGATGGCGAGTGGCACCTGTTACGATCCTGGCTCAAGTCTGCAGGAGGCGCTGGAAGCCGACTGCTGATTGGGCAGCACTGGCGGGCAGGATGGGCCCCACATGAGCTCGGTGCGGCCAATCAGGCGGCGCTCAGTGCGTTCGGCTGCCAAGACTGGGAAGACCCACTGAGCAGGAAGAACAGCCAATTAGGAAAGTGCTCAGTTACCATTGAGAGCTCAGTCGTCCTTGAAGACTGAGCGCCCCGGAGGCACTGAGCACTGTAAGGGAGAACCCTGATTGGTTGCGCAATTAGATAAATACGATGACCGTACCCACGGTCTTAGATAGTTCTTGCTTGGTTCTTCAAGCAAGCAATACACATTCACTGCACTCATACACTTTGAGTGGCATTCCGATTTGACTGTATTACCCGTGCGATAGGAGCTTGCCCTTTGTTCTATCTTCATAATTACCAACCCCAGCATTCTGTGGAGCCCGTGCTCCCTTACAGACAGACGACCCTAACAGTCGAGTGGTTTGTAATAGCACCCCGTCGCCTATTACTCGGAAACCCTGGAAGGATCAGAACATACTTATCCTATACAAGATAAAGAGTTGATGGCAATCGTGAGGGGGCTAGAGAACTGGAGGACTATGCTGCAAGGTCTCCAAAGCCCATTTCTGGCTATTACGGATCACGAGGCCCTCAAATATTACTCGGAAAAGCGACACCTAGGCCAGCGACAGGCGAACTGGCAGGATAACCTATCTAAGTATAATGTCTTGTTTACCTATAGGCCCGGGAAAGAGAACGTGGCAGCCGACGCTCTCTCCCGTAAAACAGAAGACCTCGTTACACAGAAGGAAAAACGAGAAGTCGAGCGTCACTTAAGGATCTTCAAGCACCTCGAAGGAGGACTAATTAGCGTATTGGCCACGGAAGAAGATCAGAAAGATGACGCTTTACTGGAAAACCCTAGCATCTCCCTCCTAGAGGACGACGAACCTCCACCGCCGATGTCTGGCGTAGACGTTATCGACAAGGTCATTACAGCAAACCGCGAAGACCCCGAGCTAAGTATCTGGAGAGAGAAGGCCCGGCTGGGACTCTCGGGATTCGCCCTCTCAAATACGGGACTCGTCACCTGCCACGGTAAACTCGTGGTTCCAGAAAAAGACAACCTCCGAACACTCCTCCTAAAGGAAATACACGGGCGGATTGTTACCGCGCACCCAGGCCGTAATAAGACCTTCAAACTCCTGAACTATTATTACTGGTGGCCGAAGATGAGAACCTTCTCGGAACAGTACGTGGCTAACTGCATGACCTGTCGCCCAGCACGACACCCACGAGATAAAACCCCGGGACTGTTACACTCTCTACCAATCCCCTTCCGCCCTTGGACATCCCTGGTGATAGACTTCAAGAGCCAGCCTAAGGATAAGTACGGCTTCGACAACATCCTCGTCATAGTCGATCGACTAAGTAAACAACCATGGTGCGTCCCTTGTCATCGGAGCGCTACGGCACGAGACGCGGCCCTGATGTACTACGAGGGACCCTACAGGATCCTCGGCCTCCCTATGGAAGTGGGATCAGATCGGGGGCCGCAATTCACTGCAGATTTCACCGACGAGATGTCTAAGTTACTGGGAATCAAGTGGAAGCTCTTTTCGTCCGGGCCCTCCCAGAGCGCCGGGCAGGCGGAAATTATGAACCAATATATCGATCAACGATTGAGACCCTTCGTCAATCACTACCAAGATAATTGGTCACGAGCTATGCCCGCTATGGACGCAGTGGCAGGATCCGTACCGCATGATAGCACCGGACTCTCTCCTCATGAAGTCCTTATGGGCTTCCCAATGAACCTACCATTCGATTGGAGCGCTAGAACGGCCTTCGACGGACCTGTTACTCATAAGGAGTGCCTGAATCGCCAGGAGGCCCGGGACGTCGCCCGCCGAATCCAGGGATACGTCAACTTCGCTAGAGATACCATGCGCCTCGCGCAGCAAAAGCAAGCAGAGCAGGCCAACCGGCACCGGAGAGAGCCGGATTTCGGCCCCGGAGACTCTGTCTTGATCATTAAAAAGTCATGGTCAACGGACCGCCCTAGCGACAAGCTCGACTACCCGCTTACTCGACGGCACTATAAGATCGAGAAGATGGTGGGGCATTCCTACCAACTGGAGGTGCCCGAGGGATGGAAAGGTACTACCGTATTTCACGCGGATCGGCTAAGGAAGTACCCAAACAATCCCGTGCCGGGACAGGCTGCCGAGAACCCGCCTGGGGAACTATTTAATAACGAAGAAGAGTGGGAAGTAGAGAAAGTTATCACTTCCCGCATAAACCGAGGCGTGCTACAGTACCAGGTCGAGTGGCGTGGCTGGGACCCCGATCCTACCTGGTATGACGCGTCAGGGTTCAAGAACGCACCCTTGAAGCTGGCCGATTTCCACAACCAACACCCAGACAATGCAGGCCCCCCAAAACGATTACAGCAGTGGCGCGAGGCCTGCGAGCGAGACTTGGTAGACCCTCCCCACGACGATGACAATCTGGCAGTAGAAGCAGGGAGAGTGCGAACAAGCCGAGCAACGAAGAGGAAGTGAAAGAGGCTTATCCACAATTTTTTTTGTTTTTATATTTCCTTTTCGGGCTCGAGGGCGAGCCCCTATCGGAAAGGGGGGGGTGATGTCACGGTCGGCGCCCAGCTGCACCGAACCCCGCCATGACGCTACCCGGCACTATCCCAAATCGGGACTAGGGCCCTGGTGGGGCGCGAACTCTATTGGTCCGTGCATGATTGGCACAACCACCACTTCCCCGCGCCCGGGATCACACCTTTGTAGAATTTCTTCCTTTCTTTTCCTTATCTTAGAATCCTTAGACAATGGTATAGCAATACTAGCGACTTTCTTCCTAGCTGCTGTTGACCGCCGTCACAGTAGGTTCCAGCACCTTCTAGGCCATTCCATCTGACACAAACTCGCCTCCGTCACATCATATGTGACGTCAAGAGAATTGAACCTGTTGATCTTGCCTTCTTAAAGAAAACTACGTGAGTCATCTCGATATCAATGGAAAACAATAGAATTTCTATAGTTTCTATAAAGCAACCCATCCTCCCGGACCCTTCTGGTGTCAAGCTAGGAAAAAGAAATAAAGAGGATGAAGTAGAGATGGCTAAAAAGTACTGTACTAAACATCTTGGGAAAAGCCAATTGTAAAGACTTGTCCAGATGAACAGCCGATAGACATCATCCGCCCGTGGACGTCAGAACAAACCGGGCGGTATTCTGGTGATAGCCATATTACATTCCGGCCATTACAATTAATCCAAGTTTGGTCGTGCCCCCAACTATATCTATTACTCGCTAGATTATCTTCCGAGAGGGTGAATGACCGAACTGAATCGCTGTGGCCTTCTAGCGTTTGCAGGCATTGCCCTGAGGCGGGATCCCAGATCTTGATGGTTCTGTCGACTGAAACCGATACGAGCTGCTGGCCATCTGGTGAGAAGTCAACTGAATAAACTGAATGGCTGTGGCCTTCTAGCGTTTGCAGGCATTGCCCTGAGGCGGGATCCCAGATCTTGATGGTTTCGCGTGAACCCGATGCGAGTTGCTGGCCATCTGGTGAGAAGGCAACTAAATTAACCCAGGGTCTGTGGCCTTCTAGCGTTTGCAGGCATTGCCCTGAGGCGGGATCCCAGATCTTGATGGTTCGGTCGCGTGAACCCGATGCGAGCTGCTGGCCATCTGGTGAGAAGGCAACTAAATCAACTAAGGATCTGTGGCCTTCTAGCGTTTGCAGGCATTGCCCTGAGGCGGGATCCCAGATCTTGATGGTTTCGCCTGAACCCGATGCGAGTTGCTGGCCATCTGGTGAGAAGGCAACTAAATTAACTAAGGATCTGTGGCCTTCTAGCGTTTGCAGGCATTGCCCTGAGGCGGGATCCCAGATCTTGATGGTTTTGTCGTATGAACCCGATGCGAGCTGCTGGCCATCTGGTGAGAAGGCAACTGAACCAACTGAATGGCTGTGGCCTTCTAGCGTTTGCAGGCATTGCCCTGAGGCGGGATCCCAGATCTTGATGGTATCGTCGTATGAACCCGATGCGAGCTGCTGGCCATCTGGTGAGAAGGCAACTGAATTAACTAAGGATCTGTGGCCTTCTAGCGTTTGCAGGCATTGCCCTGAGGCGGGATCCCAGATCTTGATGGTATCGTCGTATGAACCCGATGCGAGCTGCTGGCCATCTGGTGAGAAGGCAACTGAACCAACCTCGCCGCTGTGGCCTTCTAGCGTTTGCAGGCATTGCCCTGAGGCGGGATCCCAGATCTTGATGGTATTGTCGTATGAACCCGATGCGAGCTGCTGGCCATCTGGTGAGAAGGCAACTAAATAAACTGAATGGCTGTGGCCTTCTAGCGTTTGCAGGCATTGCCCTGAGGCGGGATCCCAGATCTTGATGGTTCGGTCGCGTGAACCCGATGCGAGCTGCTGGCCATCTGGTGAGAAGGCAACTGACTGAACTGAGTAGCTGTGGCCTTCTAGCGTTTGCGGGCATTGCCCTGAGGCGGGATCCCAGATCTTGATGGTATGGTCCTCTGAACCCGATGCGAGCTGCTGGCCATCTGGTGAGAAGGCAACTGACTGAACTGAGTCGCTGTGGCCTTCTAGCGTTTGCAGGCATTGCCCTGAGGCGGGATCCCAGATCTTGATGGTATGGTCCTCTGAACCCGATGCGAGCTGCTGGCCATCTGGTGAGAAGGCAACTGACTGAACTGAGCCGCTGTGGCCTTCTAGCGTTTGCAGGCATGCATTCCAGTCCGCTTCTACTATTGGCTTCGTACTGATCCAGCTAGGTTCTTCCGCCTTAAATTTCTTTTTCACTAGACTGGAAGCTGGTGCAAATATGAGGGCTGATATGTACGCTTGGAGAGGAGCTTGCTCGATTATCCATCTGTTGGAGAGAGCGAACCGATGTGCATCTCGAACAAAAGCCGTTAGCTGCCTCTGATCAGCATGTTCCTGCATCTCTATTAGTATAGTTCTCTGACGGTAGTAAGTTATACATACGAGTAGGAGCTTAAGCTGTCTTATGGCAATGACACCCTCCGACATAGCTTGGAGTAAGCTAAGAGCTTCGAGCCAGTAAAGGTACTTCTGCTCAAGGAAGGTCTGGATTGCATCCAGTATGTCGTTTTGCGGCACATCCTTATCGGAAATTGAGTTGTAGAAATGGTCAACCCAGAAAACGCACGAGTACCGTACTGTAGCCAGTGGGTCTGGAGATGGCGTTTGAACCCCGTCGATTAGAAACCCCGGTTCCTTCAAGCCGTATATATCGCGCTTCAAGACCGCAGACATCGCATTGAGCGATCGTGAGAAGATGATTTGGTTGACATGTTCTATCCCATGAGGGAAGACCCAGTTGAATGCCTTTCGAGATGCCTCCTTATTAGGCCTGCCGAGTAGAAAATCCTGGGCAGATTGGTGGACAAAATAGATGATCCCTTCTCGAAGGGTCAAGAATGAACCGCAGAGCCTGATAATCGTTTTTAACGGCTCTAAATCATCTACAACGTAGTCTGGTATTTCGTTCAGGATAGACTCCAGATCATCAGAACCGTCGTCCGGCATCTCGATGAGAGTAGAGTCCAGAACATCCGAACTGTCAACCGGCATCTCGGTAAAAGCAGTGAGTTCCTGAAGGCTGATGGGACGGCGAACAATCGTGATGATGGCCAGAATCTGTTTGCAGAGGTCTGCATCTTGGGAGGAACGAATTTGTTCTATCATCCGCGCATAGAGAGCATCCAAACTCGAGGGAAATGAGCGTAATTTTGTCAAGGTATGCCACTTCTTAACCTTCGGGTTGGCAAGTTCTTGGCAGACCAACGCCACCCAGAGGAATGTACCGTTCGCATGAGAAGAAAGATGTGCATGCACAAGCCTTTTTGTTTTCTTGTCGTAGTGTTTCTTATCCGATAGGTCTCGGACTTTGTAGCGGATATATGCGCTGACGGCAGTATTAAGGGACTCGGCGTTCAGCTCGAGGCTGAGCTTGTAATTTTGAGCGACGCCAACTAATTGCTCCTCAATATGAGGTAAGTTGCGACTAGAGACAACCCATTTGACGCGGGAAGATGATATCTGGGTGACTAGTTTGAGAAGTTCCGGCAAGCCAGTGGCGCACTCGTCAAGTGCGTCAATGACTAGGTAAGTTTGCTTCAAGTTCGGGTCTTGTAACAGCTGCCGGAAAACCTTCGATAAAACTACCCATGCCATTGCGTCGTCAGAAGCGTATGTATTCTCTGGCAAATGTAAGAGGAACCGGGGTTGCCGCCGAGCAAGGAGGTAAATCAGCCCTCGTAGCACGGCAACTGCGCTATTGATGCGCAAGTCGGTAGCTTGACAGAAGAAATATGCCAAGTTGCCACCGTTAGTAGTGATGGGTTGCTCTAGCTCGTTGATGATGCCACAGAGCAACATGGTCTTGCCTTTGCCAGGGTCGCCCTTGATCCAGAGCAGGCGGGACTCTGGAGAGTCGCGCCATCGGTTAAAGTCGGAGTTGTCGAAGACCCAGCGGTAAGCGTCAACCAGCAGGCCACCTTTTTCTAACTCAATGCGCTCCTTCTCGTCACGCGGGTCCCGCGGGTCTGTGGGCCATAACTTTGCCAAGCAGAGGTAATCCTCATTGATCTTGTCTCGTAGCCGCTTCAGTGCCTTCTGCAATCCTTCGCCGTAGATAACCGGTATGTGTACGTCAAAGATGCCGAATAAAGCGTACACCTTATCTTCCTCATACTTTGTGTCTCGCTTGTCCATCCACGTCATTCGTTCAGGGACACTGAAATCAGACAGAGGGCTTCCCTGGAGAGCTTTCAGAGGGATCCCAGTTATGGCGTGTAGTTCTTCTTCCAATGACTTCTTGTCTCCCAGGCGCTCGCGCTCCTTAGAGTAGAACTCAATGATGGTTGGAGCAATAAGCTCTTGCAGTGTCCATCCACGGGTGAACCATCTGCATTTCTGAAAAGCCAGTTCCAAGCTACCGTTACTGTTGGCACTATGCTCTTTGGCTGGGACGTCCGCGAGATAGACATAGCATTTGGCTGCTTCACGGTACCAGCGAAACATGGAGTTGAGAGCGTGCTCAAGCTCGACTTTGTCGGACTTGTTGATGCAGCACGTGTCAACCCAAAAGTATTTGAGCCCATCGAGCCAAGCTTGATCTCCGCAGAACTGCATCTTAGCATAGCCTGCTTTTTTCTTGGCTGTACCGTCCGCCATGTCTTCGAAGGAGACCTCCTCGTCGCCCCATGTGTGTGAAAGGATCGCGTAACGGGGGATCTCGGGGATCGCGTCATTCGGAATCGGGTTCGTTAAGTGGAGCTCGCCGGTATCGCCTCTTTCTAGGAGCCGCATCTTGCAAGGTTATCGGTTTCGGCTCGCAGCATGTATTTGTACGGTGCTCAAAGGATACGCAAACGGAAGGCTTCAAGGTCGTGGATCTATAGGTACAACGCATCAGTAGCTCAGCTTTATTCATCCTAAAGGCAAGAAATACCACCTACCATTGGCAGCCAAGGCGCGCAGTATACATCACAGTGGTCCCGATCGTACTTTGGCCCGTGATGTGATTGTTGTGGCCGACGTTGGGCTCGACGCGTTTCGCTGTCACTGCCTGTCAGAATCCCCAACCCCGCATGTCAGGCATTTTGGTGGCGTTTGCGCCTGACGGCTGGCGCCAACTGCGCGTGTCAAAGCATCGTGATTGGTATCTGTTTTGCTGGTGGGCTTAGCCACCTCCCTCCTCAAGATGAATGACAATGTGAAAAATGCCCTTTGAGGGCGATTGAGAAAAAGGAGACACGAAGGCAAACTGTACTTGGCAATGGGAAATACTAAGTTTGCAAGTAACGTGTGTGATAAGCGAGATGAACAGACAAGCGGGTTGAACACTTTTGACGCGACGCGCCTCCTCTCTACAAAACACCAAATTCCTCAACAAACTCAAATGTCTCTTCCTTCATACGAAGCTAGGGTGAATTTGGCCCTCAGGGCTATTCAAAACGACCCAAAACTCAGTATTCGAGCTGCAGCAACAACATATCAAGTCACGGTAAATACTATACGCAACCGACGCGACGGCAAACCTGCACGACGTGATACTCCAGCCAATTCGCGTAAGCTTACGGATTTGGAAGAGAAAACGATTGTTCAGTACATCATTGAGCTATGTGCGCGCGCATTTCATCCCCGGCTTTCGTACGTAGAAGATATGGCCAATCGATTGCTACGCGAACGCGACGCGCCCTCTGTCGGTACACGCTGGGCTCACAACTTCGTCAAGCGCCAGCCAGAACTTCGGACGCGTTTTACGCGTAAATACGACTACCAGAGGGCCAAATGCGAAGATCCAAAAGTTATTCGCGAGTGGTTTGCGCTTGTGCACAACACGAAGGCCAAGTACGGTATCCTTGACGAAGATTTGTACAATTTCGACGAGACCGGCTTTATGATGGGCATTATCATCCCCGCTATGGTAGTTACTACCTCTGATGGCCGTGGTAGGGCTAAGCAAGCCCAGCCTGGTAATCGAGAGTGGGCTACAGTCATCCAAGGAGTGAATGCTCTAGGCTGGACTATCCCACCATTCATTATCTTAGCTGGGCAATATCACCTTGCTAACTGGTATCAAGAGTGCAACCTTCCGGGTACCTGGCGTATCGCAACAACCGACAATGGCTGGACTACTAATGAGAAAGGCATGGATTGGATTCGGCACTTCGATTTTCACACAGCATCTCGTACGAAGGGAATATACCGACTGTTAATTCTCGACGGCCACGATAGCCACCACTCCGAAGAATTCGAGACTTACTGCCGGGAGCACAACATCATCACACTCTGTATGCCTCCGCACTCTTCACACCTACTTCAGCCATTGGATGTTGGTTGCTTTGGGCCGTTGAAGAAGGCGTACGGCTGTCAGATTGAGCAGCTGATGCGGATGAACATCACACATATTAGCAAGCTGGAGTTTCTTTGTGGGTTTAGAGAGGCGTTTTTTGCTTCGGTTACGGAAAGGAATATCCAGGGGGGGTTTGCTGGAGCCGGCCTTGTGCCGTACGATCCAGAGAGGGTGATATCCAAGCTGGATGTGCGTATTCGGACTCCAACACCCCCAGCTACAAGCCCAACTACATCGCTACCTTGGGTCTCCCAAACGCCACAAAACCCGAGAGAGGCTGCCTCACAGTCAGCGTTCATCAAAACTCGAATTTCCAACCATCAGGGCAGCTCTCCAACACCAATGCTGACTGCTGTGGATCGATTAGCTAAAGGTACGATGGCTATGATGCACGAGGTGGCTCTTTTGCGTACAGAGGTCTCAGCACTTCGGAAGGCTAATGAGGGGCTTAGTAAGCGACGGAGAGCCAAGAAAACACGTGTTCGGCTTGGAGGATCACTTACTGTACAAGAGGCACAGGATCTACTGGATCAGAAGGCTGTGGGTGGGCAGTTGGTCCAGGAAACACGACAAAATGGTGGTGGTGCAGGGGGGTCTCGTACGAAGATTCGATGCTGTGGCGTATGCGGCAAGCCTGGCCATAATGCACGTACGTGCAAGGAGGCTGCAGAATCGTCTGATTCATCTGTTTCCGATTCATTTATTGTTATTTCCTAGTGTTGTGGTTGTGTAATTGAGGGTAGTTGTGGTGAGGTTGTGGAAATTGTTCAACTCGCTTGTCTGTTCATCTCGCTGGCTATTATGCCACACCCAGTTCGAGTCGAACTGCTTGATGCGCGCCCGCTGATTGGTCGCCCAAAACCCGTGCACGGACGAATTTGAGTCGAACTGGTTCAAGATTTGCTGTCAACCAGTTCGACTTTTTCACCGGAAAAACGACGGGCAAAATCCGCTGCACGCACGTAGAATGACTAAACCAAGCATGCCGATCTCGAATCCGCCGTCTATTTGCCCCGTAGATGTATGGTTGGTCGTGCATTGACGATTTAGGTCAGAAGGTGTGTTTTTGGGCGACGGTGACGCACGGGCCAAGCGGCCGACTCACGGGCCAAGCGGCCGACAAGAGGTCGATCCGAGTCGAACTTGGTGCCCCAAGCAGTTGGAGTCGAACTGCTTCATGGGCCGTCGCTGATTGGTCAAACTGGTGGAGGATTGAGCCCGTCAATCAGTTCGACTTTTTGAAAGGGAAAACGATAGGCAAAAGTGGCTGCGCGCACGTAGATTGACCAAATCGAGTGCGGCAATATCGAATCCGCCGTCCATTTGCCCCGTAGACGTATGGTTGGTTGTGCATTGACGATTCAAGGTCAGAAGGTGTGTGTGTTTTTGACGACGGTGACGCACGGGCTAAGCGGCCGACAAGGAGTCAATCCGAGTCGAACTCGGTACCCCAACCAGTTCGAGTCGAACTGCTTGATGGGCCGCCGCTGATTGGTCGAACTGGTGGAGGATTGAGCCCGTCAATCAGTTCGACTTTTTGATAGGGAAAACGATGGGCAAAAGTGGCTGCGTGCATGTAGATTGACTAAATCGAGTGCGGCAATATCGAATCCACCGTCCATTTGCTCCGTAGACGTACGGTTGGTTGTGCATCGACGATTCAAAGGTCAGAAGGTGTGTTTTTGGTGATAGTGATGCACGGGCCAAGCGGCCGACAAGAAGCTGACCTGAGTCGGACTCGGTGCCCCAAGCAGTTCGAGTCGAACTGCTTGATGGGCCACCGCTGATTGGTCGAATTGGGTGAGGATTGAGCGCGTCAATCAGTTCGACTTTTTGATAGGGAAAACGATGAGCAAAAGTGGCTACGCGCACGTAGATTGACCAAATCGAGTGTGGCAATATCGAATCCGCTGTCCATTTGCCCCGTAGACGTACGGTTGGTTGTGCATCGATGATTCAAAGGTCAGAAGGTGTGTTTTTGGTGATGGTGATACACGGGCCAAGCGGCTGATAAGAAGTCGACCCCAGTCAAACTTGGTGCCCCAAGCAGTTCGAGTCGAACTGCTTGATGGGCCGCCGCTGATTGGTCGAACTGGTGGAGGATTGAGCCCGTCAATCAGTTCGACTTTTTGATAGGGAAAACGATAGGCAAAAGTCGCTGCGCGCACGTAGATTGACCAAAACGAGTGCGGCAATATCAAATCCGCCGTCCATTTACCCCGTAGACATACGGTTGGTCGTGCATCGACGATTCAAGGTCAGAAGGTGTGTTTCTGGCGACGGTGACGCACGGGCCAAGCGGCCGACAAGAAGTCGATCCGAGTCGAACTCGGTGCCCCAAGCAGTTCGAGTCGAACTGCTTGATGGGCCGCCGCTGATTGGTCGGTTGATTCGAGGTGCACGGACCAAGTCAAGTCCAACTGCTCGAGCATCCGGCTGTCAATTAGTTTGACTTGTCAGGAAGGGAGATAATGGTTAAAACCCGCTGCGCGTAGGTAGACCGGTCGAACCCAAGGCCGCGATGTTAAACACATGGTTCATTGGCCCCGTAGACATATGGTTGGTTATGCACATGGAGATTCAGCGACAGTAGTGCACGGGCCGAGTGGTTGACCTTTCGAAAAAATACAGGGAAGCGGGAAAAAAAAAGCAAAGAAATGGGAAATGAAGGGAGAAAAAAAAAACCAACCATCCCCCGGCGAAATGAAATGTAAGATTTAAAGAAAGGGAGGTAAAAGGAAAATAGAAAATCAATTCAATACCAACCAACCGGCCACGTACCCACCAATTCAGGTTATTCGGCATTTAAACGGAATTATGGAGTTGTTTAATAACTTGTTTATACATTCCCCCGATTACCGTTTGGCGATTTGCCGCGAACATCGTAGTGCGGTAACGGCAGGATCGATCGCGTATCACGTCCATTCGCAACACCGCCATATAGCCAAGAAAGTGCGCCAACGCATCGTCGAGGAGGCGGGCGAGTTAGAGAAGGGTGGCACGTTGGTGGCCGGCGTCCATGGGATCCAGTTCCCGGCCGGAGTTGTGCCAGCGATCAGGCCGTTGCCCGTTTGGAGCGATGGCAAGAAGTGCACGCGGTGCGGACACATCCGGCGGACCAAGCAAGATATTCAGAAGCATTGCCGAGACGAGCATGGATGGGTCAACCCGCGGGGGCAGGGCGGGAAAGCCGGGGCGAGAGCAGCAGGCGGCATGGGCGAGGTGTGGGTAGACGGCGTGTATTGCCAGCGGTTCGGGCAAACAGGAGCATTGCAGCGGTTGTTCGAGGTTGTGCCGGCGGCCGATACGGAGGGCGGGGTCGGCAGGGGAAGCAGCCCAGTCGGCACCACGGGGTATAAGGTGATTATGACGCAGTTTGAAGAGTTGGCCAAGGCAATAGAGGAAGGGGACAAGAAAGCGGCAGCATTGATCCACGACCAGCCCAGGTTGT